TGTTATTGCGAAGCCGGAGTAAGCCATTGCTTGGCGGATTTAGTATATAACCGTGCCGTGCGCCAGTAGTCTAAAAAATCAAGTTCCTTTGGCAATTACAATCAGTGCCAAGCCTTCGACGAACCGGTTCCAGATCAAGATGGCCTTCATCCTTCTCTCACCATCCCTGTCGTCACTCGCGACAAAACATATCCAGCTCCTCCAACTCAATCATTGCACAGGCAGAGTCTCTACAGGTGACAGAGGTTAATGGATAGACTGTTGTAGGGTGCTCCTTCCTGTTGTAGTCAACGTATGTGAAAGTGGTTGTCAAGTACCTAGAGCAGGACCTAAATGAGATTCAGAGAAACGTTCATTTTGCACGAGGTCATTATACGAGCCCAATCGCCTGCTTCCTGCGATTCTACTTATACCGTCGAGAGCTTGCCACATGCGTTGAGCACGTTTCTGCCTCTCAGAGACTCCACGCCGCCAACAGCCCACGCGCCATTCTTCATTTCGCCAAACGTAGCCCTTGCACTTCGCTTTTTCTTCTCACAGCGCCGTCGGCCATCGGGATGCGTCTTGGTCTCAATAGTGTCGACGAATCTGGGGCTCTCTAAAATCTGTCCGTTCATCAACCGCCGCGGCCTTCTCACTCTGCGCAGCGTCCGGTTCTGCCAGATCACATCGCCGACATGCCTGGCTCACGAGATAGCAGGGGCAAGAGCCTCACAACAGAGGTAGAAGAGATGGACATAGCAGTTGACACAACCGAGGGCGCGGCAGCGACGCATGAGTCTTCTTCAGGCATCGAAGACATGCAGGCGCGACTGGCATCAGAAAGAGACACGCCTCGCAGAGTCAAGAAGGAAACTCCCTCGTCAAAACAGCCGAGCGCTGCACAGTCACCAGCTGTAAAGGGCGAGCGTGAAGAAACCATAGGTGGCGATCTCAGCATCAAGCTTGAGCCCGGCAAAGCCCCAAAGCTGTCCCGCACCATGTCGCAAAAAATCATCACTGGACCTCGACAATTATTCAATGATTTGCCTGACGCCACTGATGAAGCCACTTCAACCTTTGATGTTCTGCTCGATTGCACGTACGGCGCAAGGCATCTTGGCACTACTGAACAGGCGCTTGAATGCGACTGTGTCGAAGAATGGGGTATGTTGTACTCTGAAGCTTGCCCTCGTGGCCATGAGCTGACTAGTCACAGATGCGCGAACACAATCCAACAATGCCTGCGGCGAAGACTCGGACTGCATTAACCGGGCCACCAAGATGGAGTGCCCCGGGGATTGCGGCTGCGGAGATGGCTGCCAGAACCAGCGCTTTCAGCGCAAGGTGTACGCCGATGTTTCGGTCATAAAGACAGAAAAGAAAGGCTTCGGTCTACGTACCAACAAAGACCTCAAGCCAAATGACTTTATCTTCGAATATATTGGCGAGGTCATCTCGGAGCCTGCTTTCAGGCGCCGCATGCACCAATACGACCAGGAAGGCATCAAGCACTTTTACTTCATGTCGCTGGCCAAGAGCGAGTTTGTCGATGCGACCAAAAAGGGAAACCTCGGCCGATTCTGCAATCATTCGTGCAATCCGAACTGTTATGTCGACAAATGGGTTGTAGGGGACCGACTCCGCATGGGGATTTTCGCCGAGCGTCAAATCGAAGCTGGAGAAGAACTTACCTTCAACTACAACGTCGACCGCTACGGAGCCGACCCTCAACCCTGTTATTGCGGAGAGCCAAATTGTTCCGGATTCATTGGTGGCAAGACGCAGACCGACGATCGTGGAATTCAGCTTTCATCAACCATCCAAAAGGCACTTGGTATTTTCGGAAACGAAGACTGGGAGAATGCCGCTCACACCAAGAAGCCGCGCAAGAAGAAGGCTTCTGAGGACGATGAAGAGTACATTGACAGCATCGAACTCAAGCAGCTTGGTCCAGCAGATGTCAAGGTCGTCATGGGAGAAATATACAAGACTCAGGAAAAATGGATCATCGTCAAACTTCTCAACCGTATACAAAACTGCGAGAACGAGAACGTGCAGTTCAAAGTGGCCAAGATGCATGGCTATGTCATCCTCAACAAACTTCTCAAGACCTACGCCGACGACACAAACATCCTGTTGCAGATTCTGGACATTCTTAACAAGATTCCTCGATTAACTCGCAACAAGATCGTTGACTCCAAGATCGATGTCACTGTCGAAGGTCTGCTCGAGCATGAAGATGAACGAGTCAAGTCGCAAGCGGCAAAAATCTATGATGAGTGGAGCAAGCTGGTCATCGCTTATCGTATTCCACGTGTGAAGAGGGGTCCCAACGCAGTGCAACAAGAAAAGAGATTGGACCGCCCTGATCGGAAGAACCGTGAGCGAAGTCGATCTCGATCACGTTCGAGGTCGGTCGAAGCACCAAAAGGGCCTAAAGGACCATCTAGGGCAACTCCTTCGGGCCCGCGCGGAGGTGGGCATAGAGGTGGTGGCTTCTTCCATGGTGGTCCTCGGCCCCCTTTCAGGCCCCGAGCCCCGCCTCCTGTCGAACTGCCGCCCGGTTGGTATGTCGCCTTTGACAAGAACGGCACACGTTACTACTACGATGGTGATGGCAATGTTCAATGGACACCGCCAATGCAACCGGCAGTGAACGCACCTCCGCCGCCGCCACCTAGAGTCTTGACCGAAGCACAGAAGCTTGAAGATCTGATCCAAGGCATTGTCAATAAGAAGGAAACACCCAGTACTGACAAGCCTTCGGCTACTGCGACGCCGACCGAGACACCGACCAAGGTCAAATCTGATGAGAAATGGCGTTCACTGCCTGAAGAGAAGCAGAAGAGGATATATGAAAACACCGTACGTTATGATTTCCTACGAGGCTCGAACTTTGTGACTGACATTCATACAGCTCTTCCCATCTGTCATTCACGTCGCAAACAAGTACAAGGGCAAACTTGACAGAGATGATATCAAGCGATTTGCTAAAGAATGCTCGAAGAAGCTTGTCAACTCGGACTTCAAGAACAACCGTGTCACTGATCCAAACAAGATCGACCCCAAACAAGAGAAGGCTGTCAAGAAATTTGTAACAGATTTCTTCGAGAGAGCTGTTGTCAAGAAGAAAGAGCATGACCAACGCAAGGGACAAAGCTCGAATCAACCAAGTACGGATGCCATGCAGGTCGACTCGCCCAAGGACGCGGTTGTTGATGACGTTGCCGATGTTGATGCATCACTGAGTTCGGCGAATCTGAAGCGAGCACGAAATGAGGAAAGCTCGATGGAAGGAGCCGCACATGAAGACGACCCACAAGGCAAGAAGGCCAGGGTATCTGCGCCTGCGCCTCCGCCTCCTCCACCCCCGCCAGCTGGAGACATGCACGAAGAAGATATGCAAGCAGGCAGTGAAGATTGCTCCAATGCGGAAGGCTTCTCAATCAAAGGCGCTGCTGGTGGTCTTCAACAGCGTATGCCAAAGTACGCGGAATCTCCAATGCAAGTTGCAACGCCACCAACCACGAACAGTCCGGACGCAGAAGAAAGGGAGAGACGTCGAAGAGAGTTCAGTGGGCTCAATGCAGAGAGGATGAGAAACCTGGGATTGGATGGAGCAAGCGATCGTTGAACATGCACGCTCTAGAAATTTATTTGCGCGCGAAAAGCGCCTTTGAAGTCCATCACAAAAGAGGTGAAGAACAATGTACAATTTTGAGTGACAAAAAACAGCAGCGTAGGAGCACATCACGATGGAAGAAGAGTTGTGACACAACTCAGACCAGACAACAATTGAAAAGACCTCATCTGTCATGGCTCCGACGCCAATCCTACCACATTCGAAACACATGTTCTCACGAGATTGCGCCCGTGATGGTCTTGTCTTGTTTTCGAAAGTCATGCAGTACGCCTTTGAGCTTCGGTAAGTGTCTCCTTGCGCTGTCTTAGACACTACACATCATGCAAAGTCTTGATTGGTGTTGTCGAAAAGCTCATTCCAAGGCCCGCTCTCAGCAATCGTAGTTTCATTGTCTCGGTCAAAGCTCGATTTATGTTAATGCAATGAATTATTACATGACGCTGTGTTTGTCTACAGACAGTGCGGTTTATTGTGTTGCTGGGCCCAATTGTCAGAAATCTTTAACTTGCAGGCTTCACCAGATGAGCAATGATAGATATATAAACCGGTGTTTATTGCACATTCTCTACCTTCATCTTTCTCGCCAGGATCCAAACATGTTACCAACAACAGAACTGCCGAAGTTCCTGTGCCTAGATGCTTTCGAGTTACCTAAGCACACTCTCTCGAGTTGCACCATCCAACCCTTCAGCCCCAAGACTCTTGCCGCAGCTATTGAGAAATGATGTTCCAAAGATGAAATCAAGGACTACCTACAAAGTTACTCACGTGAGACTGTTGAGTGGCAGATAACAGATCCTATCCATGCCGAGCATTCAGTGATTTTCCATGCAGCGAAGTGGAACGCTCTCGATATCATGGAGCTTCTTCTAGACTACGCAGCTGATCCCCAAGCGAAGGACCCCTCCAACATTCTTCTGCTTGTAGCCACAATCATGTACTTACAATGGATCTACAAAAACATCGACAAGAGCGTTGCGCTTTTGCTGAAATTCCTCGCAGCCTGCCGTAGCCGGACGTATCAGCAATTTCCTACCTTTCTTCCCTTTTAGCTACGTGCAAGTGGCAGTGATCTCCCACAAGGTCTTAAGATCGCTGGGTGATAGAACACGTATGCCCATCGACTTACACAGCCAACCTCCACAACCAGTCGGTCATCTTCATCTGTCTCTTGTGAAGGATGGCGACCTCTGCAAATTCCTCGCCGAAGACTACATCCAGGAGCTTGCAGCACGATCAGTACAAAATCGCGTCCACGGCTTGGAGGATGAAGTTTTCATGCTCTATACTGCTTCGAGTGACGAGATCACCGAATCCACCAACGAAGGACCTCATGTCAACTACACGATGCAGCTCCATCCAGCCGACCCGACCTTTGAGGTTGCGATTCGTGAGGATGGTGCAACTCTGATCCGGTCCGAATGATTCTCACAATATCCTTACGTTGCCCTGCTCCTTCCTCTTCCTGCCAAGGAAAACTCTGATATTGTTGGGGCGGCGGTCGTATTGATTCAAAGTGGAGGACCATCTGTCAGAAATCACCTGGGACCCGGGTGCGGATGCGATGTTATTCTTGGGTGGGATGGCATCTGTCAAGGTTTTTATAGCAATTGGGTCCACAATTAACTCTTACTTGTTTGATCTTTCTGGTGAGAGGCTTGGCTATGACAAGCCGCTACGGTCGTGTTTCGAAGCAAGTAGCTGCGACAGGGAGCCTGCCTTGCGATGATAGTCTGCGGCATCACATGAAAACATCGGCGAGACATCCATCAGCTTTCTCTTTTTCTGCGTGTCACACGCGTCAACTCACCGTTACCAAGACCCTTTGTGTGGTCGGGACCTGTACCGAATTACCTCAAGTACGGATTGACGTCGCAGAGGGTCATCCTTCGTGCTTGTCTCGAAGCGAGATTCCCATCAATTTTGCAATAGACATCCATCCTTCTATCAACGTCTCTCAGTCGATCTTGCATCACGGCACAATGTAGAAAACACAAGAAGACCATAACTACACGAGATGATCACTATGCGTGCTGAATACAGAGTAGATAACATATTCTTAAGCTGAGGGCGATTTGAGTTTGAGATTCGGCACTGCCGAACATGTCCGTTCGACAGGTACCGTTGTATCTGCTTTTCTCGTTTTTCATGGGGAATTCTGAGTCAAATGGTAAGCAAGAGAAATAACGGTCTGCTGCTAGTTTCTGGATTGTGACCTTCCATCGTAACAGCCAAGATCGTAATGTTGCTGAAGGGAAAGTGGTCCAAGACAGCCCAGGCGTACTTTCTCTTGTCATGTTGCATCGTTCCTTCCTTTGAGATTTGGTACTTCAGCCAAGTAACTTATAAGAGGTTTTATCCCAGCGGACTAACCGAATGACATCTTTCAATGGCTTGGAGATTCAACGTCCCTTCGCCGCTTTCCGTCTGTATGATACATATTCGTTCTTCGTTATAATAGAACACGGCGCGCCTCAACTGCCATGCAGCCGGCAGACATGGTGCGGCCTGGTCCCGAAGTACAAACACTCTCTACGTATCTCTACATTGATCACCATCACTTCTTGCAATCTTCTACGCTCAAATAACAATCTGCTCATGGCTTCATGGGGTGGACGACAAGGTACCACACAGGTCGTCATTGTTTTTGTCTTCCTTGGACTGGCATTCATCATCCTATCATTGCGACTCTTTACTCGAGTGATCGTGACACGGAATCATGGCCCTGAAGACTGGGTCATTACAGCAGCATTTGTAGGTCTTGGACAACTAACCTGCCGTGTGCTCATTGCTGACATAGAAACAGTGCTTCTCAATCACACAAGCAGTACTTGTACTCGCTGGTACGTATTCTCAGACAGCACTTAGAGGTAACCAATGTTGACAATACTCAGAGGTCCAAAATGGTCAAGGCCTGCCCCAAAGTATGCTCTCAGAGGATAATATTGTGAATCTGCGAAAGGTACGAGCCGTGTTCTGAACAAGGCTGATTTGGTCATGCTAACACATTCGATAGACACTATACAAAGCAATCCCTACATATCTCGCCGGATTGACCTTGACCAAGCTCTCGATCCTGTTACAGTACATGCGACTGTTCAAAGAGAAGGCAATACACAGATTCATCATCGGAATGCTGGTCTTCGTCGCCGCATTCGGTAAGCACACTGCAGCACCCCAGACCACGATAGAAATAGAGTGTGCTGATACAATTCGAAAAGGAACATGGTCGGTTCTCGGATCCTTACTTCTCTGCACGCCAGTCCACTACTTCTGGGATGGTATCGGCGACGGCAAGTGCATGAACTTTGAAGCAAAGTGGTTCAGCGATGCGGCGGTCAGCATTGTAACCGACTTCATACTTCTTAGCATACCTATTATCTTTCTCAAAGGCCTCAATTTACCTTATCGCCAAAAAGCAGGCTTGATAGCCGTCTTTGCGCTCGGAGGCTTGTAAGTGAAACCACTACTCAACCACACAGAATGCAGAGACATGCTAACGATCGTGGACAGCGTATGTGTAGTTTCGATTGCTAGACTGGCACCTTTGTACGTTATTGCAACCCACGCAGATGTGAGCAAACACAATGGTCCCGCGGCCTTTTTGTCAAGCATGGAAGTAAACGTCGGCATCATCTGCGCGTCCCTACCCAGCCTGCGCGCTATCACGTTACGCACCTGCTCGCGAAGAAACACACACCGTCAGTCCATGTCACAACGCCATGATCACTCCAAGTGGTGGCGATTTGGCCAAAGAAACGACAACATCGAGTTAGAAGCAGGACCAGGACAAGACTCTATCAATTCAAGCAGCGCGATCACAAAGCTCGTGTCCGTAACCCAAGAGCGCAAAGACGCCAGGAGGATGTCTCTATGGTCGATCGATGGCGGTGGGATATTCGCTGGTGCTGGCGTTTCTAAAGCTCATATCTGCTCTGCTGCTCAATGAAATTCAATCACGATCTCCAACCCAGTGCACCAATGATCCAAGAACAAAAAACAATCACAAGTCTGACTGGGTTGGGGATTTGGTGACTCACCTCAAGTTCCTTCCTCTCCTCTCCTCACTTCTCCTCCCCAAGTTCTCCCTCACTTCTCCTCCAGCCTCTGATAGTGACCAGACCACCTTTCCACAGGGGCGCGTCCATCAAGAGACCAATGACGACTAACTTTTGATTGAAGTGGTGAAAGTTTTGGCTGATGAGAAGATTCGAACTCGAGCACTGGGTGTAGGCGTTGTTGGTGTTTTAGTTGTCGTGAATGACTGCCAAGACTTGTGGTTAGCAAGCTACTCTGCTATACTAACCAGCCAGACCATGTGATTGTTGATGGCGCTGGCGGAACTAGCTATATGAAGGTCTGATGATGCTGATCCGCAAGTGAAAGCAACCATCAGGAGCTCGAGCATCTGACTGAAACAAAGAACGAAACAGTTTTGCCTCGCATAACAACGAATGTCTATGTGTACAGGCGAAACAATGATTTGAAGATGAGATGAATCAGACTTAACTATGGTTACAAAGACTGAGACGGGATCACATATCATCCTCCAACGTTGTCCCCTTTCCTACACACATCCTAGTATTCCGAAGTCAAGATCTTCTTGAGCTCTCCACTCTGCTTCTCGTAAGCCTCGACCTTGGCTTGACTAGCCATGATCTTAGACAAGAGATAGTTGACACGGCTCGTCAACTCTGCCGGTTGTCTCGGCAACTCACCCAAGAGGCGCAATTCTTGCTCATACTTGTCGATACTCTGCGATTCAGCCTTGATACCCTCTGCCAAGACTGCGAGGTCCATACGTGACTGCAGGACCTTATCCTCAGTCAACTTCTCGAACGCAGGCTGATAGACTGGACGACCGGGCTTGATGGCATATGGACGGCCGTTGTAGGATTGAATAGCAATGAGTTCAGCTTGTTCGAGGGCCGCAAGTGCCTTCTCGCCACCAGTCTTGTAAGAGTCTGACAGCAAGATCTCATTGTAGCGTATGCTCTGATCCTTGGCGAGCTGCTTGATGAGCAGCCAGGCTTGTTGGGGAGTCCATTGACGACCACCATCTTCCTGGCCCAGCACGAACATTTTCAGGATTTCGCTAGCAGATTGCTCAACAATCTCGCGGACGGCCTTGCGTGGTGTCTCTCCAGCCTTGATTCTTCTAGCCAAGAATTCAAGGTCTGTGAGACGACCACCCAGGGCAGGAAGGACACTGTCAAGCTCTCCAAGGTCTTTGCGACGTTGAGAAGGAGTCAGCTGCTTGATACCAGCTTCTGCGTCTTCAGCTTCGAAGTCAATGTGGTTGATAACAAAGCGCTTGGCGACCTCGATGCTAGTATCAGAAAGACTGATTTGTCGGAAAACGCGGTCTGGCAGGGCTTTAGATAGCGACTTGCTGAAAGAAACGTCGTGGGTCAAGAAGATAACGTGGGCAATATTAGAAGTAGTGATACGAGCAGCCCTGTTGAAGTCAGCTTTTGGCTTGAACCATCGAAAGACCTTCACTTACCATTCAGCAATCTTGTCGTAGACCACGGTGCCTTCCTGGCTCTTGTGCAGGAAATTGTCAATGACAACGACGGGTCTTCTCTCAGGGTGTGCTTCAAGATATTCGTCATCGCTAAGATTGGCATCTCTGTCATCTCTCTTTCTTCCGTCAAGAGCAATCTGCTTCAAAGCAGTTTGCGTGTTCGTAAAGATCTTGTTGAGTTGAGAGTCCAAGGTTTCAGAAAACCCGGTTTTGACACCAGTTGCTCCTTGGGCTGCGAGATCAATAAGTCCGCTGATTGAGTTCATCCATGAAAACACCGGTCTATAGCCGACTTCTGCCGCTGTAGCATTGATAGTACCCGAGTCTCCACGCGCTTCCTGGATGGGTTTACAGTCGACAATTAACTTATTCCTGCGGTCCTTCAGGGCTTGGTCAACGACCAACTCTCGCTTTCCCGACCCACGCGGTCCCTGAACCACGATAAATGTATCCGTAGTTTCCATGAGCCAGGTTCTGATTTGATCGATATTTCCTTTCTGATCTTCCCAGATAGCTTCCATTCCAGCTTCATCGGGAGTGTTTGATCTAAGACGCACAACATCGAGGAGTTCACTTGCTTGTTTCTTGAACCAGCGATAGACTCTGTTGTCTTCGAGATGAAGCGTGCGAGTAATGTGTCCCTTGATGAACGCGGTACGGATAGGATCGAAGACTGCGACAGTAATACCGGCAACGAGAGCGGCGATAGCTGGGATGACTATCCTAGGATGGCTCGTAAGCCAGTCAATGAACCACTTTGCTCTTTGCCTCTTCTCGTAACTGATCCGGAACACTGTTCCTAATTTACCACCTCCTTCTTCTTCAGAAACAACATAGCCATGCAAACAATTCTGGAGCCAGTTAGTATCGCCTTTACGGTATTGTTGATAGAGAAATTCACCTTGGCCATAACGGCTTTCCTCACGGTCACAAAGTCGATGTTGGCAAATTTGGGTAGAACTTTCGAGTCAGAAGGCTGAGAGACGATATCTGCCAGTTTTCCATAAGGTCTGAAGAAAGCATATAGCTGTTCTTGAGACAGTTCGGCAACCTCACCGCCAGGTGCAGTAGGCAAGAACTCGATCCTCAGACGCTGGCTGGGCAAGCGGTACAAGTCCTCAACCCAAGGCTTGCCCTTGACCAAATTTGCGCGGACATTAGTTATAGGCGCCCACCAAGGTCTGACCTGATGATCTTGGAGATGTTTCTTGACGGCAGCTTCAACATCGGCTAGCGTCGAGCCAGATTCATACGTGAACTTGACGAAAGCACCGCCCTCCTTCACTCTGGGCAGCACTTCAAGTACACTGGCCTGAACTGGCTTGTCGGGAGTGGCTTCTTGTGCTCTCTTGATGACTTTCTTAGGGTCTACAGCTCCCATAGACCTGTCGCCTCCAGTCAGGGTCGAGAATAACCTCTCGGCGCTCAAAAGCGGTAAACGTAGAAGCCATTGCAGTCTAAGAGGGTAGAGGTCTGGAAAATGTTACTTAGATATGTGTTTCATTGTTGATGTTGGAAGCTGACAGAGACTCACTGTTGAAGAATAACACGCCTTCCTTGGAATCGACACTGATATGACCAGTCTTGTTTTCTCCAGCTTCAAAGGAGTTGTAGCGGAGTCCTTGAGCACATGCCACACGATACACCCTGGGCAAGCCAGGGCGCATCAGCTGGCGGGTTAATATATGTTGAGTTGGCAGCATTACGAGCCCATGGTCTCGTTTTCCAAGTTGATATCCAATATGTCCAGATGATAAGAATGAACAAACTAGCAGAAGGCCAACTAGAAGTAGAAGAGAATATCTGGTAGCAAACTTGGAGGAGGTAAGTACAGAAGTTGGAAGAGAGCAACGACGTCACGTGTGGCTTGTTTCGAGCGGACTTTCCTGAAACGCAGCGGACGGGAGTGCTTCGAAGATCCACGACTTTTTTTCTTCTACAAACACATTCACAGCACATCATGGGTTGGTGGTGGTCATCAGATTCAACAGCGGCTCCCGCTACCGAGTCTGCTCCCACAGGAACAACGCAGACACCGACACCAGTTTCAACAATACAGAGAGAAACTCCCAAGAAGGCTTCACCAGACAGCGATTTCGAGGCACTATTCGCTTCTTTCGAGAAACCCTCGACGACAACAACGATACCCACAAACCCAGCACCACAACCTGTGGCTACACCACCAAAGATCCAACATGTAACGCCAGCGCCAAAAGAGACTCCCACACACTACGTACCCTCTCCCTCAGGCTCAATCGAGCAACAATCAGATTCCGACGCTCCCATCGACATCTCCCCCGACGCCTTGTACCCACGCCAAATGTCCTGCCGTCAAGCCTTTGATCAAGCCTTCTACTGCCAATCGCTAGGCGGCAAGTTCAACGACATTTACCGCTATGGTGAGCTGCGCAGCTGCTCTGACAACTGGAACGCCTTTTGGTTCTGCATGCGAATCAAGACGTTACCTGATCGCGAGCGCGAAGAGCGAATCAAGGAGTTTTACAAGGCGAGGGATGAACAGAACAAGGCTGAGAGGGGCAGCTCGGAAAAGATCTGGGACTTGAGGACTGAACCTGTCAAGAAGGCTTTCTGGAGAGATCCCGACGAGGTGACTGAGAAGAATTGAGCATGTCATCTATTGTACTTTTACTGTTCATTGGAAGATACCCAAAGGCGTTCAATGAGGCTTTCATGTGAAATCACAAAGACTGCACTTCTACAGTCATATTCGAACTCTGCAGCTTGAGCGAGCATGACACAGATCACATGGAACTGAACATTTAGTTGGAGTGAAGTGAATCGACTTTTAGTATATCGTAATTTCCAAGAACGACAGAACAATGGTCTATCCGAGTCTGCCACCTATGACAGCATTCAACGTCTTAGCCCATCTAAATTATGTTTATATGCCACTACCTGAACTGCCCAGGACTTTTTGACGCTTACTCCCAGGGAAAGAGATCGATAACATTAACGAAGAACTGGTCGTAGAGACGTCAATGGAAGCGGCGCGTGGCTTTGGGCAGCTTGGTGTAGTAGCTCTATCCCTTAAGAGCAAAGGCAGCGTTGTCGCTGCTTCGCTGTTTGACCCCGGTGTTGTGTCTGGAAGAATATAAGGCGTCGATGAAAACATGCTGAACGCAAAATCGCAATAGTCAAATCTTTCTGTACAAGCCAATCATCTACTCGTTGTCGCTGTCACCGCCAAGGGTCATGCCAGGCTTGGTGGCGCCAGGGGCAGGCAGCTTGGAAGGAGGAACACCAAGTCCGTTGTGGTTTCTGAAGAAAAGAACACCCTTGCCCTCGCCCTGAGCACCCTCAGAAGGCTCAACCCACTGGCACCATCTGGCGCTGTTGTACATGGCCTTGAGGAAGCCAATGGGGCCGTCTCTGACATCGCTGCGGTAGTGCTGACCCATGATGGGCTTGATAGCCTCGGTGGCCTCGTCAGCGTGGTAGAAGGGAATGGTAGAGATGTAGTGGTGGAGGACGTGGGTCTCGATGATACCGTGAAGAAGGTTGCGGCCGATGAAACCGAACTCGCGGTCGATGGTGGCAGCAGCTCCACGAGTGAAGGTCCAGGTGTTGGCATCGTAGTGAGGAAGCGAGGGGTCGGTGTGCTGGAGGTAGGTGATGGCAACGAGCCAGTGGTTGACCCAGAGGTAAGGAATGAGGTACCAGACGAGAAGGTTCTGGAAGCCGAAGTTCTGGTAGATGAAGTAGAGAGCAGTGCAGGTCAGGGCGAGACCGACGTCAGACAGAAGGATCAGCTTCTCGTCCTTGCGCTCGTACAGAGGGCTGGAGGGATTGAAGTGGTTGACACCGCTGAACCAGCCGTTGCGCTTGCCCTCACCCTTGCCCTCGGTCTGCTTGTGGTGGTTGTTGTGGCCAGTGACGTTGGTGATGAGGTAAAGAGGCCAGCCGAAAAGCTGCTGGAGGACCATGTGGGTGGCGGTAGCGATAGGGGTCTCCTCCATCAGCTCAGAGATCTCGTGAATAGCGTGGCCAACTCTGGAAGCATAAACCTCACGGGTCTTGGGGAGGAAGACCATGTCACGCTCCATGTTACCGGTGGCCTTGTGGTGCTTGCCGTGAGAAATCTTCCATGAGAAGTAAGGAACGAGAAGAGCAGAGTGAAGGATCCAGCCAGTAGTGTCGTTGATGGTCTTGGAATCAGAGAAGGCCTGGTGACCACACTCGTGGGCAATGACCCAGAGACCAGTGCCGAACAAGCCCTGGAGGACGGTGTAGAGAGCCCAGAGGCCAGCTCTGACAGGGGTCGAGGGAATGTACTCGGGAGTGACAAAGTTGTATGCGAGGGTGAAGGTGGTAGCAATGCAGGCAATGTCGCGGAGGATGTAGTAGTAGCCGGTGGCAGCAGAGCGCTCGAAGCAGTGAGCAGGAATAGCATCACGAATCTGCTTGATGGTGTAGTCGGGGATCTTGAACTCGTTGCCATAGGTATCGATCAGAGTACCGCGCTGGTTCTTGAGGCCCTCCTCGTCGACAGAGCCCATCGAGGACAGCGAGGTGGTCGAGGGAGAGTTGCGAGGAGAGTCTGCAGGAGAGACGACCTGCGAGGGAGCAGACGAACTGGCAACCGAGTAGTCGGTGGCAGAGCGCTGGACGGGGAGCCTCTGGGCGGGAAGAGCAGTGGTGGAAGCCATTGTGAGAGTGAGAGACGAGTGAGCAAAAGCTCAATTGGGTGAATTGGTAGGAATAAGGAGAGGCAGAGACAGGACAAGCCGAGCAAAAAGCGAATTGCCGTGTCAGGTGGGGAGAGGGAGAGGTGGGAGCAACAAGACTTGTTGAGGAAGGAACCACAAACAAGTAGAAGCCTGTAGCCTATGGGAGGATGGCAGAACGAATGAGCGAACAGGTTGCAAGAGAAGGACAGGAGGAGGTGGGGTTTTAATCGACACGTCTGTGGTTGGGTTGTGCGGTCAGAAAAATTGTCAGTTGTCCCCAAGCTCTTGTCGCCCACGCGCTAGAAGCGACGACCCTGAAGGCGAGAACTTCCAAAGCCCGATCACCCTAACCTCGGGCAAATCTTGCGTTTCATCTCATCTGGCTGAGTCGCTGACCATTCGAACCTTCCCAACATTTATCCATGGGGTTTGCTGCTCCCTCGCTATCTGATCATTCTCACCTGTACATAAACCTCGTGCCCTGCCCTTGGGTTCCCATTGTGCATCCTGACTCCATGCCAGCTGCCCCAGTCGCCAATCCTTGCTCGTCCTGCGTGCATTTTGTCCGACGGCGAATTCCATAAACATGGTCGATCGCGTCCCCACAAGCTGAGGCAAGCCCCTTTGGCAAGGCTCAAGCGTGATGAAGCGCCTCAACAGCGCCGGCACTCTGCTGATCTCTCCTGCTCGTCCTTGGCATTGGCATTCTTCCTACTTGCCCCGACCTTCGGCCTTCCTCTGCCTATTGACTGCAAGCACCCGCCGCCGCCGGTAGATTGGTCTGGGGACACGGGCGTGGCTCTCGCGTCTCCATTCCCTACGCCCGTCATCCTTGACCGCCAGGCTTGTACTTGTCACGTATGGACGTTAGTATGCTGTTGCTGCTTTTTGCGGGTCGGTCGTGAAGACCTTCAGAGCTAGATTGACCCAACATCTGTGCTTGCTTCCATGACCGTTCGAGATGTTCCTCTCATCCACAACCTCGTACCACTTTGACTGGCTGCTTTTTTGCTTTTTCCCTCCCATCCCGCAGCTTGCAGCAAATTGTCTTTTCCCCTGATCTGTTGTGCATCTGAACCTTGACCATATGCAGGGCTCGCTTGCATTCAGTGCACAATTCAAGTGCAATCGGTATTGCTTGCGAAACCCCTCACACGACGACATTGTTGGGACGACGTTCGTTGTCTGTCGTTGAAATCGAACCTTGATGATCCAGCGGCGCGCTGCAACCCCTCCTCGTCATCCATTGACTTTGCATAGACAACCCACATGATCCTATGGACGCGCAAAGACCTCGTTATCTTCATATGGACAATAGTTTGCTCGAGTGATATGACGTCTGCTCTCACGAGCTGTCATGTGCTTTTCATGTGTCTGTATCTTTGTTCCTTTTGTATGCAATTGTGGCTCCCAACCCCCCAAGGCCAACTTTTCTGATCCAATCAATGTATCATCTCCAATGTCCTTCTCTTCCGGCTGGTTGACACCCGGTAAGACTCGTAGTAAACGTAAACGCATAGCCCCCAAAATGTTGAATATCCTTTGACGCCATGCATGAATCCTTCGTTAGAGCTTCATCAAATCCCAATCGTACTTCTCTCCCCCACACTTGCCAGTGCTAATCTAGCACTTAGGCACGGTCGGGCCAGAGCTCGTTAGCGACCTTCTTGACAAGGGCGAGCTTGGCGAACATCTTGTCCTCGGTCATGGCCTCGGCACCAACACCAGTGCTGGCGAAACCGCACTGAGGGGAAATACCGATGCACTCCATGGCCTGCTCGCGGCTGACGCCCTGGCCCTTGGCAATGATGTCGGCGGCCTCGAGGACCTTGTCCTTCATCTCTTTGGCATCCTCGAGGTCGGCGACCTTGGTGCTGACAACACCGAGAACGACGTTCTTGTTCTTGGGGAGGAAGCGGAGGGGCTCGAAGCCACCGCTGCGGGCATCATCGTACTCGAGGTAGAAGGTGTCGTAGTTGAGGGTCTTGAAGAATCTCTCGGCGATCTGCTCGTACGAGCCCTGGGAGAAGTGCATCGACTTGGAGAAGTTGCCTGCACGAGATCAGCATACTGCTTACTACTGTTTATGATGGTCTAGCTTACCTCTGCAGATGTGGAGACCGACGTGGAGTCCCTCAGGACGACCCTCGAGGCAGTCGTTGTGAGCCTTGCAGTACAGCTCGAAGAGCTCGTCAGGGTCGACACCATCGGCCTTGAGACCCTCGAGCATGTCCTTGGAGCAGAAGTAGGCAAGAGTGGGGTCGTCAATCTGGACGCTCTTGAGGCCAGCGTCGTGAAGGGCCTTGAACTCCTTCTTGTAGCACTCGGCCAGGTCGGCGAAGAAGGCGGCATCGGTGGGGTAGACCTCCTTGGGGTAGCACTTGCCGGGAGCAAGACGAAGATGGAAGTAAGGAGCGGGAGGCATGGTGAACTTGCAGTCGGCCCACTGCGACTCGGGGACCTGCGACTTGAGGTACTCCCACTTCTTGAGGTAAGGGCTGTGCTTGTAGGCAATCTTGCCGTTGCAGACAACAGTCATGGGGTACTTGAGGCCAGCCTTCTTCAGGGCAGCAATTGGGGGAGCAGAAAGTCTGTAGAGGTCCCAGGGAGCATCCTCAACCTCCTCGAAGCCATCAAGCTCCTCGAAGAAACCACCAAAGTAAACCTTGCGGTCGTACTCGCCTGAGCAGATGGGACGGACACCCTCATCTTGCTGACGCTTGACAATGTGGGTGATGGCCTTGTGCTCAGCGGCCTCGAGCTCAGCATCTGAGAGCTGCTTGTTGGCAGCCTTGGTCTTGGCCTCCTGGAGGTCGGCAGGACGGAGAAGAGAGCCAATGTGCTCGGCGTGGAAGGGAAGTCTGACCATGATTGCAAAATGTGACTCGGCTATGTGATCAGAGAAGGAGAAAGTCACAAAGACCCTCCTTCAAGATAGATATGCCCCTCCATGGCGTGAAATGACAAGTACCGAATTATTGCAAGCGATCCGCCCACAACTGCCGTGTTGTCCTAGCTTCGCTGAGGTTTGTCCATTTTATGACAGTTCACGCTTGTTATCATACCAATTTTTAGGTAACACAGGCTCTGCTATTTGCCTCTGACTCTTAATGCGGTCGAATTGCCTGTCTTTCATCTACCTAGAGCTCTGCTCGCCTCTTCGTAGCAGGACCGATAGCGGTCAGCGTCGACCGAGGTGTCAAACTTTCTTTGCCTTGCCCTGAGCTCTTTTTGAGTTGAGCCGCATTCAAGCGGTGCCCCGCCTTGCGGAGTCTTTGACAGCCTTTGTGACAATGTGAATTTTGACCTTTGAACCATGGAAGTGTGACAATGTGCTGCCATACATCTAAAACAAGAGATTCTGGTTGTATGGTTGATGATGAATGGTATGTCCTCTATATTTGGGCTCTCCTCCTTACCAAAATGTCCATCCACTTTGCGGGCGGCGCGAGTGGCACTTAGTTTGCGCTGTTTCATCGATGCTTTCAACTCAACCAAGGTTGCAACGAGGAATTTCGATACCATGGCCTCAGAAACGTCGACAAACATCCAGAAACCATTCAAAAGAGCACAATGCGACCATCTTACTTCGTCTGATGAACGAATTTCACCACAAAGGGGAAGGCAAGGCAGTATAAGAGCAGCTAATTTCAAGACAGGGTCACACCGGTTACAAAATGGACTTGATGAAATACAAATCGATACACGCATACAACGCACAGACAAGCCTTCACAGGATTTGAAAATGATATCATTAGCAGGTGGCATTATCAATTGTATCTTCATGCCACAAAAAGCACGCTATTCAGGGGAGCGGCATTCATGCTATCCCAACATGCCTCTTACTTTCTCCCAGCCTATTCGTCCTACTCATCCAAGATAGCCTGACACTCCTCAATATCTCGAATGGTCTCGTTGAAAGTATCAGAAACTGCCGAGGCAGCATGGTTGCGGTTCCAATCACCCTTTGTCCTCCAGATCGCGTCCATGATGTTTGCCATCACCTGCTCCAGCTGTTCGACGTTCAATCCGCTCGACTTGCGCACCATTTGGTCGTCAAGACTCTTGAGGAGACCTGGATCCGCCGGAACGAGTTGTGGCTCGTTAAGCAATGCTTGTACTGTGAAGGAGTGATGATGAGGTTGGCTGCTTGGTGGTGGTGGGCCCATGGCTCTTTGCGATGATTGCGACTGCTGCGAACTGTACATATCCGGTGGTTGCGTGTTAGGCAGTTGACTGCCGCCCTCGAGGTTGGGCAAAGCACTAAAATCGGGAGCATCATCGTTGCGCGCTCCGTTGGAAGAGGCATTAGTAATGACTGAGAAAGGCGCACTGCTTCTGTGGCTCTGGTTGCTTGTCTTGTGGCCCGAGCTGGTAGAAGACGCGCTGTTATAGTAGTCTTGATGCGTTGAGCCAGGAGCCATCCGTGTCAACACACTGTTCTGGGTATGTGTGTGATATGGCTGTGTACCTTGAGCTGACGGAGTGGCGTACGGCTGATTGAATCCAGCTCGTTCCTGAGGGTTCACAAGAGAAGCGTCCTGACTGTCGGGCATCTCGGACTCGTCATGGAGTCTTGAAGGAACACTTGAGCCGTTGGTGTAACCATTAGACAATGGACTGGGTCCGAGCGGTCTAGCGGGCGTGAAGGGAGCCAACATCCGTGGTCCAGGCACATCCTCTCCGAGATGGACTGGTCCAGTAGATTGCTCGGTAATGGTGTTCGAGACATTCGGTGGTATATTTGGCCTGACAATGGGCACTTCATGTCCTTCTTGTTTGGCTGACTCAATTTGCTCTTTCTCGCGAGCCAATTCGCGATTGTACACAGCTTCACACTCGGCAACCAGTACAGGGTTGATCGCCTCAAGATTCATCATGTCGACTTCAACATTCGCCAGCATTTCGTTGGCCTTGAGTGTGCGTTCCTGGTCACCACTGGTCTTTGCGTCTTTGGCAAGTGCTCTAATATCTGTAAGGAAGTCTTTCGGGCGCTTGTAGTATCCGTTCGATAAGCGCTTCTCAATGGTGACAATTTCCAGATTGTAGTATTGCTTGCCAGTCGCAGTTTCATGCAGGACTGTCGTACCCTTTGCGTCCTTGGCTATCTCATAAGGTCTCAGTTGTTGTGCCTGTGTAGGATCCAAATCGGTGGTAACGATGCTTGGGTCTTGCTCGTCGTAGAGATAACCAATAAGACTCTCGTCTACGACAGGGGTTCTGAACTTCTTGTACTTCAGCTTAATCTGGTCCATCACTGGTTGAATAAGCAGTTTGAGGTTGTTCAGTGTGAAGCGGTCCTTCTTCTTCTGCGCCTTGAGCTCTGCCTTGGTGGGCGCCTTCGGTTGTTCCTCCAAGACCGGTGCCTCAGGCAGTGCTGGTAAGATGCGCTTCTTGCGGTTTTCTGGTTGAGGAAATTCTGCAGGTGACTGCCGGATGTAGTTCATTGCTTTGCTGAAGAATTCTCTGCGAGCCGTCTGTACGTAGCCATTAGTAACTTGCAACAACAAGCGGTCAAGAACAAGACTTACCTCTCCAGGTCTATTCAACACAAAGTAGTTCTTTCTTGAACGGCTGAACAGCTCTCTCATCATCTCCTGGTTAGGACTGGCATCACTGGAGCGCAACTCCATCACACCAAGTACCAGGACTGGATCTGTAGGCGCCAAGGTCCTTAAGAGACCATTGAAAGTCTTGATGACCTGCTGGCCCATTGTCTCGTACCAGACATCGATGCTGGGGAGATAGATTACACTAGGTTTGTGGCGCTTTACTTCCTCAAACAACTGAACAACAGCTGCTTCGGGTGACTGCAACATAGTTAGCTCTAATCGAAGCTCCTTACGTTGAAGCCAAACTCACTCTTGTTGAATCCTTGAGTAATGTCGACATGTCAAAGGATTGTACATGAAGCCCTTCGAACTTGGCTAGTAATGCAGCACTAATGTATTGCTGACCCATCCCTTCAAGACCGCTGATGAGCAACCTTGGACGATTGATTCTTGAGCTCTCAAATTCTCGCTGTAGATTCTCCTTTTCGAAACCGTGCTCATCATTCCGGTCATCGTACATGGCCTCTTCCAATGCAGTCGTCGGCTTCTTTTGTGGAATGATATCGTCAATGATAGCCGACACTTTTGCAAGCGCTTCCCTAAGCAGAGGCTCGACGTTTGGTTTCAGCGCCGAGGCACCAGAAGATGCAGATCGCTCAGAGGAAGGCACGATCTTGTTGACAGAGATCATGAAATCCTTGGCTTGAACCCTGATCTGCGAAGGGTCAATGAGTAACTTCTTGTTGCTGGAGTAGATCTGAGGGAAGGTGCCTTGCACGGCATTCAGAGCAGCTTCTGTGCACAGTGAACGAAGATCGGCACCACCGTACCCCTTAGTCAGAGCTGCAAGCTGGTCCTTGAATTCGGGCTTGAGTGGCGGCTCCCATCCTTTAGTATGAATATCGATAATCGCACGACGAGCCTTGACGTTGGGAAGTGGGAAATAGAACTCTCTATCGAAACGACCTGGACGGCGCAGAGCTGGATCGACCGAGTCAGGACGATTGGTGGCACCAATGACGATGACTTGACCACGACCATCCATGCCGTCCATCAGAGCCAGAAGGGTAGCAACAATTGATGCGTGAATTTGCTCTTGCTTGCTTGATCGAACAGGTGCAAGACCGTCAATCTCATCGAAGAAGATGATACTGGGTTGTGTCTTTCTAGCCTCTTCGAATAGCAATCTCAGTTGACGTTCAGCCTCACCAACCCATTTGCTGAGTGCATCAGCACCTTTGCGCATATAGAAAGTGACTTTCTTTCCATGAGCGCTGACACTAGAAGCAAGAGCTCTTGCGAGTAATGTTTTACCAGTTCCAGGAGGTCCGTGGAATAGAACACCGCGAGGTGGTGTGACCTTGAACGTCTGGAAGATCTCGGGATACATGAGTGGAAGCTGAACCATTTCCTTGAGCCTGTCGATATGATCTTCGAGACCTCCAACACCGTCGAAGTTGACGTTCGGATCGACTCCCAATGGATCAGCATCAGCCAAGGCTTTCTTGTCTTTGACTTTTCCGAAGTTGGACAGACCGCCAGCAGTCGAGGCACCAGCATCGGCATTGTGTGTTTGTGGGAAGAGGCCAGCTGCTGTGCCAGCGGTGGGCGTCATGCCTACAGCGCCGCCGACACTTGCTCGAGGCATTTTCTGAACCATGTCGTCGTCGCTACTGTCAGAGTCGGCCCCACCAGCAGCTTCCGCACCTTCACCTCCGAATACAGGCGCAGGACCACCAGCACCACCGAAAGGACCAAGAGTCGAAAACAAAGACCTCCAAGGTCCAGCTGCACGACGAGGTCGTTGTGATGTCGTTGGTGCTACTGCTTCTTCCTCGTCCGCTTGATGAATTTCTGGTCTGAAGATACGGTAATCAGGTCTGTTGCTTCTGTTGCGCAGAGTCGTTCCCTCGAAAACAATGTCATGGTGCCTGTTTCGACGAGGCCGCTTGTTACGACGCCTATCTTCTTGCAACTCGTCGGCTTCAGCGTCAACCTCATCTGGATCGAGTCTTTCATCTTCCTCTGAGGACTCGCGCGAACGCTTTGTAGCAGTACGTCGAGAGCGTCTGAGACGGCCACCACCACTACTGGAATCATTGTCACTCTTCTGGTTCTTCTTAGGTGAATCTTGCAGTTCGTCGGCACTGGAAGCTTCTTCACCACCAGAAGCTGGAGGTTCAAAATCGCTACTAGCTTCACCTTGAGATTTCCGAGTTCGCGGTCGGAGTCGTCGTTGCTCGCGATCTCGCTGTGGTGGACTTTCGGGCTTTTGCTGTGACTGGTCGGAGAGGTCAGACGCGACCGAACCTTCTAACAGTGTCACTTGGCTTACCCTAGCTTTGCGCTTGTTCTTATTGATTGGACCCTCGTCTTCATCATCTTCCTCTCCTTCGGCGTCAACATCCTCTTCAGCCGGCTCTTGATCAACCATTTGCACATCTGAGACGAAAGGAGAAGCAGCATCGGCTGGCGCGTCTTCCTCTTCTTCCTTGGGTGCAGGCTCAGCATACTCGCGCAATTCTCTGTCAAAAGATTCGGGAACTTCGCCATAATCCTGTGAGGCGGGAATTTCTTCTTGAGAAACCTCCATGATCGCGCTGACGCTAGGTGGTGGCTTTTTGTGGCCCTTGCTCCTTGTACTCCTAGCGGATTGCAGCTGAGGATCAGGTGTGAAGGATGCTTGACGAGCACCTTGCGCGTGGGCATGCTTGCCAGAATCACCAAGGGCGAACAACGGCTCCTGTTGTTGAGAGGCACGACTGCTACGTCTGGTGGACATACCATAACCCTCTGCAGGTGTTGTACCACGCGCCGAGATTCTGGCACTGTTCGCTCTGGTTGTTCTACGAGGATTGTTCATTTTTTCACCGTCTCTAAGGAGTTCCAACTTTTCTGGCGCAACTCTGAGTTTGACAAGGAGCGATTGTGCGACTGGCGGCGATGGCAGGCGTGCGATAGCGTCGTCGCTTCCCTCAGCGTCTTCGTCGGATTCGGCGTATTGCTTAGGAACACGAGCAGCCTTGCGTTGTCTGCGCCTGCCAGGACCAGGCGAATCCTCCTCTTCCTCCGAGCCCGAACTCTCCTCGATGCTATCTTCTTCAAAAGAACCCTCGTCGTTATCGTCGCTGTCGTCGACAACTCCGTCACTACCGTAGTCGTTTCTTCTTTGACGTTTGCGCGAGGTTTGCGATTTCGACTTCTTGGAACGTGCGCTTCTCACTTTCTTGGGCGATGAGCGCACATGCGCGTCGTCGTAGTCTTCGTCGTCGGAGTCACTCTTGGTGAAGTCTTCGGGACGTCTAAACGAGCGCGGACGCTTGGGCATGGTGTGTCAAGCGGCGAGATGTGAACCGCAGGGTCCAGGCTGCCAGTGTGGTATGGGCAGACTCAGTGTCTCACGAAACGCTCAGAGGGCGATAGTATGCATATATCGATGCCGAAATGTAGATATCGTGGTCCGTCGTCTGTCACGCGTTTGGCTGTATTGGGTCGCGCGTGCGCAGTGCTGGCGTTGCGGCGGACAGTCGAAAGCTCAACCTCGCAATTAAAGTATCAAACAAACGCGACTTCTTTCGCACGACATAGAGCACGCTGATGATGCTCTCTGATAATTTCAAGTCATTAAATGATGGAAACGACGGAAAGGGGAGAAGTGACTTTGGGGTGAGGGATTCAACTTGATACAGCGTCTTGGCGCTCGATACATGCAACGCCAAAATGCCGATTTGCGTTTGATTTCCAAGCACAACCGGATGAACATTCTACAGCGATATTCGTACTAGATATATAAAATCAAGGTCGAGTTAGCTCGTGGCAGCTGTGAGAGACTTCTTTCCTTCGTTCCGCCACCCTCAGGACCTCCCCTGGCCTCAGAATCAAGCAGGCAACATGTCAGAGCATCCAGGAACCATATCTCCCTGCTGCTCCATTCATAGTTCCCGTCGATCATCCCCGCAGATGCCATGTGTCTGAGAGTAGGTTATTTCAACTTCATGGGAGCCTCTGTTATCACGTGATCGACCGAAATCGTGAGTCTAGCGCAGCGCATGTAGAGTCATGTTCAAATCACGATAAATCGGTAAGCATGCAGTTTTCGATGGCATTAATGTTCTTTGTTTCCCGGGAAGTACTGCGGGGTGATGAGAAATAGGTATTTGGGTCGACCCTCTGATTGACCCTCTGCTCTCGTTCACACACCCCGCAGAAACTCCACACATTCTTCTTTCACAGCAATTCTGAACTTGCCGTGTTGCAAGCGTGATGATGGCGTACCTAACGTATATGTTCTTCGTTCATATGTATTGCAGTCAGTGTGTTTGCTTAGACCTCAGAAGCGTGGAATTGAGCAGTGAGGATAATTTCGACATCCCACGACAAAGAGAGCTCACAGCTCATGAATGATAATTCGCTTCTATTGTTTGCTCCAAATGACCGTCTGAAGTGATAATGAAATTGGAAGATTGGAGAATGAGATCAACGCTTAAGCTTGCGTGAGGGCGTGGGTGTAAAGTCGGAGGAGCACAAAACTCGGTGCCGGCAAGCTTTGTGGATGACAACGTTTGTTGAAACTCTCATTATTCATACTATATCTGATCGTGTTTGCTGAACCCGATAATACTTTATGCATCTAGCAAACATTGTAGTTGTCGTCGCAGACTTCGAATGTCTATTGAAATTATCGTACATTTGCTTGCCACTAGATCCAACCATGATCCAGCCTTAGACGCCTCGAAACGCTATGCAAACCGCACGCTTTTTGATCCACCTGTCCCTCGCAAAAAGAAATTCTACTGAATAAGAATGACAGACATAAATCTATATTGGCAGAAGATCTAACCTGTCAACTGTCTTGACCATTTCACATTGAGATGAATCAGCGGAAGCCGGGGATACCAGTGAACTTCTGGCCCTCAGGCAACTTGGGGACACCAAATCCGGTATCAAGGTCCAGGATGATCTTGAGGGCGTTTCTGCTCCTCAGGTAAGGAAGTGGCGCCTTGGCTTCTTGCAATCCAGTTGCAGGCTCGAGGCTGCCACGAGGTCCAAGGTCATGCTCCTCACCTGGAAGAGGGAGGAGGTTCTGGAGAAGTTCGTAACCAGCGAGAGTGAAACCAAACTGAGGCGAAGAACGAAGGATACGAGCGGGTCCTCCCTTGAAGAAGGCACGGAAACCTTCTTCTTGCCAAATGGTCTTGGCGCAGTGACGGAGCGATGTGTACTGAGTTTCTCCCTTGCGGGCTTCTACTTGCAGACGAGTCTTGATGACATCGCAAGGAGTGGTCAGGTAAGCCGCAGGCATACCAGCAATAGCACCTGCAGTCAAGAGTTGCACGATACCTAAGGTGCTCTGTTAGAATCTATATGAAGCCATGATGTACGTGTCGACTTACCAAGCTTTTTGTTGGGACCTTCACCGAAGTAGTCCTTCTTGAGATGGTTGTATGTGGGGAAGTAAATGGCAGAGAAGGGGACATCACGCAACAAACATGCGCTAGCACCCTTGTAGAGACCAACCAGACCAAGGTTGCGGACGATCCACATGGCACTTCTCTTCTCGACGGCCTTTTGTGACTTGGCGACCTCACCCTGAATCTGCAGACGAATCTTGACAATCTCAAGAGGGTTGGTGAAGATGACCTGACAAGCACCAGCGGAACCACCAGCAATGATCTCCCAAGGCAGTTTGATCTCGCCAGTTTTAGGGTCTGATGCCTTTCCTCTGACCAAGTCGTTGACTGTCAGCTTGATAGCCTTCTCAGGAGCTACACCAACAAGCTGAGGTAGAACACCCGAGTACAGACCTCTCACACCCTCGTTGCGGATGACCTTGGAGAAGCAGTCGATGGAGTTCTTGTAAAGAAGCTGACCTACACGAGCCTTACGCTGGTTCTGCATGCGGGTCTTGACCAAATCAATGGGGTAGACCATGAAAGCACCAAAAGCACCAGCAAGAGAACCAAGTGCGAAGTGATGTGCGGACACGAGGACATCGTGGAAGAATGATTTTGACTTGGAGACAACGGCGGCGGCAGTATCGGAGGCAGCACCAGTTGCGGCGCCATAGACGGTATGGTGAGACGCCCAAGAAGCATCAAGGACACGTGCGAAGTCGGAGACTCCGAGACGACCAGAAGGCTGGTCCAGGCTGGCGAAGTGGAAGAGAATATCAGCCTCCATAGGTGTGAACAACGAGAAGCGAGTGATGCGAGCGGCCTCGTTCAAGAAGTCGGTACGAGTGATCTTGCCGTCCTCGGTCTTTCCTACAGCATTGCGAATGACCAATTCGACAAGGTCCATGTCGCGGATGATGTTCTGGAAAGCGCGCACATTGGCGTACGAGATGTGACTGCCAGGTGAGATGTTGCAGAGAGTCTGAAGGTTGGAGAGAAGGTGGTCGGAAAGCTTGTGGGAAGCAGTTTCACGAATGATGCGCTCGAACTCTTCAGGGTTAATGTAGCCGTCGCCATTCTTGTCGAAGTGGTGGAAAGCTTGTCTGATTCTTTCTCCTTGCAGACCACGCAACATCTGGGCGAACTGCGGGTAGGTCATGCTGTGCCTGTTCTTGCGGTCGCCAACATATAGAGAGGCCCATGTTGAGTTCCAATCGAAGGGGATATTATCGGGAGAGCGATTGCGAGCGTAAGCTTCCTTGAACGAGTTGAAGTCGACAACACCAGTCTCGGAGTCACAGAAGAGACGGAAAGCAATCTCGTACTCGGCATCGGGCTTTGCTAGGAGGTTGTTGAAGGTAGCCCAGTCGGAGAGGGTGACACGACCAGTCTTGCGGCGGTCTGCGACTGAGAAGAGAACTGCATACTGGGCGCGCTTGATTTTGTGCTGATTGAGGTTAGCATTGGCAGAGACAAAGAAGCTCAAAGCAAAGGGATGCGCACGTAGTCTTCAGACTCGGGAGCGATGGCATTGACAAACTCCTCTTGACCCATGTAGTAGTCACCAGACTCGGGATCGGTTTTGGCATGTTGCATGAACTCGGCACGCATCTGGGACGAGAGCTGCGGCTCATCTTCAACGCCGAGCAGCGTCTCCTTGACCGACTCTTTGAGGGCGGCGGTGGTGGAAGCCATGACTGCGAGATGTGATTTGGGAATACCAATACACTTGGGTACCTTCCAAACAGACCGAGGGACGATGACAGCTGGAGAGCGGGCAGCGAATTCGGCGTCACTCTCAGAAGGATCCGGGGACGCACGGTCAAGACGGCGATCCTGGGTATATTGTACGACAACGGTACGGGTAGGAAAGTGAGGAGTATGGGACAGGGAGCCTCAAGCGATCAAGCGAGAGACAAGACAATATCAAAGATAGGAAACACACGACGAGCGAAACAGGGGCACAAAGTCTTGATTCAGGGAAAAAACTCGAATGTTATGACAGGCCAATTCGGGCCGCGGTACGACGACTGGCGACTCAACGGCAGGCTGCTGAGCGACTGTAACTTCAGCCGAATAATTATCTGCTGCGGCAAACGCGGGCTTTGACCTTGTTAAACTTTCCTGGGGGTGTCTGGTCGAACCAGAGAGGCTCGCATAGCAGTGAGTCAAGAACGAGTCAGAACAGTGACTACGAGCTCGCCCCCTGGAGTTCTGCTATCCGGCAGAAGCTGACTAGAAGGCGGTGAGACGGCCAGCTCGGGCCCGACAAGGCCAACGCTGGCAGAATACAGTACATGCATCATCCGTCATTCAAGCAGTCACTCACCAAACACTCCGAACAGCAGCCATCTCGACACACAAACATGGCGCAACCAGTGGAGCAGAGCCCCTACTTCACCGAGCGAAGAGCAAACGGCGCTCTCATCGTGTCAGACGCTCCTAAATTCGACCTGGAGAGTTACGCCGCCAACTATGACCGTATGTCTAGATCTGTCTACCACCGTTCTTGCCATAGCTAACACACGACACCACAGAACACACTCGAGTGAACCGTCTCAGCAACATTGCCCATCTGTGTCCGCCGCTAGCCCTCGATGCCCTTCACTTGGCCATCCCCGCATCTAAGAACGCAAAGGACACCCAGCAATACCTCGATCTTACAAAACTGCTTCATTTGATCAGCCCTGACGACGACCTGGCTGAAGTCGACACCGCATGGGTCGAAAAAACCAACAAACTGAACGAACATGAGACGGAACGCCTGGAAAACGAGCTTCGCGGCTACAAGAACAACCTCATCAAGGAAAGCATCAGAATGGGTCAGGAAGACCTGGGCACTCACTTGCTTAACATGAATAGGCTGGACCAGGCAACAAAGGCCTACCATAAGATGCGCGAGTTCTGCACCACTCCCAAGCACATTGCCGAAATGACCCTCAAGTTGGCATACATTAACATTGTTACTCCCAACTGGATCTCGGCTGTCTCATCGGCTCAGAAGGCCCGCTCGCTGACCCTTCGTCCTGAGGACAAGCCTCGCTTCGACTCTGTTTCACAAGCATGCACTGGTCTGGGTTACCTTGGCTCCGGCAACTACGCCCCTGCCGCCTATGCCTTTTTGGCAGTCGACCCCTCATACGCCAGCGTTGGCCCCGTCGCAAACATCGATTTCTCCCGCGCCGTCATGACCGCCAACGACATAGCTGTATACGGAGGTCTCTGTGCTCTAGCTTCCATGGACCGCCAACAACTCCAAGACTCGGTTCTTGAAAACGCAAACTTCCGCAATTTCCTCGAACTCGAACCTCACATTCGTCGCGCAATCTCCTTCTTCTGCGGCGCAAAGTACAGCCAGTGTCTAGCCATCCTCGAAGCGTACCGTAACGACTACTTGCTCGATATCTTCCTTGGCCCTCACGTCAACATGCTTTACCAGCTTATCCGCAGCAAGAGTATTGTTCAATACTTTGTTCCCTTCTCACAAGTCACCCTCTCAGCTCTGACAGAGGCATTCCCCCGACCAGGCGGTACACCCCAGATGATGGAGGCAGAGCTGGTCGATATGATCCAACGCGGCATCCTCAATGCCAGAATTGACACAGTGGACCAACTGCTTATTGCACCGCCAAAGGACTCTCGCGCCGATGCCCATCGCGGTGTCATTGAGACTGCTGACGAGATTGAACATCTCTTGCGTCTCAAGTTGCACAAGATCAACATGGTCCAGGCTGGTCTTGAGATCCAAGCTCCAAAGACATCAAAGGGACCAAAGAATCCTGTTTCTTCGTCTTGGGGACCTGGTCAGACGCTTGGTTGATAAATCGAGCCCAAAAGAAGGGTTCGAGAAATTTCTACACGACGGCATGAAAACTTTTTAGCAGGGACAGGGATACAGGGGTTTGCTCTTTGATACATCATGCATAGCTCGAGGCGTTTATAAAGGCGAGAAGGACGATGAGACGAGAGGGTAGAGTGTCTCGATTTTCGTCCTCAACTTTCCATTTTCTGTAAATTCAACAACAGTCGGTCTCAACATCAAGAATCTGAGTCACACAAGCAATGTGGTTAATATGTTTGACTGTATAATTCTCGTTCCTATCCAGTGATTTCTGAGCGAAAGGAACCAAACCAGGAAAAAACGCCGTCCTGTGACCCGTAAATGCTCCCGAAAAGCAAAACCTGCACACCCAGTGGGTATCGTGTGCCATCGAAAAGGAGCCAAAAACCAACCACCCAAAAACACCAAACAAATCAGGACGCGCCTAAGCAAGAAATGGTCAAAAAAGACTAATAATCTCCCTCTCCAAAAAGCTCGCCTGCTTCACGGCAGTATCTCGCTTCGCCTGCTCCTCCTCTGCCACCAGTCTCGCTCGCCCAACAGACAACGCTAGCATCTACCACACCACCGATAACGCCTTCGATAGCTCCAAGGACTGCCCAGCCAATCGTGGCTGCAATCAGGCCTACGATGTATGCGTAGAGACTGCCCTTGAAACCACCACCAGCTAACTGCACGTTTCGTGCTGTAGACACCCATCCGCCAAAGCCAAGAGCGAATGACATGATGAAGCGAGTCGCGTGGAGCAATAGCTTGGCTAGACGGTACGGCATCATGGTGCCGCCAGAGCCTGGATGTGCCGCGAAGACGGAAGGGTTGAGTGTAGTTGTAGGCGAGGTGTTGGAGACAAAGTGTAGCTGCGACAAGCCTCTAGCACTGATGCTCAGAGACTGAGAGTGAATGGCAGCGTAGGTCAGTGTCAGGGGATTGGTAAGGGCAGCGAGCGAAGTCGGGACCATGGAGAAGGCACAAAGGGTTACAATGCTAGCAATGCGACGAGGAAGGATGATCAGGGGTAGCCGGATCAGCAGCGACAAGAAAGTGGATAGGCAAATCGTGCCGAGCATTGGTCCCGTCGCATGCATGAAAGAGGCTCGTACGACTGTGGTTGACGACGGCGCGGGAACACTTAGACGGTGGAAGTACCACTGCGAGACAGTAGCAGCAGTTGTTGCCCTCTGCACACCAGCGATTATGCCCAGAGTCCAAAGGTAGACCATAACAAAGAAGAAGCCCAACCACCAAGTGTTGAGATCAATGATAAAGGTCTGAAGCTTTGACATATGTCCACCCAGGAATAGTCTTGTGAACATGCCCATCCAGATCCAGGTGAAGCAGACCACGACGCCCAGCGTGCCAAATCCCAGCAAAGTCAGACTTGGAGAGGCTGTTACGATACGGCATGCGAATTCGAGTATGCCAATTGCTTTGCCGAACGAGTGACGACCCTTGTAAACCGAATACACCCAGACACAAGCGATGATCGATGGGATGAAGGAGAACCAGCGCATAACCTTGTCCTGGACGCTGCTTCCATGCCAAGCGCCTTTATAACTTGAGATGAACGGATACAGTGAGAAGGAGAACAGGATGACGGGAACTGAAACAAGCATTAGGAAGACCAAAACTCGCACGTACTCGCGAAGAAGGGCCAACCAGAGCATTGCAACAATCACGGTTATTACTGTGTCCCAGAGCAGAAGGTTGATGGAAGACGTCAGGGCAGAGTAGATAGTATCACCCAGAGGCTTCTTGGAGTTCGGCGAGGAAGTATGGAACCAGACCAATATGAAGGTTGCAAACATGGCAAAGACGCAGATCTTGTACAGCTGAGACCAGAAGACATCATGGCGGGGTGGCTCGGGTGCTGGGAGGATGACTGTCGGCGGGACACTATCGCCGTCCGGACTAGGCGGCCTCGGATGAGCAAAGGCTACTTCTGGATCTGTTTCTTGCGGAAGAAAGGTAGATTGTCGAGGAGGCAGTGAAGGCTGGAAAGTCTGGAAAGCAGGTGGGCGAGCGTCGAGCTCTCTGTCGATGCTATCAAAATCCGAATATCCATCGTCGTTATCGGTAGAGCCAAGTTCAACATCGACCATAGCAGACTTTTGCTTCGAAGCCGAAAGACTAGGTCGTGAAGCGACTTCTGAAGACTCGAGGGTGTGATCTTCAAGCTCAGACGACTCGGTGAGGTGGCTGGGGATGAAGTTGCGGCGAGACCTTTGTAAAGCTAGATAGTCTGCCATCTCGCGCTCGTGTTGTGTCTCTGCGTCTTCCTGGTCGATGCCCTGGAACAGCGGCACGTGGTCGTCATGTCGCGGGCGAGAAGCAAATGGAAAGCGAGATAGATATGAAGCTGAGGCCGATGGCTGATAAGGCGTAGGCATCGGGGTGCGCTGGACGTAACGAGAGGACGAGGCAGGTTGACGTCGGCGATCGAGAGGATTGCGGGAGCGGGCATCTGGGTCGGCTTGAGTGAAGGAGAGACGACTTTGGGATTGGGCCAGGAAGCGCGAGGCATCTGATGTATGTCAGTCACGCGGTGTCGTGTGCACGTCTGCCGCATCGATGGACTCACATTCAGAAAACATGACGGGCAGCGGCAGCAGCACCTAGCTAGAGCTGCCCGATGAATGATAATGAGATACGGACCGAGTCGAAATGAATAGTCAAAGCCGTAGGTTGGAGATGTAGGGAGTTGCGGCGGGTCGATCTTGACCGAACTCGACGATGACAACGGCGATAAGGACAAGATGGAGAAGGTGACGGCGGGGTCAGATGTGGGCCGGACAAGAAGGAGCCCCTCGAGGTTGTTCAGCACCGACAGAGACTCCTCCAAGGTTGTAGATTATAGGAGTACGGTATGTTGTTGGTCGGATGCAGGCAGCAACGGGATTATTCTCAATATCCACTAAGGTCGTCTAAATGACGTTTCGGGAGTGTCCAGGCGGTCTTGTAGCTTGTGACAAAGACTCCAACACGTGCCCACTTTTAACAAAATTCAAAAATCAGACAAAGCAGAAGGTAATCCTCAGAAGATGCTTGTTAACGATATCAGACAGAACCCAGTATGTCTCTGAGCATCTCCGGGTCAAGGACATGTGCAGACATGAGTCGGTGACGGGGTCCTGGAGTCCATGTCTGACCTGAAACGCCCGCATGCGGATTCACTCAATGGACCGTGCTCTAAGAGCCGTCTTAACGCCGAGTGCTGGATAATTGCGGAGGCTGGAGCTCCCTGGTTGAGAGTGGTGGCTTGACGCTTTTTAGAGGACAGATAGTTGCACCTCCCTCTTTCTCTTGATTGACGAGTTTCGGAAGCAAAGACTTGCGTCAATCATGTCTGCACCACAGCGACAAGCCGACCAGGGCTCTGACTGGGTGGTCAGAAACCCCGTCGCATACTGATAGTCCTCCAGCAGCTCGGCTAACACTTTTGCAGTCAACCGCAAAGTCGGTCGCCCAGACTGTTGGTATCTTCATGTTTGTCAATTTCGCTATCAAGCAAGTTACCGGAGGTGTTCAACAACAAAAGCAAGCCGAAAATGCTCCTGTTCCCACCGTCGCCGCTGGCACCGGCCAACAGGCTCCTGGTTCCTCATACAGTGCCATTCCCAACATGATCATGCCTCTATGGCAGCAAAACACTTCCATGGACATCAACATGTATGTCTCGCCGTCCTTCGTAATGCCCGCTCTCAGCCATATGCCTGCCGAATCTCTGGTCCTTCAGGAGCGTAACTACCACTATGGAGACTGGTCCGACAAGCGTCAAGTACATACTACCATCAAGATCCCTCAGTCGGTGCAAGAGAATGGAACACTCTGGGCCCATATCTATATCTCCCAGTCGGGAAGTGTCATGGACCCAACTCTGCCCGGCTACGATTCCTTCAAGGCTTACCGCGTTACTCGACCCCTGACAAACTACCTGGCCAAGAAGAAGGTTCACAAGACTCGCAACCTACTCGATTCCTCTGACGCCGAAGAAGAAGTCGACGAAGAGCCTTCGGGTCCTGTCATTTCGAACTTCTACCACCCCAACTTCACTCTATCTATCATTCCCAATGTCGGAACTCCTGTCTACGCCCAGATGCACCCAGCAATGCGCCAATTCGTCTCCCTGGAAGCAACTGGTGCCCGTGACGAATCTGGTCAGAACGGCTGGTACTACCCCGTGCTCTATCTAAACACCTTCTGGCAGCTCCGTTCTCAGATGACCGAGCTCAACTCGACCGTCAAGGAGATGCCCCTCAACCTCGACCTGCAGACTGATCCCAACTGGAAGTTCAGCGTCATGGCAAGCATGGACGAGGGTATGAAGGAGAATGCTAGGAAGATCGCTCGTGGAGAGACTACCCCTGGGGGTGGTGACGGCAGTGAACTTGAGATGATCAAGGAGGTACTTCTCGATACTAACATGTACCTCCTCGGCCTCACTGGTTTCGTCAGTGTCTTGCATATGATCTTTGAGATGTTGGCATTCAAGAACGATGTGCAACATTTCAGAAAAAAGAAAGACAACATTGGAACCTCAGTTCGCACCATCCTCGCCAATGTCTTCATGCAGAGTGTTATTTTCCTGTACCTGATGGACAACAACGAAAACACTTCCTGGATGATTCTGTTTGGTCAAGGTATGGGCATCGCTATTGAGGCTTGGAAAGTCACAAAGGCTGTTGATGTCCGTGTTCGTCCTGCTCCCGAAGGCTCCCTGATCCCTTATCGCGTTGTCTTTGAGGACAAGCACAAGCTTTCCGACGCCGAGAAAAAAACTCAAGAGTACGACGAGATCGCTTTCCGCTACTTGTACATGGTCGCAGTCCCGCTTCTTCTCGCCTATGCTGGGTATTCGCTCGTCTACGAGACTCACAAGAGCTGGTACAGCTTCATCATTGCCACTCTCGTTGGCTCTGTCTACGCATATGGTTTCCTCATGATGGTGCCCAGCTTGTATATCAATTACCGCTTGAAGAGTGTTGCGCACATGCCTGCAAGGGCAATGACCTACAAGTTCCTCAACACCTTCATTGATGATCTGTTCGCCTTCACCATCAAGATGCCCACACTCCACCGCCTGGCAACCCTGCGCGACGATGTCATTTTCTTCATCTATCTCTACCAAATGTGGAGATACAAGGTCGACCACACTCGTGTCAACGAGTTCGGTCAGGGCGGTGATGACGAGGAGGTCGAGGAGAAGAAGGCCAACCAGCCCTTGAAGTCTGCACCTGAAGAGGATGTAGCTCCTGTCAAGACCGAGGCCTCGACCTCTGGCGCTCAGAGCAAGGCTGGTGCTTCGAGAAAGAGAAAGTAGATTGTGCATCCCCATTAGAACATATATCGGGCATTGTTTGTGCTATGTAGCAGTTTTCATATACCAACTCGAGAATTTGCCGTCATTTGTACATAATCTCATATTCAGCAATCAGTGACGGTCGAGTTGCAGATCCACCTACTCCCGTCCCCTCGGTCGCAATCCTTCCATACTTCCATCTTGACGTTCACGACCACCAAAACTTTAATCGGAATATTCTTGAAACCCATGCCAAATGTCTTCTATTCTAGACCCCATCGATACAGAAGGTAATGTTTGATACGTTACAACAAAGAGTTCAGATTGTACTGATATTGAGAGAGTGTCTCGTGCAGAGAACGACCAAACCCAAGTCGACATAATCTGGCACAACATGTATGCTCCCAGCACCTTTGTGACTTGGAGAAAACAATCCATCCGTTCTGTTGAGCAACTCCTCATCGACTTTACAAATCTAGTCGATAAAGGTGTTTTTGGTGTTATCAGTTTGAGTGTCAGCAAGGCTTCTTTTGTTGCTGTTGTCGCTTGTGAGAAGAGTTGGGAAGAGATCCAGGAGAGGATTTTGGAGGCGACGAGGTAAGAAGGCGAAATAAGATCATTGAGATGAAGCCTTGGAATAGGGTGAATTGAATCTTTGTAAAAAGGACTCGCGAGATAGAATGCAAAATTTCCAAAGTTCCGGTTCCTCTCCCTGACTGACTGACTACCCTGTTTCTATGCTAAAGCTGTTTCTTCTTCTGGTTTGGCTTCTCGTTGACGGTCATGTATCGTACACGCTTGCGACTTGCTCCCTCACCTCATGTGTAAGACAGACACATGCTCCTCGATTATCAGTTGAATTTGGGGCTTCACCTGCACCTATCAACTCCTCTCCCTCAAAAGCGAGAATCTTATGCCTTCTTGGCAATGGTTCTGCGAGCCTTGACTGTTGCGTTGTAAAGAGCATCCTTGAATGCGAACAGGAAAGCTGCAGTGATGACGCTCTGAGTAACCTTGGGACCAATGCCTAGAAAACGGTTAGCATCAAGTAGTAAATTCTTCTAGAGTATAAAACTTACCTCCGTAAAGACCAGCCCAGCCCTCCTCACGCAAGATCCTTGAGAAGCTATCGAACATGCCCTCCTTCTCGCCACTGGCAACGTGGGCTCTAGACTTGACAGTGATGTAAGGGTAAGTGATGGTGGTGGCTGCGAGCTTGCCCAAAGCTCCGAGGTAGAAGCTGTCCTTGGGTGTGACACGACGACGCTTCTCAACAGACTGTTTCAGCTGCTCGAAAATGGTGTATTGGAGGATAGGGTTGATGACCAGCACAAGAGCTGGCAACACACCCGCGAAGAGTCTCATGAAGCCTTCATCCTTGATGATGGACAGAAGCGTGCCAATGGTGCTGGGGCTGAGCTTCTTGGGCTTTGCTCCTTGCTCGGTGGGCAGAGCACTCTCATCGCTCTCGTTCTTGCGGGCTGTCATGCGAGTGTTGACGACCCAGATGGGGTTGGTGATGAGCACGGTTGCGCTTCCAGCAATCGCACCAGCGATCATGCTCTCCAATGTGCTGAGCTTGCTAGCGTTGGGACGGTTGGCAGCCTTTGCAGCCTTGATGAAAGCAGCACGGGTCCATTCGTACCAGTAGTAGTAGACAAAGTTGGTAACACTGATGCCGAAAAGAGCAGACTCGAGACCTGCGTAAAGACCGCGAACACCTTCGCGAGCGATGATTTTGCGAGCTGCTGCAAGCACGTTGGTGTCGGCTTTCTTGGATTCGACTTGAGCGCGTGTTGACAAAGTGATCAGAGGGTACGTCAGAGCCATGGAAATGAGACCACCACCAGAACCAGCCAGAGCATGGGCGACATTGTCAGACTGTTGAGAAACTGCATCCGGAGGAGCAGTGGCAGTCGACTTCTGCAGCTCGTCCTTGACAGCAGCGGTTTGAGACATGATCAACAGGTGTGTGCGTGTGTGTGAAGCGGGAGCTCAAGGAACTACACAGTAGGGGTTGTTGTTGCTTCTGGAAGGTAACAAAAGGTATTGTTGAATGTTTCAGGGCTACAGCAAAAGTTTCGAAAATTGGACAATGGAATGAAGGAAGGGAAACCTCTTATGCCTGGATCAAGTTATTGTATCCAGCTGCGTCAGGTGTAGCTTTTACCTTGGAGAGGGTCAAGAAGCCGAGGTTGCATTCCCCACCATGTGAACGAACTAGATCGGCAACTATTCTGCGTTTCTTGACAAAACTCTTGTCAATAGTCTGTTAAGTCTTGTAAGGTTGAAGCAGGATAATAATGCTACATGGCTACATATCCAGTGATAATCGAATAACACTATGTTGATTTGGGCTCACAATTGCTACAAGATTCAGTTGCTGTACCATTTGAAGATTCTTGCACATGCAATGTGGTAATGATAGGGCTACAGGAAGCAGGAGCTACCACGACTTTTGGCTGCATATCTCACAATTCCAGATCGTCCACGGCCAGAATCAGTCAATTGACCCGTTATTCGAACCTCTCGCCCACACCAAAAGCCGACTAAGTTGGACGTCACGTCTTGAAACCGGAAGCCAGTGTCCATCAACTTCACCCTCGGCCTCGACGTTTGTTTTTCATCGCTGGTCTTCCTCGGCCCCTGGCCACCCGGCGTCCTTCGGGTACCCTCCCTGGGTCCTTGACACTCTCTAAGCTGTAGCTTCCGAGCTCGGAGGCGCTACAGACTTTATCGACGAGACAAGTCGAGAAAAAAAAGACTTGCGCACAGAGATATGTCTGAAGAGATGATGGAGAGCGCTGGCAGCTCTCCAGCCTCATCACAAGCTCATGGAGGCAGTCTAGGCCATGACTACGACATGGAGTCTGCTAACGCGACGCCCAACTCGCTCTTTACTACTGGTGCTGCTGATGGCGACATGCCAAATGATTCGACTTCTGCATCCCCAAGACATGTTGTAACGCTGCCTGCGCGACCATCTGCACCGCTTACTCAACGTGCTTTGCCTAGCCGCGACGTGTCCGAAGAGACTATCGTCGATGCATATGTTGCGTTTATCCTGTACTGTAATCCGTATTTTCCGCTGGACATCGATACTTCTGACTTGAGACGCATCTTTCAAACGCCACCTCGTAGCGATGGCAAAGATTTCAGTATATTCACATTGTGGGGGCTCGTACAAAGGTTCGACAACAAGGACATCAAAACGTGGACACAACTAGCCTTAGAATTGGGTGTAGAGCCTCCATCAGCAGAAAAAGGCGGTAGTGTCCAGAAGGTACAGCAGTACTCTGTCAGGCTGAAGGTCCGTTCTATAGTCTCCTAGTGTTCAGAAGTTCACTCCAGCTCACATTTGATCTAGCGCTGGATGCGGGCAATGCATGTCGACGCCTTCTTCGAGTATCTGCTTGGTAAGAAGCATTCTTACTATCTGGACTTACCACCACCGCATGACCCACACCCTTCCAGGGGGCGAGACGGAGTGCCAGCTGATGAAGATCTCGCCATCAGAGCGTTGGATCCTTCGTTTCGTCCTAAGAGAGGTCGAAAGAGAAATGAGACGCCAGAGAAAGATCCCACTCCTCAAAAAAAGCCTCTACTCACAACTTCCTTCTCTTATGAAGGTCGAGTCCTCTATGCTCAGCCTCAGGCATCATATACCGCATCTGCAATCCCGTTGAGTGCTAGACCTTCAGAAAACTTCGCTAATGATATGTGGACACCACCGAACTCTACTTCAAGACGACCAATTCCACATTCCGCAATAGCTGCTCGACCACCGCAACATCTTCAATGGCCGGTGGAAGGGCCTCATGATACGGCCACGACTCCACATCCCATGTCAGCCCTTGAACCCAGAGGACCAGGCTTGCCAGCATATGACGAGCCGATGTCGGCCATCACTCCAGGATCTTCTCGCGGCAGATCACGTAGAAAGCATGGTCCTGCAGTTTCTTCTGCTTGGACGACCGCAAACGCAACAAATGCTAGAGCTCGAGGTAGGCCCCCAGGCAATCGATCAGTTCAGGACGGACCATACACCACATTCCCAGCAGATCCAAGCGCCGAGAGATCGGCATCGCAGAGAAGTACTCCAGCTGTCTCTTTGATGCCGTACGATACTGAATCGCATCTGCTGCGTCCCAATGCCTACACAAAACCACTGCACAAACCTGTTTTCATGATGTCCAAGCCGGTGGATGATGATGCACCACCGCGTCGACCTGAACGTGGACGCCTATCTTTGCAAGTGCCTGAAAATACTGGTGGTCCGATACAACCTGCCACACCATCAGTGGTTGCGAACGAAGAGTTTGGCCGCGCATCAGAAGATCTCATGCCAATGGATACTGAGCCCACAATCTCCAGTTGGCCAGAGCCACAAGCTCGGCCGACCTCACATACCCCTGCCTCGCGCCAGAGCCAGAATCCTGAGCCTGAAGTAGGCCTTGCATACGAGGCTCTCAAGCGGGTTCTCGCCGCCGACCTCCTTCGTGCAGACTTCTCTGGCAGATCGAGCAGATTGCTAGGACCTGAAGCGATGCGCTTGTCCGATGCGATTCTTCAAAGGTTTGGCATACCCAAGGCAGATTCTGACAACAAAAGAGATGATGCCCTTCGTATTGCGGCCACGAGCTGGCTTGGTGTATCACGACAACTCGGCTTTGACTCTGCTAATCCATGTAAGGAGAAGGAGATCACGGTGCAAAGGTTTGCAATCAGAGCCAATGGTCTTGAGGAACAGATCGGCCCAGACGAACACGCAGAAAGAGTCAAAGAGAAGTTCGATGTCAGTTGGTCTGCTGGTTTTGGTGGCGTGGGTGGCAAGTTTTGTGTTGTCGGACTCGAGATCGAGCCGGAAGAAGTGGATCCGAACGATGCAGAAGCTCGCGCGCATGAGATGATTAAGGAGGTTGCCAATATGAAGGAGTCTGAGATTGACTACAAGGCAAAGTACATGGCCCTTGATTTCACGGTCAGACTCATGAAGGGTCAGCTGAACAGGTTGCAAGACAAGGTGCTGGACGCTTTGTTGTAAATGCATGTATAATGACATAGCTTTTGACATAAATGAAGAGAAATGGATGCCACTAGGGTCGTACTGGATCGTAATCTCAGCAGTCCAATCCAGCCCGCATGATGAACGATTTGGAAATGTTTGCCTAACCAAGTTACCAAGATGTTGGCTCAGGTCCGGGCTGCCCAGCTTGGAGTTGGTGCCGCAGTTGCATCCTTCTCCCACGGCTTCTTGCGTCGAGGGGCTTGTGCTTGGGTTCCCTGGCCTTCCAGAATGGTATCAGGGATGTCCTTTATACCAGGTATCGGCTTGCCCTCTGCAATCAGCGCACATATCTCGGCAAACGAGGCTGGCGGAGGAGCATCCCCCATAGAAGGTGGATGGGCCGGTTCAGTAGACAATGCCGCCTGAGGCTCTGCAGCAACTTGATTTTGAGACTCGAGCCAGTTTTGATAGGCTTCGAAGTTGACGGGTACTTTAAATTTTCTACAACAAAATATAAGAATGAGATTGAGACAGCAAATACGGCGGAACGTGTCACCTTGTGTAGTAGTAACAACGAGCTCGCGTGGTCAAATGTGCAGTTTGCTCGGGAGTCTCTGCAGACCTTAGAATGGACGCAAGAGCAGTTTGGAAGTCTTTGTCATGATCCCAGTCATAATTGTCCAGCTGCTGGAAGACAGCGGTAGTATCACTCGACAACTGTGGTTCTGCCATGTTGGCTTCTTTTGTCCGTGTGACAGAGGGGCAGGGTTGGTAAGTGACGATGGATAACAGATGCGAGAGGTCCGTGCACGTAGCAGTGAGTTGGTGGTGCTGCATGGCAGTTTGGTAAGTTGCTGCTGCTCCTTGTCTCAAGCACCCAACTTGTTCTTCTTCCACCTGCATTTCTTCTTCTTGCCTGACTATACAGCTTAGGCTGCTATTCATACGTCGCCATGTCCGAATTCATCGGGTGCGCACGCCCAATCGAGTCCTGCCGTGTAGCAAGCTAGCTAACACTGAGGACAGATCGCGCATCTCTCTCATCTCCAAGAGCGACATCAAGTGAGTGCTGGCGCAGGCCATTCAGTTCAGTAAACTGACTGTCGTTTGCGCAGATACGTCGGAACACTACACGAGATCAACTCGGAGAACTCGACAGTCGCTCTCGAAAATGTCAAGTCATTCGGTACCGAAGGCCGTCGCGGCAACCCAGACGACGAGATCCCACCCAATGACCAGATCTACGACTACATTGTCTTCCGTGGAAGCGATGTGAAGGACCTGACCATTGTCGAGCCTCCCAAGGAGAACAAGCCTCAGCCTCCTCAGATGCCCAATGACCCCGCCATCCTTGGAGTAAGTTGCTCACCACCGCCCACCACACACTCTTTCGCTTTGATGAAACATTCCGGATGTAAACCTTTGTCAATTTCCGAGAGCGCAAAACCAAGTGGACACTTTCCGTTGCCTTCCTTCTGAGCCCCTACGCCACTCTACAGCTTCCACCTGCCAATACAAGACCTGACGCTGACATGGACTTCGTAGGCTGCAAGACCCCACGGTGCACCTGGAGCCCCTCAAGCACCATCATCCGGTCCTCAAGGCGCTTTCCCTCAGCCCAACCAGCAGCAACAACAGCAGTGGCGCGGTCCCCAAGGTCCTCAGGGCCCTCAACAACCCCCACCTTTCCCTCCATACGGTTACCCTCCTCCACCCCAGGGCAACTCTCGCTTCGGTCCTCCTGCTGGTCCTCATGGCTTCCCCAACGCTCCACCTCAGTTCTACGGTCCCCCTCCTCCAGGCTGGTTCCCTCCTCCAGGACAGGGCTTCCCTCAAGGCCATCCCGGACATTTCCCTCCTCAGCCCATTGGTCCCCCTGGCCAACAGCCTCAGGCCCAACAGCAGAGATCTTCTGATGCACAAACACCTGCTCCCTCCAAGAAGCAGCCCGAGTCCGCAAATGACGCCACAACCTTCCCTCCTCAAGTTCCCGACCAAAAGCCTGCCTCTTCCGCAGCCCAGACACCTTCAGTCGAAGCTGCCGCTCCTCCACCACCTGTCGACTCAAAGCCTGACGTTGCTGCTGCTACTGCTCCTGCTCAGTCGCAGCAAAAGCCTCCTACTGGTCCTAAGAACACTCGTGTCGCCGTTCCTCTTGTTCCTCTGCACGCTAAGCCTGGCAACGCACCTACAAACTTGACTCAACAGCAACAAAGTGCTACGCAAACCGCTGCTGCTGCTGTTGCCGCCGCTATGGCCAAGCTCCCTGTCTCGGCTGCTGCTCCTACTGACGCCAGTATCGACAACTTGACCAAGCGCGTTGGTGACATGCGCACCGATGACAGAACAAGGCGACCCCGCCAGCCCGGCGCTGGTGGTTTCCCGGCTGGACATCGTGGCGGTCGCGGTGGCAGACGCCCCAGCAACCGTGATCTCGTCAAACCCGTAGAGGTACCCACGACGGATTTCGACTTCGAGACCAGCAACGCCAAATTCAACAAGCAGGACCTGGTCAAGGAGGCGATCGCATCAGGCTCTCCTTTGGGCACACCTGCTGACGAGCCCCAAGAAGATGCTCTCAATGGCCACGAGGCTCCCCAGGCCGAGCGCGAGGTCGTCATTCCTGGTGCCACCTACAACAAGTCAAGCTCATTCTTTGACAACATCTCTTCAGAGCTCAAGGACAGACAGGCAGCTCAAGAGGATGGAAGACGCATGGGAGGTATGGAGTTCAGAACCGAAGAGCGCAAGAAGAACTTCGAGACCTTTGGACAAGCCAACGTGGACAATGGATACCGCGGTGGATTCCGTGGTCGCGGCCGCGGCAGAGGTTACGGTCGTGGTGGCCAGCGCGGTGGTTTCGCACCCAGAGGTGGCTACGCACCCAGAGGTCGTGGAGCAAGCTTTGCTGGCGAGTCTTAGGAAGGCCCCCAACACTCACAGAACAAGAGAATGAATCAGTTTTGGAGTTTGACAGAAGAAGCGGTCTAGCATGCTCACAATGATGAAGAACCTCGCGGACGAACAATGAAACGATCTTGCGATTAGCAAGAAGAGAGAATTTCAAAATGATGGGCGCATGGAAACATTTGGGAACGTGGGCTGGACACGGGCACAGGGGTAGCGCATGTTGTTTCTCAAGGTTTCTCTCACTCATCGAATGGTAGTAGTGGAAAAGCATGGAAAGTGTTTATAGCGGTTTTCGTTATCACCATCTCTCGACTCACTCCCTGAAGCAAATCAATCCTTGCCCTCAGAACGCTAGAAAACAAATATTGGTGCCTACCCACCGTGGCTACATTTGCTTGATCCTTCCTTCGGCTATTCACGAAGAACATTCTCCAGTAAGCGTGAGTTGTGCGATCCTTGCACTCACGGAACAGAAGGGCGTCTTGCGAAAAGGTTCTGATGATTTGATGCTTTGCGCTTTCTACCTGTCTTTTCCTTCTACAAGCACTCACCACATTCTGAGAAGTACAAATTGAGAACACTGGTGTCAAGGCTGCCGTTTGAAGAGCCCCTGCCATGACAAGAAATATAGGTGCTTGTTGTGCTTGATGATAAACACCTGAGGATCTTGAGACAGGGTCGCTACCGCAGCTGAATATATTTTCTTTTCTTTTTCTGTCCCAATCATTGCTCCTGTCAGGACGAGACTCGATGCGAGATGGTCGACTCTTCGCATGTGGGACAGGAAACGAGGACCTCAGCTAACACATGGAGAGCTTCTAAACGAATTGCAATGCAGGTCCTTCAACAGACCGTATTGGCTGGCCATGAAACGAAACAATCAAAATGTCTATTGTGATAAGCTGCTTCAAGCCAAGTATCTAATGAGCGAAGGGGTATCCAGCTCCAAAACGCCATTGAAGGTCTGTTACCACAATCAATCTAGTCATGCAACATATTCGTGACAATCATCTCTGGCGAACTTCTCCAGTATTCGTAGCTTCTTCAATTGAAGTTGAGCCTTGTTTCGACTCAATGCCCGCAGCATTTTCAGACTGAGGTTGAGCAGGCTCCTGAGTGTCAAGTGACATACTCTTAACTGCTTTCAGAGCGGGATCCGACTCATCCAGGATATGCTTGCCTTCGGGTGTGGCTTGCCACTTCGCGACTTCCTTCTTGAGAGCTTCGAACTCTTTCTCCATGCGGCGGCCAAAAACGTCAATGTAGAATGTGGCACCATTGTAGGTGGCCCAGGTGAAGACGACCGTGAGGAAAGCAGCACTGGCCCAATGGTAATAGAACCACAAAGGGCAGGGTACCATGGTGATGAGAGCATAGATGTACTGAATCAACATGAAAGCTGGGCCTTGGAGAACTTCGGGGAGCGAAAGCACGAATTTGCCGAGGAAATTCTTCGCGTAGGATTTGCGAAGCCAAGTGAAAGAGGTTGGGCGTCCTATGTATAAGTCAGCATTATACCAAATTGATGCAGTGTTTAGAGGACATACCAGCAGCGATCTTATCCTTACGCCTGACAGTGATCAAGAAGTGGTAGCTCAGCTGCCAACAGGCGTAAGGTACAGTAGCCCAGACAATCATACCCCACAGAGTGTAGTGTTCCGGAGAGGACGGCGCGGAGTACTTTATACTATAGATAGCGGGGAATTTCTCCTTCTGCAAGTCTTGAGGTAATAGATGAACGAGACAGTGGAGGGTCGCACACGGCATGATATGGATGAACAGGCTGGTGACCTTGTCCAAGGAATGGAAGACTAGCGAGTTTCTCCACATGGCAATGGCAACAGCATTGTTTCCCATGGCCAGACAATATGTGCTGATGAACAGTCTCTTACTTCCTGGGAAGAACCACATGGTTAGGAGCATGAGGAGGTTGACAAAATAACACAAGTCGGCGAGGAAGTAGTGGTAGCCAATCTTGTGGTACTTGTAGTAGCGGATGGGCATGAAGTAGGCGAGCTGTACAGTATACCAGATATGGAACCACTCAGGGTGAGCGCCTATGAGGTAGCCAGAGACGAAGATGTTGAGGACACCGGTGATGAAGGAGATCTTCTCACGCAAGGTGACAGCTTTGGCATCGTTCCATTTCTTGCTGAGACGGTCGACGTTGTCGCGCATGCGTTTCTTGTACTTGTCCAGCTGCTCATCAGGAGTAGAGATGCGCCGCCTCCATTCTTCGACCATCTTGTCCTTGGCTGTGATACTAGACATCCTAAGTTTCTGCTGTTGTCGGCGGACCTTGTCTTTCTGAGCAGTAATGGAATGCTGAAAGCGCTCGAGTCTTTGAGGCAAGGCGAGGTTCTCGATTATGTCGAACATAGTAAGGCGATCGAGCGGGGGGAAACTTTCATCGTCAAGCTCGTTGTAGCTTCCATTTGAGGTGGTTCGTGACAAGACACTGTGAGCATAGCCTGGCGAGGTAGGCTGAGATGTCATGCCTGCATATTGCTGAGCATCAACAGCGGAAAGGTAGTCGGTGTCAGAGGCAGAAGGCTGGGCTGAAGACGCATCAGCAGCAGAAGCCTCTGGTTTGGGCTTGAGCGTGTCGACGGGCTGCGACATGGCGGTGAGCAAGCAGAGGGAAGAGAGATAGATAGAGGAAGATCAACTTTGGTAGGGGAGGGGAGGGAATAACGAGAGATGCAGGCCACAGGAGAGCTGTACGTCTAAGCAGACATTGCTTCTCTCACGTGTAGAATCTGGAGCAGGTGGAATGCAAGTCAGGAGCAACTTGACAGGTACAAAAGCAGGAGTAGGTACTTTTTGGACCATGTTGATCAGACCGACGATGTCATTGGTCCGTGTGCACTACACCGCCCGCTGATTAGGTCCCTGAGTTCCGCTCCGCCATTCTGCGTCTTGGCAGCAGTTCGCGTGAGACGCGCCTGCCTCCATCAACGCGTCGTCCGACCAGGTCAGTCCTTCCATGCACCTGCGACCATAGCAGCACTCCACCACGACCCGCCGCCATGGGCAAACTAATTCGGCTTGAGTTGTTCAGTGCGATCATCACTATCATATTTGCGACTTCTGCTCTGCACTTGCTGACATATGCCCAGACTTCAAGTCCTACAAGGGCCACCATGTTCTCCTCTTCGGCGATTCCTACTTCACCTCCATTATTGGTCCCAATGGTTCCGGCAAGTCCAATTCCATGGACGCCATCTCCTTCGTTCTTGGTATCAAATCTTCTCACCTCCGCTCAACTCATCTACGCGACTTGGTTTACCGTGGCCGTGTTCTGAAGACTTCCCGAATCAATGCCGATGGAACTGCTACCGAAGTCCCCGAAGGCGACGCTCAAGACCCCGACCCTGAATCTGGTGCACAAGAGCAGGACCAAGACACTCAGACAAGCACTCAACGCCCAGATCCCACCAATGCTTGGGTCATGGCCGTTTACGAGGACGATGCTGGAGACGAACAAGCTTGGAAACGCTCCATCACTTCTACTGGCCAATCTGAATACCGCATCAACAACAGACTCGTCTCCGCCAAGCAGTACAACGAAGCCCTTGAAGCCGAGAATATCTTGATCAAGGCTCGCAACTTCCTCGTCTTCCAGGGCGATGTCGAAGCCATCGCTTCTCAAAGTTCAAAGGATCTTACCAGATTGATCGAGCAAATCAGCGGCAGTCTTGAGTACAAGGCCGACTACGATCGTCTCAAGATCGAGGCCGAAAAGGCTGCTGAGGACCAAGCTTTCAGATTGAACCAACGTAGAGGCATCAACTCCGAGATCAAGCAATATCAGGAGCAGAAACGTGAAGTCGACAACTACAACCGTAAAGCCGACGAGAAAGATCAGGCTGTCGTTACTCATGTTCTCTGGAAGCTGTATCACTTCCAACAAATGGTCGAATCGTCCGGTGCTGAGATTCAAAAACACCAGGACGAGCTGAAGGAGTACCGAAGAAACGTTGAGGCTTACGAGGCCAGGCTTGCAGAAGCACAACAAGAGCAAGCTAGAGCAGGTCGCGAGGTTCACAAGCTGGAACGCAACATCAAGAACAAGGAAAAGGCTGTTGAGGAGAAGGAGAACGATCTCTTACCCATCAACGAGAAAATCTCCCTATCCAACAAGAAACTTGAAGCAACACGAAAGCGAATCACTGAAATCTCAAAAGAGCGTGATGCCCAGTCTCGCAACGCCGACCAGTTGAAAAAGGATCTTGAACTTGTCCAGAGAGCCCAAAGCAGATGGGAGCAGGAATGGTCAGCAGCTCAACAGCAAGCAGGTCGTGAGCTTAGCGAGGCCGATCTCCAAGAATACAACCGTCTGAGAGGAGATGTCAACAAGAGAACAGCAGCCGACCAGATCAAAGTGGACAACATCACACGTCAACTCAAGACGGACGAAGAGACTGTTGAGAGTTTGAAGAGCAAGGTCGACTCTACAGAAAACCACATCTCCAAGCTTGACAGTGAAGTATCCACTTTACGAGCGAGGCGTGATGAGTTAATTTCGACTATTCGCTCTATCAACAATGAAGCAGACAGCAAGAAGAAGGAATTCAACACTCTGACATCGGAGAGATTGAGATCCGCTCAGAAACACACCGAGATCGAGGAGAAGCTCCAAGAAGTGCTGCACAAGCTCAACGATGCATCTGTATCTCAACGAGAATCTGAGAAGGAGACACGAGCTCGTGAGACTGTTGCTGCTATGAAGAGAATCTTCCCTGGTGTCCGAGGTCAACTATGGTCGCTCTGCAAGCCGAAGCAGAAGAAGTACAACGTCGCCGTCAGCACTGTCCTCGGTCGCCATAATGATTCCATTGTAGTTGACACGGAAAAAGTGGCAAAGGAGTGCATTCAGTACCTTCGTGATCAACGTGCTGGCCAGGCAACCTTCATCCCGCTCGACACTATCATGCACAAAGCACCAGACGCGAACCTGAAGGGCATGCATAGGGGCATGCGTCTCGCCATTGACACAATTGATTATGAAAATGCCGTCGAACGTGCCATTTCTTTCGCTTGCGGGAACAGCATTGTTTGCGATGATCTACAGATTGCCAGACATCTCTGCTACGACAGGCGTGTCGAGGCCAAGGCAGTCACACTTGATGGAACCATCATTCACAAGGGCGGTCTAATGACCGGTGGACATGGCTCAAACGACCAACGAAATGCACGAAAGTGGGAAGATTCGGAAGTCGAGAACTTGCGCCGCCTGAAGGATAAGCTGCTGGCCGATCTGAGTGCTCTACCAAAGGGCCATCGCCGACAAGCTGAAGAAGAGGCTCTCCAGGGTGAACTTGCTGGTCTCGAGTCACGTCGCGCCTTTGCCGACGAAGAGCTCAAGGCACTTGAATCGAATATCGAGAGCAAGCGCCGCGAGCTGAACTTTGCCAGACGTCAAGTCGAGGAGACAAGGCCGAAGTACGAAGAGCAAGCTCAGGGCGTCACTACTCTGCGTAGCCAGCTCGAGTCATACTCATCGTCAGTGGCGACTGTCGAAGACCAAGTCTTTGCCTCATTCTGCCAACGTCTAGGCTACAGTGACATACGTGCGTACGAAGCTCAGCAGGGTAGTGCCCAGCAAGAGGCTGCACAAAAGAAGCTCGAGTTCACTACCCAGCGCAGCAGATTGGAGAACCAGCTTGCCTTTGAGACACAACGTCTGCAGACAACGAAGGACCGCATTGCTAAGTTGCAGAGCGACGTTAAGGAAGCTCAAGCCAACATTGCAAGCCTCGAATCTGAGCGTGATGATCTCAATAACGAGCTAGATGAACTGAATGCCGAAGTTGAGCAGATGAATGAGCAACTCATCACACGCAGAACGAAGTACGACGAGAAGTCTGACAAGGTTGCTGAACACAGACGTGAAGTCGCAAAACGATCGAAGTCGATTGAAGATACGAACAAAGACATCACGGCTCTACAAGAAGCAGTGCAGCGGTCAAACTCAGATCGTTACTCATTACTTCGCCGATGCAGAATCGAGGAGATCAATATCCCTCTTACTTCCCAGAGCAGGAAGCTGGAGACTCTTCCGCTAGATGGTGGCATGGCCGCTGATGAAGACGCCATGGACGTGGACGAGGAGGTTGCGTCTCAACGCGTGCCCGTTGTCAACGACTACGGCATTGACGTTGACTTCTCGGACTTGGACGACGATTTGAAAGAAGACGATTCCGAACAATGCGAGGCGACTCTGCAGGAAATCGTCTCGAACATACAGGCCGACCTCGACAAGATGGCACCAAACATGAGAGCTATCGAACGTCTCGAAGGTGTTGAAGCACGTCTCAAATCCACTGATGATGAGTTTGAAGCAAGTCGCAAAGCAGCCAAAGAAGCCAAGGATCAATTCGACGACATCAGAGACTTGAGATCCGAACTCTTTAACAAAGCTTACGAACACATCTCTGGTCAGATTGATCAAGTATACAAGGAGCTCACACGCACTGCCAGTTTCCCTCTCGGTGGACAGGCATACCTCGATCTCGAAGACACTGACGAGCCATATCTCAGTGGTATCAAATACCACGCTATGCCTCCGCTCAAGCGCTTCCGTGATATGGAGCATCTATCCGGTGGCGAGAAGACTATGGCAGCGCTGGCTCTACTCTTCGCTATCCACACATATGCTCCTTCGCCTTTCTTCGTCCTGGATGAGGTTGATGCTGCTCTCGACAATGCGAACACTGCCCGCCTGGCCAACTATGTCAAGGAGCATGCAGGCCCTGGCATGCAATTCGTTGTCATTTCGCTCAAGGTAAATCTAACGAGGCATTCATTATAGTATCCAATTGCTAACATCCGAGATAGACTGGACTCTTCCAGAACAGTGAGACACTTGTCGGTGTCATGAGAGATCAGACTGTGAACAGCAGTAGGACCTTGACTATGGATGTAAGTCTTAGAACGCACAATGATCTGTTTGTACAGAAACTGACTCGATTGAAACAGCTTCGCAAGTACCAGGCTGCATAAGACAGCTGAAACAATGTGGGAGGAAGGACGTGGTGATGCGATTGCGAAGCACGAGGTGGAACTCACGCAAAAGGGAATGCCAATGTTACTCTTACTTATTGCTCGATACCAATGAAGTGTGCACATATTGATTTCAAGGATTACGAGAACATGGAGGGTCTAATTCTTTTCTACATACAACAACAATTAAGCAAAGACATGGCAATGAAAGAGAGATCGTCGTAGACATGAATAGGGCTAGAAAAAAGAATGCATGCTTTTTCTTCAAGGCTATGTATAAAAAGAACCTTCTCATCGATCATCCTTTCCCAGTTTTTGTGCTCCAAAAGAAAGAAAGATCGTTGCAAAACATCAACTCCCTACTGCTACATTCCACCATTTGGTCGTTTTCGTCAAGGAACACGTATATCTCTAGTTCCTGTTGCCGCCAAAGCCACCACGTCTGTAGGCACCAGAGGATCCGCCACGGGAAGAGGGAGCCTCATATCTACCGCCAGATGCGGGAGGAGCTTCACCATCACCGCGAGGGGTTCTGGGAGCCCAGCGCTCGCGGGGAGCAGCGGCGGGAGGGGCAGAGTCTGAGGAAGGTGCGGCGCCAGAGGCTCCACGCATGTGAGGAGGAACGTAGCCAGAACGCTTGGGGGCTTCCTCGGCGGCGGGTGCGGGTGCGGCAGGGCGAGTGGCCTCAGGGGCGGGAGATGCGGCACCACCAGCAGCCTTTGCGGCTTCACGCTCACGCCATGAGGGCTTGTTGCCGGCAAGGTTGAGGCGGGGAGGGCCTCCAGCGGAAGCGGCTGGGGACTCGGAAGGTGTGGGTGCGCCAGATCTCTCCCAGCGGGAAGGACCAGAGGCAGCGGGGGGTGCTTGCTTGCGCTCGGCACGGCGACGCTCGGCTTCCTCTTCGCGCTGGCGTTGCTTCTCGGCGGCAGCGGCGGCCTCCCTGTAATGATTTGTTAGCAATGCTGTTGTAGTTGTTGGTGTGGGTTTGATGCAAACGCACTCTCTCGACTTGATTCTCTCCTGCTTCTCTCTCTCCATTCTCTCGCGCTTCTCGGCATCGGCACGCTCCTTCTCTTCGGCCTCTCTGGCCTCTCTCTCCTCTTGCTCGCGGGCTCTGGCAGCAGCCTCTTCGGCTTCTTGTCTTTCGCGTGCCATGCGCTCCTTGACCTCGCGGCGGCGCTGCTCCATCTTCTGGTTGAGCTCGCGCTCTGCGACCTTGCGACGCTTCTCGAACTCGGCGTGACGCTGCTCGGTGACGGTACGCTTGAACTTCTCGTAAGCAGGCACCAAGCGGCTGAGGCGGTGCTTGAGGGCAACAGCCTCCTTGTGCTTCTCCTCGGCATCTCTGAGAGTCTCAGACTTGGTCTTCTCGTAAGCAGCCAAATCACGCTCGCGTTGAGCATCGTAATCAGCGCTCAGGTGCTTGAGCTCCTCCTTTCTGTAAGCACGCTCGAGATGGTCGATTCTCTTGGCAGTGAATCTCAACTTCTCGCTCATCTCGTTCTTCTCCTTCTCAAGAGCCTGCAGCTTGATCTGGCGGATGCGGCCAGTGTCAAGGTCGTTGATGTCGAAGCTGTCAATGTCGACACCCTTGACACCCTGCTTAAGCTCCTTAAGCTGGCGCTCCATCTCCTCTCTCTGAACCTTCTCCTGCTCCTGTCTGATGCGACGAGCTTCACGCTCGCGCTGCTCATCAGCCAGACGCTGGACTTCGGCGGCCTGCAATTCTTGTTGACGGATTCTCTTCTTCTGTGCCTCCTCGCGCTCCTTGGCTGCCAAAGCGTTGGCGGCAGACTCCTTCATCTTCTGGATGACCTCCGAACGGGCAATGGTGTCGAGGTGCTCCTTGTCAGCGCCAGCCTCAGCACGCTTAAGAGCAGCAAGCTTGGCCTTCTGGCGGTCCTCGTTGAATGTAGGGTCGACATACTGGCAAGTGATGTAGAGAGCCTTGGACAGACGAGTAAGTTGAGAGCGGACGATCTCGGCGGGGGTGCTCTGGAGGCGCTGAACGACCTCAGTACCAGCAGAACCAGCACCGCTGCCAGGGTGAAGAGCACGAGCAGACGAGAAGACGTCAGAGTCGAAAGTCAGGACACCAGTAGCGTGGTCGATACGGATGGCCAGGTCACCCTTCTTGCAACCGTTCATGATGAATTTCTCAATGGCGGCGGGGCTCATCTGGAACTCCTCGGGGAACTGAGCAAGGTTGAGGACGAACTTGAGCTCGACAGTCTCGTAGACTTGAGACAGCTGCTGGAAGAGGCGAGTGAGAATGACCTGCTGGAGAGGCAGGACGTACTTCTTCATCTCAGGGTCGGCGGCAATCTTGGTAAGGATAGGAGAGATTCTCTTGCAGATAGACAGGGGGTGGAAGTCGACCTCGAGGATGTTGTAAAGCTCACGGATCTCGGGAGAGGCGCGCTTGAGAAGACCCTTGTTGATAGCATCCTTGAACAGAATGGCACGGGTAGGGGGTGCTGACATGCCGAGGAGGTTAGTAAGACGGGTGTTCTTGTTCTTCTTGGCCTCGTCAACGTCAACCAGAGCACCACGGGAACGGGAAGTGCTGATGACGGGAATGGCGAGGGCAGACAGAATGACAAAGGAGGCGGCCTTGGTGAGGTCTGCATCGCCAATGTTGGAGGGATTGTCCTTCTTCTGGCCCTGACCAGCAGCCATGATGGCGGCCGACTGGCGCAAGAGGTTGCAGTAACGGCTCCAGGCAGCAGCGTGGAAAAGGTAGTTCTCGCTGACAAGGAAGATACGAGCAAGCTTCTCGAAGTAGTTGGCCATCATGACGTTCTTAGCAGGACGCTTGCTCAAGGAGAGAAGAGTGTGGGTGTCCTCAACGGACTTGAAGGCTTCCTGCCACAACTCAAGCTCGACAGCAACGTTGAGCTGCTGGAAGCGGGTGTCTAGATGGCGCTGAAGAGTATCGGGGTCGCTGAGGTTGATGGCGTGCATCTGGGACGAGTACTTGGCGGCATTTTGGAGATGGTTACGGAGCAACTCGCACAGTCTGCGGAATTCGGTCTTGCGGGCGTAACGGAGACAGAACTGGAAGGCCTGGAGGGTGACGGTCTGGTACATGACCTCGAGTCTGGCGTTGTTCTTGAAGATGTCCAAAACGGTGCGGTAAGTCTCCCACAGGAACTTGAGCCAGGGAGTGACAATGGCGCGGTCGGTTCTGTCGCGTGCCTGCTCGCCGGAGACGGTCGACAGAAGGATGGACTCAGGGGTCTCACTGGCCTCGAGATCGCCAACATTGGCAAGGTCAGCAGATGTCTCTGCGGCGGAAGAGACCTCATCAGCCTTGGCCTGGGCTTCGGAAACCTTGGACTCGGCGAGTTCGATGAAGCGCTTGAAGACAAGCTAAATATGGGTCAGCGAAGGCGCGGACAGAGCGGCCGAGATGCGCAGGTATACCTCGATAGTGGCGATGTTTGTGTTTTGCGAAGTGTTCTTGTAGTTGTAGAGACCGTCCTTGGCGGCCTTGCCCTTTCTCAACTCAACACAAAGTTCAACGAACAGGAGGACGACAGGCTCGAGCGAAGCGATGGTGCTGTTGCGGGTGCGCTTGGAGGTGACATGCTCGTGGAGGATAGTCAGAGCAGACTGCTTCTGGTTGACTGCGATGAGCTCTTGGGCTCTCTGTTGTCGCCATGGCGTCAGTATTCCGTGGTCGTGTCGAGAGCGGAGAAACGCGAGCAGGACTTGCCTTGAGCACGTTCTCAGGCTTGGTATGAGGCGGAGGAGGCATCTTGGGCGATATGGCGACCTTCCTGTCGTTGATCGAGAGAGGCCGTCAAGATGTTCGATTTTTCCCAGCGTCGCTGCGAGGTGCGGCTCGCTTGTGATTGGCTGACGCGCAGAGTCGCGCCAAGAGTTCGCCAACTTGTGCTGCATTTTGGACTTTTGGACTAGTTCATCTTCTGCTCGTCACATTTGCACTTGATTCTCGAAAAAGAAGTAGTGAGCTATTCCAAACAATCTTACACACTTGTAGAACGATGGTGCACTACTTATCGAATGGCCACATCATGGCAACACTCTCTGGGAAGAAGCCCGTTCTGAATGGTTTATTCTGGATGCATTATTTAACAAAGTTGACACACAGCTCTCCCTCAGACATGATATGTGCGATGGCACGAGGATTCAAGATATGAATTTGGCGAGGCTTGACAAGCATTGTCTACTATCCTCACGGTAGTCTCACAACTGTCGGCCAAGCGGCTGAGATCAAGCGGCTCAAGTCAGCGAAGCCCCTGACTTTCTGGGGTCAAGGCTGGATTCTGTAGTGTTTTCCAGCAGGGATCTGGCTTAGAAACAAGGTGCTGTAAATAGTCTCTGTCCTTGTCCTAAAGACTGGAATCGACATTTCGAGAACGCATCCCTGGCGTTGGATGCAACGTGACGGGCCAGGCGGTCAGTAAAGACAGTGGAATAGATAGACCAAACCGTTCCATGGCCAGTGCCAAGTAACGACTATGCCCGATCGGCGAGGCCAATTAGAGCAATTTGAGGAGCAGGCGGACGACAACCGCGTCCCATCCTCTCTACGACACGACGATTCCTGCATCCTCGCCGCCGTGTAACGTCGATTTTCCCAGTGGCCTTCTCTTCACTGCGTCGCTCATTACCCCATTCGTCTGCATTCGTCTCCCGCCCACGAGAACAACACGCGCGCGACGGCCTCGACATCCTCCCTGCAATCCCGCTCCATTGGCTCCCACGCCTTGTCTGAACTCCGTGCGACATCCTCGTGCTTCGTTTACTTTTCGTCAAGCTGACCGCTTATGACAGTGCCAACAGTTGTCGCCAGTCGCCAGACTCTGGTCCAATCTCCCTCTCGCTCTACCGATCCATATATCTATCGCCCACTCGTCAATCTCACTAGTCGCTCCAATCCCTCTTCATCTCCTTCACAATGTCTCAGCCATATGAGATCCGTAACAACGACACCGGCAGAAGCAAGAAGCAGAGCATGGCCGAATTGAAGCTCCGCCGTCTCAATGAGCTCAACCAGAGATTGCAAGAGGACCTAAACCGCAGAAGAATCCCTGTTTCCGAGGCTTCCATGGAGTGAGTTTGCGTGTCCACTCCGACACAATTGCACACGCGCTGACATTCTACTCTCAGCCTTATCGCTTTCACCGACAAGGAGCCTAAGGACTTCATGGTTCCCAGCCGCTGGGGCACTGTGAGTTCCCTCAGTACACGCTCTAGCACTTGCCAATGCTGACTTGTTCCTCTAGATCGACAAGCGCGACGACCCCTACGCCCCTCAACAATCCGGTGGATGCTGCATCATCATGTAGAAGCAGCCATCCATTTCCTTTTACAAGAGACTTCATCATACCGGGTTATCAGCACTGGCGTTCATCGGCGGAAAGTGGCGGTTCTTGTTTCCAATTAATCTTCTTCCTTTTTCAATTCTCTCTTACCCCGAGTACGATGCGGCAGCACGGTAGAATGGTTGTACGCTTTCGGGACGCACTTGTAGCATAATGTTCTTACGGATTGTTTCAATCTTTGGTCTTCAAATCTTTTTTTTTTCCAAAACCCGCAAAACATTTCTATTGGCCTTAATACCCACCCATGGAGAAGCATCTAAGCTCAAACGCAGCACACGTCACATCTGAAGTTACAGTATCTACTCACCATCTTCTTGCATATCCTCTCCACTGGTAAGCTCGATTGTCATCAAGTCAAATACTCATCAAACTCTGCTTCGTAACTTTTGCTAAGAAATCTGAAGACTCGGTACTGAATGTCGAACGGCAACTAGGACGGTAAAGCCACGAGACGACAAGGACGACACTTCACAGGCTCGCCATTCTTTCCTCTATAGTACGATGTGCTTCGTACTCCTACGCCGATGCATATCCATATGGTCATAACAGAGGTCCTGCCAAAAGCCACCTAGACTTACTAACTCGTCCTGGATGTTATAGCAGGTGCAGTGGGGCACTTTCTTCTTCCTTCAGTACCACCATCTAGCAATGAGAGGGACTCAGACTCAAGTCTGGCCCCTTCGAGATCACTTCAGCTGGTCTTGACACGCCCTGCTCAGACAAGGTGATCTGGATATGATAAGTGCGCGGTTGGAGAAACCAACATCTACCTCTGGGGCAAAATGCCTGTCAAGAATGAGTGAAACACAAGGACAAAGTTGTTGAATGTTACTTTGTTCCGAATATTCGATATTGACTTTAGCCTAACATGCGTAGGGACCTTGTGTTCATGCTTAACGGAAACGGCGAAAGGGATTTAATTAGTCTTCAATGTGCAAAAAGTCAATCCCGAATTATCAAAAAAAAACAGTTCTTGGGTTCTAATAGCATCACGTGTGCAGAAGGTGTTCTTTTAACAAAGAACTCTACCTGAGTTGCTTCGTTTCTTCAAGATTGTCATGATGTCTTTGCAGCTCATGCTAGAAAGACTTATGGATGGTAAGATATGGGAGTGTATCATTCAAGCTAGCGGGTCATATGAGCATATAAAGTGATACCAATCCATTGCACGTGGACTATATGGGCAGGATGTTCATGCCACGTTCGGATCAAGGTGCGAGATTGTGGGATCGGACAGTAGTTGAGAGAACATTCTGCCAGGAATGATCATACAGAGTTTGTGATGTCTACTGCAGCCACGCCGAAACGTTGTGGATGATGGACATGGTTTAACTACGATTGAAGTGCACGTATCCCGGAGACTTGAACTGATCGTTCTTTTCCCCCGAAGAAAGATCCGGCTCTTCTCAGACTAAAAACCTGAGGCCCAGGGCAGGTCTTCAAGAGCATTGCCATTGCTCACCATCGTATGTCAAGGCTCGGGATGTCACTGCTAAAGCGAATGACCATCAACATGGCACACCTGACATGGGTCCTCGGATCGTCGATAGCTGGGTGTCCCTACTGTCCCTGTCCTGAGGATCCACAATCCATTGTTGAGCACAAGATCACTTTCCTTGTTCATACTTGACAAGTAAATTTAGGCGGCTAGGTTTAGAAGAGGCGCCCTTGTTGATAGCATTACAACTAGCGATCGTCCCAGCGACATTGGTTCGGGCGGTGGTCAATACTTTCGCCTGGAGTTGTGGATCCCGAGTGTGCAATAACCGCAATGCAAGCAGCAACACTGGCCGCGGGATCGATAGTGTTTGCTTCTTGGACGTATTCAATATAGAGGAATTGGTCTGGAGCCCGTTCGCAAGAAGTTGCCTTCTTGGTAAGAGATTCGAATTGAGAAGATCCTACTCCGCCTGGTCCCCCGCGCACACTGATGATATGCCTGTGAGATATCTCATCTGGCTACAAGAAAATATCAGAAGTGATGACCTTTGAAGCGCTCAAGCCACCTTGAAACGGATGAAATGAAAGTCGGTTGAAGTCGTCAGAGACCATGACGCTCCAGACCCTGAACATGATGCCTTGCTATGCAGTTGTGCTTTCTGCCGAGGTCGACGGAATCAAGCCACGAAACTATTCTATTGTATCCTCGGCAAGGACTTCTTCGCAGAAGAGGTAAAAGCAAAAGCTAATGATGATCAAGCTTGCAGTCTGCAACGCTTGAAGGATTCAAGACACAAAGCACCGACATCCTTTGGTGTGGGTCGGCAGGGACAGTGGTGCGAGACGAGGCTTTGAAGGACAGGCTAATTCCAGGCACAGGTGATTTCGCAATAGGGCGCATGGGCGTACCCGTGGTCTAGAGATGGTTGCTCACCGAATGTTGCATATAGAGGTCTGTATGCCGATGACTCGACTGAACACGACTCTGTTAGTAAAGAGTAATGTGTCGTTCCGAGTAGGAGTTCAATGATTAAAATAAAGTTAGGAGTCAGGGACTGGTCGTTGAGTCGTTCACGAATACGGAACCTTGCGTTCTCGAAGAACTCTGTACAATCTGATGTCGGAATCCTCTGGGGCTTGTTTTGACTATTAACCGAATCCAGCCCGTGCACACATGATGAGCAGATGCTGGATAGAAGTGACATTCCAGTGACATGTGCGCCGACTTTCGACGAGATGAAGCCGATCCGCAAGACTGTAATTTGGCCGTGAATCGATATGCTTATACGCGCCGGAATGATAGTAGATCGGTGCGGTGCTAGGGCATGCCGTTTTCAAAAAACAGATTCCGAGGTCGAAGGGCAAGCAACCTACGTAGGTTCGAACCACTTTGGAAGATCTACAATGGCCGCGGCGGGTCATCAGGACTATGCCACCATTAATGCGCCACATGCTCTGCGAGTGTGTGAATGCCATCACGTTCGATGCATGGAACGGAACAGTTGTATATTGCAGAGGCCATCTTGCATGCACACGCCTAGGAACTGACAGGTCATTCGCTTCCAATTTGTTAATGAAGGCGATCCAGGCAAGCTGGCGGTGCTGGGCTAAATTCATCGTCCCGAATTCTTTTGACTTCATGCACAGACACGCACTCCAAACTCCCCAAAAACAGGGTCCGTTCGGAGATACCTCATTCGGTGGAGTCGTCCTGATCCTGGGGCGCATCGCAGATACTTTTGAGCGATTCAAAGATCATCGTATGCTTGGGTTGCTCTATGGAAGCAAAGCTCAAGAATTATCTGGCATGATGCAGATCGACTGAATTCTACAGTGTCGGAGATCAAATCAGATCTTGACCTCTCAGAGTTCCGGCAGACAAGAAAAAAGACTTTATTGCAGCGTCTTTTTCCTATCTGTCCCATGATTTAATCCGCACCCGCCCACAAGCAACCTCGCCCCCACCTCTCTTTAGCGTACTTGTAGCCGTCTCTCGGGTCCACTTCTCAACCAGAGTGCCCTCTTTCAGTCACCCGTCCACATCTCACTAAGAGGCATATTTTTTGCATTCGGCGCCCTATTCGGTCGCAAGATTTATTCGCGTCAGGACAAGCGAGCAGTCTCGTATTACAATTTGAAGTCGTCGCGCTCTGCGAAAAACTCGTAGGGGACCATCGAGCCACCTGCGGCAACAACGACGACGACATTCGTTCTTTCCCATAAAACCACGCATCCTCTGGAATGAATCACACCGAACAGGCGCAGCCATGGCCGCAGCCTCAACACATGGACATTCAAGATATGCAAGACATTGACTTTGCAAACTTCCTCGACATTGGTGACATAGGCGACATTGGTAACATCGATGTGAGCGACTTCCCCTCCCTCGACGGGCCTGATGGCCGAGTCCTGGGTTCAAATGGCCCTCTACACGACTTTGGCACCGAGAGCTTCGAGCTTCCGACACAATTGGACGTGCAAAACTTCAATCAGAATCAACAATGGGCACAACCCCAAGTGCCGCAGAACATGTATCGTGCGCCAAACGTAGTCCCGCCGACGCCAAACAGTTACGACCTGCAAGGCAATGCGCGTCATTACATGGCCCAGCACATGGAACAGGGAGCCGGTCCCTTTTACGACCAACATCGACGGTTAGCAAAGGAAGACAATATGGCTTTCACCCCTCTAGTCTCGCCAGCCGTAACTCCGAGAGACTCGACCTTCCAACCCATTCCCGAGTACACCATTCCCGGCGCTTACTTCAGCCCACTCACGTCGCCAGCTCTGCATGCACAACAGCAGCAGAATCGCAGCTATGCCCACAGCCACTACACCAACCCGACGACGGCCGACAACTCGGCTGCCGCTTCGCCGCTCGACCTCAACATGGATGTCGACTCGCTGAAAGATGTGACGGACAGTGCTCCTCGTAGAAGCAGACGAAAGCCTCAAGCGCCGCATTCCGCAGGTCCTGCTGCCCGAGTGCGACAATCTCCAATCGTCAAGGCCCAAAGACGTCGCTCGGCTCACCTCTCGACCATCATTCCCCCACGTGAGGTCGCCAATGTCTTGATGGAAGCGCAGAATCAATCGCAGAACCAAGGCTCTCGTACTCCGTCTACCGAGTGTTTGCCGTCGTATCTCGAAGAGTCAAGCACAGAGTCGATATCACCTGAAGCCTTACCCGATTCGGTCATGGGCCCCCCTCCTCTACCTTCCTCAGCCTACCATTCCCCTGCCTTGCAACCTCAGAATCATTCTGCGCCTGCTCCAACTGCTATTCACTCTCATCAAGGGCCGAATGCTCCGTGCCCGGCTACTCCTGCTTCGCTGATGTCTATTCGCAAGAGTCAGCAGCAGAATGGTGTGAATCGTTCTGCTGGACCTCATCCAGGCTCAGGTCAATTCCCAGTGCAATCACAGGATCAGATGAACATGCTCGAGGACCTGGCCTTGCCTCCATCAGCAGCTGAACCTGCCCGACCAGCTTCTTTGAGCAGAATCGACACAACATTTTCTACCGACAATACCCCTCGCTTAGCCCCAGCTATTAAGGGCACGCCTAGATTGGCTCCATCGAACTCTACCACGACAAGCCCCATGATTGGAGCTACACAATCGCCTGCTGTCGGGCCATCAGGCAAGAAACTTGAACAAAAGCGATCGCAAACTGCGAAGAAGCGCGGTAGTGTCAGCAACGTTTCAGCTCTTGTCAGTCCGGCTATCCGACCAAAGATCAGTCCCAGCATCAAGCCTTTGCTTCCCGAAGGAGGTACGTACAGTCACTGATCTCAAACCAGGAATTCCAATGTTTGCTGACCATCATATATAGGTCTTAGTGAAACTCAACAAGCTCTTCTTCTCGCGTCAAAGTCAAACTACACTCATCTGCTCGAAGGCACTCGCCTTCCTGGCGTTTCGTATCCCGAGTCTTTATCCATGGGCTTGACTTCGAAACGCACCTCACACAAGATTGCCGAGCAAGGCCGACGCAACAGAATAAATGAAGCCATCAAAGAGATGCAAACACTACTTCCCAAATCAAAGGGTAAGGGTAAAGCAGAAGATATTGCCGATGAAGAGGAGGAAGCCAACGCCAAGGAGGGCAAGGGCAACAACACTGCCGAGGGAAGAAGTGCAAACTCCAAAGCTGCCACTGTGGAGAGCGCTATCGATTACATCAAGCTACTGCAACAAGAGAAAAACCATGCTTTCGAGATGCTCAAGAAGAAAGACGAGGAAATGGCCGCCTTGAGAAAGCAACTGCAGGCTGCCGACATCACTACAAACGGCAGTGACTCCGCTAATGATTCAGTCGTTGCTAGCAGCAGCGAGGAAAACGGCGCTGAGCCCGAGAAGATGGAAGGCGTCAGTGCTTCGCCGTGAGACTGACTTTCCATGCCGTTCTCTGCTTCGTTGCCAGGACGGGTTTCTATGAACAGCCAAAATGGGGTCGGGGTTGATAAAGCGATAGAACTCCGCTTTTGTTCGTGCCTCCTTTTCTACGCTTCTGGCACTTGTGTTTTTAATTCTGCTCGCCCTTGTTCCCCTCTTCTCTTTTCTTCCGGCCTTTTTCTTCACGCGCATTATAGGTGGCTGGGTCTCTCTATTAGGAGAGACTTGAGGTTCGGTTTTGGCGCATTCTTCTAACTTTCTCTCTTGTTCACGCTTTCTTTTGTTCTAGATATCCGGCGTATCAGCCTCCTGCTTGGTCTTGGTCCACACCTCATTATACCTATACTTCAAAACCGAATGAGAAAAACATAATTAAAGCTCTATCAAATTCACGTCACTGCTTGTTCACTTTTCGATCTGACTGCAGCTCATGCTTCGATAACATGTGCTATTTGATATCTATCTACAAATCGGAAGCCTATTCGATCAAGCTTCAATGCAATACTCCCCTGCATCGACATACAGGGGTGTAGTAGTTCCGTAGAATAGCATGTGCCCGCTTCCGTCAAAGTTCACAAGGATCACAGCAAATCGGAGGTTTTTACCAGGGCTGATATAAATGCTTGAATTTTGCTTGTCTAGCCTATTTCCAGCCGCCCTGTACCTCGAAAATATTACCGACTGCCTTACTGACAGCCAGCAAATGCCTATCATGGTAACGAGGAGCAACAAGAGAAACACCAATCGGCATGCCATTATCGCCTTTGAAACCTGGAATGTTAACGACTGGTGTGTGCAATGCCTGGAATCATATTAGCTAGTGAACGATCGAAACTTCGATAAATTTCTGCTTACTGTCCAGATCAAGCAGAAGGCTGCACTGCCCGTCTTCTCAATTCCCAGTGGCGCCTCATCAGGCACGCTAGGAGTCAGTACTGCTGCATACTTACTGAGTATGTTATCCACAACTGGTCTCGCAGCCGCAATACTGTCGAATGCATCTAATTGCGCCTTGCGTGAGATCTTTGTATTGTTCTCGACATGACCCACTAGGTATTCTGATAAATTGTGCTTCGTCGTGGTATATTCTGGCAAGAACGCTGTGCGGCCATCAGAGTTGAGCACCGTGGCGTGCCAAGAAGGAAGGTCCTTGAGATGCTCAGGAAACTCAATCTCTTCAACCTCTGCACCTTGAGCACGCAGCAGGGACACAGCCTTTTCCATCGCAGCAGCGCCTCCTGAGCCTATTTGTGGCCAAACCATGGTCCTTAGTACAGCGAATTTTGCGCCTTCGACACGGAAGTTCGAAGGGGCTGGTTCGTCATCTGCTAAGGCAAAGACGTCGGCAAGAAGATCGAGGTCCGCAACACTGCGAGCATAGAGTCCGAGTGTATCGAGAATCAGTGAGTAAATCTTCTGACCTTCGCGAGTGATCGAGTTCCAAGTTGGTTTCAAAGCGTAAATACCATTGTAAGAGCCAGGTCGGATCGTGCTGCCGCCTGTCTGCGTACCCAGACCAATGGGAGCCTGCAGGTCTCCTACAGCTGCGCCAGAACCTGAAGAGGAGCCGCCAGGAGTACGATTTGGATTGTGCGGGTTGCGGGTTTTGGGTCCAACAGTAGTTGCAGCAAATTCAGTAGTGGTCGTCTTTCCGAGAATGAGAGCGCCAGACTTTCGCAGTATGGCAACAGAGCCGGCGTCTACTTGGGCAGCGTCTTTGGCATAGATGGGCGAATTAAACTGTGTCGGCATGTCTGCGACTTAGTTCAGTCTTACAGCCGACAGGTGAGTCTTTCACGTTGACATCTCACCCTTTGTATAGATGACATCTTTGACAGCTATAGCCACGCCGTGCAAGGGACCACGTTCAGATAAAGGAACTTGATCCAGAGCTTTCGCCTGTTTGATCACATAATCCGGGTCAAGATATGCCCATGCTTGGACGGCCTCATCTCGAGCATCGATTCGTGCAAGCAACGATCGCGCATATGCCTCTACTCTCAGTTCACCAGCCTTGATCTTGTGTAGCACTTCCGTGGCTGTTAGTTGGTATGGCTCGACATTCATCCTGCTTGTTGTGACCTCCGTCGGAGTGAAAACTTATGAGTAGCGAAAGAATGCGACTAGTGGTACTTCAGTGTCTTGTATGACACTCCGTGCGATACACATGGCAGTATGGACAATTTGTCCTTTTGGAGAAAGATGATCGCCTCGGCGCGTCGGCCGAGAGCTATAAGATAGGCCACATCATTTGATTGTTGTTCATGCGAAGTTGACGACTATCACGCTTCTCGATGACTAAGGACGATCGCTAGCAGCTTATCATGTCCGTGAAGACGATATGTCAGTGACGACCAAGTTGTATGGCGCTGGCCGATGATGTCGGCTCAGATTGACCCGATGGGGTCGGTCTTGGCGTCCAGTTGGAGACCTCCGGCCAGGGCTGCCTTTTGCCGTGAACCATCACCACCTTTCGTAGGATGTTTACACAAATTTTTGGTGCTAGCTCACGCGTTTACGGTATCCCACAATTGCAGCGGTTTGCAGACGTTGCCGACGCTCAGATAGGCAGCTCGTGAGCAATCATCGAGGACAGACACTATGTACTCGCGGGATTCTGCCACGGAGATCTGCCACGGATGTTCTAAAATGGCACCTTACCACAGTACGGTCCGAAGGATCTCTATCCGGCATAATCTTGAGATACCGTAGTCATGGAAGCCGAAGTCTTTTGATGACATCTTTCATAGCTTTCCGCTTTCCCGATGTTGTGAACTTCGGATCATAGGCACACGTATGATTACTATTGATCTAGGTCGTATCAATACTTGACATCTGTGACTTGAATCCGCAGCCTCTTCTGCTGTGTCAAAATGATACAACAGAGTATCTCAAGAAGTGACATGGAGAAGAACTGCCCCACAGAGAAGCACGTTACTGAGGTCGATGCCACAGCACTCAGTCTGTTGCCAGATGATGGACGAGAAAACACTGCCACTAACGAATCAGCACAAGGCAACAAAGGACTCGATCCTGATGGTCTGCAAGGTCCAGACGACAACAGCGACGCAGAATCTGTTGGAGGTCAAAGGAACACCATGTCATCGAAGCGACTCATGATAGCCATTCCAGCTCTGTCAGTCTGTCTATTCGTCTCATTCGTGGACCAAACTTCCGTATCAACAGCTACACCTGCCATAGCAGATGATCTCAATACCGGAACTGCTACTTCTTGGATTGGAACATCATTTCTCATTGCTTCAACGGCATTTCAATTGATCAATGGCCGCCTCTCGGACATCTTTGGGCGAAAGAATATGCTACTAATTTGTCTTTTCCTGATGGCCTTAGGAGATCTCGGATGCGGATTTGCCCAGACTGCTGCACAGTTATTCGCCCTTCGATCAATAGCAGGTATTGGAGGTGGTGGCATCAACAGTCTTGTTATGATCATCGTGAGCGATATCACGACGCTTCAAAACCGCGGAAAATACCAAGGTATTAGCATCATAGCTCTACAGTATCACTCTGCTAACCTTGCGTATCAGGCTGTATCGGTGCCATTATTGCTCTTGCAAATGGAGTCGGCCCCTTTCTGGGAGGTGCTGTAGTCGAAGGCGCGACTTGGCGATGGGTCTTCTGGATGATACCGATCATGACTATTCCCACAGCTCTTGTCATTCTCTTCTTGCTGCCCTTAAAACATTGTTCTGGCAATTTCGGAGAGAAGATGAGAAAGATCGACTATGGCGGCATAGTGCTCAACATCGCATCCACTCTTCTAATTCTTGTACCTCTGTCAGGAGGCGGTGTTACCTATCCGTGGTCATCTGCCTTTTTCATCGCTGCTACCGTCATTGGTGTGATCTTGGCGATACTTTTTGTTCTCTATGAATGGAAGGCCGTCTCTTTACCTATCATGCCACTTCGACTGTATCGAGCTCCTCACTGTTGGGCGCTTTATCTTCAAACAGCCATGATCGGACTGGTTTATTACGGAAACTTCTTCTATCTACCCATCTACTTCCAGTCAATTTTGAGATATTCGCCGCTAGTGTCTGGAGCTCTGATCTTACCGGTAGTCATAACGTCGTCTGTCACATCAATTCTGAGTGGTCAGTACATGGCCAGGGTCGGTAGCTACATGCATTGCATTGCAGCGGGTTTCTTTCTATGGACTTTAGGGAGCGGGCTCACTCTCATGTTCGACCGCGACACCGGACTGGCTCGACTCATCGTTATTCTCATCGTCGAGGGTGCTGGCATTGGACTTACATTACAACCCACACTTGTTGGATTGTACGCTAACAGCCGAAGTGAAGATCGAGCTGTCACGACTGGATTGCGCAACTTCATCCGCACAGTCGGAGGGAGTTTTGGTCTCGTCATCTCTGGTGTGACTTTGTCGAACACACTGAGCTCAGAATTGAAACGTGCTGGTCTCGCATCAGACAGCTTGATTGCTGAACTCACCTCTTCTACATATGCTCTTGACAAACTCGACTTGACTGATTCGTTGAAGGAGAGAGTCCTGGATGTGTATATGCTAGGGGTGCATCATATCTTTATATTCTTCACAGCATGTGCGGCGTCCGGGTTGCTATTGACCTTTGGGGTTGGCAATACTACTCTAAAGGCTCCAAAGCAGGTTGACGTCGAAGCGCCTTGTGATGAGAACAAGAAAGCGACAATCGAGCTGTCAGGGCAGCATCCTGACGACAGAGAGCTGAACTTGGAGAGTGGTCGTGTCTCGAAGAAACCGACTGCGTAAGAAACTACAAGACCTTTCCCACTCCAATACCATACTTTCGTTCTACTGTAAGATGCAACAAGTTTGGCACTGTGCGAAATTGCACAAGGTGACCCTGGCCGCGTTGTGTAGAAGCTTGCACTACGTAGAGCTGACGCGCCACTTCTACCAGCAGCTTCATTCTTATCCGTGACTCCACTCCAAGTATCGCTGAGACACTGATAGATAGTTTTTATGAGCTTGTCGGGTGCCTTCTCACATTCTGGCATCGTGGCAACCGCAATTTGCTTATCTTCACAATGACAATCTTATCTCAAAACAGCTCTTGCCGTGCGGCGACAAGTGCCCCGATGTGGATTCAATAAGGAAGGCGCCCAGAGTCGACAACCCCACTACCTTGCAAAGTGCAAGAGATAGGGCAACATGCAGTTGCCACGCAACTTGACAAACTCGGCTCATGTGTCGCCGCTGCCAAAGCTGCTTCCGATGACAGAGAGACTCTTTCGGACCCTGAACAAGACGGGGATAATGAGGCATGAGCTGATCGTCCTTACAATGCCGATGGCTTGAGCCTTGAAGCAGTATGGTTACGGTTGACCGATAGGCACATATTGGGGCACGAAAAGACAATCCGCGATTTGCACATATATGGGGAGGTGCAGGTCTGCAGTCTGTCAGACGCACTACAACTCACAAATTCAAGTCATTTCTGCTCACTTTTGCTCAATATGCCTGAAGTATATGCTGCACACCAGGATTACGCATTCCCTAGGAACTTCAAGGGATATGGAGAGAAGGGCTTGGAGGGTTTAAAGTGGCCCAACAATGCCAAAATTGCAGTCTCGTTCGTTATCAACTACGAAGAGGTAAGCTCTGACAAAATTCCCGCGGTCTATCAAGGATGTGAGCTAATACTTAACAGGGAGGCGAGCGATCAGTGCTGCATGGAGATGGCCGTTCAGAGACATCTCTCCGCGAGTATCCCGCAGAGCCGGATATCAATGAGCGCAATTATAGTGCCGAGTCTGAGTTCGAATATGGCTCTCGCCGTGGATGGTGGCGCATGTTCAAACTGTTCAACGACTACAAGATGAAGTTCACACTTTATGCTGTTGGCTCCGCTTGCGAAGAACAGCCCGAAGTTGTGACTCGATGTGTTGAAGAAGGTCACGATATTGCATCTCATGCGTACAGATGGATCGACCACAAGAACCTGTCTGTCGAAGCTGAGAAGCAGCACATTCGAAACGGCATTACTGCTCTGAAGAAGCTCGCTGGGTACGCTCCCAAAGGATGGTACTATGGCCGTCCATCACCACAAAGTAGAGCACTCATTCCTCTTGTGTACGAGGAAATGGGCGAGGAGCTTCTATGGGCCAGCGATACCTATGCCGACGATATTCCTTACTGGACTGATCTTCCTCAGGAGCGCAACAGTGAGAGTCCTAAGGGCTGTCTGATGCTCCCCTACAGCTACGACTGCAACGACTTCAAGTTCCTCACTGCAGCCACTGGCTTCCGTGATCCTAATGGCTTTTATACTCACATCAAGAATGCGTTCGACGTGCTCTACGAGGAAGGAGAAGCAGGTGAGCCGAAGATGATGACTATTGGCCTGCATTGCCGCATCATCGGAAGACCCGGCCGTTTCAAGGCTCTGCAAGATTTTGTGAAGTACATCTCTGAGAAGGAAGGCGTGTGGGTTGCGACCAGGACGGAGATTGCTGAATCTTTTAGGGAGCAATTCCCTTACAAGAAGGGCCAGCTAGCGTAAATTAGTGAACTGCTGCAAATAAACGATCAACCAGTGTCGAAGAAACGCCGTTCATTCGTGGTACACACAAACTCTTGGATTGCATCTAGGCTCTATAGTTCCAATCGCCATCAGTCGCGGTCTCATCAGCTCCCATCTGCATCACTGCGTCTTGGACAGGATCCAAGTTATACGTACTGTCATAGCATTCCCAACTCGTTCCACTGTAGCTTTGCCCAGCCAAACGAGAACCTAAGACAGATTCGTTGACACTAGACGCATTTTCCCTGACCATTTCATCCCACATCCGCCAGCCTTGCCATCCGCCTGGCGCCTCCTCATCGACTTCCATGAATGCCTCTCTGACAGCGTCTGAGATCATCGGCATCTCGATGATGCTAGTAGGTTGATTTGGCGGTACCTGAGGAATCGTCTGTTGAGTCTGCTGTATCCGAGTTGATACGTTGGAAACATTGTCAGAGTTGACGTGATTTTGGCGTGGTCGGTCGTATGACCGAAGCGAAGGACCCCGGTTGACAATAGACTTGAGCAAATTTCCCGAAAGTTCGTCAAAAATGTCTCGATACTTGACTGCACCTGGCCACTTCTCGCCAAAAATAGTCAGACTTTGAGAGCAGTCTCTTGTCGCTTCAAGGATCTCGTAGGAGAATAGGGAGCGGTCCCGCCAGATACAGTATACAAGGGTCAACCCAGCTACAAAGCATGAGTGCAGAGATATCATAGTATATGTGAGGGTTTTGTTCTGGTTCAGTCGCTTGTATGCGACGCATACAGAGGTCGCTGAGCGAGCGCAAATCAGGAATCGTGGGTCTGATGTCTGTAGTGATGGAAGGAAGACGGTGAAGAGGAAAAGAACGGACTTGTGGTATTGTCTGCGAAAGGTCAGAAACCAATCCGCAGTCTTTTGTTCATACTTACAAGCCGTAGAAATCTCTAGCATCGAGGTAGGCACTCTCTGGATCGTACATCCAAGTAGTCTTGTTCCCGTCCTTGGGGGTCTGGGGGCACTTCTCCAGCCACTCATCCAGATCTGCTTTTATGGTGGCCATTTTGCGATCACGCTTAGCCTGCTCTTCGGCTGTGCCATTCAAAACGTCTCTATCAACCCTGAATACAACTTTGTGGATTCGCGAGTGGATTCGATCGAGTCGGATGATGTGTATGAAAGGCTCAACATTGGACCAGACGCCTTGGGCGGGACTAGGAAGCTCTTTGTGAGTGAGCGTCCAGAACTGACTGCCAGCACTTGGAAGCTACAGAGTGGTAAGCATTTTCCAACGACACAAGTATCATTGCGGTTACCTCAACATTGATGTCCCTGTCGGCGATAGCAAAAGCTCGGCCAAGTACGATACTTGTGGCGCGATCGAGACAATAACAAGACCAGAAGATTCTTCTTCGAAGTTCTTCGTCTCTTGCTTGCTTTTCTGAGTCTGTGCGTGGTGCTAGTCTTTTCCTATGTAGGCCCATCTCAATACAAATTGAGGTAGCATAACGGATCTGGGACCAGGCTCCAGCGCCATATGGGGATCTTTGGCTATGTACACCAAGCAGCACGAGGAACTGAAGACTTGCAAGACTGTGCTGCTCTAGTATATAGCTCATCGGCGCTGTGGCCGCCGCAAGATGATGCTATAAGCCTTCAGCTTGTGATCGCAATATAATGCAGCACTTCTTACCTCAGGATCGACGCTTTGTACTCTTCTTGTCAAAGACAAAAATCGCGTCGTAATCGCATATATCAAGTGGAAGATACTTCGCTCAACAGTCGATAGAGCTCCAGAGATGTATTGCTTTGCAAAAATATCTTCGTAGATGCTTCGATCCAGAATTGGCCAGCGGGTATGGATACGCTCGAAGAATATGTCAAATAGCATGCGAGCTTGCTGTGTCTCAGGAAACCCAAGAGAAGCTGTATCGGAGTGGATTGATTCAGGTGGGGTTCTCGGCTCTGATCGAACTTGTTCCGGCGATGATGCTATCTCGGTCGTTGCCCTGGACTTTGCTTGTCCAAATATAGACGCTTGGATGACTCGTGAAATGGTAGCCCCAGAGCTAGAGCCGATATAGTACGGCTCAAAAGTTGAGTCAGTTGTACCAGAGGCACATAGAGAGAGATAGGCTACGCCTCCTACCAAGGACGTCCTCTGCTCTAAGTCCATGTGATCAGACATGAGTTTTTTGGGAGATGAGTTGGGCGAATGAGCCTGCGCGACATCATCGGCCTCTGGCACATTCCAAGGACCGTCGTTGATGGTCTCTCGGTGATCCTGTACATCATTGAGGAAGTGGTCTTCAGCATGATCGGGCAGTCGAGCTTCGAGGAATGCAATTCGTTCTTCTAGAGCGCTGATATACCTGTCATATCCTCAATCTCATTGTGATCAGGACTACAAGGTAGAATGTTTACATACAATGACTTGCCGCCTGGATACTGAGGGCGAACAGTTTTCTCATAGGCACATGCCACTCCTGCCTTCTCACATGATTTACAACGAGGACGGGCGCCGTCACACTGAATCCGTTAATGCGAAGTCAAGCAGGTACGATGCATCCAGGAGCCATACTCGCTGTTTTCGACGCTTACATCTCTTGCAAGCCAGCGATACACGGGCCTTCGGTGGTGCTGAGGCGGGTGGACCTGAAGTGGTGGCGATAGGGGAGTTCGACGCGATCACATCATCCATGCTGGCCTGTCCCGCTCCAGAGGTTGATCCTGAGTTCGTCATTGTCACTGACTTTCAAATCATTTTGCTGGGCGTAGGCAGAATTTGAGCCGATGGCGAATGCCTCAGAAAGATGGAGACCCCGAAAGACACGTGAAGCGGGGCCAGCATGTTCTCGAGTATCGGTTTACTACGCTGGGGTTAGCGGTCTTCCTGTATAGTCGTTCTCTGAATTTCCAAGCCACCATGAAGATGCACCAAGAGCCGATAGATAGGCCAAGATGAGCCAATGAGAATCACTAGAATCCAGCAATCTGGGCCCAAGTAGGCGAACTAAAGACCATTTTACGAACTTGCTACACGATCAATGCTAGGAAGATGTTCTGCTGAGTTTGCACCAAGCGACATCAGATCAAGCTCTTTCTAGGCTTCAGAATCAGTTCTGTCCATAATTCACGCCGTTATCCGAAGAATCCTTTATCAACTGCCGTGACGGAGGTCATCTCCCTCGGCGGCTCTGATCCGACGTCTCGTCGCTCTTCCTACAAAAACCACGTCAATGAATGTGCGTCGGTCTCCCGCCACATGATAAGGTCAGCCTGAGACTCAGCCGTGGGTCTCCTTGAGATAGTTAGAAGAAAGGCATGACAGCGCCAAGCATGGGGAGAAATGTGGGTTCTGGCACGTTGTCGTTATCTGCGGAGAGCGCTCCCGCTGTCTTTGTGCCCCAATCGCTAGGGTATTGCCATATCTTTCTCAGATTCCCGTTCAAATCACAGCCAGCCGTCTATTAGATCTTCATGTGTTGCTACTTGAGCCTATCATGACGGCGAAGAGACGTCGGTCAAAAAGTGGCCGAAACAGCTGGAACACAGGTCATGCACCTCCATGGCATCTGGTGTAGGTTTTCCGATCAATTGGTATAAGTGCTATGCTGCTCCTCACCCTTCAAAATGTGTGGGGGGGGCATAAAAGTCCAGTCCGTATTCAGCTTGCTGCAGACACCTTTCAATCTCGACAAAGCCCTTGTGTTCGGACTCCAGCAGAAAACGATATCTGCCAACTGGCGAGTGTCTGCGAAATATGGGCAAGCTTTCGATGCCGAGTAAGGCCGAGATGGCTGCACCTTTCCAGTCCAAAGAGGCTTTCATAGATTTCTTGAAGGCTCCTGAGGGCAATGAAGGCCATGCTGTGGTTGGGGATTCAAGATGGTCAAACAAGGACTTGGCACCAACACCCGTGAAAGACAGGACATGGACATGGTGAGGATCTTGTTTGAGGCACAGAGTCACGGTTATCGCTGATCGTTTAAGGTACAACTTACCTCTTTACTGGTTCTCTAGTCAGTTCTCCATCGTTGGTTGGAACACTGGAAGTTCGCTGGTCACCGTTGGCCTCGTAAGCGGACCATTAATGAGATTCTGCAATTGATATACTAACATTGTTCAGACATGGCAGCAGTCCTTCATATCCGCGTGCATCGGCTCATTCCTCGCATCTGTGATCGTCGTCCTGATGGCTCGTCCAGGAGCTAAATATCACATCGGCTAGTAAGTCTGAGTCGGAGATACAGCAATTCCTGGACCTAACGATTTACAGCCCAGTGCTCGCACGTTCAGTCATGGGAATGTACGGATCATACTTTTTTGTCTTCATCAGGGCTATGGTTTGCATCGTCTGGTATGGCATCCAAACTTTCTATGCCGGAAACGTCCTCTCTGTGATGTTCCGCTGCATTTTTGGAAATTCCTGGAACAATCTCGATAACACGCTACCGCTGAGCGCAAACGTATCGTCGAAACAACTTTTGGCATTCTTCATAGCGTGGCTCATACAATTTCCAATCGTAAGCTGTTCTGCAGAATCTGAAAAGCTTGCGTCACTGTGCTAATCTTGCTCAGATGTGGGTTCATCCTAAGAGCATCCACTACATCTTTACGGTCAAAGGATTCACCATGCCGGTGGCTGCTTTCGCTTTATTCGGATGTGCCATGAGTATGGGTGCAGGACTAGGAGATATGGACATTGCTTCAAAAGCCGGCGAGCTCTCATCTTCGGTTACACCTCTAGGCTGGTCCATCATGTCTGGTATCAACACAATTTTTGGAGGCCTGTCACCCATGCTAGTCAATCAGCCCGATCTTGCTCGCTACTGCAAGAAGCCTCGAGACGCTGGACTTCTTCAAGGCCTTTGTGTTTTCTTCCCTACAGTCCTCGTCTTCTTCCTTGGACTGGCCTCGACGACATCTATCCAGATTAAATGGGGAACTGCCTACTGGAATGTTTGGGATCTTCTCGACGTTATCCTTGACCACCATTTCAGCGCCGGTGCTCGTACTGGCATCTTCTTCATCGCGCTCGTGTTCTTCTTCGGTGTCTTTGTGACCAATATTGGTGCCAACTCACTTCCATTTGGTGCTGATATGACAGGTCTGATTCCCAAGTTCCTTACGATTCGCCGAGGTCAGATTCTGTGTGCGATCTTGGGAGTGGTTGTCCAACCTTGGCAGCTCATGGCCAATGCATCGGCCTTCCTTAGGTATGTCCATATGATGGTGATCGTCCCCCTTGACATGAGACTGACAACGCGCAGCTTCTTAGGATCATACAACATCTTCATGGCGCCACTCTGTGCAATCATCATTGTTGACTACTTTGTCGTTCGTAAAGGCAACCTACACATACGGTCATGTTTCAGTGGCAGCAAGTCAGGCCTGTATTGGTACTGGTCAGGCGTCAATATAGTTGGCGTGACCGCATGGCTTCTGGGTACAACAATGGGAATACCCGGTCTCATTGGACAGTATCAACCAGAAATCATCAGCTTGGCGGCAAAGAACATGTACAGGCTCGGCTACATTCTAACTTTCACAACGGCAGCGACTGTATATTACGTCCTTAGGATATTCATCAAGCCACGCATCTTCCCCATTGGACGAGAAGACTCGCCTTTACAGTGGGAGTGGCTAGCGAACGAAAGACGCGAGGGTTTCTACGAAGATGAGAAGGAGGGTATTGAGCTCTTCGCACCTGCCACGCCGCCTGCGATGGAAGCCGAGGAGATTCGGATGAATGGCAAAGCGTACGGACTGAAAGTCTGAGACCAGCATCGGTGATGCATATCTTTCATTGGCAATGGAAAGTTATCAGATTTTGTGTTCATTGACAAGTTTATACATAAGAGGATTATGGAGGAACTGTACTCTTCTATATTTCTACTCGAGGACCACGGAGCTTGCCGAATTTTACGCCTCACATACGACACAAACAGAACATCTCCAGACGTGATAACAACAGCATATAGGAAAATGCTAATCACTCTACTTGTTCAAAGCAAAAGGACAAAACGTACAGCAGCAGGGATTCCCACGTGGTCACCCACCGTAGTACTAATCTGCCGTTCAACTGCTTATGTATGGCAGAGCGGACGGGATGCCCAGTTTTCAGCTGACTGTGGCCGTACGTACTTGAAACATCACTTTTCTGGTATATAATCTAACAATCAGCCCACACGATTGGTGCTATCCTGCATCTCAGTACCTGACGGGACGTTATCATGCGCGCTGGATACTTCGTCTACGATCCGGACAACAGCCAGGTCTACGGACAAGCTAAGTACAGTGATGAGAGCGATGTCGTCCACCGACTCATGGTCTTCTGCTCCACACCTAGTGTTGATGGGGTTGCATTTCTGAGAACCCGAGTGGCCGAATTGCAAGCAAAGCTTAAGAGTTGTGCTTGCCAATACTAGATACTGCCTATGCTTCCTCGACAACAAATTCTATGGGGTCAGCGTGTATATTGATGGGACTCTCTCCTTCAGCAGCCTCATATTCGTTGTATGGCTCATCATCATCAAGGAGAACGTCGTCTTTGGTTTCCCACCACCAATTTGTGACTTTTTCTTCGCCAGTGATTACAAGTCGATGTCTGTGCCCAACGTGGAAGCGTGGTAATCCCGTCCCAGGCATGTTCCGATGCATGATGAGAAATGGACATTGTACCTCCAAATCTACCCCAGGATACAACGTAATATGATACTTCTCATCGAAGTTGTTCTTTCTGCAAGAGAACCCGGGACGCTTAGGTCCCTTGGTGCTTTCTAGATGGATAGGAGTGGGAAGCTCGGTGGACACATCGTGAAGTTTGAAGTTGTGTCGTCTGAGAGCCAATTGAGGATTGAATATTGTAGGCCAAGTAAAGATTGTTATTGGAGCTGGAGCAGTGAGCTTTAAAGTGATAGTCAGGGTAGGTTGCTGTTCGATATAGATATCTGGTGGTAGTGAAAGAATTGTTGATATGGTTGGTTGTATGATGGTTGCCATCGTGAAAAGTTGTTTGTGATTGCTGTCAGGTCGAGACTTGCAGCATGACCTTTCGACCGAGGTCCAAAACTGAAGGCTGTTGCATCGAAGATATAGCACTACTGTGATATATGTCGTACAGTCACAAATGTGGCTGGTAAGGAAGGAATCATTCGCCAAGGAGGCGCGTCATGATCATCTGTCACCAACACTCCTTCCTTCTTCCATCCCCAACATCAATGCAAACCCTGCAGCTGCAACTCACGAGCAGTCATTGCCAAACATTAGAACAAGGTTCCTGCCATGATGCGCATCAATCTGAAGCAGAATACTGGTAGGCGGTCACATGGAAGGTCCTCTACAGCGGCCACCCGAGATTATGAACGCGCTGGCAGTGATACAAGGCTCGCTGTCGACTCACGGAACCAGGAATGGTTATGCTACAATTGCCAGAGCCACGCGGCCAAGGTATCACAAAACCACCTGCGGATCATCCCAACCTCACTGCCGACGACTCCGAGCAAAGCGGGCGAGTGCGGAGGATGCAGCATCAATAGTTCATGCAGTGTAACTACCACGAAAATAGCAAGAACAGCAAGAACAAAAAATATAGAGATAAATGCATGTAATATTGAGCAGCGAGATGTCACGTCAAGTTTCGCTCATCTTTTTCATTCAGTCTTTTGAGCACACTCGAAAAGGCAATGGCTTCAATCAATACCAAAGATAGCGATGCAATATCTGAAACAAGCACACTCGCAGGAAGTCTGTCAACAACAGACTACGTTCCAAGAAAGAGCACCAACAAGAACAACAATAATAACAACACCAACTTCATTGCATTGCAGACTTTACTCGAGGCACCAGAGCTAGAACAGTCATCCTCATTGCATGCCCGTGAGACTATCGTAGAGTCACAGGCGGTTGTCAAGAAGAACAAGCGTCGAAAGATATACTGGATCATAGGATTAACGACATTCGGCTGCTGTACTGTTCTGGGGGCCATACTTGCCGTGATATTCGGCCCCCGACCTGTTCAGCAAGAGCATAGTTGGTGAGTTCTTTCACAGCAGACTGTATGTCATAGCTCTTAGCACTGCTAACTTGACAGATCGACGGAAATGTCTGTCAATTTGGTTTTCAAGTTAAGATTACGATGCTTTACTTCATATCTCTTGATATCGACACATCTAGAAAAGGATCTGCTCGCCAGTAACACCACTGTATCCAGCCTTCGTCGCACCTATAACACCAGCCTTGACCAAATCCTGCGCAAGACCAAAGATCATGCCATCGCAACCTTTAGCCGCCAAGATATCAACACTGACTGGGAGGTATTCCGTCTGCAACGTAATGTTTGACTTGTACGCTGCCTGTCCAATAGGCAACACAAAATCGGGCACACCAGAAAAAATGGAGATTCTGCTGGTCGAGAAACCAGTGGGTATCCCAGGGGGGCTCCGATAGGCGTTTCTGTAGGTGGTGGTTCCTGAATTGCCTACGTAAAGCCCTAGAGTCTCGCTGCAGGTCTGCTCATTGGTTACGAACACTGTTTCGTCGATCCAGTTGCCGAAGGTAGTCTTGTTGGCTATCGCTTCATCGACTGTGGAGGGAGGAAAAGATGCAGCCCAGCCCCAACGAGCAAGGGGCACAGGGTTCACAAAGGGGAGACGTCCTGAATTTGCCGCAGAGTAGTCGGCGTAGAAGGGGTCGCGGACCGAAGACGTTTGTTGGCCGATGAGAATGGGATAAGTGATGTTCATCATGTCGATGAGCGAAGATGTGACGTTTGAGGGATGGCTTTCGGACCATTGCTGTGTCAGATTCAGGGTGGTGGACGTGGCATTGAGGAAGGTTGTCAACTTATCCAAGAAGGAAAGGAGAAGACCATCGGCTTCAGAACTGTTAGAAGTAGGCCAACCTATCGTCTGAATCTTTGAAGGGTAAACGTGCGAGAGAGTGACGTTATCTCCGTAGAGTACTTTGGAGGCATCAATCCAAATATCAGGGTGTCTTGTTAGGAAGCCTGCAGTATCCATCTGTGGCGCCATGGGCATGACACCTTCAAGCGAGACCATGCCCCATGTAGGTCTGTTACCAAAAAGGCCTTGTACTTGTGAGGGATTTCTGATGCTACCGCCAGTGTCGGAGCCCAAAGTTATATCCAGCCAATCATATGCAGCAGCTCCTGCCCCTGGTCCGCTAGAGGATGATGAGGTGTCTTGATAACCATCACCACGAGGGTTGAAGGGCTCGTGGTAGTCGACCCAATCTGCTGTTGCGACTTCTCCGTTGGCAAATTGTGAAGTCTTCATCTTACCCACTATGACAGCGCCAGCGTCGATGAGCCGTTGGACAGCAAGGGCTGTCTTGTTTGCAGGTGGGTAAAAGTGGTACCATGCTCTGTTACCATTGGACGTTCTCAACCCAGCAATATCGTAAATATCCTTGATTCCTATACGGACACCCGCGAGTGGCTTTCCAACTGTCTTTGTGAAGTACAAGCGGGAAGGTACTGCAATCGCCAGCGATTGTCCTTCGACATTGGCGGGCAATACCGAAAACGAGCCATCCTTGTTGGCAATAGTGGTTTCCAAGAAAGCACCTTGAAAATCACTGAAGAGTTTCCATGCCTCGTGGACAGCGCCAGTAGAAGTCACGAAATAGGGACCAGTGGGAATGGATGAAGTGTTGGAGGCAAACCCAACGGACACTACACCGACACTGTTGTTGCCGGACAGTTTTGGCGCCGAGAAGCCTGGATATTTGTGGCCAGATGTGCCCGAATACTGCACATAGACAGTTTCAAGGAATCCTTTACTGAAGACATCGTCTGAAGAGACATAAGAAGCGATGTCCTTACTGAAGTCCTTCTCACCATATCCGAAGGAGTCTGCATGGACAACAGTAAAGGGAAGCAATCCACCAGCGCTGTCCAAGGCTTTCTTTAGAGGCTTTGAGACGCTGATTGTTGATACAACATTAGGAGGAATATAATAGGAGGCTCCATCTAATTGAACGGTCTGTCCAGTAGGAGTGAATTTGAAAGCGAAGGATGTGCCGACAATCTGGGATAATAAAAGTAGCGCGGCGGAAACAGACCGGTATTGGAGGATTAACATGATGGCGGACGAAGGACAGAGTGAGAGGACCAGGTGCTATTCTTGCGACAGCGACTTCCGTAAGTTTTATACTCGGCCTATCGAGTCATTCAACAAGACTCACCCAACATGGCAGCCACGAGAATCAAAATATTAGAATTAGTCACTACAAGCATGCGAACCCTAAACCCACCTTCCTCCATGAATGTAGTTCAGTTCAGCGATATACTCGTTGAGCCTGTGATTGGAGATAGGCGAGATATCGCTGATCTGTACGCAGTACCGATCGCCGGATTGATGATAAGCCCACATGACAAGCGACCAGGCATGTTATTGCAGTGAGTGTATCTTGACCCCAACCATGATTCGACTCGAGTATACTCAGAAAGATGCTCAGCAAGCGTTGGTTTGAATAATGTAGGCCAGTCATGCATAGGCGGACCTTTGCCTATCAATCCCGATGCGGGCTGTGCAGAATGCTGGGCATTTCTTGGACCCTCCGAATTCGCTGGCTTCTAGGTATCTGCCCTTCATTGCCGGCAAACAATCATCGTGGTATGCGATGACTCTTGTTGCAATAAAGTCTTTGTCGATGCAAGCACTTTCTGACGGACGTCGTGATGTGTCGTAGTCAAGAGAAGTCCATCGGCTTAGAGGTGAGAGGCATGTGGAATTCCTTAAAGAACGTTCAAACGTGAAAAGTTTATAACCAACATGCATCGACACTTTTGGCCAAATTCTTCTGAGGACGACTCTTCCAGTAAAGCCCTCTTGCAGACTTCATACTCAAGGATGTCTGTCGTCTTCAGCAAAGGGTAGAGTAGGTCGAGCAAGATACTCTGTCCGACGGTTAGACTCCTCACGTTCTTGATGCACATCACTTCAACGCACCTGGTCATAGCTCACAACTTCTCCGCATCACAAAATGAACTTGTCAACCCCTCGTCATCAAGGTCCAGATTATCATTCACCAAAATCCAATGCAGAATAATACGAATGGCCACAAGAAGAGTAGAGACGATGTAGAAGGTAGGTGAATTATCATATTCATGAGCCGGCTGCGGCATTTCTGTCCTGATCATAAAAATACATGATAGTCGTGCTCAAACCCTTTACTTGGGGTTGGTAGGGTGGATGCTCTCGGGGAGAGCCTCCTCGAGGCCCTTGGGAGCGACATTTTGGATGGCCTCAGGAACCATAGAGGGACCAGTGGCGTGAGATTGAGACTGGTTGCCAGTGGGGTGCACCTGACTGTATGAGTTGAAGATTCGTTTGGATCGATTGTGGTCAATTACCTGGTTGGGAAGGGCATTCTCGACCTCCTTGGGGGCGTTCTGCTGAATGCTCTCGGGGACTGGATTTTGTGTCAGTAATGCACGTAGAAGGGCGATGGAAGTATGAAGCCTACCCTTGGAGCCACCGGTAGCGTGAGACTGATCAGTTCCAGACATGTTGATTGATTCGGGTGGTTATGTGATTGATTGAAGAGTAGAGTAGTTGATGGATGAGGAAGAGAAAGTCTACAGAGGTAGACAAGTATACTTATATACCTACGATCAAGAGCTCGGGCTCCAAGATCTCAATCCTGGTGCCTGAGACCACGATGTAATGATGAGCCGACCATTTTCCTATGCCCCATGGCGTTCGCAGTCAACATGTAAGGTTTCATCGACGAGTGCGTGACAGCTTGGCTGATATGACGATATATCGACATACTTGGTGCATGCCATGAGGCTCGGTCGCTCTGTTTGCGGGAGATTAACCACTAATGACTTGCTCATGTATAACGAACTGGGTACGTATTTCACACATCACGACAGGGAGATGCATGTTTCGGGCTAATCATTACTCCACAGTATGAGGAATTTAAGCTGCGTCACTGTAAATGCCCCACTACTGGCCGTACGTGGCGTTCGGTTGCGGGTTTTGTTTGGGGCCGAATATCTGGACTCTTTCTCATTCAAACACCGTCACGAAGTTCATCACTTGGATCACGCGACTTCATTGTCAAAGGGCAAGAGTCACAATGATGTGAGGACTCCACAGGAAATGATGACTGGGCGAAGTCATGATGTATGAACAACAGAAGGAGTGGCACAAGCGCAAGAATAGTCGTATTGAGGAAAACCTCATCAATGTAGCACTACTCGGTGATACTATTCGTTGAAAACCATTACTATCGAGATGATCGCGTTCGCACTGTATCAAGTGCAGCTGCTCCATAAAGCGGTCCTGTTTGAACTATTCGGAGTACTCTCCGAGGCTACCAATTTCGTACTTGCGCAAATTTTATTTCCTGTACATTTTTCTGAGCCTATCTTCTGAATCTACACCTACCCGTGTGATAAAACACGTCGTGTATAGCTGTAGGGATGCATAATGGTTGTAGGAAACAAAATGTTTTCCACTGAGAGACGGAAGTTGTGAACTCTCCGTGAACGTGCCTCTGCTTTCCAAAAGGATTGTTGCATAGTTGGAGAACGATGAATCCAGTTGAGAGTTACAGATCTTGGTACGAGGGGAGGCAGCACTGAAGATAACTTGATCACTTGGCACATGTTCAATTGTAGAAAGTCAATCTCCGATTCTCTATGCAATTCCCTGATACAATCTATTCCCTAAGTCCCAAACCATTGCTATGCCGATCAAAAACACAAACATATACATGAAGACTTCTCAACATGATGAATCCTCCTTCAAGTCACTCTAGTACGTGGTAGGAGCAGGAGTAGGGGTAACGAGGCTCAATCCACCGTTGGTAGAGACGCAGCGAATGCCCTGGGGATATTCGTGGGCTGGATTACAGGCGTAGTGAGTGGCTTGGGGAGTGGTAGTGACGAGAGACAGGGCCCCATTGGTAGAAACGCATTTTGCATTCGGGTATGAATGAGCGGGGTTGCAGGCGTAGGTAGCTTGAGCAACAGGAGTGACGAGAGACAAGGCTCCGTTGGTAGAAACGCACTTTGCGTTGTTTGGATAGCTGTGGGCGGGATTGCAGGCGTAGTGGGTGGCTTGAGGAGCAGGAGTCACGAGAGACAAGGCTCCGTTGGTGGAAACGCACTTGGCATTATTCGGATAAGAGTGGGCAGGGTTGCAGGCGTAGTGAGTAGCCTGAGGCGAAGGAGTGACCAGAGTCAAGGAGCCAGAGACCTCAGTGCAGAAAGCTCCGGCTGGATAACTGTGGGCGGGATTGCAGGCATAGCCAGATGTTGCTGAGGCAGTAGGAGTGACCAGAGAAAGTGCTCCGTTGGTCGAGACACAGGAAACACCTTCTGGATAGGAATGTGCCGGGTTGCATTGATAGGCAGGGAGTGCCATAGCCTGAGAGGCAGCGAGGAAGGTGAAGACGGCGGCGGTCTTGAAGGAGTTCATGTTTGCAGAGTTGATCTTGTGCTTAGAAGATTCGGTAGAAGTGATGTTGGAAGATAGAAGTGTAGAAGAGGTGTTATGAAGATGTAATTGTTTGATGATAAAAGAAAAGACTGACATCCCATCTATGCTACCTTCTTATATCCCTTGTTCTCTGGCCGTCTCAGAAAGAAGAATTGATGTTGTGACGTCGCTGTGTTCTAAAGAAAGAAAAAGTTCATCGTTCGACTTGCTCTGTGCACTGAAACCATGGTTCTTAAGGAGATCAAGAAATCTGTGGAGCAACGCGAGCGAACCGTTGATGAAGACCTACATTGATGGTAGCAGCGTAGAGTCGTCTCTCGGGGCGACAGCGTGTAACCTGAGGCCAGACACCGCCCCATCGTCACTTTGCCCGTCGGTGGCGGCCAAGCTTGCGAGATAGAGTTCGAGGCTCTTGAGTCGAACAAAGAGCGTTGATTTTTCTTCTTAGGCGCCTCATATGTGACACAACTCTCAAGTCCCTCGTGACTACTGTATCAAGCGAAGGCGAATCGCATATCGAGCTACCCACATGGCAGAACATCGATCTTCTCTCCAGATGAATGGGTATTGCTGCTCGAGTGATTTGTCGACAAAGGAGAGCAGATCAAAAAACAGCCGAAAGTTTGACAGATCCACGTGCAACGGTTTCTAGGGTCTTGCTTCTAAATTTGGACTTTTCGAAGTCAGTGAATACCGTGGCTCAAAAACTCTCGAAACTCTGCTCAATTACCCAAAGCAAGGTTATGGAATGATAGGTTGTAGGATCTTCGCAGATCCAGTGGACTGTGCTCTATTGGTGGTGACACCAGGGAGAAGAGAACAAAGAAACAGCATGACATTTCTCATATTACAATAGCATTTTTGAACATCTTACATCCAAGGGATTGCGTGACCATCAGCTCTTGGGTCACTGCCTGCACTCCAGACACCACGGTCTTCTACATGGTCGACATGCCATCTGATAACCTGACCTCTGCCAAAGAGACCTCTGCCGTGTCCTTTGATAATTTCGACATTGTGACCCATGGCGCGCAGCTCATCAGCGATTTCCTCTGAGATACCGTCTTCCAGGTAAACAGTCTTGTCAAACACATCACCACTGTCGGGCATGCCTGCTCCAATACAGATACGAGGCGCATCGAGCGCTGCCTGTGGGGTCATCTTGAAGACGAGCATATTCAGTAACACTTGAACGTGTCCTTGAGGTTGCATAAAGCCACCCATAACACCGTAGACAGAATGCAAGCTTTGATCTGCCTTGTTGGTGATGAGAGCAGGGATAATGGTGTGGTAAGGACGCTTGTTAGGTGCGTAGACATTAGGGTGGTTTGCCGGTTGTAACATGAAGTTGCAGGCACGGTTTTGAAGGGTGAAACCACATCCCTTGGGGATAATGGCAGTGCCGAAACCGGCATAGTTGGAGTTGATGAATGAGATACCGTTACCTTCGCTGTCAGTCGCAGCAAAGTAGACAGTATCAGAATGGTTGTGTGCTGGAGATCCATGGTCAGGAATGTCACCAGCCTTCTTGGGGTCGAAGAGCTTAGCACGCTCGGCCAGGTACTTTTCCGAGATGAGCTCCTGAGAAGGAACCTTGACCACGTTGGGGTCTGCCACCCACCAGTTGGCATCGGCAAAGGCAATGCGGAGAGTCTCGACAACAGCGTGAATGTGCCTAGCAGAGTTGTGGTCCTTGTCCGACCAAGCGGGGATCTTGCCATTCTTCTCCAGCTCCTGGAGCATACCCAATGCCATCAGAGCGACAATGCCCTGACCATTGGGAGGGTGTTCCCAGACATCGACACCCTCTGAGCTCTTGTCGTGCATTGTCTCTCCATGTGACTTTGCGATGCCTTGTCCACGGTAATTGAGTTTGATAGGGTCAACTTCTTCGCTGCCCTTCTCCATGTGGTTCTTCAAGTCCTCCAATGACATGAAGCCTCCCAAATCCTGAACGACCTTTACCAGCTCTTCTGCGATTCTTCCAGTGTAGTAACCAGCTTTTCCATGTTTGGCAACCTCGCGGAAAGTCTGTGCCAGGGTAGGATTGCGCATGATTTCGCCAGGCTTTGGAGCGCGGCAACCGTCCTTTGCACTTGGATCTTTCTTGAGCATTTCGGCGAAGTTGGGCGAGGCATCCCGGATTGACTTTTCGGCCTTGGACCACTATACGAGATGTCAGCAGAGTGCCTCAACTGAGATGTGGTTTAAGTACTCACGTAGTAGCCCATGATTTCCGAAACAGGGAAGCCCTCCTCTCCCAACTCAATGGCAGGTGTCAAGATTTGTTCCATGCTCAACTTTCCACTGCCAAACTTCTCAACCACATCAACCCAGCCTGCTGCAGCTCCAGGAACAGTGACTCCGTGTGCACTGTGCATAGGAATTGTGCCTTTCTCGCCGTCCTTGATACCAAGGGATTGTCGTACTTTCTCGCATGTTGCGTTTCCTGGAGCTCTGCCAGAGCCATTCAAAGCATGTACTTGCTTGGTCTTTGCATCGTAGAACAGACAGAACATGTCACCACCGATACCTGTGCTACCAGGCTCGGTCATGTTCAGACCAGCGGCAACTGCGACAGCTGCATCCTATATTCTGTCAACCTATTACTTCTGTGGGTAGAGGATTCAACTTACTGCGCAGTTTCCACCTTGTTGCAGTATTCTCAAGCCACAGTTTGAAGCCAGAGGCTGTGAACTTGACACAATACCCTTGGTACTGTGTACTACACTTCTACGACTGGGGAAAGCGACGAACTCCGGGTCCGCCGCAGGGTAGATAGCTTGGGCATTAAGAGGCATGTCTGTAATTCAGGACTGGGGAAAGCCTGAAAGATGCGGGGTCGTTCGTACAAGCTCAGTGAAGCTGAGGATGGTCAAATGGAACAGAAAAGGATGATCGCTACAAGTAAAAGGAGCGGCCAAGTCCTCAAATATACAGAGACGGCAACGTGATGGTACAATTATCGAAACTCGGCAGTCAACACATACAAGAGGCGGGGCATTGCGGGCATGTCTTTGGCCGAATCGGCCATCCCACCTTCCATATTCGTCATAGAGCGTCTGCTTACCCCAACTCCTACCTCGGCCGGCTATCAGGAGTTGGGGTTATCGTGAATGGTCGCGTGTATAAGCAATCCGATCTCGGTGCTGTTAGAAGTTGTGTTATACAGTGGTGTTTATAGTACAGTACTTCAAGAGTCCTTCTTAGCAGCCAGCTCTTCTTCGGCAGCCAGGCCCAGCACCTCTTGTTCGCTGAGCCATCCTCGGACACTCTCCATGACACGCTCGAGTTCAATGCCTCCTTCGAGCACATCGTCCAGGTCGTGCACACTAATGCCGCTGCGGTGGTCAGTCACTCTTTGCTGACCCCAATTGTATGTCCTGATTTTGTTCTCTCTGCCCATTTTTGCGACACCGACAACACTTCGGCGCATCGCAAGCATCTCTTCTTCTCGTTGCTCACGCCTTGACTGAGCAATTCTACTTCTGAGCAGCCTCCATGCTTTTTCTCTGTTCTTGGGTTGTGAACGTGAGTCTTGAATAGCGACGACGGTTCCGGTTGGCAAATGGGTCAATCTGACAGCACTGTCGGTTGTGTTGACGTGCTGGCCACCTGCTCCTCTTGCACGCATAACATCGGTACGGACGTCCTTGGGGTCGACGTAGTAGTCGCTGTTTGGATCATCAAAGCTGTCTTCTCCTAATTCCTGCGAGGGCTCTGCAGGGAAGGATGGGAGAACCAGTACTGAGGCGGCGCTAGTGTGTGTGCGTCCCTTGCTTTCTGTCGCTGGCACGCGCTGCACTCTGTGAACTCCAGCCTCGCATCTCAAGATGCCGTATGCACCTGGCGACTCGACTTCGAGCACTGCTTCTTGCAGTGGCGCGTCTGAGCCTGCACCTTGGCCATCGGCGTCTTCGTATTTGAGCAAAGATGTCCGTAGACCCAGGCGGTTGCAGTATGAGGTGTACATGCGTAACATGTCGCCAGCAAAAATGGCAGCTTCTCCGCCACCTGCGCCAGGTCTGATTTCGATCAGGCATGGCAGATCGGCGAATGGATGGCGAGGAACGAGTGCAAGCTTGAGAGCATCCGAGGCTTGGGAGAAATCATTCTGCGAAGATGCCAAATCTTCCTCTGCCAGTTCGACAAGATCCTTGTCTGTCTTGGGGTCTGATAGAAGCGTGCGCAGTTCCGAAAGAGAATCATTTGCCTTTTCCCACTCTTTCAACGCGTTTGTGACGGACGATAGCTGGCCCAATTTCTTGGCTGCCTTTGTATCGAAGTTCTCGGCGAGTTTGGCAGTGATCTCATCGTGCTCTTTGGCCATTGACCGAGCTCGTGAGAGCAGGGCAGGAGAAATGGCTCCATCAGCCGCTGCGGCTGCGAAGGGTCAGAACGAGCTTCTGGTAGGCAATCTGCTCAGCTGTGTCTTACCTGTGGTTTGCAGACGAATGCCGCGAAGAGACAAAGGTCGTGGCAACTGTCGCAGGCATGTCGACAGTGTCCATAGGATTTGGCGCATGTCGAGCAAAACTTGTCGACCATCTGCTTTCGTTCTCCGGACATTTCACATGCTTCTCCGAGAAGCTTGGCGCTGTCACGACCATGACCCTGTTATTGAATTTATTCTTCTAAACTCATGAATCGTTCTATAGACCATCAAGGACTGCTTTCAGTCCATGGTGAAGGCTCAGCAAATTGCGTTCGCTCCCGAAAGTCCAGCAGTCTCTGTAGTGAATGTTTGACGGACGTGTCTGGGATGTTACCAAGCAGGTCAACATCCGCCAGCCATTGCCTTGCTAATCGTTTTGACGACAGAGGCGCGTGAGCACCATGAGGATCTGCTCTGAAAAGGTCTAGAGTCTCCTTCTCTAATCTCTGTACCTCCCGCAACTCTGATAGAGGAAATGGTGGATTCAACCCCTGCACACGTATTTTCTCGCTGGGCCAGCAAATTGCGTCCGCGTGGCATTCCTGTTCTTGTCAGTACTCACGTTTAGGAGACCATATCGAATCACACGAACAAGAAACCTAGCTTCTTTGAAACTATGCGTGATTACAGTAACCATTCGTGGCCACTTGCCTTTCACCTCGTAGTACTTGATGAGGGAAAAGAGCAGGTTCTGGTAACTGTCTGTTGCAGCGTCTTCGCACAATACCCTACCATCTGTCATGGCTTGTTGCACAACGTCGGAATCACCGAAGCAATGCACGAGGATGTTCCGATAGCTGTCAGCTTCACTCGAGGGCGCATCCCGTTCGGTCTTTGCACCTGAGAAGACGAGAATGGTCTCCGCTCTACGAAGTGCATTCACGCCAGCCTGAATATGCAGCAGAAAAGTCTCGTGTTCTCCTGGCTTCCCAGTAGAAGCATTAGACCGCTGGAAAGGCTTGAGCAGCCAGTTCGACTCTTCATATGAATTTCTGCTCAGAAACAAAGAGCATGAACAATTGAGGCAGGAAGAACAGCCAGATGGAAGCCTTACGGAGGATTTGTGCAAATGGCATGGCAGCACACTATGACCAGTTCGCCCATGACGACGTCCTGTGGCTTGTACAGACAGCAAGCACAAGCTGGAAATGAGGCGCAGCTGAATGGGACTTCGCACAGCGTAAAGTGAGTCCGGTCCAAGCGCAGATCAAATACGAATTGATCGAAGTAAGTTATTTGCGTGAGCCACTTGTTCAAGTGTGTCTCGAGATCAGGTAGCTGCAATGCCACTGATGATGCGTGGAGAGACAGTTTTGTGCAGAAGGCGGCGAAATGCTGCAGGAGGTCGGATGGCGGTCAGTAGAGTGTGATGAATGGTTCAAAGGTTGTCTCACGTTCACACCGTCTGCGTCGTTGCCAAGTGAAGGGGGCCACAGCTTCGTCGGCGCGTCAACGTCAACAGGGTGCTATATTTGGTTCATGGTTTGTCGCCGAGGGTTACTAGGGAAATGCAGAGATTGAGTTGGAGGTAAAAGGACGATGGACACGTAGGAAAAGGAGGATAGATGATACAAATAACCAACGGGGTCTTGAATGAGAGAAGAGTGACTTTTGCGAGTACTCATTTATTAATTAGCGTGTGTTTCGAAGCGCTGCATTGGTTTCAGCTTTCTCCGCATAATAGTGCGTACGTACGAGGCTCACTGGCTCAGGGACCAGCAACAGTACAAGTTCCAAGGTCTCTTTGTTCATTCGATCAGGCGCCCTGACAAGGGAAAGTTCTTGTGGTTGTTTCGTTCTTTCCTCCTTGTCCTCCAACACCCACCCCCTTAAGTTACAGACTTGATACTCGCCGTCGCAGGCTTTGTTTCATTGCATTCCTTGTCGACTACCGTACCAAGCAGTAAGGGGCAATTTTCCAAGAGTTGCCGAGCATGGCCTACCATGGCGTTCCAGGTGGCTACGACCACGATGCCATAAACAACGACGTACGAAGCTCTCCCACTCATGTCAAACATGAACAAAAACATGGACAAGAAGACGGCTGACCGGCGGCAACCGCAGTACCACAACCAGCACGAGTCGGACGAGGAGGTCGAGCGATCGCTCCTGCATACCAACCCTACCGGAGCTTACCAGGGGCCGTTTGACGACACACACTCGCACACGCCCGCTCCACACGATCACGGCTACAGCTTGACAGATTCCTATGTCGACAACTCCCACGTGCCCTCGTACGACAACTATGACGACTACCGAGGCACTACTCTCCAAGATCCGGGATATCAGCCCACTGGTTCTCCAGTCTCGCGCGCACAAACAACATCGACCGAAGCGTGGGAAGCAAGAGCACAGATTGGTGGACCTGCTGCTGGCGGCGGTGGCCTCAAGCGCAATGCCACACGTAAGGTCAAGCTGGTCCAGGGCAATGTCCTGAGTGCCGACTACCCCGTACCCAGTGCTATCCAAAACGCTGTCCAGGCAAAGTACAGAAATGACCTCGAGAGTGGCAGCGAGGAGTTCACCCACATGCGCTGTAAGTTCTGATACGCTAAGGGACAAGACTGTTCACGCGCTGACCTCCTGAACAGACACTGCGGCGACATGCGACCCCAACGACTTTACGCTCAAGAATGGCTACAATCTCCGACCAGCCATGTACAATCGTCATACCGAACTTCTGATTGCAGTGACATACTACAACGAAGACAAGGTCCTCACTGCTCGCACCCTGCACGGTGTCATGCAGAACATCCGAGATATCGTCAACCTTAAGAAGTCCGAATTCTGGAACAAGGGAGGTCCAGCATGGCAGAAGATTGTTGTATGCTTGGTTTTCGACGGTATTGACCCCTGCGACAAGGGTACCCTGGACGTGCTGGCCACGATCGGTATCTACCAGGATGGCATCATGAAAAAGGATATTGACGGCAAGGAGACGGTTGCTCACATTGTACGTTGACTTGGTCTATCCAGCTCACACAGTCTGGCATACTAACAATCCGCAGTTCGAGTACACCACTCAGCTGTCCGTAACAGCCAACCAGCAACTCATCCGCCCTCTCGACGACGGCCCAACGACTTTGCCTCCTGTGCAGATGATGTTCTGTCTCAAGCAAAAGAACAGCAAGAAGATCAACTCGCACAGATGGCTGTTCACTGCCTTTGGCCGCATCTTGAACCCCGAAGTCTGTATCTTGCTAGATGCTGGAACCAAGCCCGGTCACAAGTCTCTGCTCGCTCTGTGGGAAGCTTTCTACAACGACAAGGATCTCGGTGGTGCCTGTGGTGAAATCCACGCCATGTTGGGTCCTCGCTGGAAGAACCTCGTAAATCCACTTGTCGCCTCTCAGAACTTCGAGTACAAGATTTCAAACATTCTCGACAAACCGCTCGAGAGTTCGTTCGGTTATGTCAGTGTTTTGCCTGGTGCCTTCTCTGCTTACCGCTTCCGCGCTATCATGGGTCGTCCACTCGAGCAATACTTCCATGGTGATCACACCCTCTCCAAACAGCTCGGAAAGAAGGGTATCGAAGGCATGAACATTTTCAAGAAGAACATGTTTTTGGCCGAGGATCGTATTCTTTGTTTCGAACTGGTCGCAAAGGCGGGCTCCAAATGGCATCTGACCTACGTCAAAGCCTCTAAGGGTGAGACTGATGTGCCTGACAATGCTCCCGAGTTCATTGGTCAACGTCGTCGTTGGCTGAACGGTTCGTTCGCTGCCTCCATCTATTCCCTGATGCACTTTGGTCGCATGTACAAGAGTGGTCACAACATCGTCCGCATGTTCTTCCTGCACCTCCAGCTCATCTACAACATTGCCCAGCAAATTCTGACTTGGTTTGCTCTGGCTTCTTACTGGTTGACCACTACCGTCATTATGGATCTTGTCGGCACTCCCAGCTCATCGAACAATAACCACGCTTTCCCATTTGGCAACGACGCTACTCCCATCATCAACACCATCATCAAGTACATCTACCTCGCATTCGTCCTTCTGCAATTCATTCTTGCCTTAGGAAACAGACCCAAAGGTTCGAAATTCACGTACATCGTCTCATTCTGTTGGTTCGGTCTTGTCCAACTTTACATCACTGTCGATTCGCTATATCTGGTCGTTCACGCCTTCACAGGAGGTCCAGGCTTCAATACAGATAGCACGGACGACTTTGTCAAGTCCTTCTTCTCTTCAACGGGTCCTGGTATCATTATCATTGCCTTGGCTGCAACCTTTGGTCTCTACTTCGTCGCTTCCTTCCTGTATCTCGACCCCTGGCACATGTTCACCTCATTCCCTCAGTATCTTCTGATCATGAGTTCGTACATCAACATCCTCAACGTCTACGCCTTTAGTAATTGGCACGATGTGTCCTGGGGAACCAAGGGTGCCGACAAGGCCGACGCATTGCCATCAGCCAAGACAGAAAAAGCGCAAGATGGTAAAGCGACGGTCATAGAGGAAGTCGATCTAGCACAAGCAGACATTGACTCGCAATTCGAGACCACCGTCAAGCGCGCTCTGACACCGTATGTTGCACCCAAGGAGAAAGAAAGCAAGACCCTTGAGGACTCGTACAAGAGTTTCCGTACCCGTCTGGTCGTCTTCTGGATCTTCAGTAACGCATTACTCGCTGTCGCCATCACTAGCGACAACTTCGATAAGTTCGGATTTACTAGTGGCGCCAGCAAGCGTACTGCAAGGTTCTTCCAGGCTCTGCTGTGGGCAAACGCCATTGTTGCACTTGTCCGCTTCTGCGGTTGCTGTTGGTTCCTCGCCAAATCCGGTCTGCTGTGCTGTTTCGCACGCAGATAAACATTAACGTCCACGGCCTATGTTGTTTTCGCATTGCACAAAAAGATTGTACTTTTGGAGAAACATGACATCTGTTGTTGCTGTTGGAGTTTGGATACGCATGCACTTAACTTTTGCTTTTTGTGTTTCATGCTGCATCTTGCACACATTAGCTTATATACCACTGGTTGGTCTAAAAAGCCACAGAGATACCTGCATTTTCAACCTACTTTACCTTGCGTTCATTGTTAGTGGTGCCTGAAATGTGACTCTATGCTCTTGAAATATCATTGGCCTTCTATCGTATCATGTACCAGAAGTCTGGCGAGCAGTGATCGGCACACGAGACGAAACAAGAAGCTTATTAGCTGGGAGAAAACGACAGAGTCGAGACAGGAAAATTTGGAAGAAAATTGTGAATCTGAATCTTGAGAGATTGGCGACCCTCGTGATGATTAGGGCGTGGCTTCTAGCCCTTGTCCTATTTTATGTCAAAGTATACATCTGGACGAGCACACTGCTTGTTCGTCCCACGACGCTGCGACAGGCAAGGACTTGCAGAACATGGCCATCTCTGACAATGCGTGGCCGCGCAAGAATGGCTTGCAAGTCGTCTCTCATATGACGAGCTTTGCAGAACTCCTTGTTCTGGCGGTGTGGACTGACATGGGTCAGTCGGCAATAGTTTTTAATCGAACAACGTATGGTGTTCAACCCGAGCCTCTCAATGCCATATCGACGATAAGTCTTCCTCTCTCTCCTCCCAAGAAGCCGGCACCGTCTTCTCCCTCGTCCTGTTCAATGTCAAGGCTGGCATCGTATGCTCTGCGAACCATCTCTTCGTCGACCTTGACACCATTCTCAGCCAGGGCTCTAATACAGCCAGCGACTCTTGCAATCTCTTTCCTCGTGTCCGGGCTGATGTCATCGTTCTGGCTCGAGTACATGGTGGTGCTGACTTGCTCCTCGATCCTGGTGATGCTGACATCCTTTGACTTGTCTGCCTCGACGTGCTTGGAGATCCAGATGTAACCATTGACTCCGAGGATAACGTCGACCTCTCCACCTCTGCTGGAAGTCTGCAGAGTAAAGATTTGTCTCTTTGCTCTTACAACACCAGCACCACCTCCGACACCCGACACAGCCATAAAGTATCCATTGCGCAGTTTACCGTACTTCAAACTGCGCGTGTGCAGTGAAGCTGAGCCATCCTGGAACAAACTCTGCACTTCTGCAACTAGTAACTCTCCCTCTTCAAAGAATGTGCGAATGTTCAATTCATCGACACTGGTTCTCTTGCGCAAGATACCGCCGGGCAAATTGATACTGCTTAATGGCAACGCAGCCGTCAAAGCACCAGCAACATCCACCTTCCACCTTCTACTCTGCACCTCAATGATACGTCCAATAACCAAATCTCCAATCTCTGGGGTGTAGCGAGCGCGCAAGGGGACCACCGAAAGCAGTTTGTTTGTTTTTTGCAGTGTGCCAGCGAGGGTGGAGCGAATGATGGGAGCAAGGTCGCCATTGTCGTTTGTATAGGTTCCGTGGCCGCGCATCCATTGTGGATCTGAGGTGATGACTTCGCCGGGCGTGATGATGTTTTTTCGTCGTGTGGATGAGCGCGCGGCGTGGTCTTCGTTGTCTAGGTCCATTTCATCGTCTGAGTCGTCGCGGCGCCATGTGGCGGCAGACGCTGCTGGTGAAGGTGCGAATATCTGGATTGGCATTGTGTATATGTGTATTGTGAGGTTGGGTTGCGTTTCAAAGAGAGCTTGTGAATAATTTCTGGAAGGAAGCTCGAGACTGGTGATGCAATGAATTGTGCCAAGCCTGTTTTGGTTTGTGCATGAATTATGTCTTGCATGGGTATTACTTTCTTGTACAGACTATCTTTCAACTGCTACGAACTAATATACATACAGCCAACCTGAACTCCAGATACCCGCCCGAGCCCATCTAATCATTCGTAAATTACTCGAAGCTGAATCTTCTTTCCGAGCCGCCGTCTCGAATCTCGTTTCTTAATTCCACTTCTTCGGGCTGCACAGCTCTTCTTTCCGGTGGTTCTGCTGTTACCGGTGTTGCTGGGTTGCTTGGATTGACCCCATTGTACACCTCTTCTCGCCGCCTCATCATCTCCTTTTCTGTGATCGTTCTGCCATCCGCTTGTGCCAGCTCAGGCATATCGCCAGGCATCTCAAAGATTTCGAGCCCTCCTGCTTCGCTTGCAACCCCTGGTGATGCTAAAGCAGGTGAGACCGAATCTACTTGTGTCGATGACCATGTGCTGCCTCCGTAAGCGGTGGGACTTGCTATGCTTGAATCCGGCCGGACTGGTGGCTTGGGATCCTCAACGACTGTTGACCCTTCCAATTCTGCTTTCGGGAAGACAGTCGTTCCCTTCTCTCCAGCACCGATTGTGGTACGCGAGATTGAGTCCCTTGAAGGAGACGACTCATCGCCTGTTTCTTTCTCTGCCAAGCGTGCCTTCTTCTTCCTGTCACGACGAATGAGCCAGATGGCCAAGCCAACGACGGCCAGCACACCGACCACGCTGCCTGCTACAATACCTCCAATCGCACCACCACTCAAGCCAGCTTTTGAGGACTTGCCTGATGTTGCTGATGTAACCGCTCCAGAAGAAGCTCCACTATACCCACTGTTTTGAGATGACGGAGCTGGCTCGATTGTGATAATTTCCGGAGTGTCGCCGATGTTCTGTGGCCAGACGCACTGAGACACATTGAACTTGGCGCGCTCGTAATCTACAGTGATGTATGCTTCTTGCATAAAGGTCCGGCCAAGCGTGTACTGAGAACTGTTCGCCGCTCTTCGAAGGGGAAAGTAATTTGATCTATCAGCCAATCCCTGGTACGGTGATTGTGCTGTCATATCAAACGCAGCGTAGGGCAGTGTGATTGTCGTCTGCTGAAGTCCTGAAGCCGTAGTGCCGATCGTGAAGTTGACACTAGCATTACGAGCCAGAAGAGAGGCGTGGAGTGATGAGTTAACAATATAGAGGTTATACGTAGAGTCCCAGATCAGGCCAAATTGTTGTTCGAAAGCCTGACAAGCATCGAGAGGAAGCCAAATTTGGCTTACAGTGGAGTCGATTGAAGCATAAATTGGTGCAGGTAGTAGTTCCACACTGGACGATGAGTTTACTGCTTGCGTGGTGATAGACTGTATCGCAACAATGGTGTCCTTGACAGGGTCGGAAGCAAAGTCGAACTCAATGTCGTTGACTTGAAAACGACTCTGGTCGTATCCACCTAGAGTAAGAGATCCGTCTACACCAGTGAAGCGATACGGAGCACCTGCAGTGTAGCCAAACGAGATACTAGGAATATCACCCTGTGCTTTAAGCTTCGTCATGAGACTGACACCATGCGAGGTTTCAGACCAATTGGTAGGCTTTGGATTCAGTCCTAGGCTTCCTAGCCAGAAGTCCGATACGGCAAAGGCACCGACTGTCGCACCCTCGACGGTGGTGTGATTCGAATCGTCCAGGACAATGCTGTCATAACCGTAGTATGCGTTTCCGACAAGATTCAGATTCTGTTCAATTCCGAATTCGAAGATGCCGACATAGCTCCAGTTTCTCGATTGACTCAGGTTGAAGACTTCTCCTCGAGAATTGACACAATCATTGTAATTAGTATACATCGAACACCCTTCAGGAGCCACAACCAGAGTTTGGAAAGACTGCCATGATGGGAGAAGGCGGACTTCCTGCGCAGGAACTCCTACACTCAAATTGAAGGAGGACCATGTGCCATCCAGACCATCCCTGAGAATCGTCAGTAAAAGCGCTGCAGACTGCAGATTATGCCAATGAATTTGCATACCAGACGTCACTTGGCCTGATGACCAATGGTTGCACACTGCACGAGACTTTCGCAATAGCTGTTGCCAGTAGTAATGCCAATCCGACGTGGCCGGGACGACTGAGAAGAGAGAATGCCATGGTGCTAATGCTCCCAGTTGATGGAGAAGCCAAAGTCGATATTCCAGACTACATGAGAACCCTTGCGCACGCCTCGAGCGTCTCTACAAGCTCTCAACGCACGAAATTTCTGCTTCGGTAGAATCGACAGCGTTTGTGCAGGAAGTCATCTCAGACAGCCTCGTCACTGTAAGATAGTGGAATCACAAACCTTCGGCTAGGCCGAAAAGCTAGGCAAGACAAGTGCGCCAATCGCATGGCGCTCGGCGGGGTGCGCGAAAATCACGAGCATACATGCGAATCCATGTCGCTTGTCATCCTGGGCGCTGCTCACCTGAAGGATTTCGGTCTACCGCATGTGTCTTACCCTTGCTGATCCCAAGCGGAAAAGGATTTGAACAATGTAGATAGCCACAATCTCTAGACTCTGCCTGATATCCGAAGTACAAAAGCATAGCATGAACACACCGAGTGAGGTTGCTACTTTGAATTACTTTGATTTCGTGCTGCTTGGAGCTTTGCAAGTTGGAACCTGGCAGCACGTTGCTCTGACTTCTTGCTTGGCAACATGTGCAGTTTTTGGCGTTTGTGCAACTGTTCTCTCCCAACCACAACTCCATCGCGCCAGATGCCGCGGGGCAGACCTATTCCCTTGTTCGTACGGCACGAAACGTAAGGGACAAGATCTGAGGCTTCTGCGTGCCGCACCGCTGGGCTGGCTAGACCCGACGATGCTTTTCGGACTTGACACATACTACCCTACGTGTCGAGGTACTTGTAGTTACATCAGAAACCATATCCTTGCTGAATGCTGAGTCTGTTTCGGACGCAAGACCCGATTCGAAGAAAATTGTCGCCAGATCATCATAGGTACATCTTCATGCGCGACTATTTTGAGCAAGGCTGATGTTGTATCACTCTCGGTAACGATGATCGCATTGGTTCCGCTTGTATTTTGAGAGCATCTGGATCAAATGATGTCGTATATTTTTACGACTGTCCCATTCCTTTCTGAGCCACAGAACCCGTATCGCGCACTGACGACGAACGTCGTAGCTGCTTTCCGGCTACCTTGAGAGCTGGTAAGCTTTGGGGCTGGCAGGCGAAGGATTCTGCACGCACGGCCGGGAATTGAAGCCAGTCAGCAGGTGTCTGCCGCCTGTTCGAGGTAGATGGGGTGGGTTCAAACTAATAGACGCGGTAGGCTTTCGCAACGACAAGGCTCTGCTTGTCATGCGATTCCGCTGAAGCTCTTTCCTGCACTTTGTGTGGATCCACGACCCCAGCCAATTCCCACTTCCCTGTCTTTACAATCACATAACGGATCAGCCTTGGCATAAGCAATGTTCTTTCGTCTTTTCCTTCAACGGCTCCTCAAGTAGCAGCATACCGTGACATTGAGCTTACAAGGTCGTTGCTGGCAATTTTTTCGTCTCATCCTCTTTCCAAGCGTGTCTTGTAGCAGTCTCTCGTTCCCAAGAACCCGTCCGTCATGAGATTCTGCTTTCGCTAAGAATCAAACTTCGAACTGGTGTAACGGCAAGATGTCGTTCTACACTCTCGCTTTCATCGCTTTACTCGCTGGGAAAGGCATTTGTGCAGATTTTCAGAAGACTGACGGTGCGCAAAGGAAAGCACCTTACTACTCTTTGACTAACTCGACACAGGGTGGAATGGTACTTCCTCAACAAGCAGGATCTCATCAACGCCTTCCACGACTTTGACTAGTTCTACATCTGAGAGCCTAGACAAGTTTACGGGCCCAAGTTCTTCGATACTAATACCGACACCATCATCATCGTCATCATCATCATCACCATCATCATTCTCGCAGAATGGAACTGATGTCGTATTGGTGCCAACAACAGTGCATTCATCTTCAACATTAATACACAGTAGTGAACAATCTTCCAAAACTCTGTACTCACCTCAACCGTCTGTGGCGCAAAGCAGTTCATTAGTGATATTGCCGAGTTCTATCCACAGCACTGGTGTTTTGTCAGACAATGCCCAACCAATAAAGCTCGATACATCAACCGACCTTGGCTCGTCTGTATCTACAAGACCTGGTCCAGCAAACTCATCCCAAAAACCTTCAGCACCATCATCTGGAGAATTCGTACAGGAATCGGCCACTCCCACGGCGCAAACAGTCCAAGCTGATTCACAAGCATTGTCAACGCAAGGTTTCCCAAATACGCAAACAGAATCGATAGTGTCCGACACAGAGACTTCAGAACTATCCAGTACTTGGCAAGTTGGTATCTCGCCATCGGCCCATGCAGCAAGTTCGGTTCCCTCAAATCAACCCGCAGTCCAACCTACAGATAACCCTGGTTATGTCGGGCTAGGTTCGTTGATATGGTCAGGGCTTTCCGGATCTTTGCCGACTGATAACAATGTTGGAAATCCAAACCTCGGAGGGTCATCAGGTTACGCCAGGCCCTCTGCAGACGACTCCAACACTGCACCTATGGCGGGGCAGTCAGGCTCGACTGTTCTCACAGGCTATACTGTGACTTCGGTAATAGTCGTCGCTCCAACTAATGGCTTCGGTCCTGGCACGGGCGTCGGCACTGGAACTGACTCAGGTGCGACATCATACACTTACAGGACTCAGACTAGCAACAGCCAAGAGGCTCCAGCTAGCAGTGGTTCCAGTGCGGTCTATTCGCCGAAGTATTCATTCAGCTGGAAATTCAACACCAGTACTACTCGTCGACCTGTTGGGACTAGCAGCAAGGCTTCTCGCCTTCCTCTTCCTCTGCCTTCTCCTGCCGGAAGCGACAACGCAACTAACGCAACCTGTGGAGGCATCACCGTCAACATTCCAGATGCGACACTAGACTACTGGTATACCACAACACTCGACTACGCCGCAGCTACATTTTCAATTCAGTTCGACAATAACGATTCTGCAACTGGATGGACACTTCTTCCGGCTACGACCACTTTTAACGTCACTGATGCTTTGCAAGACCCTACGACCTATTACGTGCCTACAACCATCACCCATAACGCTGCCAATACTTCCGTTTCGTACTATACGACGGTGGCTGTGAGTCCGACGCCCGTGTACGTGTCCACCGCCGTCGTTACTCAAACGGCCACGAGTGCCATCAACTCTTCTTCTGGCGTTGGCGCCATACCTTCCGATGCCGTGATAACTCCACCGCCTGCAAGTACTGTCCTATCTGTCGGGCCGCACCAGCCATCTCTCACAGCCTTGACCAACACTCAATTTGTGTATTTTTCTGAATATGCTCTGGACAGCGAGCACACTACCACGCTCAAGAATGGTACTCCAGCCTGTGTGACCTCGAGAGAGATCAAGAATCTTGGCCGCAACTTTGCCATGGCATACTTCGGGGATGATCCTGATGGTCAAGCACTTGTCACCGGTGATTTATCTGAAGAATTCTTGGACCTCCTCCCTTCTCATCTCAAGCTTGATGTAGGAGTCTTCACTGCAGCACCCACTCTGATTGTTGCTGTTCAGATAGACTATGCTGCAGAAGCGGCCCTGGCTGTCTCACAACCTGCCAGTATGCCAACGGCAAAGACTTTTGGTGGCTCGTTATCTCTAGCCTACTCCACAGCGTTCTCTTATACCTCATATCAAGTAGTGCCGTCTCTCACCCAACCACCGTCTAACGCTCCCATCCTCAGCAGTCATGCGCCACCACGACCACCACTCATCTATCTGAAACCAACTGGTACTTCGACGATTGCAGTCACCAATACAGAACTTGCGACAAACTTTTACATCGTGTCTCCAACGAGCAGTACTGTAAGCGTAGAGCAGACCCAGACGGCACTCATTATAGGATCGAACCCTGGTCCAACTAAGATCCCTGTGGGCGGACAGACTGGAGACGACGGAGATGCAAATTCAGACTCTAGAGGAGATGCGTCAGCTGGTCAAAGTAATGGTGGCAGCGGAACTGGGTCTAATGGAGGATCAAACAGTGATAGCGGTCCAGGCGATGGTGGTGCTAGTTCTCAGAACGGCGGCACATCTGGAAGCTCCAATGCAGGGAATGGGGGTTCCGATTCTGGCGGATCAAACCAAGGCTCTCATTCTGGAGGTTCTGGAGGCTCAAATTCAGGCTCCAACGCTGGAACATCGAATCCAAGCCCTGATTCTGAAAACTCCAATTCAGGCTCTGGCTCTGGCTCAGGTTCTGACAACTCAGGCAACTCAGGCAACTCAGGCGCTTCGAGCAACTCTGAAAATTCTTCTGGCTCATCAAACACAGGAGGCTCAAATACTGGCAACAGCGGATCTTCTGGATCTAATGGCGGATCACAACCTGGCGCAGACTCTGGCTCGGGCGGCAATGTCATTGTTCCTGTGCCCGTTGTCGTCAATATTGGCTCTACGCTGGCAACCATCAACCCCGGCTCTACAGTGATCATTGGAACACAAACACTACAACCACTGAAAGCGGCAGTGGTCATTGACGGCACGCCTGTTTCTATTGGGCCTACAGCCGTCGTTGTGGGAGCTGAGACCCATGCCTTCGAAGGCTCTACAATCCAAGCAGCAGGACCTGTCGCTCCTACAGCCATTACATATGGCGACTCGGTAATTACACAAGCTCCGGTACCTGTGTACAATGTTGGTGGAACGTCAGTCCATGCAGGAGAAGTTGTGACCATTTCAGGCACTGTCGTATCTGCTGCTTCCAGTGGTGGAGTTCTAGCTATTGGCTCAGACACGATTTCTGTCGGGACACCAAATTCCGCAATCACGCTGAGCACGGCTGGCAGACAAGTCGTTGTCAATCCGACTCCTGCATTCGTCATCGGCGGCCAAACTTTGGTTGCTGGGGGTTCCGCGGAAAATGTTGATGGCACTCAGTTATCTTTGGCTCCTTCTGCAACAGCCATTGTTATTGGATCTCAAACATCACAAATCGCGGCGCCAGTCAACCCAACCCGAGGCGCAATCCTGACAGTTGGCTCCCAGACTTTTACTGCGGATGCTTCGACACGCTTCTCAATTGCGCCCGGTGTCACACTGTCTCCAGGCGGATCTGCCACAGTCGATGGGAAGACTGTTCATCTAGGTCCTTCAGGATTCCTAGCTTCACTTGCTGTAGTAGACGGTGTGACTCAGACCCTATCTCCTCCTCTTATCACTCCCGCGCCCGCTTTCTACATGGGTGGTAATGCCTATGGAACAAATGGTGGAGCGGCATTCGTGGTCGATGGTCAGGTTCTTACACCTGGAGGAGCAATCACAGTCTCGGGTACGCCCGTGTCCTTCGTCAAAGAAGGCACTGCTGTTGTTGTAGGCGGCTTCACTCAAGTTCTTGCACAGGCCTCTGCCGTTGCAGCTCCAGTGCTCCAATTTGGCGGTCAGGCCTATACTGCGCAGGCTAATTCAGCTTTCGTTGTTGAAGGGCAAACACTCACTCGAGGCGGTGCCATCACGATATCAGGAACTGAAATCTCATACGCCAGTGAAGGCACAGCTGTCGTCGTCAATGGTGTAACCCAAGCTCTTACACAAGCAAGCCCGACATCAAAACCAGTACTGACCATTGGAGGTCAAGCCTACACGGCTCGCGTTGGATCAAACTTCGTGATTGGTGGTGCTACTTTGGTCCCAGGCGGTCAAATCACTGTCGACGGGACGACCATTTCCCTTGCAGAAGGAGGAACAGCTGCAGTCGTAAACGGTGTCACCGAGACGTTATCGCAAGGAACGGCAGCGTCAGCAAATGTTCTCACAGTCGGTGGTCGTACTTATACCGCTGGAAGTGGGCCTAATTTCGTGATTGGAGGTCAAACTCTGATCCCTGGTGAGGCCATCACCTTTGACGGCACTTCAGTATCGCTCGCACCTGACGGAACGGCTGTGGTTGTGAATGGTGTCACCCAAACACTCGCATCTGCAGCTCCGACGAAAGCGGCCGTTTTGACTATTGGTGGTCAAACATACACAGCCCAGTCTGGAGCTTCATATGTGATTGGAGGCCAGACACTGTATGCTGGCAGCGCGGTGACCATTGATGGCACAACCATATCACTTCAAAGCGGAGGCACTGCTGCTGTCATCAATGGCGTTACCCAAACCCTTTCGCAAGCAACAGCAGCAGCTATACTGAACATTGGCGGGCAAACTTACACAGCGCAGTCCGGCGCTTTCGTGATCGGAGGCAAAACGCTGAAGCCTGGAGCCGTGATCACGGTCGACGGTACAACGGTATCGCTTGACGCTGATGAGACAGTCGCTGTCGTGAATGGGGCAACTACGACTTTGGCCCAAGTCACCGCACCTGTCGCAGCATTAACTTTCGGTGGACACACTTATGCAGCCCAAACAGGCTCGTTTTATGTGATTGGCCGTGAGACGTTGACACCTGGAGGAGTCGTGACTTTGACAGGTGGGACTACCATCTCTCTTGCCTCTTCTGGCTCCTACGTCGTGATCAACGGTGTCACGTCGAACATCCCATATGCAGCAGGAGCGACCCCGACATCGGTCCTGACAGTTGGCGGAAAGACATATACAGCATCTTCTGGGTCGTATGTGATTGACGGACAGACTTTGACTTCCGGCGGAGTCGTCACCCTTTCAGATGGCACGACACTCTCCCTAGGCGCCTCTGTGCTTGTCATCAACGGGCAAACATCTGCCTTGCCAACTGCACAATCTATTTTGCCAGGTCAGATCACCATTGGCAACCAGGTCTTCACTTCTCTTGCAGGCAACACAGCTGCACCAAGCTACGTAATCGACGGGCAAACTCTTCAGCCAGCCGGCCCTAAGATCACAGCGACCATGTCAGGAACGACCTACATCATCACACTCAGCAGTGGAGCATCAACTGTCGAGATCGAAGTCCTGGGCTCGGCAGGAAATGTCATTTCCACCATCTACGAGACTTTGAGAGGTAGTGGTATTGGAGCAAGCACAGTCACCGCTACACAGGCGGTACAAGGTGGTGCTGCAGCATCCGCCACCGTGCCTAGTTTGACGTCAACACCAACCAAGGGCAGCAATGCCGGTTTGCAGAACGCAGCGGCACCTAGAGATGGTGTAGTTGGCATGAGCGTTGCTCTCGCCGCCCTGATCGCTGGGGCTTTGGCCGTCTTTCTGTAGAGTAAACAAAGAGGAGGTAATACTTTATGGCTTTTACGAATCTGTACGAAATCATAGGCATCTATCTTGGGGAAGCGGACACTCTCTTTCTTCTTGTCGTCGGCGTTTTGCGCCATAGCGGGCGTTCTCTCTGCGGGAGGCATGTGATACGACATCAAAGAATGTAGCAACCAAAAGTGGCTGGCTTGAATCTGTTTCTCTTCTGACGAGTTGCTTTCTCCTATAGTATATAGCTTTAATACACCGATTGACTCTTTACTTTCATTTTCATGCTTGGTCTTGATGTCGTTTGTGATTCGTTTCATTCGTTACAGCCGTGCGATTCATTTGACAGGCACCTCAACAACCTGATCAAGCCCCTCATATGGGGGAATGTCCAGTTTGTACTTGTCCGCCATGTCCTGCGACAAGAACCTTCCACCCACAAAGTGTCTACCCTCGAACCACTTGACCAATGGCTTTGGCGCCGTCAAACTGATCAAGGCATCAGGGTTATATCCTTTTCCTGGACCCTGATCAGGAGGGCCAGTCTCAATGTTCCAACTACTGGGTGCATCGACAGCCAAAACAGGAACCTTGGAGGTCTGAAGGGCGTCAATGACGGAAGGGAAAGGTTCGCGAACTTCTCCAGAGAAAGAGAAGCCGAAAATGGAGTCGATTATGTAGTCGGTAGATGAGAGTTGAGCGGAAAAGTCAGAGGTAAAGGGGATATGGAGGTCGCGGAGTTGTTGAGCGAGACGCTGTTTACCCAAACCAATTAGCTTCTAGTCTTCGAGGCGGTAAGTGGTTGCGAAGGTCTTACCTGATATAACTCGTTCTTGGGTTGCTTGGGGTAATACACAGTAGGCTTGTAGCCATAGTGCCAGAGGTGTCTGGCAGCGACTAGACCATCACCGCCATTGTTTCCAGGTCCTACGGCAATCAAGATACGGTTGCCTTTGCTGGGTGGTTGGAGCTTGAAGAGAGCTTGTGAGACAGACAGGCCAGCAAGTTCCATGAGTTGGTCGATGGAAAACGCGCCGGTGCTCATGAGCTCTTGGTCGAGCGCTGCGGCTGCTTTGGCGCCGAGGGTGCGTAGTACCATGGTGTGTGTCTGTCGATGTGATGTGTCGGTCTAGATGTACAAGAAGTGTGCTGGAAGGAGCAGGAATGGTTTTTGAAGACGAAGGTCGATCGTCAATCTGCGTACGTCACACCCTCGACACCCGAGTGGAGCTTCTGTCAGGGTTGTACCTCTGACCCGTGGTTTGCGTCCTCTCTGACCTTGCCGAATCATAGTTCTTATTCATGGCAGGTTTATCGAGATTGGACAGATAAAGTTGATCGGTAGTTTGGAGAGTGCTTTGAATCTTGCATGAGTGAGTAAATGATCGATGTCGAAGGTTTCAAAGAGCAAAGGCAGGGACGATGCGGAGCGCGGTAGAGTGCATGTCATGCTCTAACGTGAGTAGCAATTCTTCAAATAATCAAAAATACATAATCCGAGACGCGCTTGTAGAATCTTTAGACCGCTACCTGTCCACCTGCCAATTGTGTCTTATGTACAATCCCAACCAGCCAATCCCATCCATTCGCTGAACAAATGCAAAACTTCTAGCCAGATCTCCAAAAGAGCATCTATCACTTCTTAGGAGCGTGTTTACCCGACTCTTTTCTCTCGTGAAGCCACTTCTTGACGGGATTTGTATCCTTTTGTACAGGAGCTGGTGGCGTATGGTCGTGCTTGATATTGGTCGGCGCATTTTCCTCGTACGATACCCTCTGGCAGCACTCCATCCTGCGCACTACGTCTGATGCAAGTGCTTCGGCAATGCTGATTCGCTTCTGTGGATTAGGATTGAGCATTCTCAAGACCAACCGCTCCAAAGAATCGCTGTTCAGAAGGTGGAATAGCTTGCCACAGTCTGGATAGTCATCCGACCCAGGCTCGATCGTACCCTCGGGGTGATCCTTTAGCCACTTGTTCCATCCATTGAGGTACTTTTTGTAGTTCGTATTGTCAGGTGTAGCCTTGACCCATGGATGCACACCAAAGACCATACTCAAGAAATTGATACCGCATGACCAAACATCTAGACCTCTTGGATCGTATTCGTCCTTGGCGGCCATGACTTCAGGAGAAATGTAAGGTTGAGAACCAAAGATGGCTGGCTGCGAGTACCTAACGCGATCAACCTTGAAAGCCTCGACGTCCATTCCTATGCGAAAGCTGGGATGCGGACCACTGAAGATCTCACTCAATCCAAAGTCGATGATCTTGACACATCCGTCCCTTGTAAGCATAATGTTCTCGGGCTTCAAGTCGCGGTGAGCTATTCCGTGGTTGTGTAGATAATCGACGCCACGCAGTAATTGCTTGAAGAAGCAGTACTTGTCGTTGATGGTCAAGTACTTCTTCTCCAGGAGACCAAAAAGTTCTCCATTATGACAGTATTCCATGACTTCGCTCCAGATGCCATGGGAGTAGCAAAGACGAATGGGCTCGATGATGTTGGGATGGTGACAAGATTTGGCGATACAATATTCGGACTTGACTTTTTTGACGTAGTCATCCTCCGTCTCCCAAGAGTCACGGCCACGAAATTGCTTGACAGCATAAAGATGATCAGGGGTTTCTCCTCGGCGTCTCATAAGCTTGACACATGCATAGCCGCCTTCGCCGATTTGCTTCGGTCGCCTAAGTGGCAGTCTGGATGATGTTTTGAACTCCTTCTCCAGAGGACAGCATTCTATAGGAAACTCATTGGGAATATTTGTCGAGAGCCTGCGAGATCTCGTTCCCATACCCTGATCGGCAGTTTGTGTAAAAGATGGTAAAAGACCAGGGGCATCATCATGGAAAGTTTGTGCCCTCTTAGCTTGCATGCGTGGGATCTCGATGCTGCCAGAGCGACGTGAACTGAAGGACTCATTGCGAGTGTGTCTAGGGTGTTGACGGTGTTGGAACTCGAGTTTGGTCGAATTTCGTCCAGCTGCTTCCAGATCGGTGGCAGATCTATGCTTAACTCGTCTTTCGCCTGGATCTTCTTCCTCCTCAACGCCTAGATATCTTTGCTTTGAAGAAGATTTAGAAACGGGGTCAGGAGTGGATGTACCAGTATTATGACCGCTCGCATCGAGAATGGAGAAGATCGCGTCAGCACTCGACTTGGACTTGGTCGCAGCCGAGTTTACAGAGGAAGTCGCGCTGTCATCACTGGCGTTCCCAGATTTGGTGGCTCCGGCCGTATTATTAGGGAGCGCATGATCGTCTGGCAAAGCAGAACGGGCTGCATTATTAGGAACGTCCATCTCGCTCTCTGAAAGACTCTTTGGTGGAGGAAGAGCAGGTCGTTCCGACTCTGTCGTAATTGCAGCAAAGTCTGCAGTCCCCACGCCCGCAGAAGGAGAAGCGTCTTGCACCATCAGATTGTGTGGAGGGTCAACGTACGTCGACCGTTCGGTTAAGTGCCGCGGGAGGGTGCAGATTTCAAGTCCTACGCGTTAATTGCCGCAGTCTTCGACAGCGAGGCGGGGCACGCGCGAAGACGGGGGGAAAGGAGCAGCCAGCAGGCGCTTATGGCGCGTGTTAAGTAGACGGACTAGAAATCATTTTCGCATGATGCTGGCGGTATCTTTTGGGGTCGGCGAAGGAGCCTGAGTTTGTCAGTGGCTTGCTTGGCATCGTCCGCGCTCATCGGCGTTCGCGGGGCTCGACATTTGCATCGTCATTGGTTGCTTGGCTCGTTACGTCCGGCTCTCGGCCATAATAAGCATTGAACTTGACGAGTAGAAACACCCGACCTTCATTAAGTACAGAGACGCGACTGCAATACAATGGAACCCAAACTCCGCGCTGCTCATTTAACGCTGTCAAAATGATTCAAACCTCGTCATCGCTGCTTTCTCTTCGACCGTGTGGTCTTTGCTTTGCGCTTTGTCGTTTTGGTCGTTGACCCGGCTTCCCTGCCTTGAACGTCCTCCTTGTCCAGCCACCCTTCATCAAGAGCGAGGACGACCAGATCACTGGCGCATCTGAGCCCACTCTTTGGCATCTCCTCGGGATCTAGTAGCTGATTCACCTTGAGTAGGGCAGTCTCAAGTTCCACTGCCCTTTGCGCTGCCTCCTTGTCTTGAATGCCTTTACCCGAGCTGGGCCATTCAATCTGCTCGGCAAGCTTGTGCAGTACAAAATGTAGCCATACAAGATTCGTCTGTGGGTGATATCCTTTCCAAGTCCTTCCAGACTCTTCAGCCTCATCCCACCTCTCCCAGAGATCACCAAGAGGCTCGCCCAGATACATAGCAGAACGCATGTATCGGTACATCTCATACTGGTATTCCTCCTCGGCGTCGCCCTCAAAGAGCGACAAATCTCTTTCGAGGTCGAGGTAGGCAACGTCCTCATCGTCTTCAGAGATGCCCATCTCTGCTCGCGAGATGGTGTAGTCGATGAGTGTCGTTTCAATGCCAGTAAAGTCGAGCTTCTTGCTTGAGCTTGTTGGAATATAGTCTGCTTCACCACAGTTTGAAGTATCGTTGAGACCAGATACACAAATGTTACCCATGTGCAAATCTCTGTGCTCAAACCTGGCTGCCTCCTCTCCTTTGCCCAATGCTAGCACGACGCCCCAGAAAATGTCCCAAGCAAGCCAGACATTGCCAACCTTTGTGTTTTCTAGATCCGTGCCGGCGTCTTGCATCTCTATGACAGCCCAAAGCTGATCTTCCGAGTAGCTTGCTTTCATGCTAGGGTCAGGGAACACGCTAACCTCCTTGCCCTTGGCTTCTTGGAAATCGTTCCATGACGACCAGGCTGCAGCAAAAGCATCTCCAGGACGACCTTGTAGTACGCAAATCTCGCGGAAATTAGTAAAACCAGGCGTACATGTCATACGCTGCATCAGGCGGACTTCAGCAGCGACATCTTCGGGATCGCTCATCATCTCGGTTCTCTTTTTAGCCGCCTTACTCATCTTCCTTTTCGTGGAAGTCGGAGGCTTAAGAGCGATAATCTTAAGCACCGACTCATCCGTTTTACTCAAGGCTGAATGGGCTTTGAGCAGCGATAGACGGTAGACTTCGCCAAAAGATGCTTCGGCGATCTTGGTGACTGCAAAATGGGAAGACAGTTGGTCGGACCAGGCGGAGAAGGAAGTCAAATCTTGAGAAGAGAGCGATAAAAGCGATGCAGCATGTTTGGTGAAGACGTTTGAGATGCGTGGTTTGGATATTTCCAGAGAAGCCAAGTCAGTTTCGATGGAATCTACTGGTGTTGATTCTACGACCTCGGACAATGGTGCGACTTCAGGTAGTTGGGGCTCCTCTACAGCAGGTTCGGTCAACATATCCGAGGGCGCAGGCTGTGGCTCTTCGTGATCGTTGTTTCTTGTTCTCTTTTCTGACTGGTTCTTCTTTTGTTTTCCATTTTTTGTCTTTCGATCCCTTGGAGAAATTGAACCAGTACTCGTCACAGATTCGCTACTCGTTGTCCTTCTCCGAGACAGTTTGACAGGCCGTTCAGTGTTTGCGATTCTTTCGCAGAGCGCCTCCCGTGCAGAAGGGATTTCATCATCATCATGATCATTGGTCGGGAATTTTGTTTGGACCGTCAGCCGCGAAAGCTCTTCGGCAACCTCGATGACCTCGAATGGAGTGTGAATTTGTTTACGTTGTTTGACAGGACTTTGAAAGCTGCTAAAGCTGGAATATAGATGCGACGGCTTGCCGTAGACTGCTTTGCGAGGCATTTTGGCGGATTATGAGGTGCTGAAGAACAAATGTTGGTACACGAGTGACAATGGCTGTCGGGCTTGTTGTGCTTTGCAAACAAACGACGTTGTCGGGGCAAACTCAAATTCGACCGTGCATTCGCTACTCCAAGACCATGACTCGAGCTTCATCTATTCCACACGCATATCGACTCCTGAGACAAGTCAGGATATTCAAAAATCTTACCACACATGGCCTCCATCGTTGCTTGAGTTCTGTCGACCTGTACATATCCTGTTCGAACCATGGCGCCCAAGGAAGCCATCCCGCCAGCACCATTGGCCAACAAGCCTGAGACGGATCCTTTTCTCTACGTCTTGCGGGCCATGTGCATATTGGAACTGGCAGCCCTTTATTCACCTTTGTCACAGCTTACCCTGGCTCCTGTCTATGGATCAATCCCAACATCCGCTTTTCACCATGAGATTACCTCTGTTATCGTTCTATTGTCCCTCACTCGAGCCAATATGCTCTCGCGCTTCATGCCAGCCAATATTGAATATTATATTCCGATCTTGGCCTCAAGCATTCCGATGATCCAATCACACCTATTCAAATACAGTACCCAGCTTGGTGTAGAATCTGGACCTCTTATTACCGAGGGCCTCACTTACTACCCTCTACTACTAATGAGCACTTACTCAGCGGCTCGTTTACTCCTGGACGCCAAGATCGACCAATACCTACACGCTGCTATGGGCTCTACCATACTTGGCCTCTCAACTTATGGATTCTTTGTGCTGGTTCGATCCAAATCTAGCTTTCTAATTTCTCAGTTCTTCGCATTTTCTGCTACGTTCACCAGAGTGACCCTTCAATGCGCTATCGGTGCCTTGTTCACCATCCTGTCACCATCAAAGTTGAGCCTCCTTGCTATTCCCGCCATGATTCACACTACATGGTTCAACCCACATTTCGTGTCACCACACACGGACGCCTTAGCCAATTCGACCCTGCAAGCCAACCAGTGGAATCTGCTGGAGCGTGCCGAGTCTAATACTGGCTACATTTCGGTCTTGGAGAACCTAGATGCTGGATACCGAGTCCTCAGATGCGACCATTCCCTTCTAGGTGGAGAATGGTTGATCACTGACGAGAGAAGAAAACAGGGTATCACTACCTCTGAACCAATCTACTCAGTTTTTGAGATCTTGGAGGCTGTTCGCTTAATCGAGACTTCCCACAGCGGTGCTCCGGACAACGAAAAGAATGCGCTCGTAGTGTAAGCCTATCTACGGTTAAAGAGTAGTGCTACAGCTGACCATCTCTTGCTATCTAGTGGTCTAGGCATTGGAACTGCACCAAAGGCTCTTATGGCACATGGAATCGATACGACAGTCGTAGAGCTCGACCCTAAGGTTCACGAATTTGCGACAAAATATTTTGACTTACCTACTAATCATGTCGCTGTGTTGGAAGACGCTGTGTCTTGGGTACAAAACGCATCAACAAGTGCTACCAAGCAGTACGACTACATCATCCACGATGTCTTTACTGGTGGAGCAGAACCTCTTCCCTTATTCACAGACCAATTTCTCGGTAACGTACGCTCCCTTCTGAAGCCTGAGGGTGTCGTTGCTGTCAACTACGCTGGTGATCTTGCCGACTCTTCCACAAAACAAATCATCAATACCATCAACTTGGCTTTCGATCGTCAATGTCGGATGTTCCGCGACACTGAGCAGTCCTCTGAGCAATCTTCTGAGACTGAAGCCACCGATTTTCTCAACATGGTTATTTTCTGCAAGAACACTGGCGGTGGCAAGCTGGAGTTCCGTGCACCCGTTGAGGCAGATTACTTGGGTGCTGTGTCGCGCAGACACTATCTTGCGCCAAAGAAGAAGCTCGAGTTGGAGTTCCCTACCGAGGAAGAGATGCAAGAGGAGTCAGTTCAAACACTAACCATGGACAATCTGGGCGAGTTCAAGAAAAAGCAGATCGAGTCTGCCAAAAGACACTGGAAAATAATGAGGCTGGTCGTGCCCGACTTTGTATGGGAGCTCTGGTGATGTTGTTTGTGTAGTGTCTGTACTACCAACGGATTGAGTTCATACTATCTACGCCGAGAAATAAGGACCCTTGGATGAATTTGCGTGCTCACAAGGCGTGCCAAAGCTATTTACCTCAATCAACCTCAGCTCCTCCGCAACAAAATAGTATCAGTCAGACATCTGTTCAGCTAGGCACTCAACGAGAAATAAGAGTCACGACGAGATTTATGAAAACGTTTGATAATTCTGACGAGTCACAAACTTCTCTCTTCACTTTCTCCACTTCATAGCACCACCATCGGCGTAACTCTACAACCCTTTCTCCACACAAAATGGCCAGTAATTACAAGTTCACCGAAGCAGAATGTCATATGACCCACCCCGACACATTGCTTTGTCGTATGCTCTCAATGACAGCAACTTTGCCTACCCCTAGCTCGCAACATCTGCCCACTACCCAAATCGGAAAAGGACAATGTGGCACGATCACTACTTTTCGCAGAGGAGAACTCGTCAAGAAAACACCGAATTCGATCGAAAAGATAGCTGAGCTGCGTGGCGAGTATTGGTCCCACCGCGATATTCTTGAGGCTTTCGATTATGCTCCAGAGGCCTTGTCAAGCAAAGCCCAGGTTCCTCGGCTATACAACTTTATTCCCCTGCCGCTGTGTCAGGCTGATGATGAGGTGAATGACGAGCGGGATGCCTTTTTGTCAGAATATGGCTATACATTACTCTCTGGGCGCATATTGCCGCTCCATGATCTTATCGCAGAGGCTCTGCTGAAGTCTCTGATACCTTCTTTTTCGGCAAATCAGCGAGAAACATGCCTGAGCAATCCTACAAACAACAACTGTCTGGTACGCTTGTATCTTGGTCGTCGAGGTGTGAGTAGGAGTAAGGTGTGGGCCGAGGACATGAGCCTTCGCAACTTCCCCATGCATGTTGATGAGATGGAACGACTTTCTTTGCCAATCACTGCATACATAACGACAATGGCACAATCTCTGGCTCTCATGCACTGGAAAGTTGGTATCGATGCAAACGATGTTGAATTCGTTCTCGGTGATTCTATTGGAGGCGACAAAAACAGAGATGGTCACGCTGTCTCTATTTGGCTACTGGACTTCAATCAGTGTCAAAGATTCAATCACGATCAGGCTGGACTAAAGCAAATTGTAGATGGCTTTTGGTGGAATGACCCGTATTATCCTCGTCCTAGTTCTTCGCATCCACAGGATAGAGTGTGGTGGGATACATTCTTGAGCAGATATCTAGATGCAAGTGCTTTGTTGACGAACAGCGAGATGCCGAGAGAGTTCATACAGGTGGTGGAAGAAGAAGGCGAACGTCGGCGAGTGAGGCCTTCGTTCTTTGAGTAGTCTAAGAGTTTCATGTGTGATTGGTTTCTTACCATTGAATGATACGTCCTTAACGAGATAGCCGCACGACTTCCTGCACACTCGATAATTAGGTCTCTAGTGCGAAGCTTGCCCTTTCATCTTGCTCTACGCTTTGGGGAAGGAGGTCTGTGGTCTGAGTGAGACCATCAGTCCCCTCTCGAGATTGCCCTCTGGTCGACGGTGAGGGATATATTGTACACCAGTGCTTATGTCTCACAAAATGGCGCTCTGGCCGAGTGGTTAAGGCGTTTGACTCGAATTTTATTCTGATATCAAATCCTTTCGGGGGCGTGTGTTCGAATCACACGGGCGTCGACATTCTTTTTGTCTTTTGCATTCTCGCAATGGCATAGGCGAAGAGAGGGTATTTCTTTTGGTCGGGAAGGTGGTTGGAAGCGTTGAGGTGAAGTGGTGGATGATTGGGGCTGGTTTTTGGTCGAGCTTCGTGGGTTTTGGAGAGTCAGACGCCGAAGGAGTTTTGACATGTGACGAAGACTGACTTCACATGCCAGTATGTCTCAATCTAGGAAAGAGACATAAACACCGGGACGCTGTGAAGAAGGCAAAAACAACAAAAGATAGCTATGAAGATCATAGGCATGAATCGATAATCGGAGTTCGAGGCTTCAGAACGCCGAGCCGAGGCATTCGTGGCCGCATTCATAGTCCCAAGAAATATTTCTTGGACACGACTTGTTGCTCTCTCTAGCATTGAAGTCGTACAAATTATGTCGGGAGCACAGCGGATGCATGTTCTAGGAGTAGGACTCGCCCTTGGAATCAGCGGCCTTGCTTTGGGAATGATGCCTTCTCTCCGCGAGGCCTTAACACGTTACACGGGCATTTCAGCCCCTGGCGGTGTCTGGCGCATCCTGGCCATATTCTTTGCACTGCTGAGCATCAAGAGTCTGCCATTTGTCTGGCATGTAAGTTTCACGGACACTCTGCCAATACAGAAGACCTGACTGACCGTCAAACACAGTTCCGCGTCTTCAAAAACCTCATCTGGCACCTCTACCTCCAACCCACTGAACTCACCAGAGCCCAACTCTTCGCTCCCGTCATCACAACTTCGCACAATTCAATCAGCGAATGCGACTACAACTTCCACAAGAGCAACTCGACCTACTTTGCCGATTTCGACGTCAGCCGCGCCGCCTGTGTGGGTGCTCTTCTCAAGAAATCCCTCGCGCGCTTGAATGGCGGAGATCTCACCGATCTACCTGAAGAAGCCAAGAAGGTCAAGGGCTCATACATCATGGCTCTAGGAGGCGTCGGCTGCGTCTTCAGAAAAGAAATCCCCCCTCTCGCGAAATTCGAAGTCTGGACACGTTTGCTGTCTTGGGACGACAAATGGATCTACACCGTCAGCCACATTGTCAAGCGCGGAGCAAAGAAACCCTCAAACTACTTTTTGCAATCCTGGAGAAACGGAAAGGGTGGAAAGCAGCAGATGAAGGAGGGAGACGACAAGATCAAGAGCATTTACGCCACCAGTATTGCGAAATATGTGGTTAAGAAGGGACGATTGACGATTGCGCCCGAAATTGTGCTTAGGAGATCGGATTTGTTGCCTGAACGGCCTGCCAATCAACCTGCCGTCACTACGCAAGGCGCGGATACACCTACGCCTGAGGGAGAGAAGCCATACATGTCGAGCCCGGAGAACCTCGTTGCACAAGTAATGGGTCAATTACGCTCTGAGAACATGTTCGACAAGAAGGAGGAAGCTAAAGAAGGAGAGATGACTTGGAAAGAGGTCGAGGCAAAGAGACTCAGAGGCCTAGAAATTGCCCAGCACTTTGATGGTCTGACTGCTCTGCATCAAGAGTGGAATATGGACGACAATGTCATTGGCGAGTATGGAGACTTCTTCTGGTGAATACACCCATAGACATATACACATAGAAATGATACCCTTTGATTAACCAGACATGAACCAAGCATCGATGTGGTCGTCCAAGACTCCATGGAGTTGCAATATCACAATTTATTGTACCTTGTTGTTGTTCTCGAAAGAGTCGATTTGCAAGCATAATACTAGAAAGCAGATTTTCGAAAGCAGAAGAACACTCAATTTGTGCCGTTGCAGAAGAGAGGCAAACAAACAGATGAAACAGCGGCATGGCTACGTACAAGTATTCAACATGGAAGAGAAGGGCACCGAAAACGGTATCAATAGAAAAGAGAAGAAAAAGCCAAAAGAAGAGAAGCGAAAAGAAGAGCAGTGGAACACCAGCTCCCTGCTGCTATGCAGTATGAATCCAAGTCCTGAACGCCTCCCTTTTTGATCGAGCGGGATTGAATAGTACGCCTCGACATGGGGTATGCTCGTCTTTTCGCTCTAAACGCTAAACACTGAGAAAAGAAATCGACGTCAAAGAGATTATTTGCTGGCCCGCAGCACGCTCTCATCAATTCGGTCACCATTAGGTAAACGATCCTTCTTCAAGCACTGGCCTTTACGACCGACTTCTTCTCGGAGGTGATTGAGCTTATCTTTGTCGCCGTCCCAACTGAAGTCCCTGCTCCAGAAGCCACAGCCAATGTTGCTGGTCTCGCCTCGCCAGTAGGTCTGCTTCAGACCAGCCTTGTCGACAGGCGGACGCCACTTCTTGTTGTCGAGAGTACTGATCAGACTCTCGCCCTCCATATGGTGCAAGAGTTCTGGGTTGACAGTGAAACAGCGGAGACCCTTGTCACGGCAAGCAGTCAGGATAGCGACATCGTAGGCGTGGTCGATGTTGCCACGGTCGCCGCTAATCGGGGCGTATTCTTCGACGAGTCGTCTGGCCGAGGCGCGGGTGACGGCGTAGCCGAAGGTGCAAAGCGGTGAGACAGACTTGTGAACGATGCGCGACTTCTCGGGTACATCGAATGCAGTGAGAAGGGATGAGGTGAAAGGGTGCAGATCGGTCCGACGAGGGAGGGTCTGATCGGGGTAGACGAGGTGAGGAAGGTCGGTCAGATTGTTAGGATGAACGACACCAACGCCGACGGGCTCGTCCATGGTCGTGAAGTAGTCTCCACAGTGTCCGACGTAGAAGAGCTCCCAGTCATCTGGATGTCCCCAATAGTATTCCTCACCAGCCGGAGGCAGCAATTTGCGGGCGGCAGTAGCGGCGAGTGGAACTTGTTGTGTACGCAAGCGGATGTCCCAATCCACATCATCTTCCAGGATCAGAGCCGTCTCGAGACCAGACTTGAGGAATTCGTTGAGAACAAGGTTGTGGCTCAGCCATGCGCGAACGGAGCCGTTTGTGATGGTCGACTTGTCGTTCTTGCCTCTGAAGGCCATTATTTGTTCTTCTGTCCATGTTGGTAGAGTTGGGATGGTGAAGTGCAGTTCGGTAACGTTGGCGGACTGGATCAAGTTGTTGCGTCGTGGGCTTCCGGGGCCAGAGACAACAAACAAGCCACCGAATCCCAGGGTTGAATTTGCTGGAGTTTGGCGATTGATGGAGAAGGAAGGGATGTTCGAGCTGACGGAGCTTCTGAAGTATAGAATTAAAGTGAGGACACTCAGCCCTAGCAGGACATAGAGCGGCGGCAGTCGAGGCGTGACCATTGTGGTTGTGAGGAGAGTTGTCGAAGGACGGGGCGGCGTTGGAGCCTTTGGGGATACGAAGAATAGACGCGGCGCTATCAGCTGGAGTCAAGTAGTCGCGATGCGGGCATCTGCCAAGCGGCCGTTGTGCGGTAGAGGCGTCCAAGTGCCGGTGCAGCGAGATGAGCAAGAGCAATTCCTGAGGGAAGGGCTTTATGAGGGAAGGGGTTATGAGGTCCGGGGATGGAGATGTTGGGAAAGAGAGGACAAAAGTACAGCCTCGTCAAGGCTGAGCAACGAGGAGGTGCATGGGGGACATTGAGGAGTCGCCGCGCAACCAGTCCCACTTGGGAGCTCCCAAGACTCTTGGTGCGACAAACATGGAGAAACCTGGTCAAGGATCGCCCAGCCTTAGTCCAGCAACAATCTTTTTCCCCCCAATCGTCCGAATGTCAGCCTGTCAGTCGCTTCCTTCCGTGTGAAACAATCGCAAGTTCAACATGAATTGCCCAAATATTGATCGCCCGAAACGTCTTTCCATAGTTCATCCTTCGTGGCTGACAAGGATTACATTTACCGGTGGTTCAACCGATTGTGCATATGATAACAACGACCATCATTCCCATCATGACTACCTGATAACAGCTCGAAGTCCAGTCAGCATACAACATGGCTCGAACAGCAACATGCAAGACCCTTGTACAGCAACATGCAGGACCCTTGTACAAAAGCTGCAATTTCGGCCGGCCCCTGTCGGTACGCACGTGAGCAGTCTGTGAAGATCGTCCTTGCCATGCAGTACCGCCAACGTCTTTCAGCTCCCTGTTCTTCCTGTTATCCGAACCTCAGCCGTTGTGCTTTCCAGCCAAACTTCGCGGCTCTGCGCCACGGCTTGCTAGATCTCGGTTCACGATACTAGTGTATCGTCAAAACGATTATCAACTGGACAGGTTCACATGTGCTCTCACGGTCAAGATGCAAGCGATCTTCACGGGTAAAGAGAAATTGTTTGACGCGCATTGATGCTGGACTGCATTAAATGTTGGTGCGGAGTGCTGTGACAAAGAAACTGGTCTGAGTGTGCCTTCTGAACCTTCCGTCTTCGTCATTGTCTTGCAAGCTCTCCCTTCCAGCTGATCGGCGCGGGTGAACGCGCGAAATTGGTGCTGGTGGAATTGGAGACTAAGTTGAAAGAAGAGAAAGAAACAATGAGGAAAAACGATGTACCTCGGAGGGTATGAACTGAGGACGCCGCGAATATCTTGCCTCCACCAAAGTGAATAGCCCATAGGGAGATACAGGAAGACGAATACCTGGCCCCTTCCGTATTTTCGGGCTAACTAGAAAAAGACAGTCAGGTTCATGTACAGACCCACAGATTGTAGGCTCTCGTACACCAAAGTCTGTATAGGATGTAGCTATAAAAATGCCTGAATTGTTCGCCAATTCAAGCAGCGTCCAAAGAGTGCTGTAGCTTGCTTTGCTCTCTCTGACTGTACTTTTGTTTTGAGAACAATTGTGCATTCCTATAACCACATGCGATACAGATCAACGAGCTGGGATGGTAGATAGAACTTATTGTATTCTTCGCCTAGGTTGCGAAGGTACACCTTCATGCGAGGATCACCTCCGACGAGACACGTGGAACCCTTCTCGGAGGTTCTCAGGAGGTACTCGCCCCTGATCAGCTCGTGACAGAGAGCGAGACTGATCTCGACTCTCTGAGAACGAGGTTATGGTGCTGATGCTTGTAGATGCGCTTGGGTCTCGGCTTCCGGCTAGGGTTCACAGCTAAAGTTTTGGTGCAAATTCAGGGCAAACGCTCTGTAACCCTAAGCTTATCCTGCCAAGGCTTGCTCTCACGACATCATCACGACTCTTCCTGTTTGTGACTTTTTACACTATTGAGGACTCATACCAATATGCTTTACTAGAGAGATCTTTGGAAATGCGCCAGATTGTTGACCACTTCAAACTGCCACTCTTTGTCTCCTCTTCTCTGCTCTACATAGTACTGTGATCAAGGACCCTATCCTATGCTTAGAGGTCAACCAAGTCCGGATCAACCGATAGCATTCTTCTGGAGCCACGCTTGTCTCCTGACTGCATCCCAGTGTATACTTCCTCTATTCAGTGGCTGCCACATTCGTCTACGGAACCAACGCACGATTGAGAACGAATCTGGTCACACGGGCAAGTAATGGTACAAAGCAGCAGCATCATGCCTTTCCTGTACTGCCGCACCTTTGATCTCTTATCAATGACTGCAGAAATTTCACCACAGAAACATTTAATCGAAGTCTCTACAGATACTCTAGAGAAGAGGCGAGGAGCAGCCCTGGGGTAATCGTCATGGACTGGATACAAGCAGCGACACGTACTGGGTGCCTCGATCTAAAAACAGGGTATCGCGAGTCTGATCGAGCAATCAATATATGAGGTTTTGACTAAACTCAGATGAGAATCGAGGACACCATCTCACTGCTAAATTCATTCCGAGAAACAGGAATGAAAATCGTTGGTTCTAAGAACGGGCTTGACTTTGATTGCTACATCTTCATGTCACTATGTGTATCCCTGCCATTTTTGCCAAGCCACTCAACTTTCCAGCATTGTCCAGCTCAGATTGTGAGTTCGAAGTGCTCAGAATTCGTTCTGTTGTGGAATGCAACTCATTTGCTTCCTTGATAAGTATAATTTCTTCAAATGGCCCACTAAACCACCTCACTTGTCCATTGCAGAGATCGCAGCAGAAATTCAACCTCTCCAAGCGGCAAAGTTAGATTGGCGGGCGGAACGTGATCAACGTGTGTTTGAGCCTGAAGGCTCCATTCCTCAGTTGTCAAATTCCGAGCTGTCACCTGAGCTCTGAGTCCTTTCCCTCTTCACGACCAATGCGACAAGCCTCGCGTTCTTCTTCGCTAAGGTGCTCATGATAGTAGCACCTGTCTCTCTCGTACGGACGAAGGTCCTTCTTCATTGAAAACTCGCCCCTCATCGAGTCTTCTGAGTCCCAATAGCTCAATGCTCTCTTGTAGCATTTACGGCACTGATCAGGAGGCAATCTTTTGCTGTTGATGAACATAACGGCGACCAAGAACTCTTGAGGGCAGGCCTCCCACTCGAGGATATCTGTGCGCGCGAGATTGCCCTCGTACGCTGTGCTATGAACTGTGTATTCTCTGAGCTTTGATTTTGCAGGCGTGTTCTGGTATATGTAGCGAACATATATCGGTTCCCAGATTACTCCCGAGCCGTCAATCAGAGCGTCCAGTGAAGCTGTCCTGAGCTGACAAACATCGAAGCGATCAGCGAAAACGTATATTCTGATTAGAACATCGCAGCCCCAGGTAGTAGGGTCCTCCTCTTTGTATTGATGAGAGCGAAGAGAAGTAGACTCCCTGGTTGATGCAGGAGTCGAGGATGTGTCATGATTTGAGTTCTCCGGCATGGCAGCAGGTGTAGATGGTCCCGTCATGTTATCATCTGAGTCCTCGATGTCGGATTCTTTGTTTTCGTTTGATTTGTTCAGGGGCTCATTCTCGAGTATGGGCTTGTGCTCAAGGTCCTTCTCAGTGATTTGGAGGCTCTCAAATTCCTCACCGATTGTCTTTTCGTCCGATGGGAGATAAGAAAGTGTGTCGTGATAAACCCAGGCAACGAAAATCTTGAAAATGATGGGCGAGACGTCTGGCAGCTGGACGAAGCGTGTAATGCTCTCTTGAAACGAGCCGGAAAGAGCTTTGGAGAAGTACTGTGATTTTGCGCACAGAAAGCTTTGGTGAACGACGAAGTGCTCCTTCTCGATGCCGACTTCGATGGTGACCATGTGAGTGTTGTAAAAGAGTCTGCGGGAAACAGTCAGTCTGACCATAGCGCGTATCAGGTGGATTTCATGTACTTCAGTCTGTCCTTGGAGGGTCTTCCGCTAGTACTCAGGGTTGTCATCTTGATGGTTGTTGGCAAGGACGATTGCGATGACAAACGTGATATGATTTTGATCAATGGGTTGAATGCGCGTCGTTGCGAACATCCAGCGCAGCAGACGAAGTAAGTCTGGTGTGTGTGAGAGTGCCGTCTAGCAGTAAGAAAATCAGAGGACGGAAACTTAAGGTGCTTTATTTGATAAGAAAGTGACGGTCGCTGTTGCGGCCTTCGCTGGTGCATAAACACTCGAGAGTTTAAAAAGACACCTACCATAAAGAGCAGCACTTCCATCCAAGTCAAAGACACCATTACATTATCACTACTTGAAACGCCAACAAATCATACCAACATTCCCTCCTTTTTCGTCGTCACTACATCCAAGCCAGAGAACATCCTCAACGAGAACACTGAACCTTGCGCAAACCAAAGGATCCAGGTCTCATCGTATGCACAATCTCGAACTTGCCATACTTGTTGATTGTAGGGATATCGTTAATCATACAGATAACACTGCCACTAGTATTCATTAGCATTAACCCCTCGACTCCTAACCAAGCAAACAACACCAGAAATTATTCAGAAAAAAAATATATATCTGGTTGAATGAGGAAAGAGTGGTAAAAGTCGTGTCAAAAGGCGAAGCTCATTCAAATATCAATGTTACTTGGGCCATTCAGGCATCCAGAACTTAGGGCCGGTAGCTGAAAACTTTCCCAAACTTGTCCATGGCGATTCTTGAGCCAGCACCAACGACGTAGGAGCTAGAGGTTCATCGCTTTTAGCAAGAGATCAGAAGATCAAAGAAGGCGCAAAAGAAGAAAGCGGAAGGAGCGGATGGCAAACAACGCTCGAACAGAGCCATGCGAAAAGAGTGGAAAGTGACTACACTATTCGTTCAGTGCCGTCCGTGAACTGAATCTGCCATGGCCCAAGTCGAGTCTCTGCAACGCCAGCATCCGCGGGTAGATTAACGCTGTCGTTTTCCAGTAACGTCAATGACTTGCGCCAGCTTTCCAATAGTTGGATAAAGGACAGGCGAAGGAGTGAAAGGTAGAAAAGAAAAGACCCCGTAGACAACCATTCTGCCGTCTGGCGACATGACCTTGAATTGGCCATATTTGTCTTTCCAGACGCTCGAGCCTTCGATACAGGTGACCCTAGCGCGCAGACAAGCAAGTCAACACGAGGTCAACAGGGGTAATGATGCCACAATTGCTTGCTCTTTATGCGAGTCCAGGTGGTGTGTAGACGTGCATTTTGCCATATTTGTCTTGGGTGACAACCTCGCCTTTCCGGCAGAAAATCCTTCAATGTGGTGTGAGCCATATGCAATGGCAATGAAAGAAACTGTGTGAAGCAAAATGAAGAGGAAACGAGAAGAGAAGAGAGAAAAGAAATGTCAGTACTAACCCTTTGTTTGCATTTTCGATGTCGAAGCCATCGGGCCCCCATACCTCCTCCATCTCCTTTCTCTTTTGGCTCTTTGGTTTGCCCTGCTTGATACGCATCTTCTCGAAGAAGACATAGGCTGAGTAGAACACTGAGCTGGTATTGCCGGCATCAGGTCCCTTCTTGCCTCTGAAGGACTGCATCTGGGAAGCACTGATACCCTTGGGTCCTTTATCGGTATGATACTGTGCTAGCAGATCACGGCCGAATTGCGCCTGTGTGACACCAGGCTTCTTGAGGTATGCTGCGATTTGACGGCGGATGTCGTCGCAGGTGTCATACACGGGGACTGAGTCTGTGTCCTCGCCTTCACAGAATCACTATTAGCAAAGAATCTCCTTCAGCTGGAGGTATGGATCCATTACCATCAAGATGAATATCACTCAGATCAAGCTTATCATTCTGAGCTTTGCCGCTCTTATCATCATCCTTGGTCTTTTGCTTCTTCTTGGTAGGAATCTTGATTCCAGCATCCTCTCTTTCTTTGAAGAAAGCATAAGCAGCAGGGTAAGCAGCACACTCATCTCCCTTGATAGTACCATGCTTGTGCATAAATCTGTAGTAAGCATTACTGCTCACGCCAATTGCGTTACAAAAGTCTCCAACTTTCATTTCGCCAGACTCGATCAAGCGGTTGATCTTGTTGCGCACTACCTGACAGCTGTTGGTGATAACAGTATAGTCAGAGTATGGATCAGCTAGTGGGTCAGACAATCCAGGTACACCAAAAGACTCTGTCTCTTCATGAACGCGTTTGGTGCCTTGGTTGGGGCTTGTGGTGGGAGCTGGTGTGTCTTTGGTAAGGTCGACTTGGGGTACACTGTCCTTGCGAGCTTCTGAATCGGCACCAGAAGTAGCTTCTGTGTTAATTCCCTCGGAAATGTTTTCGGCAGGAGCATCCAGCTTCTCTGCAGTGTTTGCTACTTCTGCCGCCACGCCAGCCTCAGTTTGGTCCTCGTTGGCCTTGGTGTGAGGTGAGACCGGTGCGCTTGTCTCAGCCATGGTTATCGTTGATCAACTTGATATGTAGAAAAATGGATCGAGAATACCACAGGATATATGTGTAGAGATTTGGGACAAGTATGCAAAGCAAAACCAGAAATCAATGCAACTTACCGAGGACCAATTGTGCTTCCTTAAGAACCATGGTCGACGCGTAGGTTCGTCGATCTGCCCACCCTGGTTCGCGATGACGGTCGTCCTTCTTGGTGTGAAGGTGGAGGTGGAGCTCAAAAAAAGTAAATCCCGGACCTACGTCAAGCTCGTCAAGCTCACGAATTCACGTGTTAGAAGCGACATCTTGTGGTACAACCAGACTGCAGGTGGATGGAATGAGACAGATAACAAAAGAGATTATCCTTTATGCCACATTTAGTCTACGAAATGAATATGCAATACAGTTGATCATACACGGGACCTGTTTCTTCGTTATGCCCGTTGTTCTATGCGCCGCGCTTACAAGATTAAATAGAGAAAAGTTTCCGATCAGTCCATCCAAAGGAAAGAGTCCTCCAGTTGATGGAAAATGCGTTGTGAGGAATGATGTGAAAAGGTGCAAAAATATTGAGGTTACGTCGCTTCGTTCGTCGAGGCATCTTCTCCATTGCTTTGTGCCGGTGCTTCTGCAGTGGTCGTTGGGGGACGAGGAGATTTGGGTGCTCCTTCAGCGCTGGCTCGTGAGACACGCTTCGCCTTCTTCTCCTTAGCTGCCTTATCAGCATCGAAGTCTTTCCACTTGCGCCAGCCGTCAAAGTCAATAAGAGCTTGCATGCAACCCCATTCCTTGACCTTGCGTTCAAGCCAAACGAAGTTAACGGGCTATAGAATATGGTTAGTCCTTTCGATTACTTTAATGTGAAGACATGTAACGTACCTTTGTCAAGAAATCGTTGCATCCAGCAGCCAGAGCTTCGTGTCTGTCGCTCTGCAAACTACTTGCAGTAAGCGCGACAATGATGACCGGGCTCTTAAATAGGCCGCCGTCAGAACCAAGCTTGTCATCATCCTTCTTCTCTTCGGGCTCGGGTTCCTGCTCCCTGCTTTTATCAGAGTATGGAGCAGGAGTGGAGGCGGTACTGAAGACACCAATTCCATTCGCTCTTTCAAGACGACGAATCTCTTTTGTTGCTTCCAGACCGTTCATAATGGGCATTTGAATATCCATAAGCACCAAATGGAAGCCGCCAGTTCGCCATTTGTTGACAGCAATCTGACCGTTGAGAGCTGTGCTCCATCTTACTTTCAAACGCTTCATGAACGCCTCCAGAAGTCTCAAGTTGATAATGTTGTCCTCTACGATCAGTACGTTGATGGGAGGGACTGCGCCATCCAGCAGCGAAGGAGGAAGAGGTGTCTTTGCGGCAGTGTTGGGAGATTTGACTGTCGGCGTGCCGTCGGTGGGTGTGAGCTTCCTTTGACGCCTAGGACGGGCAGGCTTCAGCGTGGTTTGGTTTTGAGAAGCCGGAGTAGGTGGGGTGCTGCCGGAAGGCACAGCATCTGTGGCAGGAGGTGTTGGGAGAGATGGTGCGGGTGGGGCGTGGCCTTGCTGTTCAGAAACGCTTGATCCGGCTCTTGGGCGAGTCTGCCGGATTGTAGGCATGTGTTGAGAAATAGCTAGGTTGGATGCATTAAGAGGCATGGATGTAGCTGGAGGGTTATGTGTCATGATAGTTGGAGAGGAAGTGTGTTGACGATTGAACTTGGGGCGAGGATCACGAGGATCGCGGTGACGGCGGACACTACCCGGCGACGGCAAGACAGGAATCTGGCCAGTGTTCAGTACAGCGATTGAGCGAGGCGGGTCGGGGTGTAGTGTCTGTTGCACAGGCGCTTGACCAGGCACATTCGGGGGAAGCTGAACTGCGGGCATAGGAGGGAAATAGTCGGTACCCGTCTCTGCAGGTCGGTAGTCGTCCAAAGCAGCATATGAAGCACCATGGTATATACGAGGAGATGGGCGAGGAGTGCGACGCGCAGGAGTTTCAATGAGGAGGGCTTCCTCTGCTGTTTGACCACCGGCATAATACGAGTCCAAGGTACGACAGACATCCTCATCTGGGCTGAGGATACGCTCAGGGGCACGCTTCCCATTCTCATCTGGTCTGCTGACGATGCGCAGGACAAGGTCAGGTGAGTCGTAAGTCCTGCCCAGCGAATTGCCATATTTTCTCATGACAAGATCTCTCACGTCGTCGATCAGATCATCTTCGCGCACAGTGACCATAGTAGGCGAGGCATTGGGTCTCTTGACCCACACTTTTCGTGTCAACATGCTAGCCATGTTTGGAACGGGAGGGACGGTGGTATCGACGAAGTAGTCCGAGGCTTCGATGGTAGCGGGCGGGGTTGAAGGAGGTAGTGGGAATTGAGCAACAGTATTCGGACTAAGCAGAGCACGGATGATAGGAGCGTTGGCACCGCTCAGGAGAGATTGACGACGGACAGTGTTTTCGGAGGGGCGTTTAGGCGGCAGTGATAGCGGCAATGACGGAAGACTCGGAGACGGCTGAGCACGAATGGATACTGGAGAGTGAGGGCGTGAATGAGAAGAATGAGGGCGGAGGCTTTTTGTGCTGGGAGAAGCATCCTTGTCAGCGCGTGGGACATTGTCGGAGTGTGCAGGTTGGACGACATACTCGGCCTTGAGGTCGACAGGCTTCTCTGGTGTGGCACACTGCAGGATCAGGCTTGGGTTGTCCAAGTGACTCGAAATCTCATGTCGTTTGTCGCTAGAATCACGATGGTCGACACTCTGCTCGCTGGTGGGAGGTGGTTGAGGTTGAGGGTCGAGTGCGGGAGCAGTGGTGATGCTGGCGCTGTTGCGGTTGCTGGCAGGCGGATTCGTGGACGGGCGCGTTGAGGCCTCGACAGCGTCGTGGAAGTGTTCGTCACTCTCTTCCTCGCGGATGCTGTCCTGGACACTAAACTTGGACGGACTCTTGAGGGCAGCGATGTGCGGAGTGGATGGACTGTAGTCGCGAGAAGTGCTTCTGCTGCCTGCTGGCGCTGCGTCTTGGTCGTGCTGTTGCGCCGGCTGAGGTTCTGCCGAGGAGCTGCCTGTGCTGTGTGAGCGCTTCAGCAGCCCTCGAAAGGTCGCCCGAAGTCCTGGCATTGTGAACAGGAGATGCTCCCTCGTTCCCACTGCTGTTCTGCTGTGTATCTCAAGTGTTTTTAATGTTTACGCGCAGCCGCAGCTGCCGGGGCTGTCGACTTACCGCTGATTGGGACTGCTCTCACTCGTCCAGAACTCACGGCTCGCCCAAAAGGCGCTTGGTCCTCCTTAATCTTCCCTCTCCTGTCATGGCCTGTCGCAAGACTGATACAGAACCACTCAAGACGTCAACAATACCCAACACTTACTCGCACACTCCTTCTATGTCTTTGCACCTCTTGTTGCACAATCTTGCTGACGCTGTGTCCTGATTCATCATGTTTGATCTGATGTTTTGCTTTTCCTATAGCTAACAAAGCTATACCCCCGATCCCATTTCACTCGCGTCGTACCTGGCAAGACTTGCCTGCGACATGCACTTCTCCTTGGCCCTGCACATGCATCCTCCCACTCCTAATTTTACATCCTCCTCAATCAACCTTTTGTGTGGCTGCTACGCCCAACCATTCGAGTTGGAACTCGTCATAGAAACCCTGGCACTTGGTCATCTCAAACTCGAGTCCTTCCACTGCTCCTGCTGCATCATCTGCTGCCTCATCCGAAATTGGCGACAACGCCATCTTCCAAGTATGCTTGTCACCAATGCGACGCCTTCCCAAATCCAGCTCTGCAGTCACTCTGTTCTTCTTGGGAACCCGCTGGATGAATTGCCAACCTCTGTCTTTGTACTTTTGGGTAAGGATGACGCCGTTGAAGTAGTCTGGTATGCGGGTAGGATATGACTGGCGTTTGGTGAAGGTAGCGTGTGGAAAGATGCTGTATGCGTGATTGTCTGTGATGACATTGACCAATGCAGTCGTGTAAGTCGATAGAGTAGAGTGAATGGGATGCTGATGAGTCAAGATGATTTCCAACCTGACAAGCTCGCCGTCGACATCCTTGTCGTACTGATGAACCTACCAACGGTGTCAGTGGTTATCAGCTTGCACCTTCCGAAGGAACGTACCATGTCGACATGAGTCCAGTTGTACTTTCCGACCTTACGAGAAGCAAGATCATATCCTTCGACTTCCTCCATGTAGCGACAAAACGCATCCGCTTTTTCTCCAACCTGCACACAGACATCTAGGTCCGAGCCATCCCAATGGACGCGATCCAGGAACTGCAAAGCAAAGCTTCCGGAGATGATTCCATCAACCTCCGCCAGTCTCTTTCTGAACCCAAGCGGGTCATCGACGAATCTTTTGAGTCGGTCATTGATGTCCCAGGCGCCCCTGTTGACCAGCTTCTGGTACAGAGGCGTGAGTGCGCGGCAAGTGCGAGTGAGTGCGATTATGTCTTGGATAGTGAGGTGCGCAGTGATGGCATTAAAGACTGGCGGGAACCTGTCCGTACCAAGTATGGTGGTGAGATCGGCCATGCTAAGAGTGTTGTTGGTCGCTTTGCCAGTGGATGATGAAGTGGTTCTTAGGGGTGCTGGGCAGTAGTTGTAAGATGATAACCCTTGAATTTGATCAGATCACTGCGACCTGTGAAAGAAACTGGCTCTACCAAGGTCAGAAGGCATAATGATGAAAACAGCAAGGCTATGTTTTTTTATGTGCTTGGTTTAGTTATTGGCGATTGAGCTGCTGTTTGCTTGTGATCAGCCAAAGCGAGGTGTGGCAATGACTGCGAGCCGTCGACCAGTGCACTTGATGTTGAAACTTCTCCAGCAATTTCTTTGCATCAATTCCACTCGATTGTAATGGCGTATCAGGTCAAAATGTATAATTACGGTCAGCAAAAGATCGATACAGCATGCGCCAGGGTGTGAGGCTCAGCAAAGAAGACATGGTAGCAGAAGCCAAGCTGTTGAGAACCGCAACAAACGCAAGATTTGATCAAAAGTAGTTTATTAATCGAGCAGAAGCGTAAGCAAGGGCAAAAACATAGCAGAAATCTTGAATAATTATTGGCGGCCGTAAATTCGTTATATAGTAGTGGTACACATCCCTTCGAACAACACCAGACCAACGACTGCCCATATAATGCAGTTTGTTTTGCCCGAACACCACCGTCTCCAGTCTATACCTGGTCTTACAATTCGTTTGTGCATCATTAGTCTCACTCGTATCTTCCGTCCTGGTTCTCATCAAACCATAAATGGTTTTACACAATCTCATCCGCACCAGCATCGTCCTGGTCAGGGTTTGCCTCCTCATAGTTGAAGTACTTGCAGAAGCGGTAGTAGCCTGCAGCGATCAGAGCACCCATGATTGGACCTATCCAGTAAATCCTACAGAGAAGTTATGGTCAGCGGGAGATCAAAGATTGGTAACGTCGATTTGACTCACCAGTGGGCATGATTGAAGCTGGCGGCAGCAATGCATGGACCGAACGATCTTGCAGGGTTCAAACTACCTCCAGTGTAGTAAACACCTAGTATGATGTGTCAGAGCTCTATAACAGTAGATTTTGAGCAACACCAGCTTACCTGCGAGCTCAGCAACAAAGAGAGCTAATCCAATACCGAGAGGAGCAAGGAACGTAGTCTTCGACTTCTCAGCCGCAAGCATGAGAACGGTAAAGACAAGGAAGGCTGTTAAGAACATCTCGAAGAATACGCCCTGTGCTTCAGACATGCCGGGAGCCAGAGTGGTACGTGTGGCGGCAATGTCACCTGGGATCATACAGCTCACCAAAGCAGCAGCGACCATGCCTCCGAGCAGCTGAGCTGGGAAGAGACACAGACCTCTGAACCAAGGGAGTTGGCCAGCGACGACCATGCCAAGTGTAACACTTTGACTCTAATTAGCAAACATAGTCTTGATTGTTGGATCAAGTTTAACTTACGCTGGATTGAAGAGTCCTCCACTAATTCTGAACAAGATCCACACGGCGACCAAAAGCGACATGCCATAGCTTAGAGAGATATAGACGACTGTTGAGGCACTGTTGCTTCCATTTGGGCCCTTGTCACTCGCTTGGTCAAATGCCATGAGCTGGCCTGCGAACGCGAAGTAGAGGAAGAAGAAGGTGCCGACGAACTCTCCAGTAGCAGCGATGAAATGGTTTTTGGCGGCATGGCCTTTACTCCTATCTCCAGCCATGGTCTCAAAAGGTTTCTCGACAGGTTTGCTAGGCATGATGGTGGCAGTAAGGCGAAGCTGAACACGAAAGTTGTTGATTTGACTGAGGACTTTCCTGTGCAAAGGATAAATCAAGCAGATATAGAACTGCCAACGAGAGATGAGGATTTTGTGACGATTCCTGTGCAAGCCATCCCGCTTGCGCAGCAGCATGACGTTGTCCAAGTAAGAGGGATAATGCTAGTCGTTTAACGGAAGACGGATCAGATTTGGGTGCATACCGCCCCGTTGCCGAAGCGTAGGGCTGGTAAACCCTGTACATAGCGTTCTTTGCAGTTCGATTGGCATGGCATGAACCTAGTGGGCGGAGAATGCGTTTCAGCAAAGTACGGGCTTGAGATGTCGATTCAACGATTGCACATCACTGGCGATACGCACTCGTGGCTCGAACATGTCGTCAGAGGGTGTTGTTAACGATTATCCCTGCATATCCATCGTGGAGCTCAGACATTCGCGATTCGAGCAGCCGCTGGCATCAAAGCCTCCATAGCGAAACCTGGTGTGGTCTGGGGGAAGAAGAGTTGACGCGTGCGGTCCGAAATCTTGGTCAAACATTCTGGGGATTCACAGAAGAACCATCGAGCTCAAACCTCCACGAAAGTTGATACAAAAATTGCCTTAGTCTTCTTCAACCAGACAACCCTGTTGGTACCTGAAATTGCTACTCCTATTCACATTCAGAAAACATAATCTCAACACGTCGGGACACAAGACGTTTTTGGCGTCTGCCGACATTACGCTGACTGGCGCTCCTGTAACAGTGAGTGGGTCGAAAAGAACAAGTTCGTGAGCGGGATGTTCACGGTCAGACTGTCCCGCAGTACAAAGGAACAATAATAGGATCGTGATATTGATAAGAGGCTCTTGATCGTTGCTCGCTAAAACGTGCTCCTGCATGCGCACGAGGCTGAGTGACGTAGTGTCATTTCCGCTCCACCATGGATCTTCTTCAGGAGTTCACTCGGCGACTCGTGCGGAGTCCAGCAACGTGCTTGATGGCGTGTCAAGCGCCGGCAAGTTGGAAGTTGGACAGTAAAGGATGATCAGGGAGAGTTCTTGATTTTCTAGAATATAGGGCTTGATCTTAACCAAACTTCAACTTCTTTTGACCTTTCTCTGCCTTCGGAACGCTTGGTGGTCGCCCTCGCCCTCTGTTCTTAGGTTGAGTACTCGTATTCGCACTTGAAGGCCGACTCTGTTCCCGCGATGCTGCATTTGCCCTTTCCTCCGCTGCAAGGTCAGCCGCCAGATCTTTTGCGAAATGCCAATCATCATGTTCGCCTTGTTCAGTGACGAGTAACATACTGTTACATCGAGAGCAAGTATACCGGTCAATGTCATCATCTGGACGTCCGCTTTGCTTATCTGCATGTGATTCAAACATATCGTCCGATGCTCCTTGTGCAGAAGGAGGTACTTCGAAGGGACTATGAGCCTCCGTCGCATCATCTTCCATGTGCAAATTTTGCTCATCTCTTTCGGAATGACCGCCTGAACTCTCTTGTCTGGCTCCGAAAAAGCGCTGTATGCCACTTCCCTCAACTCTTCTGCGCTTATTTGGAGGAGGAGTCTCCGGATTGCGTAGATCTGATGGTTCTTTTAGGGCAGCTGATATTGCTTTTGCTTCCTCGCCTCTCAGTAGAAACCCGCCAATACCTTTGTTGCCGGTCACACCTTCTTCAAAACCACTAACACTCAATGAGAGGTTTGCACACGGCCATGCTCGGCCTTCGGCAACGACCTGAGCAAGCAGTCCCTTGGCAAGGTCGAAAAGCAGAGTTTCATCCATTGTCTTTCCCATCGGAATAGAAGCCGACTTACTCCTGGTCTGTGCCCCTTGTCTATGGTACAGGTTGAGAGTCTTTGGTCGTCTTTTGTTTTCCAAGACGCCTTCTTCAACTAGTCGAGAGAAAATGTCGGCAACGAAAATGCGGATCCATCTCACAGCTGTGTCTAAGGTGTTAATAGAAGGTCGGAATGACTTAGCACTGAGCATCGACTTGATTTGCGTCCGAGGATTGACTTCACTGTGGTCTTCGCCACGAATGATGTTGTAGAGCCATGTACCAGTATCATCACCTATCTTTTTCTTGAGCTGTTCGATAGGTACTTCGAGCAACTCTTTGACTGTGTCTGTGCTGAATGCTGCGACAATCTCGTCTCCAAGTTTACCACCGAGATTCCTGATTTTGGTGAACTTGAAGTCACTCAAGAAGTGGTTTACAGCCCGGTTGCGGATGATGGTTTGCTGGTTCGGCTTTTTGTGAGCGGACCCGAGCTTCGCGAGCATCTTGTTTCGTGCAACTCCGGCCGAACATGTGTACTTCAGATCTTCGAAGATTTTGGCTCGAACACCTCGTATGATTTCAGAAGCGATGACCATAGCAACATCATCCCAGTCTGGATCGTCATCCTCAGTCTCGGATGAGTCCAAATCAATCAACGCATCAGTGTGCCACTCCAACGCAGTGGTTGGAGGTCGAGGTAGTTGTTCTGTGGGATCATCGTATGGTGCAGGACCTTTCAGTTCTGGGAATCTTTCGAGCATGATACCGTGAACATGAGTAGACAAATCCAAAAAGACCTCATCAATGCTGGCCTTCTCCACCTTAGAAATAGGAGCGGCTGGCAGATGGCCCTTGATCAAAGCCAGAATCCTCCTGCTCTCGAGTCTGTATGGGTCAAGGCTGACCTTGTGTGTCGCCATGTTCTTGAAAGAGTCTTCATGGTATGCCCACTTCTCATCTCCTTCTTTCCAAGTAGCGACGTGTTGCATGATCAGATCCGGGCACTGCTTGACTGCCTCGGTGATGGTGACATGTCGATTAAGCCCAAAGGCTCGTGCCGGGTAGTTGATTGCGATGAGTCCCTGCCACTGTTGAACGGCGAGTGGTTTATCCGGTGGGATACCTAAGCGGACCATTTCGCATTGTGCGTAAAAGGCATCGAGGTCGATGTGAGCGATGACACGCAGCGGACATGATGTAGAGGAGGACGCGAGTTGAGCCAAGTGTCGGTACGTGAATGCAGATTTACGGCGGCGCTGTGAACTCAGAGATACTGGAGACGACTCAAGGAAATTTGGCGAAGACATGTCAGCCTTGTGAGGACTATTCTTCAGTCCATGGATGAGCGACTCGCGTCACGCGTAAAGTGGCGATGTGTCGAGAGTAAAAACAAGGAGCCGATGCGACTTGACAATTCGAGTGTGACTAGACCAAAGCCGGTTGCATGGGCAATTTCAGAGCAGCGACTCGCAATATGATTCAATGGATGGTTCGAACAATGGTAGACCTTTTTCTTAGAGGAGAACGCGACGCGATGCCGTCATGAATCTTGGCCGTGCTGAAGGGTTCTGGTGAACATATCCAGACCGACGAGACTGTGTTATGATCCGATTGAATCTAATTGTGTTCGTCCCGAGAAACATGTTGAAGAAAAATCGAGGCTGCTCACTCTGTGCTAGAGCTACAAATCAGAGTATGAGGTCCTCAATGCTAAGATTCGAGAGATGAAAGACGTCATCAGGAAGATGGTGTCTCTTCAGTAACGTGCAAGTTGTAGACATCAATTCTATCAGTTCTTTCCATAATCATACTCCTACGCATCTCGAATCAATCTCCCAATCAATTGCAAACTATCTAACATGTCTCTTCGTTCCCCCACCTTCCTGATGGGACTAGCCAACCTGTTCGCGATTGGAGGTGCTACATATCATCTGCGAAGCCATCACATTTACAACCTTGAAGAGCACGAAGCACGAATGGACGAGCTCGAGGGAACATTGAGAGGCCACATTGGATTGATTGAAGAGTCTCTCGAGAGGTTGGAAGGCAAACAAATTACCAAAGGTCAAAAGACGTAAGTCGCAGCTTCCCCACTGCTTCAAGAAGCCTTATTGAACGTCGACAGCGAGGACCTGTACTCGAAGCGAGGACGAGACGAGAAGCAAGACAAGCAGAAGAAGCAATAGAGAAGACAAGCTGGACGGTTGTTTTGTATGATAGTGCTAGAGCTCCGCGACCGCAAGCAGACGAAACACGCTGTACTGAAGCATCATTTACAACATAGATAGTCCTATCGGACTCTCATTGGAAGCTCCTCGGCTCTGCATGCTTTCGTGAACGAATTCAAGGCATGCTGAAGGATAGCGGGTCAGACGAGAGAGGGCCGAAAAAACGGTTAGAGCTCCCGGGAGTAAGAGTCTGTCATGCTGGAGCTGTAGAAATGCACCAATGTTTTCAGATTGAGGGATTGTCCAAGGAGAGAAGAGAGTTTGGCGGCTCTCTCTGGATATTGGCCTTTTTCTGAAGAGTATTGTGCATTTCTACATGCTCACATGTCGTAGCTTGGCAGTTGAAGACAGGTCATGCAGGAACACGACTGCCATGTGAATGCTATGCCCCCATGATTTTGGGGAGTGGAAGTGGAAGTTTGGCCCGTGCGGAAGGAGCAAGGGTCTCGGATCCCCCTTTGCTGGCTACACCTCCCCCATACCGTGACAAGAAGCAACCACTGCAGACAGCAATTGCTTCCCGCATCTGAATACGTCGCCTTCACCACACTCGTTCATTGGATTTCTTTGTCGCCAACCACTCGATTCGAGTCCCACAACCTCAGCACAGCATGTCTTCCTATGTGCGTGCGCTCCCAGCTCGACGTCGCTGTCTCTCGCGTGTCTAATGGCGCCTACTGACACAGCCACAGATCAGGCGCAAGAAGAATGTCAAGAAGGGTATCCAGTTCTGCATCATGGTCTGCGGTGCATCTGGAACTGGTGAGCCGAATCAAGACCCTCCAACGTCCATCTCCGTCAACTAATCAATCGCGCCTCAGGCCGTACCACCTTCGTCAACACACTCTGCGGCAAGAGTGTCCTCTCTGGTGTCGAACATGATGACCCTGCCAATGCACACATCGAAGGCGGTGTCCAAATAAAGCCCGTCACCGTCGGTACGATATCAACACCTACCTTGTCGCCACTACCCTGATGCTCACAATTGTCTGCAGAGCTCGAACTTGATGAGGAGGGTACTCGTATCTCGCTGACCGTCGTCGACACCCCTGGATTCGGTGACCAGATTGACAATGAATCAAGGTGCTTATTATTCGCCTGCAACAAAATCAATGGCTTCAGCTGACACGCATACCCAGCTTTGGCGAAATCGTCGGCTACCTCGAGCGCCAGTACGACGACATTCTCGCAGAGGAGTCCCGTATCAAGCGTAACCCCAGATTCCGCGATAACCGTGTCCACGTTCTGCTTTACTTCATCACACCCACCGGTCACGGGTATGCACATCTCTCCTACTACCCGCTTGTCCGATCACTTCTGACCTCTTCCTACCAGTCTCCGTGAACTCGACATCGAACTCATGAAGCGCCTTTCACCTCGCGTCAACGTCATCCCTGTCATCGGAAAGGCCGATTCCCTGACCCCCGCCGAGCTTGCAGAGACCAAGAAACTTGTCATGGAGGACATTGAACACTACCGCATCCCCGTCTACAACTTCCCCTATGACATTGAGGAGGATGACGAAGACACTGTCGAGGAGAACGCCGAACTCCGTGGACTCATGCCATTCGCTATCGTCGGATCAGAGGACACTGTTGAGATCGGAGGTCGTGTTGTCAGAGCTCGTCAATACCCCTGGGGACTGGTCGAGGTGGACAACCCGCGCCACAGCGATTTCCTGGCCATTAGGAGTGCCCTGCTTCACAGCCATTTGGCCGACCTGAAAGAGATTACACACGACTTCCTCTACGAGAACTACCGCACAGAGAAGCTTAGTAAGAGCGTCGAAGGCGGAGCCACTGCGTACGTAACCCAGGATATAGCATTGTTATGGGCAGAAACTAACGGTCTTGGCAGCGATCACTCACTCGCTCCGGAAGACCTGGCGTCACAATCAGTCCGCCTTAAGGAGGAGCAGCTGCGCCGCGAAGAAGAGAAGCTCAAGGAGATCGAACTCAAGGTACAGCGCGAGATCAACGAGAAGCGACAGGAGTTGTTGGCCAGAGAGAGCCAGCTGCGCGAGATCGAGGCACGCATGCACAGAGAGCAGAGCGCTGCGCTCAGCGTCAACGACACCGAGTCGACTGAGGCCGGTGCCGCCTAAGAAGTTTTACAAAAGCAAACCATGTCAAGTGTCAGTCTACCACATGGGCTTCTGTCCTGAGGGCTCGCGGGAAGAGTCCGTCTTTTCGTTTCGTTGTTCTTTCTCTGTTGGTTGCGCAAAGTATTCCCCCCTGATATTGCTGTATTCAAAGAAGGCCTACCTTTAGTCTGTAATATTACCTTCAAAAGCACTTCATCCAATCGTCTGTTCTCAATGATACCTCGGTCATCCGGCTAGATAGCAGAGGAGGCATGTGAATCTTGGCATTTAAACCACGCAGGTGTTCGCTGATGCCACATCTTTCGTGTTAGCCAAATCACATTTACGCACACAAAATCAGTCATGGCCGAACTAGTCGACAAGGCACCCGAGCTGCCTCCCCCATTCGTAAACGTAACAGGCATCGCCAACTTCCGCGACATTGGCGGCTACAGCACATCCTCGGAACAGCAACAATCCATCCGCTCAGGTCTCGTCTACCGATGCGCCGACCCCACCAAAGTCCAACCCGATGGCCTCGCGAAACTCAAAGAGCTGGGAGTGAAGAAGGTCTTTGACTTGCGCAGTGTCCCCGAGATCTCCAAGCAAGGGCCCGAATGGGCTGGTGTTGCAGTAGAGAAACAGGTGTTCACCACAAGAGCTGAAGGAGATGAAACTCCTGTGGGCGCAGATGAGATTGAGAGGATATGGTGTCCGGTGTTCAAGGATACTGACTACGGGCCTGAGCAAGTAGCCATCAGGTTCCAGTACTATGCGAGCGGCAGTGAGGTATGCACCTCCCCTCTGTGTCTCTCGCTTGTAGGAATGCAGACTAACCAAAGAGCCACAACAGGGTTTCGTAAAAGCATACTCAGACATCATGACACACGGCAAAACCGCATACAAAACCATCCTCACGCATCTGGCTCAACCAAACCCTTCTCCGTGTATAATCCACTGCACGGCAGGAAAAGACCGCACAGGCATTATAGTCGCTCTCTTGTATCTCCTCTGCTATGTGCCCTCCGACACAGTTGCTAAAGAATACTCCCTTACCGATACTGGACTACAGCACATGGTGCCTTTGTTCACCGAACGCTTGCTCAAGAATCCTGCTCTAAAGGGTAGCGCCGAGGGAATCAAGGAGATGATCTCTGCTCAACCAGACAAGATGATGGCCACCATTGACATGATTCAGCGTGTTTATGGTAGTGCAGAGGGCTATGTCAAGGATGTGGTGGGCTTGAATGATGAACAGATTGCGCAGATCAGGAAGAATCTTTTATCGGACGAGAAGGCTGTCTTTTAGACATTCCTAATCAGCTTCTCTGGGATCAGAAGAACTTCACGAGGAACTGAATTGATAGACAAATCGTAATTATAGACTTTCTCATTGATGCTTCTGGAAGCTGTTATCTAATAATGCTACTGATGCTTTCGTCAATCGATACTTTCGTTATTCATGCTGTCGTTATTCGTTGCTCGTTGTGACACTGAGCGCATTTGACACGATGCTGTCCGCTCATGCACCCTTCCTTCAATACGCTCCAATCATGATCTTTCATCCCTGCCAACGCACTCTCTCGCTTCTGAGAAGGTTAACCAGCTCGACTGGCAACATTTCCTTCTCACCCAGACCCAATCCACCGAACCTCTCCATGGCTTCGGCCGCATAGAGATGAAGGGTCCAGCGCCAGTAGACGTCCATGGCAGTGAAGTGGGGTTTGATGTGCTTAGATGTGCGGAACTCGAGTGGGAGAGTGTTCAATGCATACTCGATGAAGCGAGTGTACACCAGACTCTCGATTGTGGGCGAATCCAGAAGGCGGTCGTAAGCAGCTTTGAGATACGGAGAAGTCTCCTCGCGAAAGCGAACAAATTCTTCGAAAGAGAAGAACTTCTCTGCGTCACATCCATGGGGCACCTCAACAAAGTGCTTGGATCTGTTCTTCTCGAACGCTCGCTTGTAGTCGTCATACTCCTCCTCGTCCTGCTCCCAAGCAATTTCGAGAATGTCATTGGGTTGAGTTTCAGAGTTCTCACGAGCAGTCATGAGTGGTATGAAAGGGTTGCGCAGCTCAAGACCGCCGAGCTCAACAGGCCAATACAGGAAGACATTGGCAATGTGCTTGGTCCCGAAACGCTCTTCAATGACGGACTTGAGGTAAGAGGTGACATCCTCGCAGCCAGTAGTGTTGTCGTCGTCCTCGAAGAGCTTTTTCTGGATGTACTTGAAGGTGGAGAATACCATGTCGAGATGCTCGATGCCAAGGCAGTTGGCAGGATGTCCAAAGTTGTTTCCCAAGAATCGGCCCATGTAGCTGTTCCAGGCCTGAACATAAGAGAAGACCGAGCGACACTGCGCAAATTGGAGGCGCATCTCAGCGATGTGCTGATCAACGTTGGCCATGTCAACGACCCAGCGTCCCTTGACAGGATCCAAGACCAGGAAGCCCCATCTTACAGGCCCTTTGGGAAGGGAGCTCGAAGGCTTTTCACCCTTGTCGCTCACATGAACAGTTCCAGTCTTCTCCTCATTCAATGCTAGACCCATGACTTTTGTGAACTTCTTGATAGCTTCCCAGGCGACCTCGCAGTCTCCCTTCTGACCCCAGAACCAGACGTCATCATGGAAGCGGTAGAGCTGACAACGACCCTTGGTTGCCTTGCTGACGGCAAAATCGAGGCAGGCGAGTATTATCTCGCCGAACACATCGCTGAGTGTTTGACTGATAGGAACACCACAAACACGTGTACGAGGCTCCGAGTTGGGGCCGTCCTGGGGGAAGATAAGTGACATGGAGAGATACTTCTTGAAGAATTCAATGTAGGAGTCCTCAATACCCAAAAAGCTCAGGACAGTGAAGATGGTGCTGTGAGGAAGACTGGGACCGAACCACTTGAAGTCGGTTTGACAGAGGGTGAAGCTTCCATAGACCTTGCGCTGAACCATAAGCTCGGTCGTAGCCAATCTGAGAAGGGTCTGCTTGATCTCGAGAGGCGACTTCTTGTCAGAGTCTCCATCGTCCGAGTCGTCGGAAGCGTTGTAGTCACGACTGACTTCCTCGATCTTATCGGGAAGCTGTGTCAAAAAGAAATCGTTCTGGAACTGGTCGCGACGGGCCTGGAGAACCGAGTTCTGGTGGTTGACCTTGTTCTCGCCTCCAAGATAGAAGGCGAAACGGGCATGGTCCTTGGAGGACATTGCACTGTGAGCAGACTTTGGCCATGCTTTGGAGCGAATGAAAGCTTTGAAGATAGCCTTCGAAGACACTGCAAATCGAGTGCCGATGTACTGCAAGAGAAGAGCTTGGTGGATCTCAGGGTTCATGTAAACTCTGTACTTTCCATTGATCTGCTTTCTCATCTGAGTGGGAGTTGGTGAAGGCTTCCAGGACCAATCACCCAGGTTTGCAATCTCCATGTTGATGACATCGGCGACCTCTGTGAGCACACCCTTGCCAGCGTTGCTGAGTGCGATCAATTCATCTCTCTTGCGACCGCTGAGCAGATCGGCACTGAGGACAGCCTTGATAGCTTGCTCAACATCCTCACTGGAGCAAGTGTTGGTTGTGACAGTCCACTTGTTGAAGGCAATATGAAGATGATCGAAAGCAGTTTTGTGGACTTTCTTTTTCTGCTGAGGCTCAATGAAGAGGTCGGAGAGGTAAGCCTCAATGGCATCTGTGTCTGTTTGACGCTCGGTGAAGACGAAAGAGTCCCACTCCTGACGCTGGCGATACATCTCCTCACGACCAACCTGGACCGACTCGAAGCTCTCGGTATCCGAAGACTCTGCAGTGCTGTCACCTCCAAAAGGCGAACCAAGAAGAAGGTTGGCATCGTTTGGCTTATCGACCCATTCGGTAGCAAGGCGTGAGAACAAGTCCGTGTACTCGAATTTGTTAGACTGGATGGTAAGGAGACGTTCAAGATCGGCCTGCCAAGCTGAAGGAAGAGCCGATGGAATGGAAGCATCAAAGGTGGACTGGATCAGCATCTGACTGGTGTTGGACAATGAGAATCCACCGTTCGAAGCCTGGGCAGTTGTTGACTTGAGACCGAGCTTTTTTAGGCCGTCAAGGAGCGTTTGGATGGGATCACTGCTCTTTTGAGTTTGAGCGAGGAGCTCAGCCTTGCGTTCTTCGAAAGCCTGTCGCCGATCGGCCAGTTGAGAACGCTTGTAGTTGGTGACATCGCGCAGCACTCTAGAAGCCATCTTGGGCAACTGAGAGATGGCTCAAGGTAGATGATTGATGGATGAAGGAGCGGGAAAGAGGATGAGAGAGATTTGGAGGGTTGACTTCCAGATTCTCTAAAGCGGATGTAAGAAGGAAATGAGAAGGCACGCTGCACATGTACTTATAGCTCTTGCCAGACAATACCTGCAACCAAGATGGCAAACGCAGGAAGATTCACGGTGGTCGTATCGGGAAGGATCTGGTCTGAGCGACCACCTTCCGCTGAAAGAAGACACAACACTTGCTTGAGACCTGCGAAACTTGAACGTTTGCAGTTTGCTAATGGTTTCTCGTCGGTGCCTTTCTCACAGTGACGGTGTCTCTCTTTGGAGTCTTGGTCAAAAAAGGGTTGCGACGATCCGAGCAGCACTACGTCATAGTTATTCAACATTTTGGTAGATTGTTATGCTCAACGAGCAGAACAGAAGAAGACATTGTGAGTCGGTATAGATTCAGGCGTGAGAAAGAGACACAAGAGGACGAGGTTGAAAGGCAGATTCAATAATTACCATAGGGGCTAAAGTGGTGTTGTTTGTATAGGGGAGCTGAATTTATCCATCACATTTACCCGCCCCGGAAGACCACCGGATGGCCCTGGTTAAGTCATTTGCCCTTGCTGACTTATCTTTTGTGGATCATTGAAATAAGAAGAATCGGTCGGCGGCGAGAACAAGAGTTTCCATTCAATCATTCTCTCAAACACACATCATGGCAGGAACAGGACCTTTGTACATGGTACGAGCTTCAATGAAGAGAAAGCGCAACTGTTTGCTGACTTCTAATGCCAGGGCTTCGACCTTTCCACACAACAGCTCAAAGGTTCGGAGACACCGCTTCCTAAGTAATTGTGACGTTTCAATTGACTCTGAGACCTACAGGTGTTGTCGTGGATTCACAGCTGAAGCACAAGCATGAAGCCAAGGTCGACTTTGATGCTGACTTTGGCGAGAAGTACGGTATCGAGAAGGGTGTTTTGACAAACCCTTCAGAAGGCGAGATTTATGCGCCCGTGGGCATGTGGCTTGAGGCTGTAGATTTGGTGCTATCAAGACTAAGAGAAGATGGTCTTGACTTCTCGCGAGTGAAAGGTGTGTCTGGAGCGGGCATGCAGCACGGAACTGTTTTCTGGAGTCAACAAGCCGAGAGCTTACTTTCAAGCCTGGACGCAAACAAGTCACTAGTCGAACAACTGGAGCCCAGTGCACACAAGGATGAGCGTAAGGGCGCTTTCAGTCACCCAGACAGCCCCAATTGGCAGGACCACTCAACCCAGAAGCAATGCGATCTGTTTGATGCTGAGCTCGGAAGCCCGGAAACTTTGGCCGACGTGACTGGCAGCAAAGCCCACCATCGTTTCAGTGGACCTCAAATCATGCGATTCAAGTCCAAGTACCCGGAGCACTACAAGGAGACATCTCGCATTTCGCTCGTTTCGTCGTTCCTCGCATCGGTATTCCTTGGCAAGTTTGCGCCTATCGACATCAGCGATGTTACTGGTATGAACTTGTGGCATATCAAGGAGGGCAAGTGGAACGAGAAGTTGCTGGCTCTGGCAGCAGGCAGCACAGAGGGCGTTGCTGAGCTCAAACAGAAGCTCGGCCATGTTCCTGAAGATGGTGGTGCTAGTTTCGGTCAAATCAGCAAGTACTTCGTACAGCGCTATGGATTTGCTCAGGACTGCAACATCATCCCAATGACAGGAGATAACCCTGCAACTATCCTCGCTCTTCCTCTCCAGGCTTCGGATGCCATGGTCTCGCTGGGCACATCAACAACTTTCCTCATGAGCACACCGCAGTACAAGCCCGATCCTGCATACCACTTCATGAACGACCCTACAACCGCCGGCTTATATATGTTCATGCTCTGCTACAAGAACGGTGGCCTCGCGCGTGAGCATGTCCGCGACGCAATCAACGGTAATAAGACCGACCGCTCATGGGACAAATTCAACGAAGTTGCCCTTGCCACTCCTCCCATGAACCAAAAGTCTCCCTCCGAGCCCATGCGCATGGGTCTCTACTTCCCTCGTCCTGAGATTGTACCCAACGTCCCCGCCGGCCAATGGCGCTACGAGTACGACCCATCCTCCAACAAGCTGAACAAGATTTCCGCAGAGCAAAGCGTAGATGCTGATGCTCGCGGCATCGTCGAGTCGCAAATGCTCTCGCTGCGTCTGCGTTCTGCAGCCCTGGTATCTGGCCACGAGATTAACGGTGAAAAGCTACCTCCCCAGCCTCGTCGTGTGTACCTCGTTGGCGGTGGCTCTGCTAACCCTGCTATTGCACGTATCATCGGTGACGTCTTGGGAGGAGCCGAGGGCATTTACAAGCTCGACATTGGTGGCAACGCATGCGCTCTGGGAGGTGCCTACAAGGCCGTCTGGGGCTGCGAGCGTCGTGGCAAGCAAACCTTCGAAGAGCTTGTCGGCGAGCGATGGAACGAGGACGCCTTTGTCAAGAAGGTCGCCGATGGCTACCGCAAGGGCGTGTTCGAAAAGTACGGTGAAGCACTCAGGGGTTTCGACGCCATGGAAAGGGAGATCGTCAAGGCCACTTCGGAAGGTGCAAGGGACAACGCAGATGTCTTCATGGAGCCCAAGAACTAACACTGCACAAACAAAAAAGAATGATAACGTGGTACGTAGGCTGTTAATGTAATTCTCAGATTATGCAAGTGCTTCAAGGTCTTTTGTATATGACTTGGAGGTGGTGCCACCTGACAGCGGCTTCATACGCTCACCAAGCTTAGCGAGAAGCATCTCGTATACCGCCAGTTTTTTGCAACGCTTCCGTGAAGACAAGCTTTCGGAAAATGGTGGGAGAATTTCGTGAAATGAATTACCTGATTATCCATAAAAGCTGACTGCTAGAACGAAAATTATAAAAGAGATTCGTATCATGGGGTTCCTTCAACCGATCACTCTTGTGGCTCCTCGGTCTCTTGTTGACCGTCCTCGTTGTCTTCGCCATCATCTTGCTCATCATCCTCGGCACCTTCTTCGGCCTCGCTACCATCGTTCTCGTCGTCGTTCTCTTCACCATTCTGCTCGCTGCTCTGGTCCTCATCTTGTTGGCCATCGTTCTTTTGAGCTTTGGCCTGCTCAGAGTCCTCCAGGATAGGCTTGACCGGGTCTTGTCTGGCGTCTGGGATGCTCTCCTTCTCAAGGTTCCATTTCTGCATAGCAATGATGATGTCGACAGCAAGCTGGCCGTTCTTTCTGAGAGCCTTGTCCCATTGCGGTGGCATGCCTGATTCGCTAGTGACGAGGTTTCTGGCAACACTGCTGATGAGCAACTGGCGCATAGGAGATTCGAGGTCGGTGTTGGCGTAGATGTACTGCACGCGGCGGAGGGCAGGGTAGGTGTCAGACTCCTTGTACCAGTTGCGAACGCTCTTGAGGACTTCGAGGGTCAGATCACGGATTTCCCACTTCTCGGCCTATGGTTGCTGTTAGCTCTGGCCAGGTCTTAACATCAACAAGGCAGACTTACCATCAAGTACAAATCCAGCAGAAGCGTTAGGTCCTTCTCTGATTCAGGAGTGGGGGTGTGCTACGCTCGTTAGCGTATTTCAGCGGCAGAGTCAATGATACACGACTCACACCGCTGTAGAGCCACCCGACAAACATACGGAATGGCTCTGGTTCTTCATCCGGAAGTCCATAGGAACTTTGAGTTTGGCGAGTTCTGTTTTCCTTGCTGTAGAAAATGTTGCGGAAGAACTTGCTGCGATAGCAAAGCAGCTTCTCGTGCAAGACCCATTTCGTGTTCTCCTGGCCAATGTAGAGATCGACCATCTCACGAGACAACAGCCTAGATGACTGCTGTTAGCATTTTTGGCTTTCTTGCGGAACCAGACTTGAGCCGCGTGAGACGTACTCGTGAAGAGGCTTGTCCTGATGTTCTGCCATTTTGATGGTATGATGTTATTTTCTCAAGATAGAAGAGTAATCGGATACGAATGTCAAAGGACTCAAAAGACTTCAGAGAAGTAGAGAAGAACGAGGGAACAGGGATATTTATCTAAGCAGGGAATAACTTGTGGCTTGACCAAGGTCCTCGAGGGAAAGAATGAGGCGCAGGCACGGCAGACATGTCTTGAAAAGAATGGCTGGGGATCGATCGTGTTACTGTACAGAGCAGGGATGGTATGTATTGTGAAGCATTCTTGCGTCACTCTGCAGGGGGAACGTCACTGGCAAGCCGAAACTTGGACAGCGGGGCTGGCTTTTGCTTCATCTTCTCCCGCTGTCTTCCACGTGAGGATCTTCTTACTCTCCTGATGATCGCGGAACGTCTATCACGAATTGTCTGACAGTAAGGTATTCACCTGCACCCTATCAATAAAGTTTTGAGGATGGTCCGCCGAGGTGAGCAAGCTTTTCGAAAACCCCAGGACGTTGGCGGCGCCCTGACCACCCGAGACAATCCATCGACCAGTCTTTCAGCCATTATGCTAAGAGTCTAGCATTTCAAGGATTTATTGTCTGCGAAAAAGAGGATTGTACAGTGTGATTGAATGCCAAATCAAACATCGTAGTCAAAGACTCAACAATCGTCGTGAGAACCTTCGGTATGAGCAGCGATGCGAACTCGCTGCTCGTCTATACTTCACTCATGGTAGCCTACTATTAGTAGGCACTCACTCAACAGGCTACCACCTTTTATTGTTTCTACGAGATTTTGCTTGTGATGACGATTTCACTGATGCTATGCACACTTCTCGCCTTAGCACTATCGCTTCGCTCTTTGTGAGCTGTCACAGCTGCAAACGCGTTGTCCCGCAGACCTTTATATGACCTTCTCCCGTTCACTGACAAACTACCTTGCCAATCACACAGCATTATTGCTCAACACATTAGTCCAACCAGTTATCACTTACAACATTCCTACCGGTCGCCATGGCTCCATCAAAAGGCACTAAAGGTGTCTCGCTGAGCTCCGTTAGGTGCGTGCTCAGACGCAAAACATTTGTATGCTTTGACTAACAGATGCACCTTAGTCTGCTCTACTCGCCAATGGTCACTGTGCGTGTGGGCTCTGGCCGACAAGAATTCTGCATACACAAGAAGATACTCTGCTCCAACTCAACGTACTTCGACAAAGCTCTTTCTGGACAATTCGTGGAAGCTCAAACACGCGTTGTTGAACTCGAAGACATTCATCCTCTCCTCTTCAAGATATTTGTCGCTTGGTTGTATTCTGGTAGACTCACTTATGAGTCTTCGGATCCAAGCACTTCTTCGCGTGTTGAATTCTCAGAGCTGAACGCTGCATTGAACAAAGAGTATCCATGCGAAGAGGATGAAGATGAGGAAGAAGACGAGAAAGATGACGGAGATAAGAAAGATGAGCTTGCCGACTTCCAGGAAGAAGACTCGAGAACTTGGTCTTACTTGATCCTTACAGGCTTGTTCATACTGGGCGATCGTTTGGATGCTCCAAGGCTCAAACGCTCTATCCTTGATACTATCGTCAAAAAGATCAATCAGACAAGAAAGGTACCCTTTGGCACAGTTGTAATTTACGCCTACGCGAACACGCCCAAAAAATCTCCGTTGCGTCAACTCCTTGTCCACATATTCGCCTACGAAAAGTCGTTTTCAAGATCTCCAAAAAACAGCAAGTTGAAGTATCTGCCCGCAGAGTTCCTCGCCGCCGTGATGATACGGATGGGAAGAAGGCTGCCATTTAGGCAATGCGACTCCTGCTACGAAAGAGCTCTCGACGCCAACAAACTCACATCTGAGGACATCGATGACGTGCATAAGGAGGAAGATCAAGCGCCGTACGATCACAACCTTTGTTTCTATCACGAACACAAAGATGAAGAGGAAAAGAACGCATGTCAAGCGGCGCGCGAGGAAGAAAGTGACACAGACTCATCTTTTGATATGTCTTCTGATACGTCCTCTGATGTCTCTGATATCTCCTCTGGTACTTGACGGTTGGACAAATGCACGACGCTGATTGCACCAGGCCTGATATATGAGAGAAAGGAACCAGAACCATTAGTCTAATAGAAGGCACAACATAGACGCAAGGCACAGAAGGGTAGCTTACAGATCGTTCGACCTGATTATTGAAAGACAAGAGGCAGAGAAGCACACATACAATAACAACAAAACAAGTCGAGCTTCTCAGCACAAGCAGTAGGTAGAACAGAAACGGTCGTTGAATCAAAACCATTTCCATATCGCCAGCATGACTTGCTTATACCATCTTCCGAAAGTCCCTTGCACAGAAAGAAGCCTAGTCACAAACAATGTTCTTGACAGAAAGAGAAAATAATTAATATTCGAGTACGTCATAGTTATCTATCACATTATTATTTTTACAAACCGAAGGTAAACAGAACAACCATCGCTACTCCCAGAGCAAGCGACGAAGAAGCATTAGTAAAGCTAGCAGCACTATCCTTGCCAGACTTGGACGTGGTAGCATTACCGCTAGATCCAGAAGCAGAGTCCGAGTCGGAAGATGAGCTGGAGACAGTGGTGTTTGCATCGCCAGTACCGATGTCGACCTTGGTATTCGCAGCAGCAAGAGTACCATCATTGACGTCGACGATGTCAGTGGCACCAAGGACTTCACCATCGGCATTCAAAGCAGCAGCACGAATGTAGCGAGCATTGGTGCCTACGGTGACATTTGTTTCGAAACCAGACTTTGTAACGTTCTTCCACAGCTCATTCGCCGTAGCGAGAGAAGAAGACGAGTTCGAGGCAAGAAGTGCCCATTGCTTAATTTCAGTGGCGCCGTTCCAGGACATGTAAACAGTAGTGTTGTCGGTACCGTTTCCTGTGGCAGCGATGCTAGGGTTCCAGCCAGGGAAGCCTTGCCAGTTCTGCTTGTAGGCACGGTAGCTCTGCACACTCGAGTTGCCAATGATGCCGAATTGAACGTCCCAGATAGCCTCTCCTTCATTGGTGTATTCGATAAAGGCGCCGTTGCTGCCATAGCCCATAAAGATGTTGCCGTTCGAAAGCAGCTGGACGCTTCCCTGGGAAATGGACGAGATGCGTTCGGGACTGATGTAGTCTTGCTTGAGAGAGACAGACATGTCGTCGTAGTTGAGGGTCAGCCAGAGACCACGGGTGTAGTTCTCAGTCCTGACCCAATCCGCCGCTCCGTTATCGAAGAGAGTCAGTTCAGTCAAATCCTCGGAATGCCAGCGGGCGTCGTGTTGCCAGGCGAAATTTGTCGCGTTGCCATCGCTCTTATCTTCAAAGTCATTGTTCTTGCCGCCCAAGGTCCAGATGACATCGCCATTAGTTCCATTGATATAGTAGAGACTGTGTGTATGTCTGGCAGAGACGAGGTAGTTACCAGAATCATCCTTCTCGATCGAGTTGATGTGGAAGAAGTCCCAAGGGCTGTCTTGAGAAGTACCAGTGGCACCAGGATCGGCATACGATGCGTTCAGTGAGACGTGATCGGACGCGCGCCAAGTGAAAATGAGCTTGTTGGTAGCGACGTCAACCTCCTCGAACAGAGAGTCGGCAAGCCAGCCGTTTTCGATATCATAAGCTGTGAGATTGTACTGCATGGGTTCGTAGGCAGTCATGAGTGCCGTACCTTTATCGGTCAGTTCGATCTCGTGGATGTCTCCACCAACAGTCAAGTTCCTTGTTGTAAGGTTGTAGGCAACATTGTAATTGTGGTCCAGCATGATATAGCTACCACTTCCATAACCGGAACTCTTGATAGCTCCACGCCAGAAGGTGATGTAGTCTGAGTTGTTGTATTCTTGTACTCTGACACCGAACGTCGTCTTGTAGCTGGGGTCGCTCCATACAAGAGTAAGATCGTCCGAGTTGAAGATCATAGGAGCAATTTGTTCCACGGCAGTACCTCTGGGGGAGATAAAGACACGGTCGGCGCTGTCGACGTTGTCTCCTGCAGCCTTGTTTACCTGGAAGACAGGAACTTCGAGGCTCGAAGACTCGAACGATTGAGTTGGGTAAAGACCATATGCCTTGGCTTGGAACTCAGAGCCAGTGTAAGGAGATTGATCGGCCAATGCAAGACGACTCATTGGCAGCGCCGCAAGCGCCAATGTCAATAGAGTAGACATATTGATTCAGTAACAAACGAATGGAAATAGATAGAGAAGGAAACGCGGATGTGAAGCAATTTGGAGAAAAGCCTCCCTGTTCGATACAGACAGAAAACATTCTTCCAGCACCGGGGACACCTACATCATATACCAGACATCGTCCTATACCCTTGTCATGTCCTGAGGTCCGCGCTTACACTACTAGGCCTTGTTAGAGTCTCTAGCCCGTGGGGCCGTCTCATCTTCCTGTTTTCCAGAAGGTGCCAAGCACTGTGCTATGATGTGTGGCTTCTGTTGATATTGTAGAGTGCCGGATGAAATCGGTTGTAAGTTAGTCAAGAAATCGATACTAGGCGCAGAAAGCACGATTTGAAAAAATTCTTGGTGTTAATGTTGTTGCTGCCGAACCGGCTCGTCATGGACCAACCTGAGTCAGTGTCAGGACAATGATTTGGGCATACCTGACCGTAGTAGCTTGAGAATACGAATCTGCTACAACTCTTATCATATCGGATGTAAATTGATTGACACGGCAAACACTACAAGCCACCCGCTCTCGTGGTGATTGCTCGCGTGCCTTCTTGCCTGAACAAAACTTGGTACAGTAAAAAGGACGCGTCGCCTAAAGTCAAAGCGCCTTTAGCGGTCTCTGGCGGCTGCACAAGCACAGTCGCCCGATCGCTTGCCGATGCTCTCACAGAGGTGGCGTCGGTATCGTTGTCGCAAAGTCGTGGTTGTTGAAAGTCAAATTGAAGCGGCTCTGCGTGGTTGCGTAAAAGAGCAGACGGTCCTCCTGTAAGCGGGACACAAAAGCCTTGGCTCAGGAGCCAAGCTCTGCAACGACTCCGAAACAATGCCGTGGAGGAAGCCCTCGGAGCGGCAGGCTCGTTTGGCTCGATTCAGATATGGACCGGCCGCTCATCAAACATGCGATGCTGCGGGAGCTCTATACTACCATGCCATCACAGTTAGTCATGGAAAGCGATGCTGTCCGTACGTGTACAGACGCGATAGTGATGTCGAAGTTTCAGGAACCGCATCCTGCTAAGTTGTCTTTGAATATTCAAAACACTAGATTTTGCTATATGTACAAGAACAGAGCTCATCAATCACATTATGGTTGTTGTTGTTGGCTCATCGGCCATCTTCTTGTGCACAGCGCTTGTGCTCTTCTCCAAGTCTTCCGGATCGAGGGCTTCGCCCTTGACAACGCCTACTTCGCTGCTAACATCCACATCAGCAGGCACTGGAGGACCAGTAAATGCCTTACGTCCGCGAATGAAGTACCATACGATACTGATGACGGCAAAGCCTGCAAATACGACAGATGCGTAATTCATCGTACTCGGGTCAACTGGAAGCGTGACCGGCATGGAAAACAAGACGACAGCCAAGGCAATCCAGCAAATTGTAAGCACATTGATTGCCATGCCGAAACGACCCAAGGAGAAGGAGGAGTGAGCGACCATTTTGCGTCCACGAAGTACGCTGACCAAGATCGGCAAACCATATGAGGTCGAGAGGCAGATCGTGGCCACACCTGTGAATGAATTGAATGCTGCAGTGCTACCGAAGTAGATGAGACCTAACAAGCAATCAACCACTGTTGAAAGCACGAGCGCCCACAGGGGAATATCGAAGCGTTTGTCGACTCGAGACCAGATGCGAGATCCAGGAATTGCACCATCACGAGCAAAAGCGTAAGTGCAACGACTTGCCGCTGTCAGAGCACCAGTTCCGGCGAAGAAGAGAATGCCTAGAAGAAGGAATAGCAGTCCAAAACCACCAGCTGCTGAGCCCGTAACAGTCTTGAATAGAAGACCAATCGGCTGGCCATTGGCGACGTCTAAGAGCATCTTAATATCTGGCAGAACAAACAGGATCGGGATCAGATATATGACGCCAGTCACACCCGCAGCAGCTACAGAGAGAACAATTGCCTTGGGCACCTCGCGAGCAGGGTTCTAAGTAAATTGTGTTAGCCCGGGTCAATCAGATTTGTATCGCGATTTGGCTCACCTGGACTTCCTCACACATCGCGGCAACCATGCCATAACCAGTCAACGTGTAAGAAGCCTGCAGGAGACCAACAAAGAAAGCCCAGCCGCTGGGCCAACCGCTACCGCTTGCATCGTAATGGGCAAAGACAAATTCTCCACTCCTGTAGTTGTCTGCCATGGCAAGCAAAACGACCATGATGATAATCACACTGGCTGCAGTCCAGTAGATACAAACCTTGTTGATGAGATCAAGGTATTTGGCACCAAAAATGTTGATGAGCATGCATATTAGCATCACACACCAGAACATTAGTACTGTTTGCCATGCCGTAGGCACAAAATCCTCGTTCCAGAGGCTGATTGCACTCAGGATCAGCTGGGCTCCCGAAAAATTGATCGATGTTGTGACGGTCCAGTTGCCGACAAGTGTGAGCCTATCGTCGTTAGCAGCTGCACGCTATCTAAAGCAAGATCGGTATGACCTACCAACCAGTGATCCAAGAACTCAATCGAGCATATTTCTTGGTACTCAGCATAGCTGCCCAGTAATACACACCACCAGCAGTAGGAAAGACAGCGCAGATCTCAGCCAATGAAGCTGCAATAGACAGAGATATCAAAGACACTAGAACCCATCCCCACAAGATTGTCACACTCTGACCATCTGCGAGAGTGATGTAAAAAGTTGTACTCAGTCCGAATGGCACAGCCATGATTGCAAAGGACCTAGATTCGTTTTCGTCAGTGATCTTTCAGGGTTAGAAGCCACGATGTAACCCACAGTCCTAGAACACTCATCATGCTTAGACCTCTGGGCAATTCTGATTTGTAGCCCATACGGGCCAAATCAGCCTCCGCAGCAGTAGCCATGATGAAGTCGTTGTCGAAGTCCGAGTTGTTCAAATTTTCGAAGTACAAAGCTAGCTCAGCAGATCTGAAGTGCCTTGCCGAGCAAAGGAAGGGTCAAGATCGAGGTGAATTGAAAGCGACGTTTCGGTGCTGAGCAGCGCCGTCCTAGATGATTGAGACGAAGGAGCAGGAATCGACAAAGTGGACAGTCGTTAGGTTGCACTTTATCAGTCTAAGGATCGGCCACCATCGGCGAGAAAGGTGATGTAGCGGCGGTCCACCTGTAGAGGTCAACAGCGCCCCAAGTTCCTGATCCGCTTCTAGGCGTCTGGGGTGGTAGTATAGATAAGAAAGAGGTCGCAATAGACGAGAACCAATTGACTGTTCTCATTACCCTAGTGCGGTTATATACAAAGATAGGAGGGAACAGGATTAGGGCATCACCGCAGATAAAGAAAGCTTTCGTTGACTCGTTCTGGAGCCCTTTGATCATGGGTTGTGTGGGTGATGTTCTTGACCGTTGCAAGCCCCGCGTCACAGAGGCGCATCGGAGTGAACGCCATGTCCCTTAGTTGAGCTGAGCGGTCTCGATAAAGATTTTTTTTACGTACAAGGCTGGGGAACAACATGGAGCATGGGGGTTTGCTGATTGACGGTCTTGCTGTCCGAGTGTTCACATCCTCCAGATCAGAGCCTTACATAGGCAGTTACAGTGATGCATCGTTCACCAGGTTACTGTTTGCATTATGTGTGCCCTTCACGGCGTGCTTCAATATAGCGTACTACACCACATGGCCTTGAAACTAGTATGACAATCTTGTGGCACAAAAGAACGTGTCAACAATTCGCCTGCATTCCTAGGCGCTTGAGAACGCTCGCTGACGGACGCACTGTAGCCCAAGCAATGAACAGGGCCCCATAGCTTCGCAAGAAAAGAAAAAAGACGAGTCCTTGGTAGAAGCGACTTGAGAAACAAAAACGACCCTTCCCAAAACGCCAACCGACCCAGAGACATGCATGCGGCTGTAAAAAATATCGTCAAGAGCATTAATAAGCGCGTTGGGTATTAGGCACGCCAGGCATATGCTGCTGGTGCATGTGCGCTTGTTGCTGCCTCAGCTGTTGTAGATCAGCGAACCAAGGATGTTGAAGAGCTTGTGTGGCAGAAATGCGAAGCTCTGGACGAAGCTGGAGCATAGCACTCAACAGTTGGAGGCCGACAGGATCAACCTGTGGAAGGATGTTACGCAGGTCCTGAGTTGCGTAGACAGGGAAGTTTGGCTTGTACTCGGGGAACTGTGAGATACCAGGCCACGAACGCTCGGAAGGAGTGCCCATGAGACGGAAAATCTTCTGCAACTGGTCCTCATTGGTGGTTCCGGGGAAAAGGGGACGACCGGTGTACATCTCAGCCATGATGCAACCAGCAGACCAAATATCGATCGAGGTGTTGTAAGTGCGCGAGCCCAGCAAGACGTCTGGGGCGCGGTACCAGAGAGTGACAACCTCGTTACTGAATGTATTGACGGGAATGCCAAAAGCGCGCGCAAGACCAAAGTCAGCGAGCTTGAGCTGACCCTTGTTGTTAATCAGCAGGTTCTGGGGCTTGAGATCGCGGTGGAGGACTCTGTTGTCATGGCAAAAGGCGATACCGCGGAGCAGCTGGTGCATGAAGGACTTGATGGTGACGGGATCGAGCATGCCGCGCTCACCCCTAGAATCCATGTATTTCTTCAAGTCTTTGTCCATGAATTCAAAGACCAGCATGAGCTTGTTCTCGGTGTGGATGACATCGTGCAGACGGACTATGTTTTCGTGCTTAAGTTCCTTCATAAGCGAAATCTCACGGATGGCGGTGCTGGGGGTTCCCTCTTCCGAGTCGAGGTGGATCTCTTTGAGGGCGACGAACTCGCCAGTCTGTCTGTTACGGCCCTTGAAGACCTGCGCAGTGTTTGTCAGCGATGGAAGACTTGGGGAGAAGGCACGATGAGCTGCGAGACGTACAGTAGCATAAGTACCCTCGCCGAGCTTCTCGAGCTGCTGGAAGGAGCTGGGGTGACGCTTGTCCATGGGTGGTATGCGCTGGCCGCCGCCTAAACTGCGCACGCTGATGGTAGAGTCGGAGCGATTGTCGAGCGAGAGAGTACCGACGTGGGTAGGATGGAGTCTGGCGTGGGGAGGGTTGCGATTGGTGTAGCGAGGATCCCAAAGAATGGAGCTGGCCGTCGTCAACTGGCTGGCAATATCAAGAGACGATGCCGTCGACGAGCGAATGGAGGCGGGGCGGGAGGGTTGCGCCGTCTTGAAAATTCAGAGAGCAGGAGTGAGCAGGGATGACTGCCCGACTTCCTGACAAACAAATAATAATACTCTGAGGGGAGACAATGGCATAGGAGTGCCGCCTTGATTGTTGATCGGCGCGCTGGCAGTTGCGCCTTGGCGCTCGTGCAACGGTCTAATATCTACAGTATGCTATTACGGCCTCTGCCTTTGCTTCTGTCTGTGACTTTACCAAACATTGAACGAGACTTGACATGCTATTCGCAGCTCAAGTCAAAGATCATAGTCCGGAAGCAAAAGTTACACGGCATTTTTCAAGGAAGGCGCAACCCGTCTAGGCAAGATCGTCTGATCGGTTCCAAGTACGGAGTACCGCCCAAGGGCCCATCTCCCGCTGCCAGCACGCCAGCAACAGGTGATGGCAACGCCCCGTGCAGTCCCTTCAAATTTGTGACAGCGCTTGTATGGACACAGTCCAGTGACACTTGCCCACATCTCTTCCAGCACTCTGTCTCGCTGCCGTGTGTTGCGTCTAGCTTCTCTCATTACCGACCAGCGAACAGACCGAGGGCTGGTCAAGATCTGGGGTAGCTGCAGTGCTTGATGTACCTATGACATGGTGGTAGTCGCTAAATCCACTTTCCATGTAATAACCTGTCTTGCCTCCGACAAATCTCTCGTCGCTTCACTGGTCTACCATTTCGGTGACCTTCATATGCTGAATCCCACCTTAGTCGCTTGTCCTCGCTGACCGCCTTATCTACTCGCTCAAGCATGCGTGACTCTTTGTCCGATCGCCTGCTCCAGCGCGAGCTGCACGACTCTGCTGGGCGTTCGAGAAAGGTGAGGTCTCTGTATGGAGACAAGAACTGGGTTCGTGAGCTGGACATCGTGAACGAGCTCGATGGTCATTCCGGCTGCGTAAATGCTCTCAGGTTCGCCCTTCGTTTATCTACTCCCATACCATACCACTCCCTGCTAACATGTCTATAGTTGGTCAAAGACAGGCCGTTTTCTTGCAAGTGGTTCAGACGATCAGCACGTAAACATACACTCTTATCAGCCCGATGATTCGAATTCGCAATTCAAATTGGCTACCAGCATCGCCACGGGCCATCGCGCCAACATCTTCTCTGTCAAGTTCATGCCTCATTCGAACGACCGTACAGTCATATCAGCCGCCGGTGACAGTGAGGTCCGTATCTTTGATCTGGAGTATTCTGGTGCCACTACAGACGCCTCGCGCGCATCAGCCATGGCTTTGAATGCTGGCAATGTACAAGATGGGGTGCGTCGCTTGAGCGATGGAGATACAAATTGCAGAGTCTACCGCTCGCACGGCGACAGGGTGAAGAGAATCGTCACCGAATCTTCCCCTCATCTCTTCCTGACTTGTTCAGAAGACGGAGAAGTGCGTCAATGGGATTTACGTCAACCGTCATCCGCCTATCCTTCTCCTTCCAGTAGGTCCATATCTGCCGTCTCTGTGCCCCCTCCCCTCATCTCCTATAAACGTTATGACTTGGATCTCAACACCATCTCCTGTTCGCCAAGTCAACCTCATTACATCGCCCTTGGTGGTGCTCATCTACACTGTTTTCTTCATGACCGCAGAATGCTGGGTCGTGACAAGCTTGATGAACGTGCTGCTTCGCCCGCCCTCTCCACTGCTCAACTATCCGACCTGGATGAAGACGCCTTGGGTCAAGCTACCCGCTGCGTTCGCAAGTTTGCACCTCGCGGTCAGCGTGTTATGGCTCAACGAGACTCTGGACACATTACCGCATGCAAGATCAGTGACGCTTATCCGAACGAAATCATAGTCAGTTGGTCTGGCGATCACGTCTACAGCTTTGATTTAGTACGCAGCCCGGATGCTAGCGAAGAATCGAGAGAACAGGTCTCGACAACACAATCGAACAATCCAAGATCAAGAGAGAGTAGTGAAAGAAAGCAGAAAAAGAGAACAGCAAGCCAGCTCTCGCATTCCCCAGGAGCATCGTCTCGTGTACAGCCGCGTCAACGAACTGAAGAGTCTACCGCATTGAGAGTGAGATATCATAATGGCCAAAGCGAAGATATCCCAATTGCTCGTTCCACAAGTCCTGTCTCGTCTTTACGTGAGAGTGTCATGACAGACAGGCAGCGAAAGGCATATCGTCTCGCAAAGACAGTGGTTGAGCTTCGCAAGACGATGTTCACCCTCAACGAGCAAACAGAAGCTCCTGCGAATGGGGACCCCACTGGTCATGCTACGGAGTTTACTTCAGTGCGAAGCTTGGCTGCCACTATTCTGCCACAAATGCAAGAGATTACTCGGACATGGCGCTATCCAGTTGCCCCCATTCAGGATGAGGTCTTGCTGCAAAGGACGTTGCGTTCTAACAGAGAGTCTGCATGGCGCTTTGTGCAAGCCTCTGGCGTAATTGCACGAGCCCTTGGAGGACGAGCGCATACCGCTAGTCAAGCCACTTTTGATACGCCTCTATTTACTAGAATCGATCATGCCCCAAACGAAGGTAGTACACTTAGTGACCGCGAAAGGTTTGGTTACGACTTTATCAAAGCCATCTTTCTGTGGCTCGATAGTGGTCTGGGAGCTCTGATTGATGGCTTCACCAGATCTTCAGACCTCGCTCGGTATGCATCACGCTTGCCAGTACCGAAGGATGCCAGTGCCGATGCGTTCGACGAATGTATTGTGCCCTATCTTCTGGCTCACTCATCCAATACACCAGTCTGCAATGTTGATGCTTCAAGGTTTGAGGTGGACGAGAACCGGATCATCTACGAGACCGAGACCGATGCAGTCAGAGCATTCGTCGAAGCTGTCAAGACGCCCTTTGCAGACCTATCATCGAATGACTCCATGGAAGGCACAACAGGATCTACACAGAGACGGAGCGATGCCTTACTGCACTGGGGCTTCAAAGTCGCTCGTGGTGTACTGATGAATGCAGGCGAGGGTGTCAATTTTGCTTTCGTAGACAGAGCGTTTGGCGGACTTGGAACAGAAAACAATGCAGCAGCTCGAGAAGATGCGCGACTACATGAAAGGCAACGTCAGATTGATACTACAGAGGATGAGCCTACGGCACAGTCAATGGAAATCGTGGAAGCTTCGCCGGAGCAACCTTCAGAGGACGAAGATGTCATTGCCATGAGCGACATCAGAGCAGCCATGGGAGGAAGCAGTGACGAAGACGGGGACGAGGAAGATAATGATAACGACGATATGAATCTCGAAAATTCATTAACGGAACCCGAAGAGCAAGACGACGGTATTGACGAAGACGACGAAGACGACGCTGATGCAAGTCAAGACGAGAGCGGTCCTGAAGATGATAGCGATGAAGAGGAAGAAGAAGAAGACTTTCCTCGTCTGATGTATCGCAGCGCACTCGGAAGACGACGTAAGCGAGGCGAGGTCGAAAGGGAAGTCTACTGCTCGCCTCATACCAGAGTATATCGAGGCCACTGCAACGTCAAAACGGTCAAAGATGTCAATTTCTTTGGTCTGGATGACGAGTATGTTGTGTCTGGCTCAGACGATGGCAATTTCTTCGTCTGGGACCGAAAAACGGGGCGCTTGGTCAACATCCTCGAGGGCGACGGAGAAGTGGTCAACGTGCTACAAGGCCACCCGTACGAGCCTATGCTGGCTGTTAGCGGTATTGACCACACAGTCAAGATTTTCTCGCCAGATTCCAGGGCGCGAGAAGCTGCTAGACTTGGGCGTGGCGTAGAGGCAGTGGACAGCTCAACATTTTCGTCTATTTCCTGGATGAGACGAAGAAGACAGAACAGACAGGCCGGGGCTACTTCAGAACCTGCCGTAGACGCAGGAGCTGAAGAGCGGAACGTAGCAGATGATGAAACCTATGTTGCACCTGGCGGGCTTACGAGCAGGAAGCGTATGCACCTTGAATATCAGATCACCTCCCAAAACGATGTGGAACGACAAGGAGGGAACCAGGAAACTTTCATCACGGTAAGCAAAGTGGTCACAGCTGCCAAAGAACTGATGCTGACATGTGGTGACAGAGAAGCATGCTAGCTTCCTTAGCTCAACACCTCAGAAGGCAAAGGGCCGAAGGAAGAGGTGAAGGGGAAGATGGTGAAGGAGGAGCATTTCCTGGCGGCAGAGTTGTCATTGGCGATGACTGTGTTGTTCAATAAATGGCCAGATTTTCCTAGAGGCTTCAGGGGGCATATAGCAATCCCACACAACAGACTCAGAGAAGAGTGTAGCAGGCGACAAAAAAGGGGTTGTGTTGAGTGTATCTACTTTGCAATATCTCTTGCTACTTTGCCTTTGCTTTCTGGGCTTTGAGAGCCTTCTGGCGGTTGCTTTTGATCATGATGAGGGATAGGAAAGAGCCAACGACAGCACCTCCGACCAAGATGAGAATAACAGGGAGACGGATTGCCCAGACACGGGGAGGGAAGAGTGACTGAGAAGGGTGCGACGAATCGACGAATGGCTGTACGGGGGAAGCGTTAGGAGCTTGGACAAGGAATATTCAGAAGGAGAAAGGTGATGTACCATAACCAGTGTCCAGATGGTGTAGTAGAGAAAGACGGTGGTGGCTACGATGAGCATGCTTGCACCGACGAGAGGACCGAGCTGGATAAACTTGTTAGAAATACTATCTTAGGATGTCATGCTCTGATTGCATACCATTGTGATGTGATATAGCTGAACAATTCTTGATCTTGAGTCACAAAAAGATAGAGCACAAGGAGTGTATTGTTGTTCAAAAGGACAATAGGGCTTCTATAACGTTGTAGACAGTTGGTCCGGGGTCAGCTCGGAGGTGCCAAGACGCATGTCGTCGGCGACGGCGTTAGGCAGCTGCTGCCACTTCGAGATGCAACTGCCTGGCGCACTTTCTCGTGCTGCACTCGCCTCTTCCACTCCACTCGCAAACTCGACATGGCGACGGCTATGCAGTCGGCAGTGCGTCTGCCTTCGCCCGAGGCCGCCGACGGCCAGTCGCATGCTTCTGGTCGAAAACGTTCACCATCCTCGCGTTCCCCATCACCTGAACGACGCCCTCCGACTCTGCGCACACGCTCTGTCGACCCCGATGCGAATCATGCCCCTTCGCCAGCACGCCATCGCTCACGCTCGCGCTCGCGCTCACCGCTGCCTCATCGCAGTGGCCCTCTACCTCGCGATGTCGACCGTCAGAGAGCACTCGAGCGCCAAAGACAGGCCGAGACGCGCCGCCGCGAAGAAGTCCAAGAAGACAAGCCTCTTACAGCTGCCGAGAAGCAGGCTGCTGCAAAGGCTGAATATGAGCGCCTGCTCACCATGCGCTCGGGAGGAACATACGTACCGCCAGCCAGGTTGCGCGCTCTACAGGCTGAAATCGGAAATGATCCATCTTCGAAAGAATTCCAGCGCATGGCTTGGGAGGCCCTCAAGAAGTCTATCAACGGTTTGATCAACAAGGTCAACGTCTCCAACATCAAATACATTGTCCCCGAGTTGTTTGGCGAGAATCTTATCCGTGGCCGTGGCCTTTTCTGTCGAAGCATCATGAAGGCTCAGGCTGCCAGTTTGCCATTTACCCCGATCTATGCTGCCATGGTCGCTATTGTCAACACAAAGCTTCCTCAAGTTGGCGAGTTGCTGGTCAACCGCCTGATCGTGCAGTTCCGTAAGGCCTTCAAGCGCAACGACAAGGCTGTCTGCTTGAGCAGCACAACTTTCCTAGCCCACCTAATCAATCAGCAGGTTGCTCACGAGATGCTTGCCGCCCAGATTCTGCTGCTTCTGCTAAACAAGCCTACTGACGACAGCGTTGAAATTGCAGTGGGTTTGATGAGAGAGGTTGGTCAGCACATCGAAGAATTCAACTCACAAATCGCCATGGCCGTCTACGACCAATTCCGCAGTATCTTGCACGAAGCCGACATCGACAAGCGCACACAGTACATGGTCGAAGTCCTGTTCCAAGTCAGGAAGGACCGCTACAAGGACAATCCATCGGTCAAGGAAGAGCTGGATCTTGTAGAAGAGGAGGATCAGATTACTCACAATACTGGCTTGGACGATCAGATTGAGGTGCAAGATGGCCTCAACGTCTTCAAATTTGATGCGGATTGGGAAGCCAACGAAGAGGCTTATAAAAAGCTCAGGGCTGAAATCCTCGGCGAGGCCGACGGAAGTGATGAAGATGATGAGGACGAATCAGATGTCAGCAGCAGCGAGGACGAAGACGATGAAGCGGACAAGCAGGTCGAGATCAAGGATCAATCCAATACCGATCTGGTCAACTTGCGCCGTACAATCTACCTCACCATCATGTCTTCTGGCGGCTTCGAGGAATGTACTCACAAGTTGCTGCGTATCAACTTGCCGCCCGGACTGGAGCACGAACTACCCTCGATGATCGTCGAATGTTGCTCCCAGGAACGCACATATAACAAATTCTTTGGCTTGATTGGTGAGCGTCTCTGCAAAATCAACCGCATGTGGAACGAGCTCTTTGAGGCCTCTTTCGTAAAGTACTACGACACGATCCACCGTTTGGAAACCAACCGCCTTCGCATCGTCGCCCAGTTCTTCGGCCACCTCCTTTCTTCTGATGCTATTGGCTGGCATGTCATTAGTGCCATCCATTTGAACGAAGACGAGACCACGTCATCTTCGCGTATCTTCATCAAGATCTTGATCGAGGAGCTGGCTCAGAACATTGGAATGAAGAAGTTGTCAGAGAGAATGAAGGACGATGCTCTCCAGCCTGCACTGGCCGGTATATTCCCCATCGACAACCCTCGCAACACTCGCTTCAGCATCAACTTCTTCACTGCCATCGGTATGGGTGTGTTGACCGAGGGTATGAGAGAATATCTCAAGAATATGCCCAAGCCAACACTTCCTGCTTTACCTGTTAGAGCTGCCAGTCGAAGCAACAGTGTGTCCAGTTACTCGAGCTATTCAAGCTACTCGAGCCGCTCACGCTCTCCATCCCGTACAAGGGGCCGAGCACGCAGCTACTCACGTTCGGCAACACCGCCAAGACGCTCGGTTCGGGACAGATCCTATTCGTACTCAAGGTCGCCATCTCGATCGAGGTCTCCTCGTCCAAGACGCCGATCCCCCTCTGCTTCTGTCTCGCGTTCGAGAACTCCTGAGCGCAGACGAAGATATACATCCTCCATCTCCCGCTCCCGTTCTCGTTCGCCACCTTCGAGACGTGGCAAGGCTCGTCAAGATTCTCGTTCGCCATCATATTCTCGCTCGCGTTCGCCTCCTACCAAAGGAGCTGCGAGAAGACGAAGCTACTCCGCCTCCCGCTCACCTCCTCCCCGTAGAGCTTCGGCACGAGACAGAAGCTATTCCCGCTCGCTAACACCACCTCGCAAACGTCGGGACAGTTATTCTCGGTCACCTGCCCGCTCTATCTCTCGTTCGCGTTCTCCGCCACCTAGAAGAGCAGGCGCAGGACGTAGGCGCTCTCCGTCTAGATCTCCCTCTCGTTCTCCTCCGAGACGAACAAGATCTCCGGTCAGAGACCCACGTCGCGTGCGTCGCAATACATCATCGCCAGAAACATCGCGATCTAGATCACCCCCTCGTCGTGCACGAAGAGCTAGCAATGCTTCTGCTCGCGGCCCTAAGCCCTCGGCTCCGAGCGCCGAGATGGACCTTAGCGATATTCATCCCAGCCGTAGGGGTCTGCTAGGGACAAGCGGAAGGGCAAGGCCCACAGCTGGCGATTTCATCTAAGTAAATAGCAAAACCCCTTCCAAAAACTAGTGCAGATTAGTCACAATCACCAATTATACCATCAGTAGGAGGGATGATTTTCTTCTCCGTGACGACAATTCAACAGCAACACAAAATCAAGTGCAACACAGCCGATTTATGAAGAAAAGTTGGACGGAAGATTGCCAAATCTCGAATGATCTTCGTTGCTTTGGCGCCCATGCGGGTGGGAGTTTGGTGGAGCAAGCGCATTCATGCAGTCTGTGAGCTTTTCCTTGTGACTATCCCATGCCTGTCGTGCATAGAGAAGGAAGCGCGAAGGAAAGCTATGGGAGGCTGTTGTCGCTCGGATTCGTTAGACACTTCTCTTTATAGCTCGCAAAATACAAGTCTTCGCCATCTATCTTCTATATTATATCTTATTGGCTTCTCAAGTTGCATTCAGGACACGCCAGGTCATGAGACCGAGGCATATCGTACTCGATGGCTCTATCGGCCTCGTGTGCTTGAAGGTCAAATCAGGCATACCATGCAGAAGGGCAAGATGTGCTGATCCGGGAAGGTCGCAGCCCACAAGCCGCCATTGGTAGTTTTCCTTGGTCTTTAATGAGGTTTTGCATTGTGTTTAGTGTTGCGGCTCCCCAAATCCTGCTGTGATTGTTCTGGGCGGCTACCGATTTGCAAGGATGTCCTCGCTCGCCATATCTAATGATCTTCGAGGTTTCATGCATCAAGGATCGAACAAGCGAAATAGATTTAATGTGTTTGTTGACATGATCGGTCGGTTATGCCGGGTCAAGTGTGAGCTTTGAGCTTTGAGCATAGTTCGTATTGTATTCTCGGCCCACCCCTTTCACAGATCTACTCGACTGCGGACCCGCTGCCTCTCCTTTGTCAAAGTCAACCGTTGTCGACTGCGGCACACGACAAGGCTGAATCTGACTCGACTTTGTACTCGGAGTGAAAGAATGACAGAGCCGGCGATTTGAGTTTAGGGATCATCGAGGAGAAAGTTTTGGTTCCTGCAGCAGAAGGCCTCCGCTTGACGGCACTTGGCGTTTCAGAGTTGCGCTTTCCACTTCAGCCCCTTGTCATCTAAAGACTTCATCTATTCCCTACATGCGAACACGCACACAGCGCCAGCCCTCTTTACTCCACAACGTGACTGGAAGGTAACCGAAGCGCGGTGACTTGCGTGCTCTGATCCACGTCCGGGCTCTGGGCCTTAGCGCCGCGCCACATGGTTGTCTGGCAATGTCTGCCTTCTGAAACACGGCAGTACTATACCATATTGATGGACTCCACTACACTAAGGCAGGGGCTCCGCTAGAACGTTTATCCTCACGACTCGGTCCTGGTCCGAACATCGTATTCACGGCCCAGAGTAAGTGACCCACACCAAGTATATAAGAATCATGTCTCCCAAACAGTCTTCGCCTTCTTCTCTCCTCAAGCTATCGCCTTCGACGTTCTTTGCAGTGCAAACTTTTGGTCTCGTACCACCCACACTCTTTCTACACCGTATCATTCTGCATTGACTGCAGCTGGGATACTTTCATTCTTTACACTTGACACTTCAACTTCATCCACACTTTCGCAACTTCACAACCAAAAGAATCTAGCAATCTCTTCGAGAAAACTTATCAAAACTACCAAATATGTCTTTCAAGATCGCAGCCGCAGCCGCTTTGGCTACCCTCGCCTCTACTGTCTCTGCTCACGGCCACTTGCAGAGCATTGGTGCCTCTGGTACCGTTTACGCTGGATTCAACAACTCAATCCTGTACTCCAACACCAAGCCTGAGCTCATTGCCTGGTCCGACACCGTCAAGGACAACGGCTATGTCTCCGATTACACCAGTCCTGACATGATCTGCCACGCTGGTGCCGAGAACGCTAAGCTCTCTGCCCCCGTCAACGGTGGTGACACCATCACTTTCAACTGGGACACCTGGCCCACCTCCCACAAGGGTCCCCTCATCACTTACCTTGCTAACTGCAACGGTGACTGTGCTACCGCTGACAAGACTGCCCTCAAGTGGTTCAAGATTGATGCCGTCGGTATCATTTCGGGAACCAGCAACTCCGGTACTTGGGCTTCCGACAAGCTGATCTCTGATGGCTACAAGTGGGACGTCAAGATCCCTGACAGCATTGCTTCTGGTAACTACGCTGTTCGTCACGAGATCATTGCCCTCCACAGCGCCAACAACGTCGGTGGTGCCCAGAACTACCCTCAATGCATCAACCTCGAGGTCAAGAGCTCCGGCTCTGACAACCCTGAGGGTGTTGTTGGCACTGAGCTGTACACTGCCCAGGACAAGGGTATTTACGTCAACATCTACTACCCCGGCTTCACTGCCGACGAGTATGACATGCCCGGCCCTGCTCTCTACACCGGTGGCTCTGGCTCTGGCTCTGCTCCTGCTTCGTCCGCCTCTGCTTCCTCGACTGCCCAGGCCAGCTCGACCTCCGCTGCATCTGCTTACTCGTCCGCCGCTTCGTCTGCTCAGACCACTTATGCCGCTTCGTCCGCCGAGGCCTACTCTGCCTCTTCGTCTACTGCTGCTCCCGCCACTACCCAGGCTGCCGTTGTCTCATCTGCTGCCTCGAGCGGTGGTGACTACGTTGTTACCGCTTATGAGACCGACATCGTTACCGCATCCACTGCCGTGACTGTCACTGCCGGAGCTTCCGCAACTGCTGCCCCTGCAGTTTCTGACATTGCCACTGCCGTTCCCTCGCAGATGCTGACCAGCACTATCTCTGCTGGTATCCCCACTGGCACTGCTGCCGCTGGTGTTGCCAAGCCCACCAAGGCTCTTCCTGAGGGCACCACTCTCGAGGATCTCCTCTCCTGGGTTGAGTACCTCTTTGCTGAGAACTCTGCCAAGGCTGCTACCAAGCACCGCCGCCACGCTCGTGCTTTCCACTACTAAGTGGTCTGCACATCTTGACGAGTACGTTGATGACCGGAGTATCGGACTATGATTTTGTTCGGCTTCTTACCCCCTTTTCTCTTCTTGATTGCTATAACTTTCTGTACATTTTTCTTCTGGAAGATGCGAGTGGTTGTTGGATGATAACTGCACTGCAAAGACTTTTCACCCCCTTTTCATAGAAAATCATCGAATTTTAAGCTTGGTTCGGTTGTTCCTGGCTTGCCAGAATTACTGAATTCATGACGTCGAACGCTCCTTTACATTCCTACTGTATGTGAATGCGCCTCAATCCAGCTTGAATGTAGCATTCTACCATCTTCATAACCAAGCGTTGTTTCGGAGCACTGCTTTTGCAGGTATCATAGATACATGATAGCTCTCAAAGACTCTAATCAGAACATGAGCGGATAGACAGAGCTGGGGATGTCAGGGCTCGGTATCCGAGGGGTCCACGGGAGAGGTGCGGTCCGAGACGAGCAAACTAGTGGGGAGGGCAAGAATGAAGCACTGCTCAGGAGGAACATCTTCATCTCTTGACAGGAAGGATAAATACGCAAATGCCTCATCGAGCAATTTCCTGCAACGTTCATCACTGTTTATCGCCATCCTGCAAGCATTCGTAATCATATCTCTTGCTCCTGCACTGTATACAGTAAAATCGCGCGCGGTTCTAGGGCAAGTGTGAATGGCAATCAAAGCAGGATGACCTCGCATCTGACGGACTTGGCAGGTGGTGCTGCCAAGGCCATGAGCAATTAAGATGCCCAATATAGAGTGAGCGATTGGCATCATTAGGCTTTTGAATAGAAGGAGAACCCGAGAAAGTGGGCTAGCAAGATGAACAGCACATAGACAAGCCTTGGCAGGTGTTCGGGACAGAGCCAACAGCTGGCGAGTTACCCGGATGTTTCTAAATGATTCGTAGCATCAGGAGGAAGAGGGGCATGTAGCAATCACTGCAGGTTGAGTATATAAGGCTGGTGGGGGTGCATTGTTTGCTTCTACACATTCTCTCTTTACTTTTTGTGTTCTTCTCATATAAAGATCATCTTCTCTGTGGCATCTTCCTTTCTCCCTAGCATCACACATCAAGGACCGATATCATGTCTTTCTTCAAGAAACTCAAGAGCGAGTTCGAGGATATGTTTGGGGATGATGACAAGAAAAAGGAAGAAAAGCCTGCACAGTCTGTTCAAGATGCAAAGCCCACAGAAAGCAGTGAGTCTTTGGGTCTTACCTGATATACATATTTACCATGTTAACCTTGTCATGCACAGAGTTTGAGCAGACACGCGATGTCAACCAGCCCCAGTACTCTTCGCCCGCTCCTCCAGACTCGTTTGCTCAACATCAGCAGCAGTCCTACCCTCCACAACAGCAGTATCCCCCTCAGCACCAGTACCCACCTCAGCACCAGCAGCCTTACGGCCAGCCCAGTCCTAGCCCTTACGGCCAACCTAGTCCTGCTCCTTATGGACAGCCCAGTCCCGCTCCGTATCCACCATCTGGACCTCCTCCTCCCCAGGCTGGTGGTCAACTTCCCCCTGGCTGGGTCCAGCAGTTTGATCAACAGAGTCAGCGCTTCTTCTACGTGAATCAGGCTACTGGTCAGACTCAGTGGGAGATGCCTCAGCATCCTGTGCCCCCACACCAGTACTCGTCACCTCCCCCTCCCACTGGTGGGGTCTATGGTGGCTACCAGCCTCCTCAAGCACAAGGTCAATACGGTCAGCCAAGCTCAGCTCACTATGGACAAGGTCCCCCTCCTCCTGGCCAGTATGGCTCAGCTCCTCCTCAGGGTGATCAATCCCGTGGACAGGCAAACTCCTTCTATGACAGCTACGGTGGTGCCATGCCTTCTGTCCCGTCTCAGGGCCAACATGAAACCCGTGCCAACCAGTACTACAGCGATGTTGAGAACAAGGACAAGGACAAGAAGAAGAGTAGTGGCTATGGCAGCGCCATTGCTGGGGCGGCAGGTGGTCTGGCCGTGGGTGCTATTGGTGGTGCACTGCTCGCTGATGCTCTGGGTAAGTGCTCAATTTCTGTCGACTACTCGCCTTGATTCATGCTAACTTCTTTGGGATTTGCAGACGACTCGGACGATGAGAAGAAGCCCGCCGCTCCTGCTGCTGCCCCCAGCTACGCACCAGCCCCTACCAATTACGCTCCTGCTCCTGACCCATCGTACGGAGCCTATGGTGCTTCGTCTCAAGAGCCTTACGGCTACAGCGCTCCTGCCCCTGTCGCACAATCGTCTGGTTATGGCGGATCTGCCTACGAGCCAGGTCTGTACGACGACGCACCTCTGCCAGATGAGACACGTTCAGGATCTTCTGTATCTAGCAGCGACCGCGAGAGTCTTGAAGAGAAGCGTGAGGAATTGCGCGAGATGCAGGAGGAGTACGAGGAAGAATATGCCGAGACCTACGATGATTAGGCGACCTGTACCAGCCACGGTGAAGTCGCCGGTGGAAGGAAGGGCGGTCCGATTTTCTCGGCGGCTCGGCCGAGTTTGCATCTCCGACTTTGCTATTGACAACCCACGATAGAAAAGTGGTCGCGTGAGCTACAACAACCACTGAGTAGATCAGCCAGGATAATCAGGAAAACAAGACATCGTTAACATCTTTTCCCCTGTATTATTCATATCTGGACAGGCAGTTGCATGTGCCCACTTAGAATCGATTTGACGGCATTGTTTGGAGGATCCCGAACGGACAATACCCAGCCAAGCCGTCACCAGCCAGCGCAAACGGCAAATCAGTGCCGATCTCAAGACATCTATCATCTTTTCGCCTAAAAAAGCATTTCCACTCGCTGCCTGCCTTTCAACATGCTGTACTAGAAAATGCCACCTGCTGCGCGATACCTCGCATAAGTGACTCATCCCACTCACAGCTCACCCCATCACCATGATTCACCAACCTTATTACTCTAAAGGCCTCATTTTATCACGAACATCTGCGCTACGAGCATATCCAACCACTCAAATTCTGACTCAACGCCTGGCAACGTAACATTGGTTTGTTTGCACAACTTCATCTTGATCCTCAACTGGATTCTCCGAGAAAACTGGTAGTCGCAGCCTGCCTTCAGCATGGCGAAAGAAACCAAGGATTTGGAAGCCGCCATCCATGATCAAACAAATCTGGTCCCGTTGAAGGAGAGGCTGACGATATTCTTCACCCTCGCCTTTTGCATGTTTCTATGTTACGTCGACCAAAATGGAATCACTGTACTCCTACCCAGTATCGCGAGAGATCTGAATGCTGCGGATACCATCGCCTGGGCTGGCACATCGGCCCTGATCGCAAATACTGTATTCCAGGTCCTCTACGGTCGCCTATCTGATCTCTTTGGTCGCAAGAAAATCTTCGTCGGATGTGTCGTAGTATTGGCTATCGCGGACTTGGTATGTGGTCTCACGCCCAATGCAGACGTTCTGTATGTTTTTCGCGGAATATCTGGTATTGCCAATGGTGGCATCATTGCTCTGGTAAACATGATCATGTCTGATGTTGTGACCTTGCAACAAAGAGGCAAATATCAGGGTATCATTGGATCATTCATCGGACTTGGAAATGCTGCAGGTCCCTTGATTGCCGCTGCCTTTACTCAGCATTCGACCTGGCGAGGTCTCTTTTACCTCAATGCACCTTTGTGTGTTGTGGCTGCGTGTCTCGCAGCATGGATTCTGCCACAGAGTATGCCCAAAGTCAACTTCCGGGAAACCATTGTCAAAGTTGACTGGATTGGTCTCTTTTTCAGTACGGTTGCAATCATTCTTATTCTCATCGCCATATCTGATGGCGGCCATGGTACACCCTGGGACTCGGCAGAAACAATATCGATGCTGGTCATTGGCGGAGTTTGTGCCATAGCCTTTGTCATTGTCGAATGGAAGTTTGCAAAACTTCCGATGATGCCATTGGAGATGTGGAAGAACAAGTCTGTCGCGTGCATGCTGGTTCAATCCTTCTTTCTCGGCATGAATTATTATTCGCTCATATACTACCTGCCGTTGTACTACCAGAACGTTGGTGGGTACGATGTCATGAGATCAGCCGTGCTCATTCTTCCTCTGGTCTTTGTGCAAGCAACTTTCTCGGCACTTGCTGGACAATACATGTCCTTTATCGGCCACTACATCGAGGTCATATTCGTGGGCTTTGTATGCTGGACTCTAGGCTCAGGATTGCTAGTTTCTCTCCGAACCAATTCTCCCGTCGGCCACATTGCCGGCTTCATCATTCTCGTTGGCTTCGGCTGTGGCTGTACATTCCAGACAACCAACACTGCGATGCAAGCACATTGCCCTAAATCACAACGTGCAATCGTCATCTCGAACCGAATGCTGTTGCGTCAACTCGGTGGTGCTGTTGGTCTAGCTATCTGCTCGGCTATCTCAGGCAACGTACTCAAATCGAGTCTGCCGCCACATCTTCAGTATATCGCCTACTCGACATTTGCTGTGCCTCCACTGAACACCGTCAGCGCTGCCGATCGAGCCAGCATCAGTAGTGCATATGCAGATGCTAGCCGAACTGTGCTCATCTTCTGTGTAGTAGTTATCGGCATAGCGCTAATACTTACCTTCTTCGTCACCGACAAGGGATTAAAGAGAGAAGAAGACGTTGTCGAAGAGAAGGTTCGAGAGGCAGAAATGGGACACGATCCGGAGAATGAGACCATTCCCAAGGAAAAGCCTGGTCTCGTCACACGATTCAAGACATGGAGGAATTCATTAGTGAAGGACGAGAATAATGCTGGCGTCAACAAGAGTCCACCTGTACCACTACAGAGTCGGGATAGAGAGGAGGCTGTCACAACCGCTGCTTCCAAAAGTTCTTTAGATCCTAAATAGATGGCTACTAAATAGAGTAGATCGTGCCTGCTATGACCAAAAATAAAATCTTCACTAAGTCTCACTTAATTCCAATCCAAGATTCGTGTGCCTGCCTTCTTAGTCGAGTCCTTGCCAACTCGAATTCTCATACATCGTAGGCCTCGTAAGGACCGGTGTTGAGGCTCCACCCATCAGCCTTATCGATCTTCAAGTCATCCAAAACAATGTTGTCCATAGTTCTGACATTAATGGGTCTCACCGGCGCCTTGAATTTAGGGTGGAGGTCAACTCTATTGACAACATCGACACCACAAACACCGCAGAAACCGTGGTAGGACCGTTCGGGGCCAAAGAGGTAGTTTGTCAGCTTGTCTTCTGTGCCCAGCATATTGACTGAGGGAATCGGTGGGTAAATCCACATATCCGCATTCTGTATTCACAAGTCAGAAAAAGGTTAGGAAGATTGAAAGAGGTACAGAGGGAAGGAACGTACGCGAGAGCAGAAACTGCAGTTGCAGGTTCGAACCTCTTTGATTTCTTCAGACACGACCGTATACTTGATGGCTTGACAATGGCAGCTTCCTGTATACAGCTTTTGTCCTTCTGGTATTTCTGGTTTTTGGTCTTCGGTGAGGACGAAAGGTTGGTAGACCGGTTCGACTTTGGCTCGGTCGGTTGTGCTGATTTCTAGGTTGTCATCATCTACTGATCCATGCTTGAAAGTGTTGATCTAGAACTTTGTCAGATGGTGAAGATGGTTGTAAAGGTTAAGGGCGACGTACGTTGACAACCAGAAAGTCGAGTTTTGGAGCTTCGACCATGATGCCAGAACCACATGTTGGACAGAACTGTGTATGTTTGAGCGACTGAATCTCACGAACTTTTGAAATTAGAACACTCTTACCTTGTGCTCTGCGACTCCATTGCCGAAAGCGTAGGTCTTGAGTACGCCCTCGCCAGCTTCGACTTTGAAGTCAGAGGCCTTCTCAGGCACAGCAAACAAATATCCTTTCTGAACTACACTTTAGAAATCCGAAGCTGGCAAGATCTCAACATGGATCGCTCTTACTCTGCTGCAAATACTGCAGTTGCATCTCGCAGCCTTTTTGATAGGTGCAAGTGCAACGGAGAACTTGAAGGCGCCACAGTGGCAGTTGCCATAATAAGTTTGCTTTTCTTCAGTTTCTGCCATCTTCGAACTTATTGATTTTGAGAACGTGCTACTGAGGTCATCTATAATACAAGTACAATCGCGGGGTTCTCGGCTTGTATATTATATCCGCAGTGCTTACGGCAGGTTCGAAGCTGACGATAAGCCGTTCGTAGCACCTGACTAAACAAGTAAATGTGGCGCATCCTTCGCTCCTGCGACCGGACAAGTCAAACTATATTTGTCGCTGCCTGACTACCTCACAAATCCGAGGTATGGCTCAGGGGCATGATGACTGTGAAGCTTGCAGTTCTTGCATTGCTCTTAGATGGCGACTTCCTTCTACAACTGTATCGACAGCTATCGTGAACAAATAACTTAGATTCCAATGCCTGCATATGGAACTCGGATTGAGTCTTTAATCATCAAACTTCAGCAATGCTATGTGTGCACCGGCGTTGACAGTCTCTCCCGGAGCAACCAGCAATCTCTCGACCTTTGCGCCTCTCTGATCAGTTGGGGCATTCACTGCAATCTCTAGCTTCATCGCCTCGAGAATGGCTATAGTCTGGTTCGGCTTGATGGCCTGCTTCTCCTCAACCATGATCTTCCAGACATTCGCTGCGACAGGAGAATCTATGGTTGTATATTTGGGATCTGTTTGCCGTTAGCTCGTTGCGCTTTGAATCGAGGAATATGAGATACTCACCAGCCAACATGGACTCGATTGTGCTGTCATCCACTTTGTTCTTTGCCTTCTCTTCTCGCCACTTGGTCAAGCTCTCGTTCTCTGCTTTCGTCATCTCAGCTTGAGCGATTGCTTGTTCAGCACGAATACGCTCAACTTCCTTGGCCGTGTCCGCCAACAGCTTGTTGTGTTCAGCCATGTCGAATTCAATGTCCTCCCACTCAAACTTGTATCGACCACTGCGGAAGTCTGCAAGCAAAACATCCAGCTCTTCCTCGCTAACTCGGTAGTACGTCAAGATGTCGAAGTCTTGGAACAAGTAGGGACGTGAAGGAGAGAATCCGTTCTTCCAACCGAGTGCATCGAAGATAGGGATCGTGCGACCAGTCATCTGGTAGCCACCAGGACTATCAACAGGATAAATTGACATGCAGGATCCACCCCAACTGACGGTGCCTTCAGGCGTAAACACTCTACTTGGGTTTGCCTTAGGACAAGACATTCGCTGACGAGGATCGATTGGCAATGACACCGTGTTACCTGCGTAGAAACCGACCACGACAGCCATAAATTGGCCAGTGAGGAAAATGTCTCGTAGATGGTCTGATGTGAAAGCGTTGTTCTTGGCGACGAAATCAAAATTGCTAGGAAGGTACGGCGCGTGTGGCCGCTGCGTCTCCATGTATCTCTTCGTCGCTTCCTCTTGCGCTTTGGACTCGAATGAGAGTGGAAGGCGGAACTTTCGGCAAGGCACCTTGACAGCGCTTAGATCGCCCAACTCATCTTCCAGGCCTTGGAGATGTGCTATCAACTTCTGTCTTTCGATCTTCAGACCATTATAGAAGAGGGTGACACTCGTACAGCAAGATACAGTGTTATTGAGCCATTCAGGATTTGATGATCGGATGGCTTTTTCAAGCGCTGTCGTTCTGCAGCGATGGTTCAGATCAAACTCTTCGTTGCCATACTCGACAATGATATGATCGTCACCACCTTGGCGGTATCTGACTTGAGGTTGATGGCCCTGCTGGGATCTTTCCCAGATAACAGCCTTACCGAAGTCGCCCGAAGGATTGAAAGTGGAGTTGAGAGGTTTGACGCCTTCGAACCCGCTGCAATGTTTTACAGCATTCTCGATCGATTCGATAAACTGGTCGTTCTGCTTCCGCAGTGACAGTGCTTCTTCCAAGGACACTCTCTTATACTTCAAAGTGTCTCCTGACTTCAGCTGACCCAGTTTCCACCACTCTGCTCGAATGACGGTCGTGCTGGAGACAAAGCCACCAAAATTTGGGCAATCCACTGGGAAGAGGCAGGGGTCGTCTCCTGTCCAATTCAACGCACCAACGGGATAGCCGTACTCGACTAAATTCGAAGGGTGGGCGCCACCTTCGCCGCCATCCTTACGGGCCCACTTGGGTACGGGTCCAATCAATCTGATAGCACTACGGCTGGCGTTATGTGAGACCTTCCACGTAGTCGTGTATATCATATCGATGTCTTCGGGAAGGAGGTATCCAACGTCGTGTGGTCCTACCATGGCCATGATTTCCCACTCGCTAGTGTAGACAGGTACCAGATCTTTCGGTAAGCTGGCATTCGAACTCGAAATAGATTCAGGAATGTCATCAATGATAGCCAGTAGGTCTCCAGGTGCGAGCTGACGTCCTTGATAACCACCGATCGCCACGATTGGGGAAGTTGACTTCGATCCAAAGTACTCAGCCACCGTGGGAAAGCCTCCATATACAGCGAGATAAGCCCTACAGCCGGAGCCTGTTGTCTTCCCAATTCTGAGTTTTTGTCCTGCCTTGATATGGCATCGCTGCCACATTGAGAATGGCTGCCCATCTAATTGAGCGTCCATTGGGGCACCTGTCAGGGCGACCACTGCCGGACGTACGAAACGTAGCTCGGGACCACTGAGAGTGATCTCCAGAGCTTCCGTAGTTGTGTTGTTTCCCGCGAGTATGTTTGCAAGTGAAAAGGCAACCGAATCCATCGCACCAGAATGAGGAATTCCTTTGCCTACAGTTGGCCTGGCTGGAAGGTCTTGTATAAGAGTGTATGCGCCTGCTGATATGACATCGATCGCAGCAGGGCGGAACTCGAACGTGTCCAAGAAGTTCGTCAGGGTGTTTCCAGCCTTGAATCTATCATCACGTACAATCTCTTCGAGGAAGTCGAGGTTAGTTGGGGGACCACAAATCTTGGACGACGAAAGAAGCTTTTGCATGCCTGCGACAGCCTCGTTCCTGGACGAACCGTGGAGCATGACTTTGGCTATCAGTGGATCGTAGTTTGGTGTGATAGTAGCTCCTGTGAATACCCAGGTATCGATGCGAATCTGGTCGTTCTGTTGTTCTGGCCAAGAAACAGACTGTAGTAGACCGGGAGAAGGTGCAAAGTCACGCAGAGGATTCTCTGCGTAGACTCTAGCTTCGATGGCGGAGCCTTTTGGCGACGAGGGTTGCATCTGCTTCAAGAGGTCTGCTTCTAATCCACCTTGACCCTTGAGTTGAGCGTCAGCCTGTCGGAGCATGAGCTCGACCAGATCAATGCCATAGCAGAGTTCGGTGATGCCGTGTTCCACTTGTAGTCTTGTGTTCATCTCCAAGAAGAAGTAATCTCCCGACTCGTCGTCAACTAGGTATTCCACTGTACCGGCAGAGCCGTATTTGATCGATTCTGCAAGACTGACAGCCGCATCGCCTAGCTTCTTTCTCAAGTCATGATGTTTCTCGACAAACGGGCTGGGACATTCTTCAATGACCTTCTGGTGACGACGTTGAATGGAACACTCCCTCTCACCGAAATGGATCGCTGACCCTTGGCCATTACCAAAAACCTGAACTTCGATATGACGAGAAGCTGCATAATACTTCTCGATGAACAAGCCTGAGTTCTTGAAAAGTGTCTTGCCTCGAGACTGCACTTTGTCAAAGCCGGAGCGAACCTCGTCAACATTGTAACAAGTCACTAGTCCCATGCCACCTCCTCCTCCTGTAGCCTTTAGCATGACTGGAAATCCAAGCTTTTCAGATGCTTGAACAGCATCTTCAGCACTTCCCACAAGACCTTTGGTACCAGGTACGATTGGCACGCCGGCCTTCTCAGCTAAATCTCGTGCTACGTGCTTCACGCCAAATGCTTCGATTGCTTCCGGACTCGGACCTACCCAAGCAATTCCAGCATCTGCGACCTGTCTAGCGAACTCGGCATTCTCGGAGAGAAAGCCATATCCAGGAATAATCGCATCGACGCCTTTCTGCTTGGCTATAGCGATAATATTCTCGCCATCAGTGTATACGTTTGAGTCATTGCCGGAGAGCAAGACAGCCTCGTCGGCGGCCGTGACGTGAGCCGATGCCGCATCTGCCGCTGAATAGATTGAGATGGTACGAATACCGAGAGCTTTCGCCGTCCTGGCGATGCGGACCTAGAAGATATGTTCACGTTAGATAATTGCTTCATCTCTCCTCGCCAAGCCATCGCGGGATGGTGGGGGTGGACAGGGTGACGAACAGCGATTTCTCCTCGATTGGCAATCAGTAGTGTCTTGAGCTTTTCCATATTGTTGTATCTCGGAGGATAGCCATATCGGCACTCGAGATGGCCAAACACTTATATAGTCATCAAGGTCATATCCTTGTCGCCGGCTGACCAAATGTGGCTGACCGATGAGGGGTCTTCGGTGTTGGGGTAAGTGTCGATCAATGATAACACTCCAAGTCAACTCCACCTCGCTAAGGCCGTGATGACCTGGACATGAATAATTGGGGACAAATGAGAAGGAAGGTCCTGCCATCCGTCCTTCCACTCATCCGATCAACTTCCTGCCCGATCAACACATTCGATTCTTGATCACTCCTTCTTACAAGTAAAACACTACAACATGCCTCCAGTCAGCAAGAAAGTACATATCAACGTTGATCTCGGCGAGGGATACGGCAACTTCAAGTGCGGCCCAGACGAGGAGCTGATTCCTCTGATCGATCATGCCAACATCGCCTGTGGATTTCATGCTGGCGACCCGCTGATCATGGCCAACACAGTCAAGCTATGCAAGCAGCACAACATCAAGATCGGAGCTCATCCTGGCCTTCCGGATATCCAAGGCTTTGGCAGAAGAGAGATCAAGATGTCGCCCGAAGAGTTGACTGCAATGGTCATCTACCAAGTGGGTGCCTTGAAGGCCTTTCTAGACGTCGAAGGGTTGCCTCTGCATCATGTCAAGCCTCACGGTGTACTCTATGGCATGATGTATAGGGATCGTGAGGTGTGCCGAGCGGTCTACTCTGGTGTTCCCAAAGGCACACCTGTCTTTGGTCTTGCCGGTACTCTCCACGAGGAAGTTGCAAAGGAGCTCGGTTTGCCATTTGTTGCCGAGCTGTATGGAGATGTGAAGTACTCAAAAGACGGCACGTTGGTCATCGACCGCAAGAAGAAGTAAGCTCCAATGGTAAATAGTTCTTCAGTATATTCAGCTAACGCCATGATCCAGGGCATGGACGCAAGAGGAGACAGCAGCGCACATAAAGTCACAGTTGGAAAACTCGTCTGTCATTGCAGTCACTGGAGAGGAGGTCAACTTGCCCATAGGTGATCATGAGGTCTCACTGTGTTGCCATTCGGACTCTCCCGGCGCTGTGAACATAGTGACTGCTGCAAGGAAAATGGTAGACGAGTTTAATAAGAAGCACCATGGATCTGTGTAGGTAAAACGGAAGGATGTACAGTATTAGCTGCATTGACGGGTGGTGCTCTAGAGAGCAATGATATGGCATACAGTATAGTACATCTCATTGGTAACGTATGTGCAAGATGTTTTCGTGTTTCTCGTGCTTGATGACTCTCAGGTCAAATCAAGTAGTCATCGATATCGACCGCCTTCCAACAGTTCATCGATCTGCCTTACGGCTGTCTTGACTCTTTCTCGTGTATCAGCATCAACATCTTCTGCCAAAGCCCGTATCTTCTCATCTATGCCGAACGATGCTAAGATACGAGCTCTCGCTTTGGCGTCTTCTCTGTCGGCAGCACTATCGACCCAGGTCAAGTTGATAATGGCCCAGACAGACGCTACACGAATACGACGGTCTGCGTGAGAGAAATGTGGTAGCCAGGCGGTCAACAGAGGCGTTTGTGCTATCAATTGTTGGCGATGTTTGGACGATCCTCCAGCCACATGGATGATAACACCCAGAGCAGCATTGATCAGTTCCGGTGGCTGCCACACAGTGTTCGATTGTTGCGATTCAGATGCAAACACGGTGTGGCTGTGAGCGTGAAGCGGCGAGTTAGGCCGGAACACAACAGGTCGAAGTTTATTGTGGAGCATTTCGAACAGCCGATCTGCACCCAAGACACTGTTGAGATGCTCGATCATGGCGACATTGTCATCGCCATTGATCAAATTCCTGATGAAATCTAGTGCTTGTTCTTGGACCAACATATCGTCATGTTTTGCCTGCACTCCAGGGTCATGTTCATTCTTACGCAGTAATCGTAGATGCGTTTTATAGTTGGTAGTGTCCAGCGTCGACCTGAGCCCGCTGGATTGATAGCGTGTACCGTTTTGGTCCATCAATACTTCACCGTCCTCGTCATCATCGTCAGCATCATCATCTTCCTGCTCGGTCCAGTCCATATCGACCACGGGTGTGCTGGAGGCATTTAGCAGATCGACCTGTTCACCTGCAGCGTTAATACTACCCAGAGCCACAGAGGTTCCCGGTTCAGATGTTCCATTCACTGCCTGGACTAGCCAACCTGTGCCTAGTTGTTCGAGACATTCTATCTTCAGGTCTTTTGGAGAGTTGAGGACAAGATGTTTCAAAGCCCATAGCGAGGCTTGGCGCAACTTCGAGTTAGATCGCTTCGCCTGCTCACACAGTACTGTGACGATGCCAGCGGTGACGAGATCCTGCGGACTTAGCATATATGACCAACAGAGGGATGAGTAGGAATTCTTACCTGACGCATTGGACTGAACTCGAGCACCAGATCACAGGTGACATTGGTAGCAGCGATCTGAACCTCGAGGTCTGGGAACGTCAAGAGGTTATATACAGGTTTTGTTATACCAGCGTCGATGAGAGCTGTGCGCAAGAGGCTGACAGACCTTGACAAGGCTGTAGCAGCATGGCAGGCGGCGAGCAAGACTGGTACTGTGTTCCCGTTCTTGGAGGGCAGAATCGAGGAGTCAAAGGCGCTGACAGGTACAAGTGAGTCAATAAGATTAGAGATGATGCCACTATCAATGACTGCCTTGCGGTTGACATCTTCTTTCTCGGCAATAGCGGCAAGGGCCTCTAATGCACCTGCTCTACATTTCATAGCATGCATAACTTCCGGCGCAAGGCCATCGGGCCCAAGGGTAGCGGATGGGGTCGGGGGCAGTTGCGAGTCTAGAGCTTGAGAGTCTGCCGACCACATTGGGCGGGCAAGAGTAATAGGGTCAAAGGACTTTTTGAGTAGTTGTGAGACATGTTTGACGGCGCCAGCATCAAGGGCGGCTTGCTGAAGCTCAGTGCTGTTCTCAATCAGATGGGCTAGAACAGCACAGGCGTCTTCTTTGACGATAGACAGCTCCTGGCCAAAGATAGTATCTAGTGAATCTTGAACAAGCTTGACAGCAATGGGAATCGCAAACAAAGCCATTTGTCTTTCTCTTTCTCTTGATCTGGTAAGTGTGTCGTAACGGGGGGCGTCAATGTCAGCATCGAGTGCATCGTTGAGGATGGCCAAAAGGCGAAGAGCGGCCAGACGACAGCAAGGATCTTGCTGTGAGCGAGCAAGGTACATGAGCCAGACGCAGAGAGGTGAGTCTACGGAGATGTTGGTGGCGGCGTGGTCCGAGAAGAGTCTAGAGTTGTTCAAAGCATGGTGGCCAAAGGCGAGGGACTTTTGCAGAGGGACCATGACTTTGGGGAGTAGAGTATCGACCTGGACGACATTACTGGGCTTGGGGTGTTTGTGGTGGCTCAAAGCAGGGGTCTGGAGAGAATCTGAGTGGGTGGAGTCTGATGCATGGCTGAAGATGCGCCTCAAATCATCAGAGAAGATGAGACGGTGGGCTCGATAGGTCGAGTCGCGAATGATAGTTGAGACGGCATTGAGAAGAGCGGCGATATCGAGTTTATTATGGCTGGATTGTGGATTTATGTTGTAGACGAGCGCAAAGCTGGCGAGATTTGATGCAAGGGCATCGAGAATGCCATGATGGACCAGAGCCGAACGCAGCTGAGTGCAATGAGTATAACAAGTTGCGATCAGGGTCGAGACCAAAGCAATATGCTGTTGTTCGTTTGAAGTAGGTAGAGGATGACGGAGGATCTTCAAAAAAGAAGCGAGGGTGTTCTTGTTCAAGACGTGAGAGACAAATATCGGGTCTGGGTTGGGCGAGGAAGTCCACGAGACGGCGAGAGCGTTGAGAGCGCGCAGAGAGGCGGTGACAAGGCTGGTTGACGAAGAGGAAGGCGGAGAGAGATATAGAGCTATGGATTGCAGCAGATTGCTATGGAGGATGGGAGCGACAAAAGCAGAGCCCTCGTCGGCGAGGCTGGCAACGATCAAGGTTGTCTGCAGTTGGACGTCGGTACCGGGCGAAGTAGCCAGAAGTTGGGCCAGGCAGTCAAGCAGGCCATGACGAACTACAAGCTTCTTGCGCTGGCCGTGGCCAACAATGTCGTTCTTGATGATGCGCAAGAGGGACAATCGCTGGTCGGGCGATAGTTGGATCGACGTCTTGAGCTCGTGGAGAGCAGCCAGCGACGGAGGCTGCACCATGGTAGCAGACGCCGAGAGAGAGCAGATTCAAGGACCAGTGCCCAGTGACCAGCACCCGGTAATCGATGGCTGACGGCGCGAGCAAGTACGACGAGCACGAGTGACGCGACTGGTCCTTTGGTTGTTCGGCTACAAGACCGACGCCAGCATTTGACGGAGGATCCAAATGACGTGCGGGCCGACGCTACTCAAAGTCTCCTCCGGGACCGGCTTGTGCACGTGGAGGCTTTCAGAGGTTGGCCGTCGTCGAAACACCGCAGACTAAACAAGAACGTTTTGAAACATCGCATTCTGCACGCAAAAAAGACTTTGCTCACGCCTGCCCAATTCGCTCGCCCGTCAAAAGAGACGCTCTCTGCTCTTTGCCTTCGCTCTTGCCTTTCGGCCTCCTCTCTGCCCTCCCGCACCCGCCCTCCTGCCTAATTATGCGCCACGCCCGCGCATCGTCGCAGTGCCTGCAAAACACAAAGCAATTCCAACCACAACAACGTCCATAAGCTGTCGACCTTTCCGTAAATGTCGGCCCTGGCTTCTCACTCGCCCAGTGCCTCCTTCTACGCACGTTATCCTCGACCCTCGCCCAAAAGTCCTGCCTCACGATTGCCTCCCACCTCGTCACCCGCCTTGCACCCCAATTCTTCCTATGCCCGCACCCCTGTTCAGAAACCCATGACAGTCGATGCTGCCACCCAGTACACTCCCGAAGGCTATCCCCCAACCGCCAACAAACTTGCTGGCAGCAAACGCAGAGGCTCATCTCCCTCCACTCCATCATTAAACCACGCTCAAGAGACAACTATTCCTGAACGTCCCGTCAACTCAGACACGACCACTTCATCAGCCCCCGACCCATCTGCATCCCCTTCGCTCACCAAAAAGCCTCGCACTCAGCCCGAATCCAATGTCAAGATGGGGTCCAACATCAAAATCATGCCTCTCAGATATGAGACATGCGACGTAAAGGATCTGGGTTACTTGATCAGTAACATGCTCATGGAACTGATTCGCCTTAACGACCCAATCCCCTTGACTGGCCGCCTGACGAGGTTTCATTCTAGGTATCCTTTCGATTCGACATCCATACGCAAACGCGCGCTAACACATCACACAGAGCCCCACCTGGCATTTCATGTCATGACTATCTGCAGCGTCTCATTCAGCACGCTACTCTCTCGCCACCAATCCTTCTTTCTGTTGTCTACTACATCGACCGCTTGTGCTCACTTTATCCTTCTTTTACCATCAGTTCCCTCACTGTCCATCGCTTCCTTATCACGGCTGCCACTGTTGCTGCAAAGGGTCTGAGTGATAGTTTCTGGACGAACCCTACTTACGCGAGAATCGGTGGTATCAGTGTCAGCGAACTTGCAACTCTAGAGATGGAGTTCTTGGAAAAGGTTCAATGGCGCATCGTACCTAGGCCAGAGGTTCTGGTCGACTACTATGTCAGTCTTGTCCAGAGATGTGAAGGCTACCAACTCGAGGCCGCCAGCGAGTCGGAACCAACCTGAGCATTCCTATCAATGCCAGATTTATCACCTCCTCACTCCGGCGTTTGCGTCACCACCGAATTGGATATGGGCCGCACGCCCAAAAGCAGGCGAAGGCCATCTATACCTCGCATCTCGCAGGATCCCCCCAGAAGACGTTGGGGTTCGGCGATCCGTGCCGCATCTGATCAAGGCATGAGTTCTCATTATCGCAAAATGGGAATAACCCCAGAATGTCACTACCAATATCGGCAACGCCGGGATGTCACTGACATGACCCGCCAACAGCATGATACGAGCTCACACCCACTTTTTCGATCCTGCAGCCTGGAGCCGCATGAATTTGCAAGCCACAAAGGCTCGTGTATGTAGACTGCGCCGCACGCACTATAAAGCCGCGTTAAAGCGAGAGACCCCTAAGCGGCTCAGCCTGTGAGATACAGGGCGCAAGTCATAGACGATCATTAAATTGTCTTCACAATAAAAATCAACCATTCATACAGTCAAATCTTCATGTCACCTTCCCAATCAGTGCCGCTTGTTATTCTCTTGAGCCTTATCTGATATGAAATCATCGTTTGTTCGCTCAAATCGTTTTCCAAAAAGTATATGTAAGAGGTTCGCTGTATTCTATAAAACATTTCCCATACATGCTCTCCTTGACAATGCTTTGGGTCATCCACTGTGATGCCCTGCTTTGTGACTGTGATGCCCTGAGCCGACTACCCGTTTTGTGCGGCTCCAAAATTTCGCCCTGCAGATGGATGATAACCTCGCATCAATGTGGGGTCAGATGCAGATATAGTGCGATTAGGAGCTTTGGCAGCAAGATATGGTGTGTTCAACACACATGTGCCGCATCATATATCATCTTTCGTCGTCTGGTTGGAAGACGCTGGTTGAAGATCGTGTATCACTTTCTCTTGTTCAGTCCTGACTTGGAGGCTTCCTGTGCAAGCTCGTGGCTGTGGCTATGCCCGTCATCATGGCTGTGTTCGTGTTCATGCTCATGCGTCTGATCCTTAGAAGCAACAAATTCGTTTGCGAAAGCATCGGCGGTGTTCTCAGAGCTGGTGAAGCGGATCGAAACACGCTTGATGCCTTGGGCTGCCGAAGACACCTTTTCACGAATGCTGTTTTCGGCTTGTGTCATTTGCTCCAGTGTCCATGTCGAGGGTACGGTGACGGCAATCTCGATCAGGTAGTTTTGGCCACTTTTGATGCCCTGGACCTGGGGTGCCGACTCGGTAGGTAATTTCAGATCTCCCAAGGCTTGCGATGCAGCGGTCTCGATATTATGCTTGATGTCGTCCTCGATAGATACATCAGCCAGCTCCAGGAGTGCAGCTTTTGTGTTTCCGTATCCAGCTTGCACGATCATGCCTGAAATAATCAGACCACCGACAGGATCGAGCCATGCGGCGTTGCTGAAAAAGTGACTGGCGGTGATGGTGGCCAAAGCAACAACAGCAGTCAGACTGTCGACACGGTGGTGGTATGCATTGCTCGCCAGAACACTGCTGCGTTTCTCCTTTGCGATTTTCATAGTCGCTCGGTATAACCACTCTTTAATTATGATGCTGCCGGCTGCCAGCCATGCTGCGTTGATATTGACACCCATGCCTTCGACTCCATGGCTGTGGCTGTGACTATGGCCGTGGCCGAAAATGCCAAGGTGAGAGAGTATATGGGCAATATCCGGGAAGAACTGTTGTGTGAGAGCCATGATTGCTTGTAGGCCAATCATTATTCCTCCTGAAAGCAGGATACCCGACACTCCAAGTGCGCCTAGAGACTCGATCTTGCCATAGCCGGTAGGGAATCTAGTTGTAGGGGATCTTAACGAGTACGAGACGGTTGCGAGGGTGGTGAAATCGGATATGAGATCTGTAAGGGAGTGTATGGCGTCGGCGGATAACCTGCGAAAACGGCATGTCAGAGATGGACGTGAAAAGCACATTGGACTGGCACATACGCTTTGGAGTTGAAGACGTAGCCGCCGATGCCCTTAGCAATGGCCATGCCAAGGTTGACAAAGAGTCCTACTCGCGTGATACGGACACCGGCGTCATTCTTGTCGGAACTCGTCAAGTATGTTGTATCATGATGGTGGTGGTGGCCATGATGTGAGTGACCAAAATGACCTCGAGTCTGCTCCATGTTGACGATGTTTGTACTCGTGCCGGCGCTGGCTGACGGAGGTGGGGATGGTCGGGTTGGTATACGGTGATTGAGCAACGACCAGTTGTGTCTGGGGCGACAAGTTACAAGAATGCGGGTTTGATGACTCTGCAGCAAAGTCCTTGAGGTGGAGGAAATAAAAGTAGAGCGAGATGCGTGTAGCAAGGGGCTAGTCGTCTGTAGACTCAGCCCCGGGAATTGACACGCTCTCATCTAAGGTAGTTACGAGATGCGTCTGCATGCGAATCGCGTACTTTCCACGTAAGCTGACAATCGATTGCAACCGAGAGTCGTCGATTTCAGTTGGAAAGAAGGTACTATGTCCAAATTACTTTGCCCAAAGACATGCGATTGAGTTACTGAGAAGGACTCCGACATGTCGGGTCTTGTCGCCGGCAGCGGCCTACTCTACCGGAATACGTCAATTGGTCTTGGCATTGCGATATACACGATATCAGCCTGAAATGCGACGAGCCTGATTACAACAATTTCTGAATATTCACTACTACCATTATATCTAGAGTGCCCAGGCTGTGAAACTTCTTATGCCAATCTCGGCATCAGATTGCAACCGGCCGTCGCTGAATTGACCACACGAACAAAAGACATCAAAACACCTTTCGTCAGTCGCTCACTTCATGAAATCGATCTTCCAAACAACGCCTGAAAATGCTCAACGTTCATAAATCATTCGTGACAAAAGCCCCTTGGGGTGACGTTGCTCAACCTTGCGGCGTATGCGAAAGCATTGACATAATACTAATACTCCGCTGAGCTGGATTATCTGGTGTCCGCTCTTTCCCTGCACGGCTGCTGTCAGATGGCTCTGCCGCAACGAACCTGCCTGCGTTCGGCATAGTACGAGCAGGAGCTGTTGGTGGTGGTTGGTACAGAGGCAGTGGAGGAGGTCTGGGCAAGATGTGATGCAGTGCGTTCTGCTGATTGAGTGTAAGTCCAAGGATAGGCTGCGGCACATGGACTGGTGTTGGTATTCGGGTAGACGGGCCTGCAGCTGCGGGGACATCGACTGGCTCCAATTCAGCGTCCGAACAGCCAATGCCGGAATCGCCTTCATGCTCTTCCTTGTTGGGGGCAGGGATGTCCTCACTGGGAGCAGATGTCTTGCCAGCCATGCGTGCGATCGACTGTAGGTTTCTCAGCCCCTTCTCCATACACTAGTAGACGTGTAAGCGGTGATTCGACTGCACAGAACTTGCAACATCCAACTTACCTTTGCTTCAACCACATTCCAGCGCTCACCAATCTTGACTGCCAATGGACCCCAGATCTCCTTTCTGAGTTCCATATACTCGACTGCGAGAGTATCCAATCTTTTTGGTGTCCAGTCCTCATGATTTCGGCGTTCAACTAGTCGTTCATGACGCTTACGACAAGCATTGGCGGTTTTGTTGGGGAAGTGCCTTGCTGCGGTTGATTGCCAATTGAGACCAGCTGCTCTAGCAGCGACCAGGACCTCGTCATCTGCAGAGCTCCAGTTGGCTGTATTTCTGTGGCCTGGTTGGGGTTCTGTTGATCCAGTTTGTCGTGCTTGTGCCACCGGAAAAGGAGATTGGCGAATGTTCGACAATAATCTTCTGCTCTTGGGCATCTCGAGGATTAGGCGTCTCTCTGTTCTGATGTGTGCTTCTGGTCAAGTGCAACGACCGTCCTGCGGTAATGTGTAGAGACTAAGACTAGACAAGGAACAAACGTTCTAATAAGATGATGAATAGAATTGAAATCGAGCTACTAGGACGCAAGAGCATTTTGACATCCGTACAGCATTCACAGGAACGGATTTATACTTATAGTCATGATGCGATGCTCGGCCTGACAGCCAATTGAACGAAGATGATATGGACACTGAAACACATGGCCACATTGAGAGTGAGGACCTCAGGCCGTCCTATTTTGGTAGGAGGCCGTCCAGGAACAGCCAGGATGCTTTGAGCGCTTCTGCAGTCTGAGGTCGAGAAGGCGTGCGTGGTGGAAGAACAGCCTACCACGATGAGCGCGCTTGAATTGAAGATCGAGCGGCTGCAGAAATTACTGAGAGAAAAAGCGTCGCGCCAGTTTCAAGCTATTTGTGGCAGAGTGATGTCAGACATGTTGGAGTCAATGGTATGCGCGGCGGGCGCGTATGTTGAGGGCGGCTATTCAAATTGTTTCAAGATGGCCAGAGTCACAGATGTCCAATGACCGAAGTGGAGATTTTGGAGCTCTAGATATACAGGCCAGAGGCGCGGAAAGGTGGTCCGATGCGGCGACAATCAAATGGCAATGGGCACTCGAGAGAGCACCTGCAGGAACAAAGATGCTTGACCGCAGCGGTCGAAGAGAACAGCTTGGAGAGGAAAGTGCAACATGTGCTCGGCGAGGCAGCTCTCTTACAGAGTATCCTGCCCAATACCGCGATGCGTAGAAGAGTCGTTGTCGTGATGAGAGTCATGTAACTTGAGGACAGGTCGAAGGAGCTCGGGAGACTAAGGGTCGAGTCGGAAGCTTTTGTAAAAAGTCGGGCCGTTCAGATTCTCGGGGGTCGGCCTCCCCATCGGCAGCAGGCTTGGTTATTGTTGAGCGCAGTGCAGCAGCATACACCTTGTCGTCGTCGCTGTTGTTGTCGCTCACACGTCGTCAATTCTTGCACTGACAATGGTCGCCTTTGCCAGCTCCTGCAGGTTCGCTGCTGTCGTCGTCGGTAGACATGGCCGTCGTCGTGAGTGTCCCGTCCTCAATCCATCTTATTTTCTGTGCCCATCTAATGCAGCCATATTGTTGTAGCTTTCAGTGTCGCAGCGGCCAACCGTGCTGCCCAGAACTTCGCCATGCCTGCTTTGTCGCCCACTATGACCGAGGGCAACATCACAAGCTGGAAGCTCAAGGAAGGTGAGCTCGACAATTCCCCCATCGACCAAGCCCACTGAAGCTGAGCTGTACAGGCGACTCCTTCTCGGCTGGAGATGTCCTCCTTGAAATCGAAACCGACAAGGCCCAGATGGATGTTGAGGCCCAGGACGATGGTGTTCTTGCAAAGATCGTCGTTGCCGAAGGTGCAAAGGCCGTCCAGGTCGGCTCGCGCATTGCTGTTCTGGCTGAGGAGGGCGATGACCTAGCAACTCTCGAGATCCCCGCCGACGAATCGTCCTCATCCGCTGGACAACCCGCTCGCAAGGACCGCCCCAGCCCGCAAGAAGACCTCAAGTCTGGAATCGACACGACCGAGTCCTCCCCAAGCGCCGCAGAGGCCCCACCATCATCCAAGCCCAACGCTGATGCTTCTGCTGGCGGTGCTGCAGACACTACGAGAGCCACTCAACTGCATGGCTCGTCCGATGCTAAGCCTAGAAAGCAAACATACCCTCTCTACCCCTCGGTCCAGCACCTCCTTCTCCAGAATGGCTTGACCAAGGAGGACGCCAACAAGATCCCTGCAAGTGGTCCCGCTGGACGTCTCCTCAAGGGTGACGTTCTCGCCTACCTGGGCAAGATCGAGAAGAACTACCCTGGTCAGCAGGCCAAGCGCATGGACAAGTTGGCACACCTCGACCTTTCCAACATTCAGCTCGCTGCTCCTCCTAAGAAGCCTGAGGCCAAGCCTGTCGAGGCCGAGAAGCCCGCTCCTATTCCCGACACCGAAATCGCCCTCCCTATCTCCCTCTCTGCTGTACTCGAGACCCAGAAGCGCGTCCACGAGACTCTCGGAATCAACCTTCCCCTTTCTACCTTCATCGCACGTGCCTCAGAACTCGCAAACGAGAACCTCCCTCTTTCCAAGAACAGAAAGCCCACAGCTGACGAGCTCTTCAACTCTGTTCTTGGCCTCGACAAGGTGTCTCCCAAGACTTCTCGTGGCAACTACGTTCCTCAGGTCACTGGTCTCCCTGCTGCACCTCTTTACACCAGCCAGCGTGCTGCCAAGAAGGCCGACATTATCGATATCCTCGCCGGAAAGCCCTCGGGTCCCAAGAAGGCGCCCAAGATTTTCGGTGCACAGGGCGTCGTAGCAGCTCAAAACGTTTTCAGCGTCTCAGCACCCAAGGGTGATGAGAAGAGAGCACAAGAGTACCTCGAGCGCATGAAGCAGGTCCTTGAGGCCGAGCCCGGCCGTCTTGTTCTCTAAGATCTTTATTCTAAATTCCCCTTCCTGCTTTTCTCTCTCACAGCGTCAAAGATATCTCTGTAGTTTTATATCAACTCGAAAGGACCGGCATAGAATTTCCAACGTCATTTATCGACATCATTTCGTGTTGTTACCGTTCACTTCATCTGCTTCCACCCCTCGCACATGCACGATGCTTCAGGCAATCACGTCGAACTTGATCATATCCGATATGCATGCAATCGCAACAAAGAGCTGGTGATTGCTTGAACACCTTGACTGATATTCATCTTGCCTTGAAGAAAGCAAAGGCCATATGTTACAAGAATCGGTTGCCGGAGCATCTAGAAATCTTGTGGTGCCACTCATACAAAAAGAGCTTTCTCGTCACAACACCGTTCAAGTCAACTAGCCATTGAACACCACTAAGCATTTCAATGGTAATCCAGCTATTGTGAACTCTTCTGAGAATATGCTATCGCTTCATCGTTCATCAGTATCAACAGTACTGTAAACCTGCTCTCATCAATTCCTCTTCCCAAAATAGCTCGTTAGTTTGTTGCTCTGCCCTGCATCAATTGGCTTCTTTCCCTTCTGCGGACTTGCGCCTTCAGGTTTGTCTTTCTTCTCGCCCACACGCATCAGGCGCATTAGTTCTTCGAATTGCTCGACGTCGACGATGCCTCCACTGGCCTGTACATGTCCCCGAGCAAAGTCATCGCCTAGTCGTTCCAGGAGAGGGATCTCTTGCTCGCTAGGTAGACCATTGTCTGCATCGCTATCTTCGTCCTTGGCCAGCTTCAAGCTGGCATAGTCCTTCAGGCTTTGTATGATGTCGACTGGCGGATTCCGGCTTTTGGCGCATCTAGCCACTCGACAGCTGAAGTTGACCTTGTTCGGTAGATAGCCTTCATTGGCGACCATGACGATCTCGAGCGCCTTGCTTTGTAAATGGCCAGCCCATCTCGTTGCAATGACTGGGTGCACTTGCGCCTCAGACTTGATCCTGAATACTGCGACTTTGCCGTCCTGACTGAACTTGGGCGCTGTATGCGTGCATCGTTCGACTTCGGCATTGACCTCTTGACGAGCAGCAAGCAATCTAGAATGTTTCAAGACGTCTTTGGGATGTTCAGCCGTAAGGAGTGCATCGAAAGCAGAGTTGACATCGTATGTCGCTGTCCGTCGAGGTGCATTCACGTAAGAAACCACATCATTCAAGACCTTCTTGGTGTACTTCTTGAGAGTTGGTGAGAGGTCAGGAAAGGGCTCCTCCCATTTGATCGTGTTGCCTAGATCGCCATGTGTTCCTACGACACAAAGCCAATCGGTCTGTTCCCTGACACCATGATGAAGTGGCTCGCAAAGCAGGTATGTCAGGAGGGCAGACGTTACCACCGGCGGACATTTATTTGCTGTACAGAAGTAAGATCCTTGCGGGAAGTCTTCAGATGTGGCATTGTGATGGTCAATGACTAAACCGGTATGAGGAGAGTCTATTAGAGGTCCAGACTTGCGCGATCCCTGGTCAAGAACGAAGATGTACTCAGGAGATTTTGCAGTCATGGCCATGCGTTCGTGTTCATGGTGGACCGTCTGGCCTTTGCTCAGCAAATGAACATGGATCAGCTCAGGCTTGAGCCCAAGAAGAATTAGTGTACGATGTAGAATTACGCCAGATGAGAGTCCATCTGCATCTTTATCTGGCACGATCAACGTCGATTTCTGCGAACGAGCACTGAAGACGTGTTAGCAGTCGCAAGAGGATTATCGATGTTTGATGCAATTACCAATCAAGGATAATCTCTCTAGCTTTCTTCATCTGAGCCTCTGGAGCGGGCCATATAATCCCGTTTTCATCGCGCACAGGTGGGGTCAGATGATATTCGGGCACTTCCACCCGCGTCCGTTTGGCAGAGCTGGCCTGGGCTGTGGACAACGGTTCCTTGCGCTTCATCTGCTGCGGTGTCGAGGTGGTGGCGTAGAGGGAGTGGCGATTTCTGATGAATGAGGCTCTGCTACTGCTGACACGCAGATTGGGCTTGCAACTATGGCATAGAGACAAACCCTTGTAAAAGCGGGTGGTGAGGCTCCCAATGCTGACGGCGGTGGTATGCATAAATGCGCTTCCGCTGTAGTGAGCTCACGGAATGCCATGCTGCGTCGGTCGTTCAAGTTAGACCCTGGATCGAAGCTGGACTAGACCACTTTGGCCCGACCAATCCCTTGCGAGCGTTGAATACTCCGAGTGTGGTTGGTGCCCACTGTAAGTTCTTTCAGGGTTTGCGGTGAAACGTCGACAAACTTGGTGGTGCTCCAAGCACAAACCTACTTATCATAGCACTGAGAAACACGCCATCTCTGCCCTAGATCTGAAGGGATAAGTTACTCTCATGCATGGTAAGCCGTTTGCGTTATTCAGGCAGACTAATATATGTGTGCGTGCGTGGACTCAGATACCACCGGCGGCTGTCTGCTTTACCATGTGTCATGGCTGCTTTGGTAGTTGTATAGGTGGGTGGTCTCATCAGAGACCTTGATTCGAGGCGGGATCAGTAATCCAACGATCGTTGAACGATGTGAGCAAAACCAGCCGGCCGAATACGATTCACAAGCATCGGATCGGCGAGCCATTCGGTTTGGGAATTTCCGCGATTGCTAGGAGCAAAGTCTAGACCTGCGCCCTAGGCGAGCTTGGCAGTTTCGAATCGCGCAACGCACCTCTCCGTCGAATGACAGCTCGAGGAGCACGCTCCGTGACAAAGAACAACAGGCATGTGAGCCGCAGAAAGGCTTTGTCGAGGAATGAAAGGGTCCAATTCGTGGGAGGGGGGTCCAAGCTAGCGGGCGAGGACATTTTACACTTGCATGGCCAGAGGCTCATCGGCAGATTTGCGGTCGGAAGCAGCAAAAGAGCCTCTGTCGCTCACCTCGGGTCGATTGCCCGCGTCGCTGTGGGAGGTGAGCTGGATCACTTCCATCTGAGGCGATGCGACCGCCTCCGCCGCGCTGTTAAGTTAGTCTCTTGTCTGCTGCCAGCAACCCGTCTCCCAAATAACGGATGCTACCGCACACCTTCCTTTCTTTCTCTTCCTCCCCCATCGTCCCTAGCACCCTTCAATTGCGTTTCCACTGCTATTCTTCGCACATTTTTATTGATTATCGATCTGCAGCTGGCAAGAAGCTGTCGGATTTTCTGGAATTTCCTCGAGAGACGTGCGCCCAGAACAACTCGCCCAGAGATTTTCCCTCGGGCTGGCTTTTCTGTCTCCAAATCCCAACTTGCCCACTGATTCGCACACCAAGCTGGGGTTTCGCGACACACCAGCGACCAGGTACTGGTGCAAATCATTGCACCAATATTGATCGTCTAGACACATTGGAATCGGTCACTGTTGGATATTGCATACCACACGCCGCCCGAGCGGTAGGTCGTGCTGCGGTGCTCACGACGCGCGGTTCAGTGCAGCATCTCCCCTGCTCTGGTAAGTACGAACACGATCAATGTTTCAAAACACCTTTCTGTCATAGGCCCACTTCGCCGCCTGATTGATAAATCAAGTCCATCAAAAGGCTGGACCAAGCCACGCGCTTGGCTTCTGCACTGGTCGTCTTCGCAGTTGTTTGCGTGACATGTAATCATGGATTGACCACCCACACCCTGGCGCAGTGATTTCCATCTGTCATCCAGCTAGCACTTGAGACCTTCTCTACGTCCCTGCACTTGCTCCGTATTCCTCGCCACTACTGGCGATGCAGACAAAACATTGCTAACTGGGGTGCCCGCTTTCTAGAACCCCGCCAGACATTACATGCTACAGCTTCTCTAGCTTATGCATTAAGACCTCTATTTCAGCACATAGACGCCCTGCCGTCCTCATTGATACCCCTTTTGTTTCGATTCAACTAACGATCTTGTCTCTTTATCGCGACAAAATCTGTTACTTGTCCGGTTCAGTCACAAACTCAATCGGACCCCGCCAAACCCTAGCCGAGCTGGTGTCACTTCCTCCAGGAAATGGGACATTTCGACGATCAAATGCATCAGCTCAATGGACTCGACGAGCGTTTTGCGCATCATGGTATTCCCTCAAAAAAGCCTAACATCTTGCCTGGTCCAGAGCATAGTTTCGTAAATCGAACTGTATCACCACCTGATTCACGACCCACTGCTATTGGATTCATGCCACTTCTAGAGCCCAGCGCAGAGCTCTCGCACAACTTCCCTCAGGACTCATATCAACTTGCGAACAGACGGCCGGACAGATCGAATGGAGGAAATTTGAGCTTGCGTACCATGACAAATAATGTCTCCATGCCTGAATACTCGTTCCTTGAACGCGCCAACACCGATTCACCACACCAAAGAGCTCACTCGGTTCACTCAGCAGGGTCTCTCTCGTTGTCTTCCATGTATCCTCCACCACGGCTTGATGAGAAAACTGGGGAGGCAGATCCATCGACTCGGAACGATAGATTGCTCCCTTCATTCCATCAATTGAGCAAGATAGCCGACAGTGCAACGGAAGTTACTGACACAAAGACCACTGGACTGCCAGCTCTCACCACATATGGCAGTCAAGTCATTGCACAGACTGTTGCCACTTCTATCCCCCACTATCCACCACAACAGCAAGATAGCCCTTCAACCAATTTCATGTTGCTTGGTCACTCGTCACCTACGAACATCCGGGCCAACAGTCATGAAATGTACGCGCCCCCTCACTCCCAGACTTCTTTCACTGTCCCGAACGATCGTAACCAAAGGCGCACGCCGGCTTCAAATGCCAGACCTCCGCCCTTTATCGCCTCTATCAGTACATCATCTCTGGGAACAGGATCTTCTACCGATACCATGAGCAGTCATCACAGTCATCAGAGCTCGGAAGCCGGGATTCACAGCAGTGCTCACACCACTCCTATGGAAACGACCCCATCATCTCTTGATGGTCCAACAAAAGCCCCGGTACCTCGGTTGCAGACTTCGACTTCAGCGCCTGGGGGTTTCCTTTGCGATCATCCTGGTTGCACCGCCCCTCCTTTCCAAACTCAATACCTTCTCAAGTAAGCACATTATCATTCTTGCGGCTTCCACCATGTCCTTCTAACAAATTCCATAGCTCGCATGCGAACGTCCACAGCTCAAGCCGCCCTCACTATTGTCCTGTCAAAGGATGTTCTAGAAGTGAGGGAGGTAAAGGATTCAAGCGCAAGAACGAGATGATTCGACATGGGCTGGTTCACGACAGTCCTGGCTACGTATGCCCCTTCTGCCCTCTTAGGGAACACAGATATCCTCGTCCAGATAATCTTCAAAGGTCTGACAAAACAATTCTTGCAGTAAGGGAACAATATGACTAACGGACTCGCAGACATGTTCGTGTTCACCATGTGGACAAAGACAAGGATGATCCTTTACTGCGGGAAGTTCTGGCCCAGCGACCTGAAGGTGGTGGCCGAGGACGCCGTCGGCGAACAGGTCCCTCTTAATCGAAAACTACTCATAATTTATGGTGCTGGAGAAAACATGCTACGATTTGGCCGGCGTTCTGGTGTCAACGACTCGTCTTCTGCTTTCTACTATCTACCCGGGTTTCTCAATGTTTACAATCCATCGAGGGATTGCAACGGGTCACGTTAAAATTGTCATGGCCGCTGGCGTGCTCGACAATCAATGGGGGTGGGACATGCTTCAACGATCCCAACGATTGGCGCTCTGGGTTTTGATTTTTTTCCTTTTTCTTTATGTCTTGCGACGAAGAGTTCTTCTACTACGGTGTGCCGCCATATGCGTGTAAATCAGGGTATTCTGTACAGCTATCCAAGAAGGAAGGGGGTCAGTCTGGCAATCGATAAGATCGTCACAATTAATTTCTACATGCATCTTTCGGAAAAACACGTTGCCTGCCAAGAGTGCTTGGGCTTGCGGATCTCACTCCTAACGGAAGCCTATTGGTCGGCGATCAGGCTTCGACAACCACATGTGTCGGCGACCAGCCAATTGTTCTCCAGCTGGCTGGACCTCACTAGCTGCTTCAGTCGCACCGTTTCGCGATCCTCCTGAGTTGACCTTCGAAAGATCCTCCAGGCCCCGAGAAGCTATTTTCCGCCGCAACGGTTGGCTCAACGAGCAGTTCCCTGCTTTCTCGGTTATCTCATCATCATGGAAGACAGATGCTTATCAGAAGTCGAGATCTTGGGAGACACAGCACATTAATCTAACGTAATCATGTGCATACTCAATCGCCTTCAAACTGCGACAAGACTGGAGTCTAAAGTCATAGCATCAAATGTTGGGAAGCTACAGTAAGAGCTGCGCTGTAGCCTGCTGCTGTAAGAACTGTATTGGTGTTTAACTTGTCCATCATGCAGGCATCCGCTGCCACGGTTCGTGTCGAAGCCGAAGTGGATTTGCGGTGTGTACAGCATCTAGGTTGGCACAATCAGATTGGGTCAGATCACCGCGCATGTAACAGCGAGTTCCTTGAGCATACGAATACGGCCGTTGACGATCACGACCTAATGTGGCCACACTGCAGCTACAGGGTGTCAGGTTATTCTTCAAAGCTGAGAATCCACCACGATATCCAGGGTTTATACCTCTCAATTCTGCAAGAACTTCCAGATCAGGACATTGCTTCTACCACGTGAGATGTCTCTTGCCGCGTGCCATGCTTGCTGCGGCGCAAAAGTAAAGTTTCATGCCCACAAAGTCTCCATAAAATCTCAAAGTCCCCAAAAAAAATCCTTCACAAACAGACGACGAACACGAGAACCTTATTGTACCAAGACAGCCGCAAGGCAATGTACAGGGGCAAGGGCAGATAACGAATTCCGAAGGACAATTCTAGATGGCAAAGAAAGCCGTCAAACGGCAATGTTCGGGAATAATTTCATACACACACGACAATGAAACATGCGAGCCGCAGAGCAGAAATCTCGCCGCGGCGTTTTGTTGTATCCGTGGTTAGTCGGGGACAAGGGGTGCCCCGCCGGAACTGGGCTTTGCAGGCAGCTGGAAAGGTGTGGAATGTGTGTTCGACTCGCAATTCTGATGACTCGAGTGGGTTTGAGTCGTGTCTTGCGCCGCCGGTCGCGATTCGCACTCGAGTAAATGTCGAAGGGATCTCGACTGTAAGATCTACAATTGTTGGGTTGCAAGTGTGAGATGTCGATTATCAGATCGTCGAATGAGATCTTCACGTGTAAGATCTCTTTTGGACACATGGTCTCAGCCTCAAGTTTGCGGCTGTAAAGCTACCAAGCACGAGTGATGTTCAGGGTGTGCCTGCGTCCGCTGGATGATACGTCGCTTACAGACTGCTTATCTCGAGCTGAGTGATACCAGTCATTTGTTGCAATTCTTGTCTCTGTAGATTTATTGATGTGCGTGGACGGACGTAAGATACCCTACACTGTTCTTTCCACATGTTTGCGGCCGCAAAAGATAGCTCTTTTCTTCCCGCATGTTGTCTTGATCCGGTGGCACTTGCCTTGTAACTCTTCTATTCCTCTGCCATCCTTCCGGTGTCATGCTTCGATCTACTGCTTGCGATGCGTACTTCGGGTGGGGGTTGCGTGTCATCTCCTCAAGTACTTGAATATTGCTTTGCCTTCCAGTTGCCTTGTTGTTGTCTCTTGTTTCCAAACTTCGCTAGTTAACACAACCATATCAATGTTCAATCCACAACGAAGTTTTTTGATAACTCGCCACTACACATGGCACATCGAGGACTGCTAGTACCTCGCAGATTTCTTTGAAGACCAACTTTCTCTACAAAGTTGATCTCAGATCGCGGTATACCTTCGCATTCACGCATGTTAATGGTATCACCCTGACCCAAACATTTATCTGTTACTAACGACTTGGAGGATTTCATCTGCCTGGGCAGTCAGAGGCTATACCGTGTAGATCTTTCATGTCAACAAGATAATACCCTGTATACGACTTTAGTTCTCTGTATGCGACTTTAGGTAACTGGGTTTCTTCTGTTATTTGAGATAAATCTTGTATTGGATCGAGGCCAACAAGCAGAAAACAGTCTGGCATTGTCGTATGCCGTGCAACTACTGTGTTTGTGGTCTTGACAGTACGGAAAATATTTGATTGAACACATCTCCAGTGGCATGAGGTAGGTGAAATCTCATTTGATCTTGTCCACGAATGAGTGACTCGTTTATATACAGCAAACAGAGGTGGCAGTGGGACATAGGTATACATAAACGATGGAGAGAAAGCGATGGGGTATATGGAACTCAGACAATGGAGTGAATGCTATGATGCTAGTGAGCTCGGAAAACACAAGTGCAACATGGTATGCTGTGACTACCAGAAGCAGGTCGGGATCAAGGTACAAGAAGGGCAGGACGAATGCTCCTTCTAGACCAGGAAGAAAGGAAACGAGAACGCCAAAAGGATTTCAGACAATTTGGAAATAGCGTTGATTCGTCAATATGTTCGTAGGATCGTTGATGGGCGTTCATATGTTTGGGATGTTAGGCTTAGAAAGCAACCACAACAATACCCTCTTCCATCAGGGTTCGCTCGGGGATCTTGTTGCGAGTGGTCATCGCCATATGCGAAAATCTCTTCAGGTCGCCGGGGGTGATGTGGTGGGTAAGAGCCGCAACCTTTCCATCTTGAGTCTCGATGCTTGATGCTGAAATATTAGAAGAAGTGGTTGCGAGGGAAGAAGCCATGGTGACAGAACGATCCAGGCCTTCGGGGAAGTCGTGCACGTCATAAGAAGGAGGTGCCAACTCCCATTCCTCGAGCATGTCCATCTTGGTGTTGACTCTCAGACGACGACCATGACACATGATGATGTCGGTAGCACGCGGGGCATCGAAGAGCAGTGTGGGCATGCATCGCTTGATGTATCGCCACTGTGATGCGTTCGTCCGGGCGTGCGGAGGTGTCCATTTGCCACCAGGTCCCAAGTTATCGGGATTGGTCTCGTACTGGAAGGAAGATGTGACTGTAGAGACAGTGGATGAGGTTGTTTGGCGAAGATTGGCTGGGCGAGCAGATGGCTGTTGCTCCTGGCCAAGGTCTTCAGCGAGGAACGACAGATCAATGTCCTCAACCTCTTGGTCAATTGTGCCGGTAAGAGTCAAAGCGTTGGTGTCCTCCGCAGATTCGGTACGCGAAAGCTCTGCACCGTCCGAACCTCTTTCGATTGATCGTGCCAGAGAAGGGTACATCTCGCGCATGATCTGCTCCTGCTCCGCAATTACGTTCTGGTCATTGATATTTTCCGTCGCTTGAGTTCGTTGTCTGCGGCGGCGCCTGGGGATGGTGCATGGCTTGGGTGCCGAACGCTCATCAAGTGGCAACGAAATGTCGATGCTGGCAGATAGATCATGAATCCACCGGAAAATACGTTCTTCTGAGTGATCTGCCAAGAGGAACTGGTCGGTCTCAAGTCGCAGACGGAGTACAACCTGAGAGATAGGAGTGAAGAGTTCGGGATCCTTCTCATAAGCCTTGCGGCGGGCAGCAGAAGGAATGAAGTGAGCTAGGCGTGTAGCTGGTAGCAGCTGGTTGTACTGGATATCGGTGGCTAAACCGATCTCGGCGTGCTGAAGGGTGTATCGCTTGATCAGCCTTCCAGCAGTGGGCAAAGAATGACCAGCAAGTTGAACGGTCTTGATCTTGTGGACACTCAATTGAGTGCCGTTCAGCACCACGTAGACTGTACGAAAGTCTTGCTTTTGAAGATACTGGAAAGGCGAGATCTTTTCAATGCGCATCTGCATTGGACCCTCTCTCGATACAGAGCAAGTGTACTTTGGCAAAACCTCCTTTCCATTGTCAAAGAATCGAGGGGCGGGCGGGAACTTTGGAGTGCGAGTAGCCGACGCATATGACGGTGCAGGGTCATTGCATGGTGAGCATCGAGTCTGGAAAGGATGATGATAGCTGGTCACGCGACGGCTGCTGCGGGGGCGGACTGCTTGCTGTTCATCGTTCTGAACCGGGTTCGTATTTGAATCCCGTGTTAGTGGTCGAGAGACCTGTGCGGCGTCGAGAGGTGGAATAGCTGAGGCACGCCGTGTTGTCTGAGGAATTTGCGTGGTAGACATGGTGAGTGTGCGATGACGGAGACGCTCGGCCTTATCGATTGTTCAGATCGCCAGGCTTGCGTTCGGAAGAAGTAGGAAAACTGCCGGATCGACAATTGGTGTGTTGATGCAAAGATGGCCGAGAAACAGGACAGTGATGCTGGTATTGTAGCGCAGATGGGAGTAAAAGCAAGAGAAAAGGTGAAGAAGAACACAGCACCGGCGGACAGGAAGTGTTAAGGCGTCCTCCCACCCTTGCTGTCGTCGTCGATGGGACTGATTGACAAAACGGTGACCAAAGAATTGTGGAGAAGTCTAGGCCAAAGCCGGAAAGCTAACTTAGCGTCGTGTTCGCCAGTTTAGCCGAGGTTGGGGACGCTGGGGATGTGGAGCGTTTTGGGGATTGCAACACTGGAGAACTTGGAGTGAGCTGGAGACGAGCTGGAGAAATACCGCCGAACAGGCCGAGTAGGATAGAGAAGAATTGAAGAGAAACATCAAACATGTACTTGACAGCGGAAGATGAGAGATAAATGCAACGAGTTCAAGGTTCCCCGCTCGCCGCAAGGGGGGAGTCCATGGCAGAGCATGGGAGAGCATGTGCCCACATGCCAACACCCGGTTGTGTCCAGACGAAGCCACAGAACCACTAAAATGTCGAGCAATATGGTTGATGGCGCACCGCTCAGACCTGCGACAGATAAGTCAAACGCAGTCGAGGCACAGAGCCGGTGCACACGTTTCGAACTCAAGCATTCGACAGTAGATTTGCAAGCAGAAGATGGTCAGTCAAACACAACCTTTGCGTTGCAGCATGATGGCATGGATCAGCGCACGAGCATCATGTGTCCGAATCTGGTTTTTGGTCGTGGATGGTGGGCACGCTAACTTAAACAGCCACGGGGCTGAAAAAGGCACAATTGCACGCAACGTGAGGGCCCGCTGTTGGCAACAAGAGACGCGATGCAACGATTGCTCCGCGCGGACCTCTTTTCCTGCCCAGTGCCCAGACGGGGGTAAAGGCGGGGTGGGGTGCAGTATGCAATAATTATTTGCCAACAAAACACCAAGAGTGCAATCAGCCGGCAGTCCTGAGGTCCATGTCCAGAGCGACGGTTTCCTCTGTCAGAGCATCCATGTCGTCGATGGGCAGAGCTTCGTTAGCAGCATCAATGTCAGCAATCGTCGTCTCTAGCTGTGAAACCAAGCGCTCTATTTCTCGTCGCTGCTCCAAGACTGTGTCGACCAGGTCGGCGTTCTCGGACTGAGCAGTCTGCAGTCTTGACGACAGAGAAGCATGCTGGTCAGAAAGAAGCGGCGCAAGATGCGAAAGGTACAGCGACGAAGCTGGCAGGGTATGAGGTCTGAAAACGCGTAAGTATGTTGGCCGCGTGCGGTGGGTTTGGGTAGAGATGTACGGGAGTGGAGGTTGTATTGGCTGGCCATTTGTTGCTTGCTCGGCAGCAGTCTTTCTTCTTCTTGCATCGTCGACCAAGCGGTCCAGATCGTTCAGCGAGGCGACAACCTGGCGGTCGCGTAGGATCTGATCGAAGTTGAGCTTGCAGGTGCGGTGCAGCTTCTCGACAAAGTCGGTATGCAGGCGCTTCATGGCATCGGGAGCATGACTGGCCGGGGTCGGGAAGGACGACGCGAAGTTGGAGTAGCTGCACGTCCGCAGGGTATGTGATATGGCATCAGAATAGAGCTTTTGGAGAGCAGCGGCGCGTGGGCCTGGTGTCTGTTGGACAGGCGGTGCCTGGACGGGCGAGGGAGAGCGAGAGGTTGGAGCTGGAGCAGACATGGCTGACGACGAGACGACGAGACGAGGTTGGAGGCTTCTCGGTGGATTAATGACTCTTTGCTAGAGACGCGCGAGTGCTGATCGCTCAGTGTTAGTAGCAGAGTCGATCTAATGCATGCCTTTGTGCCGTGTTTGCAAGTCAAAACAAAGTCGACATGGCTGCCAAGCACAACTGTGCATTTCACATTCACGCATAAGCTATCGATAACAGTTGTGCAAATTGACATAGGCTATTATTTCGAGACCATCTTGAGTCCAACGAACATGCAATTGCCAGTCATGGCTTCCCTCTGGCGACCACTCCGGCTGCTGCCTCCGTTGCAGTCGACACTATCACAACCTCTAGGCCTGCGCGCCTGCACATCGCTTCAGTCGCGCCTGCTCCATTCGTCACCAATTCTCCATGTGCGCAAACCATCAAAGGCTGTAGTCAGACCTCTCGATGCTACTGCGACTACTCGCAAGAAGCAACACAGAGATGCTCTCAGGAAGCAGCAGTCTGTCGACAGGCACAATGACCTTGAATCACACGATGCGCCGAGACTCGCTCCATCCACTTCGCCAACAATTTCCACCTCTACCACCTCTACCGCCGCACATCAACCATCGACCCCTCCTCCAACGATACACCAGCCCATAGCCGTCGCATCTACGCAACACCACCCTGTCGCCAAGCAGCAAGTCGAAGCTGCTTCAACTCCTCTCCCTACTTCGCCTTTAAAACCCACTTTCGAATATGTACCAGGAGGCCGCGACGGTGTCCAACAGTCTCTCAGGGAGCTCGCCAGTGCCGAATCGCCCACTCTGATCTATGAAGCCACAAAAGCTCGTCAATACATTGCCTGGTGTCTATTCGCCAGTTTACTTCTCGGTTGCGTGGCCGCAATGCAGATTGGCTTCTTCACCACAGATCCTTCCAAGAGTGACTTGCGCATCGCCAGCGTCTTCCTCCTTACCGCCCTGATGTGGGCCATCCTCGCATCATGGGCGGCCTTTGGAGCAAACGATGTCATCAAAAAGATCTGGGCTATCCCTTCTAGCACAGGCAGGCCACTTTTGCGTCTGGAACCCGTCAAGATTGCCTTTGGCAAGCGACCTTTGCCTTTCGATGTTCCTCTTGGTCGTGTCTTCTCCGACAAGGGCTTTGAGCAGAGTATTGCCCATTTTGAGGCCACGAGGGATGTAAGGCGCAAGCCTGGTGTCCTTGATGCTCTGTTCGAACCCGTTGGCACAATCATGTCTGCCAACATGAAGATGATTCAGAGAAAGTCTTCGTTCGCTCAACTGCGTGTAGCAGATTCAGGTATCTGGAAGGTTGATCTCCGTGACTGCAAAGTCCCTGATGGTGGCAAGAGTACGTTTTTCCTGACGAGATCTTTGCAGCTCTTTTTCGCTAACACATACCTCTAGCCCTTGACCTCTTGATCCTTCCTAGTGAGAGAAAACGAGGCTGGTTTGCCTCGCTGTTCATCCAAGACGTTTAGACCTGTCTTTTTGGCTCTGGTTTGTCTTGCTATCATTAGCATCCATTCCCATCCACCAATATTTGTTTTATGCCTCATCATCTATTCACCTGAGCGCGAGCGCTACAGACATCGACCACAAAGCCTGATTCCGGCTCTGAGTGTTTAGACTGCTTCTAGCAGCGTCACTCATTCATCGATATTGGGCAGACTGCAGAGCCATACATCAGTGTTTATAAGCAGAGGTTAATTTTGTAAGACTACATATAGCATAAGATCACAATTGTGTGTAAGATTATGGAAGGAAGAATAGTGGTTTTGCATATATCAAGGCCAATTTGAGTTTGCACTGTCAATTATTTTGTTCTAGCTTCAGATCTATCTTCTGTCATCGTCGGCATACTTGTGGTTCCAGAAGCCTCTGAAGTGCTTCTGCGAGCCAGCCTCGTTGAGATCATTGACTTCCCTGGGCGTAAGCTTGAAGGTCATGGCTCTAAGGTAATCGCTCAATCTCTGCTCCTTGCTGCTGGTAGTGATGGGCACAATATCCTGATCAATGCAGTATCTCAAGCAAATCTCTCCAGGGCTAACGGCGTACTTCTTCGCCAGAGCCGCCAGGATGTTATCAACAGGACCGGGCGCAGCCTTTGTTGCAGGAGTCAAAGGGCCGTAGGCTTCAGTCGCGATGCCCTTCTCCTTGTGGTACTTAAGCAACTCGTGGTGTTGCAAGTAAGCGTTGAACTCGATCTGGTTGATGGCAGGAGGGATCTTTGCAGTCTGGATGATAGCATCCAAGTGGTGAGGCAAGAAGTTGGAGACACCGATACTGCGCGTCAAACCCGCCTCCTTGACCTCCTCCATCGCCTTCCACGCCTTCTGCAACGCCTCAGGTGACTCCTCCGGCGAACCAAAGAATGGCGCATGGATAAGATACAAATCCACGTACTCCAATTGCAGCTTCTTCAAACTGGTCTTGATGGCAGCAGGGATGTCTGCAATGTTTGGCAACACCTTTGTAGTAACAAACAGCTTGGACCTGTCGACACCGCTTTCTTTGATGGCCATGCCTAGTTCGGGCTCGGTCTTGTAGACTTCGGCGCCGTCGAGGTGGTAGTAGCCCAGACTGATGGCGAGCTTTGTTGCGTCGACGCAGGCTTGATCGAGCTGGCTTTCGTCGCCGGTTTTGTACCATGCGGTGCCGGTGCCGTAGCCCAGCATAGGGATTGAGTTGCCGTCATTGAGCTTGAGGTTGGGGATTGGAGTGTGGATGTTGGCCATTGTTGCTGCTGTTCTTGCTTGCGAGATCGGTGATGGAAGATGGGTTCGTGAGAGTGAGCGGAGAGTAGATGTCTTGGGTGCGAATTGACAGGTTCTTCGGTACAGCACAGTGCTCATAAGGTATTACGTGGCGCTGGGTTGTGTTGATGCAATCAGGGAAGCTGCCGGGGTCATTATTGCTAATAGCTCTGGCGGGGCACCATGACGCGTGTGGGGTCAAGCCGACTTGCCGCTTGTTATACCCCCACTCTTGACTGTTAATGACCAGACATTATACATTAACTTCGACTCATATTGAGCCACGGTAATCGTAGAAACAATGATATTAGAGGACAAGTAATGTATGATACTGTTGTAGCTCTGAAATCTGCTAGCATTAGGGTTGCTGGTTCTCTTAAGATATGCAAGAAGTAAGTAATAGCAAGAGTGAAGCGAATGTGAGTACTCGAACTCGGACTTGACTTCAATCTCGAATGTGCATATGTCCTTCGGGCCACTCAGATCTCATCCCGGAAGACGTAGCGGCCACCTCTCATGGCTTCTCGCCATCTCTCTTCCACCTTCTGCCGATCCCTTTTACTTGCTTCTTCCCAATCTTGTTCGAGTTCTTGTGTCGTGGGCATCTCAGTACGCCAGAAGCCAGGAGGTGTCTGTGGCCTTTGCCAGATTTCTCGATGTTTGCCATGTTGGTCCGCAAATGCCTTGGTTCTTGCTTCAACCAGCATGTTCTGTCTTTCCTGTGCTGTGGCTTTGTGGATCGTGGACGCATATGCTGAGCCCAAGTATCCTTGCAGTGTCAGCTCATTGTCGGTAAGTGAAGTGTCTTGTGGCAAGCCGCCTGCGGCAATGAAGCGTCGAATCGCGCCACAGCACTCTTCTCTTGTACAACCAGGTAAACACTTCTTCTCCTCGCGCTTGCGGACGCTTTCGCGATAAGCATACCCTAGTTGACCGCCAGCAGTGTTGGGATTTACTCTGAAGTCGTCAAGATTTAGGCGATGGAGTGGTCGGGCGCGCAATGGCTCATGTTCAGGTAAGATTGCCCCTGGGTCGTCTGTTCCGGTGGATCTCACGACAGCAGCGCGAGGAGATGGCTTATCTCGAACAGTCCTGGTGATGCGACTGACAGGCCTCTCTACAGACTTTGAGACTGTTTGACCCTCTAAATCTTTCGAAGAAGCATCGTTTAGCCAATCGCGTTGTCGTCGAGTCGCTGGCGCGGAACGTGGACTCAAAATTGTTCTATCAAGTTGAGGTGAAGTTCCTTCAAGAAGTCCGTTAAGCCTTCCAGTGCCTACAGCTTTTGGAGTAGAACCATCAATACGTGGTTTCTTAAATCCTCGTTCAGTGTTATCTCCATCTTCTGAAAGCACGTGCACAGCAGTAGCTCCCCTACTATGGTCAAGCTTCTTGCCGGAAGTTACAGGAGCAGCACTCGTCCGAGGTAGAGTTGGAGTGTTGGGACTCAAGTCATGCAATGGGCCAGATCGTGGACGCGACTCGTCAGGTCCAGCACTCTTGCCAACAGTTCTGACCAGCGTATTCTTTCTTCTTTTTGATGCACTACCAGAGCCAGGCTCTGTCTTGACAGTCTTGACCGTACCACCCGAAAGCTGAAGATCGTCTTCAAAAGCATCTGCATCATCATCGATGGCGATATCGGCATCTCCGTCACTGGAGGGGCGAGTCTCTGGTGCACGATTTGACGGAGTTTCAGGATGGCCAAATGAGCTTCGTGTGGACTCGAGATCCCGGTCTTCCGATTGCCTCAAAGGTGCTCGACTGAGAGGGTGTCTTTCAATATTCAGTTTGGGTTGTTGTAGAGGAGGCTGATCTCGGTAGACGTCTAGATCCGAAGTCTCTGTCCTGAAGAAAGTGGGGACTGGCGTGCGCGAGTTATGCGGACTGCTGCTCAGAAGCTCATTCTTGACCTTGTAAGCTTGCGAGTCTTTCTTTGGAGAGTTCCTTTTCCTCTTGAGGGCTTTCGCAGAGACAACGACGGGAGTATCGTCAGAGTGTGCAATAGAGCTAGAACGAGCTTCGCCTTCGGTGGTCTGACTTGAGGTAATTCTGCTGTGAGTTGGAGAATGCGATGACGCGGCGGAAGTGTTCCTAACAACATCCAGAGCCGGATTTGGTAGGGCAAGAGCATCTTCAATGTTTTCCAGATTGGATTGAACAGCACGAGGAGTGGCAAAGCCCTGGTTCTCAAATTCGCGATTGGCCTCTCGCAAGGCCTGTTTTGCCAGTTTCTTGTCGATATAGTCCTTCCATTTGCGAACAGTCTCTTTTGCTTCGCGTATCTTCTGGGCAGCTTTCAAGGCACGAGCCTCAGCAGCCTTTCTGTATTCGTGGTATGTTTTCTGGAGAGCTTCATGTTTCAGGAGTAGCTCGTTGTATTGAGCAAGGGTTACAAAGCCATCAGGTATGTTATTAGACGACTCTGCTTCCATGGGTACTGAGCTGAAATATTAGTATTCCAGAGGGATTAGGACATGCCGTTATAGAAAATAGCAGACGCGAAAGACAAAGGCAGACGCGTGCCTGACGAGGCCGAGGCACGCGGGGCGGGAGATCGGCCGAAAGCTAGCCCAAGGAGATTGCGGAGATATGATAAGACCCGATGCATACCCAAGTTCGCCGCCGTGAACGAACCTCGACTTATCCTTGACAGTGACAGGATGGTCAAGCGTAGGGCGTCGGACGCGCTCGAGGATGACGAGCGCAAAACCAAGAGACAACATGCAAATAATCCCGATCGATTGTCGAGGCTCAGTCACGAGTTGACGCTCAGGGTGCTTTCGTTCCTGCCCGTGCCCGACCTCATCATCTGCCAGAGCGTGTCGCGACATTTTCACCGACTTGCTGGCGACTCACAATTATGGAAGGCGCTCTACTACAACCGATTCGTCCGTCCGAGAGCATCCCGCATACCTGGAATCAATGAATCTGGTGTTCCTGCTGAAAGCTTGTGGTATTCGAGCAAGCTCTCCAAATGGCTAGACGAGGACAATCTGGTTAGCAGAGGGAAGGAAACAAACTGGAAGAGGCAATACAAAACACGTCACAATTGGACAAAAGGCACATGCGGCGTCAGCGAGGTTCCTGTCTCGCCAGAGCCATCGGTTCCACCCACACTACTGCAGATGCACGACGGCATTATCGTTATGGCCGACAATCTCCATGGCTTGCGCGCATGGTCATCTCAATCAGGCCGAGATATGCTAGCTACCATGAAATTCCCCCATAACACCAGCCCTCCTTCGGCTCTGGCTGTAGACTCTGCATCTTCATCTTCCTCGACCGTTGCCATTGCTGTCGGCTTCCAGGATGGCTCTTTCACCGTCTATCATCTTAATATCCTCGAGCGCCGCTTCATTCCTCGCTACTCCCACGAACCTTCTTCCAACGGCATGATCTCTGCCACTGCTTTGTCCTTCCCCTATCTTGCCACCATGACTGCCGGCCAACTTCTATCTTTCTACAAATTCATGCCCAACAAGGATGAGGCGTCGGAGGGCACAGCCTTGAAACCTCCACTTCTCTTGCAGTCATTACACTCACGTACCGTCTGGCCACCTCTTACTCTATCCATTCGACCACAGCCAGATAGCGTGCTTGTGTCAATCGCCTACTCACTACCTACATATCTCAGCGGCTGGACCGTTGGAATCCAGGAAATGCGCCTGACCTCAGCCGGAACTCTGATAGAATCACGCCTCACCTCAGCAATCGACCAAAACTATCGCCCTCTTACCTTCAATTCTTCCAATCCACCTGCAACGCCAGCTCCACAAACAATACCTCCATTTGGTCACTTCAACACCTCCGAAGCCAACCAGATACATTCTAAACCAACCTCCCTGTCCTACTCTCACCCTTATCTACTAGTTTCTCATCCCGACAACACATTAACTCTCTACCTCGTCTCCTCGACCACCGACTTGCTCAAAATCAGCCCAGGCAACAGACTATGGGGCCACACCTCTTCAGTATCAGGAGCTCATGTCGGCGGCCGCGGCAAAGCAGTCTCAGTCAGCACCCGCGGCGACGAGTTACGTGTCTGGGAACTTGAAGGCGGATTTGCTTCAGCATCTGCTCGACGCCGCTTAGCTGCCGGCGAATTGAGTGTACAACTACGACCTGAGAAATCATTATCTCCGCCGTGTGCCCAAGAATCAACCTCAAGCATCAAATCAGGCGGTATAGGCTTGAGTCTTGCACTCAAGGATAGAGATATCGATGAAACTAGCATGACACGAGGGTTTATTGGATTTGACGATGAAAAAGTGGTTGTGCTTAGGGAGCGGCATTGTGGTAATCAGGCTTTGGTGATTTATGACTTTACATAGAAAGGATAGAGGGGTCTTTTCTCATGATGATTTACGATGATTTGGAATGGATTTCTGTTTTCTCTGCCTCTATTCCGGTCCTATCGTTCTTGATCTCCGGCTGTGACATCTCTCTTTGTCCTGTCGCCATCCGACAGTATTCAAATAATGCAAGTCCCAAGTATCATTATTGCACCTTGAACAGAAGAACATCACAAACATCTCGAAACAGCAAAATCTCAAACTCTCATATTCTCTGGTATCATATCTCTAACGACTTCCCTTTCCTTCTCTACTTGACTCAAAAGTTCATCTTCAAAGCAATGGTCGGTTCCTTTTCTTCAACCTCCTCTCTAACTTCCTGTTTCGGCCCTTGTGAACCCTTGATAATCTTCTCCATCAACGATTTTTGCTCAACACTTAGTCTCATCACGACACCTCTAAATGCATTAGCGTCATTACTCGCCAACTCCAACAATCGTGCTGCTGTTTCTTTTTGCACAGTGTTGCTAGTTTCTTTCTCGGCGCGAGCGAGGAGAGTTGGGATGAGCAACGCGAAACCTGCGAGTTTCTTGTCGGAGGCGAAGGTGGAGATTGCTGTTGTGAGGGATTGTGCGATGATGGTGCGGCTTTGGTCGATGCCTTCGAGATCAGAGGGGGCGGTGAGGAAAGTCACTAGACGTGGTAGAAGACGTGACAAGATGGCTGGATGTGCAGCGCCACGAATGGGTACAACTAGTAGTGTTCGCACACAGCCAGCAGCCATCTTCGTCGTCATCGGGTTGTCGAGACATTCCGTTAACTCACTCACAAAGCGGAGAAGAGCAGGGTCGTTAGCCTCAAAAGCGGCATTGGCGGAGGTAATAAGCATGGTGCCTGCTAGTATGGTGTTCTTCTCACATGGTAGAGATGCTTCAAACTCGCGTTTCTGGGCATTTTTGAGGATCATCAGGAAGCGAGCAAGTGTGCTGCGGACCTGCTTCTTGGTATCTTCACCAGGGTCCGCACCAACGCCACTGATGAAACGGCGGAAGATGGGTAATGCTTGTGGTATCAAAGTTGCTTGACATGCACCTGTGCTCATGATTGTGACAAAGATCTGGAAGATGCATGCATGCAGATCGGCTTTGATGATGGAGGGGAAGACCTCGGAAGCATCGACCAGTGCATCCAAAGAGAGGCGTGCTAGTGTTACAGCTTCATCCGTGATGTCGGCACGTACAGGACGAGGACTTTCTGCCAGGCCGGGCACAATACTTGCCAATACCAGTACAATGATGCGAGTCAGCTCGAAAAGTTGGTCGATATCATCTGATAGATGGTCATCCGCACTCATGCCCTGTCTTGAGGAGGGATGACCAACACAAAGGTTTCTTGCGATCTCGACAATTACAGTCTGCACATTCGATGGCTCCGTAAGAACCATGCGATCAAGCAGATCCATCGTCTCATTGAAGATGACCTCTTGATAGATGGCATTTCCTGAAATTGATGGTCGAAGAATTCTCTTAAGTGCTTGCAGAATCTCAAGTTTTTGTGCTCTTGCAGTTGCTGAGTCTGCACCGGGCTTGCTGGCAAGGGCTTCGAACGCAAGACCAAACAGCACGAAGAAGAATGCCACAGGCTCTTCACGATAATTGATATCGGTCCCTCGGGACACGGTATTGCCGTTGTCAGTATCAGCTTGCGTCTTGCCGTCCAGTGCATCGAACACAAATTCGCTGTCTTCATCGATCAGGCTGGCAATGGCATCGACGAGACTCAACCACGAGTCCTGATAGAACTTGAGTAATGTCTCACGGTTCAATGCAGCGTAAACTGTCTCGAGATCGTCCGACAATGGCGTCGCGCTAGTATTGTTCGAGATGTCGGGTTCGAAGCGCAAGCGGGAGTACTCTCTGAGGGACGATAACCATAGAGGAGTCAATTTTGCAACATGAGGTTTTACCACATCGACCAGATATTTCTGCTCGGCCGTGGCGATCTGCAAGCCAGCCCATGCAGAAAAGACCGACATGCGTACCATGACCTGAGCATTTGGGCTAAGACCTTTGAGCTCGCCGATGGAAGACGTTTCGGTAGACCCTGCGAAAGTCTCAAGGGCTGCTACTAGAATTTTCAAGATACGCCCCATTCGGTCAATGTCGGTGACAATTCCAGTCGACACAAAGGTAGCGCAGACATTGATCGCTTCGGCGGCTAATTCAGGAGACGAATCGACAGCAAACGCAGGAGTCAATGCGGAACTGATCTGGGCTTGATATTGCTCGAGTAGCATGGCTTCGGTGAAATCGGGATCGGGCACACCGCCAAACAGTCTTAGAACTTGGTCGATGATGTGCAGACCAAGAATGCGAAGACCCACAACGTTGGCAGTGGAAGCAGAGAAAGCGACACGCACAACATCTGCCACTCTCTGTTGGAGCGAAGCTAAGGCAGGAATGTCTTCGTTGATGGCCGATTCCTTGACGACACTGTCCAAGAGGCTGTTAAGAAGGTTCATGCAAAATAGTCGTACCTGCCATCTCAAGAGCTCTTGGCTTGATGTCGGCGCAGAAGCGTCTTCGTCCTTCGTGCCTGCTCCAGCAGCAAAACCTGCGACTTCTTCATCTTGAAGGTCAGTCGCGGCTGCCTTTTTGGCTGCAGCCTCGTCTTGAGTAGCATTGTCGACACGGGCCTTGGCTTTGGTGAGAACTGTGTTGCATCTCTGTATCCAGCCCGCTGTGTCTGTCAACCCAGTCTGTGACAACCAATTGACGAAGATTTCCTTGATGGTCTCCTGGACTGGATTTTCATCGAGCATATCCCACAGCTTCTCTTCGAGTCCTGGATTTGCTGCACGTACGATGTCCTCAGCATCCCGGCGCATGAGATTGGCCAATCCCTTGATCGCCATATCGCGGATTTCAAGAGACTCAGAGTCGAGATCTGCTTGCAACCGTTTCACATACTTCTCAAATTCCATGTGACCTGGGGCATACATCGAGAGGTTGCCCAAACATCTGGTGCTCTCGACTAGGACTAGGACATCATTCTCGGTTTGGAATTGTCGGATAAGAGTCAAGACCATGCCGCGTGGCTTGGCCATCTCAGAAAGGTCTGGACCCATCACATTGATGATGGCATCCACACAACACACATTAGCAGCAGTCGTTTGCAGCTCTACTTCCAGGTTGGAAGAAGCCAGCGGTCCAGTTTCCGTATTGTGCGTATCCAGTACGTACAACTGGCCAAGAAGGCCAATCGTACTCGAAACATATCCGGAGAATGTCAAGCCGGCGGAATCAATGATCCTCTTGAGACTTTCTAGCGCCCAAAAGTGTACCAGTGGATGCGGATCGGCGCAAAGAGACATGAATATACCAAGTATGGTCTTGAGGTGGAAACTGGCCGCCATACCACCGAGCGAATTGTGTATGCAAGCGAGAGCAAGAGCACAGCCAGATCGAACGTGAGGTTCAGTGTTTGAGACGATGGTCTCGATCAGGTAGTTGATCTCGCGTGAAGTCAAGTCATTGCCGCCGACCTCGCAAAGGCGACCTAAAGCCTGGGCAGCAATATGACGAACGCTCTCATCAGGGTCGGCGATGAAATTCTGTCATGGTGTCAGCTACGAAATTGCGTCTAGAATGCTGAGCAACTTACGTGAAGCAGATTTTGCATGTTCTTCTCCGCGTTTGCGCTCTGTAATTTACCTTCCAACCCATTGACTTGTCCCGTTAATACCTTGCAGGTCACCAGTAGAGCCAGTGCAACGTTGGCACTGAGCGCTGTCTTCTGTACTACGCTCTTCTGTACAGCGGGTGATGTCAAGAAGGCGTTCACTTGTTCCAGTATGCTGTCTTGAATTCTAGGAGATTGTAAGGGGAAAGCCAATGCAAAAATACCGATTGCACTGTTGACCACTTCTGTGGCTGGTGGCTGTGGTTGATCGTACACTCGAGGTCCATCAGGTGTAACGTAGGAAGTTGTTGAATCGTGCTCCCACGCGCCGCCGATTGGCGAGAGAAGCTGCTAGGGGTCAGCGCGGCCCAGCACGTAAGTTACATATATCTTACCGTTCTATCTATTACTGCTTCATAACTGTGCCTTGAGGTCCAGTGTTCTTTCGATTCACCCTGTTTCTCGAAAGGCAAAGGGGAGTAGTCCAAGCCATTGATAAGGCCATTGACGCCGAATCCGCTGTTGTCACCCATTCCCCAAACATTATCAAGTGTACCAGCAGAACTAGCAATTGATACGCTCAGGGAGGAAGGCCCAAGACGTTCTGGATCAGCGAATGAAGACACAGCCAACGGCAAAACATTTGACTGGGTAGCGATTTCTGAGGCTGCGGCTGGACTAGCAGTCACAAGAGCGGTGTAACATTGGAAGACCCTACGCCTGACCATGAGATCAAAGTCTACTAATTGAAGAGCAGGAGACAAGCGTTGTGACATGTCCTCGGACGTCTTCTTTTCAGGCAAGATGGAGAGGAACGTGCCGGTATTTTGCAACATGCTCGCAAGTCGCCTCGATACATCAGAGGTCAGAAGCTTGATGTTGTAATGCAAAAATGCCTTGACAGACCCCAACGCGCACTCACGAACGTGAGCAAGGAAACTCAATTCAAGTTGACTCTGTCGCGACATGTTCTCCTTGTTCGGAGGTGCAAGTGCGTTCTTCCACAAAAGCAACAACTGCGAGAGATGAATTTTGACAAAATTGGGTCCCAGTGACATGAGACCACCGATCATGATCCAAGCGACCTGCACTTGGGTACTCGATACTCGCAAGTCAGAGTTACTACTGGATTTGAGCAGACCAGTGGCCTGTGAAAGCACGCGAGCGTAAACGTCCACGGATCCATAAAGTGGATGCTTGTACGAGGCACTCAAGACAGCGGCAAGACCGTTTGCATATCCGGCGCATCTCCTTGGACTCTGGCGGGGTCCAGTAAGCAGACCAATTTCCCGGTTGACACTGTTCATACAGATTGTCACTGTCGGAAGAAGTTGTTGAGGACAAGCCAGCACAAAGGACCTCATACACCTCGAAGCGTGAACCTGGACGGTATAGCTTGGATGCTGTAAAACTTGCAACAGTGATTCACGACAAGTTTCCGAGATGACGCTTATAGCAGCGTCGAGCTTGTCTATTAGTGATGCCAGGGCACTCAAAGCTGCCGTGAGCACTTGTTTACCAGGTTCCGGGCGCTCTTTGATAACTTGAGGATAGTCCTTGATGATATCGTTCATAAGGAATCGGGCAGCATTCAATTGAGATGTTTCTCCGAGCATGTTTCCGACCAGATGCTGTAGGATAATGCGGACAAACTTCCTGGTCATTAGATTGCGATAACGATGATACGTAAGACTCTGATGACTTAATAAGTCGGTAAACAGATGTTTTGCAATGACACCATATTGTCTCTCAACAACGCTCTCACCCAGGGCGGTGAATATCTGCTTGTAGCATATAGCAATAGCAGCACGGGTCCTATTTGAGGCCGCAGGTTTGCAATACTGAGCTGATAGTTGTCGCATGATGTCCAGCAGGCTGAAGGCTACAGATGTAATAGGCTTGGATGATACAGGAGTGGTAGGGCGTTCTATGTCTTCTTCACCATCCTCGGCGGCTCCTTGTTTCTTTGACTTTTTCGACTTCTTCGGAGGGAGAACATCTCGTACGGGAGTTTCTGAGAAGCTCTTGACAAGTACAGCAGCCATGCAAGTGGAAGCGGCGTGACGCACGGGTACCGAGGGGCTGTCCATGGCTTTCCATAAGACAGTTTGTAGCTTCTCGAAGTCGTTGGAGTTGTCATAGTAAGAGGTGCAAGTGGCCAACTGCTCGAGGCACCAACAAGCGTTTATCTGAACCAGCAGAGCCTTGTCGCTCGAAGCAGCACTACGGGCCGATTTCCAGATGTCCTTTGCAACAGATTCGTCGACCGAATTGCCAATGCCCTTAATGACGCGACCCAGAGCCTTGTATATGGCACTTCGTAAGCCCGCATGGCTCGATGCTAGCTTGAATGTGCGCAAAAGAGAGGTACAAGTCAAGGCAGAGAGACTAATGGCGCTGTCGCCAGCTGCCTCGAAGATTGCGCCCAGACAATGTACGGCAGCATGTTTAGCCTTTAGAGGCTTGTCTTTCCCAGCGTTCAGTATGGCAGCCAGGTCATTGATGGACTCGTACAGCAGCTTGCGATTTCCTTTGGCGAAGAGGGACGCGAAGGTGTTTGCGAGATTGTTACGAATGACACGTGTTGGAGCGGGGGAAGGAAGGTCGACAATCTGTAGAAGCTCTTTCTTGATCCAGACTTGGTTCGCGGAAGCGCCATCTCCGTCCAGAGAGTTTGCGTGACGAGAAAGGTCCGAGGTGAAGGTCAAGAGGTATAGGTCCTGTTGCTCGGAGGGGAGAGCGTGAAGCTTGGCTATGTCGAGCTGTAGGGTCGAGTCGGCCACCGGAGGCGGGGCGTTCTGATCTGTCGACATTTGCGATTGCGATTAGGGCGAGTTCATTGGGATTAAATCGACTTTTGTTGTGAATTATGTGAATGGGTTTCAGGAGTCGAGCACCTGTAACCCGCAGCTGGCGAGACCCCCGGTGATGGCCATCTCCACACTTTGACGGGCCGTGGTCGAGGCAGAGCTCATGAATTTGTGCTCTTTCCTCATCGCATTCCACTTCCTTCCTGTTTCGTTTGTCGCGTTTGATTTCTGTTTTATTTATCGTTATGCAGTCTTTCCCGACTCTCGCTGCACCTTGTCGCCACGCATATCGATGCCTTAGCCGTCGTGCCACCGCCTCCCGGAGCTTCCACCAAGCAGCCGCAAGCCAGTCCGGTCACAGTAGATGGTCAAAAATCAAGCACGATAAAGCCAAAGCCGACAGTTCCAAGAACAAGGCCCGGAGTGTTTTTGCACAAGAAATAGCCACGGCCTCGAAACTTTTTGGCGGCGACCCAAACTTCAACCCCAGACTGGCAGATCTGATTGTCAAGGCCAACAGGAGCGGCTTCGCAAAAGCTTCCATCGAGGCTGCTATAGCTCGTGGCCAAGGACGATCCGTCAATGGTGCCGCTCTGGAAACTGTCACCCTTGAGGCCATGCTGCCCAACAACGTCGGTGTGGTCATCGACTGCGAGACCGACAGCAGACTACGAACGCTGGCCGATCTTCGAGTCATCATCAAGCAACATGGTGGAAATGCGACGCCCACAGGCTATCTCTTCACCAAGAAGGGCAGGATAATATTCGCCAACAAGGATGGTGTAGGTGTGGACGAAGTCTTCGAGCCTGCTCTGGAAGCAGGTGCCCTGGATGTAGAAGAAGATGGCGAGGGTCGAGTGGTTGTATACACCGAGCCGAGTGACACAAAGGCGACCGGAGAGACTTTGTCGGCAGCGCTGAGTCTAGACATCGCCAGCTCAGAGATCATCTCGGATGCCAACGAGGATACCAAGGTGGCTCTGAGCAATGCCGAAGCGACGCAGGAGCTGATCAAGTTCGCCGACGCCATCCAGGATAAAGAGAACGGAGTGCAAGGCATCTACATGAACGTAGCCCAAGGTACGCTAGAAGAGGGAGCGTGGGCCGAGTTGCAGAGCAGAATCACGGCTTGATTGTAATGTACATATAACCAGCAATATACCCCAATGTCGATATCTCCCCTCAGTCTTGCGCCAAACTCCACCATGCCTTTCCCATAATGTACAGAGTGATATTTTGATCGTGATGCGAAGCGGCTACTTGAGCCATGAGAACCAGCCCTTGGATTGTGAAGGATTCGTGGGTTGCTCAGGCTGCTGTGGTTGCTGGAAGGAGGCAGAGTCGGTGTTCTTTAGACTCTCAAGGATGGGGCTGGGCTGCGAATCGATGTGCTGTTCGACAGGAGCATGGTCGCCCTCGAGTTCGAGTCTTCTTTGGCGAGCGGCCAAGCGGCGAGCGCGTAGTCTGGCCAGTTCCGACTGGATCTCGTCCTTCTCGAAGGGAATGTGATGGGTCTCGTTCTCCTTGGGCCAGAAGTCTGGGACGGAAAAGCGCTCGTCGAGGTTTGTGCCAAAGTAGTACATCCAGCCGATGGGGAACATGATGTACATGCCGAACTGGTGGCGCATTAGTGTTTGATGTGGTGAATGGGTCGCATGAAAGGCACCTTGAAGACTTCGAGATTGGGACCTCCCATGATTGCGGTGTTGGGAAAGTAAGTGTTTGTCGGCGGATTGATCGACTCTTGTTCTTGAATGAATCGAAGGCGGGCAGAGCATCAGCAGACACCGAGACGCCGATTGAAGATTGTCATGGATCTAGACTTTGTCACATGCAAAATGCCTGAGAAAATTGCGGCGTGAATGCGACACCTCCGAGATGCATTTCACTGCTAGAGCTATGTAAATTCAATCCAGTTCAACTCGAAACACAGTGGCTTCATTCTTTCATCAGCCGTCCCTCTGCGCTCGCGCAACCCATCACCTGCGCGCCCCGTTCTCGCTTCCATTCCCAATCACCGACTTCCACCATTCATTCCATGCCGCGACTATGCAGACCGACAAGGTTGCGAGTCAAATGAACGATTTATCAGTCCAAGAACAGCCCAAGAAGCGGAAACCTCGCTGGTCCAAAACAAAGAAAAGAGAACAAGCCGCCATCAAGTCGTCGCTACAACAAGATCAACACGCTGCCTTTCCACCTCCTCTCGACCTATCTACCGAGCAACCTCGACCGCCCGACCAAGATCCCAATCTCGTCCGCTATCTTCCCCTCGACACTTCTTTTCCTGAGGCTTCCTATCGTTCTTCAGGCTTTCGCGCCATCAATTCCTCCGCCCAGGACTATCCTCCACCAGTCGCTCCTCCAACTTTCACTCCTATAAACCGCCATCCCTCGTCATTCTTCGTGCCATCCTACGCAGCCCACCTTCCACCACCTCCTCCTTTTTGGACACCTCAAACTCAACATTCATATGCCCAACCGCTTGCTTTCCACTCACAGCCACATTTCCAGCCAGAAGTCTCGCATGGTTCCACTCACGCGCCTGTCAACACAACTAGCCGTCAGTCACACACATGGCAGGGCAATGATACTTTCTCCAACTCAGACCTCTCTCGACGGTTGCCACATGACAATCAAGATCCTGAAGTCCGCACTCCCAGACCGTCCGACAAGCGCGCTCGTGCAATTGGCAAACTACTCCGCCCAACTCCCTCACTTCCGTATCTTATGAACTCTCTCGTCACATCTCCCAAGCTTGACCGCCCAAAGTCGTTGCTTGTCGTTCTCGATCTGAATGGTGTTCTGGCATTTCGCAAGAAGAAGAGCAGAGGTTACAAGCCTAGACCCAACCTCGACACTTTTCTCGATTATCTATTTTCCAACCACTATGTCATGATCTGGTCGAGCGGCATGCCCGAGAATGTCGAACGTATCATGGGACACATGCTCTCCTACGAACGACAACAAAAGCTCGTAGCAATTTGGTCACGCGACAAGCTTCGCCTACCTGCCCATCTGTTTTCTGAAAAAGTCCAGGTTTACAAGCAACTAAGCTGGATTTGGGAGGATCCAACTCTACAGATGAATGCACCGCTGGGAGGCTGGAGCCAGCGAGATACAGTATTGGTTGACGACTCGATTGACAAAGCAGCTGCTGAACCTCACAACTTGATCGAGGTGGACGAGTTTACCAACAGTGCTGCTCAACACGAGAATACAACTCTACTGGATGTCATCTCATATCTGGAGACTATTCGCTGGTACGATAACGTCAGTGCCGAGATACGTGCTGCTCCATTTCTTGCACCTAAGGCTTGAATGCACATGCTGACCAGTCTGTTTTTTTTTGAAAAATATTGTAATGATGAAATGACCCTCAAAGATACCCCTATACTGCTTGCTTTTCTTTTCCAATTTACATATAAACCAAGCACATTGCTCTGGTCTTCATAACATATGTGCAATCGGCGTCCAAAACTTTCACTGTCGTTCTGAGAACATGCTAAATCCGTGGTTCGCCTTCGAAGGCATCACAAAGTCAAACGGATCTGTTCCGAGGGATGTCGTTAAAGATTTGACAAACATCCTGACCCTCCAGATAGTCCTCGATCTAGTGATAGGAGTTATACATTGCTTTTCAGCCCTTTAGTATTACCATTATTCATGGAAGGTGAAGATGCGCATACAGTGGGGTCTCAGAAGTTTCGCAAAGCCGGCCACTTGGCGGCTTTCCGCGCGCCCACCCCCTTTCGTTTGATTGAATGCGCGCGATCGAAGAACAATAGAATTGCCATACAAATTAGACCAGATTGATCGCAGAAACCAGCTGAATTCGTGGCCGGTCGGGTTTCGCGAAAAATCTTCAATATCGCGTGTACCAACCCCTTGCTTTGTAAACGGCTTCGAGCCGCTCCGGCATCGATGCCACGCAGTTATATGCTATTTTATCACGAATTGTACTCCATGCATGTACCAATGCATCTTCCATACGCTTAGCGATGGCCTCCTCTCCACCTTTCCATAATTCAATGTCTGGATAGAGCTGGTAGAGAGCTTCTTTAAGCAATGGCCATAGGTGCTCAATTGGATTCAAATCCGGACTGTATGGCGGCCAGTATTTGAGTATATGTATGCCATGCTTTTTGAACCAGCTTTCAGCAAGTTTAGAGGTATGAATTCGAGCACCATCCTGCTGGAATATGCTATTTGCTTGTAAAATAGGCAATAGACCGTCTTCTAGTACTTTGATGTAGCTAGAAGAGGTATACCCTTGTTTTTTAGCCCTTAGATCACGCCTCAAGATTAGTAGTTCGCTTAAACCAGCTGTTGAAATAGCTGCCCATACCATAACACGTATTTCCTTGCTCTTATTATAGTTTGTAACTTTATCGCGATCGAATTATTGTCCTACAGAGCGAAAGACATATCGGCGCATATGAGAAGCTCCACGCTCCATAGAACACTCATTAGAAAACAGGACTCTCATCCATTAAGATAGAGGCTAATTTCGAAGCCGCTTTGCAAAGTGGTAGCGCTTGTAAGCAGTTTGCTTAGTTAGTAGTGGTCGCTTCTTCGTAAGCCATTTTTTGATTCCAAATGGCTTAAGCATTCGCCGTATAGTCGATCGGCTCCACTTAAAGCCATACCACTTCTTGAGCTTGTTATACGACTAGAAAGGGTGTCGTTTGATAGCCAATTCGACACGGCGTTGATCGCAAGGGGTATATGTACGTGGACGGCCAGATCGAGGTAATTCAGTGCCTTGGTTGTGGCTTAAGGCGCCATGGATCGTACAGGAGATGGTTAACGGAGCGCGATGGAACTGATCGGCGATCGACTCGAGCGTACGGCCGTCTTCATACGCCTGTACAATACGTCCGCGATCGTATGGGGTAAGATTCGGCCCTCGTGCGCGAGATCCAGCTGGTCGCGAGCGATCAATGGTTGGCGCCATGTTGTTGTGTTGATGCGAAGAAGAAGGGTGAGATTCGACGACGTGTAGCGCGTTGAGTGGTTTGCGAAACTTCTGAGACCCCACTGTATATAAATCATGGTACAGGGTCACTCCAGCAACATTTGCCCGCGGATGTGCTAAACCGCTCTATTGCTGCTCCCTGTGCCTCAAACTTTCCTTCCCCACGAACGCCTTGTGACAACCAGGCCATCACGGTTCTAACATTTGCAACATGCTGCAAAATCTGTTATTGTATATTGACCAGCTCTGCGAAGTCGGAGTTTTCCAACCGTTTCACTATCAATATGGATGAGTCTCAAGTAAACCAGGTATCTAGCGGTGCGGCTCAAAATGACGACCGTAACACCCACTCGGGAAGCCACGACGAGCAACACCAGCAATCAAATCCGATGTTCGGAGGTGCGGATACAGATCAAAGCATACTGTATCAAGATCCTACCCTGGATGACTTTTCTAATGCTCCTTTCGACTATTCGAGTCTGAGCAGCCTTTACATACCCAGCTCCGAACTCAGCACGGACTTTGTATCTGCAATACCTTCCATGGATAGCTTCGAGCCATCATACGATATTCTTGGTACCGCCGAGGGTAAGGGCCTAGAGATACCTCATGGTTGGAGCAACGAGTACATGGATGCTGCGCCATTAGCCTCATCTTTAGCGAACAGGGAGATCCGAAAGTCTGGCAAATCTTGGAGTCAGCTCCTTGCCGACCAGCGCAAAATGTCACACAGTAGCGGTCTGCCACGCCGTCGAAGTCGTTATCGTTTGAATCGTATGGACAGCAGCAGCTCGACCCCGAGCATACCTATACCAGAATCGTCTTCCACCGAACGATATGACCCATTGCAGAGATATCAAAACTCACCGCCTGAGGATGACTATGTGTCTATGGCGGCTGTAGAGCAAGCGCTGCAAAGCAGTGAATTTGACATACTGGACCCTAACCACGTCAGTCAGTCTGCAGATGCTTTTCCTGGCAGAGGACGTCGAAGTCGACCTGGCTCTATCGCAAGTGTGGAAAGCGCAGCAAGCACGCCTTCAGTTCGATCTTCAAATTCAGCAGCATCCAGCATCTCTGCAAGATCGCGTTCTGCACGAAGGCGACCACAAAGAACTCGCAAGCCTAAGACACAATCAGACAAAGCGCACATCTTCAAGTGCACTTTCTGCTGTGATACATTCTACAAGAGATACGACTGGTCGAGGCATGAAAGATCGCTGCACCTAAACCTAGAGGTCTGGCTATGTTGTCCTCAAGGAGGTTCGGTGTTCTCTGAGGCTACTGGCAGGAACCACTGTGCCTACTGTCAAGTGCTGGATCCTACGTTAGAGCATCTCGACAGTCACGACCACAGCAATTGCGTGAGGAGCTCGCGACGACAATTCAACCGCAAAGATCATCTGGTTCAGCATCTAAGACTGTTCCATCGATTACAAACGATGCCACTGATCGATGACTGGAAGACCCAAGGTCCGAACATTACGTCTCGTTGTGGATTTTGTGATCGCCGGATGACAAACTGGGACGAGAGAATCGAGCACTTGTCCGGTCACTTCCGTGCTGGACGTACAATGAAAGACTGGAAAGGTGACCACGAATTTGAGCCCGAGATCGCCGCAAGGGTCACAAATGCGATACCGCCCTATTTGATTGGCGACGAAACCGAGACTCTGGTACCGTTCTCCTCGACTAGTCATGTCGTGAGAGATCATGTCGCTCAAATCTCTTCACGACTAACAGCAATGCCATCTGAACCTTCTGAGCCAACGTCTCCTCTTCCACTAACCCCTGAGATGGAAGCTCCGCCAGCGCAAACCAATAATCTGACCCTTAACGAGATGGTCATATTCCATCTTGGTCGATATGGACGTCAGCAGTTGAGCTTAGGAATCACACCCACAGACGAAATGTTCCAGAATGAAGCTCGAAGATTACTTTATGATTCGGATGATCCTTGGAACCAGTCTCTTGTAGACAATCCTGAGTAAGTTTCTCTGGTGTATGTCGAAACTAGGATAGTTACTGATGTTGTGTAGATGGCTGGCAGCTTTCCGGTTATTACATGGGTGGACAAATACAGGAGCCTAACAGATAGAGCAGAGTGCTGGATTAAGAGGCATTTCTTCTAGAGCAAATAGGGCCATGAGGGCCATACCATAATTTCTATGTATGCAAGCATGAATGTATACCTTGAAATGGTATCTGATCGGCGCTGCCAAGGAATCCGTAGCTTCTTTATTTGCACCTTACCCTCCTATGTTTCGAACTTTGTCAGCGTCAACACCTGCGTGTTGGTGGTTGCATACGACGCATATCTTCGATATCCGTTCGACCCGATCTAGTCGGGTCCTATAGGAGGCGAAACGCCGCAAAGGGGTCGTTGACAGCGACGTTTGACCTATTGCCGAAGATCACATACACTCAACGGCCTCCACCTCGCCCTCCATAACAATCCCCACAAGCCGCTGTTTGTCTGTTAAACGGCCACGGCACATTTTATTGGAATGACGAGATAATGCTGTGCAAGACATGGCGCCCGGATCTTGTGTCTTGCTCAAACGTCGTGACCCGGCAATCAGACAGCAGATCTACAAAACGCTCCAGATATTGGGAAGGGTCATTCTGATGTGGCTCAGTACCCTGAAGAAAATATGCACGAAGAAAACAACCCATGTCGACCGCGTGGAGACCCCTGGGCCCTTGCAGCCTGCATTAGACGCCCTCGAGCCGTGTTTCAGATTTTGTGAAGTCACACTGTACCCAAAAGGCATTCTTGTTCACGAAGAGATGGTCTGGCCTCTTTAAAGGTAAAGACGATCCACAACGGTGATGGCGACTGTTTATTCTTTCTATGTCACCTTCTTTCATTCGTTTGTTCTAGCTTCATCAGAACACTAGATTTATACGCTCGTTACAACCCATCACACTCGCTTCTTCATCACAACCAACTCCTGTTTATCTTCATCATGTTGTTCGGCCTTCTTTCATCATCTCTGCTGCTGGCAGCTACCACCTCTGCGCTTCCTGCTGAGGTAGAACCTCGCGCAACAAACCAATACCTGACCAACTCTCATACGGCTATCACTGAACTTCAGACCTTCTACAACTCTCCTCGCCCTGGCTTCTGGAGCGCTGGCTGGTGGAACACTGCCAATTGCCTCACTCTGCTTGCCGACCTGCGCGCAAAGGACAGTTCATCTTTCCTGACATCCATCACTGACGGCGCCAACGGTGTTTTCACACACACCTTGAACAGCCAGGGTAAAGACTCAACCGGAGCCCTCAACTGGGACGACTTCTTCGATGATCAGTTGTGGTGGGTCATTGCACTGATCAAGACCTACGATGTCACCAAGAACACAAGCTTTCTCAAGACTGCAAATGTCACCTTTGCCTCTGTCAACTTGAACAACAAGCCCTCCAACAACCCTTGCGGAGGCCTTGCCAATGCTTACCCTTCTGAGAAGTATTTGGTCAAGAGCAGCACTATCGCTACTGTTCTCTACGTGGAGGCTGCAGCTTTGCTGGCTGTCCGCTACCCAGCTCAGAGCAACTACTTCATCAACCTGGCCAAAACTCAGTGGAGCTGGCTGTCCAAGAACATCCTCATCAACGGTATCATGCAAGGAGATTCCTTGACCGGCAGTCCTCCTTCATGCGGCAACAACCACGCCTTCTTGACTTACATCGAAGGCGTGGCCTTGCAAGCTCTAGTTGCCCTCTATCACGCCACCAACGATGCATCCTACCTCACCACCGCCGATACTCTAGCCACCGAGCTTCTGTCGGGCAAATACGGCATGATGGACTCGAACAAAATCGCTCAAGAGTTCTGCGACGCAGACTTGTCTTGCAACCCCGACGAAGCACAGTTCAAGGGTATTATGATGAGAGGTCTGCGTACTCTGCGCGATGCAAAGCCTTCTGCTGCAGGAGGTCAGATCCAGAGCTTCTTGACTAAGAACGCGGATAGTATTTGGAACAACAGCAGACAGAGTGGTACTAACTTGCTTGGAGAGAAGTGGGCTGGTCCTTTTGCGCTGGGAAGTGGTCAGGCTTTGCAGTTGAGCAGTCATAGTTCGGCTACTATGGCTTTGGTGCAGGCTGCTTTGGCTAGCATGTAAGAAGCTTGCGGGGGTGGACTTGGACTCGACTGAGGGAGGGGATGAAAGCATAGCATGAATTATTTCCTCTTCCTTTTTACACTTGGTCGGCTGGCTCGACGGACAAGAGCGATTCATTAGCATAGATAGATTAGAATGAAGACTTCTGCTTTCAGTCACACAGTTGTCCTCTTTGACTACTCTTGACTTTGTCCTTCTGGCCTTTCCTGGCTGCCACGATTGAGGCCACAAGAGATGCAGTCAAGGTTCTGTTCCATGTCTACAGATAACTCTTCGTCTTTGCCATATGCACACCATGCGCCCAATGGAAAAGCTTCGCACTAACCATGTACCCCTCCATCTTGCTGTACTCGACCAACCTCTCATACAACTCTTTGATCGGCACAACAACCCTCTCAATATGTTCTCCCTCATCCAACTGCTGCTCCGGTTCTTTATCTCCTTCTTTGAGCTGCACCTCCATCATCGCCAACTGCATATTCGCGCTCGTCATCCCTGGATCTGCAGCAACAATCGGAGACACAGAAGTTACTTTTCCTTCATACCCTGTTTCTTCTCTTAGTTCTCTGACTGCAGCGTCTTCGACGCTTTCATCCGCATCTACCAGCCCTGCAGGCCATTCCACGGAGATCGCATCGATGGGAGGCCGATATTGCAGTACTAGAATCGTGGTTGCGGGTTTGGTAGGGTGCAGGATTATGTTTCCCATAGCCACGGCGTCGACGCCGGCTTTACCGCGTGTTTTGCGAGATGCAACCTCCCAGGTGCGGGAGGTGTTGCTTTGGTCTGTCCAGTTGATTTTGCGCAGGGCAACCCATTTTGTGTCCGAAGTTGATACGTCTTCGATGCTGTGGATGGTGCCTTTTTGGGCTTTCATGGCTGTGGATGAATTGGAAAAGGAGCGGTGGAAGAGGCTAGGGTTGAGCGTGCGAGTGGGAAAGGCAGCAGTGGTTGTGCGAGTTGAGCGGAGTGCTAGTGACTTCAGCATTGATCCTTGATGTGCAAATTTTGATGGTCTAGTCGAAAGATGTACGTACGTCTGTCTATCAAGGTGATGGCTGTGGACAGTGTTTACTGAACGGCGCAGTGGGGAAGAGTGATGATGTCTTTGTTTTCTCACACGTCATTCACATGCGTGGCTTCCCCAAGCTTCTGAGGCTTGTCTCAGTTCAACATGGATTCTGTTTCTATGCAAAAAAAGCACCAAATAAATAGTATTAAACATGACTATAATCTGTTCATGCCGTGTCATATGATTTGTACCGCAAACCCCCAGCCCTTCCCAATATTTTTGTATCCCAACACGCCAAATCCTTATACATGAGTTCCCTTGAGCAGCTCCTGCAGCTCAGCTGCCTTGACCAACTTGCAACTTGTGCCTTCACAAATTTGAACCATATCTTTATCTGTTTGGATTGATCCAAGAAGCTCATTCCTCTGTCTGAGCCAGTCGCTCTTACTGTCACCACCAATTCTGACCACCGTTGAACCGGGACGAACCATTTGACGAAGCTGTTCCAGTGCACCCTGCACTTCTGAGCTAGACTCGGCTCCTGATATCACAATAGGCTTGATGTCAAGGTTAGAGTTGACCACTGTTGACATCAGACCAGTGAAGAGACCAGGATGCTGAACCATCTCGACCTCGAAGGCCTTGGCTGTGCGTTTGGCAAGATCGGCATATTTTGAGTCATCAAGCAATGACGAGAGTCTGGTCAAATTCGCCGCGCTCACACCGTTGGCGCTAGGCTCTGCATTGTCCATGGCATCCTTGCTGCGAATCAAGATATCGGGAGCGTGGGCTGGTGTGCCAAAGAAGCCGCCCTTGGTCTCGCTTTCGTTGTCAGCGAAATGCTTGATTTGTGATTGTTGTAATTCGTCGGCCCACTGCAGGTAGGAATCATCAAAGGTTGCTTCGTAAAGATCGATGAGACCGCTGATGAGGAAGGCATAATCGTCAGCGAATCCTGCGGTGGCACCAGGTCCTTCGCGGTACACTCGTCGCAGAGTTTTGCTTTCCGAATCATAAAGCTCCTTTCTGATGAAATGAGATGCTGATATGGCAGCCTCAAGATATCTCGTTGACGCTTCAGAATCAGATTGCTTCAGAGCAGAAGCTGTGCGAGCGAGACCGCCAATGGCTAGACCGTTCCAGGAAACGACAATTTTGTCGTCGAGTAGAGGACGAGGACGGTGTTGGTCGCGCCAGTCCGAAAGTCTTTGGCGACCAGTCTGGACAGCCTTTGCCGCGTCTTGTTCCGACACGCCAAACTGCTGAGCAAGTTCCGAGAGAGAAGAGGTCACACAGAGCGTGTTGAGTCCCTTGAGTTCACCCTGGATATCATGTTTTGAGCTGACGTTGCCATTGGGCTTCACATTCCAGTATTTGGCGAGCATGTCGGCCATTTTATCATCGCCCAGAGCCTTGTAAAACTCTGAATGAGACCAGACATAGAAAGCACCCTCCTTGTGTTCCTTCTCAGAAGCACTCGGTGCGCTGTCAGCATCTTCCGAGGCGTGGAAGCCACCAGTGGGGGAGTGTATGGGTGGTGAAGTGAGGTAGGTAGCGATGTCGTGAACGGTATCGAGGAAGAGTGGGTTCTTGGTTATCAGCCAGGCATCGAGGTAAACAGGCAGCAGTTGAGCGTTGTCGTAAAGCCTGCAGACGTGTTAGCAGCGTTCAAAAGAAGAATCGGAGAACATGCATCTTCTCGAAGTGAGGCAGGCTCCAATCTTTGGTGACGGAATATCTGGCAAATCCATGGCCAACCTGATCTTTCATACCACCTTTGGCCATGTTCTCGAGCGTCTTGGAGACCATATTTTGAGCGTTCTGCACCGCATCGTCGCCTATAACATCCTTGACAATTCCGTCCCACTCACCCAGTCTTAACAAGAAGGAGAGGTGTGAAGGTGTAGGGAACTTTGGAGCACCGCCAAATCCACCATACTGCTCGTCGTATCTGGAATTGTAATGATCATAAGCCTCTTCCAACAATTCCAACTCAAGAACATCATCGCTCTCCTCAGCACCCTCGCCTGACCTCCTTCCGGACAGTGTACCTTCCTGAGCAAATTGCTTGAGCTGGTCGGTGATGTTGGCGGCGCTTTCTCTGCATCGGGATTCCTGCTCTTTCCAGGCGCTGGCAACTTTCGTTAAGATAGCCTCGAAGCTACCACCATGGCGAGCGCGTTCGCTCTTCGGACCGGGCCAATAGGTTCCGCCAAACAATGGTTGGAGATCTGGAGTGACGAAAACGTTGAGCGGCCAGCCTCCACCACCAGTCGTGGCCTGCAAGAAATCCATGTAGACCTTGTCGACATCGGGACGTTCCTCGCGATCGATCTTGACAGGAATGAAGTGTTCGTTGAGCAGCTGGGCGATGCGATCGTTCATGAAACTCTCGTGAGCCATGACATGACACCAATGGCAGGCAGAGTAGCCGATGGAAACGAAGAGCAGGCGGTTGGTGCGCTTGGACAGCTCGAGGGTCTCGGGGGTCCAGAGCTGCCATGCTGTAGGGTTGTTGGCATGCGATCGGACATAGGGCGACTTGCTGTCATTGCAGCGGTTGCTGAGCGACACATAGCCGCCTTTAGACGAAGCAGTGCTCATGGCTCGAACAGTTGAGAGGCGAGTGGCAGGACGATGGCGGGACGAAGAGGCGATGGATGAGAAAGCGATTAGTCCGAGACGCGATGGTAATGGCATGCGCTTTTGATGTTATCGTTATCGACCGTCCAGAGCAGGTAGTTGCTTGTAGGTCGTTGCGCGGTAATCTCAATTCATGAGCCTCGCCGTACCCCACCAACTCCACCCTCCAACGCTCCATCCTTCACTTGCGTCATTTAGCATCCGCCTGCCACCCTCATCTTTAGCCTATACCACCCGTCATTTGCCATGTCAGAATAGGTCTCCGCATCTTGCCAACGAGTCCGAGCATGCTGTATCTGTCGTCGTCAGGTGTGAATATTTGCCATTCTCATCCAAGAACAAATGGGTCATGCTGCTTTCATAATTGATTTCAGCATGATCCTTTCTTTGGCTGGCGGAGAGTGTAGAAGCTGGTGGGAGCAGTAATGGCAATAATTTGAGCTGATGATCATGCTCAATTCGTCCAAGAGGATAAACATCGACAAGGTCCTAGGAACTGGGAACCAGCTCCCAAAACTCGTACTCGGATCTGCCCGACATCTGTACCACCTGATCGGCGCCTCTGAGGTTATCGAGAAATCCTATGCTGACCTCGGCGGAATGGCTGCAATACAAAGCATGCTCCATAAGACTTTCGGCAAGTATCTGATCTATGCATTGCACTGAGTTTCAAGTCACTTGGGAATGTTAAGTCACTTGGAAATGTAGAGGAAGAAATCAGAGAGTAAAAGTCATTGCTCGTTTCATCGGCGATTTTCGTTTCGAAGAGCGAGAGCTACAGAAGGTGACCACAAGCCATCCATCCATCACTGGGGAAAATATTGACACTGAAAACGAGTAGTAGTAGAAAGAGGTCGTAAACAGAACGCCGACTGTGCCAGCGTTCATGTTCTCGCTTCTTTTTTTCGAGGGGCAAATGAAGATTCCAGTCTCACTGCCCACAAACTCCTCCACATGCAATCAACAAAGAAAAGAAGAGAAAGAAGAGAAGATAATCAAAAGGCCGAATGCCGCTGCCATCAAGACAACTCACGCAAGCCCAGCACTGTAGAAGAGAAAGTTTTGCCATCAATGTCGTCAGGCAATTCTTAGAGCCGCGCCTCCTGGACCGCTCCTTACAGGTCGTAGGACCAGTTCTGAGTGGGGTGGTTGAGCGAGTTACCAACATTGTCGGCGTATTCACCAGCGTAGTTACCTTGAAACCATGTTAGTATGTACTTGTAAGATACGATGGACGGAGAAAACTTACCAGGAGAACCATAGTTGCAGACGGTGAAGTAAGGTGCGACGTATTGACCGACGTTGGCAAGACCACCAGAGCAGTACTGAGTGGCACAGCCGACCTTGGTAGTACCCTTCCAGACGAGCTGAGAGAAGTGGCCCCACTTCTCGAAGTTGGTCATGTCGGGGTTGGCCTGGCCGTAAAGGTTGTTGTAGTAGTTAACCTCGCCGTTGTAGAAGAGCTCAGTGATGACAGCCGAGACGTTGTTAGCTTCAACACCAGCGGCGATGTTCTGGCCGTAACCACCACCATTGACGTTCATGCTGTGGGCGTAGACGCAAGTGGCGGCGATCTGCTGGGCGGTGGCAGCAAGCTGCGAATCCCACTCGAGGTTGCATGCCGAGTGGTTGGCACGGTGGACGTTGTGGTGGGCGAGGACGATCTCCTGGTAGGTAGTAGCCTTGCCAGAGGGAGCGGCGACGGTGCTGCTAGCCTGTGTAGATAGTTTAGCATTGCTGGTCAACGTAGATGATGAAGATTTTTTGGATGACGATGACGATTTGGAAGAACTCTTGGGCTGGGAGGATGAGGACTTGGAAGCAGAGGTGAAGCGAGATGAGGTAGGTGCTGTGGAGGATGTTTTCAAGGATGATGTGGGCTTGAGAGAAGAGGAGGGTTTGATGAGGGACGACGAAGATTTGGGAGAACTGAAGGGGGATGCAACAGATGACTCGCGCTTGCAAGCTTTGCGTGAGGCAGGGACAGTAGCAACTCTTTCAACAGTAGAGAGGGAAAGGGAAGAGACCTTTTTGGTACTCGAGGTTTTCTGGGAGGTGGTGGAAGCCTTCGTGGAGATAGGAGTTCCCTTCACAGTGGTCGACACCTTCAACGTCGAAGAAGACTTCTTGCTAGTCGAAGTTGTCTTCAGCGAAGAGGAAGATTTCTTGCTTGTCGAAGTCGCCTTCGAGCTAACAGTAGTCTTCTTCGTCGAGGAAGATGCCTTGACCGTTGAGGTTGTCTTGATCGTCGAAGTGGCACGCTTGACTTGGGAGGAGGAGGCAGGGTGGAACATCTGGGCCATGAGGCTTTCGAAGTTCACACGAGGGTGTAAAGAATCACGAGAAAGAAGATAATTAAACGATTTAAGTAAGCTCACCTCAGTGGTGGCTGCAGGAGCAGCAGAAGTAGCAACAGCAGTGGTGGATTCGGCGGAAGGAGTCACGACCCAGGTAGAGGCCCAGGAACTAGTCCAGGCACTGGTCCATCCTTGGGCAGGAATAGCGGCCTTTGGGTCGGCCGATGATGAGGAAGCTGCGGGAGCTGAGGTAGCCGATGACATGACGGTGACAGCGGGAGCCTCGCTGGTGACCACAGTCACGACAGGGGCAGCCGACGACTCAGCAGCAGGTGCGGACCACGAGTGACGGTGGCCGTAGTACTGAGAAGTCACGACAGCCTCAGTCGTGGCAGCAGGGGCAGGCTGCTCTGCGGCAACAGTGACGGGGACAGTGACGCCCTCGGTCTCGGTAACGTAGACTGTCTCATAGGCGACATCATAGACGGTGTCGATCTCCAGGTCGCGCTTGAAGATGGGACCAGCAAATGCGGTGGCAGCCAGGGCGGCTCCAGTGATGAGGGTGGTAGTGCGCATGATGATTCTCTAAGTAGTTCTGTTGATCGTTGTTGATTGTAGGGGTCGTTTGTGTTTGAAGGATACCAGATCCGGATAATGTAGAAGACTTGAAAGACTGATGTGCCAGAATGTTAGTATCCACTGCTACTGCTGTTGCGTTCTGCTGCTACTGCTTTGGTCTTTCCAGAAGACGGCAGAGGCAGGCAGCTTTTATCTATTGATGATAACAAGGGTATGAGGCAAAAAATTTGGTGAATTGATGATGATGCCGAAGGTCGAACGGCCAGAGTGTTCGACTTGCAATAATACCGTTCGTTGTCTCTGACAAGGCCCTGTAACGGCGTGCTCACCAGGAAACGAGGGTGTGTGGAGGAATTGGGCTGGATCTTATCGATCTTCAATGGCGAACGGTCTTGTTTATATAACGGCCAGGGTGATAGATGATAGTCAGAAGAAAGGGTGCACTTACGTGAAAGTCCTCGCGGAGGGAATGGCTTGCAGTAAGTGGTGGGACAAAAGAGTGAAATGCAACCGTATAGGCGCGTGATGAACGAGAGACAAGAAAGAAGCGGTGGTCGACAACGAGAGAGGAAGTCGATGTGGCAGCGTGATGGTCGACTTTTGAATGGGCGTGTTGACGGGGGCTAAAACGCTAGTGGCCGCACTAGTAGGCGCAACTCCTGTGACCGGGATGTGAGTGAGAGTGGATGTCGATGAAACACACTCCGCAAATGCAGGTCGCTGCTGTCGATTGCGTGGGAGCACCGTTAAAACGCCACCCTAGGCGGACGGCTCCTTTGTATAAGGTTGGCTGCAGCAGGTGCTGAAGAATTGGCAGCTCTGGTCTCAGGGGACTCTGTCATTCTTCAAGTCTAGACAAAGTTCAGGAGACTAGACTTGACATGTGCTTCAACTGCTACTCCTTGCTTCTTTGCCGCCAGGCACGGAATGTGTTTCTTGGATCCGGACTACAAACCCTCTCCGAATATCCATCTCCTCCGCAACCACTTCATCACTGGAAATCGTAGCAATGTAAATCATGGAACAAAGGACTGCAGAGCCGTGATTGCCTGATGCTCAAGCCGCGTCAGTCATGCCCTCGAAGGTCCAAACGCGGCCCGGCACGAGCATCAAGGTACCAAGGAAGTTTCATTCGTCGTCGCAAGAAAAGTTGTTCCTGCGTTAGCCACACATCTCTATTCTGTGGGGTACAAGCCCCTGCCTTCTTTCGCTTCCAAGTTCCGAGCCCCGAGGTTCCAAACATGCTCCCTCGCTCGCTCGTATGACAGCGCCTCGCGCATTATGCTCTACCACCATGCGAACCTGGTTTTTCCGCCACCTACAAATAGTCGCGACAAGCGCTCTCCTGAATTTCGAGCGTTTGGCCGCCAGGGGAAGACGTGGTACAAGGTTAAGCGCCGGCGAGATCTGTACATCGATTAGGTATTTGACAAGGTTTCGCGACCACGTAAAAGTAGCGTGGGAAAAGGAGGGGCCGTTCAGTACGTTCAAAGCCTTGACCAGACAACAATTCGTGACTTCTATCCATCAAAACATACTTGATAATTTACCCTGAGCAAAGTCACATAGATGCTATTGCCGTCACGGTGTTTGTCTTCCAAGCACTCTGATACAGCTTGACAACCGCCTCCGAATACTGGTCTGAGTCACCTAGTACACCCTTCCGCCTCCCTTCATTGTTCAATTGTCAATACCCTCGACTAATGACCCAACAAGCCCTCGTCAAAAGAAAGTTCAGGTGCTCAAAGCTCGTCAATGCAAGTCGGTACGACATGCTGTCTCATGGGCGGTACTTCTGAACAACCTCGGAGCATCAAATGCCATGGAATGTCGTTGATTCTTATAGCCGTTTTTCAGCTCACGTTCCGCAACGAAGTTTCAACAGCTGACTCGACAACCAGCTTTCTCGTCTCTCCGCGACGTTAGTAAGCCGTTCAACAAAATAACTGTGCCTGTACTGTCACCAGGGTAGCGAAGCGACCATGTGCGACTGCAGCATCTTCGGAACGAGGCGCATCATGACGTGCAGATGAAGTGTCACAGCGACCTTCTTACAACATTCCAGTCGATCACGAAACGCCCTGCTATCTTCAGCCCAGCAGCTGCCAAAGGCATCCCAGGACCAATTGTTCTATGATGCGGCTCTGCTCTTCGCCATGGTTCATTATTTATTTGCCTGAAACTTCCAAACAGTCTCGAATTCTTGTCTGTCCATATTTTGTCGTAAGAGCTGAGCTCAAGACACGGCACGACCACTTCGAGACGTCGACGAGGTTCGATATTTTCCATTCTTGTCCAGATATGACGAAAGGATTGTCTGCTATCGCGCCAGAGAAGACAGCTGTCTATCTTACTACTTTGCTGAATTACGGACAGAACGTGAGACATGTCTTCTATGTTTCGATGGCCTCTATGATGCCTCGGTCGGCTTGGCTCAACAAAGCAAGTATCACAAGGTGTTCAATGGATATGATCGCACACAATTGACTCGTCATCAATGGAGTCTTGTGAGTCGTGAGCTTTGTCGTCTAGCACGGGAAACATTGCTCCAATCTCCTGCATATTCAACATCCAGGGCCTTGGCTAGTGGCAAGGTACGTATCGAAGTCAAAAATTTTCTGTGTGCATTTACAGGTGGAAGCGAATTCGAGAGGCATGATATGGTCAGTGTCTGCGTGGATGATCACGTCAAGCCAACAGGCTGTAGGGTTTGTCAAATCGCAGTATCCACTGGGTCCATCACCAGCCCTGTGCCCCTATCATCACCTGCATCTCAACAGCTGTGAAGGTTTCCCTGTGTGGAGTCGTACTGTGCTCAGACAGACAAGCATGTATCTGAGTACCCTCTCGCGATGTTGACCTCGTTCACATGTGAGTGGAGCCCAGTTCGTGTATGTGCGAGTACAATAACTTAGCGGCTCAAGAATTAGAGCCACAAAGTGTTCGTGCTTGGGAAAACTTAGTACTGTGATAGTCATTGTTATGGAGTATGCATTTTGGCGAGCTCATTCGAAGTCCGTTGGGCTGTGGCAGGCATGACTGGCAGAAAATCGTGCAAAGTGTCATCCACAGCGTAGAGATATGAATTCGATACTCGAGGTTACTAAGAGCCGTTTCTGTTGACCACAATGTGTCTGATCCGGATGATTTGCCCACTAGAAGCATCATGAATATAGTACAGATTTGCAGCTGCTGATTCAGCGATAATCTTTGGCAGCTTAGGCGTCCGTGACGATTCTAGGGTCGTCATTGGAGCAAGCACTGCTTGGATTCTCTGTGCAAAGTCGAGGAACGACGACCATTGGTCACGATCTGCGTGTTCGTTTCAAAGATCACGAAACCGTCACAGAAAGATCAGACTTGCTGCAAGTCATGGTTCAAGATATAAAATTAAATTCGTTTCATGGAGAATGACAGGCGAGATGCCTTGGAGCATCCTGCGGGGAACCGAAATGACGAACTCCAACCTGTTCTTCTTCATCATGGCAAGGCCGTCCACAACATCGGACAATATCAAGGATCGACGCAAATCTCCCTTCGCAACACATCTCGAGTCAAAGCTTCGAAGCTTGCGTACCATCGTCTGTATATCTGTTACATCCAGCGTCGGCCGCCAAATTCTAGACTCTCCTGTCGCAATGACGAACGAAACTGTGGTGTATGTGCACCGATTCCAAGGACGAAGTCTTCTCTGGTGAAAGAACGGTTCATCCGGCGTGTAGCCACGAGGAATGGTCGGCTCCTTAGCAACCGTCAAGGACGACGTTGACTTCAGATCGTTGCTATCGGATAGCCGTTGAAGAACGCATCGTGCTTGCCAAGAGGATTTACGAAGCAATAGTCGTCGTGAGGCACGACTCGTCCTGGAACTGGCGACCGGTCAATCGTCGTTCACTAATGTCAGACTCTTCCAGGAGCGTGGTCTCTGACACTGCTGCTCGCGTTGCATCCGCATACTACAGAAGCGCAACGGTTGTAGCGATCTGACATCTGCAAGGTCTTTTCGCATTCTCTGGACATAACTTTGGAGAAATGTTCGAGCACATGAAGGTGTAAGCCGAGCAAGGCAAGTACTGAGCAGGGGAAATCATCTAAGCACGACAGACCACCCTCTTCCTCTCTCGAATCGTCATGTAGTGATTTTCTGTATGCTCTACTCACTTTGACTTCCCAAGCTGTTTACAAACAAGCTGAGAACGACAAACCTGGTTTCCGAAAGCCCTCATGATCCACCAGGGGGCAAAGAATCACGACAAGATTGCGCAAGTTCTACTCGAAAGATCACACGATGGACCCCGCTCGACCTGATATCATTCAGTTTAGAAGAGCACACTCAGCACTAATATGTTTCTTCACTTTCCTTCCTCTTGCCTCCTTCTTTCCTCAATATGATTCTTGAGTGTTTCGTAGCTCTTGCTATCCTCATGCTTCGAGAAATCTGACGACGTGTTGTCGAGTCCACCACCGAGTTGCTATCGCACCACTACCGTGTGGGAAAGCCAGCCACGACATCTAGGAAGCCGAGCACTAAGTCCGAAAAGCCAACAACTATGATTGAAAAGCCATCCGCTGTTTCCAACAAGCCTGCGGAATCAGGGAGTTACCATCTCACGCTTGAAAGGCGCAAGAAGTCCGCCTTGCATACCAGTGGCCTATGGAGCCCTAGAGTCACACTCGACGAGAGGCACGCCACGATTACCATCTCAGAAAACGTCACATGGTATGAAGTCCGCACGGATATATGGCGCCTGAAGGCATAGTCCGCAATATTAGGCAAAGCCAAACTGGAAGATCACGTCTTTGTTGTCGACATGCAATACACTGCTCAAGAAGGTGGCGTCTATGGTCGCGTTTCGATGCTCGAGATAGAAGGCGATGCTTTCTGGGAGTTTCGCAAACGTGACGACATTCACATCATCAGCTTTGGTGCGTACTGCGCACCGCGCGAGGGAGAGGCGCCTGGACAGGTCAGAAGCCCAAGTTAGGGCCAAGAGACTACGGTCATCGATTATGATGATTATGATGAGAACGACGTGACTCTCTTTCTCGGGCATCATTGCTCTACTCGCTCTCCAACGCCGGAAGAATACAGCGACCCTGTCCTCACGATTTCCATCATCTCACCAGAAGTTATTGTTGTCACCAGACAGAACAGAGGTAGCCGACAGTGTCTTACTGACTCTGGTTCATTTTTGGTCCTATCCTTCCATATCTTGTATGACCTTGCTGTTGGTAACACTACTATATCACTCGGAACGAGATATCGACTTGCAGCCAATCTTGCTTAGTCTGTTTTCCTTAATCCAGTAGTGTGTCTCTTGCCATGCAAGTTGACATTATTACTAGCTTGCATCAGATCAGTGGTTCAGACCTTTTATGTGAATCATACGATCCTTATTCCTGAACCGTAGTCGTGTGAGATTATGCAGATGAACATCACGTCTGGGGGAAGATCACAACGATTTTTTTGATCAAATCTCATGATCGAGAACCAGGTAACTAAGTCATAGCTCATTACCATTGCTAGCTCCTCTCTCAGATACGTCGTTTGATCACAAAAGACGATCCATGTGTCTTGTAGGCCCATGTTTCATGAAGCCAGTTGTGAAACTCGAGTATCAGCTTTCCACACAAGACCATTTGCTGTTTGGAGGAAACATGCAGGACCTGGTACATGGTGTTGTCACGTTTATATTCAGACTTGCAAAAGTGTTCGCTACCAGATCTCTTTTTGTCGATTCAGTTCCATCAAGTTCTTGCAGATCGTGTAGGCTATGAAAAGACACAATTGTCTTCTGAAACCAGACTTTTGATTACTGGAAAGGCCCTTGTGATCTGGCAACATGAACTGACATTCATAGGTTTATGAGAAGCTAGACAATGCCTGCGGAGGCACAGCCGTGTGTCGAACCTCTTCTGGATGCATCTTAGTCTCGGAAGACAAGGTGCCATTTCATAACCTCCTGTCTGGTGTTTGTAGGTGAAAAAACCGCCTCAGTACATGGGAGAGGCCTGTGCCCATGTTGAATACTTTTTAGGACACGGCAGCGTCTATCGAGAATTATCTCACCAGAGCTTCCCCCGAGAACCTCTAGTCCGAAGCTCAAACGTGCCTTTCAGTGGCTTCCATGCTGCCAGCTTCTGCTAGGCGATGTAACATGAGAACAACAGACTCTGATACAGACTAAATCCTTAAAGCACTTTGAGGCGTGTTGAAATTCAGAGGAGTAATGCAAATATGATGTGATAATGATTATGTACAGAACAATGTGTTGTTCCATGACCCAAACCCTCTTCTATGCAATTCCTAGCCAGTGCTATGCTCAAAGTACAACGAAAATGAAGACAAAGGAGAACAATGCAATGCAATGCTCGAAACTATTTATCTCGTTTGACTCACTGCTTGATGTACACCAGGATGTAAGGGTTGAAGCCAGATGTTGGCCGTCTCCACTCCTTAGCATTGCTGGGGCTGACAGAGGAATCGCTGATTTCTTTGATGCCATCAGGGCCACGTACGTAGGCAATGTAATGGCCAAATTTGAGCGAGCCGGAGTGTGCGACAATGGCTTGGAGACGATATTTTGATGGTTGAGACTGGTCGAGAGCCCAAGGGGAAAGGTCGAGCTCCTCTGGAAAGTCGACGTGCTGCTTGTTCTTTGTGGGTCCACGCGCACCATAACCGAAGCGCATGAGTTGGATGGGCAGAACGTCAGGTGCGTTATCGAGCTTGAAGATACGAGTGCGCTTAGCATTCTTCTTGCATTTGTCGCAGCGGATGGTGACGTTAGATTCGCGGTGATAGGTGTTCAGACAATCAGTAAGGCTAACACCGGATCTGTTTGGAATCGGCAAACTGAGACTGAAGCCAGGTGGATCGCTGTGAGTGTGCACCTTTTTGCAGCCGTCACAGACCCAGGAGATCTTGTGTTTGATCCTGAAGAGGGAAGAGAACTGGTCTTTGTCGACTCCTTTTGCTTTCTCGATTGTACCCAGCAAGTATTGTAGGAAATCGTGACTGTCTTCTTGGGTCTGGCTGATGGCACTCCAACGAGGCTCGCTCGATCTACCAGTCGCTCTGATTGCGCCGTCGAGAGCGGACAGCTGAGATCCTACGCTGCCAGGAGATGTATGATAGGCTGTGAGAAGCTGGCGCATTGCGCATGTCACGCATCTGCCTTGCTTCGGACAGGATTTATGAGATTCGTCCAGAAGATTGAAGAGTTGAGGGAGTGCGATGAGACTTTGTAGCACACTTCGACGATAACACCATTGACTCGGGTTGCTCAAGCCTTTGACCTTCTGCTTGCCAACGCTGGCTGGCCAGGACTTTGGTGTTTTACGAGCAGATGCGGTAGGAGATTTTGGTGTCTTTCCGATGTTTGGGGATTGCTCTCCTTTCGATATTTTGGATGAGATCGGTTCCTGCTTGGAGTTCTTGGTCTGAACAGCACTTGGCTTCTGGTCAACAGATGGTCGGCGGTTGTCTTGCTTCGAGGCTTGAGAGTCGGACTTCTTAGGCAATGGCTCTCCTGCATCCTGCTTGCGAGGCTTCTTGACCTGCTGTTGCGATTTCGCGTCTGGAGGCTCTGATTCGGAGATTCTTCTCTTCTTGCCGAGTTTTGATAGTTCCTGGTCAGGCTGCGCAGGCGGCTGAGACGATGATCGAGAGACAGACTGCTGGACGGTGGGAGTTACTGTAACCTTGCGCACAGCCGGAAGAGACGGTGGAAGGCTTGTCGCGCGTGGCCTGATATTGTCCATCTTTTGTAAGCGGCGTTTTAGGTCCAAGAATTTGCGCAGCGCGTCTTTGCGACAATGTGAGCAAGGCGAAGAGCTTAGATCATGGAATGCTTGAACAGTCCTGCGCTTGAGAGCATGTTCGACATAAGTAGCAGCAACATTATTGTTGCGCCTTCTTATTATAGTCTTTTGCATGCTGAATGGCCGAATAGCAATGACACTGTTTGGGAAGCGCTATTGTGACGCAGGCAATGCAGGTACGCGATGACAATAGGGCAAAGAATACAATCCAAAAATGAAGCGCACTCTTCACATTGAAATTCGTAGAGAGTGAAGGATAGTGGCTCTAACAGCAAATCACGAAAGACTACTGTTCATGCACGCGGTCTCCACGGAATGCCAGATTCGTTCCCAAAACAAGATGCTACCAGCAAGTGACCAAAATGCGATATTTCCAGGATGCCAGTATCAATAATAGGTGTCGCGGATCCTCCGAGCTCCTGGGGTCAGTCGAGGGAGACGTGATGAACAAAAGTTTGCGACTTGGAAACAAAAAAGTCGAGGGACTTCCAGATGGGGAAAGGTTCACCGAGTCTTCGACAGGCTTGGCGTCGTCACAGCATACAGAGATTCAGATCACGAACGGTCGCAATACCTTCGTTGCCCAATATTGTCGTTGTCGCTGACTGTCTGGCAACATGGCGGCAGCAGATCAGCCTGGCGCAGAGTACGAGGCCCAGCATGTCCATGATGTATACGAGCAGATCGCATCCCATTTCTCAGCCACTCGCTACAAGGTGTGACTCGATAATTCGCGATGGCTCGTCGCCCTTCTGACCACCTCCTCTTCTTAGCCATGGCCTGTAATCGAGAAGTTTCTCAAAGAGTTGACCCCTGGATCTGTAGGACTGGATATAGGCTGTGGAAATGGCAAATACTTGACTGTCAATCCTGATGTCTTCATTGTTGGCAGTGATCGCTCGCCCTCGCTCATCAAGTTCGCCTCGGCTCACCAACCGCACGCTGCAGTCGTGTCCGACATCCTCGCTCTACCTCATCAGAATCACCACTTCGATTTCGCCATCAGCATTGCCGTGCTTCACCACCTGTCAACGCCAGAACGCCGCGTAGAAGCTGTCCAGACCATCTTAGAAACGCTCAATGCCAACGGCAAAGCGTTGCTGTATGTATGGGCTCTTGAACAGAAAGACAGCAGAAGAGGCTGGGACGAGGGAAACCAGCAAGATACTATGGTGCCTTGGGTCATGCGCGAGAAGAAAGAGAAGCAAAAGAAGGATCGCAAGCAGCAGAACAAGGGGGACGCTGCCCAACAACCAGAAGCCTCGGCCGAACAAACACAGACGACTGGCACAAGTCTTGAGCCTGCCGGCGACAAGACTTTCTACCGATACTATCATCTCTACCGTAAAGGAGAGCTAGAGCAGAACATCGAGCTGGCCGGTGGCACAGTTGTAGAAGCTGGCTACGACAGAGACAATTGGTGGGCTATTTGCCAGAGAAAACAGACTTGATAAGGATTTTCTATCACTTGATGAATCTGTAGTCAATCTGTGCAGGAGAGAGACTGATCTCATTCAGCGTCTCAATGACCTGATACTTGGCCTTATCTTCTTCGCTCAGAGGGGCATTGCCTGGTCTGTCAACAACCACAGACTGCATGCCTGCCTTGATGGCCGCCTGCACCTCTTTGACGTTATCGCTCAGGAAGAGAATGCTGTCGGCAGGCTTGCCCAACTCCTCGGCGATCTTGGTGTAGCTGCTAGAATCGTGCTTCAGGCCGGCGTTGGTCGTATCGAACCAGCCGTCGATCAATCCCTGGAGGTTTTGCGTACGTTTCTCGTCCGCTCCACCAAGCGGGTCCTTAACGTGCCCAAAGAGAAGCTTCTGCGCGAATATGCTGCCTGAGGAGTAGATGACAAGCTGTTTAGATGAGTCATGCCAGTGCTTTAGCTGAGGAGCGACATCGTCGAACAAAGGAGTGGAGTAGGCGCCGTTCTCATAGCCAGCCTGCCATAGATAGCCTTACAAAACAAAAGTTCGAGTCAGATATTTTCAACCTGAGTGGGCCTGAGATAAGAGTGGCCGAGGATTGTTGTATGACTCACCCTGCAAGTTCTTGAGATAGGCAATCTTGACATCGCGGGTTGTCAAGTCTTTGACGTGAGCTTCAAAGGCCTCGGGAGATGCTTGTGCCTCCGCAGGAAAAGCATCACGGTAGGGTTTGAAGTCTGCAGAGTCCCATCGCTCGTGAATGACGCTTGAGAGAGCTTTCAAGGCGTAAGGAAACTTTACACAACGTCAGTCTCAGCGTGACGATGTCGAGATAGCACGAGACTATCATGCCAAAGGCAACAGAGTTTTGCAGATCCGATGATGTGATGATAAGAACGCAAAACTGAAGGGATATAAACAAGACTTCGCGTATGACTAAGATATCAACACGATGCTCTTCAACGTGATGTGATCAGGTGGCCATGTGACGATTTCAAAAGGAAAGAAAAATCTGAGACCTACCAGAGTGTCCTTGACGAAGGAGATAGGGCAGACAGTTCCCTCTGTAGATAGAGACAATCAGCCATCCTTATCGTAACGAATAGTTGTTCTTTGCTCAGCATCTCCTTGATACTGTAGTGCAGTGAGTGGTGCATAGGAAGCCTTTGGAAGCATTTTTGCTGTCCCGCACCAACCAATGGCATCAATTACATACCGATGTCGAGCAGCACAGTGCCCACATTCTCATGTTCTGGGAGCATCGTGTTTCGCTGGCGAGATGGCTGGCCTCTTTTTCGGATGTGTCGTTGCACAATGTGCGGTGTAAAAGTCTAGATGCTGCATTGGGCTGCGCGGAAGCTTCTGCGGGACCAAATTGGAAGCTGCATGTCCGCACACCTTGATGTCGCTCAACACTGTTCATGACTTTTCTCTTTTGCAAGTTTCCACTTTCTCCATAGATTGCACCATAGTGCACTTGCTCGCTAGTCCATGACTGGCGCTTCAAAACCTGAACTCAATTCTTCGTTTTCGATAAGAGCTGAAATCATATCAGCTATCTGAGCACGGCAGATCCAACAAAATCGCAACAGGCCCAAAGGACTCTGCTGGACACATGGCATAATTAAATCGAGCTCGATGAGCGGTGTACACGATACATAAACTATCGCACCACTGCATCACTGGCGCATGCTGGTGGCCAGTCTTGTGAAAGTTACCCTAGGTATTCAGGTACACCAATGCGGGGCAATATGTGTAGCTTCGACGTTCGAGGCAGCTGCACCCGTTATACAAAGATACCGTCCTCTTGCCTATTGGATGGCTAGACGCACACCGCAAGGTGTTTTCTCAAGTTGCCGCCGGCTAGAGTGCACTTATTCTGGAGCTGACACTGTACAGTAATGCCAATACCAGAAGGCGTGGTACCTGGAAGCATGTCCTTTGTGGGATCGAGAATTATGCATCCTTGCGAAGAGGCTGGGCTGTATGACCCCTGGAGATAGCATAAGATATGCATAAAATTATCGAGGAAGCATGTTACTATTCTTCTCAGACACGTGGAGTGTTGGTGGCAAGCGTGGCACTCGAGTAAAGGTCAAAGGTTATGACTAACTAGGCCGTTTTAGTTCGCATATCAACCTGCGTGTGACCTGCTTGCGGGACCAGGGCCGATGCATACAAGCTCTCTACCGCTCGAGCTAGGGAGCACATGAGGTAGGGAGAGAAGACATCACTGCTTGCTATGTCGAGGATTAATTGAGTCTCGATCTCGAGCATTGAAGAATGCATTCACCCTTCTGTTGAAGCACACCGACATTGTCTAGATGCAGGCACCACTGAGGCATTCACTCCGCTGCGCCCCACGTCCGCTTACCGGAGCATGCAGCATCGTTGACGCTCGAGCTTGATACGTTTGTACCTGAGGATCATCGGCATACTGGTGGATCAAGCACAACTTTTTGTGCATAGCATTGCGAATGCTCTGTATCAATCTGCTGCAATGTTTCATGGGCGCATCACCTGCCCTTTTGCAGCCTACTATCCTAATCACAACTTGACTTGTTCAACCGCCCTTGGCTGGGCCGATCTCGCAGTTGTGACTTCGAGACATGCTGCTGAGCGAAGGAAGCACTAGTTTCCTGGGAGTGTGTAAGAACGAGAGTTGGTACTGTAACACGAATGCTGCGACGTATTCTCGATTGATAAAATTTTCATAAAAATACAAGACATCGGCAGCAAATTCCCGGAGCGACCCCATGGGATGATTCATTGGCCGAAGCCGGGGAGAGGCAGGGGTGGTGAGATGTCTGTCGACTTTCCTGGACAAAAGGCCGCGGGTCTGATTCGGATGATCTAACAGGTGATAAGGAATAGTTACGTGCCTAAGTCGAGGCAGAGGAGTTCTAAGCGATTGGAAGGAAGAAGCGCTGGGCTGACACGGCATCAAAACAGCTGGCCCGACCGAACAATTGTTTGTTGACAGGCGGTGCATGCGAATCTAATCAGACAACCTAACAGGCATGCACAATGCGTTACGTAGGAGAGACGGTTTCAGGCTTCATTCAGTTGGAAGAGATTACGAAGACTTGGTCGCAGCAGGGAGGTGTTTCGTAAGAGCCTGGTGCGAAGGAAATGACGCTCGTCGATTCCCGAATATTCTCAAGCAGCTCTTCCAAGACAAAGGATGACGAACAAAGACGTGCCTGGCAGAGACAGCGGCCAAGGCCAAGGTCAGGTGGGCCTCGGGAGCACGCAAAAGGTGTGGCGGTTCTATTGATGCAACGGTTCCGGGCCATTTACGGATCTGTGCGTCTGCGTGGTGACTGGCCGGGACTTGTCGCCGATGGGGTTCCACCTCCTTCTGCTGTCGTTCCTGCCCTCTCTATCTTTCGACTCACACCGCTAAGCTCTCTTGTCTTTGTTTCCCTTTAACCTCATTCAATCGCCCATCCCCTAAGCCAGCTCCAATTCTCACCACTCTCGTACCTACTGTCTCAGCTCGAGTGTTTCGAATCGTTCCTGCCAATCTAGTCGCCGTTGCATTCCTCGCGTTACCCCGACGAAAGCGGTAGTCGAGAGCGCAAGCGCCGATAGCCGATTACACCGACACACCTCAGCTTCCCTCTCCCTGGATCCTACGACTTCCTCCTCCTGTTCCATTGTTTGATTGAGAGCTTTGGACATCCGCCCGCCAGTGTGCTGCCTGTTCTTCAGTGAGCTTCAAAGTCCAGCGACCGCCAGATCCTCAGCTTCCGCCGCCTATCCGTCGTATCAGCTCGTCCCATTCAACGGCATCCTTCGGCTTCCTGCCTGTCATCACTTCTTTGAAGCCCAAGGTCTTGGAAATCCACAACAACTCGACGAAGTCTTAGTCAACCACCGTCAATTGGCCTCAAGGACTACTCTCAGTTGTATTGATCCCTTCGTCAACCCTGACGTCCGCTTTCCTGCCAGAGACAAACCCCTCAATCCTGTACAGCTCCTTCCCCACCTACACCGACAACAAAGAAGTCAACAGCCACACCTTCAACAGAGCTCCACCTCTTGGTATACCAGACGCACCTCACGTCCGTCTCCGGGTCCGCCCAACCACCTCCCAGCTTGCCCATCTTGCTGCCGGACACCCTTATCGTACATCATCTATTCGATGCTCACATTAACGACCTCTACTGTTTCTTATTCATAGTGCGTTTGGGGCTTTGATCCCTTTTTCTCTGGCTCGTTGCGTCTATCCTGTCGATCCTCTCATCATTTATTCCCTCTCATCTTTGGCGGATCTGTTTATTGCTGTCTTCTCTACGCCATCCGTGGTCAACACTGTTGCTTAACTCTCCCTCTTAGGTCGACACCAAGGCCATCTCATCCGATCGGCTTGTACAGCGCTTCGGTGTTTACCCTCGTCTCCAAGCTGGTTTTCGGAGTCTCGAACCTTTTTACGTTACATCTTTAATCTCTCTCAACACATCACCGCCCAAATGGACAGCATGCGGAAACAATTTGATCAGGACCTTCTCTTGGACGGTCGTTACCAAACTTTGTCTCCTCTCAACCATGGTTCTTTTGGAATGGTCTTCTTGGCCAAGAACGTCAAGACTGATGCTACCGTTGCCATCAAGTGCATTATCAAATCATCAGGCTCCGAAACTTGCCCTACCGCTATCGCTGTTGATGATCGTTCCGAGGAGTTAGAGATCCACTCCCACCTCGGCTCTCATCCCAACATTGTCAGTCTTCTTGACACTTTTGAGACGGAGCACCACACGTATCTGGTTATCGAGTTCTGCCCTAACGGAGACCTCTACGAGGCAATTCGTCTCAACAGAGGCCCTCTGGAAACTGAGCACGTGCGTGACTTCATGATGCAGCTGATCTCCGCCGTGGAGTTCATGCACGCTAAGGGAGTCTACCATCGTGACATCAAGCCCGAGAACATCTTCTTGACTCAATCGGGCTCGATGAAGCTTGGTGACTTTGGTCTCGCTACTAGGGACAAGTGGTCGACAGAGTACGCCGTCGGCAGTGACCGTTACATGGCTCCTGAGCAGTTTCAAGAGACAAGCTATACCCAAGGCTACTCTCCCGCTGCCGCCGATATTTGGGCTATTGGTATTTGTTTGTTGAATGTCTTGTTCTCACGCAACCCATTTGCTACTCCTACCCAGTCGGATCCCATCTTTGATGATTTTGTCATGGACCGTCAGTCTCTCTTTGACGTCTTCCCAACCATGTCTCAGGACACTTTCAATGTCTTGATGCATTGTCTTGCTCTTGACCCCGCCAAGCGCTCTCTGGATGCTGTCCGCTCTGCCCTCAAATCGGTTGTAAGCTTCACTACCGACGATGACGCCATGGACGACTTCTGCATTGAGGATCGTGATCCTGTCCGTGCTACTCTCAACCGTGAGCCTCTGCGCACACCATCCATCACGAGTCCCACCATCGACAATGGTGGCTGCTTCCCTTGGGCAAAGGCTCTGCGTGAGACTTCTCAGAAGCATGGTCGTCAACTCTCGGTCATTCCTGACAACGAAAGCTACACTGAAGATCTCTTCCCCGAAGAGAAGGAGACTGGCAAGAGTTGGTTCACTTCCACAGATCCTGATTCGACCTCGTTGAACTCAACCATCGAGTCTTCTCTGGGCATGTCGTACAAGTCTGCCAACAACTCTGCTGAGCTCATTGGCCACGCCTCTTCCAGACCAGTGCCCATCTCTGCATCCGTACCCATCAAGAGCTCCCGAGCTTTGGCTTCGATCTATGGAAATATGGATGAGAACTTCTCGAAGAGCTGGAGCGATCTCTGGGAGGAAGATGAAGAAGAGGAGTTGCAGCACCCTGCTTTCAACTCGACTGCAAGCCTCGAACGCTCTACCACTGTCAAGCCTTTTGAGCCTAGTCCTTTGTCAGCCGTCACGGCTGCAATGGACATCAAGAATGCTTCTGGTCGTTCTTCAACCCCTCGCGGGCTGAGTGAGCTTAAGATTGCCGATGAAGGTCGCGAGATTCCTGGTGCTTCTCATCCCAAGCCAGTTGCTGGTGTTGCTTCTTCTGCACCTGCTCTGCAGAAGTACTCACCGCCTTCCAAGCGATCGATCGTTGATAAGTGGTCAGCCCTTGGCAACCTCAGACGTGGAAACAAGAACGAACCAGTTTCCACTTCGAGCAAGCCTGCTCCCGTCACACCCCAGAAGAAGATCGAGAAGCTCGAAAAGACTGAGAAGTACAGCTTCACTCCCTTCGGCTCCAGTGCCAAGAAGCCCAAGTCCCGTGGACGTGCCACTAGCTGGCGTAAAGACAGCCCAATGGCCGCCAACTCGCCTGCTTATCATGGCACTACTACTACCTGGGAGCGTAAGCCCCAGAGTAACTCGCACGTTTCACCTCCTCATGATTTATGGCAAAGCAACCGCGACTGGCGTCAACATCCAGAGCCTCAACACTTCTTCAACTCGCCTCTCAGCAAGCCTCGCACTCAGCCTGCGACCTGCGGACAGCAGCTGCTGAAGTCAAACAAGCCACACGTTGATTCCCTGGATGACGACGACATTGGCGACCTTGAGTGGGTTGGAGGTTGGCACGACCTCCACTTGTAGTCTCAACGCCACCACCACGCTCGCCCTTTTTTGTGCATCTCTCTTAATCTCGACTCTCCCCACTGTATATTTCCCGGTTATGGTGTTCTTCTTGCAGCCCCAGTTTCATAATCTCCTTTGTTCAACAACTCTACTCAAGCGGACGAAAAGAAGCAACTTTCCCGGCGTACATCGAATCAGCCGCCACCGCTGAGCGGTCGATGGATTATCTTTTTCTGTATCTTTTCTTCTGTTTCATCTTCAACAATTACATTGAGCGATAACATGGGTTTGGCCTGGGTTTGGCCGGTTTGGGGGCGTTTTCTTGTTGTCTATTTTCTATCACCACTTCATCATATCACTGCGGGCTGCAGTAGAGTAAAAAAAAGCAGACAAAAAGTTGGGTCAAGGATAAAGGTTTTCTGAGGGTTCTCTTTGGGAACCCTGACGATGTGCAAAAACAAAAGCAAGGGCGAGTGTTTCTCGGTGGTCCGTCGGACTCGCTGTCTGTAGAACATGGTTTCCAGACTCCCCACTCAATGATATTTACGTTTAACGATTCACTTACTCTTGTCTTATTGATCCTTCGTGAACTTTCATGTCCTCAAACAGTCTGGTGGTGATCTCGACTTGAGATTCGTCTCAATGTTTTGTGTCAGACCATCATACCAAATCTCATATTTCAAGTTCGACACATCGTCCACTCCCAGAAAGTACCAGCAGCCTTTGTGGTATAAGTCATGTAAGTAAAGCTCTTCTATAACGCACTAAGCTGCCAACACAGGCACTCATGAGTTCGATGAGCAGCCGAGACTGTCTTCTATATAATGGTTGAAAGTACAACCCTGATCGATTGTCCTAAAAAGGCAAGTGGACGCGAGACTGCCAAAAGACCCACCAAACACGAGCATTGAGTTCCTTGTCCATGTGCCGACAATCTTATCATACTGCGCCGCAGCTGTGCCAATCTAGGTGAATTCCTCTGCTACGCAACTCTCCTCTGCTCCTTTCATACCCCATTTCTATACTTGTGCCGAGGCAAGGGTCTTGCTTTGAAACATAACTTCAGACAATCGTCCCGGCTTTTTTGCTGCTATTCCATACGTCGACAATCTCCGGAACAGCTTTACGATGCCTATCCGACCTGCGAATTTTGCAGATTTGCTACCAGCAGCACATGTCTGCGCGAACGCATTCGCAAATGAAGATCTGTTCGGCGTCAAAATCCATCCAAATCGATCAGCTTTCCCAAGCGATATGTATCTGTTCTTCTTGCGACAACTTCGATGTGATTTCTTCGATGGCCGCACCACAGTTATGGTTTCGCACCTTCAGGGTCAGTCGACCAGCATAACTGGTGTTGCAGTCTGGATGCGCAAAGGCTCTGGTGGAGATCGCATGGCTGCCTCCCAATCATGGCTTGCATGGTTCACGGGACGCTTCATCATTCCAGTATACAACTATCTCGGGTCTCTTGTCTGGCCCAACCGCGCCGCAGACCCAGCTATGCTTGATGTTTTGGATCGCGCTATGCCATTCACAGCACACTACTGGAAGACACCTGAACGCCTCGAGAACTGGTACCTGTCTCTTCTAGGCACTGGTCCCGAGTACCAAGGTCATGGGTATGGCAAGGAGTTGCTTAGATGGGGTATGGAACGTGCTAGCGAAGAAGGCATTTGTGTTTCTCTGGTGAGCGCGAACAACAAGCATGGCTTCTACAAACGATATGGTGTGGACCAGGAGGTGGGATACGCCACGGAAGGCGGCGAAGAGAATCCAATTCACGACGTTGCCGGTGGTATGATTCTTTTCTCTCAGAAGTTAGGAAAGAAATGAGGACGAACGTGTCTTGATGATATGTTACTGCAATTCAATAACGATGTTGTTGAAACCATGGAATACATGGGGCAAGCCGGATCTGCGTTGTATCTCAATGCCATCGCTGTCGTCTGGCACCATAGAAGAGGACGAGAGTCCGAATGTTAGACATGAATATATGGGAATAATTACTGTTTTCTGCGCGACAAGACCCTAAGGATGCCTCACGGATGAGATTGAGTTCATGTCCAGATGCGTTCGGCGTCATATCTGCTCCGCGGAACACACTTCCGCCATCCGGTCACTTCCTCGCCGCCAACAGAACGATAAAACAGATTTATCGTGGCTTGCTAAATTGTACGATCTGAGGATTTTAGGTCACAGAACTTCCTTGAGGTGATCGTACTGTGCCCTGGAGGCCGAAGATTGCAATTCGTAGGACCGACCCGGCCGATCTGGTCCGGAGCATGAACCGTTCTACTGGAAATTTAGCGAGGCTTTTGGACCGATCGAGACTCTACATGCCAGACGACCTTCTTTTCTCATGCTTACGCCTCTCGTAATCCGTTCGTCGTCGACCCTGTTCTTGTATGCTGCTGGATACTGAGTATATCGGCAATCTTATTGATCGGCCCCTATCATCGATGTCAGGCCTATAAGGATTTTTAACCCTACGACCATCAGTATCAGCGACGGAGTGGGAGGCCCCCATACGTTAAGCTTGTTTATTTACTGCGCTCATTTGGACATCGGACGAAAAGCATTGTCACCACACTCAGAATGGATGGATTCTACACAGGATCATCGCCGATGCATGCAGTCTTGGCCAGACTACGTGGCCCGGATATGGATGACCACTTGCGGCTATTCGACGCAATTGACTGGTCAGCAACAAGTCTAGGACCACTTGATAGCTGGCCACAGGAACTGGCGACTCAGGTCTTCCTCACTATGCTACTACCAGACGCACAGTCTTTGGTTCTTGGAGAGGATATGGTGGTCATCTACAATCAAGCATATGGGCGCCTCATTCGGGACCATCATCCAGGCTATTTTGGACGTCCCGTGGCTAGCTGGACAGAGTGGCTACCGTACTTCGAGAAGATGGCAGCAATCTACGCACAAGCCGAGAAAACTGGACGTGCTTGGGTGACCTCAAAATTCCCCATGGTCATGGACAGTGGTGGCTTCAAGGAGAACGTGGACTTCAGCTGCGCTGTCATCTGTCTGCCTCCACCTTTGAAAGGATTTCTCGGGTCCTTCAAGGAAACTACGGCGACCACCGCAGCTGAGAAAAGACACTCAATCCTGGAGGACTTGATTCCAGTATGGAAGACATCATCTTCCTTGAAAGCACTTTGGGCCAATGTGCTGAAAAGCGTTTCTCAACATCCTGAGCTCTTCCCATTCTGTTCGATATATTCGACCACATCAGCCATACAGATCGACCCATCTTTGTCGGACTCAAGTGGGAATGAATCTGACGGTTGCATCTACACACTTGAAGAATCTGTTGAGAGTGAAGATTCAGACATTTCAGGGATACTGCAGAGTCTTGACCTGGGGGCGGAGACGGACGAAAAGTCTCCAGACCCTTTCTTATCATATTTTAAACGAGCCGAGACGACCAGAAGCCCTGTTACAATGGAGAAAAGCGATATACCTTCTGAATGGCAGAGTGTTGCAAAAGCTCGGGGTGTTTGCGAATCCTGTCGAGGAGCTGTTGTTTGTCCTAGTAGCTCCAACCAGCTCAGCAGAGTACAGGCCTTTTTGGTTTTTGGCCTGTCGACTCGAGACACTTATAACGAGTTATATCAAGATTGGGTTTTGCGGCTACAGCGAGAGTTTTCAGATATCGTTGCCTCGATACTCTCGACACAGGAAGCCGCTAGGAAGAAAAGGGAGACAGCGAGGAGACAGCATCTCGAGTCAGAACTCCAAAGGAAGGAAACCGAACTTGCAGCACTCCGAGTCGAAAGGCTCACCAAGATTGTTGGATTGGCAAATGTGGCGATCTTCGAGCGTGATCTGAGTGGCCGGATCGTGTTTGCCAACGTAAGTCGCTCGCATCGTGAACCGCTCAGAAACTGACTCAAGGCAGGATGCTTTCTACAAACTTGTTAGCACTCACAAGGATCAGAGCGACGGAATATCGTTCCTTCCAAGCGAAAACTGGGACGCCTTGCTCCGAGGAGAATCACAAACCTTCGAGTTGAGATGCCTAAAGGGAACATGGGGTCTTTGCAGCGCTTTACCGACCAGGAACCAGGATGGCCAAATAGATTCCGTGATAGGAGTAGTCACCGACATCGAATCACAGAAACGCGCCGAACAAGAAGCCCGTGCGAAAGTCGATGCCCTAGAAAAGGCGCGGATAGCTGAGAAACGATACTTTCGATTCATGGAAATCATCCCTAGCGGCATTGCCGTCGCAAACTCGGCTGGACAGATCATTTACGCAACAGAGGCGTGGTTTGAAATGAGCGGACATCGGCACTGTGACTTCGACCAAGTCAGTTGGCGGAGTGTCATTCATGAAGAAGACCTGAAGGGTGTCGAAAAACAATTCTATAAGCTCTCTAGAGGATCGCAACCGCTGGAGTTTCAATTTCGAATGCGCCGACCTTGGATAAATTCAGCAGGCGAAAATTGCGGCAGTGAGTTCACCAGGGGCCTACCCCCACCCAATATCTTCGTAATGTGCTTTTGTTTCTTTACGAAATCCTTTTGCAGTACCTGTTTGGATGATAGCTCCTATGACGTTGCGGCGTCGAGTGCTCTATTGCTGATTGCAAGAAACATGCTGACCACACACATCTATCTAGGTTCCTGGATGCTTTGTAATGCGCTTCCCGAGCTCAGAGAAGACGGTTCAGTGGAGCGGGTGGTAAGCTCGATTACTGACATCTCACACCTCAAATTTGCAGAATCGGTGAATTTCAATCGCGTAGAAGAAGCCAACGAAAGCAAGAAGCACGCTTTGGCTTTTATCGACATGACTAGTCATGAAGTATGGTCGTCTTTCCGCTACCTCACGTATAACACCATAGCTGACTACATCAGATTCGAAATCCGCTAGGCGCAGTGATCCATTGCGCAGATAGCGTGTCTGAATGTCTGACAGAGCTCAGAATGCTGCTTCCTGACCAAGAAATACAAAGTCTAGAAGCAGATACGGGTTCAGCAAAAAGTTCTCAGCACCTGACACAGCTGATCGACGCTGGAACAGATGCGATCAACACCATACTGTCATGTTCAGAGCACATGACGAACATAATAACAGACACCTTGACATTGAGCAAGCTTGACGCCAATCTATTACGGATCAGTCCTTCTGCAGTGCGGTCAGTCTCCATGATCCAAGACATTCGGAAGATGTTCGAGGTTGAGACCAAGAGACTGGACGTCAATTTTAGCACGATTGTCGATTCATCTTTAGCAGCACAGGATGCGGAATGGATGGCCATTGACAGTGGCAGAGTCATGCAAATCTTGATCAATCTTGTGAGCAACGCCATCAAGTTTACAAAGACAAAGACAAGCGGACGAAAAGACGTGACAGTTCGCGTGGGTGCTTCCAAAACCCGTCCGCTCGATCTTCCGGTCGATTTTACTATTGCGAGGGCGCTTCAAGACAGCATATACGATACAGCCGAGTTCTCAGAAAACACTTGCTTCCTCTGGTTCACTGTCGAAGACACCGGTATTGGCATGAACTCAGAAGAGCAGAACAGAATATTCTCTCGATTTGCGCAGGGCTCGATTCGAACGCACAAGACATATGGAGGCTCAGGACTCGGCTTGTTCATCAGCAGAACATTGAGCGAGCTGCAAGGCGGAGAGATTGGAGTCTCAAGTGAGGCCGGGAAAGGCTCTACTTTTGCTTTCTTCGTCAAGGCGCACACGACCTCGCCGCCGCAAGTGCAGGAAAACGGCCATGATGTCTCTAGGCATGCAAGCCCAGCAGCTCATGATCTCAAGCCAGGAAAGATACCAGTCAGTGTGCTGATTGTTGAAGGTAGACCAAATCTGTCGCCGCAATTTTGATTGTACTTACTAATCGATGTTGTAGACAACGCCGTGAACCAACGCGTTCTGGAACGAAGCCTCAAAGTCAAGGGCTACGTAACGCACGTCGCAAATCATGGACAGGAAGCGCTTGACTTCTTAAAAATGACCAAGCTATGGAAGGGCAACGAGTCTAGCTCTGCTGCGCCAGATATAGATGTCATCCTCATGGTAAGCTTCATATACATTCTGTGGTTTCACTCCACTGACACTCCCTTTCTTCAGGACGTAGAAATGCCAATCATGGACGGCCTCGAATGTGCAAGAAGAATCAGAAACTACCAACTAACAGGTGAAATGAGGCCAAATGTTCCCATCATAGCCGCATCTGCAAACGCAAGGCCTGAGCAGATCCAAATGGCTCTAGAAGCAGGAATGGTAAGCCTCAACTCCAAGCCACAGAAGAATAAGCTCGTAAATGTTCAAGGACTAACCTTGTCTACAGGATGACTCTATTACAAAGCCATTCAGAATCCCAGAGTTGACGCCAAAGATCGATTCTTTCGCTGCATGGGCAAGAGCACAAGGATGACACCAGGCATATGTTAGCCTCTCTTAGTAAGACAAGAGTTAAGATCTTTGGTTGCAACATGTCGGATTTATACAGCTGCGAAGGCAACGACTACACACACCTTCAAGGTCTCGAAGCATCAAGCGCGGACCTTTTTGCGCCTTAAGCTACAACACACGATTGTTTCTTGTAGCTTTGAAAAAGTGCGATTCGATTCGAATCAACCCCCCTACAGTCGGCGCCGATTGATCCTCAATGAGCACCAACTTTGCTTGCAGTCAGGGATGTTGATGGCCGCGTGCTACGGCAGACGCAACCATCCGACTCACCTGGCGAGATTTATACCGGTACAACGCCCGAATCCTTCTGAGTTCCGATCTCCTGAAACAATGTTATCGATTTTTGACAACAGACGATGAATCTGTTGCTCCCAGAAACGCTTCTACGCCAGCCATTTTGTTCGTCAAGTTCCTGCACCAATATGATAAAGCATTCTCTGTATGTATAGAAAAAGTGCAGCTCAGAACTTAGAGAGTCGAGCGTGCGTTGTGAGCGAAAAGGATAGAAGAGGCAAGAGCGTTGTGTCGGCGCAAGTTCCGTGGCTCCGCGCCACCAATGAATGTATACTTGCACTAAGCCACCAACAGTACGGATTCATAGACACCTCCAGATTTATAATAAACAATAGAACTGGTAGTACCGTGGCGTCTACCTATAGTATATACAAAGTTGGTCTGCTTCATCCAAATCTATTCCGTTGTCAACGCTTCTTATCTATCATTTCCAGCGGTGTCTCGAACTCCAGGTTCGCATAAGATCTGTCCTGCCCAAAAGGCAAACTCTAGGTTGTGAATAACAGAATTATGGTTGATGTTCTCTAGGCGACTTCTCGATCAACGAGCCGTCGCCACCAGTCTCATCTGCACCAGGGAGAAGCGACTTCTCGAACCATCTTGTGAATCTGACGATGGGGATGTCGATGAATCTCCAGAAGAGGTCTGCGAACCAGATAGTCAGAGGAATCACAACCATACCTCCCAGAACGAATCCAGATTCGTATTGGAAGAGCGTCTCCTTGCCAGTGATTTGCCAGAATCCATACACGGAGACATAACCAATCGTCTTCAAGGTAAAGCCGTGAACGAGATATAGCGCGAAGGAGATGTTTCCCAGGTAACGGCTCAATGAGTTGTTGAAGAGAGATTGGAGTCGGCTGTCGAGGCCGGTGAAGTAGAGCATGATCATCGCACCAAGACAGTGCCAAAAGCGATAGCCCTCATCTTTACGCAAACCAGACGGGACCAGCGTTGACAAGGTGGAATAGCCAGGAGCAAACTGAGCTTCTTGAGATGGGTATGAGAGCAAGAAAAGACTCAAAGCAAAAGCAGAGTAGGTGCACAAGACGGTCATCTGGCTACGCGGATCGTCTTCGTCAGAGAAAGGATCAACGTTGACGCGGCTGTCCTTCTTCTCCTGATGGATGATGTTGGCTTCGGCTATCAGAGCGCCACTCCAAAATGCGCTCAACTCCCAGGCGTCCGCTTGGAAGCCGCAAGCGACGAAGACAGCCAACAGAATCATTCTTACTCTGGTACGGACAAGAGCCAATCCAGCGATGGTTAGGAACAGAACGTAAGAGCACTTGAATTCCTGCGGAATAGTCCACAAATGGACATCGTATCTGGAATCGGGCCAATGCTTGTGTGTGAAGATGTCAAACAGCCGAAGGGTCTCGTGTGTACAGTCTCTTGCTTGTTCCCAGAAAGTCGGCAATATCTGGGGCTGTGGGTCGTGGGCCCAGCCAAGGAAGATGGATCTGAAAACATCCTCGGGTCCGGCAATTGAGTTGGGGCCATCGTAGATGCCTAGACGAAGTGCGAAGAAGACAATTAGAGTTGAGGCAATGCAAGGGAGGTAAAGGCGTAATGGACGTCTCAGAATGGATGAGGCAAGGGTGCGCATCAGCTGTTCGTAGGAATTTTTTCTGATCAGTTTCAGTGCCTTGAGCGACAAGGCGTAGCCAGAGATGACGAAAAAGACGGCAACCATGGCCTCTCCACTGTACAGGAGTCTCAAGATGGGTAGTTGCAGCAAGTAATGATTCTCATTTGGATGCTCGGGGTCCTTAACCGTGCCGTATGAGATCAGACCTTTTCGGTGATAGCAGAACTCGAAGTGACGAAGGAAGACGAAAAAGGCAGCCCATCCACGAGCGCCGTCCAGCCAAGCAGTAGGAGAGACACGAGTTGGTTTGTGAGGCACATCGACGACAAGATGGTGTAAGAAGCTGGGCAGAAGCGCGAGCAAGAAGCCCGACATCTTCCTCTCCTTGTCGCCGCCAATCATGTCTGTGTTGTTGACGACGATGATGATGGCGGTGATGAGAAGCAGAAGCAGAAGCAGAAGCAGAAACGGAAGTCGAGAGCCATCGAAGACAAAAGGGAAGGCATGACTTCCATAGCTAGCTCCTCGGTAGTAAATTGGGTTCCCTTCATTGTAACTTCCTGAAACACGCAGTCATCACGTAGGCACGCGCTGTCTCCGAAAAAAGCGTCAACACTAGACATTCCAACCGCTAAGCCACGAGACTGATTGGAACAGCTGAGCTGAGTCCTACATGCCAAAGTTTATTCGGTCAACCAAACACGCTTCTGCAAGCACCGCATGATGAGTCTGACGCTGGAATCTGCTGTTGAGGCTTATGTGCTCACCATCATTTGCAGTGATCTTCAGCATTCGTAAGAGCTGTGGAGACACAAGGTTGATCCGTCTTTCGCGCCCGCGTGCTGAAGCATGCCGTAAATGTGGACTGCCATGTAGCAACTTAGACTTCCGGAAACTCATCATAATTGCTGCATCTTACAGCTGCTTGTCCGCTCAAAGACTGCGTGCCGTCTTCAAAGGTGGAGAGTCGGACGGTGAAAGATGTGGCCAACCCGCTACAGACAAGCTGTTACCAACGTGTTGATGACGCGAAGATCGCAATGAGGCCGCGGCTCAGCTGAGTAGCTTGATTCACCTTATGCATCTATTGAAGCGTTAGCCGCGCCAATTGCTATTTCCATTCTTCCGCTGGTATTGGATATAGGATGGTCAGACCATCGCCTTCCCCATCTTGCTTCTCGACCATGATCTTGGAAACGTTTTTGAAGACAGTGCTGCTGAGGTTAGCATCGGTTTATTTTTTCGAAGCCATCCCCCTTGCTGGAGACCGTCGCAATGTAGCTATAGAAATGCACAATAGTTTTCAGCATGGCGTGGTTTCTATAGACATGTAGTATCAGAGCATCTCTCTGGCCACGCTCTCTAATCAATGAGCAATCGTGCATTTCTACAGCTACATTGCGACAGTCTTTGGAACAAGGAGTGGGAGGTCACTGGTCAAGCACTCAAGAGGTTGTCATGAGCAATACGGCGTGACATTTACTACAAGAACTCACTATAAACAATCAAAGAACGCTTGTGAACAAAAACCAAGAACCAAAAACATCCCAACGTTACATCATTCCCTCTATCATACACAATTCTCTTTTGCGTTTGCGTCTCTATGCTTTTTGTGACGCCATGGGTATATTTTTAAAAGTGACATGAACGAATGCATGACCGGATGCTTTTAATGGCCGTAAGAGTCGACACGTCTACTGACTGCTTTATGAGGCAGCAGAGACGAGCTCGACGGGAGCACCCTTTGTCTTGTGAAGCAACTCGTAGGGAGGACGCTTGACAATACCACCAGTGATGGGCAGCTGAGTACCCATACCAGTGAGGTAGGAGTCAACGTCACGAGCGGCCATACGGCCTTCGTTGATACCCCAGACAATCAAAGATTGACCGCGACGGCAATCACCAGCGGCGAAGACACCAGGAAGGTTGGTGTTGTACTTGCCAGGAGGAGTCTTGACGTTCTTGCGAGCATCCTTCTCGATCTCATCACCGAGGACACGAGCCTCAGGACCAAGGAAACCCATAGAGAGCAGGACAAGGTCAGCAGGGAAGAACTCCTCGCTACCCTCAACCTGCTTCATGTCCCAACCGCCAGAAGCGCTCTTGGTCCACTCAACACGGACAGTGTTGATACCCTTGACCTTGCCAGTGCCATCGTCGACGAAGTCCTTAGAAAGGATACAGTACTCACGAGGATCCTTGCCCATGTGGGTCTTGACCTCGGAGTGACCGTAGTCAACACGATAGATACGGGGCCACTGAGGCCAGGGGTTGTCGCGAGCACGCTCAGTAGGAGGCTGGGGAAGCAGCTCGAAGTTAACAACAGACTTGGCACCGTGACGAACGGAAGTACCAATACAGTCGTTACCAGTGTCACCACCACCGATGACAACAACGTGCTTGTCCTTGGCAGAGATGTACTCGCCGTCAGAAAGACCAGAGTCAAGAAGAGACTTGGTGTTCTTGTGCAAGAACTGCATAGCGAAGTGAATGCCCTCCAAGTTACGGCCAGGGATAGGCAAGTCTCTGGCGACGGTAGCACCGGTGGCAAGAACAACGGCGTCGTGCTCGGCTCTGAGGGACTCGAGGGTAACATCACCCTCACCAACCGATACACCAGTGACGAAGTTGATGCCCTCGGCAGCCATGAAGTCAACACGGCGCTGGACGACGTTCTTGTCGAGCTTCATGTTAGGGATACCATACATGAGCAGACCACCGACACGGTCGGCTCTCTCGTAAACGGTGACACTGTGGCCAGCCTTGTTGAGCTGGTCAGCAGCTGCCATACCAGCTGGACCGGAGCCGACAATGGCGACAGTCTTGCCACTGCGGACCTGAGGAGGAGAAGGAACCATCCAGCCCATCTCGAAACCACGGTCAATGATGGCGCACTCGATGGACTTGATGCCAACGGGGTCCTCGTTGATGCCAAGAACGCAAGCACCCTCACAAGGAGCAGGGCAGACACGACCAGTGAACTCAGGGAAGTTGTTGGTCATCAGCAGTCTGTTCAGGGCGTCTCTCCATTGGTTTTGGAACACCAATTCGTTCCATTTGGGGATGATGTTGGAGATAGGGCAGCCAGTGTCCGACTGACAGAAAGGTACACCACAGTCCATGCAACGAGCGGTCTGGTATTTGAGCTCGTCCTCGTTCAGACGCTGAGAAAGCTCCTGCCAGTCGCGAGTTCTGGTCTTGGCGCTGCGGTACTTCTCCGAGCGACGCTGGTACTTCATGAAACCCTTCGTCTTGTCGAGGACGAGGGCCGAGCGCTTCTTCTCAGCCTTGCCATCTTGGACACTCTCCTCGATATCGAGAAGGTCATCCTTCTTCTTCTGACGGTCCTCAGCCTCGTTCTGCTTCTTCTTGGAGTCCTCGTGGAGAGAGCGAACAGGGTTGCCGGGCATGATGGGGAGAGGGTATTGGGCTCTCTTGGCTTCGGCAGCTTTCTTGGCCTCCTCCTCCATGACGCGCTTGTAGTCGGTAGGCAGAACCTTGACGAAGCGGTGGAGGGCACGCGAGAAGTCGAGGAGAACACGAGCAGCAAGCTCGGAACCAGTGTAGTGGTGGTGGTCCTCGATAAGACCGCGAACGAAGGCAATCTCAGCAGGGTCTTCCAGAGGAGAAAGCTCGACCATCTCCTGGTTGACCTTGCCCTCGAAGTCACGCTGCATGTCAAGAACATAAGCGATACCACCAGACATACCAGCAGCAAAGTTTCTACCAGTAGGTCCAAGAATGAGAACACGACCACCAGTCATGTACTCGCAACCGTGGTCACCAACACCCTCGACGACGGCAGTAGCACCGGAGTTTCTGACAGCGAAACGCTCAGCACCCATACCACGGAAGAAGCACTGACCGCTTGTAGCACCGTAGAGACAGGTGTTACCGACGATAACGTTCTCCTCAGCCTTGAAGACTGCGTTTCTGGGAGGGTAGACGATCAAACGACCACCGGACAGACCCTTACCGACATAGTCGTTGCAGTCACCCTCAAGCTCAAGGGTGATACCGGGTGCGAGGTAGGCACCGAAGGACTGACCAGCAGAGCCACGAATATTGGCGTGGATGGTGTCAGTGGGCAGACCCTTCTCGCCGTAGCGCTTGCTGACTTGGTATGAAAGAGTAGCACCAAGAGCACGGTCAGTGTTGACGACATCGCACTCGATGCGGCAAGGGTGTCCCTTCTCAAGAGCCAGCTCAGACTCGGAGATGAGCTTGTTGTCGAGACGGACATGGAGCTTGTGGTCCTGCTTGCGGACGTTGTAGGTGGCAACGCCAGAACGGAGGGTGTGTGCAGGTGTCAAGATGAGGGAAAGATCGATGTTCTCGGTCTTTCCGTTGCGGAGGTCGTCACGAACGCGCAGAGCCTCGGTACGGCCAACCATCTCGTTGATGGTACGGAAACCAAGCTTGGCCATGATAGCACGAAGCTCGTTGGCGACGTAGTAGAAGAAGTTAATAACGTGCTCGGGGGTACCCTTGAACTTGCTTCTCAATTCGGGGTCTTGAGTGGCGATACCGACAGGGCAGGTGTTCAAGTGGCACTTTCTCATCATGATACAGCCCATAGCGATGAGAGGAGTGGTGGCAAAGCCCCATTCTTCAGCACCCAACAAACAGGCAATAGCAACATCACGACCAGTACGAAGTTGACCATCAGTCTGGACAATGACACGGCCACGGAGGTCGTTCAGGACCAGAGTCTGGTGGGTCTCGGCAAGACCCAACTCCCAGGGAAGACCAGCGTACTTGATACCAGTCCATCTGGAGGCACCAGTACCACCGTCGTGACCAGAGATCAGGATGTGATCAGCTCTGGCCTTAGCGACACCAGAGGCGACGATACCGACACCGGTCTCCGAGACAAGCTTGACGGAAACACGAGAGCGGGGGTTGGAGCACTTCAAATCGTAGATGAGCTGCTTCAAGTCCTCAATAGAGTAAATGTCGTGGTGAGGAGGGGGAGAGATCAGACCGACACCAGGAGTGGAGTGACGAGTGCGAGCAATGGGTCCAGACACCTTGTGTCCAGGAAGCTCACCACCCTCACCAGGCTTGGCACCCTGAGCCATCTTGATCTGAAGCTCATCAGCGTCAGCCAGATAGGCACTGGTGACACCGAAACGACCAGAGGCGATCTGCTTGATGGCAGAGCGCATAGTGTCGCCGTTGTCCATGCGCAAGCTACGCTCTGGGTCTTCACCACCTTCACCGGTGTTCGACTTACCACCCAATCTGTTCATGGCAACAGCAAGGGTAGAGTGCGATTCCATCGAGATGGAACCGTAGGACATGGCACCAGTAACGAATCTGCGGACAATCTCAGTCCAGGGTTCGACCTGGTCGATGGGAACAGGAGAACAGTCTTCGAAGTCGAAGTCAAGGAGACCACGAAGGGTACAATTCTTGATCTGCTCGTACTCAGATCTGGAGTAAGCTTCGTAGGACTTGTCGTTCTTAGTACGGACAGCGTCCTGGATATTGGCAATAGAGGTAGGGTCGTTGACGTGAGGCTCACCGCCATCACGCCAGTGGTATTCACCAGTCTCGGCAAGACCAGGGATCTCCAAAATGTTGCGGCTAGGGTAACCCTTCTCGTGGAGAGCGAAGGCGTCCTGAGCGATAAGCTCGAAAGTCATACCCTTGATACGAGTGGCAGTACCAGTGAAGCAGCGGTCAACAACAGAGTCATCGATACCAAGAGCCTCGAAGATCTGTGCACCCTTGTAACTCTGAAGAGTGGAGATACCCATCTTGGACATAACCTTCAGGATACCACCGTCCAGGGAGTGTTTGTAGTTGTCAATGAGCTGCTCAGGAGTGAGCTTCTTTCTGATCAGACCCTCACGAGCCATCTTCATGATACACTCAATTGCAAGGTAAGGGCAGATAGCGTCAGCACCGTAACCGACGAGAACACACATGTGGTGAACCTCACGAGCTTCAGCAGTCTCGACAACCAAAGCGACCTGGGAACGCCACTTGTTGCGGACAAGGTGGTGGTGTACCATACCAGTAGCAAGGATGGCGGAAACGGCGACACGGTCAGCTGAGGTGGCGCGATCAGACAGGACAATGATTCTGTCATTCTTCTCGATGGCCTCTGCAGCCTGGTCACAGATGCGGTCAAGAGCATCAAGGTAACCTTGGATACCCTCCTTCTTGGGGAAGGTAATGTCGACGGTGTGAACATTCCACTCGCGGTGCAGCTGCGAGATCTGGTTCAGAGCATTGAACTCTTCGATAGAAAGCATGGGCGAGGGGAGAAGGAGACGGTGGCACTGAGAGGGGCTCATCTCGAGCAAGTTGCCTTGAGGACCGACGTAAGCCTCGAGCGACATGACAACTGCTTCTCTGATGGGGTCGATAGGAGGGTTAGTGACCTGAGCGAAGAGCTGTCTGAAGTATTCGTAGAGTAGACGGGGCTGCTGTGCCAGACATGCCAATGGGGCATCGTTGCCCATAGATCCAAGAGCTTCCTTGGAATCGGCAGCCATGGGCCCAAGCAACAAACTGACCTGCTCAAGCGAGTAACCGAAGGCCTTCAGTCTGGGGTCTTCCTGGACTCTGGTCTCTGACAAGGTGAAGCCGAGGTCGGCACCCTTCTCGCTGAGCTTGTCATGAACACCGGGCATGGTGATAAGCTGGCTGCTGATCCAGCTCTGGAAGTCCTTGCGCTTAGAGACAGTCTGCTTCAGCTCGGCATCATCAACAATGCGACCAGCGACAGTGTCAACCAGAAGCATCTTACCGGGCTGAAGACGGCCCTTTTGAACGACCTTTTCAGGCTCGATGGGGATAGTACCGACCTCAGAAGCGCAAACAATGCGATCATCGTCTGTGATGTAGTATCTGCAAGGACGGAGACCGTTTCTGTCAAGGTTGGCACCACAGTATCTGCCGTCGGCGAATGTGAAGAGGGCGGGACCATCCCAGGGCTCCATCATACAGGCTGCCCACTCGTAGAAGGCCTGCTTGGCAGGGTCCATGGCGCGGTTTCCTTGCCATGCCTCAGGAACCATAAGCATGACTGCCTCAGGCAGAGACAAAACACCGTTGATGGTGAGAAGCTCGAGAACGTTATCGAAAGCAGCAGAGTCAGAGCCTCCGTCTTCAATGATAGGCAAGAGCATCTCCAACTCGTCACCGAACAAGTCGGACTTCATCAAACCCTCTCTTGCGCGCATCCAGTTCTTATTTCCACGAAGAGTGTTGATTTCTCCGTTGTGAGCTGCCCATCTAAGAGGCTGTGCTCTGTCCCATGAGGGGAATGTGTTTGTGGAGAAACGAGAGTGGACCAGGGCAAAGTGGCCCTCGTAGTCAACATTGACCAAATCGAAGTAGTATTCGTAGACCTGGACGGGAGAAAGTTGTCCCTTGTAGACAATGTTCTTGTTGCTCAACGAACAGAGGTAGAACCAGTTGTGCAGGCCAATGACGTGGGTGACACGCTTGCGCAGGACATATAGCTGGCGCTCGAAGTAGGGCTCGTCGAATTCAGACTCAAAGGACTCCTTGGGAGCATTGCCATCACCAAATGCAGACTTAAGAACAATGAATGGCTGGAGAATGATAGGTTCTCTAGAGGCAGCTGCAGGACCGAGCAACGAAGAGTCGCGGGGGACCTCACGCCAGCCCAAGACTCGCAGATCAAGGCTGTCTGCGGTTTCCTCGAATGTGTTCAGTGTGTCCTTCAGAACCTCGGTGTCGGGCTTGAAGAAGACGTTTCCAGCAGCGTATTGTCCTTGCTTGGGCAATGTGTATCCTTGCTCCTTTGCGAAGTTCTTGACAAAGAACTTGTGAGGGATCGATGTCATGACACCTGCACCGTCACCGTCACGCGCATCCGAACCTACAGCACCACGATGTGTCATGTTGCAGAGGAGGTTTCGTGCATCGCTGACAATCTTGTGGCTTGCAGTACCCTTAATGTGGCTATTCAGAGTCAGATGTTGAACTTATCCCAGCACTGCAATGGCGCAACTTACGCAGCAAAACCGACACCACAAGCATCCTTCTCAAGCTCAGGGTCGTAGAGACCCTGCTTCAATGGGAGTGCACCAGCCCATGACTTGTTCTGTGGCGTGTTCTCATACGGGTAGATGTTTACAGGTTCATCTTCCTCGATGGTGGTGTTCTCAACTGGTTCTTCGAAAGACACTCGACCCATTCTTTCGGCCTGGAGCCGAGTACGAGAGATCCTAGGGGTATAAAAGACAGGCGTGGACCTTTGGTGGCGAAGGGAGATCTTATCGAACTCGTCTATGGAATCTAAGGTCAGCCAAATGCTATCGGATTGATATGGCGAGGGCGCTAGTGTGGCAAGCAAAGAGTGATGTGGCAAGAAGGAGAAGTTGCAGTTCGGTCGACAGGGAGGAGGCAGGGCGTTTCAGATGATGCGCAGACAAATGATCGTCCGTCTAATCACGTCTCCGCTGCACGGAGTATGCCATCTGGAGAAGAACGGTATTTGCGGGGGGAGGCAAAAGAAAGTGGTGCAGGTATTGATAAGGCGAGAGCTCTAGCGAATGAGGGGCTAGAAATCCGCAGCGTGTGCAGCCGGGAGAAAGCTTACCTACACTTAATTGGAGAGCGCTCTGATGGTCTGAGTGCAGAGCGTATTCCAGGCGTAAGTTATGCGAGGTAAAGACGAGACGAAGAGGGTGAGGGAACGGCCACGCTTTTGTAAATTGGCCGCGAAGGTGGGGATTCAACTAGCGCAGCATGGCAAGCAAAGGCAATAAATGCTTCCGCTCTTCACGGGAGCAACCATCTTGTGCAGCACACACAATGATTAAAAACTTGATACTGCCGTGCTCTTGTACAATTGGAATGTCAAACAAGAAATATCTTTAGCATCCTATTTCCTCATCATAAATGCAACGAGCTCGAAGCTCTCTGATCATAAAGCTGTGGCTTGTTGCCTTCTCAACAACATCTCATGGTTCTGGTATGAACTATACACAATTCTACTGGCCCAACCTAGATGACCTCTGTCTCTTTATTCAAGTTGAAGCCATGGTCTTTACTTTGAATAATTGTCATGTCGTGTCTACCATGTTCCTAGGCTCCTAGCTCGGACGCGCACATCTGCTTGATAAACAGCGACCAAGACAAAAGATTTCCCCGGACCCTTGAGCTGCCATGGCCCGGTGGCTGGGTCAGCAAACCATCTCATTGGTTGATCTTGGTTGCATCTCCATTAGCCGAATGCTAATTGGCCCGACCGGACGTCAGGGTTTCGTGAGAGTCATAGCGACATGTCAGAGATGCTCTTATCGCTGCTCTCAAAACCCACGTCTGTCGCTGATCGGAGCGTGCCATTCAGGTGGAAAGCTGGGGTCGCTATTCATGGCCGAATTGCATTCACTATAGCGTGCTCGATGAACAAGTGAACGCGAGTCTTGTTTCTTCGATAACGACAGCAATCTGCAATCAGGTGTCGTATTTCATCCTCCTCAACCATTGAGGTGAAGGACAGACTTCGGTGAGCTCGGGCGAGCGTGACAACCAACGGGAGCAGTCGGAACAACGGACTGTGGATGGCTCAAGCCAGCCCTGAACGGCTTGGTGCAGCTGGTAGCAAAATTCCCCTCGCAATCCGCAACCTCCACGGCACCCACCGATACCGGCAGAGCTCTTAGGCAAAAATGTCCTGTTACAATCACAGTTGCCGCCATGTAGGCGAGGTCCATTGAGTGCTCCAGCCGACATATCCAGCGAATGGCGCATTGACACATGAGGTGACTTCTGAAGATGCCGAAAAAAATTCACTTGTTGACCTGCTCGTGTCGGTCGAATGTTAGTCCGCCATTTGCAACAGTTCTGGTGACGCTGGACAACAGGGAGAGTTTTGGTGGGTGATCTGGACCTAGGTCCATGTGTATTCTTCAAAGTGATTACTGCTCATAAAGATTCGTTTTGCTGATGATCATCTGGTATGCCCAAGCCATGCGCCGCGACTCCTTGAATGCTGAAAAACATGTATCCATCCTCCTGCCCGAGACGCCTTGCACAGCTGCACAATACCCAATGCCTGCTGTGGCAGTAATGATCGTGAAAAGGTAAGGTGAAGACTTTTCGCACTGCGCTGATAGTGGCAGCAGCAGAGGTTGTTCCAAGGCGCGTCTCTACTGCTGCATCTCCTCAGGGTCCTCGAAGTCATCGTCCTCATCTTCATCTTCCTCGTCGTCGAGACCTTCGGCAGCCTTGGCAAAATCGATAGTCTTGCCGCGAGTGCGTCTGCCACCAGAGATGATGTTGCTCTCGTCGATCTCCTCCATGTTGTCTTCTTCGCCCTCCTCCTGTTCCTCTGTTCTTTGTCAGTCTGGTTGCGCATGTGTAGCTCGCTGAGGGTGGTTCCTACCAGGGGCGGCCTGTAAAGATTGGTCAGCACACGTTCTTGAGAAAGTGACAAAGATGTAACTCACCTGTTCTTCCTCTTCAGAAGAGCTGTCATCATCCATGTCCAGGTCCTCAACAGCCTTGGCCTTGCCCTTGCCGCTGGCCATCTGGGCGTGGACCTGCTGATGTTCGGCCTCGTTGAGGGCCTGGGAAGTGGTCTTGTTCTCGTCGCTCATGGTTGCGGTTGTTATGATGGATTTGTTGGGATTGAAGATGTAGAATGTGGATGTGCGATATGCGAAAGATGGTGTGGTGAAAGTCGACAGTAAACACAGCTCAGATGTTTGCGCGCGAACCGTTGCCGCGGTCTGGAAGCTCGGCGGGTTGTGAGGATAGAGAACGTTCCAAATTGCCAAGTCCAGCACTTTTGAGTCTTGCTGATGGTAGATTGTATGCAAAGAAGTGATGATGACTTCGTTACCTGTGGAGTCAAGTGAGTATGAAGCTGATTGATATAATCAATTCTTCTTTATCTACTAGCATATGTTCCAGAATCAGTAACTACTGAACTGCATCATTGCGATGTCCGTCTAACCACCGTCAGACACAGACAAAACGTTCTGTAACATGTCCTAGATTAATTGATACGCGTCGCGTCTTCGTGCTCACTTTCCAACGCGTCTATACTGAGATTATCCATGAGTGCAAGTGAGAGCAGCATCTGCTTATCGACCCTCTCCAAAACATCAAAATGGCTTCAAAACCTCGTGCCAGACCGGCTCGTAAGATTCTCGAGTGGTAAACTGTCATAGTAGTCCTGACTAACTCATCTCCAGACGCCCCTGGACCAACCTATCTAGCATACACACCTAACGGCAACAAGTTGATCACAGTTGGGTTGAACAATGTCATCCGCATCTTCACTACTGGATCTGATGCTGAGCCTGTCAACATTGATGTTGTTCAAGACTCTCATACTGCGGTGGCTGCAACCAATGACTTTTTCTTGACTGGTTCAGAGGATGGTAGTGTTTGCAAATACTCCCTGCTCACCCACTCTTTGGAAGAAGTTCTTATCCGGAGCACTTTGCCTATCAGGGATGTTTCTATCTCACCGGACGGATTATGGGCTGCGGTAGCATCTGAGTAAGGATTCTAATGAAAACATCTGCCATCTTGTACTGATGAGAACTACAGTGAACTGGTTGTAAAGATTGTTAACACATACGATATGACACGGGTCATGTATCTCAGAGACCAAACCAGACCAGTCAAGCATGTATCCTTCGATCACAGTGGCTCTCATCTGGCTGTCTCTTGCTCTGACGGCATGGTCTATGTCTACTCGCTGAGTTCAGAAGAGCCAAAACTTGTCAAACGACTCGATGGTCTGATCAAGATCATGGAGACAGACTCTCAAGCCAGCTCAAAAGTCACATGGCACCCTGATGGAAGAGCACTCTGCGCTCCTACGCCAACAAAAACCGTCCAAGTGGTTTCAAGGAATGACTGGACAAACCAAAACGCTTTCAAAGCTGATGGACGAGGAGACATTACTGCTGTATCTTGGTCACCAAATGGTGCTCTACTTGCTACAGCTAGCGACGACCTCAGCATCACCTTGTGGAACGCCTCGACACAGCAGCCTGTGGTCAAATTCAACAGCGACCGTGAACCTGTGTTGGCTCTTGCCTGGCATCCCACCGAGAATCTTCTGTCGTACACCACCAACGACGGAGAACTGTATATGCACACTGGAATCATACCGCAAGAACATGAAAATATGATCCGAAAAACACTTGTCTCTGCACCTTTCCTGAACGAGCGTCATACTGAGGACGCTGCGAGAACTCTGGTTAACGGTGGTGTCAGGCCTGGTGCTCAGCGCAGAGCAGGAACGCCTGACTCACTCGACGATATACTGGGAGACGACGGATTGTCCGAGAACGGGGATGCCTTTATCGTAGACGACGATGGTGCAGGATATGCTGAGGAAGTCAACGGCAACGGCAAACGACCTGGACAGCACACTGCATACCCACCCTCAAAGCGACCTCAACAATACGGTAGTGCTAGATGGCAGCCTCGTCCACACGAACCCTTCCAGCCGGGTAGCACCCCTTGGAGAGGCAATCGTCGTTACCTGTGCCTGAACTTGACTGGCTTCATCTGGACGGTCGACCAGGATACCCACCACACAGTGACTGTGGAGTTCTACGATCGTGCCGCTCACCGCGACTTCCACTTCACAGATCCTTTCCTTTACGACAAGGCTTGTCTTGGTGAGCATGGTGCAGCCTTCTCATGCCCATCCTCAGATCAACATCCCAGTCTTGTCTACTTCCGCCCTCACGAAACTTGGACATCGAGGACAGACTGGCGAACACAGCTGCCTGCAGGGGAAGAGGTCACATCACTGAGTCTCAGCACGAGTTTCGTGGTCGTCACAACCTCAAAGGGATATGTTAGAGTCTACACACTCTATGGTTTGCCTTTCAAGGTCTACAGACAGAAGAGCACTCCAGCTGTAGCATGTGCATCATGGCGCGACTATATCCTCACAGTAGGCAATGGTCCAATCGGAGGCGACGGCACAGCTAAGCTCGTATACACAATCGAGAACGTAAAGCGCGACGAAGTCTGCCAGTCTGAAGACGTTCTCCCTCTCCCCGAGCAATCAGAATTGCAATCGGTCTTTTGGTCAGACAGAGGCGACCCCTGCATCTACGACTCAGACGGTGTATTGCTAGTATGCTTACACTGGCGAACACCCGGCCAAGCAAAATGGGTACCTCTCCTCGACACCAATCAACTCGATCGTCTCGCCTCTGGCCGCAAGGAAGAAGCCTACTGGCCAGTTGCAGTCGCCATGGACAGATTCCACTGTATCATCCTCAAAGGTGGAGAAAAGTACCCTTACTTCCCTCGCCCACTACTATCGGACTTTGAGTTCAAGATTCCAGTCACAGCTCGTGACGAGGAGAACCAAGATGAGAGCGAGGAAAGCGATGTTCAGAAGTTGGAAGAGCAGTACGTGCGCAACTCAGTATTGTTGAGTTTGCAGGATGATTTGGTGAATCACACGCACGCCACGCATGCGCAAAAGACAGAAGCTGCGCAACGTGAGCTTGATGTGGATAAGGTGCTCTTGCAATTGCTGGCTGCCGAGTGCAGGGAAGGCGAAGAGAGAGGTATGAAGGCGCTAGAGTTGGTCAGTTTGATGAGAGACAGATCGGGCAAGATGCTCGAGGCTGCCGTCAAGATTGCAGCGAGATTTGAACGTGATGTGTTGGGAGAGAAGATTTCTGCACTTGCAGAACGAAGATTGGTTGGTTTGGCTGATGAAGAGGAGGAACTGTGAACGTCATGAAGGTCTTAGATAGGAAGTCGCCTGGAGTTTTGGCTGTACATTAATGAATCTTTTTACTTTACATCTCCCAGCATCTATTCGTCGTCAGAATCCATTAGCTCAGCCAGCTCGGCCTCCTCTTCTGCCGTGAGCATGCTCTCCTTCTTGACCTCAGGCTCTTCCTCAACCTCGATGCCGTTTTGCTGACGCTCGTACTCTTCCTTGGCCTTCTTGATTTCTGCAGGGTCAAGAGACCATACTCTTAGCGTGCCATCAATGCTAACACTGACAACACGGCTGGCTCTACTGCCTTGTGTGGGAGGTAGCAGGGCAAGACCAGTGACCTCGTTGAAATGGCCACTGAAAACACAAGCAAGCTCTCCAGAAGCAGAATTCCAGACACGCACCTCCTCATCACGGCATGCAGTGACGACCCATCCAGCTTGTTGGTCAATGACAATGTCTCGTACAAAATCGGGATGAGCAAGTGTGGTGTCTGTAGCCCAATCACGGGAGCGAACCAGTCTCTGAGCTGTCTTGTCTGAAGACGCGGTCCAAAGATCTGCATCAGCATCGGCGTCGTCGGCGTCTACGACAAGCGAGTCCTCGAAGCATAGACGATTGACAGAAGTCTCGTGAGGTCGCAGTGGAGCTGCCAGCACCTCACTAGCACTGTCAAGAGCGATCTTCCAGCTACGGATATCGCGCACAGTGTCGGCGCTGAAGAGACAAAGTTCGTCTTTTGAGGTTGCTGCTGGGTCGAGAGCCAGATCAAGGACAGCGCGGGCGTGGCCCTTGAGTGTGTGTATCTTTTTGCCTGTTTCAACGTTCCATACGATAATGCTAGAATCGGCAGAGCCAGACATAAGCACAGGAGTACCGGACAGCTCAGTTACGAGGACGCATTTCACAAAGTCTGAGTGGCCTGTGTAGCGGCGCAGAGGTTTGCGAGTCTTGAGGTCCCATGAGTGAATTGTCTTGTCCCAGCATGCAGCGAAGAGGATGGGGTCTGTTGACGATGATCTCAGGATAGTGATGGATGTCAAGGGGGCAAAAGCGCCCGTGTAGACGGTTGACTTGTCGCCAGTCTGGTTGCTGTGTCAGGGTGATGCTCTCGTCGCAATGAATAGGTTGCCACATACTTCGAGGACGACACGTCTTGCGCTACCAGCAGCTTCGGCGATGTAGACAGCATCCGGATCTTGTGGGTCGGCATGGACAGCGAGGATCTTTGAGGTCAGGGCGACGGGGTTGCCATTTTTGTTCGAGGCTTTGGCCTCTCTGCGTTTCTGCTCGGCAACCGAATCGCTTTATGGCAAGTCTCAGCGGACGCTCCCTTCTCTTGAATTTGTTCTGGTCGTCGCTCACGAAGTTTGGAAATACTTGTCGGCATCTGACTGCAACATGGTGTGTGATATTCACGCTTGTTTCGTCCGGCTTGATGTTTCTCAACAAGGCCCTGAAATGTACGGACCTTCTCGCCATGATCCGGAGCTTTGACCGTGCGCTCCTTCTCACCCAAAATACTGCCTCCCCTGCTGTAACCCTGCGGCTAAAAGCAATCCTTTGGAGATACTTTTTCGACGATGAACTCTATCTTTTCTATACTCAACTTTGCTGTTGATGCTCTGCTGCCATGATAGTGACTGTATACCGAGTATTTGTGCATCTCGCACGCAGACAAGATTGTGCTTCGACCCACAGTTCCCTCTGCTTTTCCCCAGCTGGTTCATCGGCCACATCTCGCCTTGAGCCGTCGTGACTCGCCATCACCTCATCTTCATGCCTCTTTGCATGAATCGTTGAAACCACAAGACCATTGATCACCGTGTGCCATCATTGACTTACGCATACCATTGAGAATCCACTTCTCACACCATGTTCCACCATCTTAACCTGGTGCATTTCACCTTCCTTCCCGCCTGCAAGTCTCTCGTGGCTAGCCAATCGACCGGAAATTTTGCATGCGCCTCTTGAATCCTACACGGCTTCTAGTTTCATCTACAACGCCATCAACGCCATCAAAAACTTCCATGATACGGCATTCGCTTGCCTAATTCTGCCTAGAATCTCTTTTTCATTATTCAGTCAACCGATCTACTACGCCCGTATCTTGCCTGACTCTCTCGTAATGGCGTCCTCGTTCGGTTGAGGCTTGAGCGACCAACGTTGGCCATGTTGCATCCGTCGGCATTGAGAACCCAGGGCCAATTCGGTTCCTTTGCGCTTAGTATATTAATCCATCAGGGTCTTTTATTGTGCCCACAAAACCTGCAAGTCCAGACGTCTATATCGCTTGTGGATCCTTGGCTCAAAGCTCCCACTCTGTGGCTTGGACCAACCTCAAAGTCTAATAGCGAGATTGTTCTGCCGCCGACGTCTCATAGGTCTGCTCCTTCCGTGCATTCTATGCATCAAGCAGATCCTGCGCTCGGCATGCTGCCGCATCCTCTAGAGCTTGCTATTCGTGACAAGCTGCTATCCTTCCTAGAACCTCTCTCTCTGCCAAGTGTGCGGCGTGGCTGATTGTAAGAATTGACTGTCGTCAATAGTACAAGGCCAAAAACTATACCTGTATAACAATATAACCACTGTCTAGCAAACGGGAACGCTCAAAACCGTGCTGAACTCCGGACGCTCGTCTAGTCAAAGTTCGGCAGATGGGTCCACACCCCCAACTGCAACGCTGCCCACCGCCCAGCCTCTAGGGTGATCGAAGGTTCGCATACATATCGCACGGGCCGTCCGCGACCCTCTATTGTTTTACAATCACTTCAGATCTTTTGCGCCACGCTGAGGTCGGTTGTTCAACTCTTTAAAGTGCTGGGAGCTCCCATTCCGAAAGCCTTTCTCGAGTCCTGATAACCATGTCTGTTGCCCAAGCACGCCCTGGCAGTAACGACACCATGGACCACACCATCGCCTCCACGTCTTCAGCTAGCGTCATGCCCGAGACTGCCACCAAGCCCGGTCTTACATCTGGAACTCAGGAAGTTCGCAGTTTTGACGGTATCGACGACGATGCCGACCTCGACTACCACGGTCATCTTCGCAGCGCTCAAAACGATGATGGCTTCACCCGTACCGATGCACGTGAGATGAAGCGTATGGGCAAGAAGCAGGAGTTGAGAAGAAACTTCCGAACTCTATCAACGATTGCTTTCACCATCATTCTCCAAGGAACTTGGGAGGTCCTTCTGACTGCTACCACCCAAGGAATGACCAACGGTGGTCTCGCAGGCTTAGTGTGGTCCTATATCTGGACCTTCTTCGGTTTCATCTTTGTTGTCCTCTCGCTGGCCGAGATGGCTTCCATGTGCCCAACTGTAGGTTTGCACTACACTAACCATACTTTCTACACATTGTACTGACTCTAATTAGGCTGGCGGTCAATACCACTGGATCTCTGAATTTGCTCCTCCTTCACAACAGAAGATCCTGAGTTTCCTCGGAGGCTGGATGTCTACTCTCTCTTGGCAAGCTGGTACAGCCTCTGGTCCGTACTTGGTCGGCACTCTCATCCAGTCATTGATCTACGAGAACGACACAAGCTACGAATTCAAGAACTGGCAAGGCACCCTGTTTGTCATCGCCATCGCTTTGGTAGTTTGGGCCACCAACATCTGGGGAGCTAGAGCAATGCCCGTCTTCCAGAACCTCATGATGATTGTCCACGTCTTTGGCTTCTTGGTTATCATCGTCATGATTTGGGTCTTGGCTCCTAGAAATACAGCATCAGATGTCTTCGGCACTTTCACCAACTCTGGTGGCTGGAGCTCTATGGGTCTCTCCCTGATGGTTGGCCAGGTCTCAGCAGTCTATGCCTGTATCTGTTCCGATGCAGCTGCTCACGTCTCGGAAGGTAAGCCTCTTGCTATCTGACATGGCAATACACTTAAGCTAATCAACCCGCAGAGGTCAAGGATGCTGGAAGAAACGTTCCCAGAGCCATGATCTGGTCATACTTCTTGAACGGTGCTCTCGGTCTTGTTTTCCTCATCACCTACATGTTCAGCGTTGTCGATCTTTCCGGTGCTGTCGATGATGCCAGCAACGGCTCAGGCTACCCATACATGTATGTCTTCACCAAGGCCTTCAGCATGCCCGCTTTCAACACACTCTCGGCTATCGTCGTTATTCTGATCTACGCCGGCACACTGTCCTACAACTTGTCGACTTCTCGTCAGACTTGGTCTTTCGCTCGTGACCAAGGTCTGCCCTTCAGCGACTGGATTGCAAAGGTCGACCCTAAGCTCGAGGTGCCAATCAACTCGGTCACCGCTACCACTGCATTCACCATCATTCTCTCGCTCATCAACATTGGTTCCGACGCTGCCTTCAACGCCATCGTCTCGCTCAACCTCACCTCTCTGATGATCACCTACATGGTCAGTATTGGCTGTGTCCTCTACCGCCGCCTGACAAACCCAGAGCTTCTGCCCAACTGCAGATGGTCCCTCGGCCGCTGGGGAGTGCCTATCAACACTTTTGCTGTGTTGTACTCCACTTTCGTGTTCTTCTGGATGTTCTGGCCTCAGACAACCTCCAATGCCGCTGCTGACTTCAACTGGTCGGTGCTCATGTTCATGGTTGTTTTAATTGTTGCTGTGATCGACTGGATCTTCAGAGGAAGAAAGGTTTATGCTGGTCCTGTTGTCCTGACCGAGGGCTACAAGGGCGAGTAAACTGCGGACGCCTGCACCAAAAGAATGATCTGTTTGTTTTCTGTTCATATGTGCATCTAATTTAGAGAAGTTAATGCTTCATGGTCATGATAAATCATATACCATTCCACAAGAGTTCGTACAATTGTTTGTCCTGCAACAACTTGCGAAGTCAATTCGCACCTTCCCCGCTCTTCTCGCCGAGGTCGGTCATCCGTCGTACCCACTCTATCCGCATGTATTGTAGTAAGTCCATGGGCACTAAGGACCATCAGATAAACACATTGTCGAGATACATACCTTCTTTGATCACTTTTCGCGGCCAAGGCTTGCTGGACACATACCTACCTTGCAAAGACCCTCCATCTCCATCACCATCAAGCAACAACCAAACAAACACATCAACCAGTAACTATAGTTATGAGCGCCAAAGTCCTTCGTGCAGCAGCATGCCACGTCTCTCCGGTCTTCCTCTCCGCCTCTGCAACAACGCAAAAAGCCATCAACCTCATACGACAAGCAAGTGCGAATAATGCCAACCTAGTCGTCTTTCCAGAAACCTACATCTCTGCCTTTCCCATCTGGAGCGCTATACGGGCGCCTACAGAAAACCACGACCTCTTTAAGCGTATGGTCGCAGAGTCTGTATATGCTGATGGCCCGGAGATTGAAGCTATTCGCGCTACAGCACAGAAACTGAACATCATGGTTAGTGTTGGAATTTCAGAGAAGGCGAGGTATAGCAGTGCAACACTGTGGAACTCGAATGTTTTGATTGGGAGTAATGGCGAGATATTGAACCATCATCGCAAACTGCAACCAACATTTTTCGAGAAGCTGACTTGGAGCTCTGGAGATGGACATGGGTTGAGAGTCAGCGAGACGCCGTACGGCAAGATAGGAAACTTGATTTGCGGTGAAAACACAAACCCTTTGGCGAGATACGCACTGATGGCCGAAGGAGAGCAAATCCACATATCGACTTGGCCTGCTGTGTGGCCCACCAGAGCTCTTCAACCAGACGTCGTGGTCTCAAAAGGGAAAAACTACGATAATTTGGCTGCTAATAGGACAAGAGCTGCTGCTCATTGCTTTGAGGCAAAGTGTTTCGGCATCATCAATGCTGCATTCTTGGACGAGCAAGCAATTGACATTGTCGCAAAAGGTGCTAGCAATGAAGCTGGTGTCAGACAGACATTACAGCTTTCTCAGCGAGCAGCTACCATGTTCCTCGATCCCACCGGCATGCTGAAGCCTGGGTTTACTGTCGATGCGACAACAGGCAAAAAGCAGGAAACCGACTACTTGCAGGACAGAGAAGATATTCTTTACACAGACATGGACGTGGAAGAATGTATCGAAGGCAAGCAGTACCACGATGTTGTTGGTGGCTATCAGAGATTAGATGTGTTCGATCTGCAGGTTGATCGAAGTCGAAGAGAGCCAGCCAGATTTGTGGAAGGATTGCGTGACGACAAGGTCGAGTTTTGAATTGTCATCGAGCAGCAAAGCAACGTAGGCAAAATTTCCTCTTGAACTTCTATTTCTTGCTATGTCCTTGTGTGGTTGCCTTTTGCGGGTAGTGCACAAGAGATCGGAGCGTGCCTTCCGGTCGATCGACTATGTTCGAGTCAAGACGATCTCAGTGTCACGAAGCCACCTACCGCCTCATTTGTACACTAACTACTACTGCGTACTGGATGCGGTCAAAAATCTTTGCTGCTATCGAGGTGCCACTTCACGAATTATCCTGTGGGTTTTGTGACCTGCTCCGAGGTTAGGGCTGCTTGTCTATACCAATGCCAACGGTCTGACGTAGCCAAAAGCGAGATCACCAGCAATTAGGTTTCTCCCTGCGCGACCATGACAGCGTGAATACAAAGGCCGCTTGGTCCTTGCAAACACAAAAACCAAATCATGCTGCCCTTCTTGTCTTCGAATGCTTTTGTCTCATAGCGCCATCATGAAAAGTACCTTCGGCCTTGCATTGAGCACACAGCTGCTTCTAACTCAAGCTGCACCACTCGCTGCCAACTATTTCGGTAGACCTGCGCAGAATGCAACATTCGACTATGTTGTCATCGGTGGTGGTACAGGAGGTCTAGCGACCGCATGGCGTCTTGCCGAAGCGAATCATTCGGTAGCGGTCATTGAAGCAGGCGGCTTTTACGAACAGGAGAATGGCAATGTCTCTGTCGTGCCGGCATATAACCAAGACTACAACTACATCACACCGGACTCGCAGTGGGATGCACCTTTGGTGGATTGGGGTTTCTTGACTACACCACAAGCAGGTGCTCAAGGACAGAGATTCCACTACGGTAGAGGAAAGATGCTCGGTGGCTGGTGAGTGGGTTTTCAGCAATGTGCATTACATGACTGACACTATTCGCAAGTTCTGCTGAAAATGCTATGAACTACAACCGTCCTACAATTGGCGCTCTTCAAGCATGGGCCGACCTTGTCAACGACTCAAGCTATACCTGGGATAGCTTTTTACCATACTTCCAGGAGACAATCAAGTACACCAACCCCAACATACAGATCCGCGCATCAAACGCCTCTGTGCCCTTGATTACCAATGAGACGGGTACAGGTCCTCTGCAAGTCTCTTTCCCGCATTGGGCAACTCCAATCGCATCTTGGGCAAAGGCGGCTCTTGCAGAGATCGGTGTTGGAGATCTGCGCAGTCTGATCAATGGCAGACTGATGGGAGCTCAATATAGTCCTCTTACGCTCAATCCTAAAGACCAGACCCGAAGCTCTTCCCAGGCTTCCTTCTTGAACGCAGCGTTGAGCAACAATTCATCGAGATTGGAGGTCTATACCCACACCCTAGCCAAGCAGATCTTGTTCTCTGACAACAAGACGGCTACTGGGGTGCGAGTACAGAGTGGTCCATCTCCTGAATCTTACATACTCAGCGCCAGCAAAGAAGTAATTCTGTCCGCGGGAGCCTTCCAATCACCTCAGCTTCTGATGGTATCAGGCATCGGCCCAGCTGATGAGTTGCGCAAGTTCAACATCTCAGTGATAGCAGATCGACAAGGTGTAGGACGAAACATGTGGGACCATGTTGTGCTCAGTGTAGGACGACAAGTCGATGTCGAGACGTATGGAAGACTTGCGGACCCCGCTGCTGCCGCTCAAGCACAACAGGAATATCTCAGCCCCAACCATACTGGTATCTTGACTAACGACCAATCCGACTTCCTGGGCTGGGAGAGATTGCCAAACTCATCGAGATCCGCATTCTCGGAGTCAACTTTGAAGGACCTCTCCATGTTCCCATCAGATTGGCCGGAGGTCGAATATGAAATCTCCTCCGCTCCTTTCGGTACAACACTATTTTCTACTCCCGACAACCCAATCAACGTAGGATACATTCAGCCAGTGCTTCTCACACCTCTGTCACGCGGAAACATCACGTTGGCAAGTGCAGACATGTCTGATGCTCCATTGATCAACCCAAACTGGCTCACCCACCCGACCGATCAACAGGTCGCTGTTGCAGCATTCAAACGTGCAAGACAGTTCTTCAACACGACAGCCATCGAACCCATCCTCATCGGCGAAGAACTGCTACCTGGTCCCCAAGACTTGCCTTTCAACTCCACTGATGCAGAAATCCTTAGTTATCTGCAGGCAAACATTGGATTCAATTGGCATGCTAGTTGCACGTGTAGAATGGGGTTGAGAAATGATTCTATGGCTGTTGCCGACTCGCAGGCAAAGGTCATTGGTGTTGAGAATTTGAGGATTGTCGATGCGAGTGCTTTCCCCTTCTTGCCGCCTGGTCATCCCCAGGCTACTATTTATGCGCTGGCGGAGAAGATTGCTACTGGGATCTTGGCGGGTAGATGATGTATTTCTAGACAATGACAACGTTATTTTATGTTGTCCGTTCAAATGTATGTTCAGTCGTCATCACGTGTCAAGGCAGGAATCACCAAAGTTCAAGCGTCCTCATGGAAACCAAGCATCAAAAAACAAGCAAACGGGCGGAGCGGCACGTTTGCGACAAGCTTGCCCTGCCCCCTGCAGGGCAAACAAGCATGACGCACTGCCGACAACCAATAGCTTCAGCTCGTGCACCAGATAAACCAGTGCCTATGGTGTCTGACTTGAGCCTGCTGCGCCTGTTTGACGACGCGTCGACCCCTCATAAACCTGTAAGGACTGTAAGCTGCGTATCGACGTAAGTGGAAGCAATGCTGGAAGGCCAAACTCAAAAAGACTGCAATTCCTCTGCTATTGCTAGATCACTATCATCTTCTGACTTTCCCATACTGCATTGACTAGCTTCAGATAGTACCTCCTTAACACTCATATATCAATCAAGATGCCTCACCACGGAAAACACCACGGCGGTCACAGAGACTATAGATCTCGCGACAGCGAACGCCGCTCGAGATACCATCATGGAGAAAGCGATCGCAGCCATGGAGGAAGTGACCGCAGCCACTCGCTTTCAGAGTACAGCATCTGGGTTGCCAACCCCGTCTCCTATTTAGCTCAAACCCCCGAGCAGGACCCCAGAAGTCCCCACATACAGCTCAAGCTCACCGACGGCACAAACAGCCCTGAAGCTGATATCAACGTAAAGTCGACCAGCCAGGACAGCCGCCTCGTCTACTGGGTCAACAACAACTTCCAGCACCCCATTACCTCTCAAATTGAATCTCTGCCTCTGGGTCAGACGGTCCTTAAGCCTACCAATGGCCAACCCTCACAATACGCCCTCGACTTCTTACGCACCACACCCGCCCTCCTGGACTTGAGTGCCGGCACCATCCTGCCCGCTTCAGGCAACAACACCATCGAAGACAAACTCGAACCCATCCTGACTTCAGCCATCAACCAGAACGCCAAAGTCTATCTCTGGGGCCAGGGCTACAATGACTCCAACGGCGAGTCTGGCATCCACGATATCCACATGAACCAGGGCAACACTGGAAACTTCTCCAATGACGTGTACAGTGATGGCAGTTTCATGGTGCAGTTTGAAGATCATTGGGAGGCTGTGTTCCTGGCGTTTGCGGATCAGGAAGTGCCTACTGATAATCAGACTGGTGATCCGACTGCTGATGCTGAGCCTTTTGATGAGACTTTGTCGTCCTAGATGGAGATGCCATTGTAGAAGAAAGTGTTGACAAAGTCCATAAAACTTATCTAGACTAGAAGCTCGGCTCTAGCTCCAAATCAGACATGAACGTGTTTTGAGCGTATAATTACAGGAGTCAAATAAGTGAGCTATACACATGTGATCATAAATCATCGACAACAAATTCCGATTGCCCAAGAGCTCACTCGCACAGAACTCTGCCAGACTTTCCAAACGACCTAGCAACTCGAAATACTAGGCGAGTCCTTGACTCTAACCATCGACACACCTTTAAGGAATCTTCCAGGATGCCCACACATAAGCAAAAACACCGCCACGACCATGGGCGCAAACTCCAAACATCCAAAGTAAACCTCGTGAGTAGCCAAATCGGACTCTAAACCCTGAGCCGTCTCTGCCAATCTAAAGCATGTGCGTAGATACACAGCCAAAGACGCAACAACAAAGGCAACCAAGAACCCACGCGACACACCGTGGACACTGTTTCTTGTCTTTACGAGAATACACACCAGCACAATCAGAAACAGCGCAAAGGAGACCACTTGGAAACAGAGGCCCGAGAATAAGATGGTGTTGTAATCGGTCGGGTCTTCGCGGTTGGAGTAGGCTGTTCCCACCAATGCAGCGCCGACGATTTGGAGGACTGTGGCTATGATGTCGCAGCTTACAAAGCCCCAGAGGATGAGTTTTGGCGGTAGAGGAGAACAGTGACGACCGTAGAAGTTTGTCAAGACGGAGGCGATGGAGTAGATGGATGCGCTGAAGAAGACGGGTGCGACGACAATGCAGAAGTACTGGTTTTACTATGTGTTAGTGGGATTTGGATGCAGCAAAAGTGTGGCAAGAAGTACCTGAGCAACAAAGTAGGCTACTGCATAGGGGTTGTCGACGTTGGAGAGGATGCGGAAGATGTAGCCGATGATTTCCATTGCGGTGCCTATGGCGATGGGGATGAAGTACCAGGTACGGTACTTGGATAGAAGAAAGACATGTCCAACAAAGCCAACGGCAAATAGAGCTATAGCAATGATAGACAGGACGAGAGATGGAACATATCTACGACAATCCGTGTTAGCGATGAGAAGTGTGTTTGGAATTAGGGGTGCTGGAGCTAACCCATAGATGATTTTATATGATTCTAACATATTGCTGTAACTTTCTGATAGTACATCTCCATCTTTCATGGGCTACCTACACTTTTATGTTGTTGTGCCAATGCATATAGAGCCAAGCGCAGGATTCATGATCAGCAGCTTGGCTACCAAGGAATCGAACTAATTCTGTCGCCTGTATAAGCACCCGTTTCTCGACCTACGCAGGTGGCTATACAATATTAGATCATTTGCTGAATACGAGGAATCGGTTGCTTGATTATACCTACGGTCGAGTATTGCTCCGCCACGGAGTAGGATTGTGTGACCGAAAAGACCTTTTGCCCGCCAAGATATGAGCCACATCCTCTGCTGCTGCATAGACCGCTTGAGATCGTCAGGCAGATCGCACACATGTCATTCTGAACCCGCTTGCGTTCAAGTTCATGATAGATCCTAGAATAGCACAAGATCCTGGACACCTATGTCACAGGTTGTCATCGTCGAGTGAGTGGCCTCCGTGTCTCTTTGAGAAGTTGCATAAATCGTTGATGTGGGTATCTACCATTCAGGGTCTTCAGAAACAGCCTGACATCCAGTTCCTCCAATGTAGTCTCGAGCCTCCGTGTCGTTGTCGACGATTTTGGGGTGCCGGCCACCTTCAGCCTTTGCGGTGTCCCATTCGAGTACACCTGTGGGATCGATGATGCACAAGACTTTTCGCTCAGTGAGGAGTCGGGTTATGTCCTCGTGAATCAACTTTCGGGCAATGAAGTTCAGAGAAAAGACTTCACGGAAGGAGAAGACAATAGCGCAAGCGTCGGAATGGTGACCGGAACCAGGCTCAGATGGATCTGGCTTTCCCAGCTCGTACGCTAATGCTCTTGTCAATCTTTCAGCACCAGGGAAGCGTACGGCACCTCGTAGCTTGAAGACGACGACTTTTCGAGCGCAGGCGGGATTTTGCTTTTCATGCTCGGTACCAACGAGGTTAGATACAGAGGTCTGAACGGTGGATCTTGCAACATGGCTGACGTCCATCATATGGAGACCCATGTCCCGTGAGAGTTGTTCACACATAGCGACACCTCGCACGCTGTTGCCACGCTCATCAATCTTGGGCGAGAAAGTGGCAAGGCCGACCTGACCAGGGAGAGCGCCAATGATGGCGCCAGCGACACCACTCTTTGCCGGGAAGCCAACGTTGGAGACCCAATCACCAGCAGCATCGTACATGCCGCAAGTGGTCATGACAGACAAGACCTGACGAACACTCGTGTGTGGTATGATCTGCTCTTGAGTGACTGGGTGAACGCCGCCGTTGGAGAGCACGGCGGACATCATGGCCAGGTCTTGAACATTGACGTTGATTGAGCATTGGCGAACGTAGCCTTTTACAGCCTCTCTGGGATCGCATGAAATAACGCCAGCAGCCTTCAGCATGTATCCAAGGGCCATGTTTCTGTCGGCATCTCTCAACTCTGCTTTGTAAACCTCCTCATCGACATACAATTGGCGACCGGCCAGCTTAGAAAGCACTTTCAGGATGCGGTCGATGCGTTCGTGTAGTGTTGCGGTGGGCGAGCAGACAAGGGTGTGAGCGGTGATGGCGCCGGCGTTGATCATGGGGTTCATGGGTCGGTTCGTATTGCGCTCGAGGGATAGTTGGTTGAATCTATCGCCTGAGGGTTCGACTCCAATCTTCTTCAGCACTTGGTCAAGTCCAGCATCCTCGATGGCGATGGCGTAGACGAATGCCTTGGCGATGGACTGGATGGAGAACTCGACCTTGTCGTCTCCTGCAGAGTAGACATTGCCGTCGACCATGGCCAGGGCGACTGCCATCTTTGACGTGTCTGCCTTGGCCAAGGTCTCGATGTAGTCGGCAGGAGCGCCCCTCTCTATCGGTCGCGTTTTCTCCAGAACATGGTTGAGATAGTCCGGAATAGGTGACTTCATGGTTGCGACAAGAGGCAAGGGATGTATGGAAGGCGCACAGAACAGGTCAGAGAAGACTTGGAGGCTTCACACCTCCGGTACAAATCTCGTCGACTCATCATCGCATTCTGCCCTTGCATCGGGAGCAGGCTCTTGCCCATTTACGTACATTTTTTGTCGCCAAGCGCCATCAAATCTCAAAAAATCTCAACGGCCTTGACGTAATCCTTTTTCATGTGACGCACGTGAATGAGTCTTATGGTTCATCTTATCAGATGGATCGGCTATCTTTCCGACTGCCTGCCATGAGTTGAGCCCCACTGCCATTCAAGCCATCCATATCGGCGCATCTTTTCCGTCTCTTCAACAACACGACATATTCTTTATTCCAAGATACGTCATATGGTATCGCCTGCAAACATCCCACGCGCATCTCTACATACATTCTTCTGACAGTCGACACACCTGTTACCGAACTGACGCGAAGACTTGTCTCCACTGTCTATATGCTCCTTGACCATGTCTGCAAGTGCTTCGATGAACAAGGGACTATCATTCAAGCTCTCGGCTCGCTTGATAGTATCCGCGTGTCCTGACTCACCAATCAGTTCCTCATCAAGCTCGTACAGCGTCTCGATATGGTCAGATGTAAAAGCAATTGGCACCAACAGCAGGTGTTGATCTCCTTTTTGGATGAATTTCTCCACCACTTCACTGGTTTGTGGGCCTAACCATGGCTGAGGTCCGACTTTCGACTGCCAGCAAAGACGATATGGATTAGGAAATCCGAGATGCTGCATCACTGCATATACTGTGGCAGACACCTCTGAAGAATATGCATCACCTTTGCGCAGGCACGTCTTGTTAGCTACAACCTATGGCTATGTGAGTAGTCGAAAGACACACCTTGATTTACCGCGCTCATAGGCTGGCTATGTGCCGAGAAGATGATTGTGACATCCTTCCTTCTTTCGCTTGGGTATGTTGCAAGAGTGGCTTTGATGTTGTGTGCAACCGCTTCCACAAACTTGTGGTGTGCCGGCCAACGATCAATGATGCTCCAATTGATACGAGAATCAGCACTCTCCAACTTCTCTCTACATCTGAAAAGTTCGTTGATCGAACTGCCAGTCGTTCCACAAGAGTATTGAGGATACTGGGAAAAAGCAACTGCTCTGCCTCGTTTGCCAAATCCATCCGCGAGGAGTTTGGAGTATACGTCCTCGGTCAAAGGATGAGCATATCGAAACGCAACATATGGCAAATGCGGTGCTGACGAAGGTGAAGTCTTGTCCAAGATCCGGCAAGTCTCTTTTGCTTGCAAGTCAGACCATTTGCGGATCGGAGAACCACCGCCAATCGCTGCATACTGTTTCTGGATCTTGGACGTCCGCAATCTAGTGATTATGTTTGCAAATATCTTTTGGAATCTTCCGAAGGGAATGATGTCTCCATCTGACTGTTTTGTACCAAAGTCAGAATATATGCTAGGCTGATCGATACTTTTCGCGAAACTTACAAAGAGTCTATGCAGAAAATCTCGAACCTCTCCTTGGTTTCCAGGGCCACCCATGTTCATAAACACGACAGCAGTCGGTCCATCTCTGCCAGCCTTCGTTTCCGCCTTTGTGTTGAGTGACCGCTTGATTTGCTGCAGGAAATTGACCCGAGCTCGTTGCTGAATGAGGTGGGAAATTCGTCCAACCATCCCTGTCAATATTCACGATATTCACATAAGAAGCAAGAAAGGCACGCGCTTGTTCGATCAGAATAGCAGATACGGTATCGCCAAGGATCAATTGGACAGCGTGTTCACGCTAATCAATATCTGAAGCATGATCCCAAGAATCCTTCGACCGCTAATAGTGGATCCCAAGGAACCCCACAAATTTGTTGCTCTTGATACTATATGAGAGACCTGACATATACCAGCATTTGGCTTCAGATGGTTCAGGTAATTGCTCAGGGCGCAAATCAACTTTCAGCACTTAGAACATAATGTATATCCATGATGAGAAGGAAGCTGGTGGCCTAAGATAATGTGATTCATTCTTGGCGAAAGAATTCGCACTAGTCTTGGTAGCACAATATAGATGATGTTGGCGATCAAAAGATATGTTCAGAGTCCATGGAGCAAAGAGGAAATGCAAAACGTACAGCAGCAGGGATTCCCACGTGGTCACCCACCGTAGTACTAATCTGCCGTTCAACTGCTTATGTATGGCAGAGCGGACGGGATGCCCAGTTTTCAGCTGACTGTGGCCGTACGTGCTGATTGCCCTATCATGGTGAAACATATACTCTACTGCAATTGAACAGCCTGATGACTAAACTCCTTGCGGTTCATGATTATGGTTCCTCTTCCATAAATGCCCTTCACTCGCGTCTGCAAGAGAATTTGGTGTGGGTCACGGAAGTGTAAAATGAGATATGGTCTGTTTCGAAGAACAGCACTTACCTCGATGGTATTCTTGCTCGGACTCGACAATGTGCATAAAAGCGGTGAAGCGGTTTCTGCATGGACGATGATATGTTGTGAAACGCTCGCTGACATCCTTGCCAGCTAGATTACTTACAAAACATCTGATCTACTCTTCAACAGTTCTTCTACGAATTTCCATTCTTGGCAGGAATCAAAGAAATGGAAATACTCGAATTTTCAGAGTGCTTTCCCGACGAGCCTGGACGGCCAATCTTCACCATCGTGGTCTACAAACTCGATGACCAATACTTTACAGCTCGTATATCTGATCGAAGCGTTCGCGAGTCTGAAATCACGCAAAGTAGACTAGAAGATGTAGTCAGCATTCCAAAGACTGCTTTCCAACCTCAGTATTCGAAAGAAGGTTTCAACATCGCACAGTCACCTGGCTCGCTTTATGTCAAACGACCTTCGCTCATCTCTTATTACCACATCGATCGGATCAAGAGTGACAGAATTGCTCAGGATGTATTACGAGAAGCACAAGTCTGCGAAATATCAAGACTTCATCCGCATAGCAACATTGCGGAGTACATTGGCTGTGAAACAGAAGATGACAGGATATCTGGGCTTTGCTTTACGAAATACAAAGAATCGCTCATGCAACGACTCAATCCTGGAAGCCTAGGCAAACGAGCCTTTGCCGCATCGTCACATCTTGACCGAGCATGGTGTAACAAGATCCTTACAGGAGTCAAGAGCGCTCTAGATCATCTTCATTCTCTCGGTCTTGTCCACAACGATTTGAATCCTTCGAATATAATGCTCGACCACGAAGATACGCCCAAACTCATCGATTTCGGGTCTTGTAGACACATCGGCGAGACACTCAGAAACGTTGGGCGTACATATCCATGGTATGATGAACAAGTCCAGTATGCGAACAAGGACAACGACCTTGATGCACTTTCAGAGATTGGTGCTTGGATGAAAGGGGAGATAGATGGTTTCAAATTTGAGGAATGAGTGTAGATGATGGCTTTCTTCAGCCATACATCAACGAATGCGAGGACCTCAAAGAGTTGCGATTACCCTCAATCCCAGGAATAGATAGCGTGATGAATTGTATGGCCGTGACGCCAGAATAAGCCGGAAACTGCTGAGTAGCAGTCGCAGGCCCAACATCAGCATCGTGCAAAATGATGAGTGGATCGACAGCATTGACAGAAGCACGCAAGATAGCATCGTCGATCGAGATGAAGAAATTGCGATCGATGCTGCGAGGCACAATTGCGGTATCGTTCTTGATACGGTTGAAAAATGTAGTAAGTCTGGTCTGATCCAGTCCGCCAGCAAGTTCTGTTTCGTTCTCGAGGTAGACAAGTCTGAAGCCTTTCTGCATGGCTTCTGGGACTAGATGCCTCTGCAATTCCTTCTGGATCTTCGAGTCAAGTTGCTGCTTGAAACTATTCCAGGTGGCGTCATCGTTGTAGCTTGTCCTGAAGCATGCAAAGCCCCAGATGCCATCGTCAGGGAAAGTCTGAAGGTCTGTTGTTTGAGATTTGAGTGCATATCTTTGTATTGCTTCAGAAGCCCTTTTGATAACGCCGTTAGGGTATGGAGCATTCCTGGCAGCCGCTCTTGTCCTAGCCGACTGCTCGAGTATACGTCGTGGTTGTGATGCTCGTTGCGCACGTCTTTCGGCACAAGCTACTTCTGCACGGCGGTTTATCTCCTTATGAGCAGCAAGTGATGCTTTCATCTCATCAGCGTCGGCGATGTTCTTGTAAGCTTGCTCGATCATGGCCTGTACATCGGCAGTCTGCTTTTCTTGTATCTCCATCAGAGCATTTGCTGTAGATAGCGGAAGCGGCTGCACACCTCGTGAGAGCATCTTTAATTCTTCATCCGTTAACGTCGATACTCGGCCATCAGTCAAGCATTTCCTGACCAAGTCTTTGAATGATTTGCTATCTGTGCGTGCTTTGACGGCGGCATCCTCTTCCTGTGGTGAGATTCTCTGTTGCAAGACGTGCTTTTCTTCCTGTGTGATCTGTTCTGGTGTATTTGCTGCTTTGTGGAAAATGGGCAGCATCTTCTCGAACGCTTCTTCCATTCTGACAAGGGTATTGTTTCGTTTGAGATGGACAAGGAATGGGAGGGAAGATGGTCCTTTGGTAGCGGTAGAGCGATATGAGCACGTCCACTTTCGTGAGTACATCCCAGGATACTAGAAACTGGAGAACGGGTGAATTGATCGGAACTCAGGTTGTCGACAACCCGGATTTAGCTAATCTCGTCAATCAGACGCTCTCGCTTGCTTGACAGGGTCGTTACAGAAAACATCGAGCTTTATATTTCGTAGTTGCGACTTGTGCCATGTCAGAACAACGTAATACAACCAACGTCAATGAGTACAACAAACAGGCATGATCTTGATGATGAGTCTAATTACACTGGACGTACTGTATGTCTCAACAGGCGTCGCTGGTATGTGCTATTGCATTTGTCTATCAGAACCTCAACTTGCTGCGCGCCCTTCCTCCTCCAATATCATACAACTCAGTGCAGATCAAAATATTGAACTTAATGAGATTTTGATGACACGGTCTCACCAGTCAAGCGCTCAACGTACTCTTTGGCTACGTCTCCAAGAGCGACCATGCAGACGGTCTGCCAGACGCCCAGACCGATACGGGGAGTGACACCACGGTAGAGACCCTTCAAACCGTTCTGCTGGTAGATGTATTTGAAGGCCTTGCCGACAGTCATGTTCTTGGGACGGTTAGGGTCCTCTGTCTTGCTCTGCATCTCGACACGGACGACTTCAATGGGCTGGTTCCAGGCAGAGAGACCACCACCGAGAGCAGAAGCAAGAATCTTTTCGTGGACAGCAAGCTTCTCACCGTGCTCCTTGCCAGTAGCCTTGCGGATACCAGTCTCAGCGACACGCGAGAGACCAAAGCGGGAACCCCAGTTGGTGACCTGGCGGACGGCGACGGCGTTGACGCCCTTGTTAATACCGCGGATACCCTCCTTACGGTAGATGTTCATGAATGTCTCCATAGTGCCCGGAGGCTTGATGCCAGCCGCCGCCACCTTGTGCTTGGTGATCTCAACCGTCTTCATGCAAGTGCAGAAACCCATGGTAGCGTAGGCCTGGGCGAGACCACCAACCATACCACCGGTAATACCAGAAACGAAGTTGTTGGCGCCGGCGTTGCGGGCGTAGAACTCGGCCTCTGATGCGACGAAGAGGAGAACGGCGCCCTTGGTGGATGCTTCGATCCAAGCCCAGGGGATGAGACCTTGGTAGACTGCGCAAGGGTCATGTCAGCTGTTGTCGTTCAGAGAAGTGGCTGTATGCAGACTTACAGCCAAAGACACCACCACGGCCCCAGATGCGGCTGATGGCTCCTGCCATGCCATCGGCACGGTTAGCGGCCATGGTCGTCTTTACGACTTCCAGGGGCTGACCCAAGGTCGTCACCTCGAACAGGTTCAGGCCAGCACCCACTGTAGAGACGCGTTAGCACCTTGCAGACAGACCTCACAGACAGACAGATCAACATACACAGCAGGTTGCTGAACTTGACAGGCTTCTTCTCGAGCTTGGGAGGAGCGGCAACGCCAACTTGGGCGGCAGCGGGAGTAGTGGTGCTCATGCTTCTAAAGATGGCAGCGGGAGACAAGGCCGGACCGAGGCAGGAGTGTGCTTCTTCGCTACAGTTTTATGGGAGTCGACGGTTAAAGGACGAGAAGAGAGACTTCTGCGCGACGGGCGTAATCGGACGTGGAAAGAAGGAAGAGGGGGAAAGCTGTTCAGAAGTCAGTAAAGTCTGGGGAGAGCTGCTGCACTTGATTGAGGGTCCGGCGCGTGCAGCAATCAACAACAACCCCAATCATTGAATCAAGCACTCACCTGAAGAGCCGATCCTGCTTGTTACGAGTGAGATGTAAGAAGGAAAGATTCAAGAAGTAGCAGACTCTGTATCACGACACGTCTCTCACTTTATCTGTGTTTCGGAGAATAACTGCATCAGACCATTTTCATTCCGCCGGCTATCAATGGCATATTTCCACCCGCACCGATGTTCTGGTCGGCATCTCCTCACCGCTGCCGTGCCGTCAATTCCACTCCTTGTGACATGCAGCTCATGCAGGCCCAGCTCACTGTCATACTCGTTGACCTCAGCACTATCAACTGTACTGTACTGTTTGTGTCGTTGTTGTCTTTGTAGAGCAAGCTGTGCTTGCTGACTGACCATCCCCAACTGACTCGCGCGTTTGGAGCTCCCTCCACGATACGTTGAGCAAAGTCCAAACCCTGTACCACAGAGCCTCACCTTCAACCATGCAACCAACCGATCCCATGCATCTGAACAATCTTCTAATGGCTTACATGTGTCTCACGAACCTTGCCATCGAGTTTCGGACCCTCCTCACACTGCTCAAAATAGAAGAAGCCGACATGATATCCATTCAATTGTCCGAATGCTGGACTCCGAAACGTCCGTGCTATCTTGTTGAGCACACCGTCACCCATCACACTCAATCCATCATGTCACCTAAATCCTGCCATGCATTCAAGTCACTAACATGTTGCTCAACGTGAAACCCATACAGAAATAATCAAGGCATTTTATATGATATCAACCCTAATTGCTCCATCGCAAAAGTCATAGTAGAATACATGATAGACATAAGTCTAGCTCCGATGTTTTGATCGGTTATAGATTTAAAGCTTGGCACCGACAAGCTTGGCCCAGGCCTCGGTAGAGAAGGACTTGGGGCGCTCGATGGGGGCACCGACGGCACGGTCAATGATGAGCTGGGGAAGGACACCAAGAGCACGCGAAACACCGAAGAGGACGGTGTAGAAGTTCTGCTCGGTGAGACCGTAGTATTGGAGGAGGACACCAGAGTGCTGTAGAGTGTCATGTTAGCGGAATGTGCTTGCAATCTTGCAATTCGACTTGTACTTACGGCGTCAACGTTGGGGTAGGGGTTCTTGGTCTTGCCGTGCTCGGTAAGAACGCCAGGGGCGATCTTGTAAACCTGGGAGACAAGCTTGAACATGGGGTCCTCGGGGAGCTTGCGCTGGGCGAACTCGCGCTGAGAGACGTAACGGGGGTCAGTCTTTCTCAGGACGGCGTGGCCGTAACCGGGAACAACACGGCCCTGCTTAAGAGTGGACCAGAGGTAGTTCTTGATGGACTCGTCGCTAAGGTCGTTGCCAACCTCAGCCTTCATCTCGGTGAGCCACTTGAGAACCTCCTGGTTGGCAAGACCGTGGAGGGGACCGGCAAGACCGTTGAGACCAGCGGCGAGCGAGAGGAAAGGAGAGGAGAGGGCGGAACCGACCAAGTGGGTGGTGTGGGCGGAAACGTTACCACCCTCGTGGTCAGTGTGGATGGTGAGGTAGAGTCTCATCAACTCAACAAAGTCCTGGTTCTCGGCGAAACCGAGCTGGTTGGCCAAGTTCCAGGAGTAGTCCTTGTCCTTCTGGGTGGCAGGGACCTTGCCGTCCTTGAAGACGTTGCGGTAGATGCGCGAGGCAATGTTGGGGAGCTTGGCAATGAGGTCCATGGAGTCCTCAAAAGTGTGCTCCCAGTACTCGGTCTTCTTCATGCCCTTGGCGTAGGCCTTAGCGAAGGCAGACTCGTGCTCAAGAGCAGTGACGGCCAGAGAGAACTGAGCCATGGGGTGAAGGGTGTTGGGGCAGCGGTCGATGAGCTCCTCAACGAACTTGGGGAGGTCGGAGCGGGCAGCCCACTCGGCGGAGAGGTCGCGAACCTGCTGCTCAGAGGGAACCTCGCCGGTGAGGAGGAGCCAGAAGAGACCCTCGGGAAGGGGCTCCTGACCACCGGGAGCCTTGGGGAGGAGCTCCTGGCACTCGGGGATCTGTATTTTATCTTAGTTTCGAACCATTGATAGACCGATTGGAAATCTTACGGTCTTGCCACGGAAACGGATACCCTCCTCGGAGTCGAGGACGGAACCCTGTATATGTTGTTAGCAACCGAGACAATTTTTACTAGGCGATGAAGAAGAATCGTACCTCCCAGACGAGGGACTTGATGCCACGGGCACCACCGTAGACCTGGTCAAGGGTGACCTCACCAACAACGGTGTTACCGTGCTCCCTGAAGAATACTCTGTTAGCTACTGCGGCACAGTTGTTGATGTTGGCAGGAGTTGTAAGACATACTTGCGGAGCTTCTTGATCTTCTCAATCTCGCCAGGGATCTTGGCAGCGAAGGTCTCCTTGAGCGACTAGGTAGACGAGTTAGTACGGTTGACGGGATGCAGCGGGCATGTAGCTCCATGGTGGACTCGGCGTACAGTGCTCTTGGAAGAGTAGGCGCGGGTGGCATTGAGAGCAGCCTGTCTCAAGGTAGAGGGAGCGGCCATAGAGGCGCGCAGGGCGGAGGTACCGACTCTCATGGAGGCCATTATGACGGATGGAGATTGATAAGGGAGAGATGATAGAGAGACAGAGAGAAAAGAAGGATGGAAACGACGAGCTCCCGAGCTGCACCGCAACGCCAAGCCCAACGTGCGGCCTGCCCGCTATTGCTGTAATTGCAGCCACCACGCACTCAGACATAACCTCCGGCCCAAGGTTGGGGCATTTCTCGGGGGCACATGTCAAGACGAGGCCCTCGGTTGGTCGAGCCGGCTGCTATCATCCATTTCCTGTCCCGCTGACAATATTCTGGCGTCTAGTCCTCGTCTACATGCCTATGTGTGTCTATAACCAATGAATTATGTCCTAGCAGCTTGAAGCAGCTATCAATTATGACCAAGTGGTTTGACCTCGGCTTCGGTCTGTCTGTTCCATCTGTCCAGGTGTATCCGTGACTTTTGCTATCCGTCGTTACTGTGAACCACGGTTTTTCAAATCGCGTCGATCCGAGTCCGACTGCGCACAGGCCACGTTTCAGTCGGCAGCGTCACCCTCTACTTCGGCCCGTGGCAAGCACGACGCTGCCGAATCTTTTCCCTCTCGCTGTCTTTCCGCTTCCACTGAAGAAGCGCTCCAATCTCTTCACCACCGTAACCATCAACATCCGACGCGTTTCCACCATTTCGCTTTTCTCTTATTGCTGTCGCTGCGGCTCTTTCTGTGCTCTTGTGACCGGTCGCTCTGTCTGCGTAAGAGAGCCGACCCGATAGCTGTAGACACGTCAACGTCAAAAACTTCCGTCTCTCAGTTGAATAGCACTCGCTCATCAGCGTGATTTTCACTCTCACTCGGAAGATATAGGCAAAAGAAAAGGCTCTGATTGTAGCACTCACGCCTGATCACTCTACCACGACTTCTGCGTTTGCTTTCCTATTTTCTGGTCCCGCAGTTCTCAGTCATCTGTCATCAGTCTCTGGTAGCTTTCAGTAGTCCTCGCTCCTGTTCACGCGTAGCGCATCTTTGGACCCTATTTCCTTCTCTTGGAAAACAGGTACTGTATTAGCACAGTAGACATGGCAAACATGGAGCAATTAGACGCATTGCTGCAGTCTTTGCAAGCTCTCAAGCCTCCAGGTGCAACCAAAGGAAAGATTACTGCCATCACCAAACTTTGCGGAGACAATGTTCAGGTAATGCTCTCAATTTCACAGCTGCTTTGGACAAACAACTCACTATCTACAGTCTGAATCTGCAATTACGCAGAAGCTCTATAGGCATCTCAAGCGAACCCCAGGAACCCACAAGCTCGGAGTGCTTTATGTTGTAGATTCAGTGACCCGTCAATGGATTGAAAAGGCTCGTCAATCATCGCAGGAACTGTCGGGAAGTGCAGCACCTGAAGGTACCTTTGCATCAGGAGTGCATAGAGTTACTGAACTTCTGCCATCCCTGATCGATGATACTATCCAGAACGCACCACCTGACCACAAGGCAAAGGTAGAGAGTCTGGTGCAGATTTGGGAACGCGGCAACACATTCCCTGTCCCTACCCTCACAGAGATCAAGAAGAAGCTGGCTGAACCGGTGGCTCAAAGTAAGTACTGCATGTGCACAGTTCATCCAAGTCACTAACCGAACTTCCCAACAGCCGTTGCTTCTACTACTCCTCCTGGCAGCCCACCGCTCAGCATGCTCGTTTCTCTGGGTCTGCGACAAGCCCCACCACCATCGAGCGCACCTCAAGCAGCTCCCGTCCCCCAAACCCAACCCGATGCATCCAGTATTCTTGCTGCTCTCTCACGCCTCCAACCCATGCCAGCTCCAGCTGTTTCAGCTCCCGCACCCGCTCCTCCTGTCGTACCCGTCCAAGCTTCTGCACCAAGTGCGCCTGCAGATCTTGCTGCCATCATGGCCGGTGCCACTCGAGGCTACCAAGGACAACCTCTACAAGCACCACCCGCATCCTACGGTTATCCTGCTCCGCCTCCTCAGCAGTCGTACGGCCAGGCATATCCGCCACCTACACCAGTAGCAGGCATGCCTCCAGCCTACCCTCCGCAATACCACACTCCTGCTCCTTACCAACAAGCACCACCTCAGCCTCCCGCTCCTGCCGCTCCCTCAGCCCCTGGCTCGTTCCTGCCTGCACACATCCTGAGTAATCCACAAATATTGCCTAACGTGCTTCAGTTGATTCAAGGTTTGTCTCAAGAAGGAATCCCACAAGAGCAATGGGGAGCTGTCCTTAGTGCACTGTACCCACCCCCACAGCAAGGACCCCCTGCGCAAGATGCATACCCTCCTCGCTCAAATGATCGCGTCCATTACAGAGACAGATCCATGGATCGTGGTGGTCGCGATCGAAGCCGCTCACCAGGACCGGCCCGCAACAACAACCCTGGCCGTCGCGCAAGCCCTGTGTACGGTACTTATGATGCTTCTCTTGCGCAGTCTACCCAAGATCAAGCTGCTTCCAACTCTGATCGACGTGGAGGCAGAGGCCGTGGCCGCGGTGGCCGCAACGATTATCGCCAACGTACTCCACCTTCCGCTCGCACACCTCAAGCTGACGAGCCTCTGGTTCCCCGCAACATCAATCCCAAATGGACAGACATGGACAACACCATTCCTCCTGGCCACATCAAGGTCCTCAGCAGAACGCTCTTTGTCGGTGGTGCCAATGGCAACGAAGCTGAACTACGTGCCATCTTTGGCCGTTTCGGCCCCGTCCAAACGTGTATCGCAAATGAGGACAAGCGCCACGCCTTTGTGAAGATGTGCAACCGTCAAGATGCCGTCAACGCAAAGGCCGCCATGGAGACTACCAGAGACCCAGACATCCTGGCCAAGGCTCGCCAAACCAAATGGGGTGTCGGCTTTGGCCCTCGCGAGTGCTGCGACTACAGCAACGGCATCAGTGTCATCCCAATCGACACCTTGACCGAAGCCGACCACAAATGGATGCTGACTGCCGAGTACGGTGGCACTGGTGGTCGCCCCATTGAAAGTGGTCTCGTTGTGGAAGAACCCGACATCGAAATCGGAGCTGGTGTCTCTTCCAAGGCTATGAGCCGTCGTGTTGGCCCTGATGGTGGACACCACCGCGGTGGCCGTCGTGGCGGACGCGGAGGCGGTCGTTTCAACCAGCATGAATCTCACCATGCCCCTCGTCCTGAGCCCGTCACCGTGGCACCTCCTCCACCCGTGCCTGGCTTTGGTTTCATTATGCCTCAGTTCCGTTAGTATGAAGAACTCTCTAAAGCAAGGCCCATGACAAACCGCAAAGTGTCTTTTGCTCATGCGAAAGCATTTCTACGGCATGTTGCCAAAGGTGGTTCAATCAAAAAGTCAACAAACAGCATTGTACAAAAAGAGAGCATTAGTTAGTATTTAGAAAAGCATTGGTTAATTTGGCATTGCCTTCCCAAATCAGATTCTAGTAGTCACAAGCTATCATTCGTTCCTTCCCTTGTTTTGCAACATCATGTGTCTGAACGCAGAAGGAGCCACCTGTCATATGTTTACAGTGCGAACCAAGTGGATCCTTCTCAGAAAAGGCGCTGCATGGTGTGCAAAACAAGAAGCCTCCTGCCTCAACAAAGGTGGGTGTTCGCTCAGGCTGGTGCATTGCAGCCAGAAGCAAGCTACGAAAACGCCACTTGCTGGTGGCGTGGATTCCTGGTAATAACGAACATGCAGGACAGATCAAGAGATTTGTCCAGACACCTCCATGGCGAATCTAACAGACCAACCCATAGCATCACCTCAATCAACCTCTTGAACACACCAAGTATTCACATGGCAAGACGCAGAGAACTTCAAGTAAAGAAAGAATAGAACCCAAAACATTCATTATTGACAACCGAACAACCTAGACAAGGGTATCTGCGCTAATCTCATACTGTTCTTTTTTGCCTTTTTGGACAAACAGTTGCTTTTATTGTCCAAAACTTTTCGAACCACAAACCCCCCAATGCTGCTGTCATATATTCTCACACTGTGCATCTTTTGTTTCTTAGTTGGCATACAGTGAAACAAAGATCTTTCAAGCCCCCAAATCATTATCAGTCGTACCCTCTCTCCAGATAGCAAAGAAAAAAAGAAAGTAGAAAACGGAGAGAAGGGGAAAGAAAGAAAATAAGTTGAAAAAAAAAAAGAAAGAAAGAATAGAAAAAGAAAGAACCAGTGCCAAAACCAAAAGACCTTTTGTATTCATCAAAGTCAGCACGCGTGTATCCAATACTTTTGTTCGCGTATCAAGTCTCCGACTCTGTTGGCAATTCCCATATCAACGCCGTCATGTTGCTGCTGCTTTTTTTTGTTATCGTCATGATACGCCTGAATCCATGCGTAGGGAAAAAGAAGGATAAAAACTACACGAAGAGAAAAGGAACCGAAAGGTAGTGATGAAGAAGAGCCCAAGGCAATCGTGAAGTGCTAGGTTTCGAAGACAGTAGGCACCACATGTTCGACAGAACCTTTGCGGCTGCTAGTGGCTCCTTCAAGAGTGTCTCCGTTAACACTACCCACAGAGCTGGTCTGAAGACTACGCTGATCAGCGGTCAAGGGTGGTGGAGGAGGTGTCGTATTCTGCGAAATGGTTCGGCTACCAAAGACGGCCTGGTTGGGCAGGAGGCTCTGATCATACGGTCTCTGCATGCGCTTTTCAATGGCTGTGACTTGTTTGCCACATCCTGTTCGCTTGGCTTTTGCGAGTTCTGGCTGAAGAACATCGATGAAGTGATCGAAGTCTTGCTGACTCAGAAGGTCCAAGAGTTTTTGGATCACGTAGTTTCCATAGTTGTCTCTGATCAGACCGAGCAGCATACTTTCTCCTTCGCGGTTGTTGTTACGCACAATCACACCAATAACATCGTGCTTCCATGTCTCCCCCGAGTGCGTAAGACATTTCTCCACGACATTGCTTGCGAACTTGTGTTTGCTGTAGCCTTCTAGACCTTTGAGTACAAGTTCAAGAACTCTTTGCCGGTCAGGTGGGAAACCGTATTCGACGACATGTTGTGCCACGTAGTTGCCGAATGAGTCACCAATCAATGTGGACATACAATCGTGTAGTTCTGCAAGGATAGCCTTTCGTGTCGGTTCCTCGCAGTTCTCAAGACATCTTTGAATGACTCGGCATCCATAAGTATGAACACTAAGGTGCTGAATCTGACCAGTAAAGGCTTGGAAAACAAAAGATATGTCGTTCTCACTGCAGCGCTCAATGGCCTTTTGGATAACGTGATTTCCGTTCTGGTCCTTGACGCATCTTAAGACGTCCTTCTCCAGTTCGCGAACAAGAGATGCTTGTTGGTCGTTGAGTATATGCTCAAGAGCCTTACAAGATTGATTAGCAGGAATACACGGAAAGAGTTCATGGAACTAACCTTTTGTACAACACGACATCCGTACATCTGCAGCGACAACTCCAGTACGCGTCCCTTCATCTTGTTTCCCAATATCTTCTTCTGGTTTTGATCGCCATGTTCAAAGAACTTTTGAATGACATAGTTTCCGAATACATCAGTCATGAGTTGAATGGCGTTTGGCTGTATCTCTCGGAAGAGACGTTCTTTTTCATCGCTGTTGGCCGTCTCCAACTTCTGTTGGATGAAGCGTGATCCATGCTGATCGCCACTGAATTCTACTACATGGTCGAAGATGTCCTAAAAGCTGTTAGTATACGGCTGATGCGAGCGTGTTTCTGAGGAACTTTACCTTGAGCTCGTAACGTCTAGTCTTGTGATTCTGCTTGAAGTCTTCCAGAAGAGCACTACGCAGACTGTGGCCAGATTCTAGTTCACGGGGACCTCTGGGAGAAGGCATGGACGGCACACCGCCGATTGACATCTGCGCATGCATAGGAGGATATACAGCAGGGATGTTGTGGATGGCAGAACCATTGGGAAGGTGGTACGAGTAGTAGCCACCTGGTATAGGAGAGTATGGCAGATTCAACAGATACCGAGGGTCTAAGTCCTGAGCTGGCTGCTGTTGGAATCTCTGGTTGACGAACGGAGGAGTGCTGGAATGTGCGTTTCTGGGATTGTACGTGAGGGAGCGATCAGAGTATTGTGACATGCGGTAGGCAGGGTAATCAACTGCTGTTTGAGCCGCGGTAGGATAAGCATCAGAGGCGAAGGTAGGTGGCACACGAGATATTTGCTCAACATCGTCGTACTGATCCGAAGAATTATGGGTGTCAGTCCCCGGGTGTCCAGGCTGTTTGCCAAAGGTAGGCATGGAGAAGGAGGGCCTCGAGAGAGCGAAATTGTGTGAGTCGTCTTGCAGACTCAAATGCGAGAACTGAGCCAAGGGAGCGGCTTGAGCATCGGCAGCGCCAAAGCTACCGCTAGGCCTTGAGGTTGAAGAGAAACTGTTTACGCGAAGAGAGTTTGTGGGAGGCTGAGAGGAAGAGAAATGGTCGGGCTTGGAAGTGGTGGGCCAGGCAGGCTGTATATCACTGTGTCGCGAAGGCGGTAAGCTGGGGTTGCGCGATGGAGGAGCGCTAGGAAGTCCGTGGAAATAGCCTGTGGCGGAGGGGCGTCTTCTTTCATCGACAGGCGACTGGGTGATGCTACCACCATCTATCCACTCGCCGTAGGCCGAGTCAGTTGGCCTGGAGGTAGCGGGCTTAGGTGTTCGATCGAACTTGGTGTAGACTGGAGGAGCGTCGGCTGTATAAGACAAAGGCGAATCGAAAGTGCCACTCAACTGCGTCTTTGGCGCCATAGAGGTCGTTGAGCTTATTCCACTGGTCGCTGGTCTAGAAGAAGCAGAGAAAGACATGGAGCCACGAGCAGCTCCGGCATATGCCTGAGGCAGACCTGAATTGCTATTGCTGCGGTGCTGAGAGAAAGCGACGTCGTTGGCTTTGGATGGGCCAGCCAGGCGGATCGCATCATCGCGCTTTCCGAAAGAGCCAGAGCGAAATGTGCTGTACTCGTCGCTGATGGAAGATTCAATCAGCTGGCTCGAGCCGCTCCTCCCCTCGATTGTGTCCTTTCCGCTAAGCTTTCCGTTGTGGGTGCCAAAATTGAGGCTATTTCTAGGGCCGGTGGTTGGAAGAGTAGTCGAAGATGAAGAGTTGAAGCTAGTGCTCCAGATGTTGGATGTGCCTTGCCATTTTGTCAAGTTGTTGGACGAAGCTGATGTGGTAGCGCCGTTGCGACCTTCGCTGGTGGTCGGCCTGAAAGTTTGCGAAAAGCCAGACATGGCGACGGGACGGGACTGCGACGAGAAGGACGAAGACATTATAGAGCAGTGTACAGATATAAGTAGGCAGCGATAACGGTTATGTATGACTGGTCGCAGGCGTCAGCAGGTTGCAAGACACGACACACGTGGCCAGGAGTGGAGACAGCCTACTCAAGAAGAAGACTTATGACACTGTAGATTATGATACGACACCATATACACTTGGACGGACAGATTCGCGAGCTCGATGGTGGTGGTGAGGAGGCCGAGACGAGGTCTGGAAGTCGGTCGTGGTTATGTAACAGCGAGCGTCTGCAAGGCGCACGAGAAATCAAGTATGTGCAATTTCAAAGGCAGCTGCGCGGCACTGGGTCGGCGAGGAAAGCACTCTGGACGGGCATCTGCGAAGCACACAGTCTGCGTCGTGGGCCAAGTTCACTGGTTGTTGTCAAACGCAAGGGATGAGTTTGATTGAGGAAGGAATGAATCGATGGGGTTTTTGAGGAATCGAAGAGAGCGAGGGATAGCAGACCGCCTGCTATTCGTATGTGGGCGTCTGCCGCGAGGAGAGAGCGTGCTTGGGTTGCACAGGATCTCTTCTTTTATCGAGACAGCTATTCCTTCCAGCAGCCCAAAACCAGTAACTAGATGGGATCGGGAAATATAGGTACGGAACCCTGTTGTCCTTGTTTGGACGGCGCCCCACCGGATGCTCCCGCCCTGATGGAGGCGCGTGAAGCTTCTGCTTGCCGTAGCCCAGGCCGCAACTCTCTTTCGTGTGCCTGCTCCTCACCATCCATGTGTGTCGTCAGGACAGCATTCTCACACGACTATTTCTATATACCTCCCACAGTGCACCCACTCCTCTCTCTTCCTGCTTTGTGTAGTCATACCACCTACTCATCGCCATTGTGTCCAGAGAACTTCGTCTTTGCAGATCTTGCCCAGCAATCAGCAGCCGTCCTTTCGTCATGCAGCGCTTCAGACAAAGACTGCCCTGCGTGAGTTCTGCATGCTCCTGTCAGTATCGGCCAATCTCCATGCTCTTTGCACGTCTGTTTACAAGGCAAGCAAACGTGCCATCTCCAACTGTGCTTGTGGGTGATCTATAATAACTAGAAGCTGGAAGCCACCGTTACAGATATGGCATCCTGCAGGCAGCGAGCCTATCTGCGTCTCTGCCGCAACTTCCCGTATCCGGGTTCATCTTCCTCTTTTTTTTATCTGAAGAGATCGTCTCTACATATATTCTGAGGCCGACCGTATCAGAAGACCAAGCAAGATCCTACGTAGCAGACATACAGTACTGATTTAACACTGACCGCGATGCGTCGATAGTTGGAGTTCGCAGAGCCATATCTTATATAGTGCTCATCAATCATCCAACCAATACATTTGTGCAACTTGGACGTACCTGCAATCTCAGTGCCACTGAGTAGGTAGGAACACGAGTGGTGACAAATGTATCATTATTGGTGAACACCTATCAGAACAAGCCACTGCACCAGCCTACGTGTGGGCAGGATCGTGATACCTGACTTTGACCATTCATTGCACGGTTCATCAACAGAATGAGAAATCGCAAGTGTAACAGTCTTGGATAAGCCAAGGACTCTACCACAAGATATCAATCAGCACGAGTCCTTTAGGTACCTCAAGGATTCCCTCGCTCGCTTCGATCGCACTATCATAAGGGAGCTCCTTGCGGTCGAGTGCGTGAATAAAAGGAAAGCCTCATGCACACACACATGAAGCTGCAGCATGGTGCGGCCAGGGGTGCATGGCAGAAGCTGACCCAGCAGCGCAGCAAATGCTTTGCTTGTTTTGGGGACATGTTCTCGACACTCCTGTGCCATGTAAACAATATCTCCTATTTTCAGACCGTTCATGAAGACAGTAGATGACCCCTTCTTCTCGTGGAGTTTTCACTTTGATTATCATCGTCCAAGTCACCGTTCGGCCTTCTCTATTCAAACAGACGAAGTTGTCGGGGCAATGTCTGCGTAATTGGACGGGACAGTGTTATGGCTGTGCAAGACCCTCAGTGTTGCGGATTGAACGGCCGGAGCTTAAAAGGCAACCGAGGGCTAAGACCGCTTGGTGGAAAAGCCATGTTAGATGTCCATCAAACTTTCCAAAATCAGGCAGGACATAGCGACTCGCGAGGCCAAGCATCTGCGAGAGGCCTACAGTATGAGGATGAGTTCATGTCTGCGCACAGGGACGGATTGGCAGGTCAGACAGACGCGACACATTTCTCTGCCCCTGTCGTGGCTTTCACCAAGGAATCCTGTGTGCGTGTGCGCCGCGATGGAAGGCCTTGTTATGTGGTAATTATGCACTCCACTCATAAATTGACGCCAGAAGTGCACATCACACACCAGCGTCGGCTAGAGGCTGGCGAGAGTTGGTTCCTGTTGATCTTGCACATCATGAGCAATCTAAATCCGGTTTGGCTCCTCCCACCCACCCAGATTTGCGGACCTTTGAGTAACAGCGGTCTTTGGACTCCTGTCAAGATAACAGCGCCCGAGGTAGACCAGCTTGCCAGATAGAGGCTCCATTCTGGAAAGACAGTTGTATCTATTGGAGTCTGGTCCCCATGATAATTAGAGAAGCAGTTTCATCGTCGGAAGAAGAGGGCCAAGGCACCTAGTTTGCTGTAATTACCATGACGAGTGCAGCTTGAAAAGCGGAGCATGGCTGCTTGACAGTTGATTGGCCGTTGGAAGATTCCAACGGCGCTAATTGCTCGAGGCAATCTTAAATCGTCGTGGAGAGACATCAACAAAAGATGGAGCGCGCGCCCTCTCAGTTGTTTGAGAGCTTTTCGATCGTTCGTTTCGACTTCTTTGCCCCTACAGCTTTGTTTCGCGTCCCCGGCTTCACTCTTTTAGCCGTCGTTCTGCAGTTCATTCGTTCACTGATAAAACGAGTCGAGAAATCGAGAAATCGATTGCGTATTCGAGGTATGCACTCCGTAGCGGCCCCCCGCGCGTTCCTCTCCGTTGAACTCCAACCACCCAACCATCCCTACAATGTGTCGACGCGATGCCTGTCGAGATGTCGCGCTTTGCAGAATGCACTACCGATCGACCAGCCCCAGACATTCAACACACTGCACAAGGCCACACACGACTGGCATGCTGACCTTGTCCCGCCCCAGGTTCTTGAAAACTTTAATCACACCGACGTAACGGCATCAATCAAGAGGCAAACGACCCTCGTACCTGGACGTTATACAACAGCAAATCCTTAAGACCTCCCTGCCTTAGATTTTCCAATCTCAACAACACACATTCGCTCAACTTCGACTCTCGTTTACTTTTTTCGACAATAACCATGGCCAGTTTTATTCAGCTTGTCGCTCGTGATAGCTACGACGAATCGTATTCTCCCACAATGGCTGGTCTTCTTATCGCCCTGGTCGTCCTTCTTATCATCGCTCTGCTTTGCGTCATCGCCCTCTACTTCATGCGCTGGAGAAAGCGCTCAATACGCGCCGGCTCTCTTGTCATTGATGACGAGGAAAAGTCCGCTTCTCAACATCACCGTGTTACCGTCCGCCCTCATGAGTCCATCATTGTCTACCAGGAGAAGCAAAGTCTCATCGACAACTCAGAGGCACCCCCATCGGCCAACGCGGTACCCGAGATCCGCATCCACTTCCCTGAAGAGGTCGACACTTCAGGCAAGCGCCAATCCGGCAGAGTCGTCGTCGTGCGTGTTGGCGAGCACAGCATTGGTCTTGAGCCCGTATCGGAAAACCTCCCTCCTTACCAAAAGAGTGAGTCGGATCGTTTCCAGTCTCTTGATCTCGAGAGGATAGGCGGCTTGAAGGAGAAGGATGTCGAGGCTCGCTACCAATAGTCGATGGTGCACGGTATCTTTTCAAACCCTCAACGACAAATAAAAGTAATGACCAGCTGGAGCCGCGCCGTCCCTCATCTTCTTTCTTCTTGGACACGCTTCGGCCTTTTCGTTTTTTCAGTCTTTTACATACAAGCTTTGAGCTGGATGTGTGTGCGGGTGCTTGTCCACCCCATGGCTGCCGCTCATGGTACATATTCCCTTCTTTGGTTGTCAGCATCCTCCGAAAGGGTGTCCATTCATTGTCGACACCCCTTGAGTGGCGTTATGAAGCCTCAACTACGAACATCGGATATTGTTAATGTTTTTCTTCTTCGACGGCTGTCTCGGTCTTGAGCAGCTGCCTCATTCTTGCTTCATACACTCCTTCATGTACCCTTCCCGTTTTTACATCTTTCTTCACGTTCAGCATAGCGGGGCTGAATTTTTCGAGGCCATGGCGTCCTGACAGAGTCGCGTTAGATGGAGTCAGCCTTGTTTGTCTAGTGGTTTTGATTTCTCCTTTTTCTTGGGCTGCACGATCATAATGTGTGGTGTTTGTATCATTACCTACACATGTCATTTCTCATGGCGCGCACTTGACCGATGGTCGGGTAGCAGACGCAAACAATGCAAAGCAGGGGTTTGACCCGCTCATTCAAGATAATCGTCCTTTGTGCCTGGTGAAATGCGATGTGATGACTCTAACCTTAGACAACGAGTCGAATCTCAATCATGAAACGTGCGTTTGAAGAATTGAGCAGTAAATGAAGCATCGGATCTGGCGGATAGCGTTTTTCGAGGTCGAGCTCCCTCCACATGGTCAGTGATTAACCCCTCAATTATTGCTTTGGACAAGCAAGTTTGCAGCGGCCAGTTTGATTTTCACCTCCTATTTCCCTTGTACACTCTTCAATGCCTAGGCGGTAGCTTCGATCCAAATGTCAGCAAGCAATGGGCCCAGCGTTGCCGCTCAATTGACCGGAGCAGGAAACCAGCAAGCTCAGATTCCAAAGACAGAGACGTCCAAGGATGTGCAGAATGAGCGCCGACAAACATTCAAGCGCCGCCACGGTTTCCTCGTTGGTTTCTTTAGCTTGATTTTGTGAGTTCTGAACACATCGAGCGGCCGTCTCTGTCTCGTGTGCTTACCGTCTTGCAGAATATTCCATGTTTTGGGCATTTTCCTTTTCCTCAGCGGCTTCCTCCTGACACGCCTCGTCTTGGACCACAAATCCGAATGCGCCGTACCTCCAGTCCCTCTTGGCTCGTCCTACACTCCTGGCTCGTCAGATGACGGCTGTTGGCATCCCAAGTCCTTCGACAAGGCCGTCGTCATCATTGTCGATGCTCTTCGCTACGATTTCACTGTGCCTTGGTCGCCCACCCACCCGCAACAAGCCTCGCAGCACTTCCACAATGCTCTGCCCATCTTCTGGGACACTGCTGTAGCTGAGCCCGAGAACGCTTTCCTCCTGCCCTTCATCGCCGACCCTCCCACCACAACCCTGCAACGCCTAAAGGGGCTGACAACCGGCACTCTCCCCACCTTCATTGACGCAGGCTCCAACTTTGCAGGGACCGCCATTGACGAGGACAACTTGGTCGCACAGCTCAAGGCTGCTGGCAAGAGAATAGTTCACCTTGGAGATGATACATGGCACTCGCTGTTCCCTGGCTACTTTGACCCTGAGCTCACCCGCGCCTACGATTCGTTCAACGTTTGGGACTTGCACACGGTCGACAATGGTGTCAATGGCCACATCTTCCCTCTGTTGCACCCGTCCAACACGTCCTCATGGGACGTCATCTTCGGTCACTACTTGGGTGTCGACCATGCTGGCCACCGCTACGGACCCGATCACCCTGCAATGGCCTCGAAGCTTCAAGAGATGAACAGTGTATTCGAAAGAATGATTGCTGCACTCGACGACAAGACCTTGTTGGTTGTTATGGGTGATCATGGCATGGATGCCAAGGGTGACCACGGTGGAGAGTCGGATGATGAGGTTGAGGCTGCTCTCTGGATGTACTCCAAGCAGGGCTTGTTTGGTCGTCGTGATGACTCCTCGGCAAAGCCTCCATACACTGCCAAAGAAAGACCCGTCGCGCAGATCGACCTCGTCCCTACCTTGTCATTGCTTCTCGGCATGCCTATTCCCTTCAACAACCTTGGTCAGCCCATCGAAGAGGCTTTCATCGGCAAAAAGTCCAATGACTACCAGAACCTGGCTCAAGTCAGTCGCTTGACTGCTGGACAGATTCATAGATATCAGAAGGAGTACTCGGCTGTTCGCAAGCTTGATGCGGCTAGCACACTTCCTCCTCAGACTATCTGGGAAGCAGCTTCCAAGGTTTGGGAGGAACTCGAACAAACGAAGAAGCCTTCTCTCGAGCTCTGGCAGGCTGCTTATTCTCAATTCCGAGCTTACCAACAGGAGAACTTGCGTGTTTGCAAGAGTCTCTGGGCTCGCTTCGATCTTACCAGCATGGCAATGGGCATCGCCTTGCTTGCTGGCGCACTTTTGACCATCGTTCTCTTCGCAAATGGATTCAACGGAGATCGTGGTGAGATCGCTTCTGCTCTCTGTACCCGTGCAGGGCTCGGTATGGCAGCCGGCGCCGGTGCTGGTCTTCTCCTTGGAGGCATGATTCCGGTTTCTTGGATCAACTCGATTGTCTTCTTCTCCGGCTTGAGTGGCATTTTGGGCACTGTCTCATGCTTCGTATCCACACCCTCGAAGCTCCAAGCGCCGCTACCCACTTCCTTCTGGGGCTGGATATGCACAATCCCTCCTGTCCTTCTTTGCATTGGTTTCGCTTCGAATTCTTTCACGATTTGGGAGGACGAGATTTTGCTGTACATGCTCTGCTCAATCGGTGCATTGATGCTTGCATCTTCGCTGCGCCTTCAGAACCCTCAAGAGCGTCTGCTTGGCTCATGGCACTCGCTCTCTTTCATCGTGCTGACCCGCCTCGCATCTCTTTCTCGTCTCTGTCGTGAAGAGCAGATGCCATTCTGCAGATCAACCTACTACGCTTCCGCCACTTCTTCCACCTCGGCTTGGTGGCAACTTACCATTCCGTTCATCATTGCTGTTATCTTGCCAAGCGCAATTCGCGACTTCTTTGCTCGTACCAAGAACTATCAAGGCACGGCCACACTATGGCTAGGCATTGCCTTCCGTATCGGTCTCGTCCTTTCTGCGGTCTACTGGATTCTTGATGCAGCTGACGACAACGAATGGATTCCTCAAATCTCCAGTGAGAACTTGAAGAATGTTCGTGTCTTTATTGCACAAGCTATCCTAGGCATCGCTTGGGCAGCTGGCTACAGCGCATACCTCTATTCTGCTCCTTTCTTAGGAGTCGAGACTGAAACGCCCGCACCTGAGACAGAAGTCATGGATCCCAACGATCCTATGTCGGCCATGTTCACACCTGTTAAGCCACAACAGCGCAAGAAGCTCATCATTCTTGGCTATGCCAACACTCACGGAACTCGATACTTCCTCCTCCTCACTATCTGGGCGCTTGTTCTTCTCCTTCTTCAGAAGCCTATGGGTCAAGGCACACTTTCACTGTGCTTGCTCAGTATCCTCAATCTTCTTGAAATCATTGACGCCAATGACTTGCGCAGCTCGCCTCTGGGGCCTGTAACATTGGCTCTGATGGCTGGCTTCTACTTCTTCAAGACAGGACACCAAGCCACACTTTCGTCGATTCAATGGGAATCTGCGTTCATCCCATTGAAGACGATTAAATATCCATGGTCGCCCATGCTGGTCATTATCAGCACATTCGCGCCTTACATCCTCTGTGCACTCGCTGTTCCTGCCATCGCGTTCTGGAAGGTGCCTCCCCGCACTCCGGGCCTGATGAACCATGTCGCCAAGGCACTTGGCACACATGTACTCTTTTACGCTGCCATTGCTCTTGCAACTGTTGTTGAGGCTGCCTGGCTTCGTCGTCACTTGATGCTTTACCGCATCTTTATGCCTCGTATGTTGCTTGGTGTTGTGGTTCTCTTGATTGTAGAGCTGGTCGGCGTGATTGTTGGCCTTGTCGGCATTAGAAGCAGCATTCGCAGTGTGGCAGAGGTGTTTGGTTGGGGTCCTTTGGTTGAAGAACCTCCCGTCGTGGAACCCCAGCCTGTGGTTCCCGAACCAGCAGAAGCAGAAGAAACTTCTGGGGAGGTCAAGAAAGATTAGATTATCATGTTGGAGTCTTACATAGACACGACGATTCAAAATATAGACTTTGTTTAGTATACATACGTTCATCATTCAGAGTGTAGAAACATTTGATTGAAAGCAGAAAGAATTGTCTTACTAGCCTGCTCATCTTCGTGTAGTGGTACAAACTTCTGAGCAATGATATACATGACAAAGATACAAACGTGAGCATATACTATCAGACAAACACCACCTCTGAGACAACAAGATCTTGACCATCTAGGAGACAGATCTTTAAACGAATAAGAAAGGAGCATGGAACCATGATGCAGAGCAGAAGCAAATCAAAAGACAAAAATAACAAAAAAGGGAAAGGGAAAAAAAAAATGCCAAGCCAAGCTTCACTTGCCGCAACGTCCGTCATTTGTGAAGCCTCGAAAGAAAATTTTCTTCCCACTCATCACAACCAGAGAGATAAGAGACAATTGATGCTCTGATTGATGTGCTGAGCACAGCAAAAGAAGAAGTGATGGTCAGTACGGGGGTCGAACCCGCGACCTTGGCGTGCCGTGTATCGTCAGATATTAGCACCACGCTCTAACCAACTGAGCTAACCGACCTGTTCATGTATAACCAACTGAGGTAATACCCTTTATAAAGTATCAAGATGATGAGGGAAGTAGACGAAGAGAGCTATGTCGGGGCTATCTACGCCAAAATCATAAGTATACAATTCATGGCAAGATATTTTGCACGTTGTTTGGCCTAGTAAGTGGAATGACACTTTTGTAGTCTTTGTTGTAGGTTGTTTATCTAGAAGTTCTCTCAGATGTGTGTCTATGCGTAGCAGACGGCCGGCGCGTGAAGCCTCGTCTGAAGCATAAACGACCATATATTACTTCACTGCAAATATATCGGCACCATATCGCACATTATGACCCGAGTAGCTGTAGTAGGTGTATCCATTGGCCAGTGATAGTATTAAACACTTAGCATTGGGTTGTGTTGCTGCTTCTCATGATTGGATCAGATGTTGAGATTCCGACCCTGGCCTCGAGCATAATCTGCACAGCCCAACGATTATTCATACATAGAGTAGGTAATGCATCGTGAGCAGAGAACAACTCCAGCTTTTGATTCATATACAAAGATGCAAATATGTACAATGACATGCAAGTTCATAAAGTCCTGATTTCCAGCATCATGACCGACAGTCCCATTCAAGAGCCATAATGCCGCTCTCATCGCCTTGCCATACCCTACCGGCATGGTTCTCTTTCGCGACAGCAGAGCGCAAAGCAGTGCCAATCTCCATGGGTCCGGCACCAATGACTTGACTTCTACCGCCACAGATAGCTGCTCTTTCAGCGAAGTCGTTGACAATATCTTTGATTGAGGGATGAGCGCCACCAAGATAGGTGATGAAAAAGTTGTCTTGGAGTGTTGTCAAATCGCTTGAAGAAGAGACAATCACGCCATTTTTCTCGCCCTTGTTACGCTTGCTACAGCATCCCTTGCCCTTCTCCGACAATGAGGACGAGGAAGAGCTTGGTGATTCTAGCGGTGCTGTCTCGCGAGTAACAAAAATGCGAATACGTAACCCGATTGCTTTACCAGAGGACATCCACGACTTGAGCTCCGCCAACTCTGGCGCGATCCAGGAAAGATCTTGAACTTTGCGGACCACCCAGACGAGGTCAACAGCGCGACTGCCTGTTTGTGCGACGGTAAACGTGTCTTGAAGAGTTGGCAGCACTGAAGTGACACCAGTACCGCCTGCCACAGCTAGAAGGTTTGAGGATGCAGCTTCAACCATCGATGTGCCTCCATAAGGTCCAGTAAGGATTACAGAAGTTGTGCAAGAATCACCACCAGTGGCTTTGGCCATTTGAGCAAGTTTAGCAGTGATGCCAGAGCGTTCACGGATCAGGTATGTGTGGTGTTGGATATCGCTACGACCGTTAGGAAGAGACGAGGGCGTAAAAGGATGGCTTTGCCAAATGTTTAGAGCAGGAAAGCAGAGGTAAAAGTGTTGACCAGGCTTCCAGGCAGAGTGTCTGAAGTCAAAGTCAATCCGCACGACCGAATCTTCATCATCGCCATAGTGCTGAACAGTGGCAACAGCGCCGTGGAAACCAAGACCGGGCTTGCCCTTACGGTATCCGAGGTGGAGCAATGCAGTACGAAGGATTCTGATACCGAAATCGGCAAGCACGATGATGAGAGAAGCAATCATCCAACACGCCAATTTATCCCAGTGTCCCCAGCACGCTCCAAGATAAAGGATGCCGATCAGAGCATGGGTCTTCTTGAAAAACTCGTAACCAGTTAATCGGATGGCCCAGCTTGTGCTGAAAATGTACAAAAAGGTAATCATGATCTGAGCAACAATGCCCCAGACAATGTACTTCTGCTTGATGAATGCGGTATAAGTCTCTGGTTGCGGCTGGTAAAATCTTCCTTCGACAAGTGTCCAAACCAGAGTATGCAAGAAGGATTGAATGAAAATGACTCGACCGGTCCAGCGATGCAAGAAGTTGAAATGCTGATATGGAATTCCAGTGATGAGAGACAAAATGCTTTCACGAGAGCAAAGAGCGATGGTAAGTGGCGTCAAAGCATAAGCCAGCGCGCCAACACGATCACCCCAACCTCCAAAGCCGGTTCTAATCGTTTTCAGGTGAGGGTGACCTTTGGTGGGTGTGATCCATGTCTTGTAAGTCACACCGACGAGACTGTTCTGAAGTCAGCTTGGACGTCGAGTTTGTATGGTAGTGACTGACGTACGAGAATATTAACAGGTAGCCAAGAAGCGATGCTAGCACCGTAACTTGTAGCAGAGTGACCCGTCCAAGGATTCCTCTCCCTGGAGATTCGGCAAGCATCCATCGTCTACCCAGAGATCCGAGAGAATCTAGTCCACGCCGAAGTGGCGTCTTGATATCAGATGAGCGGCTTACAATCTTGCCATAGCGTAATGAGAGCATGAATATCAGCACGCCACCCAGGACTGCCCAGAGAATGAATGTGTAAAGCATTGATACTTGATGTGCGTGATAGACAGAGTCTAGATACGCACAAGTACCGGCATCTTTGGTGCATGGGAGGATTCGATCGGCATAACCCCAATAATGTTTGATGGTAGAATTCGCATCGAGTTCTTGGATGTGCCGTGTCTTAAGCATTGTGTCTGGAGAAAACTAGACTGGCGTCTAGAAGAGACGATTGATGTTGACGACTAGATTCAAGGCAGGAAAGAGCGTCCGGTCATGTGCAAGCAGGTGTGGTAACGTGGATCGGCGTGTTGAAAGATGGATACGATGCTTCTCGAGTGCGTAAGCGGAGGGTGTGCTCTTTTAGAAGAGAAACGTGCAAGCCATGTGCTTCTAGAATTGAGGCACGAGCGGAGTCCGAAGACAATCGTGTCAAGAACGTTACCGATGAGGACATGAATGGTTGAAGACGGTGGGTGTTTGGCCTGCCAAGCACGAATCTTGCTCAATATGAGCATGTTTAAAGCTTGGCTACGCCGCCATGTGGGTCCCGAAACATGAATAGTCCGGAGTGTGTTTTGGTTTTGGTATGCGAGCAATGCTCGGGTATCGAATATATAAATGTTGAGAGGACGTTGGTGTTGCTTCTAGGTGACCTTTGTAGTCGTTTAATCCCCCTCACTGCTCTCGTATTCTGCATCTTCCTGCTGTTGTTTTGCTAGCATCTCTTTCCAATTGTCTGCAAACTCTCTTAATGCGCCAGGTCCGCCCTGACTTGCATCGACGACATCTCGTGGTAGCTTGTGTGCACTGTACTGTGGTGTGTTGAAGCTGTAGGCTTCAGGGTCATCTTTCCTGATCAATCGGAACTCGGGGACCCAAATCTCCTCATCGGCTTCTTCTTCATCATCCTCCAAATCTGTCCTTCCCTCTGTGACTTCGCCCTCTTTTGAATCAATCGCTTGTGAGTCAGACTGCTCCTGAGTTTCTACAGGAGCACCAGCAGGCCTGATAGGAATGCGAACAACCTTTTCCTCGGGTGGTTCGGGTAGCGTCAAAAGCTCCAGCCAGCTGAATAACAAAGGGTCTGTCCTGACTGCCCAAGGATTGACATCAATTAACCAAACACGATCATGCGGTGGGGGCACGTAGACGTCAAAGACAAAGTCGGCATCTGGGAAAGTGTGCTTCAGTTTGTCATCGAAGAAATTGTGAATGACATGGCGTAGCTTGTCTTGCATGCGGAAGAGGAAGTCGAAATGGTTCAGGTCTCGTTGACACAGAGCGATGAGCTTGCGATTCCTGACGAAGCATCTGAATTCAACAGAGGGGTTCATCTGAAAGAACTTGCGCAGGACCAGGTGGTATGGGATGTCATTTGTGGTTTTGGGAATGTCGTCGGAAGGCGATTCGTCCTCAATACAGTCATCAAAAGCATGCTCGAGATCGTGCGTAACAAAGTCGGAGCTTTTGAGGAGCAAGTAGATGTCGCTGGGGAGTCTGCACTCCATACTGTTTGTAGCAGCGATCCAGGTGGCGTCCTTGGGAGCGGACCAGTTCAGTTTAGGGACAACCTTACCACCAAGCTCAGCGATGGTATTCTTGATGGCTCGGTGAATGTTGCGCCATTCAGCAGAAGGATCCTCCTCTTCATCGTCATCCTCTTCTCCGGCGGTGTCAGAAGCCGAGAAGATACCAGAATCGCTATCTGACCAGTCGCGGCGAGGATCGTCCTCGTCCGGAGGGATCACAATGCCGTCTGCGCGTAGATAATCAAGGAAAGGGCGAGTAAGCGGGATGAGGCGAGCTTTGGGAGATATAGCACGATACCTAGCAATGTATTAGTCAGGCTGATCTGGTAGGCGAAATATGCAAGCAAGATCGTACTTGGGATACCAGTTGTGGTATGAGCAATGGATGATGTGCGATTTTGTAAGTGGCGCAAAAGGAAGCTCTGTCAAAGGCTGAGGTGCCTCGGAATGCTCTTCTGTAGCCATGCTGTACAGCTGCAGAAGAGAGGCACAAGGGAAAGCGCAGACGATCTAGTGGTGAACAATAGACAACTAAAAAAATTAAAGGCAAGAATCACATGAAAATGCATCGTCTGGGTATACAGAAGTCTTGGCTCGACTTTTTGATTCCCCGCCTTGAATGACTTCACTCTTCTTATCTTCTCTCTACCACCATCATCAACACCTCAGATATTCACCTCCATAATGTCTTCCAACGTCGGACTCTCTACCCCTCGTGGTAGTGGTACCTCGGGCTATGTTCAGCGCAATCTTTCCCACCTCAAGCCGCGCGACGCCGCTGCGCCATACACCAAGGACCCCGATCTTCTTAGGCACCGCCAGCGTCAACCTGACAAAGACATTCTCGAGCACGATCGCAAGCGCGAGATCGAAGTCAAGGTCTTCGAGTTGCGCGATAAACTCGAGGAAGAAGAGTGCGCATCCCCTGCTCAATCTCAATCTCAATACGAACCTCGCAAAGCTAACCTACAACCAGAGTTGACGAAGACGAAATCGAAGACCAATGTACCGCCCTACGCAAAAAACTCCAAGCCGAACAATCAAACAAGAACTCCGCTACCAATGCAAGAGGTCTCAAGTCACATCAAGTTCACGAGTTAGCCAAAGCAAAGATTGAGGAGAGCGAGAAGCTCAGACGCGCTTTCGGCATCAGCAAAGACTACGAAGAAGGCAGCCATTGGAAGAAACAAGAGGAGAAAGCCCGCCAAATTCAAGATCGCCAAGCAGAGGAATCGAGGAGGGCAAGAGAAGAGGATGATTATTCGGATTAAGAAACACTGTGCTTCTAGGTCTATTGCATTTGAGCGTGGCGTTGGAACAGGAATCTTCGGTCGCAGTACTATACCGCCAATCAGGATTGCATGCTTGGATATCCCCTATCCTCCGACTCCACCAAACCCATAACCGACTCTTGCCTATACATCACTTCGACATTTCGACCATCTGGCCCAGTCCACTGTCCGTTCTACTGACTGGACTGTTATCGCGTTCGCTTCGCGAGCTTCTCCTGGTCGACATGGTTTCCGAACGTCTCGGGCTGTTGCTGCTGGTCCTGGTAGGGCTGCGTAAAGCCACCGATGGCTGCTGCATCTTCTTGTGTACTGGGAAGTTCGAAGGCGTCTGTGTGGTCGACATAGCCTTGGTTTGTTGACCTGAACCCTTTGATCCATGCCAGTTCGCTCGCAGCTCCACCTTCTTGGCCTCGCCTGACAGGACAAGCTCCAATCCTTCTTCCCAGTTGTCCTCATCTAGAACCAATCTCTCACGCTTGGGCGACAAATAACCCGACTGGCCATCCTGGACGTGGTAGAGAAGTTCCATCTCGATGGACATGGCAAAATTTGTTTTTTCTCCTTGTTGGTACAAAGCCCCGAATATGGCGCTGCAGACCTCCCGTTCCAGTTCGTGGAAGCTGCGATATAAGATTGAGGGGACGTAGAGAACCGACTCCACTTGTCGACAGCCTCGACGCGATGAACTATGTATCTGACGGCCCACGAGTTGAATGCGAACGCTGTAGCGTGTGTTACGTGACCAGGTCGATACTGCCGTGCCGACACTTGACTTTCGAATGTGTTCTGAGGTGCTCGACGCGGTCTTCATGGTGGCTGCCTTGCTCTGGCTGCTGGCGAGCATCCTGTCTGAGAATGCTGTAATCTAACGTGGGCCCGTAAAGATGGATCTTTCATGTCCTCGCTGACGTTGTTCGTCGGACGTCTGGATGAGTAGGGATGTAGTGTAATTTATTGTATGAGAAAAAGGATTTGATTCTTGTAGAAAAAGGTGCCTGCAAAAGAATAGAAGGCGCGAAGACAACCGTTTAAAAAAAGGGCATCATCCTCCGGCCCATGCGCAAGCAAGCGCGACTTTGCATTTCCAAGTTTCTCTCATCTCCACTCCTGCGAACAACAACATTTCTTTCGGATGTTCGTGCCTCCCTCTGACTCAGATTGACCGCATTCCTCATGTCCGCACGCGGTGTGACTATGACAACGTGAGTCTTTAAGATGGCGGCTGACCGGCTGGAATAAAACACATAATCATTCGTTACTCCCAAACTGCCGAAGTATCGCTCGTCCAGAGCAGATCGTTTACCTACTTTTGCGGCTGAGCTGCGCAAGTGGGGATCCTTGGGGCACCGCCCTGTCTCAACATGCGCAGGAATTTCTCCAGCTCCGCTTCTCTGCTTCCCCCTTTCGTTCTTCTCGCTAACCACAAATGAAACTCCGCTCAAGAGCCATTTCAATCACATTCTCTGCTTCGAAAATGGAACAGGATTTGCTACTGACGTAGATACCGCGGACTTGAGGCAAAAAGGGAGTGTCGCGCGACACCTTTCCCCATTCGACGTGTAGCCGCAAGGCTGGGGAAGGTCAAACGGCGATGGAGTCCCTTTCAGAGCCAACGGCCGGGTCCGACCAGAGAGCAGCGGAAGACCATTTCCGAGTCACTCGAATGAGATTACAAAGCAGTCATCCATGATTATTGCATTTGCATACCGAATTGCCTACACTCAGATCTATCTACTCAATGGCGATACGACAATATGCGACCTTTCTTCGGGGGTGATTCAGGAATGTAACAAATGAAAATCTCGGACAGTTCAGCGGCCATCGTCATCGCAGCAAACACCTCACTCATCAGGAGCTAGCGTCCTTCCAAGTGTCTACGCTGTCATGAATACCCTCGCCCTTGATCCACCAGTCGACACTGAGCACTGCCTCTCCTGGTTGAAGACGATTGAACAGAGTGACAAGATCCGGCCAGTTTGCCTCATTGACCTCGTTGGTGTTGTATGTCTTGGGCGACAAACCAAGTTGGTAGGTAACGAAGATCCTGAAGTCGATATCAAGGTCCTGGCGCTTACGCCACGGGAAGTACCAATGAGGACGTTTGGGGCACTTTCTGGTGAGGCGGCAATGGAGATTCTTGACGATCTTCTCAACCAAGTCACCGTGGTTCGCTGTGAGGCAGATCACATCCTGGAATACTGCCAGGTCGCCGGCGATCTTTTTGAAGACTGGATCATGCTCAACGAGTCTGAATCTCATAGGAATGATGAGAACTCTCTTGCGATAACAGTAGACCGCCTTGTTGAGATGAAGGTCGGTATTGGTTTGACTCTCGCTACCGGAGTCGAAGATCTCGGTGAGTTGGCCTTGGGGCATGCTGTCGGTATTGAATGAGGACAAAGTTTCGAATATAGGTTGGTACGAGTGGAAAGAGGAGATCAATGCGGAGAGGGGAAGACTGCCATTTAATGCATAGAGCTCCGTCTTGACCCCTCACTGGAAGCTGGTCGTATGAGCTGCAATACCAAAATGGCTTTCGACGAAGAGCTCAGCAGGAAACTGTCAGTCGAGCAGCAGCCAAACATACACTGTGTTAAAGCTTGCACCATACATAAACTCTGGACCAGCATGAGGTTCATCAAGATCGTGTGGGGTCACCCACTTAACTACTCGGGTTCGTCTTCTCATTCGTCTTCTTTCACCTTGGCTAAATACTTGGTCAACGAAAGTGCGTCTAAGGCTGCATATGACAGAGCAGAAGCTTGGTCGAGAGTTTGGCAGTAAAAGCTACGAGAACTAAGACAGGCAAGACGGGCGTCAGAGGTCAAAGGCACAAATTTGTCGTTCGCATCCACCTGTGATAAGGTCGCCAATGTGAAAGTGCATACCGTACGCCCTGTTGCATGTTTTTTGATAGAGTAGTAGAGACATGTTGCGGAAAAGCACAAGTTTGCATATTAAGGCTAGACTTTATGCATAATTATGAATACAGCTTCAGATCAGTCAGATCAGCTAGAACAAGTCTTCCTAGAAGTCCCCAATGAATATTCTGTCAATGATGATGCCAGCCGCTTTTATGAATGACTGTTTGTGTGTGAGAAGATCTGTTTAACTGATCGGGTCAAAGTGTGGATGAGGCTTAAAACAAAAGCTTAGACTGTTTTTGCGGAGGAAGGCGCAGCTACCGTGGGCCGTGGCAAACAAGACTGGTACCTGCTCAGCGTGCTGCAGCTTCCACTCGTGTAACACTGCATGCAGGCTCTGCGGCGTCATTAGTTCACCAGAATTTACAAAAGTGGCCAATCTCCCTTTCACGCTCAACGCTTTCACCTATAATCACTTCTCCAACCACCATTCCTAACCTTCTAGACCTACGCGCACGCCTTTGACCGACGCGACACAGCTCTGACAACATGGCAACCGATGGCGTTCAACAAGACATCGAGTATGTCAACGTCGAAGACATTTCAAGATCTGAAGAAGACCAAAAGATCTTGCAGAGCTACCACCGTCTGTCTTCACGGCGAGTAGATCTCGTGGGTGATTTTGCCGGTCAGGAACTGTTCGCAATCGAGGGCGATTCTCTTCTTCTGCAATGCTTTGAGAATTCATTACTTGATTTCGAAGATGGTTTTCAGATGCTGCATGCTGTCTATCTTGTAGAAGATTACCTTGCACAACTCCAACGCCGTAACTGCAGATTCCACATCGCGTTCTTCGAGGCGCATCGCCAGCTTTGCATACCCCAGAACGTAAAGTCCATCAATCGATCCAAATACCTCCTTACACGAGCCGCCATAATACGCCACCTTCAGTCGAATCTGAAATCAGAACATGTACAAACCCACTGCTTCTCTGACCTGTACAACCAAGCATTTGATGACTATCTGCGTAACTCTGCAGTCTATTTCTTGATGTGTCACGATGGAGCTCGCAGCTACACCACACAAGATAGAGATGTTCCTGATCCAAGAATACAGCTGAGATCAACTATTGTACATTTCATCTTGTCCGGCTACAACGTAGCTCTGATCAATGGCTCAGAATTCGTCGACACAAAGATCATGGCCATGGTGTTAGAAACCAAGAAACTCTCGCACAGACTGGATCCAGCTCTAGATGCAAGCCCCAAGCAGCTCAATGGCGTCTCAGAGCCCATCTCCAACCCAGAACTCAAGGACATCGAGACAAGCACATCCGACCTTACGGAGAGAGAACGTTTAACGATCTTAACTCTGTCTCGTCTGATCAAGACTTCATCTAGCTCACCGCACGTCCAACAATTCACACATGACGTCCTTACACATACTGCGCTTCTTCATGCCTTGCCACTCTCAGCTCGTAGTCTGCAACATGCTCCAGCAGTGAGCGACTACAAGGAGCACCTCTCCAGCTTCTGCAGCCAAGCTGCTGAGATACTGAGAAGTTTGAGTTGGGCCCAATTCCATCAGGAAGTTGACAATAACGAGTGTGATGTAGCCGACCTCTTTGATGGTCGTCTGTTCAACATCATTTGTAAGGGTCTCGACCTTTCGTCGATGCCAGAAATCGTGCAGAACAAACTTCGGAAACTCAGTGAATGCTTGAAGACCATCTGCAATGACACAACGAGTGCCGAACGCGAGGCCAGAAAGGTGGAAACCTCATCTCTTGATGCTCCTTTCGCGACCTCTACAGGAAACGCAAGTGTCCTCCCCTTCTCCAACCCTGTATTCGACAAGCATTTGGCCTCTATTCGTCTCGGCATCGACGATCGTGCATCTGAAGAGATCAGCAGACCTTCAGCTCGCATCTTCCAGGAAGTATCACACTGGCACAACGCCAAGCGACCAATTCAATCGAAAAACACACCAGTGCTTTCTCCACGAGACGAGCTACGTGCCCGCCGCAGAAACCAGAAGTACATGGATGAGATGCAAAAATATGCTGCAAGTTTGACCAATTCTGTGGGAAGAGCACTAGAGCCCGAGACACTTCTCGTAAAGTCAGCAGCCGCTTCGAAGGTGTCACAGAAATCTGAGAACAAGAAACCAAATGCTGAGTCTACCAAGAATGCTGACACTTCAAAGAAAAGTGGCAACCCTAAGGGCGGCAAGAAGAACGTCAAGGTCAGTGGCAAGCAGGCTGCTCAGGAAGCGGCTGCAGCTTTCCAAGCCAAGAAGGCAGAAGCTTCAGACACTAAAGTCATGCAAGCATGGCACATCATTCTGAAGAGTTTATCTGCCGAGAAAGACCTGCCATCTCGTTACATCAAGACCAAGGATTATTTTACAAGCTTGCCCAAAGACAAGAGAGAAATTCTTGGTGCCGAGGTGCAACTGTTCTCTCTAAGCACCTTGGTGGAGATTGCCATCCAATCGGGGAAGACCAACGATCAAGATCCCAACGGCATTGTTGCTTTAATCTGGCACACTGCCAGAAACCTCGTTCAGTGCGACAACCTGACCAAGACGATTTGCGAGAAGATCAAACTTACTGTAGACACTTTTGGCCTCCCACCCGTCGATATCCCGAAGCCAACGCAGGACAAAGCTCTGCCGTTCCGCTTTGCACTTCCTTTGCAAAGTGCAGAACTTGTGAAGAACAAGCTGCCCAGCAAGGCGTTCCAGCTTCTTCACTGTGGGCCTTTCCTTGACCGTAGTATGGACGCTGCTCCCGACTCAAGAGTAGACTTCGAGCCGGATGGCTGGCAAAGAAAGGTCCTTGATGGTATCGACGACAACAAGAGTCTCTTCGTGGTCGCTCCCACTTCTGCTGGTAAAACTTTCATCTCGTTCTATGCAATGAGAAAGGTCATCGAGGCCGACGACGAGGGTGTTCTCGTCTACGTTGCACCGACCAAGGCCTTGGTCAACCAGATCGCCGCTGAAATCCAGGGCAGATATTCGAAGAAGTTCAAGTATCCAGGAAAGAGCGTGTGGGCCATTCACACTAGAGACCATCGCATCAACAACGCAACGGGATGCCAGGTTTTGGTTACCGTGCCTCACGTGCTCCAGATCATGCTTTTGGCTCCCTCGCACGCCAACTCATGGGCCACTAGGGTCAAGCGCATTATCTTTGATGAAGTCCACTGTATCGGCCAAGCTCAGGATGGTGTCGTCTGGGAGCAGCTTCTGTTGCTCGCCCCTTGTCCCATCATTGCACTTTCGGCCACAGTCGGCAACCCTGATGTTTTCAGTGACTGGCTGTTAACAACCGAGAAAGCCATGGGCATTGATTTCGAAATGGTTAGACATCCTTACAGATACTCCGACCTGAGAAAGTTCTACTATGATCCGCCGAAGAAATTCTTGTTCGATGGTCTAGGACAGAAGAAGGGTCTACCAACACTTGGATTGGACGAGAGTACCGGCTTCGAATACCTTCATCCTGTTGCTTGTCTTGTCAACCGTTCGGCAGGTATGCCAGACGACCTCTCCTTCGAGCCTCGTGACTGTTACACTTTGTGGAAAGCCATGAAAGAGCACTCCAACGACAAGTACAGTTTGTCAACAGAGCTTGATCCTGTATATGCCTTACCCAACGTCATTCGCAAGCAGGATGTTTTGAAATGGGAAGCAGATCTGAAGAAGGTCTTGGCTGCATGGATGGAAGATACTGCGTCACCTTTCAATGCTGTCTTTACCACACTCTCTGGCAAGCGACCCCAGAAGGAAGAGCTTTACGCACCAACTGCAAAGCGCACTGGACAACAGGAGGCCCAGGAGGTTGAAGAGGATAACTTCCTTCCCCTGCTTTGTAGACTCCATGAACAGGATGCAATGCCAGCCATTCTCTTCAACTATGATCGCACAAGATGTGAAGACATCTGTGCTAAGATTCATGATGACTTGAAGGAAGCTGAGGATCAGTGGAAGGCAACTGATCCGAAGTGGAAAGCCAAGATTGCTCAGTGGGAGGCATGGAAGAAGGAGCAAGAGCGAAAGGGTGCCAAGGCTAGCAAAGTCTCAAAGAGTAGGAAGCCTGCCGAAGAAGGCATGACTAAGGCAGACATGCAGCGTGATGCTGCTGATACCGACGCCAATGGTTTCGAAGGCTTCGATCCCGCAGCTCCTCAAGATGGATACCACTTCTGCAACTTCAAGGCTATCCAGATCTCTGAACTTGAGGACTACATGAGGGAACTCGAGTGGCGGCATGTGCCGCAGTGGCTCATTGTCGCTCTGACCAGAGGTATTGCCGTCCATCACTCAGGCATGAACCGCAAATACCGCCAGGTTGTTGAAATTTTGTTCCGCAAGGGCTTCCTCAGAGTCGTTGTCGCGACCGGTACACTTGCCTTGGGTATCAACATGCCCTGCAAGACTGTCGTTTTCACGGGCGAATCAGTGTTCTTGACCGCTCTTGAGTACCGTCAATGTGCCGGTCGTGCTGGTCGTCGTGGCTTCGATCTGCTAGGAAACGTTGTTTTCCAGAACATGCAGCATGAGAAGGTACTGAGATTGATGTCTTCAAGATTGCCTGACTTGAACGGTCATTTCCCAGTCACAACCACACTGGTTCTCCGTCTGTTCACGCTACTTCACGGGTCTAACAACTCGAAGTACGCAGCTTCATGCATCAACTCACTGCTCTCTCAGCCTCGCCTGTACATGGGAGGTCCTTCTTTCAAGGACCAGACACTCCACCATCTCCGTTTCTCCATCGAGTACCTGCGTAGACAGCAGTTGCTCGACGCAAAGGGCACGACTCTGAACTTTGCTGGCCTGGTCTCCCACTTGTACTTCACAGAAAACTCCAGTTTTGCATTCCATGCACTACTCAAGGAGGGCTACTTCCACAGACTTTGTGCAAACATCGACAACGACACAGAGTCGGTGGTTAACACCTTGATGCTTGTCATGTCGCATCTGTTTGGCCGTGTCTACTGTCGGAAATCGGATGCAGAGTATCGTGAAAAGGTGGTGAAGCCATCGTCATCGATAGTGTTCTTACCTCCTCTACCGGAAGAAGCAGGCCAGATCCTGAATGAGCACGGAAAGCAAACGCTCGATATTTTCAGCACCTACGTTCGAACATTTGTCGATCAGCATGTACAGAAAGCAGATGACATTCTGCCGCTCACAGCTAGACAGGTTGGCTGTTCATCAGCCGAGTCAGCTCCTAGTCTGGAAGAAGTCTCTCTTCCTTCTACCAAGATTCGTTCGCCATTCGTCGCTCTATCTGGACACACGGATCACTTTAAGTCTATCAGTGAGCTGTGTCGCTCGGTCAGATCTGGTGTCTTCCTTGAAGAGTCGGCTATTCCCCATGTAGCCATGCTCTCACAAGACCTTGACCAACCTTTGAACGCTTTTCTGGTCGACTTCTTCAAGCACGGCGACGTCAAGACTCTAGAGAAAGCAAACGGCATCAGACGAGGTGACGTTTGGTTCATGCTTAACGACTTCTCCTTGGTTCTTGCTACAATCATTACTAGTCTGCTCAACTTCATGAAGCTCAAGGTAGGAAGTGACATGGATTTCCTCGACACCATGGGAGAGCTTGACACCCTGGAAGAGGCCGAAGACGAGACTGTGGCTGTCAAGGAAGATGGAGAAGCCATTCCTGCTCCTAGCGAAGCACCCAAAGCCGCAATGGCTACGATCACCAAGAAGAAAGCAAAGAAGGCCGAGAGTTGGGAGGATATGGCTGACGAGGAAGAAGTCATTGAAAAGGATTACAACGAGGCTGCTGCCAAATTGGATGAGCTCAACATTGACAGCGCTGCATGGGAAGGCCAGGGCGGTGAGAAGGGACTGCTTAAGGTGCTTAAGGCTTTCCAAAGATTGCATTCGGAGTTCAACCTGAAGTTCAAGGCTATGTGGGCATAGATGGATACGAGCATGTGGTTTGTAAAAATAGATCAAATACTGATAGACCGTACATTTTGCTTGATTTTCTTATCACCATCTTGCTCCGAACAACCATATTGCGAATAAGCTCGGCGCAAGTGGGCACCTGACGTTTGATTGACAGTGTTGGCCTTGGGTAGCACGATTTTGCACGACTGACTCTGACACTTCGCGAAAATGCTAGAAACGGGCGAACATCGAGTCGCTTGCCGGATCTCAGCGGATACACATGCGTATCTGATGAAGCTCCACGTTGCGATATACGCGCCTTATATATTGGTCCCATGTCTCTGAAGATATCGAATACGATTGTCCGAGATTGTCGAGCCAAGAGCTCACGCGAGCTCCCCGTTACGAGGGGTGCACAACCAACCCCTAAGATGTCATAGGGGTTCCTTGACGTTATGTATCAGATGGAACGGAGAGGGGGATAAGCAGATCTTCATGTTTCAAAATAGAATTGACAACAATTCGACGAATGAGCTTTCAAGAAGATCAAAACCAGAGCCCAACATCCAACATAAGGCCGAGTTGATCTCGCGATTCTTTTTCTGTGGAGTCGGTTCGGTCGGCTTTTTTGCGACTTCGCCTTGCGGTACAGCCACACCAAGAAATCGACGCCCCAGCTGTAAACACCGAGAACCCTGCCAATTTCCGAGCGGTCGGGCTTTCTTTTTGTACGACGGGTGCTGAGGTATATGTAATAATCCGCCGCCAAGGTAAGATGAGCTGGGCGTATTCTGTTGTAGGCATCCATCCCCTTGCTCCTCGGACCCCTCATGTCATAAGAAGCCCAAGCCCCCCTTCGCAAACACCCTCGTGTGACACTCTCCCTTTTGCTTGACTCGGAATCTCTCAAATATGTCGATCGTAAAGAGACCCACCATCAAGAACCGAAGGATATCTTCTTCACCCTCGCCGCCAGGCAGTCCTCACCCCGCATATGACCCAATCCGGATGGAACCTGTGGCTCGTCTGGATACCAGCTCAGCCGTACCTCTTTCAATCAAGCAAGTTGATCTGGATGGCTACGATATCGTCCCTCCAGTTCCAGCATTTCACAATACATTTGATCTGCCAGCCTTAGGAGGCCTTTACAGCTTTCAAGAGCTCCAAGATGACATCGCCAAGTCCATCTCGGCACAGAACGGCCTCGCTCATCGTCGCCTGGAAGCAAAGCGAGACTTCTACTTCAAATTGTCGGCCCACTATAAACGCCATACAGACGAGAAACGGCAGGACGTGCGTGTCACGGCGCAGAATTGGGATGAGCTGAGACTGCTGCTGCTGAGTGATGAGGTCCATGTTGCGTGCTTCTCTGTCTTATGGTGGAAGAAGACGACAGGACAGAGAAGGGCCGATCGAGCAGAGGTGGGCAGCAGTCTGGCTTGCTGCGTCGTACAATAGGCTATACAGGAGACAGGCCCTTGATGGGTTCTTCTATGGCTCTTTGCCGAATCTCATCTTCAAGATGATTCGAGTTACGCGTTTTGGCGCATCACTTCGAACACACCTCAGGAACGACAGCTATACAGAAGTGGCCTGACTTTATGGCGGAGACAGATCCGGTCCGAAAGGCGATCTTCGCAACGTTGCCTCCATTGGTCGTCGGAATGCTACGGCCACGCATTCCGTACACCGGGCCTTCTGAGCTGGCCACAACGAACCAATATCGCAATGCCCAAGGCCGACAAGATGCTTGGATTAGGACGTTGCCAATTTGGAGAAATCAATGGGCAGCCAGGCATGACAGAAATGTCGGGCATGCATCGCGTTCAGGCGTACCAGGAGGAAAACCTTTCACGAGATTCACGAACGAATAACGAATGCTACGAACTTTCTATTTATCTATTTATTTATTGATTGATTGTTTTTTTGCAACGTTAACAGCTAGCTCGCCTAAGCTACTCAACGTATGGGATGCCTGAACCATGAGATAGAATACCCTGATGCCTGTCATGGACGGAAGCTATAGATTTGACAGAAGCTGATGGTGGTGCTTGGACTGCATCTGAAACGTTATGATTATGCCTTACTTCGGCTACAAAGTATCCGGCTATCCGAGAGATGCGTTCTTGGCTGTCGGTAAGATACTTAGCCCTCACTCTTGGATCCATATCGACAAGAGTCATGAATCGATTTCATCGTCCGAAGCAACCCTAAGCTAATGTGCTGTTGATTGCTTGAGAAGACGTCGGTTTTGACTTTCCTTTTACAGAAGCTATCCATATCAGGCAGAACTTCGGGATATCAGGCACGTCATCAGGACGGCCATCTACGCTTTGAGGAGCAGGGCATCATCCATTTCAATTAAGTATCAAACACTATCATGTCAATCAAGAATGTTGTTCTAGTTGGTGCGGATGGCAACCTTGGGCCAGGAGTCCTCAATGGTCTGGTTGGGGCAGGAACCTTCAAAATCACGGTCTTCAAGCGAAAGTCCTCAAAGTCGAAGTCCAATTATCCGGATGATGTTGAAGTCAAGCTATTGTCGGACGATTTTCCAATCGACGAACTGGTCCCCGCTCTCAAGGGTCAGGATGCCATAGTCAGTACCGTGTATGGTGCACAAGTCGACTTGCAGAAGCGTCTTGCAGATGCAGCAATCAAGGCTGGTGTAAAGCGATTCATTCCTTCCGACTTTGGAAGCTGTGACTCGCAGAGCGAGAGAGCTATGGAACTTGCACCCATCTACATCGCCAAGTCACAAGTGCGCGATCATCTCGAGAAGCTAGCTAAAGAGAACCCTGGTTTCAGCTGGACTAGTCTCGTGTGCGGTCATTTCTTCGACTGGGACCTTGGCTTCTTCCATATCAATCTTCAGGCCAAAAGTTTTGAGATCCTCGATGATGGCGAGGTCTATTGGAGTACCAGCACATTCGCACAAATCGGCAAAGCTACTGCTGCCATACTGCAGAAGCCAGAAGAGACAAAGAATCGATTTGTTTACATCCAGAGCTTCCGTATCAACCAACACCAGCTCCTGAAAGCATTCGAGAAACAGACGGGACAGTCCTGGAACGTCAAAAAGTACGACTCGTCAGAATATGTGAAGGAACGCAAGGCAAAGGCAGACAGTGGGGACAAGTCGGCCGTCGAAGATCTAGTCTGGGTTCTAGGCACACTGGAAGCCGATTGGGAGGCTCGCGATGGATACGCCAATGATCTTCTTGGACTGCAGCAGGAGAACCTTGATGATGTAGTGGCAAGGATTGTCAAGAGTAATTAACGTATCCGCTCGAGAACGTCGAACCGCAGACGAACATCAATCCCAGAGGAAGCACAAAATTTCCATCAACGAATGCCAGATGCCGAGAAGTCGAAGGAGACAAAGATAAGCAATATTTCCTTGTCCGTACGCTAGAGCCCATCACGATCAGCATGATCGATCTCCTAGTAGTGGTAAGGATTAATCATAAACTATAGAAATGCACGATACCTTTTCTAGATCGAAGCGCCCCCAAGGAAATGCTCAAAATCAACGGCACTCTCTGGATATAATTCTTCCCTCTAGAACGAATTGTGTATGTCTTCCGCTATCAAATACGAGGCTAACTGCTCCAGACCAACTTTCAGAAATGTCAGCAAGGTAAAGATAGGCAATGGCTACTCTTCTATATACCTTTGCTAATTGGTGTTGCTATCTGTGGCACCTTGTGATTGGTATCCCTGGGATGACATGCATAGACGGTACGCTATGAAGATGCACAATATCTTCCTGGAATCAACTGTGTCTAGAGAGATATCGCGAACAAACAGTTCTCTGTGGATATTTGCATATTAGCTAAGAAGACTGTGCATATCTTCAGCTAACGATTACGAGGTCAATGGCTCCGGAAAGAGCGAGGATTAGCGATGGTCACTCCTTTGTATACCACGCTGACGCCTATCGTGATTCGCAAATCCATTGATCTCTCGAAGGCGATACACAGGGACGATGGGCTATGGGAATACACAAACTTTTTCTAAAATCAAATATGTCCAAGGAGATAACCCGAGTTGATAGCTCTCTGTGGATGTTGTTTATTTTTCAAGAAGATTGTGCATATCTTCAACTAGAATCCAACAAAGAAGCTGCATTGGAGTTGCGGCTTGGAAAGCGCCTTCCTACCTGCGCGTTTAAAACTCTCCACCGTCGACAAACGCCAACGCGACCGATCTTGTCAACCACTCCATCATCGTTATCATCAACCATCAATGGCAGCAGAAGGTCGGCCGTTGGACCTGTTGGAGCGCTTCCAGCTTGCTCAAGCACGTGCTGGAACGGTACCCTATATCACGATCATCGGCGTCATCCTCATCCCTCCTGTGGATCTAATGCAAAAACTGGCTGAAATCAGCGTCAATATCGACGAACTGATGAGGGTTCATCCGATATTGGTCGCGGGCATTGACGATACTGATATTCGACGTCCCAAGTGGAGACCAAATCACGACAATCCGCCCTTTGAGTCGAACGGTTCCATGTTCCACCCCATTGTCGAATCCACGGTCATCAAAGTCCAATCCATCGCACATGTCGTCGGGGCAGAGGAGGCCGAGGCTCAAGGTTTCAATCTGGCTACTGGGCCTTTGTGGCGCATTGGAGTCTACGGACTAGACAACGAACCTCCAAACTCCTATTGCGTCGCATTGACCATCCATCACATCGTTACCGATGGCATGGGTGCTCTTGCCCTATTAGAACAAGTCATGCATCCACCGTCTACGACTTCTGCCACATCAGCGCGACCACGACAGCAGCCTTTACCGCCCAAAACCCAGAAAACGATGAGAATGCAACCCTCTGTCATGGGTACTATTCGAAAAGGCGCTCGTTGGCTTCTCAACCACAAAATGTCTTTGAAGGTAACGCAAGGACTCGGCGCAACTAAGGTATGGCCGCCATCAGATCTGCTCAAGGATGGACCGAGAAGGGCAGATGTCGGCCATATTTCTGTCAATTTTGGTCAGGATGAGAACAGAATCGTCGAGAGACTAGAAGCTCTGGGTCATCAAATTGGCAGTGTACACTCAGTATTGCACACTGCTGCGGTAATTGCACTGGCAGCAGCTGTTGCCACTGGAGATGACACTTTTGACACTATCGGCACGGAAACGCCCATGTCGCTACGTCCAGAAGCTCGAAACGCCCCACGTATCGGCGGCAACTATACCGGCATGGTCGAAAGGTCTATACCGATAGCCAAGTTGAAATCAGAGACTATCGCCAGCTTCACCAAAAAGACGAATAACTACATACATTCACGAGAGGCAAAGAGTGACGCCAGAAGCAGAGTGGGGGAGTTTCGTTTGATGCCTGACCGAATAATACCTGATTCGTGGAAAGCTAGCCTTACCAAGAGAGGAACATCAGAAAATCCATTTTGCAATTCGTTGACGATCTCTAACCTTGGCCGCTTTCAGGGTAGGCATATTCGTGGCCTTCAAAAAGTCTGGTTCTGCCATGCCAGCATGCCTTGGGGTACTGCCATCAACATGGACGTCGTCAGTCTCAATCTCAGGCAACCATCAGATGTCAGTGGAAGAAGGGAAGCAAGGTTAGCCGTGATGATCTCGTGGGTGGATGGTGTCATTGAAAGGAGGGTTGTCGATCGCTTCTGCGCAGCACTTGTGAGTGTGGTCAACCTACTAGCAAGAGCCGGAGGTGCACCAAATATAGATCGGCATGCTATGCGGGCAAGAAATCTCCAACACCTCGTGAATTAGGCTCGCACGCAGTTGGACGCAGAAAGGGGTGGAAACTGATTCTCTTTGATTCTATTACTAGTCATTCTTTAAGACGTTAATCAAGCATCTCTCGCTGCCATCCATTGAATTTACCAGTTGTAGAAATGCACAGTGATGTTGGTTTCAACAACTTCGACCATTGAGAGTCCTGTCATCTTGGTCTCTCCGTGGACAAGGTCTCAATCCAGTTACTACTATGCATTTTTACAAGTAGATTTATCGTGGTCAGCACTTCCGGGATGGCAAACGAGGAGCACTCAATAGCGAAAAGTCAAATAACAATATTACTCTGCATCCCTACAAGCAGAACTATTGTGGTCAGTCTTTCAGAGATCACAGTTGGGGGAGCTCTCAATGGTGCAAGGTCGAATGATAATCATACTGTGCGTTTTTACAGGCAAAAAACCTGCACTGCATTCGTCTGGGATAAGATTGAAAAGAACTATCTTTCAGCATGACGAACTCAAGAACCAAACACAACGTTTTCAATCGCTTCTATCTCTTAAGTCGATATCTTTGAGACAAAGCAAAAGAAGATGGAACGACAAAACATACAGCAGCAGGGATTCCCACGTGGTCACCCACCGTAGTACTAATCTGCCGTTCAACTGCTTATGTATGGCAGAGCGGACGGGATGCCCAGTTTTCAGCTGACTGTGGCCGTATGTGCTGTAGATTGTATTTTATTGATGTATATTGCGTGTGCAAACACTTTCACGGCGATGCATCTTGTCCGTCTCGCAGGATGCGACCGTGATTCATGATCATGGCTGGCCGTTGGGGAGGATGGCCAACAAAGCCACTGGACGATGGGAGTTGCGAGCTGTTGATAGTCTCGACAATGAGCGACAGTACATTGCAGCCGACAGACAAGGTGATTGGCTCTCAAGCGACTGCTTTCGCATAGGGATAAAAGCACATGCAACGAGCCGACTCAAGGCGGGCCGACGAGACCCTCGGTCATTGATATGGATCATGGAAAAGCAGCTTGACGCGGAGGTGGACCGGAGAAAGCTGGCGCACGGCCCAAAAAAAAGTCGCGACGAGGTCGGCGTTGGTGCATGAGCAACTCAGCATAATCCATATCGCGTGCGTGCCTTTTCCCTCCTTCTGGTCGTCCTTTCGCTCGCACTCTTGCAGTATCTCCTTGTTCGACCCCGTACATCCTCCGTCCATTCCTTTCCCGAGTATATTCACTCACTCGATTTCCTCACAATGGTCAACCTTCCCTCACCCAAGGATGCCGCCTCCAAGTCGGGCGAGGTTCTGTCCGGCTCGTCCAAGGAGTACAAGAAGGAGTCGACCGCTGCTAGAGTCCTCGGTGCTGGTGCGTAGATTGTCCTTGGAACGAGCACGAACATACAGTTGACTTGAAGCAGGTTCCGCTGGTATTGCCGAGCTCGCCGTCTTCCACCCCGTCGACACCATCGCCAAACGTCTTATGAGCAACCAGGGCAAGATCTCGGGCATCACCCAGTTCAACTCGGTCATCTTCAAGGACAAGGCCACTGCTCCCTTCGGCACCCGTTTCTTCTCTCTCTTCCCCGGTCTCGGCTATGCCGCTGCCTACAAGGTCATGCAGCGTGTCTACAAGTACGGTGGTCAGCCCTTCATGCGCGACTACCTGGCCAAGAACCACGGCGACTTCTTCGACTCCACTTTCGGCAAGGGCAATGGCAAGGCCATCATGCACGCCACTGCTGGCAGGTAAGACTCGACCAGCGCTCTCGAAACTGCCGAGGCGCACGGCTAACAACCTTCAGTTTGATCGGTATTGGTGAGATTGTCATTCTCCCTCTCGACGTTCTCAAGATCAAGCGTCAAACAAACCCCGAGGCCTTCCGTGGCCGCGGTCTCTTCAGAATCATCGCCGACGAGGGCTTCGGTCTCTACAGAGGTTGGGGCTGGACTGCCGCCCGTAACGCTCCTGGTTCTTTCGCTGTGCGTATATCCGACTAGTCTGTGGCAGAAACATCTCACTAATGCACGATACAGCTCTTCGGTGGTAGTGCCGCTGCCAAGGAATACTTCTTCAAGCTCACCGACTACAACAGCGCCACCTGGTTCCAGAACTTTGTCGCTTCCATTGCCGGTGCCTCTGCTTCGCTCATCGTCTCGGCTCCTCTCGATGTCGTCAAGACCCGTATCCAGAACCGCAACTTCGAGGCCAAGGAGTCTGGCTTCCGTATCATCTCCAACATGGCCAAGCACGAGGGCATGACTGCCTTCTTCAAGGGTCTTACTCCCAAGCTCCTGATGACTGGTCCCAAGCTCGTTTTCAGTTTCTGGCTGGCTCAGACTCTTATTCCTGCTTTCAACAAGGTTCTCTAGACGATTTGAATGCCATAATGTAAGAGTTTAAGCGATGAATACCGTCTAAATGTGGAGGCGAGGAGCGATTTGTTTAATAGCTGCATCAGGCTGCAGGGGCAGTCGGATTGGGTGTACAATGTTTGGGCATGTTTATGGGAATTTTGCAAACGGCCAGCCATGCTTTTGAATTGTAACATAGAAAAAGGACGGCGCATGATGGAAATGATACCTCTTCTCTACCTTTGACTGCCCAGTAACTTCCATCTTGCATATATCCAGAAGGACCAAACAATGGCTCGGGAGCGGGAGCGAAAGGGTGTCGAGGCTTGGGCAGCACTTGGTCAAGGCGCGTAGTGACGGGGACCATGGCATCGGTAAAGGACAACCAATAATTAATCGAGCAATCTACAAGGCAGAACGTGATTGACGGCGTTGCTGCAAGCGCGAGTTTCCAGCCTCACACAGATCGCTTGATCAGCTTGACGTCGCCTTTGTTTTCTCTCCCTAGGACGCTCTTGTTATTATTGCTTCAACCCACACCGCTGCTGCCGCACTGCCAGGTTGCGCCGTTGCGGATAGTCGTTTCTCTGACACATAACGTTCACATCCTCCGCAGGGTCGGAGGGCACGCTCAGATCAACCCCGGATTCACTCATCGACTTTTGAAACTGTGATTGATCGTAATGTCGCGCTCACGGTCGACTGGTCGTGACGATGGACTCGGCGCGCCCAAACAGGAACAACAGCAGCATCGCTGCGCCAGCAGCACTCCAGGCCCTCGCGATGATTTCCACGCTGGGTACGTTATGATAAACATAAGCGCTCCCGTACACAACTAACCATAACAATTCCACAGCTTCGTCAAGCGCTTGGTCGGCATCCTGGACAACCACGGCAAAGTCATCAAGAACAATGCAACTTTCTTAAGCGAAATCTCAACCACCCTTCGCAATCATTCATACTCGCGTCTACCTCGTCCTGTCAGTGAACCTGCTCTGAAGGTTCCAACTACTCCTATCGTTCAACCTGCTACGCCAGACGACTGCGCTGTCGAATCCAGTCCGGAGTTCATGCCCCCTACGCCTCCCGATACGCCCACTGTCGAAGTATCCGACTGGTCTCACCAGCCACCCAAGCCCACCGAAGCCAGATACCAGAACGAACAGCCAAAGATCCCTAAAATCATTATCAAAGACCACAGCACTTCGACCTCAACCACCATTAGCGCCCCTGTCGACTCCATCATGGACCTTTCCATCTCTTCCACTGATGATGCTGACGCTGTCGTTACTACCTCCGACATGACTCCCACCACTTCTGACAAACACAATACTGCTCTGGTCCCTGTCAAGAAGAACTCGATCGGAATCTCTGACATCTCTTCCTTCAAGAGCCCCTTCAAGGACTCGTTCAACTATGCAACACCCAAAATGGCTGCCACTTCACCCGAACCTAACTCAGCCGACCAGAGCACTGTCTCCGAAGAGGACATTTCTCAGTGGTATGCCTACCATGCGGACCGCGCAGCTAAGAGTTTGCGCTATGACTTGCGTGAGGTTGACCTGAAGATGGATCGCTTTGTTCGCCGCATCAACGACCTCAATTCGCAGTGCTCGGCCCTCAACAATCTCATGTCGTCCAACGCCTCGACCGTCCTCAACCCTAACACCCAGCAGCATCGTCGTACTAGAAGTACCCCAGCTGTTCAGGGCAACGACTACTACACCCGCAAGGAGAAGGAGATTCGCGACGACATCAAGGAGGCTTTTGATAGTCTTCGCTCGGCACTCGCCTTCTATCGCAAGCAGCGTGTAGCTCCTCTTGAGCTCGTCAACACCAAAGCTGAGGTCGTCATGCCGGGTTACTGGTCCTTGGATGCTTACGGCAAACGTCGCGCTCTGTTCCACTTCTACAACCGCAACAAGGACATCTCCAGACCTGGTGACCGCGCACGCTACCACGACGCCATGGCTCTTCTCGACGCATGCACAGCCATGTCTCTGAACCAGGAATTTGTCGACAAGATCGATAGATGGGAGAGACAGATTGGCACCGTCAAGAGCCAGTCAGGTGCTGATACAGTCATTCCTTGAATGTGTTGATGCCGCAAATCGACAGCCCCACTACCACCCAGCCATTCACAGCACCTGACACAGTCAGTCAGGGTTCATTTGCCTTTCTTTCCAGTTTCCTCACGCATGTTGCATGGCGTCGGCGCCTTCGGCACTATGCTTTCCTCCTTTCATGCGATTACCCAGTCTTGTTGTTTTTGTTTTTTTCTTTCCTGATGGATTTTCTTCTTCTGGTGTTCGTTTCTTCACGAGTTAATGATGGATGCATGTTGCATGTGGCCGGCGCGATTCAAAAAGATACCCCTTTTTTTTGTTTTCTTCAACTGTCTTTTGTTTATTTCCTGGACACACTGTACAGTCCGAACAAGCGCTGTAATTAGTTCTCTCTCATTTCTCGTTTTGTCAGTCATGGTGCAGAGGGACGGTAAGAAGCAAAGCGAGACTGCAAGTCGCGCAAGATGAATACAAACCTCTAATAACCTCTATCCAATGTTCCTGTCCTTCCCACTGCTATGAACATTTCCTAGTCATTGCTTTGTCTTCATCAACATTTCGATAGCCAGTCCGTACGCCTCGTCACGCTTGCGTTCCTGGTATGATCCGGGACGCGCTCTCTTGTCCCATGCATGTCCGCATTTGTCCATGCGTCTTAGCATTACGCTGTCTCCGTGTCTTTCCTCGACGCGCTTGGCCAAACCCTCGGTTTCCAGACAGAGACTGTCGCGTCCACAGGTGATGAACAAGGAGTTCTCGGGGTAGTTCTCCACAGGTCCAAGAGCAGGCGAGACACGAGGGTCTGCATTGTCAGGGTCCAGGCGCAAGTAGCAGGCATTGAACAAGTCTGCCATTTTTGCAGTCGAGTCGTCTGATCTGCCATCTTCTTCTGGAGCTGCCTTTGCCTCTGGCTTGATGGAGAGATCGGTAGGTGGGTAGAAGGCTAGCAGTGTGTTGAATGTGTTCTTGGGGTAGGTCAGTGAAGCCGCAACGCAAGCCATATTTGCACCAGCGCTGAAACCAGAAATGGCGATTTGAGAAGTCGAGTAGGCGTCTGGTTGACCGAGGACCCAGTTCACGACGTCTTCGGCGTCATTGTGACATGCTGGCCAGGGGTATTCAGGTGCTAGGCTGTATTGAATGTCGAGAACCGAGTAAGGAGTTGAAGTGGAGACCTTGCGACAGAACAAGTCGTCCGAGCCGTGAAGAGAGAACACAAATCCACTGCCGTGGAAGTTGATCAAGAGAGGTGATGGGATGCCAGGAGTGAAAAAGGTGGATTTGTAGAAATGGCCCTTGATGCTGCGACCAGTTCTTGAAGGAATCTGCAAGACAGAGTCTGGGGAGGCCTTTGGCATGCCACCCCACCATACATGGAAGCGGGCAAAGCTGACGAGCGCCTTGAGGCGCAAGTACCTGAAGAGATTCTTCAAGGCGGATAACATTGTTGGTGGTATGATGGGAAAGATGACTTACAGATGCATGTAGGAGGGCAAAGGTCGATATTTAGTGACCCAACAGACCGGCACGGCATCTCGCCAAAGCCGTACATGGCTGCTGTCACCGAGGGCAAAGGCGCAACGGCGGCAATTTGTGCGGTCACAGCAAGAGAAACGGAGCGATGGGGTCGCGAGCGGTATAGCTCGATCGGGAGAAGCGACTGCCGCGTTTTCAGCCGCACCCACCCCACTCTCAGCCAAGAAGAATGATTGGTGTCAGGGTTCGAGGGCTCGGACATGGTGTTCCTCGGTCCTTCTTCCGTGTGCTGAATCTCATGCGTTGTCATGTGTTACAAATGTATTTTCCCATGTGAGAAGTGTATATACAATACGGGAACAATGCAAAAGTCGAAAGAGGAAGGCGTGATGCGCGACGGTCACGATGGCAATGACGTTTCTGTGTTTTGGCCGATTGCCGCCGCGTCTTCCACCTGAACTTCAGCCATAACCGTTTGAGAGAACAACACCATCATTCACATCAACCTATCCCTATCTACTGAGCATCGCATTACATCGACGAGTATGAGTACTGGCAGTCAATCCTACGGCCAGCTGGTGCGTCTTCGCGCGCTCAGCCCACCACAGCTACCCGCCCACCCGGATCTGGCAGCATTGCAAGCGGGTGCTCCGGCATTGCCAGACCTAGATACCTTCATCACCAGTGTCTTGACTGAAGCCTCGACTTTCATGACCGATTATCTACCACAGAACTTTGCCATCAAGGACCGCTCAAAGCAGTCTCCGCCCGCAAAGGCTACCGTCCAACTTCTGGCCCACGAGATTTCTGCTTCCAAATTGGGTCCTAATGCACGCGACGAGGCATGGTTCGCACGTACAAGTCTTCATGAAAACAAAAAGGAACCAGGCACTGCCAATTGGGATGAATTTGAAGCCGGTCTGCTTGACGACCACAGTCTGCATGAATCGCAGTACACACCGGACGTGTTTGATGCACACAAAGTTCTGTCTTGGGATTCCAAGCTGGCTGAGAAGCAGGCCACGGTTGGAAGTTGGGAGAAGGTCAGTCTAAACAGTGAGTTATAGTGCCTCTCAACACGTTTCGCATGATAGACTAAAGCCCTCATCAGTCTTTGAGATGTGTCATCACATCCCACCCCCTCTGGACAACCGCGCTTTTCCCGTGCTTGTTGTTACGGCCCGGTCAGCTGGTCCTAAGGATCCGTCATTCTTGGTTGTCCAGATACCGGTTGATATCACCAAGCTTGACCAGGCAATGTACTCGACACACAAGAACAAGTCTTCCGGCGACACTGCCGAGAAGAGGAAACCTGTCACTCTGGGCCAGTACGTCAGTATCGAGCGTTGTACCAAAATTGAGGACATGAACGTAAAGTGGCAAATGGCGACCGCTTCTGATGCAAAAGGCAACCTACCAATGTGGGCACAAAAGATGGGAATTCCGTCCGCTGTCATCAAGGATGTTGGTTTATTTATTGACTGGAATGGTAAGAGGAGGAAATGAATTGCTTAGCGCACACTGCACTGTCTCCTTTCTTCGATACCCCTGAGTTTCCAAGCATGAGCACTAATATTGACATAACCTGATAAATCGTTACAACAATCATGTCTCGTTGATCCCTCCTGAATCGTGATTCTTTGCCGGAGAAAACATGGATTCAGACGAATCTACAGCTTGTGCTTCTTCTCACCAGAAGCAATCTTCCTAAACTGCTCTTGCGGCACACCACTGACGAATCGGTCCAACCCGCCAAAGACTTCAGCAACGCCCTGAGCATCCAAGAGCTCCCTCTCGGGTCTTCTAATGAGCTTCTTAATACCCACAAGACTGTCGGGAACCAAATGCTTGCCAAGTCTATCGTCGACCTCTTGCAGAACCAAGTCCAAGAACTTGGCATCCTCACCAGGCTTGACATCCATGACACCATTAACATACCCAACATTGACAAGCTCCTCACAGGTCAACTTCTTACTCATAATCAGCGCCTCGTTCGCCTTTGAGATGCCCAGTCTTGACACGAAAGCTCTGCTGGAACCACCCTCTGCTACCAAACCCAGACTACTGAACGGAGTCAGGATGAAAGCGTGTGGAGCAGCATAAACAAAGTCTGCGAATCCAGTGAGTGCGGCAGAAAGACCCACGGCAGGGCCGTTCAAAGCCACGATCAGGATCTTTGGGTGTGAGTAGAAGGCATGTGTGATGTGCAGATTTTGAGCCACGAAGCCTTGAAGGTAGTGACGCTGGACATCTACGTCTTTGGGTGGTAATCTTGAGATTGAGACATCTGCACCCCTATCGTTTTTGATATCGTTAGCATCTCTTGCAATTGTTGATTGGTATGGAGGAGGAGGAAACGTACGCGGAGAAGAAACGTCCTTTTCCTGTTAGGACTGTGATGTAGATGTTGTCCATAGCGGCAACCTCTCTCATCAATTTGGCGAGGCGGAAGTAGTGGTCTCCATTCATTGCATTCAGCTTCTTTGGGATGTTGAGGGTGATGATGGCGGTGTTCCCGCGAGTCTCGAGGGTGACCTCCTGCTCGACTTGAGACATTTTCGATATGAATTGTATTATATCCTGGGCTTTTGATGGAAACTGATTTGATGGTGCGTTAACTCAAGGAGAAAGAGTCGTGGCTATGGATCTCAGATCATCTTTACCTAGGCATCTCCCTTGGACGTTGTTGCGTGGGGTACCGAGGTTGCTTGGAGCACGGACGTCGAAGGGCAGGGGTCCTTTCGGAGACTGCTTCCGAAGCCCTAAGCTCCGTCATACTGGATGGTCGTCAAAAATTCTCAAACCACAACTACTTCGCTGTCAGGTACTGGCTGCCGAAACCTCTCAGGTCTTTGATCTCTTCTCATACGGTCGTGACCAGTCTCCAACTCCATGAGCTATGACTTCTATCTTGGCATATGTCCTGTCGCTCAACGACATGAGCTCACCATGGGTTGCTGGATGAGTGTTCATAAAACGTGAGAGTGTATGATGATTGAGCCCAGGTACCTCATCGCACCTCTTTCTACCGGAAGATCAAGACAGTCGACAAGTAACTGGATCAACCAATATATCTTCTCCCTTGCTCGATCACATATGCTCTTCTCATTGCAGGGGATATAGTGAGACGCAGAGACAGGGTGGGAGTGCCGACAACCGACAAACCCAAATACAGCACACGCTCAAACAGCAGCGACTAATGCGACAATCTGCTAACAACAGCCATACAGTGTCTATTTCTTGATAGGTCGGCAGCTAGGTATAGACAAGACAGGAACCTCGACAAAGTCAAGCATGTGACAATAGAAAAGAGTAAGTTTCAGCGAAGAAGCCGAGGAGCTCCGAGCAGAAAGCTACGTCAGCGAATGAGCCAGCCAGCTCACAGCACGAACAAAAGATGCAAGGGCTTCTGAAACTTGCAGCAGAAGGAGCATCTTTTAGACTTTCTATTTCTACACATCGATATTGTTATACAAGGACACAAATGGCAGCATACACGACATTCGAGGGAACACACAGGACGGATGACGGCGTCGAGTTGTACACCAAAACATGGAAGGTGTCGGGCGATGCAGCCAAGGCACGCATGCTGTTTGTACATGGCTTCAGTGACCACTGCAACAACTATCCCGTCTTCTTTGACCACCTCGCAAACCAGGGGATTGATATTTATGCCTTTGATCAACGGTATGCTCTTCTACCTCTACTTTGACTCTTTACTAAATCCATCTAACAGAGGATGGGGCCGCTCCGTTCATAACAAACATGAGCGCGGCCTTACAGGCCCCACCACCCGCGTCCTCGCCGATATAACCAGCATGCTACGGACTCTCCTCCCGACCCCTGTACCGCTCTTCCTGATGGGCCACAGCATGGGCGGTGCCGAAATCCTCCACTACGCATCCAGCGGCCCCTCCGATATCCTCGCCCAGATCCGTGGCTTCATCGCCAGCGCACCCCTCATCAGTCTTCACTCTGACACCCGTCCATTCAAAGCCACTGTAATCGCCGGCCGCCTCGCTGGCCGAGTGCTGCCCAAATTCCAACTAGTAAATAAGCTAGATCCCAAGTGGTTGAGCAGAGACCCCGAGCAGAACAAACTCTGGGAGCAGGACGAACTGTGTCATGACACAGGAACCCTTGAGGGTCTAGCAGGAATGCTGGACAGAGGACTTCAACTCGAGAACTTCAAGGTCTCGCCAAAAGAGAGTGCTGGAGAAGGTGGAAAGACTAGATTGTTGGCGCTGCACGGAACGGGCGATCATGTGAATGCTTATGAAGCTACAAAGACCTATGTGGAGCGCTGCACACAGCTGAGTGATAGAGAGCTTAAGAGCTACGACGGTTGGTATCATAACAGTAAGTGCTTTCCTCCTCCACCGTCTGCGACTCAAATGCTAATTGACCTTTTTACAGTGCATGCCGAACCCGGTGATGACAAGCTCATGTTCGCCAAATATGTCTCTGATTGGATCTCTCAAAGGTTAGAACCCGAAGAGTCCAAATCGAAGCTTTGATCTTGTGCACATATACTGTCCTGTACGGAAAGGAGATTTGTATGTGAAGGAAGACTAAGGAGGAATATTCTGTTCATGAGCAGAGAGATATCAAAATTCTATAATCTATAAGTCTATAATTTGCCATTTGGCTGGGTATCATTCGCAGCAAAAATCCAGCTTTTGTTGTTTTGTTTTCTCTGTGTGTAGTAAAAATGTCTTTTTTTCTCAGAAAACGCCAATGTGATTCCCCTTCTATAGTTCCCAATGTCTTTTTTCTTACGCAATGCAAATCGCTTCAAGAAACAAAATATGTGGTTGTGCTGATCTGTCAGCGTAAAAGGAGTATGTCGGACTCCGTGGCACTAGGGCTCAAGATCGACTGCGAGTCAAGCTCGTTTGTGTTTGAGACACAATCTCCGGGTTTCTCGCGTGTGGTGCTGAGTCAAGGCAGCTCTTCAAGTCCGCTGCCCTAGCCGATCAATATCGTCAGACTGTCGCAAATTGTTTGAACTGTCATTATGAGTCGCAAAGGAGATGACGAGGCACACCGCTCTCAAGATCGGTTGAGACTGTACCTGGCCTTGAGATGCATACGCTTCTCGGTGCCTATACTGTTCGACATGAAACTCCAAACTCAAGGGTTGTCAAAGCCAGAATGACCACCTAGGCCAGAGTAGGCGTTGCGCGAATTTTGATACGCAGCTTGCAGTTGCGCCGGTGTTTGGATACCGTTATACGTGGGCGCCGACGTCATCATAGGAAAGCCGCTACTCGTAGGTCCAGGAAGCTTGAAATCGTCTGGGTAAGCAGATTGGAACAGTTGAGGACCAACAGGTTGAGGAGGTGGGCTGCCTCCGAATGGAGTGGAGTCGCCGCTCGCGGGATTACTGCTGTCGTAGATTTCGTCAATTCTGCCACGGCCGCCGGGCATAGAGACCATGCTGAACCCTGGAGTTGGCATCTGAGGAAGTGTGTCGTTGATCTTGGAAAGGAGCATGGGGAGGTAGCGTTGTTGGCCACCGCGGAGAGTGGAAATGAGCGAGAGGAATTGGTTGAGGTAATCGCGAGGACCGTACTCAAAAGTGTGTTGTTCGAAGGGCACGCACGACATGACATCGGTCAAAGTACAAGCGACATCGAAGAGCTTCTCAACAAGACCAATGCCGTGGACCTCCATAGCAGCTTGGGAGAAGCCACTCGTGGCTGCAATCAGGTCTCTGGAGATCTCGATGGGATATTTGAAGCTCATGGTGTTGTCTGCAGCAGCCGAAGACAGGTAGCCATGGCTGATGGAGAGCTGCCACACCATTGTTCGGAGCCATTGTTGTGATGTTCTCAAGTCGACGGCCTGACTTTCGGTACTGTGCAGATATGCTGGAAGTGCTTCTGAAAGTTGATTTTGCAGTCTCGCCAGCCACTCAGTCGAGCAGCCAACACGTGCCTTGTTCCAAAGTCCGACAAAGGTATCATCGAAGGGCTTGTAGAGTGTAACGAGATGGATGAATCCACTAAGCTCGACTGTTTCGGCGGGATCGTCGTTCAAAGTAGGGAGGTTGATGGTGGCGTGAAGAGTGAGGGGGCGGTGACGTTGGATGGCATATGCTCTGCAGAATCGATATCAGTTGTGCCTTGGGGTTCTTTGATGATGTAACTCACCTCTCAGTAACAAAGAGAAGCCAGTACAGTCGTCGGCGTCGCGATGTCTCAATATGGTCGCCTTGACTGTAGTGGTTCTCGTCTTGCATACCCATAATCTGCGCCAAAGTCGTTGCTTCGCGAAGATGGAACCATGCAGTGTTGTGCTTGTCTAGACAGAAATGTGCGCCGAAGAAGAAAAACGAAGTGATGACAGACCAGATGCTCGGACTTTCAATGTAGTCGTAGCCTTTGCGAACGCGAATAGCTTCGTCCAGTAATGTCATACCGAGATTGAGGTGAGCGTTGGGTGCTTCGGCGTCTGGTACAACGCCAGCTGGGAGCTTGGTATTTGGTTGGATGAGCATGTATGAGCAGAGCGACACGACCAGACAGTATGCCTCTACCGAGTTCTCCATCTTTCCAATGGTTTCGCCAACCTTCTGACGGTGCAGGATTGGCTGGGTTGGGTACATGTTTGCGAAGAAGTAGTCAACGCATGATGTAATGAGCTCCATGGACAGCAGGTCCGGCGTCCTTGAGAAGGCATTGGCATATTGTGACGCTTCGAATCCCAATCCGTGCCTTGCGCGAGCTGCCAGTTGTGATTGTCTTTGTGTTTCGCGGAGTTCCGAGATAACCTTTGCTCTGCTTCCTTTGGGTCCCTTCTTCTGAGGAATGGCATTATAGGTGCATGTCAGACCAGCTGCAGTGCAGTTCTTGCAAGGCCGAGTACCGTCGCCAATGCATTTGACCTTTCTCTTATGACAACAATCGCATGCGCGTTTGACAGTAGATGTGGCGGGTCCGGTCGAGTCAGGCATCATTAATGGCATCAATACCTGACCAGATATAAGATACGACAAGGGTCAAAGAAGGCCCGTTTATCTGTGATGGGGTCGTCGAAAGATTTAGGCGGGAGGCTGAACGAGAATAGGCAGGGGAAAGATAGAAGAGGAAACGAATCATTTAGACAAGAAAAGAGTCAACAATATCTAACGACGAGCATTACCCAGTTGCGGCGTTGAGTTGACGCAAAAAAGTGGTCAAGCGGGAGCCGTTATTTGCCGCGAGTAGCGTCGACGCCGTCGAATCTTAGCATCGCATAGAGGAAAGAACCTAATAAAATCTGATCGCGAGACTGCGAAACTACTTACCAATTCAGGCACTGCTAGTATCAACACGACCTACAACCGATTTGAAGCGATGTATACTTGGGCATCATATCGCGGTAAAGTGTTGGCGAGCACGAGACGCTGCGCATGGTCAAACTCCGCTCATAGCGTGCACAATGCATGAGCGCACTGCACGTTGACATGCAAGCACCGCAAGGATCGCACTGCCGAACCGGTGATGGCGTGTGTTTGAAGAGAGCAACCGTGCACCCAAAGCGCAAAGCCCTTCACGCCAATCATGGACAACAGGCTGCTTTCCGGCCGTTACATTCCAAGAGTTTGTGACGCATCGAAGCTGCAAAGAAGCAGAGCAAAAAAAGCCTTTTTTTTCTGAGACGCCTCCGAACGACACGGTTGTGATGGGAATAATGAACGCGTTGCCAATCCAGGATCGGTATGCCGACCGGCCGTAATAGCCCGTGAAGCCAAGGATTCCTTTGTCATGTTTCGCTTTGCCAAGGAGTGAATCGGCCCGAGAGCATTATTGTTGGACCGTTGGTGAAGCAATCCGAAAATCAGGAGGTCCAAATGTGAGGGCATCAGGCCCTAAGCCGCCAGAAGGCGTCAGCGAAGCGGTCCCCATCGCTGCTGTTGGTTGCCCAACAAGTCAGACTCGTGAGGCTGTGGTTCAGCAGAATGATCCCCCCTGCCAATCCGGGCATCGAAGATGGGCTGACTGAGGACCGCCCTGTCGTGACTTTGTGGATTCCGCCTACAACTCCGCTCCTACTAAGCAGGCCTTCTGTCTTGTGCTGCTGGATCCACATTTGTCCAGTAGAGGCAAGTGTCCGTTTGGCGGATTGTTGTTGGTGATCTTGCAGGTTGCCATCTTGCAGAGACTGGATAAGATCTCGAAAGCCAATTGTTCAGGTCTGGGGGCACACGACCATTTTATGCCCTTGGTCAACTGCCTGCCCTGGCGAAGAAGGCCCGTTTCCGAAGAGATGTTTTCGAGATACCCCGAGGCTAACGAGATATCCATTTATCCACATATAACCAGCTATTTTTCCGTGGCCCTTCTCCGGAGGTCAGTTTTCGTGTGGGTGTTTCTTGTGGGGCTCCCACGTTTCGACGCTAGATCCGGGCTTCCAGAACTGCGTACACGTGTTGATCGCGTGCTTCAAAAGCATCTTCACCATTGTAGAGCAACTACGACTTGTGAACCAATTGGTCATAATGCATGAATATACACCTCGAAGCTGAGGTTTGATCGTACGTGTATACAACTCGGCATATGCTGCTGCTCATGACATCCCGCAACGTTGTCCGGATAAAAGAAACTAGTGCTTCCCCAGCACTTCCCGCAATCAGGACATTACACATAATATCTCAAAAGTTGGTCATGACAACCTCGTTTGACGGGGTTGGTCCCCATACTCCAGTCTCGGCAGTCGTCTGTCGTAAGAAGGCGTGACAAGACATTGGCGATGTGCGTCAAGGAGGGATGAATGTTGTCCTTCGCTGCACGATGTACAGTGGATCCTGCCGCTGGTGAAAGATTCTCGGGCATGACCTGGGCGATGTCTAGGTGATCGGAGACGAACTTCATGCTGGTCCAATCAACCCGATTCTGGTGGAACGACAACGCGACCTCCATCGACGATAAGCAATTCGCCAATGCGTTTCTTAAGATCGTCGCCGCAGCACTCGACCCTCTTCCAGGTCACTATCCTGCCAGCATTCATATCGAGATCCCAGACTCGTACCCGACGATGGAAGCCACCATAGCCGGCATAGCCGCCGAACCCACTGCCACCTGCATAACACATCCAAGGACCGACGTTCTCAGTGTTTGCAGCATCTTTAGACTGAGGAGTGAGGGCGCAGTAGTCATTGACATGGTCATGACCACATCCTACTGAAACGATGCCTTGCTCTTTGAGCACTTTGTAAAAGCCAGAATTGAAGCCTGGAGCGGTGCTTGGTTCTCGAAATTCACCGCCAGCGACAAGATTGCCCTGCATGGCGAACTCCGGCAGTGGAATGTGGATGAAAGCCATGTCGAGATGAATGTGAGTGTACTTAGCATGTTGTGTCTTGAGGCTCTGAGCAGTTTCGGTAAACCACTGGATCTGGTTAGGCTTGATCCAATCGTAGCCTCGATAAGTCTTTTCATCAGGACTGTAGCTGTGAGAGTCGAGGAAATAGAGAGTTATTGCTGAATTTTGAGAAGGAGATTGTGCTAGGACCTCGACGTAGTAGTTGCCGACACCATCAATGTTGTCAGGTCCAGGCCGAGAAAGCGAGAAAGGCATAGTAGAGAGCAGAGACATTTGAGCCTCACGAGATAGACGAGTAGCCTTTGATCCTTCGTCGTCGTGATTGCCAAATATGGCAGCGTAGGGTATAGAGCGTGAGATGAGAAGGTCTGCGAATTTGAAGATTGCGCTCTGGGCATCTGGCGCTGTGTCGCCATTGACCTGATCACCACCCAGTACAACTAGATCTGGAGCCTCTTCATCGAGAATACGGCCAACAAAGTCAAGTGTGCGAGGATCTGCTTCGCAGTTGCCCTTGATATCGCCATTGGCGTCGATGGCGTCTCTGCAAGAGCCAGTGCCGGTGCTCAAATGGAGGTCACTGAGCTGTATGATCTTGAACTTTCCGTCCTTGCGGATTCTTGGAACAACGTCTTTCTTTTCAGCTCGCACAGGGCCATGACGAATGGTTATACGAGCGGCTTGAAGACGGGAAGCGGCATCAAGGAGCAAGGGAGTTTGTGTGATAGACCAACCGGGACGTGGGTCGACAGCATCAGCGCCAAACAAAACATCAACAGCAGTGACGGCTCTGTCGCTGTCTGAATCCTTCTTCTTGTTGCTCCTTAAGAGCCAGATGTTGCCAGGACGGGATTCCCATTGCTCTTGCTGCTGGCCTTTTTCGCCAACACCAGGGTCCAGACGGCCAACACGAAGATCAACGACAACCTTGTCATCGGCGGTGAGTTCCTCCTCCCTTTTACGCTGTACATGGAGATATGCAGACGAGACCCAGCCGGTGTGCAAGTACAGATCCTTCTCGATGCGATGCCATTTTGAAGAGTCGAGTTGGCACGAAGACAAGGGGTTGAGGGAGGAGCAGGTTGTCAGGGTGACATCGGTGACTATAAGGCCGGGATGATGGAGAAAGTTTTGGGTATGAATGGCATGCGGGAGCAGACGGTAGCGCGTGTCGACAAGGAAGACAAAGAGCAGAGCCGTGACCAGCAGGGCGCCGAGCTGGCTGATGGTGCGAACCTGTGGGACTGTGTCAGTCGTGGTTTGTACACCTTTGTCGGCACGGAAGAGGACATACAATGCGGCGGGTCATGATCGGAAGCTTTCAGGCATTGCGACAGCACATGCAGTACTGTGCAATGCGATTTAACAAAGAAGAACCAAGTTTGGCATCAAGTGAACTGACAGCTGCCAATCCTCCGCGCCTGCTGCTGTTCCGACTTTCCCCCACACGACTGAAAGCGGCTGATCAGCAAACCCGCTCCGACTTTCAGAAACTGGAAGCTCCGACTTTTACTGTAGCAAGCTCCGAGATTCAGTACTCAGAGTAGAGCTCATGTTTTGACTGTAGCAAGCTCCCAATTCTTGCTGTAGCAAACTTTCAGCTCAGCAAGCTCCGAGTTTCACTGTAGGCACGCTCCGACCTTTACTCTAGCCAGCGCCGCGTTTTCACTGTAGCAAGCTCCGCGTTTTACCCAGCTCCGAGTTTCAGCAAAGCTCCGACTTTTACTCTCGCAATCGATAAGCTATAAAAAAGGACTCGTATTCGTATACCCAAATCTGATTCTGCTTCGAAGCCTGTCTTACCTTTGCCCATTTTTCCATACCAAGTTACCATGCGTATAGTTGCAGCCCCTCTACATCGTGTCTGTAGACAACACAGAACTCTGTCTACTTTTATTGAACGGGATGTTGTCATACTCCGCCAGAAATTGAACCAAGACAACATCATCGTGACAAAGCCTCTCAACCCTGCCAACAAGATCAGTACCCACAAAGGCGACATCTCACATGCCGACATCATTGGCAAGAGCCCAAGAGACCTGGTCACTTCCTCTGCTGGTCACGAATATCGTATACACACCATCACTCTTGCTGAATATGTCAGCTTGACCAGAAGACTTGTGACCCCCGTAAGTTTTCGTTAGATTTACCCGCCCGCGCTTTCTGACTTGTCCTGTCCAGATCTACCCAGCTGATGCAAACCTCATTGTGAGCCTGTTTGACTTACATCCATCTGCTGCAGAGGATGCCGAGAAGATTGAAGTGCTTGAGGCTGGAACTGGCCACGGAGCGCTGACGTTACATCTGAGCCGAGCTATTCATGGTGCCAATTCTCAACCCCCTAGACCAGCTCTGGTATCAGAGAGCGCAGACGACCAACCAGTCACCGAGAGCGGTAACGGTGAACAACAGTCTGGGAGTGATAAAGCTTTGGTCGCTTGGAAGGCTTCCCGCAAGGCTATCATTCACACCATTGACATCTCGCCCAAGTACTCCAAACATGCAGCAAAAATCGTTGCTGGTTTCCGTCATGGAATTTACGCCGGAAATGTTGACTTCCATGTTGGAGACGTGAGCGAGTGGATCCAATCCGAACACGTTCGCCGTGATTCAGAAGAACCTTTCTTGACGCACGCCTTTTTGGATTTGCCCGCGACCCATGATCACCTTGCAGCTGCTGCATCAGCACTGAAAAAAGACGGAACGCTCATCATTTTCAACCCTTCAATCACCCAGATCCTGGATTGCATTCAAAAGATCAAGCGAGAGAACATCCCATTGTTCCTTGACCAAACTCTGGAGCTTGGGAACAATGGAAGTAGTGGTGGCAAGCCTTGGGATCTGCGCGCCGTGAAGCCGCGTGCTTCATCAAAGAATCAATCGACAGATGTCGGTTCTGACTCTGCACAATCTTCTGGTTCCGAATCGCTGGATGAATCCATTACTAGAGATCAAACACAAGCCCTGAAAGAAGCCAAACCAGAGGATCCCAACTGGACATTCGTCTGCAGACCTAAAGTTGGAGAAAGAATTACTGGTGGTGGGTTCTTGGGTATCTTCCGGAAGATGAAAGATACTGCCCGACCATAAGGTCGCTTCGAGGTTTAAGTTTGCTGTTCGTCGACTGTCCTTGAATCTCTGTTCAGATCAGCGACAACCACAAACTCACCAATGGCCACAAGTGCAGCCATAATACGTAGCGCCGTTGTTCGACGCCGTTTACTGCGCCAACCTAGGATGAGAAACCTTGGTTTGTTGACGCAGGTAGGGTTCTGGTTCACGCGACCGAAGAGGTCCCTCTACAAGCCTCGTTGTGGTCACTAACATGACTCGAGCGACCACGGTGAAGATGCCGCCATTGGAATGGATATACGTCTCGGACAATCACTTCTGAACCGCTTCTATGACGCGTTTCCGCGCCGCTAAACAACGCGTCTACTTCGTGAACCACATACAGTAATTTCATTTACTCACACCTCTCGATCTCCTTGTGTTCAGCACTCCCAAGCGTCAAGTTCAACATGACAAGATCAGAGGGCTTTAGATGCCACACCACCCCTTATCAACAACAAGAGGCTGCGCATGTGAGATCGACTCCCGCCGCCATTCAACAATCAACCAGACCTCTCTTCCAACAATCTCGAGAACTTCAAGCCGCCCTGTCAGATGATGACCCCGCCGAAGACTACACAGACGAAGACCACATCTGCGAGATGATTGACGAAACTCTCGCCATGCTTGAAGGCAAGCAAGACGTCGGCGTGTTTTGTGTCTGCAAGCCGACATGCGAATGTAAAGAAAAGTGTGCAGTCGCACCCAGGGACAAAGCATGTCCTTGCAAATGCTACGAAAGGATGTGGCCACATGTTAGACGCGAGCAGCCGCAGAACGCAGGTAAGCAATGGTAGAACTAGATTCGAGATCGATGAATTAATCTGATTTTTCCCCTTTTTGCAGGCAACCAACCCCAGGCCCGCGTGCAAGAAGAACGCCCAACCACTCCCAGGAGCGTCTCAGTATATAGCCAAAATTCAATCCAAGCAAGTCTCCAGAGAGAAGACCAACAGGAAGTTCACACTCCTGACAACAATCATGCCTCTCTCTCGACAGAGGGCACCTGGAGTGCCAGTCGGGCAGAGCTCTGGGCCCGCCTCTCGGCACCGGGTCCGCCCACCCCAACAACAACAACTGCAAAGCCCAAGGCGGGCAGAGGTTAGAAGTCTCTGCTTGGCCTCAGAGGCCGCAAGTCGAAGTGAGTGGGGAATTTGGGAGTGTGCAAAAGGGATAGACAACCAGGTTAGATGAAATGAAGTTCTCATGTTGCTGAACAATACCTGCTTCTCCTTGTGCCAATGTCTGTTTCATTATAGCTATAGAAATGCAGAATAGTTTACGGTATGGAGTAATGTCCACAGAAACATATCACACATGAGCTGTTTCTGTGGGCACCACTCTTTTCCGAAAACTATTGTGCATTTTTATAGCACACATTGAAGCAGGACGTGAAGTCGGGAGATGTTCCAAACACTTACAGCGTTGCAGACCTGGGCATCATGATCTTCAGAAGCACGTACCAGGCATCAGCATCGTCATCAACTGGGTCGTCATCATGAACGTCAACATGGTTCTTCTCAAGCAACAACACCTGCTGTAGATCTACAAATCATGATTGTTCGCAAGATCACCGCGACAAAGCTGCAGGCTGCGAGCTATTTACTTGGAGTGGCACTCTTCTCCATCTCGTTTCTCGTGTTCTTGAATGCATCCATCTCGTTTGTTGTCACGGACGTCATCGGCCGCAAGCATGGTGTCGGCGATGTAGTAGGAACACTAGGTTTCGCTGATGAGCTTGTCGCGTTGGTCGCATGCCCGCTCTGGGGCTTGCTGAGCGATAAAATAGGAGTCAGAAATGTGGCTGTGATCGGATATCTCATCATTGGCGCCAGTCTCATGCTCCTGGTGCAAAGTCGCAATGTATACCCGCAGCTGCTGCTCGGTAGGATGGCATTCAGCATTGGAGGCGCCGCCTGTTCTACCATGGTCACCGCTATTCTGCCTACTATGACGGCCGAGCGAAAACATACTCCCTCTTCGGAAGGCAGCCAACCACATGGAGAAGGCCTTACTACGCCGGCAGATTCTAGCGCTCGACACTCGGGTGCTTTCAGTATTAGTAGCGAGGTCACAATCACACCTGCACGCTACATACAAAGACCGCCCAATCTCAGACGCCGTTCGCAAAAGCGCCGCTTTACTACAGACCCGACCGCGCCAAAGAAGTCGGATCTCAGTCAGCTTGCCGGCTATGTGGGCATGTTCACCGGAATTGGCGCATTGGTAGCCGTCGGTATCTTCCTTCCACTTCCCGTCAACTTTTCTGGAAGAGGCGTCGCCCAGGCAGACGCTGTCAAAGACAGTTTTTATGTCGTCGGAGGTGTGTCTATCGTTGTTGCCGTACTAGTGGCTCTTACCCTTCGCGGACTTCCAGGTGAAGAGGACAAAGGCTTCAACAGACTCTTTTATTCTGGAAGGAGCACCGAAGAACATGAGACCAACGAAGCCGCGAACCTACATCCTTTGCCATCATACTATCAACTTGTCCGCGCCTCCATCGTGCTTGGCTTCACCGACTCTCGGATTGCTTTGGGATATCTAGGTGGCTTTGTTGCGAGAGCTTCTTCGGTCGGTATATCGTTATTCATCCCACTCTTCGTCAACGCCTACTTCATTCGTGAAGGCCTCTGCTCCAACGACCCAAGCGAGGACATAAAATCCAGCTGCAAGCGCGCATACACACTTGCATCAATGCTTACCGGATTCTCACAATTGACCGCTTTGCTGGCTGCACCTCTATTCGGCTGGTTCAACGGCTACATGAGCAAGAAGGGTCAGCTATCATACCTCCCTCTAGGCCTCGGTGCCATTGCCGGCATCATTGGATGTATCTCATTCGGGCTACTCGACAACCCTGACCCATTCCATGGAAATGCTGGTGGCAAAGGTGCAATCTTAGCCGTCATTCTCCTCGGTTTCAGTCAAATCTCAGCCATCGTCTGCTCACTAGGTATTCTAGCCAAGGGCATACAAGCCTCCAAACCTGGAACCTCTGTCTCTCCGACTACAGAACCAGATACCCTGCCTGAAGCACGCGAGCCTTCTACCGCAGCAACCTCCGCAGAAGAACCAACGGAGACAGCCCCATTACTGCCTTCTGTCAACGAAGTCTCCGCGCCGCCTACTACATCTAATATCGATAGGAGCCAACTCAAAGGCACAATCGCCGGTGTATATTCCTTATCCGGTGGTATCGGCATTTTGCTTCTTACAAAACTCGGCGGAGTGCTATTCGACAAGACCAGCACAGGCGCGCCATTCTACATGCTCGCGGCCTTTAACGCTGTTTTGCTTCTCGCAGTTGTTCTTGTTTTTATCGTACAAAGAGTACGGAAAGTGACTGTCTCTGATGCATGAGGCAAAAGGGCCTAGTGTAGACTTTGTTTTCTCTTTCTTCTAATGAAATGAATAGTTGTCCACGCAAAATGACCATGTTTCTCGTATGGAAGAATGAAAATCTGTGCCAAGTTCTGCTATAATGTCTCTTGATTCTGTTTGACTCTTATTTGCCAGTCTTGTGAAAGAGTAGAACTAGAACAGTAACAAGTATTGAACAGGTATTGTCAAAATGAACAGAGAAGGAATAGGCAAATAGAAGATTCAGATATAATGCTCAAGATGTATTAGGAAAAAGGAGAAGACTATCTACTTTTTTATATATCATAATGTCGCCTCCACAAAAAAGGTTATACATTAGTAAAAAGCGCAGACTGTGCCAGCAGATTGTTTGTTCGGTTTTGAAAACGACAGGAGAATGGTAAAGAAGATGCCAGACCACATGTGGCATATGCAAGTGACAAAGGAAAAAGAGAGTGCCAAAGCAAACGCTCTAGTGGCGGAAGCGGTTGGCGTTGGTGGTGCCGTTGAAGGGAACAATGGCGGTGGCAAAGGCAGAGGCAGATGCGCGAGAGGCAGACTCGACCGAGGCGCGCGAGGCAGAGACGGAGGCACGCGAGGCAGAGGCGACAGAGGCGCGAGAGACAGACATGGCCGAGGAGGCAGAGACCTTGGAGGCGGAAGAGATGGAGCTGGCAACGGAGGCGTCCGAGGCACGAGCAGCAGAGACCGAAGCGCGGGAGACCGAAGCGGCAGAGATGGAAGAAGCAAGAGAAGCAGCAGAGGCAGATGAGCGAGAGGCAATGCTGGAAACCTTGGCGGCAGAGGCAGCGGAGGCAGCGGAGACAGAAGATGCGGAGGAGATGGAAGAGGCAACAGAAGCAGCCGAGGCCTTGGAGGCGGAGACGGAAGCGAGTCTGGAGGAAGAAGCATCGGCTCTGGAGACGGATGCAGCAACAGACTTGGCAGAGGCAACAGAGGCAGCGGAGACGGAAGCCTGAGAAGCGGCGACCATGTGAGCGCTAGACTGAGAAGCAAGCATGGCCGAAGAGCGGGAAGCCTTGGAGACGGAGATGACAGATGCCTGAGAGGCAGAGACCTGGGCGCGGGAGATGGAGGCAGCGAGGGACTTGGAAGAAGAGATGGAAGCCTGAACAGCCGAGACACGAGAAGCGGCAGAGGCCTTGGAGACGGAGGCGACAGAAGCACGCGAGCTGGAGACGGAAGCCTTGGAAACGGAGGCAACAGAAGCTCTGGAAGCAGCAGCCGAAGCTTGAGCAGCAGAGACGCGAGAGATGGCAGAGGCCTTGGAGACCGAAGCGACCGAGACACGGGAAGCCTTGGAGACTGAGGCAACGGAAGCCTTAGACTTGGAGACAGAGGCTCTGGAGGCAGAGAGGACAGAAGAGGCAGAAGCGCGGGACTTGGAGGCAACCGAAAGGGCCGATGCCTTGGAGGAGGAAGCAGCAGCCTTCTTGGCCTCAGAGACGATACACTGGCAAGCAGCCGAGACACGCTTCATGGTCAAGCCGTTGACAGGCGAGGAAGAGTGGGTGGCAGCGTTGATCCAGTTGTTACAGAAGGTAACGGGGGAGCTCTCAGCAGCGCGGACACGAGCCATGTCGCTGTCAACACAGACAGCTCCTCTGGCGACGAGGTCGTCAGCAGGGACAGCCTGGACGAGAGCGGCACCGAAGGCCATAACGGGGAGGAAAGTAGCGAAGTGCATAGTTGCTGATTTAGGAGTGGTGAAGTGGTGATTGAAGCGAAGGGATGTATAAGAATGTATAAGAACGAAGGAGAGCCGAGCTGATTAGTTGATTAGGCTGTAGAAGAGTAGATTGATCGAGCTGATGATTTGGTTGAAGGGCGGTGGTTCGATGGGCTTTATATCTGTAGTGGACCAGGTCTTTCTGGTTCCAGCACGACAAAATTTGAGATAGGCTTCTGCTCCAGTGTCAACCGCTGCACTATTGCATCGCGTGTGATTTCTCCAAACAATTGAGGCTCCAGAACTCTTTGACCTACAAGCCTAACCGCTTCACCACATGGCTACCGTAAAGGGAAGAGAACCACGACCGTGCAGGGCCGGCCATGCTGTTCTGGTACAAAAATGCGAAAACGCTTCAGCCAGGCCATCGGCAAGCAGCCGAAGAGTGCAGGTCTACACGGTGTCCATCTGGTAATTGGTCTTCTGGAAAGCTGAGGATCCAAAACGGGCCGTTGACATCAATTGTTGGAGTATATGCTGCAGAATCCATCAGACGTGTTTTTCGCAAGGCTGAGGCGTAGTATGGCAAGAGCAGCCGCAAGTGCCAGTGCAGGCCCCGAAGGTTCGGTGCAGGGAGAAGACCTTGCACCGTTGTTATAGCCGTTGGCACAGAATTCTGAGAAAACCGTCGTGAGTGACCGTTTGCGGACAAAGCAAGTCGAGCGTCAATGGCGGTCTGGCTACAGCAATCGAGTTTGCGGCAGTCGCCTCCCACGATGCGACGGGTAATTATGTCTGACCGTTACGAAAATCAGCCGTTGTGACAAGTTCCCTTAGAAACCGCACATTGAGGGTTGGGGCAAGATTGCACGACAGCAAAATGTAGAGGCAAGGTTGATGGAGTGGCTGCGATTAGCAATGCCAATTCACTACAAGCTCAATGTGCTGCGATGCTATCTCGTATAGAGGCGCCGTTAAAGCCATTGATCGAGTTTCGTCAAAAGTCATACTTTATCACAATGTGGATCTGTAAGCATAAACTCGTGTTAGCATGTGGTTCCCGGCGCTGCTATTACAGCATCCGGAAGCATCGGTTCAAAGATGGGTCAATAAACAGAAAATGTAGGCTGACAACGAAGTCAGGGATGAGACAAAAAGTAAGCGCATAGGTCTTGGATTGAGAAGCGTGAACAAGTAGGCACTTGGCGAGTCTGGAATGGCTGGTGTGATAATAGCATGGAACAGTAGATCTTGACCAGTAAAGGGATAGGTAGGCGAGCACGCGAGCGGACATGTCAAGCAAGAAGGAACGTTGAGGGATTGTCAGGGCCTGCGTACGGAGCCGCAAAGGTCCGAGGCGAATGGAGAGTGGAGAATGGAGAGTCAGCCCTTTGTACGGCTAGAATGTACCGCCTCAGACATGATTGATCGGCATTCGCGTGATAGTGAATCCACGTGGAACCTCGACGTATTGGGGAGGTCGAGGTTTCTCGTTGTATAGCTTTGGCAACGAGATCCAAGTTCATCAGTCGATAGCGAAACAAGCGTGCCGCCCAGACCGTCAATTCTTGCTTGACAAATCTCGCTGGCAAGCTGAGCCGACCAACACGTGAATGAGCTCTCTCGTAGCGGAGTTTAGGCGATATTGCCGTTTGCTGGCTGTTCCAATGTTGGCCGCGTCCAGATGCTTCATCTACCACCAACATCCCCAACCATGTCGGACGCGCCCTCGAGTCGACCCCGCAAGGTTTGCTTCGTGACAATTGGCGCGACTGCTTCCTTCTCGGCCCTCATTCGCGCCACCCTCTCGTCGTCCTTCTGTCACGCGCTTGAGCAGAACCACTACACAGACCTGATCGTACAGTATGGCGCCGACGGTGATAGCTTGTTCCAGTCACTGGTACACGACCTAGATGCGGACAAACAACATGCTGCTGTCAATGTATCTGGATTCGGCTTGGACACGAGCGGTCTTGGACAATACATGAAGCTGGCTAAGACAGGTGGAGACGATGGTGGTGTAGAAGGCCTTGTCGTCAGCCATGCCGGCTCAGGAACCATTCTCCATGCTCTGCGCGTCGACGTGCCGCTCGTCGTTGTACCAAACTCGGAACTGCTGGACAACCACCAGGTCGAGCTCGCAGACGCCCTTGCCGACCAGGAGTACGTCGTCCACGGCAAGCTGGAGTGAGTCTATCGCATCTCCACATATGTACTGGATGCTGACGCTCACGCAGAGACCTACCGCAAGCACTACTAGACGCCGAGAAGTTACGACTCCGGAAGAAAGCGTGGCCACCCATCAACTCAGGTACACACCGACAAACAAAAGGCCTTGCTGCCGTTGTTGACGAAGAGATGGGATTTTTGGTTGATTGAGTCCGGAACTCTCGACTCGTGCGCAGGCCGCAAATCCTTGGACAAGATGTGCTGCATAGCCGATACATGATAAACATGCATTTACGACATCACGAAGCATCATCAGCCTGCATATGGATTTCACAAGGCTTTTGGAATAAGAGTAGTACACGCCGTGCGGCATCAGGACATGGCAGAATCGGACTGCATTGATCGGCGGTGCGGGGTGCACCAAGTCAAGCTTCACCCACGATCAGCTTGAACTAAGTACGACATCAGCGGCAGGAGATGAATAATTCTTCCGTTTACCACGACCTATACTACATACAGCACGGAGGAGAAGGCTCCCGCTCCTTTGGTTTTTCTTGGTGCTTCGCATGTTGGTGCGGATAAAGCCCAAGGCATCTTTGCACGCGCATCTCCGGCCAGTACGCACAACCGCTGCGGCCAGCAAAAAGTATTTAATCCACTCTGCCTTCCTTACTCTGTCATTTCGATCCTTGACCTCTTTTATCACACCTAAACAGCAACCATGGTCTGGAAGCCAACTCTCGCGATTGCCATTGCAGCATCAGGTTTGTCGAATGTAGCCAATGCTCTACCAAATCACCAGCGGGAAAAGGCACACTACCCTGGTTGGGCTCAAATCAAGCATATCTTCGCCTTGTAAGATATCTGTAGCATCTGTCCTACTTACTGGCTGACCACCCTACAAGTGGTGATTCGTACACGACAACTGCTTTCAACGTCTCTCTTTCGCAGCCAGGACCTGGTCATCCCCTTGGCAATCCAACATATCCGTAAGCGCGCTTTTAAGAGGAGCACCGTCTCAGACATACTGAACAAAGGTGTAGAGGACACACTTCTTCTAATGGACCCAATTGGATCGACTATCTGACAACAACATACAACAAGTCATTCATCGAAACTGTCAATCTAGCATACGGCGGGGCAACTGTTGACTCGGCTCTTGTTGCACCCTATTCACCCACTGTATTGTCCGTGAAAGAACAATTCGATTCTGAGTATCTGCCGATCTATGCTTCTCACTTCTCTCCCGTCCCATGGAGTTCTGGCGATACTCTCTTTGCCATTTTCATCGGCATTAACGATATAGGCAACAGCTACGCCGCTCAAAACGCAACTCTGCTATCTACAATCTTCAGCGAGCTCTCAGGCCTCGTAGACAAAATCTACACTAGTGGTGCCCGTAACTTCCTCTTCTTGAATGTGCCGCCAATCGACCGCTCGCCATTGACCCAAGCAGCTGGCCCAGCCGCTCAATCCATCGAAGCCGCAGATATAGCAGATTGGAACAACCGCCTACTCTCCCTCTCAAATACCCTGACCCGGAAGTACAAAGACACGACCTCCTTCGTCTTTGACACCAACAAAGTCTTTTCTCGCGTCATCGATCATCCCTGCGCTTACCCGCAAACCTGTCCGTATCAGAACACGACCGCGTATTGCACGGCATATGAGAATGGAACTTCCACGCCTACTTCATTTGATCCTGTTTGCGGGATCTCGGTGGACAAGTATCTTTGGTTGAATTCTTTACATCCGACGTTTAGAATGCATGAAGTTGTTGCTGAGCAGATTTTCAAGTTGATCAAATAGGATGGATGGAATGGCTTGCGAAGATTGTCTCCGTAGTCTTCCATATATGTTCACGTTCATGAAATTGAAGTTGTTGTTTCCGTTCCTAAGTCCACTTATGTAGTATGAACGTGCGTGATATGCTGTAGATACCATCAAATATAACCACTGTGTTTTACCTAGCTAAGGCCGTGTTCGCTTCCTAACGAGGCCTGTTATCAAGTGGCTTCGGGTAGCGCGGAAGGAACCGACTAGCAAGCTAGTTGCTACTAAGGAGGTTGTTCGCTTCCGCTGGGCCAGCTCTGAGCTCTATGTGCACGTGATTCTTGTCAGCTTCTCGATTTATGTGGGGGTACCATAGTAAAATGAAATGTTAGAAAACTAAAGTCAATAATACCTCGAAAATGTTAATAGGACTACCTACTACCTCTATTTGCTAACCCTTAACTATACTATAGCACTCTATTAAGTAGTTACTAGTGCCCTCTAACTCGCCATTACTATAGCCGCTATCGCTGTCGCTATTATAAAAAGAGGCTTTAATACTATTATAGATATTAGATAGGGACTTATCGTAAATGCTAGAGAAGGAAGAGGGTAGTAGCCGTCTTAACTAGACCGAGCCTATAGAGAAGGCATTAATCGATACTCTTATATACTAATAGGGAAGGGGTAAGTAAGTAGGTAATAGATAGAAAGAGGAGGCCTTTCTACTAACTATTATGCATATTAAGCGCTTTATACCCCCCTCTAACTAAGTCTTAGTTAATATAAAGAGGGTCCGGACTAAAATAGATAGATTAAAGAGGTTATAGAAGGTATAGGTAGCGATAATAGCTATATCTAGATAGACTATCGATCTAGATAATAGGTTACTAAAGAATAATAAGGTAGTTATAAGGGCATACTTTAAGAAGTATATTACTATAAGGTACTTTAAGACTAAGCTATTACCTTATTAGGATAGTATATATAAGCTCTAGTAAGAGAAGGCTACTACTAGTATATAAGTAGAAGGTATCTAAGTAACCCTAGCCGAAGTATAAAGTAATAAACCTAATAAGTCTTTAATATTAACTAATAATCTAAGTATATATAAGTAGTAGAGTAATAGTCCTACTATCTCTAGTAGGCATAAATTTTAGTATTAAAATAAGAGGAAAGTATCTAGATTAAAAGAGAAACTTAAGTATAGAAATAATATACTAATAGTATAGTTAGTAGAGAGGAGAGATCTAGTAAGAGCTATAATAGTAGTATTTAATAAAAGGTATACCTCTAAGTTTAATATAGTAACTTAGGTATATATTATAACCTTTCTTTAGAAAACTAATAATACTATTATCTTTATAATATTGCTAGATATGCACTAGAAGGTACTACTTAATATATAGCTTATAGAGGTATAGTAAATTAATATAGATAGTTTAAAGAGGTAGAAGGAAGTAAAAGAGTAAGGACTTAGTTAAATTTAGTTATTATTAAAGTAACTATGTAAGCTAAATTTAACTAAGTCCTATATACTTAACTTGCTTAATTTAGTTAACTTCTATACCTCTATACTACTTAAATACCTTTAATAATCCTTCTATATCGTATTAGCTATCTTCTTTCTCTTTCTTACTATTACTATTACTAATCTCTCCTTTTTAATATACCTATTAGTACTATAGTTATTCTTACTAGAAACTACCTTAAGTTCTATATTAGTAAAGTAAATCTCGTCCTATCTATACTGCTAGATAAAGTTATTAACTATAGTAAGCATATATACTAATTCCTTCTAGAACTTTAATAAGTACTAAGGTCTCTTTTAAAAGACTTACTAGTGCGCTTTAAGTACTCTAAAGGCCCTTTTAATATAGTTATATAGAGAGAAATATTATAAGTTAAATAGCTTTTTCTTTGTTACTAGCCTCTTATTAATAGATTTCTACTCCTTTAGATAATAGTATGTCCCTCTATAAGAAATAAGAGTTATCTTAGAGTTTAAATACCTAGTATTAGTAAGGTAATAGTACCCTTTAAGTACCCTAAAACCCTTAATTTTAGCTTTATCTAGTACCCTTATATTATATATACTTCCTTTCTATCCTATATAAATATAGATAAACTAACTATCGAAGTTATAGGTAGTAAGGATATTCTAACTAGTTATACCTTTATAGTTATAGTATACCTCTATTTCCTTACCCTTAATATAGATAGGCATATAGCTCCTATCTATCGCCCTAATATAGTCCTTAAAGTACTTTAAAAACTTAGGGTTTAGTACTATCTAATTAGAAATAGAAGTAGTCTTATCTAGTATTTAGATAACTTTAAGGTATAGCTAAAAAAGGCCTATTAGGACTTAATATATTACCTTTAAGATAGTTACTATTAAGTAGTAGAATTTCTCTTATAAGCTTTAATAACTATATCTAGTTAATACTATATAAAGAAAGATTACTAACTTCTCTACTATAGTTACTAACTAGCTATCTCTAAGGTATCCCTTATTAATAAGCTAAGTTAGTAAGGCTTTAAAGACTTTCTTCTTAAGATAAGTAAACTAATATATATAAATATTAGACTTAGCTTTATAAAGCTCTCTAACTAACCTCTTCCTCTTATCCTTTTCTATAAATACTATTCTAATACCCTTACTCCTATTTGCTAATAAGTTACTAATTACTATATATACTATTAGCTACCTTAGGGTAAGCCTCTATATGTCGTCATCGATACTATTATCTATTAGTAATTAATTATAAGGCTTCTAAACATCTTATATGCTTAAGTCCTAATAAGAATACCCCCTTAAAATGCTAGTCGGGACTAGCTTTTCCCTAACGACGCTAAGATCGCCCTTTTTAGTAAGGAATACGCTAAAAAACCTTGTTTCTACGAAAAGCTGACCCGCCCTCGGTTTCTAGATGATACCGGCTCTCGGAAGCAAACACCTCGCTCGGTAGCAGCTACGGTGGCCGTTAGCCACCTGATCAACTTACTAACGACGCGGAAGCGAACACGGCCTAATCTTGTCGAACATGGGAAAAAGCCGTTGGATCTCGGAAACGGTGTAGATTGGTGTCCGTGGTCATCACCCTGGTCTTGATATAGTCCTCTGTTTGTCCGACCGATTCATGGTTGCAGTGCTCGGTAACACATGGAGTATGGTTATTTACCTTTTGTGCTTGTCATCGACACATTAATGACCAAATCTAGTGTGGGTTGGAGCCACTGTTCCAATCACCAGACTTTGAACTGACAGTGGTTGTGAGATCGTAAGGATGAAGCTCAAATTCGACCTGAGCATGACGTTCTAGATACCTTCGCCCAACACAAAACCAGAACGAATTCGGTATGATCAATGAGGTTCAGAGCACAAATGGGGACAAGTGAAGAGGTATCAATTGTGGATACTAATCGAGGCAAGGTCGTGGGTGACTAGGTAAGTCAAAGCCAGGGTGGCCCCAAAAGCAAAGCCTCGACTCCAACCCAAGCTCTACGCAGGGAACTCATAAAAGGAAGAATTTCCCTACAAGGCCTGCCTTGACCGTCGCCAGAGACGTATACACCGAGCACTTTCCAAAGAACGCCCAATTACGAGGACCCTATCCCTTGACCCTGCCCTCTGTCGCCAGCCAGGTCGCGAACTCCACTGGGTTGCGAGTTTGCATGAAAATGGTACTAGACAGAGTCAACAATGCGATTAAACATGCAAGACAAGAAGAGACGTACCCTGGACCTGTAAACTTGCACACTAGGCCCTCGCTGGCGCTCAGATTGGAAATTATCCCACCACTGGCGATACGTTCTAGGACGTATTTGGCATTCCATGCAACCAGGTGGCCGTTGTCGATGATGTACTTTTCGCCTGGTTGAAGCTACTCTGTGTCAGCATTGAAACCTAACTGGAGGAAAGACAAACTCACATCTTTTCGAATGATGGCACCCAAGCTGCTAACCCAAAGGATTCCGACGCCGGACACTTTGTAGACAAAGAAGCCTTCGCCTGAAAACATTGCTTTGCTGAGTCCTTGAGCCTTGTAATCCTTCACCACACCTATGATTGATTTCAGTGAGAGATTATTCGTTCAGGAGTCGATGCATACCTACCCTGAGTACAAGCTAAGAAGGCATCTTTGCCTACGTTCCAGGTCTCTTCTCCCGTAAGTCTGATATTGGTGATATCACCAAGAGAAGCAGGTGCGAGGAGAAGCTCGCCAGGACCAGTGTACGTAGATTGAGCCATATGACCACCGGCAACCAACTTCTTGAAGGAGAACTTAATCGTGCCTTGCAAGGTTATGGTCGGGGACATGGCAATCATAGCTCCTGGTTTGACGGTCAGAGGACAGCCTATAGCAAGCTGGAGTGTGAGAATGGTATTCGTGTCTCTGTGGCTGATTCTGTAGCTTCCACCATTGAAAGTGCCGACATCGTCGACAGTCGCACCTGCGCCAACAAAGTGCGTCTGTGGGGGTGCACCGCCGGGCAGGTTGGATGTCAGCGAAGTATTCAGCGGTGGTCTAACAGGCTCTTTTGCTTTTTCGTGAGAGGACTGAATGTTCTGAGGAGGGCCAGGATAGTAAGGCAGGGATTGTTGCTGAGGTGAGACAGGGCTTGGCTCGTACTCGTGCGCACCTACGTTGCCAGCAGGTGGAGGTGGTGATGCCGGAGGAGATACAAATTGAGTCTGAATAGGCTCTGGAGCAGCTTTGTACGAGAAGCGGGCCGTGTCTGGTGGGGGAGTAAAGTGCTGTTGTGGTGATGGCTGAGGTTGGGGAGCCGGTGAGTAAGAGGTGTTCCCTACGCTGTTGTGTTGGTCGGAGGCTGGTGGAGGTGGATAGTGCTGGTTGTTGGTTGGAGGAGTATCTGATGTAGGGGGAGCGAAATAGCTCTGCTGCTCTGCAAACGGTTGTGTCAGATTGTATCGTTAGCAATTGATGGATGGATATACCTTGAGGAGGAGCTAGGATCTTGTCGTTAGCGATAGTCATCCTGTCTCTTGTATAGATGGTTGCTTACGAGGGAAGTATTGAGCTTGATTGTTCGACATGATTGAAAGAAGCCTGATCGACTCAGGCAAGAACGATTTTGTCTTCTTCTGTGTGTGCCTTCTCGATCCAGTTTCCAATTCACGACACGAATGCAATACTAAGACAATTGCAACAAACAACACTCAAAGAAGAGAGGTGAGAACAGAAAGAGAAACCTACGTCAAGGTCGCAGCATGGCGGCCGTCTCGGACTATTAAATGCTGCTTACCTCGTAGCCTTATGAGTACGCTTGCAGGTCGCTGTGCGATGCTATTGGAGCAGTGCCCCGCTGCCGCAAGCGCTGCCATCAGCGTCGGCGGTTACAGTCCTTGGCCGCAAGGCATCTTCACCACCTGAGACTCGTACCTCGATGAATGTGCTACCCTTGTTCGTAGGTCTGAGAGACTGTAACTCTGAAAGCTTCGTGTCCTCGCTATGCGCAACAAGCTCCGCCAATGCTCGGGTTGTCGCATTACGGCCGATTGGTGCAAATTCAACATCGCTTACGCCAGTAAGATAGCAACTGCAGACACAAAAGGTCATCTGCGAATCCTTCTGGCATCGTCTGATTTCGCAAGGCGCAGTCTATTCAGATTACACGTCGGCACCTCCGGACAAGCAGTATACAGCAACGACTTCAATTGGCTCCTTTCCAATTGTGAGTCAGCCCAGCGGCACCCCACACTTGGATACGATTACTTCTCAAACTCGTAAGGGCGCCCCCAGTAGCCTGGGCACTCTGAGCAGCAAAGTTGTCCCTAGTCAGGGGGCCTGGCGTGCTGGGGGTGGCCGTGTTTTGACCCCCACATCCTTGAATAGACCATTCCTGTTTGGGGACACCGCGATGGAATGCTTTTGATTGGCCAATTCTGTACTCGAAGGAAGGAGATGAAGGCTTAGCTCCTCTTCGGTGACTCGACCGGGAGCACTTCATCTGACGGTATTTACCCAGCTCGTGTCCAGACTCGAGTTTCTTGGTCTTTTGTTTCCTATCATTCTTTTCGACAGTCTTCGCTCACCACCCGTAAACTCACGGTGTGGTCTTGTCAATAGAAGCGACCTACCGCAAAACCGCTGCCTTGATAGTCACTGTATCATCCGCAGACCGCGAGTATCTCTCAACTCATTTCATCTCTACTCAGAGAAATCAAAATTTCCTCACTTTCAAACTTCATTCAAAATCCATACTCATCCTTAACAATGGATATGTCTACTCAAATACCCATGGTTGGATACTTCATCTACCGCTCGAGCGAGCAAGCCGATCCTACCGCTCTCGAGTTCTGCCCTCCCAAAGGTTCCGATGAACTCTTCTTCGCTCTGAAGACCGCCTTCCCTCACGTCAAGACCCACTCGGACCGCATGAGAAATGCAGTCATCGACTTTCTCAAGCAGGAGCTTAATGAAGAACAATCTCAAATGACAACTCCTGTCATTCCCCTGGACGCCGACCTGTCTTGCGATATCCCCACCGAATCCCCTTGGCGGCCTTCCATGGACTCTACTACCTCTACTCTCAGCAGCCCCGATCTCTTCAACATGGCTACTCCTGCATCAATGTCCTCGTCCCACGCTCCCACAATGAGCCGTCAAAACTCTTCTTCCCAACCTAGCACCACCCAAAAAGCTAAGCCTGGACTCGAAGAGATGACCGGTGTCTTCAGCTTGTCATCGACCTCTCAACCTAAGACCCGTGTACGCAGGAAGATGACCGAGGCCGAAAAGCAAGAGTACCGCAAGCGCCGTATCGTCAAAGCATGCGACTCGTGCAGCAAGCGTAAGCGAAAGTGCTCTCACAATCAACCTGAAATGGAGAAGCTTCGCTCATCCAAGGTCACGAAGCCGAGAACAACAGCATCGAACATCAACTTGGCATGTGTTGAGCAAATTGAGAAGGCCATCTTCCAGCCTGCAGAACCTTCTATCGTCGACGAAGACCCCTTCATGTTCCTTAATCAGAACATGTTCAGCGAGCTTCCCGTCACTGATGACTTCATCTTCGACACTGCTACAATTGCTCAAGTTCCCCAACAAACTACCTGGCCTTGGAGTGATACTGCTGACTGGACTCTTATTGACACTCCTCTACTCGGCCAAGCATCACCATCCTCTCCATCCCGACAACAAGCACTGTTCCCTGCCTCAAGTGGCCTCCTTTCGCCGCAGCCGACACCGCAAGTAGAACTGATACACGAGCCGGCCGAACAATTACGGGCCTCAGAACTACCAACTACGACGCAAACGCCAACCCGAACGTGGCGTACGTTCTCAGACTTCTCTCGTACAGCCTTCTCCACCGCCGACGGCCTCGACGGCAAAGAACAATCTGCCTTTATGGGTCTCTCAAGTCCAGGCGACATGGTGTCGCCTGCTCAATCGCGTAATGTACACTCTCCTCTGGCAACTCTTACCGGCACTCAATCTTCTTTCTCTCTTGGCGGCTCGGCCATTTCCTGTGGCAGCGACAAGATGCTACCACAGTTCGTTCCACAGGTCTATGGCCTAAGCGAAAGTGTTTGTCGCACTGAAGCACCACGAATTAGGCGAGGTCCTAGTGATGGCATTGCTAGCATTGCTAGCAAGGGACTCATCGGTGGACTCGACCAAGTAAACTCACAACAAACAAACAATGGTCAAAATGGTGCAGGACAACACTTCGTACTGACCGAAAACAATGCAACGTCTCCCACGACAATGGCGGGAGACCGATATATCGGGAACTCAAGCAGCACTCGAAGCACAGGTAAACACAGCTCCAAGCTCAACTTTTTCTTGAGAACTCTGCTAACGTTTCAGCAGCTGCATCTACCCAAGACGGACTACAGGGTTCAACAAGGACGCTCGTACTTGCTGCATCATCTGCAGGACTCTCACCCAGCTCGCTCAGTGCATCTGCCCAGCTACCTGGCGCAATTGCTAAAGCAAGCAGTCACGTACTCAATAGTGCGATGAACAAACAGCCCACCGCTGCTGAAAGTGTGGAACACGAAAACATTGCTGCTACTGGAGAAACACCATCAGCAGCCCGACCATCTAGCTTGTCAGCCGACTCGACAAGTGCATCATCATCAACGAGTGTACTTCACACCGTTCCTGCTAGTCCACGACTACGATCTCAGGCTGCCAGTCCAGACCTACATGGCGGACTATCTACCGCAGCCAGCACACCATCGGCACCCGTCCACACGACCGCCCACGACGAAGACACCAAGAAGCTGACCTCGGCCGAAAAGGCCAGGGTCGATCTTGAGGAAGAAGTCGAAGAGAACTCGCAGCCTCAACGCGAGCAGGCTCGACGACTACCCCTCAAGTCTGGCGCAAGAATGACACATGGCCACCTGAGTGCTGTAGCCAGCAGCTCCAGTAGTGGTGCAAACGTTCTCGCCAACAGTCAAACTGCAGCACTTCAAGCAGCAGCCATGACTGTACAGCCTCTACGTCACCGTCACAAGCGATCGCCTGGACAGATCCTTGCTGCTACAACCTCTGCAGACCTTGGTCTCGAGGAAACAAGGGTTGCGGCTGCCATTTTGGTGGCCCAGGTCTGTGCAGCATGGGAGGCCGCGGCTGGTGCATTCGTGCAAACCATGCCGACACGCACAACATCTTGTGGAAGCAACGATAGACTCTGCTCTTCTTTGTCTGTTCCTAGAGCTGTGTTGTCGGCTGCTTAGCACGACGAGGGTGAGCTCGATAAACAATTTGTTTTATTTGTGATAGCGTTTTTGTTCTTGAGTAATTGTTTACACGATGATGATGAAGGGGAAAAGGAAGACGAAGATGTGGTGATGGAAGATGCTTGGGAGGAAAAGTAATCTGGCGTTTATCAATATTCTGGTTTTCTTTCGCATGTTCTTGGTTACAAGTGGCGGGAAAGAGACGTTATTACACTTCACTCTCTAGATAGAGTCTTTGCTAAATGCAGATTGATCACCAACGCTTCCTGCTTGAATGTCTAACCATGAATGTCTCATATCTGAACAATCCTTGTCTCGACACAGCCAGCCCCTTGTTTAAACCAGACAAGTCAGCGTCATGCTCGTATAGCCAAGAAGCTCTTCGATTCATTGTTCGACAGCTGATCAAAGTCATGGTACCGGGATGGAATCATACACGTGAAACATGTTTATAGGGGATCGATTCTGATAATTTCGTGAAGTTGATATCTTCTTGTTAGGGTATCTTGGTGCCCTTGTATGCTTATGCCACCAGCACATCTTGATCTGGCTATATATGGATGGCTCTTTCTGTCAAGAGACCTATCTTTTCCACTCCTTCTGTTGCCGACATATAAGCCATATGCACAGCAGCTCCAGGCGCTGGCAATAGTCATATCTGGTCTTTTGCTATTGATGGTTGGGAGGCTGCTTCGCCTGTTCGCATTGTTTCGACAGGCGTGGCCGCTATGCCCGAGCTCAAGTGAGATGTCCTCAGGAACCGCGTCATGGGCTCAGAGCGAGGACCGTTGAGGCGTCGGGCTGGTGTCATTTGTAGCGTATCTCTTCCTCGAATGTTCCTCACAGAGAGGCAGCGGCCTCGACAGCACCGATGCCTTTGAAGAGTCCCGCATTCGTGACTTCGATATGCACGGGGTATTTCCATTCCATGTATTTGGTCCATCCTGTAGTTGGTTGCATGTCAACAATCGTCGCTCCTTTGGACGTTCTGGAGTCTCTCAACACTCACCCCAATAAGCAGCTTTACGGCCAAAGTACTTGCCCAAGTAGGGCACAAGGACCATTGTGAGAAGCAGTTCAAGCTGCTGTAATGACTCCTTCCACTCTCTTTCGGCATCAGACTGCCATTCTTCTTCCGAGGGCGAGATGGAGGTTGTGCTGGCCGAGGTGGAGGGTAGAGAGTCGAGCTCGTCAGAGGTTACCGAGGCAGCGCTGGGGATGTTGTCGTAGGATTGATCCGACATGTTTGCGGCTTCGTGTGTGACTTTGCTGGGAAACAGGCAACAAGGGAAGGAGCGTTCGTTTGGTCGTCTCTTGCTCTCTCGCTCTTGTTGGAGCAGTCGCGCTGCTGCATGACGACCTCAATCATGCGGCGCTCGCTCCCGACCTCCGACCAGCGAACGTCTCTTGGCGCTACCCCACGCTTTCAACCCCAGATTAAGTGCTAAAATAATCCCTTAGCAAGAAAAAAAAAAGAGTTCCCAAAGTTGAAGTCTCACTCTATTCAACTCAACACAACGACACGCAAAACAAACGATGGGCAAGACACGCGATCCCAGCCCGAGCGCAAGCTCAAACGCCTCCTCGGATGCCGAAGAGCCCAAGGTCACCAAGGTCGAAAAGACAAAGAAGCGCAAGCGCGTCCTGCCCGAAGATGAAATCGAAGTCGATGTCAACGCTCCCGAGCCGCCGTCCAAGAAGGCCATGCGTGAGGCCAAAAAGGCCGCAAAAAGAGCAAAGGAGAACCCCGAAGGCGTCGCTGCTGCTACCGCTACCACCGCCGCAGAAGGAGAGAAAAAGCGCAGTGATTACGGCATCTGGATCGGAAACCTGGCTTTCGCTGTCGACAAGGATATGTTACGTGTTTTCCTCACTCGTCAGGCTCAGATTCCTGAGGCTGAGATTACTCGTGTGAATATGCCTGTTCCTCAGGGTCCTCCCCAGCCTGGCCGCACCAAGCCCTCCAACAAGGGTTTCGCCTACGTCGATTTTGCATCCGAAGAGTCCCTCAACAAAGCCATCGCCATGTCCGAGACCCTCGTCAGCGGCCGCAAAGTCCTCATCAAGAACGCAAAGAGTTTCGAAGGCCGTCCCGCCCAAGCAACCGCTACCGTAAACGCCCTTGCTGGCAACGCAGACTCGAGCGAAGCTGCCGCAGCAGCAGGAGGTGCAGCTCCCAACAAGATCGGTCCCAACGGCAAGCCCGTCATGCCACCCAGCAAGCGTGTCTTTGTCGGAAACCTCAATTTCGATGTCACCAGAGAGGATCTCGAGACCCACTTTGCTCAAGCCGGCGAATTAGAAGATGTCTTCATGGCAACCTTCCAGGACAGCGGAAAGTGCAAGGGATACGCCTGGATCCGTTTCGCCGAGCTCGAAGCCGCAGAATCAGCCGTCCGAGGCTTCATCTGGAAATTCGACGAAGCCAGCGATGACGAGGAGGAAGAAGAGGAGGAAGAGGAGGAACCAGAAGACAAGAAGGCCGATAATTCAGGATCAGATTCTGACAGCGAAGCCGAGGATGCCGCTGCAGACAAGAAGGAGAAAAACACCAAAAAGACGAAAAAGCCAAAGAAGCAGAACAAGCGCAAATGGTTCATCAACCGCCTGCACGGCCGCCCTCTGCGTTGCGAATTCGCAGAAGACGCCAGTACACGCTACAAGAAGCGTTTCGGTAAGGAGAGACCAGCTACAGAGTCACACCCCTCAGATGCAGCACCCATTGCCGAAGTCGACGGAGCAGCACAAGAGAGACCTCAAAAGAGATCCAGACCCAAGGGAGATGCAGACGCCAGACAAGAGGCCCGCAGAAAGAAGTTTGATGCCAGAAAGATTAGACCGGGCAATGCATTGGCGAATGCACCAAGAGCTTCTGCTGCTATTGTCGAGGGTGCTGGTAAGAAGATTTCGTTTGATGATTAGATGCGTTTGTGGCATTTTTGTTAGAGTCAGTGTATATGGCTGCCTTTCTGGTTGGAGAGCATAGAGCATATTTTGAATCGAGCGTGGCACTCCATCGTTTTTCTTCTACTCTGCTTGACTTCATGGTTGTGGCGATGTGCTTGTGTTCGATCCGTTGTGTGCCCGTTGACATTGGGTGAGTTGGGCAGGCAAGAAGAAACGTATAAACAGCAGTCGACATGGTTCGTTCTATCTACAAGGTATAGCCCGTAATTTTCTTTCCCGTACTCCAGCAAAAGCATCGCTAAAAGATCGCAGACACATAAAAGCAAATCCAACCGTAGAAGTGTGGTATCAAACCATCAACTCGGCAGCTTTAACCCTCCACCCCTCGCCAAATCTCTTCATACTCCAGAGCACTAGTATGCCAGAAACCAAACACCAAATGCCAATAAATGTAAACAACCAGCCATCTCCACACCAGTTGATCAATGGACTAGCAACCAAAGAACCCACGCAAGAAAAGATGTTGCGTACAAAGTTGTTTAGCGCAATACCATGACTTGCTTTCTTGGGCATGAACTCCGTAAGCATGGTTGTAACGACAGCAAAAATCAGCATACTTCCCACGCCAAAGAAGAAGTTTGCTATCATTGGCACAATCCAGATGACGTGTTTATCAGCAGTCCAGCCGTACCAAATCAGGGCACAAGGAAAAATAACAGCGGCCAACCAGGCATTCTCCTGCAGGCGATCTTCAGGACGATAGATAAGATGACCGTGTTCATCATAACGATTTGCTTTTTTGGCTTCGCGAGCCATGATTTTGTCTACCCATCTGCCTCCAAACACAGAAGCCAGGAAATAGCCTAGCGAGTTCGGAATATACAAAAGACCGACGATAATGATGGAAAAGTTGTAGGGTTCCTCGCCAAAGGTTTGTTGAACGGAGATGTTGAGGACGTAGAGAGAGCCGAAGGTTATACTGGCGTAGTAGACGACCAAGGCCACGGCGGGGATGCGTAGGTTGAGGACGATGGTCAAAGGCTCCACGAACCATCGATGTAGGATGCTTGCATAGCGTTTTGACTTTAGTGCCACACTTTGACGTGTGCTCGTGCGTGATAGGGTTGGTCTTGTGTCGGTGTTGGTGTCCTTTTCCGAGGCATCGGCAATAACGGAAGGGGGAACTGTGTCCTTCAGCGTCTCTGGTAGGAAGAAGAGGATGAAGAACCAGAGAAGTCCACCGTATATTGTGGTGAACCACATGCAGCTACGCCAGCCAAGTCCTTGTGTCAAGGCTCCTCCAATGATGGGGGCTAAAAGAGGACCACACAAGGGACCTAGATAGAATATGGACATGGCATTGCCACGTTCTCTGACGTCCCAAATGTCTGAGATAGTCCCAGCTCCCACCGCTTGCACCGAGGCAGCAGCACCTCCAGAGAGCACACGCATGACAATGAACATGGCAATGTTGACACTGACAGCACTCAAAATGTTGAAGACCAGGAAGACGAAGAAAGAGATGAGATAGATAGTCCTACGTCCCAGGGTCTCGGAGAAACTGGACCACCAAAGTGGAAAGATGGACATGCTCAACATGTACAAAGCAACCGAGAGATTAGTGACAGTAGAAGAGGAATGGAACTCGCGGTCGATTTGGGACAGACCGGGTAGGATGATGGCGCTACCCATAGGAGCAGCCGCACCTGCCACAGCAACGACAAAGGTGATGAGCCATTTCGTCCGACGGGCATAGTGTTTTGGGTTCTCGACTTCGGCAAGGATAGTTACGCGGGCTAGTAGTCCTCTCCGTTGGCTCTTGGGTACGAATATTGGATCTGGGTCCTGGCTGGCTATCGAGTCCGTAGCCTGTTTCTCTGTTGATGATGCATCTTCATGGTCCGGGTTAGGTAGAGAGTGTATGCCGTCTGTTGTGGGCAATGGAGCAGAGATCGACTCGACTTCTGGTTGATCCGGTACCGGGATAGAATGTATTGAGTGGTTGTCAGAGCTTGTCGACTTGACCTCCTCTTCCGAGTGTTGGTCATGCGAGCCCATGGTATATCGGCGTTATGCTCGCCTTCCTCCGAGCCAGCGTTATGGCGGCAACTTGGCGACCTGTATGGCGAGTTCGCACAACGAGACACGTAAAAGTCTGGTGGATGGTAGGATGCCAGGAACGAAGGCTGAGTGAGCCATATCTACATGTTCTCTCGAGCGTTTGTCCATAGTCAGGCCGTTTCGGAACCGCAAAGTGAGCGGGCCTCACTCAAAATCCTCATCAATCGTCCATGCCGAACAGCCGAGGGGCTCTAACATTTCCTGATTTGGTGACGATCGCCCAGCTTCAAGCCGACTTCCGTCCAAGACCCCTCTTCACATCTTGAACGTCGACAACAAATCTTCATGCGAATGCTCAATCATCCAGGTGCATCACCTTAAATCTCTCCTTCATGCTGTAGTGCAGTGCACAGATTCTCGGGGCACAATTCGCAGCTAACGCAGCTTCAGGCTATCGTCACGATGTTCAGTATACAATGTGGCGGGCTTCCATACAGAAGCCGTTTAGGACAACGAAGCTTTCGTACTCGTACTGATTGTGAATGTGCTAGTATCGAAGGTGCTGCATGAAGTTTATACAGGCTGCGTAGGCAAGCCACTGTCAGAGTGCACAGCATGGCGGCATGGCCAGGTGCAGAACAAGGAAGTGCGTCGTTCTTGACCGCATGCTCTATAGACCAGCCCATGCTCTTGACCGTGCTCCTGTAGTCTTGTACTTTGTCCTTTGGTCATTAGGGTTGGCGTCCTTTCCCCCAGATCGAACCAAAAGGCTAAAGATCAACGCCCTCGGCTGTCTGATTCTGTGCTGAGGGGTATGTAACATCGAGCAATTGCGACTGTCAAGCATAAGTTCATCGAGAAGTGGACATGGCGGCGTCAGATAGTTTTGCGAGCTGGTAGCAATGTGTCTTTGTCCATTGATGTTTTTAAGGCGTCCATCGTCAAAGGCGACAGCGGCTCGCACGGCCAACGACAAAGCATCAAGCATCGAGACGTTTTGCGGAGAGGTGGAGAAACTGTGGGGTTGGAGGTTCTTCGAGCGGAAGATGCTTATTAGCATATGCTACCACATTCCGAGGAGTTTACTGCTATACATATCAGCAATAAAGGTCTACGACATGTCACTGATTAGGTGGTCGCCAAAAGTCTTGAGCTTTGCAGGAGCTGTTCGTAATGAAGCCTATGCTTAGCGCGCCTAACCCATCCTCGTTCCACTTCACCTCTAGCAGAGAGCTTCAGCCAAGATCTCGCTGGTTGGAGTGGATCAATCTTTCGAGAGGTCCAGATGTCGAGGAGCTCAAGGCGAGAGCCTACCAGACGAGGCACGAGAGGGCAGTGCACTGTCTCGATACCCAGTGACCAGGCATTTGGTATGCATCGACATGGCTATATCGGCCCCAAATGCCTGAGCAGACATGGTCGGATAGTAAAGACTTAGCATGGCTTGACGGATTTGCAGTGTATGGCTGTATAGCATATTAAAACCTGTGTGGTTGAGTACTTGTACCGCAGTGGCCTTGGCCTTGGCGACGCAAGTTTCCGATGCGGAATCAGATTGTAAGCATCAAGTCAAAGGCTGGGACATGGATTGGTGGAATATGAGAATAAAGCAGGAAGTCGAGCGAGTGGCACAGATTGACACACACACGCGGCCAGCCACAGGATGCCCAATGACACAGTGATGGTGAGTTGGCACCAGCGGAAGAGGTTGGGGACGGGTACCAGCCAACCAGGACTAGAGGTATGCGCCGATCAAGTGCGGTGACGAACAGGGAAGATTAGGTTGGGTTACATGGTGCATCGCACATGGAGCGCGGTGTGATGGTACGCATGAGTGCTGGGGAATCAAACAAAGACAGCGGTGGGTTGTTGCGAGGCGCAGTGGAGTACGAATGGAGGAGGATTGACAGGGTAAGGAGCAGCAAGAGTCAAGTGTCAAGAGTCGAGAGCGAAACAGTGATCCATGCTTGAGCGTTGACCCGGCAGCGGAAGTGCGGGATGCGCCTGGCGTGCAAAGTCTAACCACTTGTTTCTGTGAGGAGGTCGCTTGTGGGCAGCATCTTGCATCTGAGTCGACCAGTTTTGCCGCGGCTGCAGCCGACGTTCTTGAATCCTGCCTTTTTCCCATGCTGCGCCAGATACATCCAGTGCGAAGTTCGAAGCCAGAAATCTACAAGTTCCTTAAGTGGAGCGTTTGCAGTTTCTTAAAACAAGCTCTGGACGGCGCGCCGGGAAGACCGGTTATCTAACGGTCCATATCAACACTGAACCTGATTCTCCACAAAAAAGGTGCCGACTTTATCACAAAAGTGCCATGGCCATGGTTTGTCGCGTCGTTTGCTGATTGGCGCTGCCTAGCAATCAATCGCCTCTGCTCACAGCAGTCCTCGCAGGCCTCGACATCCTTGACTGTTTGTTCCCATCTCGAGCGCCTCACGGACACCGACAGCCCTTCATCTAAGCACCTTGCGGCTGGAGTCTAGGACACAACGAATCTGCGCATTCGGATTGGCAGCGTCTCAGACTATCATCACCACTCATCACCCGTCGGGCTGCAATGACAGTCGCATCCTCATCCTCCTAGAATTTGTCGTGCAGTCGCCGTCGCCATGGGTGTCGAAGCTCATCAACGACCACCACTGCCCGCACCTACTGAACCTACCGATGTCGACGATACTGATGTAGCCACCAACCTCTCGCGCCGTACCGATCAGACTTCATACTCAATTCCCGAAGACGGCAGTCCCATTACCATCTCTACACACAAACTTACCTCTAAAGAAGGCCCTCGCCTCCGCCACGGTCGCAACAAGTCACAGACTTCGCTGTTGATCGAATACTTCGAAGCCACCAAGGGCGACAAAGGGAAGAATCGCCCCAGCGTTCGTGTCAAAGTTACTCCTTCGGCCCACCGCAAATCAAAGACCTCGGATTCTGTCCAAATCACTGGCATCGGTCGTGACAAAAAGCCTTCATATACACGCCGCATTTCTTTGGGTGCCAAATCGCCAGACAAAGCTACACCAGTAGAAGCTACCGAAGTCAGTCAATCTTCAGAGAGCAACGTTTCAGCCGTGCCTCCGGTCGAGGTCGAGATCCTCAACCACAGCGACATATCAAGTCTAAAGCAGGGTCGGGAATCCCGCGACTTACACTACCTTCCTGTTACCTCGGACGTCTCATCAATGCCTCCCGATAGCTTACTTGAACCTTCACAAATCTTGGCAGTAAGCCAAGATGTATCTGAAGACGCGAGCCACAGTCAGAGTCTTCTAGATCTGCCTGCACAGGACCGAGCACGCAGCGCCAGCCACGAGCGCATCAAGCAGAAGGTCATTGAGAAGTTGATGCAGCGTCAACGTGGCGAACCTATTGAGTATGAGCCCGATACAAAACCAACAAAAGAGCGCCGCCGACGGTCCTCCCGCTCCACACGCGAAGACGACCTCGCTAGCGCTGCCGAGTCGTCCATATTATCTTCGAATCTGTCCCCTAGCAACCTTTCGTACGCCTCCGGCGCCACTTCGAAGGTGTCGCTGAACAATCCAAAGCTTCTACAAATGGTAGAGGACACTGTTCGTCGTCTAATATTACCAGAAATTACTCATCTGAAGAATGAGCAACGCCGCTCATCACATGGCTCATATACCGATGATGAAGTGGAACTGCGCACTGCTAAATCTGGGACATCAAGTAAACCTAAGGTTGTCCTCAACCGATATGATGATGATCCTGGCGAGGTACTCTCCCGAGGGGACTCAGAGCGCCGTGAAAAGACTCGTCGGTCTAGTCGCGGAGATTCTGATCGTCCTCGTCGTGAACGTCGTTCTTCGCGCACCTCGACACGGGAAGAATCTCTACATAGCAGGTCAAGCAAGGATAAGGAGTCACACCGAGTCAAGGAAACTGCTGCTGCTGGTATTGCTGGCGGTGTGCTTACTGCCGCAGCCCTTCGTCACCATGACTCTCAAGACAATATCAGTCGTGAACGTCGTAAAAAGCGCAAAGCCCGAGGAAGTCGCAGTGATTCCACGAGTCTTACCGAAACCGAGAAAACCTACCGCAAAGAGGATATCCCACCTATGCCCTGGACTGGCGCATCGGCCATCAATGATTCCGAAGTCACCCGCCAGTCCATCCTCACAGCATCAACCGAGCGTCCACCATCTGCTTCTGGTACCGAACACCAGACTCCAATCTGTGAGGTTCGACGCGGCTCGCTTCGCGGTTCTGTATCACCAGCGTCCACAACCCCTAAAGGTAAAGAAGCTCGTCCCCCTAGACTTTTAGAGTCCAGCCACAGCCGTCACTCTTCGACACAAGAGCATACTGCCAACATTCAGTCCATCTCGACCAAAGCTAAGATAGCAGCATTAGCTGCAGCTGGCTTGGGTGGTGACGAATCTGTTCATCAGGAGATTGGAAAGCATGATTTGAGCCCTACACAGAGTGTTTCTACTTTCAGAGACAGTCTGAATGATCCTTTGATTCCTCATGGATTACGGCCTCGCAGTAGAGTCTCCGAGCTCTCCGCCGGATTCGAGGAACGACAACGTAACGCCATGTCTCCTGTTTCGGCGCCCAATTCTCCAAGCGCTCTGAAGAAGAACTTCGATGTTGCTAGAACTCCTCAGTCACCTGCACAAATGTATGATGATGCTGAAGAGCGTAGCGAGCTGGAAGAATGGTTTCAGAAGGAGCATGAAAAGAACGAGGAATATCGTAAATCACTCGCGGATTCGAGCACGATTCCTGAATCCTTCGATGAACGTCGTTTGACGCAGTACACCGAAGACAGCCGTCTATCAAGCGAAAGGAGTCCGGAGCGTGACATTCAGGGAGTTGCTGCGACTGCACAGTATACACACCGGCCATACGGTGTTGAATCTGCCGTCGCCTCTTTGATAGACCCTTCTACAGTGAGCACCAGTCTTCAATCATCGCAAACAACCCCAAGCAACATCGAAGACGTGCATAACCGCGAGCGACTGGTCAATGGGGTGCGTGAGGAGCCTTATCATCAATCAACGGATCAGCAGAGTGCAGACTCACCCACACAATATCCGACTCAAAGCCGATGGAGCGCATTACGTGAGAATGCGCTGGCCTTGTCCAGCCGAGGCTCTTCTGCTCAACCTACTAGTTCTCCGCGCCAAAGCGAGAACTCGCACGAGGAACGCGTGCACATAGACTCTTCCCCTGTCCAGCTGAGCGCCCATGGCATTCCTGATGTCAATGATCCCTTGCCCGAAATTGGACATGGAATTGACTCCGAGTCTGATTTGAGCACAAATCCTCCCGAGATTCAAGGGCCCGGCCGAGGCGATGGCCACTTCAACTTTTTGTCTTCATTCTCACACAGCCCAGAGAGAGCAGCCATTCGACACGATAGTATTTCGGAACACAGTTCCTCCACGAACGAGAAAGCCAAAGTGGGGGCCGGCATCGCTGCTGGTGCCTTTGCAGCAGACAAGATTCTGAGTCAGCACAGCTCAGACAAGCATCTTTCAACGAACCAAGCAGTGGTCGAGGACTATGCCTCTCGCGAAACGACTCCAGATGTGCGGCAAGCCCAGGCTGTTCATTTGGGACGCGCGGAGACAGCCTCTCCTGCTCACCTTGGAGACGAAGGTTACGCATCTGCGGCCTATGCTCGTTCCAATGGAGCTTCTACCCCTAGGGGCCACAAGATGCATGCCAAAATCCAGTCGGAAGGACATGACGTGGACACAGCGCAGGAGGAAGCATTCGTCGGGAAGCACAGCCGTTATTTGAGTGGCAATTCTCATGGCATGTCTTCTCCACTCTACGACAGTGCCACCGGCAGAGGAATCGATACGATCCAATCCAAGGATGTGGTTGCGTTGATGGACCATCTTACTGTCCGAGACGCGCATCGCAATGCAAGGGATACAGAAATTCTTGTCACTCTGGTGCGCAGTGCTGCGGAAATGCGCCATGAATTTGAGGAAATGAAAAAGTTTATTGCCGAGCAAGATCGCAAAATCATGGAAAACACGGATCGCGATGCCGAATATACAGTCAAGAAGGTACTTGGTGGTCCTCGACCCCAACCACCAGCCCAACCTCGAATAGTTCATGGCACTTACAACGAAGAGGATATTCCGATGAAACGCAAGAATGTCTTCAAGCGGGCACTGAGAGGATTGAGTAAGAGAGGTTCCAATGATTTGTCCAAGATCGAAGACATGTTGAACCAGATCCTTGGAGACGTTGAGGATCTGAAGATGACCCAAGGCGATCGACCACCTATGTCACTTCGTGGTAGTAGCTTCGACTCGTACGAGGATCGAGCATATTATGGACGAGACTCTGGATACGAGCCTGAAGGACAAGCTGGTACTTCGTCAACCCCGAATCATTCTGGTCGTCTCTCTAATCATTCTGGCAATGTATCGGTCCCTTCACCCAAGGAGAAGACAACCTCTCCGCAGGAGAGGTATTTCCACTCTGGGTATAATGGCCGTAGGGACTCAATTAATCGTGTCAGCACTGTTATGGAAGAAGAGAGCAATGATGGTGGATCTTTTCTAGAGCAACATGAAACTCACGTTCTTGATAATCAATTCGAGAACAATGAGAGGCTCCTGACACCGACACAAGAGTCGTTCAACCGTAGGTCAGGATCCTTTGACTCTGCCGCAACCCCTGTGCAACAACGACATAGCCCATTCGACGCCCACAATGGTGCCGGTACCCCTGAGAAGCAGCGCAAGCAATCTGTCTTTGGCATTCCGAAAATTTCTCGTTGGTCTAAGACGACGACCTCCTCGTTTCCCGAGAATTCTGATGCAAACGATAGACGACGAAGCCAGTACACCAACGCCTCTAGCAGTGGCGACAGTTTGAGTTCTAATGGTGCTGGCTATTACGCCAATGGATATGCACTGAGATCCGAAGATCGTCTTCGATCCACACAGTCGCTGGCTAAAGATCAGGCAGCCAGAGAGCATCTGCCTGATGATAGAAGCATCCGCAGCGGGATTAGTGATATGACACGAACACCATCACCGCTTATTCCTTCCGAGACAAGCTCCCAACTTGAGAACATTCCCATCATCCTTCCGGACGGCAATGAGATGGACAATTTTGATGACCCTAAATATTCGGCTCATCGTGATTCTTTGCTTCTCCAGCATCCTCAGCCTCGACCAGGGCCGACGCATCGTCACCAAACAAATCTTGAGAACGAAGCTCGAACCTTCAGTGGACCTGATCATTTCGAGACAGCGACGAGCAGTGACCTTTCACAACGCACTGTGGACAGTGATTTCGACCCCTTGCAATGGGGATCGAACCCTTCGCTCTCTCTGGCACGAACAAACAAACTCAGTGGAATACCTCTAGGGAAGGACAACGGCCCTCTGGTTCCTGAAAACAAACCAAAGGCGGCGCCTAGAGTCGAAGTCGAGCCACCAAAGGAGCAGCGACAGCAAGCACCGCAGAAACCACGCCAGATGTATTACTCGACTCCACTTGGCTCAGGACACTTGCTTGAGCCCATTGAAGAAGTGAGATATTCTCTTGAAACAGACCGTGGACATGTGAGTCTTCACGCAGTGCATTCATGTGCTTGGCTAACCTCGATTTGATTAGCGTTCACCTGAACCGACAGCTAGCCCTCGGGTAGCCAACCAACCCAGTCCATCTCGAAAAATTACCGGACCCAGACCGATGGGCTCGCGTGCTCCCAGCGGTGCTAACGAACAAAGCCAACAAGAGCAGGTCTCTGGCACTGTAAGAAGGAAGCCAGTGCCTTCGAGCAAGAGTTATGGTTCGTGATTTTTGTTGCTTCTGGCTTTTTTTTTTTTCTCATTCACTTCACAAATTACAAAGAAGAAAATATTATAGTGCTAGGCGGACAGAGTCTTTGGCCACGTTGATCATATGGACTACATGCCATGTGGCGTCCAAGGAGATGATCAATAGCCTAGACATCTTGGAGGAGATGAAGCGTGGAAGGAGCTGATTCGGAGGACAGATTCGTTTGATGATGATAGCGAGATCTTCTAAAAAATACAGTAATGCGGAGGCACACAAACACAGCGATATGCGGAAGCAACGACTTTACGATACAGACAGTCATGCGAGCGGCAGTACCGCTACTGGCTGAACAACACGGCGAGGACGAGATGTAATGATTTCACTATACCTTTTTGCTTTTGTCTTTTCATACCACCTATGTCATTTTTTTTTTTTTCGATCACTCTGTGACATGGCTCTTCGCTTCCTGATTCTCCTTCTGCATTTCATTTTGCCACTGCTGTGCATAAATTCTCCCTCTCCGTGTGCAAAAGGATGTGACGTACGTAGTTATAGAAATGCACAATATCATCAGGAGACAGGGTGGTGTCCACTGAGAAGTCACGTCTTTACAGCTCTCTTTGGTCATGTCCCTGTTTCTAAAAGCAATTGTGCCTTTCTATAGTATAGAGAAGGTCTTTACTATGGTCGGAGCATAATGTTGCTACATACTTTAGCACATGGGGTGGTCGAGCCTTTGCTTCGCTATTCTCCTTCGAGCATCAAGCGAGCCGTGGAATGGTATAGACCTCTTCTCACCAGTACGGAGTATGGCTCCAGGATATATTTGAGTACCAACTGATAGAGTTGCAGACTCTGACTCGCACTCAATCAAGGAACCTGACGAGTTGAAGTCACTGCTTCTTTCCTATTATTCCCAGCAGTTGCCATAGCCGATTATTACCACTCAAGGAGTCGAAGGGTCTGTTCTTCAAATCTCGTTCTTTTCCAGGTTCTCCACGATCTAGTTCTGTACTTGGCAAGATGTATTTCAGCCACGCTCTCATGTCCGCGGAATAAAGTCGCTTGATCTTGTCTCACCGTTGAGCCTCATCCTCACGCGCCATGTCATGATGCGTGTACTTGTAGCTATGCATGGAATTATCGCAAGACGAAATCATCCTCTCGAAGACTCCTCAGCGAAATTTCTGTACACAGCTCCGATTCGGTTGCAAACGCGTGTTGTTGAAGCATATAACGCGCTACGTTGCAGCAAGAGGATGGCCAGACGTTGCAGACTTCATCACACGGAGAAGCTGCCGCAGAACTTACTCATGGACGCAGCATCTTAAGGTTGCGCCAACGACTCACGAACCTTTTCAAGACGTCTCTGCCGTGCGTCTGATTCGAAAAAGCTGACATCTAGGTTTTTCTCGAATCTGTGCGACAGTATGTCATTCGAATACAGAAAGCGTCGAGGTTGAGTGCCAAGGATGGAAACAGCTGTATGAGGAAACCGCACCTCTTCTGCTGATGCCTAGTGTGTCAACGAATTAGGGCTTCTCTCGGTTTTGCTACGGCAGCTACATTTCTATGGCAAGGACAAATGAAAGAAGGAAATGACCTTTGCGAAGGAAAGTGCGCAGTTGAATTCTTGGAAGGATGGCGTAGCCAAGCAAAGATCTCAGATTCTAGATCGATGGATTGCGCCTCCCAAGATCTTTGAATTTTTCCAATCCTTCGATTTGAGGGAGCTTCGAGGGTTTTTGCTGACGTCGATACACCTTGTGGCTTGATTTAAGCCTCCGATGCAGCAGCTCTTAACGGAAAGCACTGGATTACAGTTTTACCTTTGGAAGTGGTACCTGATTTTGAAACAAGACGACGAGTCATTCAATCATGAAGTCTCGACCTTCTTCATGGCTTTGTGAGGAAAGACAGAATGCAATGGTCTCAGCATATATAGGCTGCAGCCGTACTGAGTCATCCTGGTCCTTCTTTCATATATTGCGTGCAGACTCGACGAATCAATCCAATATACAAACAAGTCATGGAGGGAAAGCAGCTGTCTACCTTTGTCATCGCTCTAGTGAGCTTGCTCGTTACGACTATTGTCATTGCGGTCAGATGCGTTGTTCGCATATCTATCAGAGGCTTTGGTCTTGATGATTGGTCAATGGTGATTGGCCAGGTATGTGCACTGTCTGTTGAAGACTATACAAGATCACAGTGGCTTACAAGAGACAGGTACTTTTCTTTTGCACCTGTGTGGTCGTCATGTACGGATGCAACACAGGTATCGGCGTGAGGGACATCTACTTGACCTCGGAACAGCTTGTCGATGCCAGGCATAGCATAATAATGTTTCAGTGCTTTTATCTTATTTCACTCATCTTTGTCAAGAGCAGCATTTGCTTTGCTCTCCTTCGGATTACCACCAGCAGAGGCGTCAGGAATTTGTTGTACTTCATCATCTTCTTGTCTTTCTGCTGCGGCTTCATCACCACGGTCGCCTGCTTGTCCCTCTGCGTCCCTCTCTCAGCCTCCTGGACAGGTATCGGCAAATGTGCTGCACCTGAAGTGATCAAAAATGTTGCTATCTATACAACTGTGTCGAGCTGTGAGTTGTTCCTGCTGGCAAATTAGCTATACCATGCTGACTTCGCTGTTGTTCTAGGTATCACCGACTTTTCCTGCTCTATCCTTCCCTATGTTATCCTCTGGAACCTCCAAATGGACAAGAAGCTTAAATTTGGCTTGGCTGCTATCCTGAGTCTTGGTTTCCTGTAAGTGTCATGGTGAAGAACTGTACCAGGAACGATCGACTGACAAAGCCTCTGCAGTGCTAGTGCCGCTACTGTGGTTCGCGCCTTCTACTTCAATCGCTTCCTTGCTCCTGTCGACTACGTTTGGGGTTTCTCCGATCTTATGATCTGGTCTATTATCGAAGATCTTATCGCCATCACCATTGGTAGTGTCCCCAGCCTGAAGCCTCTGTTCGTTCGTTTCAAATGGATGGCATCTACGTCCTCACGTTCCGGCAAGAGGACTCGCGACTACCAGAACTGCGAATCTTATCATATGCACTCTCCGAGCAAGAACAAGAACCAGACCAGGACCATCACCACCACTGTCGCCGAAGAGAGTGACAATTTGAAAGATCTAGTGAGTGAGGAAGGCATCGTTATCAGCCAAGAGTTCAGACATGAAGAGGAGTATGAGTACCATGATAGAAAGCCTGTGGCTTCTATTTGAGGATACTATGTCACATAGAAAGATTTTGGCATCACAGTACATAGATCGAAGTTTATTTAGTTACGACTTCTTACATCGTCAACGTGTGCTAAAGACAGTCACAAATTTGTAGTTTTCTCCTTCTCAAATCCGAGGTACAAGGGTTATGGTGAGCCAGCGAAATGCACAGTTACAATTAGAATGTGAGCCTGTCCATTGAGACTCCCTCTAATAGGGTTCTCCCTGTGAAAACCACATTCTTTGCGAAAATATCATGCACTTCTATAACTACACTGTGACTGTCTTTCGCACACGGGGAAAATTGAAGAGAATTTTTCTTACACTCGGTTATTTAGACACACCTTTGGTCAAGTTGAGGAGACATATTTTGTGGGGTTTGACAAGATCAACAACAATAGTAATTTCCATTTCTGCTCACTGGAGTATCTAAAGGACTTGATCGTCATCGCTGTCTCCGCCAGTTGAAGCATCAGGGGGACCACGAGATACACCTTCAGAGCCGCCAGTATGGCCGCCTCTTGGTGAGTAACCTTTACGGGGCCCTCTCTCACCTGCACTACCACCTTTCTCACCTTTCTTGCCCTCTGGTCGCACAACAGTGGCGCCTTTGCCACTTAGAGCCTTTTTGATCTTCTCCACGCCTTTGGGGCGTACATTGTCAGAGACAGGTCCATGGTATTCAGGCTTTGAACGTTTAGGCGGGCTCGAAACTCCGCTTCCAGCTTTGGTGAATTTGAAAGGAGCAGGGGCTTCTGTCATCACAGTATCACGCCATTCACGCTTCTTCCCATGGTTGGGAGGATTATAGTGAGGGTTGCTGCCGTGATCGGGAGTAGCCTTAGGGGCAGGGAAACCAGTGCCATAGAAACCAGTTGATCCAGAGGGAGGGTTGGGATCAGAAGGGCCACTGCCTTTTGGAGGTCTGCCGCTGCCACTGCTACCCGCCGAAAATGGAGGGAGACCATTGTTGTTCTGGGTGCTGGTGATGGGAGTGTTCATCTTATAGTCCATAGGTGAGACAAGTCGTTCCGCATGTTTTCTAAACTCCACTTCCTGAAGTTCAAGTTTCCTGGATGTCTCGAATATCTTCTGTTGTTCAACATCTAGGGCTTGACGTCTTTTCTCAGTTTCTAGCATGGCATCATACTCGAGATCGAGGTCTCGTTTAGTGATACCGGCCTTCAACTCAGTGTATTGATTGAGTATGGGGTTCGAGTGGGCTGCCTGGAGCAGGTAAAGTGGCGTCAAGTCTCCCTGTTCGATACGGGAGCGTCTCCATTCGAAAGCAAAGAATGAATGCGAACAATTGGTTGCCAAAAATACGGCGTGTTCGGCTTGGTCGCGAGGATATCCACTACGAGTGGAGACATTGACCGGTTGGAACTCGGGTGTTATGATCATGGCACTGCCTTTGCACCCCCAATGAGCGCAGCTGATGTTGAAGCCGGCCTCGAGCCTGTGAATAGCATAAGCGATGCGGAAGAAAGACATACCTTCAGCCACATGGTACATTCCCATCGCTTTGACAGTTTCAGTGAGGTCCTTGCCCCACAAGTTACAATCAGCTCCTGGCGTCCAGTGCAGAACTCCATCCATGATGTAACCAAGTTCATCATTCTTGACGGGGATGACGTCTTGTGTTTCCTTGTTACTGGTGGCATTGACAAGATTAGTGATGAAGTCATTGCAGGCCTTCTGACTCTGGTCGAGTGCCTCTCTTCTCCTTTTGAACGTCGTGATTGTGTTGCTCATAGCATGGCTTGATTCATCTTTCTTGACAGTCGAATCTGACTGCTGCGGAGGAAGTGAGGCGAGAATCTCGTGGATTCGAGGCTCGGTGCGCCGAACACAGTCTTGGAAAGCGTGGCCAGGTATTTGACAGAAGATGCACTTCACTTCTGGATGAGGATTACGACAATTGGTGCTGACATGGCCTTTGTATCCGCACCTGTCGCAACGGTTGCTATTGCTTTCCGCCATGACGATGACTTCGAGTTTCGAGTTCGTGTTTTGACAGCTAGCCGTGCTGTGATAGAGCGAGTTGCACCATTTGCACCACAAGGCTTCGGGCTGTGGTGGGGAAATTTGCCATGGAGCAGTCATGAGGTAGCCGCTGTGGGCCCCAGTGTTGGCAGCATCCTGCCTCTTCTTGTCACAGTACGCTTCGTAGTGACCATTGTTTCCGCAATAGCCACATTTGTTGTTGTTTTTGTTGTTGTTCTGGTTGTTGTTTTGGTTGTTGTTCTGGTTGTTGTTATTGTTTTTTGGATCATCGCGGCAATTCTTTTGCAAGTGTCCAGGTTTTTTACAATAGTTGCAATAACTGTTGTTACCACCCTTTCCTCTGGCCATTATGTCTGTTGTTATTTGGCAAAAGAGATAGAGAATATTATGTTTACCGTGGATGTATGTGCTAGAGTTAAAGATCTTGGATGATGAAGGTGCTTACTGAATTTTGTTGATTTTCTGTAGCGAGGAGATCTGCCAGCAGACTCACAAAGGATAGACAAGAAAGGAAAATTTCACAGGAGAACGAAAACTGATCAAAGTATGGCCTACAGGTTTCACTGAGAATATATATGGTACCTGACCTTTCAATGACAATGAGAAGGTCGCATCACATTACAGTACAAAGCGTCAAAGAGCAGGGAGATTTGATGGCGCGATTTCGTGAAAGCCCGACGTTGCATCTTTGTCTCGAGATTCGAGCTTAGTCATGGCGCCGACATGTGCTTTGAGGGTAGCAGAACAATGCAACAAACAGTCGAAGAGAGAGACGCAAGGTCAAAGACGATCGTGGTGGCCAGAAAGCCACGGGCCGACAATCGGATTCTGGAGCAACGCTCTAACCTAGATAGGTACTAGCAGCAATTATTTACCTGATATTTACGAGAGAAAAACGCGTCTTCTCCAGATTTTGCTCCACGTTTCGGCTTTGGCATTTTTTGCGAGGATTTGGTCGTCATCTTGAAATACCTTCTGATCACTCGCTTCCTTTCTGCCCCGTCTTTTCTTTAGTGTAGTAGTGTACCATCTATCACACTTGAGATTGGCTGAAATGGAAGTTCCTGAGGCAAGAGTCCTGATCGTGATTACAGGAGGCACGATATGCATGCAACCATCTGAGAATGGTCTTGTACCGGTATGTGATACCGGATGTGATGGAACGACAATTGAATAACTTTTATTACAGGGAAAAGGGTTCCTGAAGAACGGTCTCGCTCCTAGACCATCTTTCAACGACGGCTCATATCCCGAGCCGCTCGAGATTGTCATAGACGGAAAAGGTACCCGCAAAGCTGTGCAAAGCTTGCGCACTCCCACAAGCACCTATGGTCGGCAGGTCCGATACAGTGTTCTGGAGTTCGATCAACTGCTCGACAGCAGCAGCATCGATGCTGAAGGCTGGGACCAGATTGCGAGAACTATTGAGCGAAACTACCAGCTCTATGATGGCTTTGTAGTCTTGCACGGAACCGACTCATTGGCCTACACCAGTAGTGCTCTCAGCTTCATGCTTCAAAATCTCGGAAAACCTGTTATTCTCACTGGCTCGCAAGCGCCCATGATGCAGCTGCAAAATGATGCTCAGGACAATCTGCTGGGCGCTCTTGTTATCGCAGGCCATTTCATGATTCCCGAAGTATGCTTGTTCTTCAACTTCAAGCTCTTCAGAGGCAACCGTGCGACTAAAGTCTCAGCCGACGATTTCAATGGATTTGCCAGCCCGAACATGCCGCCTCTCGCCACTATCAGCAGTTTAAGAACCAACGTCAGCTGGGATCTCGTCTACAGGCCAAGAATTGTGAACCCTTTCTGTGTGCACTCGAACTTGGACACAGCTCACGTAGCTTGTCTGCGTGTATTCCCTGGTATCAAGCCACAGATGGTGGATCTGTTCCTGCGTACTGAAGGACTCAAGGGCTTGGTGCTCGAAACCTTCGGCGCTGGCAACACTCCTGGAGGGCCGGATTCGCCTATGACTAAAGTTTTGGCAGACGCCGTCAAACGTGGCATTGTCATCGTCAATGTGACACAATGTCTCAGTGGCAGTGTCAGTCCACTGTACGCTCCAGCAACCTATCTTGGACGTGCAGGTGTGGTCTTTGGTCAGGATATGACCACAGAAGCCGCTTTGACAAAACTTTCGTACCTACTTTCTATCCCTGGATCGACACCTGAGGACGTGGCCAAGCAGATGCACAACTCACTCAGAGGTGAATTGACGGAGAGAGGACGAACACACTTCCAACATCCTACTAGTGGCACTCTGACTCCAGAAATATCGAGTCTGACTGCACTGGGCTATGCTATCCAGGATGGAGATGCTCTGAGTGTGAGAGACGTTGTCAGGGGTGAGAACCGCTGGCTTCTGAACGATGTAGACTACTCAGGAAACACTCCTGTTGTAAGTTTTGGCCCTTCTTCGAAGAAACCTTGGATGAGGTCATAAAGTAGAACATTTGACTGACCATGATTACAGCATCTTGCAGCTACCGGACCCAACGTTGATGTACTGAAAGAGATGCTAAATCTTGGAGCTAGCGTCCATTTGCGTAATCGCAATGGACGTACTCCTCTCTTCGTCGCTGCGCACGCAGGACTACCTCAACATGTCGAAGCTTTGAGAGAAGCCGGTGCACACTTGCACTCTGATGAGCTGGATACAGCCAAGATATTCGCAAAGTCCGACCCTCACCCAGATGTCTGGAAGCTTGCTGGTGTTGATGAGCTGTGAATTTTAGACATAACACTCTGAATAGGAAAGACATGGTCTTGCCTACAAGCTCACCAAATTGACCCATTGGTTCATTCTGCTCGCCATGACAGAGCCACAGCCTTGCTCGAACTCGGGCGAACACATCAGCCGTGCTTTAGAACCGCTCAAGTCATGTGGAAGTTGCTGTTCAAGAAGGATCTGCTTTAGTCGCAAGACGTCGAAGGCCACAGACACAAATCACATGTTCAAAAGTTGCTCTGATTGCTGTCATGAACAGACCGCCTCTTCCGATCCGACCTGCGATAACCCCGCAATGGATCATCTTCAATTGAAGATGAATTATGGATACGTACAGCAGGCATCTCGCACCATGCATGGTCTAAATATAAAAATTATCACTAATTAACGGACATAATCAACCATTTTTTCTTGAGACGCTCACTCAAGCTATTCTTAGTGTTGGGCACTTCTCATCCGCATAAGCGTAATTAGTCGGCATTCTTTACTTGCATATTGTGAGTTAAGGATGTCGTTGCAGGCTGCTACAGATGCGTGCATGTGCCATTCTGCGAAGGATGCGGAACCCCGCTTGTTCTTCAACCCTCAATCTTTCTCACAACTTCACCTCGTAAGAGCAATCCTGGTCCATGGATTTCTCACTGCTGAGGTGATGCAAAGTTGAATGACACGAAGGTATAATCGAGCAGTGAAAGTACAGAAAGAGTATGATCCATCTGGGACACTCGAGGCATACGTTCGCTGTACGAATAGATGGAAGGACGGAAAGCCACGACTGGTCTTAAGCGCCGCCAAATGTTTCCAACATATGCATTTAATCTATAACTTCATGGCAGAAGAGCATCTGGCCCCGTCTGCAAGATGTGATGGATTTTAAGCCGCATCAAGGTTATGTATCTCATCAGCGCTTATGACAAACTCGCCAAGGATACACCAACATCTGAAGAGTGACATCCAACAAAGTAGCTACAGCCAAAACTTCCGATGCCCTAAAATCAATATCTGCGCTGGCTAGATGGCGTCGCCGGATCTTCTTTGCGCTGACGCTTGACGCGTAGTGCAATGCATGGCGGCGCCTCGCATCTTTTTCCCGTCCTTCCCGTCTTTGACTTGCATGGCATTGCATGTTTCTGCAGATAGATGCGGTAAGTTTAGCAGCTACCGCCTTCTTCTCATCTCTCGTACGTACCAACACTTCCTTGTTTGGACATGTCAGCGGCAAGAGTTGGAGTATATAACATTGTTCTGTGCTCCCATTTCGGTTCCAGTTTATTATCAGCAAGACACAAGGAGCATATACCTCGACCACATCTTTATCAAGCAGGTGGCAACACAGCATCGATTGGTTTTCATTATTTCCGTCTCTGCATCTATACTACCACACTTCTCCATCCTGTCTTTCAACTAGTTCAAAGCCTGTCGATCAGTTTTTGCACATACTCATAATGTCTTCAACTATTTCTCGGCTGCTCTTGGCCCTCTTCTTCGCCACTATGACACTAGCTTTGCCTACTCCAAGCACAACTTCCAGCCAGAACACTGTACCTCTCAATGGGCTTCCAGCACCCGGTACTCTGTCTCTTGAATACATTGCCCTTGGTGTCGGCACTCAGAACTACAGCTGCAGTGCTGCAGGTGCCACCCCCACAGCCATTGGTGCAGTCGCCAGTCTCTACGATGCAAGTATGCTCAAGACGCCTTCGAGGGCATCGTTGATCCCATCATATGCTGCTGTGGCCTACAGCACACATACTTGGTTCAATCTGCCTACTTTGGGACATCATTGGTTCAGCGCCGCAGGAGTGCCAACATTCGACCTCGAAGGTCATGGCTTCCTCAGTGCGAAGAAGGTGGCAAGTGTGCCAGCGCCTTCGGGAAGCATCGCTGGCAGCGTGGACTGGCTGTTCCTAGAAGACGATGGCAGAGGAGTGAGCAAGAACCTCAAGGCAGTGTACAGAGTCGAGACTGCAGGTGGTAGTGCACCAGCTACTTGCAGCAAATCTGGAGTCATCGCTGTTTCTTATGCTGCCGAGTATTGGTTCTACGGCTAGATCTACAAAAGTATCTTGGAGTTAAGGGCGGTCTCGGTCGCTGGGCTCACGGCTTCAGTCGTTACTTCCTTTGTATGGAGGTTCACTTGTTTCGCTTTTTATTTGATTTTTCTGATATGCAAGTTTCATGAGCAACGAGGCGAGCTATGATACCCCAAGGCGTGGTATACACCATTCATTTATATTTTCTTATCTAAATTTAATGTTCGATTGCTGATCAAGCTAGACATTTGTCTCATTTACTCGTCCGAGACAATGCCAATGCGTGTCTCGTAGATTGAGTCTGTGTCAAGCTGGCTTTATCGTTCCTTCCAATAACGAAAGGACTCGATTAATGGCAAGAGCGATCCTAGATTGAATATACACAAATCGCATCACACAGTTGAGGCACAAGGAGGAAGGTGTCAGAAAAAAAAGATGAGTTGATTGAGTCGACAGCATACTGAACACAAACTATGAAAAGCGAGTCTCAGATAACACCGATAACGGGGGAAAAAGAACAACCAACTCCTTTCTACAACCACTTACCTCTAAAGCGATGGAGTGATGAACTTACGGCAGTGAGAGCAGTACCATGCATTATAGTAAGGGTTCCATTGAGCAGTTCTGTAGCAGTCTCCGCACACAGGTCTAGAGCTATAGCAGAGAACAGGATAGATGGTGGAGCCTGAAATGTTGGAAGTGTGGTTGCACATTTTTTGTGTTGTTGTGAATTTATTGATGTCTTGATTCAGATTGTTGAGCTGTGATGAACTCGATTCAGTTGCTGAGTATAGGTCAGGCTTTATAGACACTTGAGTGGTTTCAAAATTCTGAAACGGACAATGACTTTGTAGAAGGAACAAAGACGATGCAAGAATAGAAGCTTTGCTTAAGGTCTTGGTCAAAGAATGAAACTTTGAAGTCATTGTTTCTCGTCTGGGATGCCTTAGAACACCAAAGGATCTCCTTTGTCTTGTTTTCTTCTCGATTGTCTTGACGACTAACATATTGTCTCGGCTCTCGAGTCTCATGTGAAGCATCTTATATAACATTGCATACTTAGTCGCCGTCATTAGCGGTTTTCTTGCCAACAACGACCAAATTGCAGAAGATACTCTCTAACTGGAAGAACAGATTCAACGAAGCTACCACAAAGTGTACAAAAATGTCTCACCCTTCGGACATCCAGATGCCCGACTATGACAACGCTTATGCGATCTTCCAGGCCGAACTCGCGGGCGGTGACACGGATGTTGATACTGAAATGGGCGACAACTCCTCCCCTGAGCCAGCTGAATTGCCTGATCCGTCATTGCCTCTATACAACGGAGCTCCTCCACACAATTTTGACATCCCCCTCGCTCACCAGATTGATCTCACAAGCGAGTTAACCAGACCAGGTGGCTTTCTTCCAATCTCTGGACCGTTTTTCGACATCGACATCACCAAAACTATGGAGTCGATGCTGCAAAGATATCAGCAAAAGGGTGAAAGGTTCTTCCGTCTGAAGTGGGCCGTGAATTACCTCTCTCAAGGCTTCTATCCCGCATGCAAGTACCCTGGTTGCACGTCTAGATGCCGCATCGTTGACCACAACCTCAAAGTCTTGACTTGGAAAAAGCTTCAACCTGGTGGTGAAGATCATTTGCGCTATGTGACTACTGACAAAGAGCACCCTGTTTTCCTCTGCGTATCTTGCAAACACGAGAACTTCATGCCATCGTTCATGTGGAAGACCAGAGTGGTTGGCTTCATGGCTGATCCTGTGGTTGAGATAAAGATGTATGAGCGTTGGGCAACTCCTGCTTTCTTCTTCAACAGACAAAGAGATACCGATGCTTTCCCTAGTATGATTAGCGGTCCTATTCTGTCTAGACGTGAGAGGCGTGTTCAGCGTAGAACTTCGATCTAACTGACTTTTGTGTTTTTCTAGAGGCTGACGCTGCTGAGAGTGTCTTGAGCAAGACATGCGATTACTTGCTTCCGGTTATCGCTGCGGGATGGGTGCTTCGCTATGCTTGGAACGGTTATCATATAACATCAATCTAAGGGGATAGGTTCCCTCATTTTCTTCTTTTGATCAATTGCCTGGATTCTTAATGCGAAAAATTTTGCGTACTCAAAGTGAAATTGCAATGATAGACGGATATCGTCAGATTTGAAATGTTATGAGAATCGTGAAAATGTTTACTTTTTGTTTTAGTCGTCTAAGCATCTTCTGCCTTGGGCTCTTCTCCTGCTTGGCCCTTTTCTCTCAACGCCAACTTCTCGGCCTTCTTCTCGGCAATCTTGAGAGCCTTACGCTCACCCTTCGTAAGCTTGCCGGAAGTGTTCTCCTGCTTCTCCTCTGGCTTCTTCTCAGTGACGGCCTCCTCGATGGAGGCAGTAGCATTGGGATTGCCCTTGAACTCGAGCTTTCTGGGAGTCATGAACTCGCGCATGATCTCGTCGGTGACCTTTGCACGACGCTCCTGGAATGCCTCGACGAACTTTTGGAGTTCCTTGATACAGCGCTTCTTGAGCTCGCCAGTAGAAAGAGTGCCCTTGCGGTAGCTCTCCTCGATCTCCTTGAGCTCATCATCACTCTCGAGGAAGTAGGACAGGTAGGCGTATGCGACATCGACATCAGGGTTACCACCGTACTTCTCGTGGTCCTCCTTTGTGGCACCGCCACCTGAGAAAGCGAAGCGGTTGACCTTCTTCTCGATCTGCTTGGAAGTATCGGACATGAAGATGGCCGAGTTGGGGTCACTGGCAGACATCTTGCCGCCAGGACCTTGCAAAGCAGTCAAGAACTTTGAGAGAATGAGAGCTGTCTTGGGAGCAGGGAACTCCATGCGGTCGCAGTTCTCGCGCAAAAGACGGAAGTAAGGTTCTTGGTCAATGGCGCATGGAATCAGAGTAGGGATGGCAGCGATGTGCTTGCGAGGACGGGCCTCTTCGTAGTTAGGAGCGCGGAAGTCGCCAGCGCCGAACAGGGTAGGGTATGAGGACGCAAAGGCAGCAACGCACTGCTTGGCGGCGTATGCGTTGAGACCAATATTTGTGCTGCCATCGAAGCCCATGGCACCTCTGATCTGGTTGTTTGTGAGGAGAGCCTCGAACTCTGTGATGTTCTGGTAGAAGTGGCCACCCATGTACTCATAATCGGTGTAGATGAAAGTCTTCTTGAGGTCGAAGCCGAGAGCGATAATGTCTTTGCAGTTCTGTTTTGCGTACTCGATGAAGTCGCCGAGGGCAGCACCCTTTGTGATCTTGCCCTGATTCTTGTTGCGAGTGTAGAGGAACTTTTCGTCGTCAGTCAACATGACAACGAGAGGGACGTCGAAGATATCCTGCAGTTCCTTGGTGAAGAGGAAGGGGACGGCATGGCCCAAGTGCATGGAACCAGAGCTGGGACCACGGCCGGTATAGAGCAGGAAGAAGCCATATTTCTCATAGTAGTCGAGGATCTTGTCGAAGTCGCGGTGGCTGAAGAAGAGCTTGCGGCGCATCAGACGGTGAGGCGGCTTGCCGGTGACACGCTCGAAGCGATCCAGATGCTCCTGGGTCAGGGCGGGTGTGTTGAATCTCACGCGAAGGGCGTCGTAGTCGATGGCAGTAACGTTTCCATTCTCGTCGACACCTCCGCTGACATTGTAGGGGTCGATCTGCTGTTCCTTTGCTGCTTGCTTGACCTGCTCGACGGCAGGAGGGGCTCCTACAGCGTCGGCCGTGTGCGGCGCTCCGTCGGGTGATGCCATTGTGAATGCTTCGAGGGCGAGAGTTCGTGTGACTCGCTCGACTTTCTTGTCAATAACGGCTATACCCCGCTGGTCTGTGCGCTTTGTCCCTGCCAATCCTCCTCTTGCTCAAGAATTGCTTTTAGATATGTTGTATACAGGCCAAATGCTGTCAGGATCTTAGGACAAACTAGTCTTTCTAGGAATAATATGTTATCAATGACCAGAAAATAAAGAGCCACCTTTTGAACATTGCCATGGGACATTCACCGCGGTTACAGCACTCTTCTAGAAATTGTCGTGCATTTCTACGGCTAAATATGACAACCTCCAGTGCATAGATAGATCGCGTAGATAATCTTTTTCTCGCTAGGACTTACATCCATACAGTCGATACAACTCTGTTTGAACCAGGTCACAAAAGTGTTTGTTCACAGAACACGGCCAGAGGGGACAAAGAACTCAGCATGTGAATTAAACAAAAATGGCAAGGATCAGAGGCGTCAGTCGAGCGTCAGGCGTGCGGGACAGGGTCGGAGCATTTGATGGGCCGCGCCGACTGGCTACAAAATCCGTCAGTCGTCATTCTGCACTGCTGACCGCGCCAACTTGAGGGGAAGTGGCCTTCTCGACTGCACGTAGCATTCCACCTACCAATTGCTTTCTTTTTCTTCGACTCTGTCTGTTTCTCCGCTGCTTTCATTCACCAACTTCGACTTTCCATCAACAGCATGCGACAAGATGGTTAAATTCTACTCCACCTCGTATAGCTACGACTACTCTTTTCCTGCCGTCTCGCTGGCCTACTTTTTGCGCTATCCAAACCCATACAGCACCCACGTGCTCTCGACCGATGTCATCTCGCGCGAATATGACCCCGAGACCCAGCGTCTGACGACTGTTCGTCTACACTTGAAGAAAAGCAAACTCCCTCCGGCCGTCCTCAAGCTCCTGCCGCGGAGCATCATGGGTGGAGCTGAAAATGGCGACAGCCAGGCTTATATTCTCGAAACAACCGTCGTCGACGTCAAGGAAGGATGCATGGAGGCTGAAAGTCGCAATCTCGAATGGACTGGTGTTTTGAGCGTCGTTGAAAAGCAGGTCTTCCGCCGACAGCCCTTTGGATCGCAGCCGAAACTCTCTGCAGCCACAGACTTGTACAGCCAACAAGGAACTCAGAAGACGGATGTCACGACCACGGTCATATTACAATCACGCATTGGCGAGAACATTCGTCGTAGAAAAGCACAAAGGCAAGCAGAAGCAGAAGCAGAAGCTTCCGAAGAGGAGGCACCAGCCAAGCTTGGCTTCTTCAAGTCGTGGGCAGCTAGTCCCATGCAGCGATCTATTGAAGTCATTGGTCTACGTCGGGCTGAAAAGTCACAGCCCAAAGCAAAAGAGGGAATGAAGGTCGTGCTCGAGCGACTACGACAGGGCGGCCTGGTCGCTGTGCTCGAAGGCATGCGTCAAGATCGCGAGCTCATGTTCGCTGGCGGCCAGGCTTGAATACTCGCGAGGCTGCGGAAGTAGAAGTCTCAGGCCAATGTGCCAACACACGAGGGAGAAGGGGGACCAAATTGTATCAACATTTTCTGGCATTGCAACAGGTTTTAGCGTGGCGTTCTGGGTATGTTTCTAGCGAACAAATGAATTGGCACCGAGCAAGATAGCAACGAGGATATCAATAGGAAATTCTTCGGCTCGTTAAAAGAAGAGTTTGGAAGGAAGGAAGGCGTGGTATCAGTGAGGGGTGTTACTGTATTTTTAGTATTCACGTGTTGAACGAACAACTCATCTCTATTTCTACCTTATTTCCGAGCCAGCTTCAGTCCTTACCGTGACTTCCTTGACCAAGAAAAAGCAAAACAGATCTCTGACAGAGTACCAGAACATGGATGGAAGAGACGATAGAATGGAAGAGTGGAAGCAGACGGTGGTCTGTGCTCAAGCATTTTACGGAGAAGTCGCGACTCTGCGCGCGTCTGGGAAGCGGATTTGGGCAATGGATGTGGATGCTTCCTGCTTCTTGGCTGCTCTTCTTCCCTTCGCATCTTGCATTGCCTTTCAGTCCACCATCCACTCTCCTCAACCATCTACCCCCATCGCAATACCGGCACTCGCGCCGCTAATTATCGAATCACCATCAACTCTGTCCGTTGCAGAAGCAGAACCCCGCGCACATCTTCTATTTCTCCTGGACCAACCTTTTTAATCCTCCTTCCGCCGCAAGGCGACCACACACCGGCATCATGAACGGCAACGGAGATGGCGACCACACCATGCGTGTATGTACCACCATCTATCACTCCTTCCATCTTGATTTGTCCTTCAAGCTCTCACTCATGGCCCTCTCTTCTCTATCATGTGAAATCCCACCGCTTGGAAAGACCGACGCGCCAGCATCTAGTCTGAAATTTGCTAACTTTGTGATTGTAGGATGTGATCGACACGCCTGACTACACTGTGAGCTACAAACACGCTCCGTCATAAATCAACGCGCATATACTAACACGCCTCTAGGACTCAGACACTGGCTTGACTACCACAGAGAGCAGCATTGCGGGCGACCTGGATGGAAGAAAGAAGAGATGGGAAGGCCATGAGCTGAGAAAGAGCGTCTTGGGCAAGAAGCACGACAGGCTGGGCGAATCAAAGGTATCCGACACTCAGCGCTACCTTCCCTTCCCAACATCTGTTCTGACATTTTCCTACAGGAAGACGATTCTATCCGCAGATTCCGTTACCTCCTGGGCTTGACCGACCTCTTCCGTCATTTCATCGACACCAACCCCAACCCCCGCATCAAGGAGATTATGGCTGAAATCGACCGTCAAGATGAAGAAGAGAAGGCAAAGGCTGGCAAAGCCCAATCACGCAAGGGAGGTGCAGGCGGCGAAAGAAGGAGACGCACAGAAAAGGAAGAAGATGCTGAACTGCTCCGCGCCGGCAAGCACGAAAGCGATGAGAACCGCACAATCTTCCGCGAATCACCATCTTACATCCACGGTCAAATGCGCGACTACCAAGTCGCTGGTCTGAACTGGCTGGTCTCGCTGCACGAGAACGGTATTTCTGGTATTCTGGCCGACGAGATGGGTCTAGGCAAGACCCTGCAGACAATTTCCTTCATCGGCTATCTACGCTTTGTGTGCAACATTACCGGCCCTCACTTGGTCGCCGTGCCGAAGTCCACCCTCGACAACTGGAAGCGTGAGTTCGCCAAATGGATCCCCGATATCGATGTCCTGGTCCTCCAGGGAACCAAGGAAGAGCGCGCAAACATCATCAACGATCGCTTGAACGAGGAAAAATTCGATGTTCTTATCA